GAGAGATGGATGCAATCTTTGACAGTGAACCGCTCAAGGAGTGACCGTAGATTCCATAGCCTCTTTGTTGTTGTGCTACCGTCGTCGTTGCGATTGTTGTTGTTGAGGTAGTGTTGTTGGGTAGTGCGCTGGTGGTGGTGGTGGTGGTGATGAGGGGGATGGCATCATTGGTTATGGCGCTTTTGAGTCTGTTGTGGCTGGGGACATAGTTACTGGTAGTGTTGGTAGTGGCATGGGTGTTGGTGCTGGTATCCTTGTTGAATCGTTGTTGTTCAAGGTCTGGTTGGATGAGGGCGGTGTTCATGGTGGACTAGGTTAAATTCGTTTCAATTGGATGGTAGGAAGTATGTGATGTTGTCAATGGCGAATTAAAAAATTAGAGTAGCCAGGGTGCACGGACAACGCAGGGGATGAAAAAGGGGTGTACACAAATAAAGGTTGAGAAGGAAGAAGAGAGTGAGAATCTATTGCAAGCTTTGAGTGAAGGCGATGTGCATAAGTTAGTGGGAAGGGACCGGAGAAGTCGAAAGAGGAGGAAGAAGGGGAGAAATGACAGCAATGAAGGAATTAGAGGACGAAAAGGAAGGAAAGAGGAACGGAAAGGGTGAGATGGAAAAAAGATATCAAGAAAGAAGAGAAAAGGAGGGTGCGGAAAATAAAAGAAACGGAAAAAGAAGAAGGAATGATACGAAAATGGGGACAGAACAAAAGAAAAAAGGACATGCACGACAAACATACATAACATGCATAAGACACATGCGCATATCGACTTGCCCACTAATCTTGCGTGCACGCTGCAACTGCTTAAGAGCGAGGCGAGAGCGGAATATGGGCCAACGAGAACGTACATAGGGACGACAATAGCGATGATGGTGATCATGGCTAATTGCTGTTGTCCTTTGACGATGATGCTGTTGACAGTGCGGGGTTGGTGCTAATGCCGGTTTGTTGTTGTTGTGGGTGGGTGAGGGTGGGATATACTTTTCTTGTGTCTGTGTCTGTGTCTGTGTCTGTGTTTATCCCTACCAGACGACGGAACGATTGAGCATATAAACCTCGTTTTTATGGTATGTACGTCCTTCATCATGTAGTTGTGGTCCATTCAACATTCCAATATCAATTTGACCCCAAAACAACACACACGCAGTATGCATACATACAACATAGACATATACACCCTACTCATTCACACGACGCACGCACACACGCACGGCAAGAACGGGCGAGGGGGAAAGGGAACAAGAGAGACTATCGTTAGTTATACAGTTTTTCCGAGCGTATCCTATCCTATTCTTTTCTTGTTCAACAAGGTGCGCTTTTGTGGGGAAGCAATCCTCAATTGAATTGGACGCCACTAAATCTCGCGTTTCGCTTTCCAGTCATGTGAGCATTGCTCATCCACACTTCCTTTTTGTGCGGTTGTTTGTGAATTAAGCCGTGCACCGATGGTTGCACATTAGCCACAGCTACGCCTGGAATGAAGGTAATAAAATGTGGCATCCTACCTTCTATGGCTAATACGAAAGAAAGGCTCAAAGAAGAGCTTTGCAAAGAACAAAGGCATCATACCTGTGTGTGCATCAAACGAATGCGACCCGTCACCGCCTTTTTTTCATTCCGACATAGGTGGCTGAGGGCGTGGATTATCTGCCCTTGTCCTTTCATTCCGTCCTTCATTATTTTCTGTTTCGTCTTCTTCTCCGCCATTCCTACCCATAGACACCATCAATCCAAAAGCATATATTACTCTGCCAACGACACTCTCACCTTTGGCCCTTTCTCCTCCTCCCCTACAAAATAACTCGTTACTACCTACTCTGCCGTGTCCTCTCTTCCTCTTTCTACAAAATCCCAACGATTCAAGGTAACTGGTTTCAGCATGCCAGTTGAATGTTGACATGAACAAGAAAAAAAAGGGACTCGATGACGAAAGAGAGTGTGTGAAAGGGGTGTTACTGGCTGTGAGTGGCATAACGACAGGGACAGGGACAGGGGCAGAGACAAGGATCAGGGACTAGGGACCAGAGCACAAAGACAGAAGAAGAAGACGACGACGACGACAACGATGTCCCTTGCACTTCCCTTGGTCTGCAGTGCGAGGCGACAAAGTGTTGGCTCTTTGAATCGAATTGATTTCTACAAAGATGGAAGCACAAAGGCAAGGAAGACCTTAATAGTCCTTGTCCAATCCAAGCCATCGAATTCAATCGTATTCAACCTCTCTCTTTAATGGGCCTTTTCCTGACTTTGTCCTTCACTATTTTCATACCCTCTCTTCTCTCTAATCAACAACTCCACTCTGCCTTGGTTTTTTTTTAGCTCTTGTTCTTTGAACTCATCGCCCTTCCTTCTCCTCCTTGTCTCTTGTCTCTCTTCTCTCTTCCTTGTACCCTCAGCTTGTGTCTTTGTCTTTTTCACTCTTTCAAACTTCATTCATCTACAGCTGCCATCCTTGTCCCATGGTCATCTAATTCTGCTTTTCGACCCTTTCTTTTTCACTCACACCTGCGCCGTTTAAATAGCCTCAAACACCACACCACCTCCTTCCACTTCCACCTTTTCAAACAAGCATCTACAACAACATCGACACACATACCACGCTTTCCGTTGCCTCGCTCAATGTCGACGGCAACCTCGTCTGCCCGCGCGGGGACACTTCCCAGCCCTTCCATTCCCAGCCCAAACTCAATCGTCACCTCCACCAACACAAGCTCGCTCAACACCCCAACCTCGGCCCAGCACCCATACGACGACCTCGACCAAAAAATAGCCGACTTTCGACGAAACTGGACAGTTGGCGGAGGCAACCTGGGGCCAGAGCTGCTCCTCAACTGTGTCGAATACGCCACCTTTTCTCCCCGATCCTTGGGGTTCAAGGATCGATCCTCGCACGAGAAAAGTCCAACCCTCGGAGGCGCCAACAAAAACGACTGGGTCGTTCCCCCAACGCCGCCAGCCCTCTCCGGGTGGGCGGTGGGGTTGCAGTTCAACTATGTACCTGGGTAAAGTTTGTTTCTTCGTTATTTTGTGTATTCATTTTTTATTTGGGTCACCCGCGATAAGAACTTTTCTTTGTTTTCTGTACAAGATTGTGAAGAATGGTCTTTTTTTTTGGACAATTGGAGAAGGGAGTGAGTGCAATGCCCCGTCTAGAACTGTGAGCTAAGGGGGCCCGGTCAACTTGGACGATCGGCGAGAAAAGGAATTAGTCAGCGCTTGTAGGAGCACAAGAAAAGGGCAGTGGATAGAGAGAGAGAAAGGTTGTAGGAGAAGTACGCTGTAGACAATTGAAGAGAGGGTAAGAGAAGGATGTGCTGGACAAAGAGAGAAACAGAAGGACGCGGTAGACGAGATGAACGAGAAGGAGTATGAGATGGATGCGGTCGACAAGGAGAAAGAGATTGTGAGAGAGGAGTCAATTGGGTAAAAGATAGAAGTAGAAAGGAAGAGGAACTACTGCGCGCCACATAACCGAATGGACGCAAGGATGCTTTTATTCTTCGTTTTAGCTCTGCACAGGACAGAACGAGGTCTCGACTTCCATGCGTACAACAAGCTGTGAACCGTGAACCCCTATGTGCACACGAGGCAAAAGGGAGATATACAAAAGAAGCCATGGAAGCGAGAGAGGGAGGATATCAAACAAACGACGGCTGGAAGAAATAGACGAGCGTGAGAAATGGCCCGAAAGCCCATGGAGAAAGAGTGAGCACGACGGAAGGGGTCATTTTGCGCCATGAGATGGAGACACAGAGCGGTCTGATTGATTGCGCACGAACGAAGGATAGGGAAGGCAAAAACACAACTGCATCTCCTTCTCCCTCCGATACGGCGAACACACCCACGCACATGCAGACAACTTTTTTTGCAGGATGAATATGGAAGGGAACCGACGTTTTGTCCACACGACGCAGGACAGGACAGGAACAAGCGTATCAGTCAATCCCTTTTTTTGCCTTACTGTTTGTTGTCTCTCTCTCATCTTTTTTTTGTTTTCGTTTTTACCCCTTTCCGCGGGGATTGGGTTTATTTATTGTTGTGTATTGTTTGCCACCACAGTCGTCTTCTTTTTATATAAGTACTTTGTCTCTTTTGCTCTGTCAATGTCTATGTGCGACAAGCCGCATGGGACCTCGGAAAAGACCGAAAAAAGGTTTGCAAGAAGAATAAGAAAGAAGTAGCGAGTCAGATTTATTTTTGTCAATCAACCACGGCCGTAATTGATGGATAAAAAAAAGAACGACGATAGAGGAATGAAAAGAGGCATAGAGCACCTGGGGTCTAGCTGCCTGCAGCATCTTCTGTTGCATTCACCCCGACCACCACTACCGCCGTATCCACACCTTTGGCTAATTGATCATGTCGCTTGTTTGCGTGTCATGGCCCTTCTTTATTTTTTCTATCCTTTGATTGTCTTGTACTCTATTCTTGTTATCTAACCTCCCTCTCACTCTCACTTTCTCACAGACGGACGGATCGAAACTCTCATAGTAGCACACCCAATGGAACGAACCACCAAAGCAAGAATAGCCATCCCGCTTCGACCGCACATCAACCGGGAAAATCAACATATCACCAGGCAAGCACTTACTTCCCTCCCCTCCAGCTGTTTTTTACTACTACTTCTCTCTCTCTCTTCACTTTTCTCTCTTCCACTCGCCCACTGTCATTTGTCATCTCAGTCTTCCATTAGGGGCTAACAGGATATTCGGATCATTCTCTTCTTGCTGACACCATCCTTCCAACCACACACATACTCCTTGCATCGATTCCCTTCAAATAGAGTCCTCCGACACCCCCTCTCGAGGAGATCCGCAAGAATATCGAGGTAAGAACTCTCCCCCATCACCGCCACATCGTCTTTCCCCCCCCTTGATTCTGATATGAACGTGCCCTAGCTCCCTATCAATTCGTCCGTGTTTGCATCTCAAACTAATCAAATCCACCAATTATGGGCCTTCCTTTTTTAATCATAGATTATTCAGAGCCTTCCCGTCATCATGAGCCCCACTATTCCTTCCTGGACTGTCCCACCAAGAAGCACAACCGGAGGAAAGCAACCCGGCAAGGTTCCAACTGTTTCGCTGAATCTTGGTGCAAGCAGCGACGACAGCTCGGGCTCGGGAGAAGACTCGGACAGTGGCTCATCGGACGTTGGGTCCGAGAATGCCACCATGAGTGAGGTTGATATGTCCCGCTCGAGGAAACATATTGGGTAATGAATCGGCTCGGGAAGTGTTGCATCACACCGTCTGTCAGCAATATGTGATATTCGTCAATCCTAACTTGTGTCTATCACTTATTTCACTACCTCTTCATATCAGGAGGAAAACATCTCGGGGTGGAAAACCCAAGACAGAATCTATTGGAAGCAAACGCCCAGCAGGACTCACAGCAGGAAAGACGTTGCCGGACTCAATTCGACAGCCAGGCATGGATTCGCACGCGAGAAAGACATCTACTGCACAGTATTGCAGCTTGATGTCCTTGGGACAGATGACAGAACTCCCACGGCGGTACAAGGGTATGCTGTTATCGAGCTCTCCTGTTGTGGTCAAGATTAATATACCCGCCTATCTCTTGCCAACACTTGTGGCAGCGACCCAGGCAGCAGAGCGGACAAGAGCATCACAGTCGTCAAAGTCATTCTCGCGAGGTGGATACAGAGGTGATTCGTCGGATGATGATCGTGCAATGGATGTCGATGCACCCTCCGGTGCGGAAAAGGAAAGGACCCAGGATTCTTCTCGACCTACTCTCAAGGACGTCCAAGGGCGCTCTTCGAGACTCCAGGAGATTCCTTCTAGTCCCCCTCGCACAAAGACTCTCTCAAAGCGTGGTCGCTCCTATTCTTCAGACGAATCAGAGTCGGATGATAGGAAAAAGCCTAAAGGATCCACCAAGGAGCTCAAGGAAAAATCCTCGCTTGATCTTGGTCACTCGGACAAGAAGAGATCATTGGACAAATCGGCAGCAACCAACACTGACACTAAGCGCGGCCATGCTTCCACGACATCTTCGAGGGCCAGATCTGACACAGCGGAGGAAAAGAGCTATCGTATCGATCGCGGAGACGAGAGGAGAGGCTCCGAGGTGTCGACTCGCGGCAAGTCGTCGCAATCGCTGTCGCCGGTTCTGGATCGCAACAAGGACAAGAACCGAAGACTATCATATCACAGTGCCGATGAGGCATCCGACGACTCGCGCAAGGACAGACGGCGCCCTAAGGATGCCAAGCAAAACAACGACCATACCGAGACCGGTCGCAGCAGATTGGAGTCCAAAGATGTCACCTCGAGAGCAGAGACTGGTCAAGGTCGAAAGCGGGATACCTCCAGAGATCGAGCCAGCGATGCCCCGGATGCACGTCGCAAGGCCAAGGATGAGAACGCTAGGGAGTCCAAGGAAAAAACCATCAATATCGAGAAGCCAACGTCATCAAGCACCAGCAAAGATCGGCGGCCGTCCAAGGACGAGGATGTGTCAGTTTCGAGTCGCGCAGGACCTAAAAACGATCCAAAGTCGGACCGCACAGGGTCGGCGGCTGCACCTAGTTCACCAGGACGTCGTTCAGCACGGGATGCACCAAAGGAGACAAAGTCGAGGGGTGAGAAGGACTCGAGGGATGCAGCTGCGACATCAGGCCAGCGATCCACCAACAGCACCAAGGATCGGGTTCGCGGTCGATCACGGACACCCTCACGCACCAGATCCCGCTCAAGATCACCTAGGAGATATGATCGGAACCGAAGTCCGTCTCGAAACGACACTCGCGATGGAAAGTCGAACCGGGATCGCAGAGAATACGATGACGACCGGTCATCCAGGCGCAAGCGGGATGGCAGTCGCGACCGGAATGACCGTTCGGGACGTGGAAGGAGCAGGGATCGCTTTGGGCGAGACAGGAGTCGCGACAAGAGCACCGACAGGAACCGTGACAGGAGCCCTGCTCGGGGAACTAGCCGCGAACGGAGCCGAGATCGCAAGAGGGTCAGGTCTCGTTCTCGCGACCGTGAAGGAAGGAAGGAGACTGATCGCCGTGCTCGTGAGACGTCAGCGACACCCAGTAGCTCTAACACAGCAGTCTCGCGACCTGATATTAGAACAGATGCCCGACCCGACTCTCGACCCGAGACCAAAACACAGCTACCTCATCAGAATTCTACCAAGAGCTCTATAGGCCGGCGCGACTCGGAGAGCAAGCATGGAGCAAGTACGACGACAGCGAACCCTCCTCGACCACCACCTCCAACAATCAAGGAGGAGCCTCCAGTGCAGCCTCCTCCTCCTACGACCGCGCCTCCCGATACCATTCCGCGGTCGGGCGTGACTGGCGTTGTGAAGGAGACAATAGTCAAGAGAGTCTCCATCGAGGATTACCAAAGGAAGAAGACCAACCTCGCAACCACAGACAAAGTTGACACGCCCAAGGCAGTATCAGACTCGCCAGCATTGGCGAATGCCGTCGTCGCAACCGGCAAACCACCCGTCGTCACCAAGGACTCGACTCAGAAGCCAGCCAATGCGGAGCAAAAGTCGTCCAGCACCTCATCCTCCAAGCCATCGTCAGAAACCGCGAAGAAGATTGCCGACTATCACAACACATTCAACATGTAAGCTTTTGAATGGATATTAACTTTTTGATTTACGCATTGAAAAGGACGATTGACTAACAACAAGAGTCATACTTGTGCACAATGTATAGGCGTCGGGCGGCAGGAATCACATTCAAACACAATGCGGACGACACTCTCAAGAACCAGAGCAACGCCAAGTTGGGCGCGATTCAGTACTTTTTGAGCGCGATCGAGTTTATCGCTGCTTTCCACGCCAACGACAAGTACCACAACCTTTTGAACCCCGGTCGACAGGATGTTGCAGTCAAGGCGTCTATCAACTCGTGGGACACCATGCGTCAGTTCATTCACGCCCTTACCAACCAGTGCCACTCCAACCGCCTCGCTGGACTTGATGGCGTGAGGTGAGAAACTTCAGATCAATCTCTATTCGTTTGTGTGTTTCAGACTGAAATCTGGGACAGTGCTCTGCATTGAGACTAACTAAGTCTATATCTGATGGTATCTTGTAATAGCGCGTTGATGGAGGTGTTGGTGTACTACAAGGTGTACAGCTACCATATCATGAACTTGCGGAAGGAGATGCTCAAGAGCGGTCAGTTCAAGTCAAAGGGAGCGACCAAGGAAGAGAACGGAGTTGCGCCGATGGTGTCGATCCCTCAGGAGATGGCGAACCGAATGCTGCAGAACGTGGAGGATTGGGCACATATCCAGAAGCGTATGGACGACTGTCGACAGTGGTTGACACCCGACATTGCACAAAAGCAGTTCCCGCAGACGTTTGAGAAATGGTGCATCCATCCGGACCAGATTGGACAGCAGCAACATCATCCTTTTGATGGATTTGTCTCGGGAACCAACATCCAAAAGATCCATTGGCCTCTTGGAATGCACCTGCACCTGCACGAGTTGATGGCGTTTGTTGTGTCTGCATTGGAAGAGTACCAGAGGCGGAATGGTCTTGAGCATACCAAGTAGTTCTCTTTTACTTGTTTTTTTTGTTTTTCTTTTTTGCCGTGTGAAGACACCATTCATTCTATTTCATATTCTTTCGTACTTCTCCTTCTTCATACATAACAGGAACAACAAAGTTTGCATTTCCAAAAGAATGATTGTGTGTGTGTTTGCTTTTGAACTAAAGGAAAATGTTTAATAGTGGTTCAAAAACAATATGAATGGATTAAAGGTAGATGTCGTTCCCTGTTGGTGCTTGATAGCCAACAAATCGCCTTGCTGCGGCGTCCCGGTCCAAAATTGCGCCAGGCCAAGTTTCTGCCTGACCATCCTCATCATCATCCTCATCGCTCTCTTCCTCATCCGCGTGTTCCTCTCTTGGGATATTTGCTCCAGGCATGGTCATATCAATCCCATCTCCAGATCCTGTTGATCCTGTCGTTGTCTCGTCAAGATGTTTAGAGAGGCGGATGCGAATGGTGGGACGATGTTTTGAGACAGTGATAGGGTCGAGGTTTGGTTGGTCTGGGTTTGGGTCCCAGATCTCTCGTTCTGTGACCTGGCCGATTTCTGTGAACTGGTGGAGGACACCTTCCATCCTGCGTTTGAGGATCTCCGCGACGGTTACGGCCTTTGTGATTGATTTGCCTTGTGCTTTGAGTGTCAGGACTCCTCGTGGTGTTGGGTGTTTTGATGACGATATTGATGGTATGCTCTATTTTGGTTGAAGGGCGAAGAAGATGTCGCGTCTGTTGGTTAGCGTCCTGTCCTGCCTTCGCCGTGGCGTCTTTGACCAATACGATAGAATATCAGCGCGCTTGATCAGTATCCAATGAGAAAAATTACGTGTGATGTTGCTGCGCCGCCTTTGTTATCAGAACGTTTGCTCTCTGCTCCTTCTGTTCCTTCTACTGATCCTGCTCCAGCAGCTGCAACAACTGGTGTAGAGTCGGCCTCGGTCAAGACCTCGAGGGCGCGAGAGACGTAAGTACGAATTTTTCCGTTGGGGGTGATGGCCATGACACCGTGTTGCTGTGGCCGGTTGTGTTGTTGCGTCGTCTGCTTCTGTTGCTGCTGATGCTTCTTGGACGCTGTGGTGGCATCTTGAATGTCGTCCTCGAACTTTGGTTTGGATGTCTTGGCTCTCTTGTGGTAGTTCTCCATTATGGTTTGTCCTTGAGTGTGTCTTGTTGTGAGTGAAAGAGCCCTGCAGCTGCGTTTTGAGTGGAAAAACAAGAAAAAAAAAAGGCTGAAGCAGTCACTTCATGCTCCACGTGATGGTTGCTTGGATGGGTCTGGGAGATGTTATTGTGCCTGTGATGGTCGTTTCGTTCTCATTGACTTCTTCGTCTACCAAACCTACCGACCTATTACTACAAACGCCTCACTTTCAGCTTCTCACTCCACGCCACGCCACGCTACATTGCCACCTTCTCTCTCAAAACACATTCAGTGCCATAAAGAATGACACGCATCTATCCAAGGAGCACACTCAAGAAGATCTTCCGTGCCCATGAACCATCCTATCAACTGTCAAAGGACGTCGACATCAAGGTTCGCCTTCCCTACACTTCTTTCTCTCCCTCTTCTCCGTCTCCAAAATAGAGCCCAAAGGAAACATAAAAGCAAAGAAGCGCGGTCCCTAAGACTTTTTATTTTTTTCTTCGTGCGTATACCATGTGTATAGATTTATGTGTTGTACCTGTTGTTCTTGCAACGGTTATCGAACGAAGCCAGTCGCCAGGCCCAATTGACGCACGATGCTATCGTCCAGTCTAGGCATGTCTCGCGGGCATTGAGGGTGAGCCATTCCCCCCCCCCCCCCCCCCCTTTTTCTTATACACGAACATATACATATACACATATCTATTACATGTTGCATAAGTTCTGTTCTACTCCGTCGTAGAGCATTTTTTCAAGACGCGTCCTACCTTCCTGTGTTTGTAACTTTTAAGGCGAATGCTGACACAGAAAATGGTATTTACTTTTGTGTGCGTTTTGAATTTGTCCTTCTAGATCGTCTTGCAGCAATTCAAGGGATGAGCATGTACACCTGCGCTTAATCATTCTTCTCCAGGACATCCCTACTCTTCTCAACCAGTTTGCGTAATATCAGCTCCATCTTGTTATCGTCTTGCACTCCAGCGCTTGATGCTTCTTACCCACCTCGCCCTCCACTTCGCCCTAACTCACCCTTACAACACCATCTACACTTGTAAAATTTCCATGTAAAATAAAGATACTACTATAAACTCCTAGCATATGCCAAATCGTTGAACATCTACGACAAGCCAAATATTTGAAGTATTGGACAGGAGGGTTATAGCTTACCAAGATACTCTGTACCATCCAATGATCATTTTACCGGCTGCCAAGGCATCGAAAACCTAGAAGAAACCAAGCATTTGGAGCACCGTATACAATGATTGTGGCTTACCAAGATACTCGATACCTTTCTAAATATCATTTCCGGACGCCAAGTCGTTGAAAACGTACGACAAGTCAAGCATCAGGCGCAGAGACTATCACACGTGGAACCAGAATATCGACACGTCTCGGTATCTTTCTAATGGTCATTTTGCCGGATGCCAAGTCGTATTTCAAACTCTACTTCATGTATCCGTTAAGATTTTTCTGTTCAGGAAATAAGTACTTGCGTCCGTGTTCTTTCCGTTGCATACTTTCTCTCCTGCTTTTCCTTTCTCCGTGGCTGTGGTCATTGTAATGCGAGGGTGGGATGGTTCGTGTGTGAAATGGCATGCGAGCGGGCCAGGGTTTCATTTTTTTTTGGTCATTTAGACGACAGCCGTTCTTGGCTTTTTTTTTACCGGTATGTTGTGCCAGACATGAGACAGATGGGCAGATGTGGAGAGAAGGGTATATTCATACGTGTCAGAAAAAGAACGACAGCCAAGACATTAAGAGAAGCTGGCAAGGGGTTTTTTTTAGGAGTTGGGGCGAGAGGGGTTACAGTACACTGTAGTAGCTGAAAAAAATTATGGCCTGATAATTAAGGATTTTCATAGTTTGTAGAGGAATGGGCGACATTGAAGTGGAGTAGGAAGTTGTGAGCTTGAGGTTCAAGCAAGTAGGTGGACACTGAGGAAAGTCTTGGCGAGACCTCCAGATTCTTTATTTAAGCAGGGTTCAATTGCTTGGCGCTATAATGTCATCAGGGGTTAGCCCCCTATGATCGGGGTCAGGGGCTTAGACAATGAGATCATGAGCCCGTCAGGTCTTTTTTTTTTTTTTTGGAAGGAATGGCTGCATGGGGCTAATCCTTTGAGAATTTTCCTGATTGTCCACTGTCGACTTATTCATTCCCCTTCCATTGACTAAAAGTCGACTTCGCCTTTAGAACATTTTCCTTTTTTTCTTTGTCTTCTCCCTTCAACGGCGGACATGCATTGGATAAAAATGCCATGCCGTCTGCTTTCGGTCGACAATGATCCCCCTTTGTTTTTTCTCTATCTCTCTCTATCTTATTCGCATATCGCTAGTTATCCGAGGGCTATTGTTTTCCTCTCTATTTTCTTAGCTCTTTTACCAAGATTCGGGCTGAAGGGAAGCATACAAGTTCAGCCAAAGTAGTGATAAATGCAAGAACACAAAGATTTGTACCTTGGCTTGGCTGATCAAGGGCTGTTCTTCTTATTTCTCGCCAATAGGCTCCTCAAGAGAAAGGAAGTGTAAGAAAAATAGAAGGGAAGGAGGCATGGGGCGATATGAGTCTAAGACACCAGTTGTCGGACATGGATAGCTCTAATTGCGTGTAACGAAGGTAAAAAGGGTGGCACGCACAGATGAGGTGGGCACGCGTTGCTGCCTGTTTGTTGTCCGTATCAGGGTAATGCACGTACGTATCTCGTGGATACCTTCTCTCTCCTCCTTGCCTTGGCTGAAAGGGAATATAAAGAGAGGGGGAAGAACGCGCGTTCACAAATACTTTTTTTTATATCTTTTCGCTATTATCCTCGGGCCGAACAACCTGGCAAAACCGTCGTTCCTGAATTTTGCTTCTCTTTCTTTTTTTGTTTATCACCTCCCCGCCTCTCTCTCTCTCTCTCTCTCTCTCTCGCCCTCTCTCTCTCATTATTGATCAATTGACCACTGTCCACACCCAAAACCTTTATTATTCACTCTCACTCACTCAACCGTTCTGTGCTGATACTCGCCACACAAACACACTCTCTCGCTCAGGTACATACACATAGAAGAAAAGAACATGCCAACCTTGTTCCTGTGTTCTTTGTTGTTCTTTCTTTGCACTCGTCATCATCTTCAGTTGTACTTGTACTGTATATACACACATACACACACACACACACACACACACATACACACACACACACACACACACACACACACACACACACACACACACACACACACACACACACACACACACACACACACACATACACACACACACACAAACACGCACACACATGCCCCACTCTGCCACGCGACCCCTTTCTCCTGCACTGAGCTGCTAGCCGTGGTCATTCGCTCTTGTTGTATCCAATTTGCTCTTGTTGTATCCAATTTACTCTCCTACATGAATGCATCGCATCGCAGGAGTTGCTATTCCTGTTCTTTATTTTTCTTGTTTGTTGTTTCTTCCGATCGGCACATCCGTCATTCCTCCTCTCTTTTTTGCTTCGCTTTGCCTTGCTTTGCATCCTTCCTTATTTGCCTCTTTCTTATATCCCTTTCTTGCCTCTCACTCTCCTCTCACTCTCCCACTCTCTCTCTCTCTCTCTCTCCAACCCCTATCCTTTCAACCATAATTTCTCTCACTGCTCTTCCACATCGTTGCCCCTCTTTTTTTTGACATCACACCACATCGAATCTGCCTTGATCCATCTAGTTTCTTATTTTCTCTTTTCGTCTCTTTTCTCTCAATGCATCATTGAACGCTCGCCCACATCCCCTTGACCCATACACCTTCCCACTTCTTTTACTCCTCTTTCATCCTCAGCAGTTACCTGCTTCTCTCTTTCTCTCTTCTTCAAACGATCACCCACTAATCCTCTCCTTACCCTCCCACTCTTTATCTCTCATACACTTTCACTAATATCTCCCTTCCAAACCTCGGACTTTTGTTACACCCCATTCTCCGACAATTTCACTTTCTCGACATCTCCAAAAGCCGGATAAAAGAACACCACTCTCCACATCAACACGACACACAACGCACATAGCACAAGATGAAGGCACCAAAACCCAACACCAACAACACACTACCTCCTCCACTACCTCCAACCTCCTACCAGAAACAGAAAACGCTGTCGATCCATATAGCCACGGACCACATTGGTCCGAACAATATGCCCCTCGTCTATGGGTCGACACCCGAAAGGGTTGGATCCATTCGAGGAACGGTCCGTTTTTCGACCAACTACCCCTGCAAGGGTAAAGATGTTGTCATCATGTACGAAGCTAAAGCCGAGGCGCAATGGTCAGGTAATACAAGGAAACAACTTTGCCCTTTTTTGTTTGCGTCATCACATAACATAACGTACAACGTCGTGCCTCGCATCGCATTCTCTTTTTTCACGAACTAAGAACAATCCCTCTTCCTCTTTTCGTGCACGTTCTTTCAATTCCTGTTTATTGTCGTTGCTTGTTGTTTGCTTGTTGTTTGCTTGTTGTCGTTGTTGTTGTTGTTGTTGTTGTTGTTGTTATTGGCATGTGCTCAATCCATTGTCATTACCCAATCCCACACAACAACCAACTACAAATAGCATTGGAGAACAAAAAGGTCGTTAAACACCAGACAGAAGAGATACTCGGATACCACATCTGGCACTTTCCCCTTGAGCACACAAAGACCGGCGGGTCGACCGTCGCTGTGGGCGTTTACGAAAAGGAGTTTGAGATCCCTCTTGTCCATCCTTCCTCAGCGGCAGCAGCAGCCGCCTCCTCGTCTTCTCCCCTTCGCAACAACAACCCCTCTGCTTCCCCTCCTTCCCCTCCTTCGTCACCTTCTCCTTCGCCCTCTGCAGGGTCCGCTGCCGCTTCCTCAAAAAGCAATTCCGCTCTCATCCCCCACACAACATCAACAGTGATGGTCGGTGCAAAACAGGTTGGCCCGGTCAGTGCTTCTGCAACAGCTGCTGGATTGCTCCCTTCGAGCAGCTATAGCCCTCAAGCAAGGATCAAATACACTATCCGCGCCATCCTCCAACGCCCCTTCCCATTCATCACTCACGTTGAGGCCTCTCAGGAGGTCTGGGTCTTCAACTCTAGTCTGCCCCCTCAGTTCCCCTTATTGACGCCCTTGTCCCCCTCCAACTCCACCGGTCGTCGATCCCATTCCAATGCGTCCAGTAAAAAAAGGCTCCAATCTGCCAAAACCAACACAACTTCTGCAGCTGCAACCACAACCACAACAGCCACAACCAACCCAACGCCTGCAGAGAAGGCTCCCGACAAGGAGTCGTCGAAATCTCTTGAGTGCAGTGAGGTGCTCAAGTCCCAGTCCTTGCTCTCACTGCCCATGCCCTCACAGGTCTTCAAGTCCGCGCTGGCTATGCTCCCTTCCATCGATCTATCGCGCTCCAAGCAATTGTTCTCAATATCAAAGACAGCAGGACCATCGCCCGCGTCCGCGTCTGAACCCGCATCTGGATCGGAAACTGGAGCTGGATCAAGATCAGGAACAACAGCAGCAGCGTCATCTTTCCAACCATCCACGTCCGCTGCTGCGACTACTCCTGATAATGCCACGACTCCGACCGCTACAACGACGACGACGGCGACCAAGGACTCGACGGACATCACTTCTGAAGCTGGCTCTTCTTCAAGTTGTTCCTCTGTCTCTTCGCCACGATTGGATGGTCGCGAAAACAACTACAACCACCAATCTCATCCTGAGGATACGGACAACGATAATATCGCCGACTACACTGGAGTCTGGGAGGCCTTTGATATCCCATACTCCCTCTCGCTGCCGTCGGAAATGGTCTACGTCGGACAGGTTGTCCCGCTCACCATTCGATTTGGACCTCACCACGGATACTGCAGCAGCAGCAACAAGCAGCAGGAGCAAGGTAACGCCGGTCATCAGGACACTCCTTCGCGTCGGTTTATGGTCAAGAAGGGTGTCCTCAGACTGATGGAGCATACGCTTTTGCGGGAAGTCACGACAACACAGGTTCCTCTTTCAAAGTCGGCCTCTGCCCAGAACAAGAACCACAACAAGTCTTTGGTCTTGATGACAACCAATGCCCATGCCCCTTCCCAGGCGACACTCGAGAAGACCTTTGAGGATGATGGCTCGACCAAGGATTCTTCTCATCGCCGTGCATTCTCGGAACAACAACCTCACCCCAACAGTAACGGAAAGTCGAAGCGAATGGTACCTTTGTTTGGCAAGCGTCAAGACCAGAATGCGATCTATCAAGAGCAGGGATACCACGGCAGTCATTCGCACCTGCCACTTCCTGGTGGGGGAGACTCTGATGCAGAACAACAGCGGCAACGCAATACCAAGTCTCAACATCAGCACCAACTTTCGGTGCCTGGAGGAGGAGATGCCCATTCGTCGTCGCATAAGCATGAAGGAGACCTTCGAAAGTCGTTTTTCAAGCCGAATCGTCATAGTATGGATGTCTCGACTGGCCGACCGGTTTCGATGGTCAATCCGTACGGTCCCACGAACGGCAGCAACCCCCGGATTGTGAGCAGTATCGAGGCAAAGTTCAAGACCGAGGTGATGCTCTTATCCCTGACACCCTTCTTGCAACGACAGGAGCAGTGGTACCAACGAAAGCTCAATAAAGCCGCCTTCGACTCTGCCGCTGGATCGACAGGACGAACGCATGACGGATCTGATGGCGACAAGGTTGCCACCCAACAGAAGGAAGACAACGAAGAAGAGAGAGGTGACATGTACGTGGAGGAGGAAGATGTAGAAGAAGATATCGAGGATGGAGTCTGGCAGACGACGATCTGGGTGCCTATCCCTGGCCCTTCGGCGATGGCGACGTTTACCGAGACCAAAAACATTATCAAGACTCATACTCTCCAGCTCATCTTGCTCTGCGGTCTTGGTGGCGAGGCTGTGCCAGTGCCAGCGGCGGTGGTGCAAGGTGAAGATGGAGAGGCCGATTCGGGTTCTGGTTCTGCTGCGGCGTCGGTGGCAGCTGTTTCGTTGTCCAACGTCAACAAGGAGTTCCGTCTCGAGAGTAAGTTGTCTTGTTTGTATTAGATATTCTTTTCCATCAACTGATGACTATAGATGGACTAACGCGTTCTTCTCATATCCTTGCACTTTTCTAGTGGATTTGCATGTCACTGGTCCTAGATCTCCCGTCGAGATGACCATTAAGCACCTTTAAAATATTCGCAAAAAGATACCTCCCCATTCCATCTCATACCCCCCCCCCGCCCAAATCTCTGCACTCACAAATGGCAAAGTAGAGGAAATAAATTAAAATGAAAGAACGTGTTCGTTCGTCCATAACTTCTTGATCTCTTTTTTTTTTTTTTTTTTTTTTTTTTTTTTGGAAAAAACGGCTGTAGATATGAGGCTGAGATGTTTGAATGGAGTCTCTCGTCCATCCCAGATCCGATTCTGCAGCTCAGCTCTTTTCCCATTTGTGCGCTTGCGTATTGTCTATCTGTCAGTTTGGCCGTCGACTCTCGTTCTTGTCTCTTTTTTTTTTCTTTCGCAATTTCGTCCATGCTTTCTCTTTCCTTGTTGAGAGCAATTTGCCACCATCATCTTTCTTCAATTTGTTTTCAGGACCAGACGAGATCTGGGCGGGCCTTTTCTTCCTCGTGCAGGGTACACGCCCCCATCACAAAGTCAAGCTCCAAAACACAAGTGACGCTTGGACTGGTGCTCTTTTTTATTTTTATTCTGGGGTCGGTAGGTCGGTACCTTCTTGTTCCTGTGTTTTTTCTTGTGTTCGCTATCTGATTTTGGATATGCCGCAGCGACTGTCCAGCTGGTCGCTCTTTCTTGTATTTGGGCGGAGAGGGGGCAGTGTTCATCCCAGGGTTGTATTAGATTGCAGTAAAACGCCGCACTAATTGTATTTATGTTTGTGTCCGTGCTAGTTTGGTTTTTGTGATGAATGTAGTGATGACAATGAACAGGAAGGGCAAGGGAGGTAGATTATGGAAGTTTGAAGAAGCAACAATACCGAGAATGATATGCCATCAGTTATTACGGCGCTGGAAAATTGTTCCTGATTGGCATTGAGTGAATGGTCTTGATTGCATGCTTGTTTGTTTTTTGTCCTTCCTTGTGCTTGTGAACACAAGAACAAGAGAGAGAAAGAGAGAGAGAGACTAACAAAGGGAAGAGAGACAGAGAGAAGGATGAGAGATGAAGGATGAAGTGATGAATTCCAATTTGTCCTATCTTTGCTTTGTTTGCTTGTTTCCTTGCTTCGTTGCTCTGTCTCGTGCGACACACTCGAATATATATTTATACAGCACGTTCGTTCATTCACGCCGCCTTGTTCCATCCTTTACGCCTTCCTCTTCTTCCATCTCTCCTCTCCTTTCTCTCCTGTTCTCTCTTCACCATCGACACAACCCTCGACTCGAAGACACCTCACCGCGCCTCATTCTTTTACTCTCTTCTCTTTATCTTCATTTCCTCCAATCCTGTTTCTCCTTCCTTTTCTTCGTCCATCCTTTTCTTTATCTTTCCTTTCTTTACTTCTTTTTTGCATTCTCTCCCCGCCCCTGCACTTCTCACATACCTCACTCAACAACCCCTTGTCTTGTAGGATAAACACCTCCTCTTTTTCTTCCCTTCCCTTTCCATTCCAATATCCTCATACGTTCACACCACGACAATCATCACAGCATAGAAGCACCTTTCATCCTCCTCCACCTTCTGGACCCTTGTAACTCTTTTTTGTTTTTTATTTCGTCACACAGTATAAATGGTGTTAAGACGCTTCTCATCACTCCATGCAGTCGTTGCCCTCTCGGTGCTCGTCCTCTTCTGGATGGCATGGTCTAATGTTCGCCTACGAGGTACATTCCCCCGGCGCTCTTTGTGTGAATGAGAACACGGAATGAGAAAAAAGAAAGAGAGTAATGTCGAAACTAAACGCTATTTTACCTCGTTGGATAATAGAGAGCGACATGGACGTGAACAAGAATGGAAGCACAGAACAACAATATGGCGGTCGATACGGAGGTGCATTACGACCACCACCACTGAGGACAGGAACCATAGATCGTCTACACGGCCACGAGGACCATGATGTGACCCGGTCACGGACCAAGGAAGAGGAAGAAGAAGACGAACTCCTTATGGCTGAGACTGAACGAGGATCATCAACTCCAGGACACGATCCGGAACTAGATCTGCCATATGTCTCAGACAGGACGACGTCGCCTCTCGAGATCCTCACAAAGAACTTTACCATCGTCACTGCTGCATCCGCCAACCACTTCTGTGCCCTCGAGAGTTTCCTCTACTCCATGTCCGAGGTCCTTGAGGGTCTCGAACGGTCAGAACTCCGTCCCAAACTGGTCGTCTACAACCTTGGTGGGATGTCGTACGAACAAAAGAAGCAGCTGCGACATCTCAAGGACAACCAGTTCATTGATGAGTACAAGGATTTCGACTATGCGGCTTACCCGGCCTTTTGGGACATCAACAGGGCGCGTGGAGAGTACGGCTGGAAGGCCGGGATCATCAAGGAGGTTGCGGATACTTACGGAGGGTTGATCCTGTGGTTGGATTCGGGCAACATGTTGGCCTTGGATTTTCTGAGGTATCTGCCGGGGTACCTGGACCGGTTTGGGTTCTGGAGTCCACAGAGTTCAGGATCTTTCCGACAGTACACTCATGAAGGTCTGCCACAGTTCTTTGGGGACACGGTCGAGCCCTATGCGCAAGAGACGAATTGTAACGGAGCGGCGATTGCATTTGATGCGTCGAACGAGCGGATTTCGAAGGGGCTGTTAAAGGAATGGTACCGGTGTTCGTCGATCAAGGCTTGTATTGCGCCCAAGGGGTCTTCAAGAGCGAACCATCGACAGGACCAGGCGGCGTTGACGTATTTGGTCAAGAAGATGCATTTCGTGGAGCAGTGTCGACATTTCCCAGAGCATTACGGAGTCACGGTCCACCAGGACAAGGTCTGCCGGGAGAGGATACGGGCTTATAAGATCATGAAGGGTCTTGACCAGGAGACGGATTACCTCGAGGAGGAAGTTGAGGACGATGAAGAGGTGTAGCTTGGATTTTGTTCGAGAGTGAAAGGATGTTCTCTCGTTCCTTTTTTTCATGTCATTTCATTTCAATTTCAATTATCATACCCTAATGACACCCTCACAATCAAAGCAAACAAAACAAAGCAGCATGATGTCATTGCTCGTAGAGTGCGAGCAACAACAACTCATGTTTAGGATCATAATAAAACCTACAGGGAAGATAGAGAGGCGAGCATACTTTAAAGGCATTTACCGAGCATTTAATTTATTTGATGGGTTGGCTGTTGGAAATGAAAAGATGGGTAATAAGGAAGTTGGATAGATGGTAATAGAGGAACAGTTCTATGGTTGTTTGTCTGTGTCCTCGTGTTTCGCGTATGAGCGGAGTATAGTAGTGTGTAGTTTCAACAGGTATGTAGGTGAATAGGTGTGTAAGTGTGGCAAACGCTCATTTTGCGACTGGTAGAAAATTGCTCTCTGCAAATTAAACCAAGTACTTCTTTCCACTCTACTTGTGCGAAGATTTACCGCGAGAGTCCTCAATATCCCTCGCATTAAACCCCTGCAAGTCCACAAGAGCACGGAGCTGATCCAGCCCAATAGGGTAAGGATCATGCATCACGTTCCAAGCAACGTTCTCCGAGCATGGAGGGGTTGTCAAAGAACCCGAGTATTCCCATCGGGGTGTAAACCCCTTCAATACACGGACTAGCGGTTCGAAATCGACACTTGGCAGAGGGTAGTCGACTTTTGTGGCTTCCTCCGAGGTCGGTTGAATACCGGAGCAGATGCTATCCTTAAGAAGCTCTTCGAGTATGGCGCTAGTAGTTCCGGGGGAGGCGGTGACGGCGGAGTGCTTGTCAGCGTGAACCTTTTTCTGGAGGGCGGTGAGGTAGTGGAAGAAGGGGACGTTGCGGGCTTGGGCTCGGAGGAGGACGCCAATGACGGCTAGGGACTTGTCGACGGGGTTGCGGTGGACGAGGTGAAGCTCTGCATCTAAGGTGGATTGATATACGAGATAGTACGGGCGTGCAGGTAGGTAGATAGGGGGTAAGATCGAAAAGAGTTAGGTACATGGGAGATGCGTCAAAGTAGACAGATGCGTAGGATTAGCATTGGATAGATTGGGCTAGGGGGTCGATAGTTGCAATAGTCGACAGTCGAATGGTTCAGTCGAGCTGATGGAAGAGAAATAGGGCAATACAATTAAAGTATTGATGGGTAGACTGATGATTAGGGATTGGATGCGCAGCATCGGTGGTTGTGAAGGTGGTTGGTTATACCGAGGAAATTGCACTCACAGTACATCCACCTGGTACGTATTGTTTTAAGGTAACTTCTCCATCCCTTAACTTTGCTCCCCTCATTTCCATGCCACGCTCACCAAAATAATCGAATTTGTGCCTGTGGCCACCTGTCAGATTCGAGACAGGAAACCCTTGGGTCCATCTGTACACACAAGAAGAAAGAATCCCTCAAAGTAGCGGTTCTTGAAATAATTAAGGAAATGTTCTTTTTGTTCCTGGACACCACACACAACACATACACGAACTCGCAATATGCACGAAAAAGCGAAGGATCGATTGGAAAATGGTACAAGGGTTTTCTGTGGATAGGATGTTGTTGGGGATATGCAAGGTGCTGTTTTACATCCCCCTGCAGCCATTGTTCGTTTTTCTTCTCACACACGTACCCTCCCCACTCACACGCCCATAAAAAAACCACCCCCCACGACAAAAAACTTACCAGCATGGCGCCCATTGATACGATGCTCACTAGGGGTATGAAAATGGAATTGAATCAAATTATACTGCTTCTTGCCAATCGCAATCGAGTTATTATGCGTCTTCGCATCAGGTGTCCAATCAATCTCGACAGTATGGCCATTGAAATGGGCCACGGCATCCTTGACGGGTTTATAGTCAAAGGCAATAGCTTTCTTGGCACAGTGGACGAAGCGGGAGAGGGATTCCTTGTTGATGTCGATGGGGGATTGTTGCATGCCGGATTCGCAGGTCACGTAGGCGGGGTCGAGGAGGCCCCAGTGGTCTGGTCCGGTCTTGTCGCCGCTGTACTGTTTTGTCGTTTTTTGGTGTTTTTACGGGGAGATATGGAGAAGGTAAGGGGATAGAGGGAGAGCGGGTATTTGTTGGAGAAGGCAATCGGAAAAGACAAAAAGATGTAAAAGGTATTAGTGCCATGGAACTGACGGATTCAGAAACCCATGAACAAGCAAAAACTGAAGGGAGAAAGAAGGAGCTTGAAAAATACGTACATCCCAGTGGGGACCAGCGGCAGGGGCGCGCCTGACGATGGCATGGGCCGAGACGGCAGCGAACAAAGAGGAGGTGGCAATCACCACGCTAAGAATGAACTTCATTGTTATTGTTCTTGTTGTTGGTGGTGGTGGTGGTGGTGGTGATGGTGTTAAGCAGGGGAGGTGACGGTTGGTGGAGGTTGAAAAAAAAGGAGTGCAGATATGAATGCGAGTGTTTGCGTTTGTTTTTATGGGAGGTTGAGAAATAAGAAGAATAAAGTGAGAGGATGGTGGGAGGTGGAGGGTTCCTTTTAAATAGGGATTTTGGGCCTTTGGTTGTTGAATATTGTGTTTTTATTTTAATATTGGGCTCATACAGTGTGCGTGAACGCGTGTTTAGTGATTAACAATAAAGAAAACGTCCAGCGAAGAATAAAAGTGGGCTATCGGGTCTGCGGACAAGGTAGGGAGAAGAGGGGGCAGGGCATGGCAGGCGCGACCAGGGAATTCAGCCCACAAAGACAGAAAATGAAATCTAACGGGTCTAGGCAACAATGTTGAGCCAAAAATAATTAAAATATGCACGCAATAGGTTCATTTCTTTATGTCTTTTTTTTGGCGCTTGGATTGCGAGTTCTCATTTATCATGCGAGCATTATACCCCTGGAGGTCGACCAAGGCCCGGAGCTGCTCAAGACCGATGGGAAAGGGTTCATTCATTACATTCCATGAGACATGCTCCGAGCAAGGCGGGGTTGTCAATGAGCCGGAGTATTCCCAGCGGTTGGTGAAACCCTTGACGGTCTTGACCAATTGTGAGAAATCGACAGACTTTAGAGGCAAGTCGATGTGTGTCGCCTCTTCGTCCGCGGGGAGAACACCGGCGCAGACAATGCCGTCGACTGTCGGTGGGAGCTTCCACTTTTCTGCGGCCGCGGTTGTCGATCCAGCGTCGTTGGTGGTGGTAATGTTTGTGTCCTGTTTGTCATGATTGTTATCGATATTAATGTTGTTGTTGTTGTTGTTGTTGTTGTTGGAATTCTTGTCGAGAGTGTCGAGGACGATAGTCTCGACAATGTTCATGTTCACGTTGAAATCGACCTGATCCTCATCCTCCTCATCATCGCCATCAGCAAACTCGATAGAATCTGGGGAAGCGTCTTCAACAAAAGTATAGGGATTGTTGCTGAGACCATCCTTCAGTTGTTGTTCCTCGAAGTGTACGACAGGATGCTGAGCGCGGTCTTTTTTCTGGAGGGCGGTCAGGTACTTGAAGAAGGGGACGTTCTTAGCCTGGGCCTGGAGCAGAACACCAATGACTGCCAGCGACTGGTCGCTTGGGGATCGATGGACAAGGTGCAACTCGGCATCTATTCGTTTCGTTTGTTGGAGATATTCCCCATCCATTCGTGTACGATTCAAAACGACATTTGAAAATATAAAAAAAGAATCCCACGAACAATAGAAGAGAACGATTGAGAATAGAGTTAAAGTGGGAAGGACATTTTTTTGGTTTGCTTTGCCGTTCTGAACTGTACGTTTGTAGGTAGGGTCCATGGAACACGTTCTAGGTTTCCACTGTTTTGACTTTTGTGGTCGTTCGTCGAGCTCACTTGTTATTTTATTTTTTCTTCAGGTATCGTATCCAGGGATTCGATTCTCGACAAAACTTAAAAAACGAAATCCGATCTCATCCACTCATCGCCATCCAATTTGCACAGACGCACACAAGCACACAAGCGAAAACAAACAATAACACCTTCACACCCTCTTTTCGACACACAGCCATAACCAAATAAACTTATCTTATTATTACCTGCATGTCGCCCATTAATCCAATGTTCACTCGGAGTATGGAAATGGAACTGCACCAAGTTATACACCTTTTTGTCGATAATAATCGTGTTATTATGAGCATTCGAATTAGACGTCCAGTCAACCTCGACTGTATGTCCATTAAAATGAGCGACAACGTCCTTGAGAGGCTTGTAGTCGAATGTAAGAGCCTTGGACGCGCAGTTGACAAAACGAGAGAGGGTGTCGGCGTTGATGTCCACGGGGGATTGTTGCAGACCCTTGTCGCAGGTTACGTAGGCTGGGTCTAGAAGACTCCAATGACTTGGTCCCGCCTTGTCTGCGCCGTACTATTGACACGGAGATGGAGTGAAAGAGAGAATAAGAGTTAGTGGGTAAGGAAAGAGCATCGCCTGAGGTACATAGCCATGAACGTGCAAGATAGACAAGGTGAAAGCCCACGATTAAAAAAGGAGATAGAAGGCGAGAGAGACGGTAACAGATAATGAGGGTGTCAGGACGAGCGCATTGCAGCGCGCAGGCACAACATCAACAGCTACGTTGACATGCTCATCTACATCAGGGTTTGAGAAATCTGCGACTGGACAGTGAGGCTGTGCGCATGCGATCATGGTAAAAGACAAAAAAAGAAGCGCGCGGAGGTTTGACAGGTCGGCTGGTTTTGGAAGGATTGATAAAACGGGAAGAAAGGAGGGAGAAAGAGGTGGCTATGTGGGGGGATAAAAATACTTACGTCCCAATGAGAACCTGGACTTGCGCGCTTGGACAGGGGTTCGGCCGAAATAGTGGCAATGACAGAAGCTGCCGTTATAACTAAACTGAGCACGATCTTCATCGTAGTAGGATGGAGTATAAGAGATATAGAGTTAGAGCGCAAAAGAAAGGTTGAGGGGAAGAAAAGAGGTGGTAGAGAGTGAAAAGGTGGAGAGGAGGACGAAAATATCGGTAGCTTTTATAGAAAAGACGAATGGCAAAAGAAGAATGAGTTGACGGGTTAGAATGGGGAAATAATGAAATCGAGGAAGGGACGAGGTCGATTGTGTGTGTAGTATCACTGAACGACCAGAAAAGAGACATAAATGGAGGCAGAGTAGTGATAGCCAAAGAGATTGTCGCTTAATAATATTGTGTCGAGGAGCAACACAGAGCGCACCCCCTTCCACTTTGAAACTTTGAACCCCCTGTCCATTTTGTCCAAGTGTCGATTTTTCGCACTCTAAGGGGAAGGGATGGTGTGGAAATGGCAATGCGTCCCAGGTCTGTGAGAGAGTTTTTTAATATCCCTTGACGAGTTGTTTCTTCGTCGTCATACCCATTGCTAGGTGTGATAGCAAAGCCTAGAACGCGCGATGAGTAGCGAAAAAAATATTAAAAAGCCACGCAAACAACGCGCCGCCAATTTTCGATCAACAAACAAACAGTCCTTTGAGAGCGTTCGCGCTTGACCTCATAAACAACTCCAGGTACACTTGCTTTGTTTATTCTCTTACTTTTAACTCCTTACATCATCACCCAACCACCATCTGAACACACACCATGTCGACAGCAAGGGCAAAGTTGGTCATCAGGAAGCAAATCGTCAGGTCATTCAAGAAGCAACAGCTCACCCTGCAGGCCGATGCAATGACCTTTCTCGAAGACACCCTCGAAGCACAGAATGTACCTCCTGAGGACCTGAACGACACCCTCGACAACATCGTTTCCGGATATGTCGCTCGCGAAGGTAGGCAGGATGATTTAGTAGCGTTGAGACATGCAACTTACTGCAGAGGGACAACAATACTGACCTACAACAAACCAAACACCATGTCGCTCTAGGACTTAGTTTGGTCAGCAGGGCGAGACTGGAGATTGTCCTGGAGAGTATGCAAAAATGGACCCATCACTTGCACGAAAAGCCAACTCGAAATACGCTAGACCCTCACAAGTCGCAGCATGCCCTTTCACAGTCAACAAACCACTCTCCGTCACAGCGCCTCTACCAACACTCTCAGCAGCGACCTAACCCAGAGGACCTGGAGTCGATCGATTTGGACTCGATGCGTGACCGGATCCACGAGATGGAGGGCGAGCAGCATATGGGAGAACGGCAACAGTACGGCGAAAATGATCTTTTCATGGAGGAAACTCAAGACGGGATGTCACAGATGGAAGGACCTGCAGACGACGATGCAGACGATGTCGATATCACCGAGATGCTGCATGTCATTGACGCCTTTTCGATGCCTCGCTGGCGTTGGGCTTCAGACATCAAGACTTTCACCCGTGCTGAGTCATCCGCATCAACTAACCCACAGGAATCTGATGCCCAACGCAACGGTTCGACTCGCGCCGCCACTACTTCTAGCACCAACCACGTTCTCGGACAGGCAGAGGAAAAGACGGCCATGTTCAGGGCTCGGTATCATGTCTTGTTGCAACGAATCATGCGCAACGAGTGCTTTGCGCCACCTGTCTTCACGGGAGGAATGGAGCAAGACCGGTATCTTAAGCTGACACCCCTCAAGGCTCTCAAGGGACGGTGCGGCGAGAGGTTCTTGATGTTTGGAATGTTGGTCCAGATGGGTGACGGCAAGTACAGTCTGGAGGACGCGGATGATCGCGTTGAGCTTGTCATGGATCACAGCGTAAGTTTTCATTATCAATCGGTCAAGGACCCTGAACCAGAGTATGTGTTGCAAATGTCTCCAGCACTAATTGATGTTATCTTTGTTCCTAATTAATTAGCAAAACTCAGCGGGATTGTTCACGGAAAACTGCTTTGTCCTAGTAGAGGGACAATATACGGACGACAACGTTATTATTGTCGAAACGATTGGATTGCCTCCTCCAGAACTTCGCGATGAAACAAAGTACGTTGCGACTATATGGATGCCCAAACCGAACACCTCCATGCAGTTTAGTGATGAAAAATTGTCATTAACATATGGTTCACTTGCCTTGTGTCACCAGGAAGGTATTTGGAAATATCGACTTTTTGGGCGCACCTAGAGAAATGAGAAGCGAGGAACAGCTCAAGGTCATTGCACAGGAGTACGAGGACATCTCGTTTGTCATTCTCTCGGATATCTGGCTGGATCAGCCAAAGGTACATGATCTTTTCGACTGCGCCCAGATTTTTCTTTCACGCTGTGCACCATACCTCGAGGACGGCATTGACTGATTCCTTCCCTGATCCCCTTGGCCGTGTAGACGTTTGCTACGCTGCGGACTATCTTTGAAGGCTACTCGAATTCGACACTGCCTCTGGCGTTCATCATGTGCGGCAGCTTCAAGTCCCAGCCCTTCCTTTACAATGGACTCGAGTCAGGCCAGTACCGAGATGGCTTCAACACGCTTGCAGAATTAATTTCTGAGTTCCCCACCATGGCTACTTTCAGCTACTTCATCTTTGTCCCTGGCCCCAATGATCCTTGGGGTGCCAGCATTCTGCCTAGACCCAAGATTCCTGATTTCTATACTGCCAAGATCAGGTCCCTTGTGAAGCGATCCATCTTTTCTTCTAACCCATGCAGGTACATGCCAGTCAGTTGTCCTCGCGTTCTCAAGATCTGCTCTGGCTTAAGGCATTGGACGCGTACTGACAACGCCGTTGCGAACATCTGATGTGAAACGATAGAATCAAGTACTGTGACCAGGAGATCGTTATTTTCCGTGAGGACATTCTTAATCGACTTTTGCGCAACTGTATCGTGCCTCCTTGTGGCGATGTTGTTATCCAAAAGCAGCTCGTCAGAACCATCATTGATGGTGCTCACCTCTGCCCTCTGCCCCTCACAACGCGACAAGTCTCATGGGCTCATGACCATGCACTTCGAGTCTACCCTATCCCCGACGCTGTAAGTTTAACTCTGTCGAATGTTTCGTTTTATGGTAATTGTGATTCTTGGATACCAGAGGAGGACTTGAATGATTTGGTACGACAACTAAGCTCGCTTTCTACCCCTCTATGCCAACAGCTCATTTTGGCAGACAAGTTTGAGGCGTACAACTTCAAGTACCAGAACTGCCATTGCATGAACCCAGGAAGCTTCCCAACCAGCGATTACTCTTGGATGGTCTACTACCCAGCTAGCAAGCGCTCCGACATTTGGTGTGTATTCATTCCTCTGCATTCTCTTTGATGGTTTATTCGATGTTTCTCAAACGATGTTACTTGCAAATCATGACATTGACGCTACTGTCTTCTCTTCCTGCTCATTCATTCTAGCCAAATACCCAAGCCTGTGCGATAGTAATTGCTGTAATATTAAAAATCTTGCCATTTTTAAGAATGTTGAAATATCAAAGTCTAGGATCAGCCACAGGCTCAAAGGTACCCAATCAGAGAGGATAGGCACGAAATCCACATAAGGGGGGCAAAGCAAACAGCTTTGTACTTTTTGTTTCTTCTTTTTTACTCCATCCCGAACGCACTCTTCCACAACTCCCACTCCATACACACACTCCCACACAAACATCAACCATGTGCAAACACGTCCTCAACGTCCAGGTACAACCTCGCCTCCTGGAACAACAAAGGACCTTGACGGCAGTTTCGACTCATGAACAGGAACAGGAATCACTTGCCGAGGTTTGTTCAAAGGATGAAAGATCTCACAAACTAAGATGCTACCTCATCGTTATGCTTCATGGCTTGCGCCTTAGGCTTCCATCCGCGCCCCTTGCTGCAAACTATGGTTCGACTGTGCCGAATGCCATGGCGAGATCTCGGACCACCCCTTGAGAAAGACGACCGAGATGGTCTTTGGCTGCAAAAAGTGCAAAAAAGTCTTCCGCAAGGATATGGAGTACGTTTCTTTCTATCAGTTTAAAAAGAGCCACATTCCTCGGCTCTTTGTTTTTTTTAGGTGATTTGAAAAGTTATGGCTCGCTCACTCCCCCGTTCTTTTCCTTGTGTGCGTGCCAAATCATAGCCACTTTGAGGAGGAGGATGAGTACTGCCCACACTGCGACAACAAATACATTGTCGAGGCCAAGACGCCTCAGATGGCTATCTCTGTCGAGGGACATGACGAGAGGATGGGCGAGAGGTAAAAAAATGCATACAATGACTACTGTTTTACCACGCGGGATATTCTCATTCATTTTTTTTTCTGTGGACCCATTCATTGTTCATTGACATCCTTTTGCCTCTTCTTACCACGGATGATAGATTCGAGAAGGATATGCGGTTGAAGGAAGACACCTTGAAGACTGTCTTTGACATGAATTCAGATATCTCTCACAGAATGGGATAAGCAATTGGATCATTGACAAGAGGCAGGCTAGGATACACCGCAAGCATATAGAGAATCACAGTGGTCAACAATACAGCTCTCCTCAGATCTAATAATTAGTCCGCCGCCATTGCCAGGAGTTGCTCAGGAACCACGCTCATTGCTGATTACTACTCGATCCAACACCACCGACCAACTGTAAAAACTAAGGCTCAAATAAATATTTGCGAAGGAGAATGGCTATAATACAAGTGTCGTGTTGATGTTTTTATTCTATAGTTCCATTAGGAAACCTACTCTTTGATCTTGCGATCTCCAGCGCGTCCGAGATCATCCTCGGCCTGCTCGGCAAATCCAAAGGCCTTGGGGATCATGTATGTACGCTTCTTGGGTTCCTCGGGTTTCTCCAGCTCCTTGTAGGGTTCTGTTACAGTCTCATTTGCCTCTGCTCCTGCTCCTACTGTTGCGTTTAACTTGATATCCTTGTAAGAGAATCGGGGGGCTGCGACGAGTTCCTCGTCCTTTTGAGACACGTCGTATTCCGAGGGCATCTCGAAGCCGACCATCTTTGCGGTCTTGTCGACCTGCATGCCCTTCTCTTCGTCCCAGAACGCGGGGTTGTATCTCTCCACCAATTCCTAGAAGCGTCATTTTGTTTCGCAAGAGATGAGCGTTAGTGATACGTCGATCTATCCGGCGCAGCAGCATCAATTGACCACGTATTCTCGTTTTCAATTGATTTGATCCATTTTACATACCTTGTGGAGACGTTGGCTCTCGAGGTAAACGGCGAGATCTTCGCCATCAGTCTGAAGCTTCTGCAACTTTACAGGGTCGGATTCGTTGGCGTTCTTGCGGAAGGAATCCTTGAGAGCGTCAGTCCAGACCTTGTTGGAGTGGACGTTGATACCGAGGAGGCCCGTGCCAGTACGGAGCTCGTTGGGGTGAGTGTATTGAAGGTGCAATTCCTTGAGAATGCGTCTGAAGTGGGACAAGCTCTGGGAGCGTGCTGTTGCTGCTACTGATGCCATTGTTGCTGAGGCTGTGTGTCCAATGTTAGTTGAGCAAGTGATGCAAGAATGAATGAGTAAAGGCGACTTCAGGGACTGATCAACAAAGGGAGGCGATTAATAAGCCACCGCCACCTTTCTTGGAGAATTTAAGAGAGGAAATAAAGAGGTGTGTGGAGATGGAGGTTGGAAATAGTGAGATCCGGTGTCTATGTGGCCAATGGCTGGTCTCTCCGGGGACCCCTAATCCACACCCACGGATGCAGGCAGAGGGTCGAGAACACGATCTCGTTTTCTGCTTACTTGTTTCCCTCCCCACGCCGTTTTCATAGATTGGCATTTTCAACTTCTTCTCCTCACTCCGGAGGAGCGGGACAAAAGGGAGTCCGGCTGCGGGTTCTTCTTTTACTTGTGCCCTGCCATTGATTGACCTTGTCCCTGATGACTGGTCAAACGAAGGAAATATATTATATATCACAGTGTGAATTGAATGTGATCAGAGTTGCTCTCGATCTCTTCTTTCCTTCGGTCTTTATTCTCCCTGTTCCCTTTGTTTGTTTCCTTTCCTTCCTTCCCTTCTTCCCTCCACCCTTTCTCTCCTCTCTTCTCTTCTCATTCCTTCTTCCTCGCCTCATTCCTTCCTCTCCCTCTTCCACTTCTCGTTGCATTCCTTCCCACTCCTCCTCTGTCTTCTACTTTCCCTCCTCACTTTTATTTGAAACTTAGCCATCATGCCCCACTTCGTCAAATTCAACTTGGACAAGCAGAGTATTGAGGTCCCCGGCACCCGCACCCCCGGTGCCACAGGCAAGTCTTCTTCCTCCTCCACATTTTATGCTCTTACTCCTCCTTCCTTGTCCCGTGTTCCCTCCTTCCTTCTCCACTCGATCGCTTCACATTTTTTTCATCCACCGCCACCTCCTTCCTCTCGCATGGAGACACCGATACGGTCCACTCGAGACTCGCCAATTGTAACGGCGACAGAGACTTGATCTCCCGCGCGCCTCAACCCTCTCCTTGCAAGTTCGCTAACTTTCTGGCTCCTCTTCCTGTATTCTTACAACCATCAATTGGCATCCACAACAGGTCACTATAGACATGCCGCCTATGCTGATGCCCTGGTCAACAATATCCGCGATGCCCCTCACATCCAGACCCTCTACGATATGTGGCAGAACTGTAAGTCGTCTCTCTCTCTTCCTTCGATTCAACTGGACCCCGCACCCTGTCTTGTTTGTCACACACAATGAAGAGCTCAAAACTTACAAACTTCTTTTTCTTCTTTGATGATCGACAACTCTTCCTTTGTGGTGCTATAATGCTCCAGCGGTGACAAAGTATGCCGACAATGACTTCTTAGGCCACCGCCCCTTCAACACCGTTGCCCAGACCTATGGCGGCTACACCTGGGAGACCTACCGTCAGATCAACCAGCGCGTCAATGCCTTTGGAAGCGGAATCATGCACTTGAACGAGGTTCTCCTGGGCAACGAGCAGCTCAACCGCTGGTCGCTCGGAATCTGGTCGCACGGTCGCCCCGAGTGGTTCATTACCGAGATGAGCTGCAACACCTACAATCTGGTTTCTGTTGCGCTTTATGATACCCTGGGTGCCGATGCTGTCGAGTACATTGTCAACCACGCCGACATCCAAATTGTCGTCTCAAGCGGTAAGGGAACAGACTGTGAATAACACACATACACACGCAACCCACGTGAAATTTGTCCTTTTTCTCAATTGTTGTGGATACATTTTTTATGTAGTGACTGTTCCAACGAGAACAAGGAGAACTCATACTTCGTGCCTTAATGCATTAATTTATAGCCAACCATATCGCGGCGATGCTCGAGAATGCTGACAAGTTGCCACAGTTGAGGGCCATCGTCAGCATGGACTCGCTCCACGACACCGTCCCCGTCCCCGGCGCAACCTCTGCCTCCCAGGTCCTTCGCGCCTGGGGTGCCGAAAAGGGCATCAAGGTCTACGACTTCCACGAGATCGAGAACCTCGGCAAGGAGTTCCCCCGCAAGCACATCCCTCCCCAGGCTGACGAGGGTACTTTTTATACCAATTGATGTTACTCATTCTACCGCTCCTTGTTTTTTTTCCACTTCTGACTTGATCCTAACCTTGACCTACCATTGTATGCTCCTGATGATATTAGTTGCTTCGCTCTGCTATACCTCCGGAACCACCGGCAAGCCTGTATGTTTACTTGTCAAGGAAATTGGTTTAGGACTCTTGTGTATGACCACCTTGTGTGAACTATGATTTTAACGCGTCAATTGTCTTTGTCTGATTAATAGAAAGGCGCCATGTTGACCCACAAGAACTTTGTCGCTACTGTCGGCACCAACCGCGAGGGCATGATCTTCACCGAGGACGATGTCTTGATCAGGTACGAGCGCGATCCTTGAGTAACACAGTGTCAATTCGACTCATGATATGGGTGCAGAAGAATTTATTGATTAACAATTCGTTCCTTAAATGATAGTTTCTTGCCCCTTGCTCACATCATGGGACGTGTCATTGATACTTGCTCCATGCATGCCGGAGGCAAGATTGGTTACTTCAGGTACGCTTCTTCTTTTCATTCCTGTTTCAATACGTTGTCAATATGCTTACCATACAACAATGACTGATCTTTTTTTTAACGCGTGTTCGAATTCGAATCCACATTATAGAGGAGACATTCTATTGTTGCTCGAGGACGTCGGTGAGCTCCGCCCCACTTTCTTCCCTGCTGTCCCCCGTCTCTTGAACCGCATTTACGCCAAGTTGGTTGCTTCGACCATCGAAGCTCCCGGTTTGGTCGGTGCCCTGGCTCGTCGCGGTGTTGCAACCAAGATGGCCAACTTGGCTGCCGGCAAGGGTGTCAACCACGCTCTTTGGGACCGTCTCTTGTTCAACAAGGTCAAGATGGCTCTTGGTGGTCGTGTCCAGGTCATTTTGACTGGATCTGCCCCCATTGCCAAGGAGGTCTTGAGCTTCTTGAGAATCGCCTTTGGATGTGTCGTCCTGGAGGGATATGGATCTACTGAGGGCATGGCCACCGCCACTATCACCATGCCTGAGTAAGTGTTCTGTTTATCTCATGCCCTTGTTTCATATCTTAGGAGTGTGCCCGCTCCTTTTGTATGACGACTGACAAACACATACTCTGTACTTTTAATCATCGTTTTTAGTGAGTTCATTCCTGGACACATTGGAAACCCAAGAGCTGGATGCGAGATCAAGCTGGTGGATGTACCCGACATGAACTACCGCTCGACCGATCAGCCCTTCCCTCGTGGAGAGATCTGGATCCGTGGAGACACTGTCTTCAAGGGCTACTTCAAGGACGAGCAAAACACCAAGGATACGATTGACTCTGAGGGCTGGCTCGCTTCTGGCGATATTGGATTCATTGACAACCGTGGATGCTTCACCATTATCGACCGCAAGAAGAACATCTTCAAGCTGGCCCAGGGAGAGTACATTGCCCCCGAGAAGTTGGAGAACGTCTTGGGAGCACGCTGCAACCTCGTCCAGCAGATCTACGTCCACGGAGATTCCTTGGAGTCGACCCTTGTCGCCATTGTTGTTCCCGAGCCCGAGACTTTTGTTCCCTTTGCCAACGCCATCACCGGCGCCTCGGTGACGGTGACGGATGCTGAGGGTATCAGTAAGTTGTGCAAGGATCCCAAGGTTGTCATTGCGGTGACCAAGGAACTTGAGAAGGCAGGAAAGGCGGGTGCGTTCCGTGGATTTGAGTTTGCCAAGCGCGTCTTCTTGACCACGGATGCGTTCTCGGTCGACAATGAAATGATGACGCCTACCTTTAAGGTCCGTCGTCCCCAGGTTGCCGAGTACTTTAGACAGCAGATCAAGGACATGTATGAGGATATTCATAACACCACCCCTGTTGCCAAGTTGTAAATAGTCTTTGTTTTTTTTTCTTCTCTTTCTTTCATATACGGCTATTATTAAAATGCAAAGACAATCTAAGTTTCTCCACATTGCTTGGTTGTTGCGCCAAACGTGGTTTTCTTGTCAGCTCAAAGTGACAAAACAACGTTGTGTTGTTGTTGTTGTGCACAGCATTATTTTTTTGCATTGTGTTCACATACATAACACAACCTTGCAAGGTATATTCAAGAAAAGAAAAAAGATACAACAGCTTACATAAAAGTTCGAGGTTTGTAAGGATAAACAATATCCCATGCCGCGCGCCACTGCCTATTCCTCATTGTGTCTACAGGACCATGGATCCCATAACTCGCCGGCCAGAACCAAATAAATGTAATCGTCACCGCGGCAAACGCTACCCCCCAGACCAAGGTCTTTACGAACGGACGGTGTTGGGCGAGGCGATGGAGGAGGTGGTCGATGAGGAAGGCGTGGAGGAGGATGGTGAAGTAGAGGGCGGGGAAGTAGTGGTGGAGGTACATGACGCGGCCCATGATGAAGGAAGGGAGGTAGTGGAGGATCCAGCCTCCGAGGGTTATTTTTCCGATGAATTTGAATTGGTCCCATTCTTGGTCTGTCATTTTGGTGGATATGGAGGTAGTGGATGAAGGTTGAAGGCTTTGGTGTTCCTGTGCAACGTCGTTCTCCTGTTCCTGATCCTGCTGTTGTTGTTGTTCCTGTTCAAGCAACAGCTGCTGCTGCCGATCCCTCACAATATTATAATACGCGAGCATGCACACAAAGATACCTAGCGACATGGTTCCACTCCACCAGACGATAGGGTTTCCGAGGAGGTAGATCTTGATATTGTTATCGAACCATCCGTTCATCCTGGTTCCGATCGCCAAGAAGGGCCACTGACTGGGGAGAGAGGTGATGGGGTCGTCCTTGTCTGGATCCTGGGTAAGTCCGCTGTTGTATTTCATCATGGCGACGTTGAGATAGATAAAGTCTTGCCAGAAGTTTGACTTGTACTGCATTGGTTCTGGTGCCGGAACTAAGAGAGGGGTGTAAGTATTGCGAGAGAAAAGGGGTTGGTTTAGTTTTTGTACTGCTTGTTTGCTTCAGAAAGGATCCCTTTTCTTCTGTTCAAGATAAAAACTTACGGCGGTGGTTCCGGTGGCGCTCGATATTCCAAATAGAATTGAGGTTCCCCGGTTTACTCGACTGATCACAGTACACCTCAACTTGCCTAAACCCCAACTCTGGCAACGGCATCATCCCCGTCGTCAACAAACACCTCAAAATCCGATGCCTCAACAAGAACTTGGTCGTCAAAGACCTCAACGTCCCATCCTGGGGCAACCTCGAATCCTCCCCAACAACCTCGACCACCCACTCATCATACCCATCCCCTTGGTTCCAATACCCATACCCACTGACCTCGAGTTGTGTTGTCGTCACGGGGGCGCGGATCCGGTGCGTGTGCAAGTTCCTCCCCGTGGTCTTATGTACCAGTCGGAGAATATCGCCGCTCTTCAAGATCTGCAAGTGCTCGTTATTATTGTTGGGCGGGTTATTCAGATGATGAACTGCCTTATCCCGCGACCGTGTCAGAATCCACTCATTATTTCGATCCTTGTGATGGTAAGTCGTCACTTGCTGCTGTTTCGACCCCTGCGGGTACGTCTGGACGTGAGAATGCAACAACCCGCCACCATGGGCCGAGGATTTGATAGTGACCAAGGAGCCGTAAGCGACTTCGAGTGGGTTTTTGGAGAAGTCGGAGCCGTTGAGGTTTGCTTGGAAGAGGGAGGGCATGTAGGCGTCACCTGGGCCGGTATTGGAGAGGATGTGGAAGTGGGCGATGAAGCAGGAGATGTAGATTGTTGTTGGGAGGGCGATTAGAAGGATTGAGCGGGCTACCCAGTGCATCACGTAGGTTGCCTATTTGGTCATAAAAAGGGTAAAAACGCGTATGAAATGATGAGCTCCTTTTTGCTGAAAGAAAGATGTTCGACTTGAAAGTGTTGAAGATGCACGCGTTTCGATGAGTTACCATGGTCATGTGCAAGTCGCCGAGGAGGTCCCAGAGATCCTCAACCGTGTACTAAAATGTATAGAGAAAACAAGTTAGGGTTAGCAAAGACGCAGCTAGGTAAATAGACGCAACATAAAAAAAGAAGAAAAAGAAGAAAAAAATATATACTTGCAAGACCAACGAGGGCAGTGACGAAAAAGCCGACCCACTTCATACTCGACACGACGCCGATACCGACTCCCATCATCGACAACCACATCCACCACTTCGCCGAGAACGCGCTATAATGAATGGAAAAGGGCCACAGATAAAGGGTTGTTAGTGCAGTCATCAACCTTTTGCGTACATAATGCATAGTACTCCACCACGCATGCATACATCAAAATATGACCTTTCTTTCTATCTCCTCCCTCCATATGCCTTCGTTTTGAGAGAGCAAAGCAACATACCGATCCCTCAAATTCCTGAACTTGGCCAAACACAACACAACAAAACAAATCGAACTCAACAGCATAGAGTCGAGCAAGATATATCGACTGATCACCAAATAGGCATTATCCATCAACACCATCGCCGCCGCAAACGTCGACGCCGTCCGGGACATATGCAACTCTCTCGCTGTCCAAAACGCCAGCGGAACCATGACGACTCCAAAAGTCGCATTGAAGAGTCGCATGAAGCGGTAGTTGATGTCGGGGTAGTTGGCGCCAGGTTCAAAATCAAAGGAGCCGTCGTATCCGGCTAAGATCCCTGAGAGGCCGATGAGCATCTTTGCGAGTGGTGGGTGGACGTCGAAGTAGTGCTCTCTTTTGATGTAAAACGATCCGAACTATGGTGGTAGAAAGGGGAGGTAGACAAAGATGAAAGCGTAAGTTTTGTGATTCAGGTTGAGGATAAACGCGAACGAACAGGATCCTTCTGTAAACAGTACCTTGCCAAAGTGAGCCTTTACAAACGAGAACCAGATCAAGTACGAAGCGAGAACAATGAGTTAGTTTGACAGATACGCCTTGGCATGACCTTTCGGAAGAGATGCAGCTAACTGTCAATCAAACACCATTGTAGTTACCTCGTCCCAGATGACGTTGTTGGTTGAGAGAATATCGCGATACCGCGTCCAGGCGGAGAGTCCAGTCAAGACAAAAGTGAGGACCGTGGAACTGTACGCCTCCACGATACGCGCCAACTAAAAAAATCCCGTGAAGAGTGATGATTGATCAGATCAAATCCAGGTATGATCGGTTGGTTTCACAGATGAGAACGTGTGAGAAACTAGCTGTTCCTTACCTTTCTCTTGTCACTGCCCCTGTTATCTGCCTTCAAGGAAGTATGTTGATGTTGTTTGATTTGGCCTTGAAGGTCCAGTTTGTGCGGTTTCACTGGATAGTCGTCGTCAATCTGTGCCAGTGAGCTTGTTGTCCATGTCCGCTCTTCTTCCACCACACGCGCCATTTGTTGAGTGTACCGGTAGCGGAGCTCACTTGTCATTTTTGTTGTGTCCTTGTCACTGTTCAACCTGATCTTCTTGTTCCTGTCTCCGGCTGTGCCTCAAGAAATGTTGTGCAAAGGTAGTCGTACGAAAGGAAGTGCGACAAAAAAAAGTGAGAAAAGAGAATGGCGAATGAGTAAGGAGAAAAGGAATGGAGAAGACGATTAAGGGAGTAAGAGTCTTCTTGCAGCTTTTGTCATCCTATTCTTTCTCTGTTCTGTTCTCCCTTTTCCTCTTCTCAAGAAAATAGGAGATTCTCTCCATCAAAGAATGCACTCTATTGTATAGATATTCCTCTCTTCTTTTGACAAGTCTGTCTTCCAGAGTAAAAAAAAAATAGGGAAGTGGAAGGGGCATGAGAAAAACAACCAGGCTGTCATGAAAATAGAAGAGGGGTATCATTTAAGAAAAGGGGCGGGAAAGGACATTCTTTGTGTACTCATTCATCCCTTTCTCGCCTTTCGTAAGATAATAGACCTTTGCCACACTCGCCCTTTGACATATACTTGAGCAGTAATATTTTCTTTTCAACTGTTCTTTTTATTCAATGATATTACAATGATAAACTACGCGAACATCCATTAAGCTACGAGCAGCTTGTACCTTACCTTGGAACCCGATCAACACGACGCCATCCAGACATTTGATTGTCCTTGACATTCTAGGACTGCACATTGCCAACAAATAACAAAGACGCGAACTGGTTAGATATTTGTGTACAGTGGCATCAAAGGGAGCAATGAGATTTGTAGGACATTGTGTGTGTGAAGCATTAAAAGGTCAGAAGGAAGGCAACAAAAATCTCAACATTATATGTTTAGACGTGGAAAAATCCTGTAATCATCATCCAAAGTATGAATCTGCACACACGCGTCCTGAGTGGAAGGGTAAGGAGAAAAGAGGAAATAAAAGGGATTGGAAACTCACCATTGGGAAAAAAAAGAGGCAATTGGAGCGGATCAAATCACATCCGGATAAAACGTGCTAACTGAACGAGTTCAAAGAAAGATACAAATGATTTGTTAGAAACCAATAAACATCTCAAATTTACAGTGGATGTGAAGTAACATTGCGGAGGTGGTTTGATATCGAGGTCAGAAGGAAGGCAACAAAAATCTCAACATAATATGTTTAGACGTGGAAAAATCCTGTAATCATCATCCAAGATAGAAGGTAAACAAGTGTGCAATTGAACACGTTTCGCGCGTTCATTATTTCAAAAGCAGAATACTTACAAGTGCCAGTAGGAAAGAGACACCACTCGGCGACCAGTTTTAGTGATCAAGATGGCGATCTGAAAAACACGACGGTCGAGGGTTTTGGAGATGGTGATGGATGGAGGATGAAGAGAAAGAAAAAAATTTGCGCGTAGAAAAAAAACAACAAGTAGGCAATGATCACATGATGAGGACTGACAGAGATCGTAAGTGCTGCAATTCCACACAAACAAAAAGTGGTTCCTGGGCGACCGAGCATTGCTATCGACACCACCCACGCTCTTCTTTTTTCAATTGAACATGGAAGCTCCGCCGAAAGACACAAGGGGAAGAAAGGACGGGGCGGAGATACAGTTGCGTTTGTTGCTTTTTCTCTTGTCTTTCCATGTGTCGTCAGTTGCACAATCTAACGGTGTACATGTACGTGAATTGAATGTGTGCGATAAGATTTCCAGTCAGGAGCGCAGGGGAGTTTGTCAGGTCAAGTCAGGCTTTATTTGCCGACCGGAGATGAAGAAAAAAGTATGTGACGAGGGAGGGAGGAGGGGAGGAGCCAGGCCCAGTCCGGGCAGGCTCGGCGGATCACACTCTTGTGTCAATGAATTTTGTTTGGCTGCTGAGGGTCAAAGGGTGTCCAGGTGCATGGGGACAGCCAATTGAGAGTGTATAAGCCATACCACTGCACTGGCCGGTTTGTGACAGAGGTAATAGGCAGCAACGAGCTATAACCCATTGGGCATGGGCATGGGCATTGGCATTGTCTATCTCCTTGTGCAGTATGGGAAGTATGCTGTGGGTTGACGAGCGACAGCATAAACAACAACAACAACAACAAAAAGTCATTCGCCTTGTCCCCTTTCATGCCATGTCTGTGTACAGTACTGCGTTTTTTTCTGTACGCCCTTTGTGTGTGTGCTTATTTTTATTTATTTTTTCGTCTCTTTCTTTTTTTTGTGTTGTTGGTTTTTTCCTTCCCTTCTCTTTCTTTTCTTTTTCCCTTTGTCCATCTCCGCTCTTCCCTCCCTCCTATCCTTCACCCCTCTCTTTCACAGCAACCCTTCTTTCTGTCCACCCACAGTTACAGTTGACACACCCTCCCTCTCTTTCCGACATCATACTCCCATCACACTTCTCTTCTTCTTGCTCTGATCTCACCTTCTCCCGGCTGTAACATCCTTTTCCCATCCAACACTTTCTTTTGGTATGTTGCCCTTCCCTCATCCAAAGTCAAAGGAGGGATATGAAATAACCTTACTTCCTTCAACCACCACACCCAGGACAGGACGGCCACCTTGTCCCGCTTACCATACAGTGACAGGACAATCACACTCACACATACATATATATATCGCAGTGGCAGGGGATCACCCGTGGAAGAACACATCTGCCTTCCTCCCCCCATCCCATTCTTTCATCCCCCTACAGTTTCACTCACTCATTGTAATCGACCTCGAACTCGATCTGGAAGAATCGATCTCACTCACCCTCATCGAAATCAGCTGTACCCTCTTCTTCCGCGGACCTTTTTGCCCATGCACTGTTCCCTTTTTGCGAGTCTTGTTTTTCTTTAACCAACCACGACCTTTCACCTTGCGCAAAGTGAGCGGACCGAACTTGCTCAGCCTTTGCTCCTCATTGACGTCGCGACAATACAATACAAACTACATATCCTTACGCACATACATACACACACAAATCTGTACCTTGGACCTCCCTCTTCTTTTCTCTCTCTCCTTCTCTCTTCTTTCTCTCTTTCTCTCCTCTCCCGCCTTGCCACGATCCAATTGCTTCCCCTTTGCTTCTTGAGATTCATATCACAAACCATACCGTCCGACTCTTTCGCTCTCTCGCTCACCCTTTCTAACATAAAGCAAACACCTGTTTGACCCTTGTGCCTATCCACGATTCCTTAGAAACCACTCCGCAGGTCTGACTCCGGAACCAAAAAAACCCTGGATATTGCCTAATGCCCCCAGAGCCCTCTGGCCCTTCAAGGAACTACCAGCCATCCATGCGCGACTCCCGCAGCCCTGCCAAACCCATTGAACCACCCTCCTCTTCCACCATGGCCATGAAGCCCCACTACAGGGCTGTCGATCTTGCCCCGAGCAACACCGATGAAATCCTCCTGCAGCGCCACTTCAGTTCCGGTGCAGGAGCTGTCGGTTCAACGCAGGCAGATTCTGACGCAACCACCAGCCGCACTCTCGCCGTCGATGCAACTGAGGATCCTGAGGTGGTACGTTGATAGCAAGTGATGCAATAAGTGCCTTCTAGATACCAAAGGAAGATATGGTTCCTTGCCCTATCAAGGCCCTTGAGCGCGCATCTTTGTTTGCAAGAAGCTAACATTTCTACTTTTCTGTGGGGCTCAATGGTATTAGGCGGCTAAGCTGGAGCAGAAGCGTCTCGAGCACGAACGACAGCGCAACCTCAAGCGTGAGCTCTTTGAGAAGCAGATGCAGCAATTAGAGATGCAGCAGTTGAAGGAAGAGCAAGACATGCTTGCCAGCAAGAACAAGACAGGGCCCATCGGCTCCAACTCGTCGGCGGACTTGTCCAAGGGATCTGTCAGCTCTCAGTCGGTTTCAAGACGTAGCTCAGATGGCGAATCGGACCTCTGGGGAGGCATGGCAAAACTGTCCATTGGCGCTGAGAAGCGCTCTGGAGAGTAAGTGTTTAGTATTGACAAATGTTTACGAAGCAGGTCGATGTAGTTTTGATGAGCGCGATGATTAATGAACCTTGCCTTGCGTATATTTTTGGTAGAGTGTCCACGATCGGAAGACCAGGAACTGCCAAGGAGGAGAACAAGACTGCTTCAGAGTCAGCTTTCGATGTGAACCCCCACATGTCCCAGTTCTCTGAGCGATTCATTTTTGACGATGACAGCACCAGTGGATCCAGCGCTCGTTTATCGTCCCTCCAGCGCAATATCTGGGACGATCAGCAGGGCCTCGGGAACGTCCCTTCTGCACTAGGAAGCTCGTCGTACTTGCCTCGCTATCTCCAAATGGGTGGTGATGATGATGACGCCTTCCCTACGATGGTATGTTTATGTCGTGTTTGTATCTTCATGGATGTTTCGCCTTAAAGTGAACTTGCCTGTTGACACCTAGATTATTATTTACATTTGTCTATTATAGCGTCCTGCCTCTTCGACTGCATTGGACTTGGGCCAAATTTCGCACAAGACGAACGGTTTGAACGGAGCTCCTGAATGGCCCCAGTTCAATAATGCGCTCTCCTCGAACGGCGACCGCGTTTCCTCAGTCTCGCAGCATAGCAGTGGTCTTATCGGATTTGGTGGAATTGGAGGTTCCAAGGATTCTATCAGCTCAGGCATGCCCAAGCTCACAACCTCCTACTCGACCTCCGATGTCAATACTCGATTCAGCAAGACATCCTCGCTCGCCTCCTTCGACGGTCTGTCTGACACCGATCACCACCTGTTGATCAAGTCTGACCTTGGCTCGAGTGATATCTGCCTTCAATTCCAGCAGGGAACCTGCCCTCGTGGAGACATGTGCCCGTACATTCACTCGCCTCCTGTTTCGTCGACCGCGCGTTCGTCTGTTTCGATGCCGCTTAGCCCTGGCCTTACGATGTCCATGAGTGGACAGGCGAATGGAGCCGGCTCTGCCTCGTTCTATGCGCGTATGAGTGGAGTCAGCGGCGGCGAATCCTTGAAAGGACTCGCGAACGGCGGCGGTTTCCCTTTCAATTCGGTTTCAAACGGGAACGCTTTTGATCTTGCCACGCCTGGAGGCAACAATGTGTTCAGGATGCAGCAGCAGCAACAACAACAACAACAACAACAACAACAACAGCAACAGCAGCAGCAACAGCAACAACAGCAGCAACAGCAGCAACAGCAGCAGGCCAATGCCGCCAACGTTTCCAGGAGCATGCAGAAGAGACAGGCGGCTGACCAGGAAGCCAACCGATTCGCTGGAGCCATGCTCGAGAGCTTTGTTGGTCAAATTTACTCGTTGTGCAAGGACCAACATGGATGCCGCTATCTTCAGAAGAAGCTGGAGGAGCAGAACGAGGCTTATTTGGCAATCATCTTTGGTGAGGTCTTCGGCCACTTTGTTGAGCTCATGACTGGTAAGTTCGTACTGCGAGTGTAATGTGCATATTTTTATATGTGTATTTAAAAAGGCGGGATGATTAATTATAATGCCTTTTATCTTTTAGACCCATTCGGCAACTATCTTTGCCAGAAGCTCCTCGAGTTCTGTGGCGATGAGCAGCGTACGATCATTGTGGAGACTGTAGCGCCGGAGCTGGTCAACATTTCCTTGAACATGCACGGCACCAGAGCTGTTCAAAAGATGATCGAGTTCCTGTCGACTCCCCAGCAGATTGCGATTGTGGTCGTCGCTTTGAACCCCAGTGTCGTGACTCTGATCAAAGACTTGAACGGAAACCACGTCATCCAAAAGTGCTTGAACCGCCTGGCTTCGGAGGACAACCAGTTCATCTACAACGCTATCAGCGCTCACTGTAACGAGGTCGCGACCCATCGTCATGGATGCTGCGTGTTGCAGCGATGCATCGACCACGCGTCGGTCTCCCAGAAGATTCAGCTCGTCCGCGAAATCACCTATAACGCCCTTGCTCTTGTTCAGGATCCCTTTGGCAACTATGTTGTCCAGTATGTCTTGGATCTTGCCGACAACCGTTTCACTGATGCTCTCATCCGCCGCTTCATCGGAAACGTCTGTGCCCTTGCTGTCCAAAAGTTTAGTTCCAATGTCATGGAGAAGGTTCGTTACATTGCTTCGCGAGCAGAGATATGTTCATGAAAGCCGTACGAAAGTGATATGGGAACATTTGAGGCCACCTCACGTTTATTTCTATCTAACGTAACATTTGTTTTGTCTTCCATCAATTATACGTTTAACTTTGTAGTGCATTCGTGTGGCTGAACCTGACACTCGCAAGTTCCTCATTGAGGAGATGATCAACAAGACGCGCTTGGACAAGCTTCTGCGGGATTCTTATGCCAACTATGTTGTCCAGACGTCGTTGGACTTTGCTGACCCCATCCAGCGTACTCAGTTGGTCGAGTGCATTCGACCCTTGCTCCCAGCCATCCGCAACACGCCCTATGGCAAGCGCATTCAGAGCAAGCTTCACCGCGACCAGATGACATCGGTCGGCCAACTCAACCACATGAGCATGAACGGCATGGGAGGCATGAACGCGATGGTGGGCATGAACGGCATGAACGGTATGGCCGGGATGAACGGCATGGGCACAATGAACGGCATGGGAGGCATGAACAGTATCAACGGGATGCCCAGCAGCATGACGATGAGCATGGCAAGTATGGCCAACACTATGAGCGGGATGCCCATGGGCCATATGCAGAACATGAACATGATGAACGGCATGCCTGGCGCTATGAACGGTGGCGCCATGAGCGGCATGATGGGCAACAACATGAACAACACCATGGGCAACATGATGAACGGCAATATGGCCGGCAACATGGGAGGAAACATGGGAGGAAACATGGGTGGCAATATGAACGGCAACATGAACGGTATGGGAGGCATGAACGGCATGCACAACAACATCAATGGCAACATGATGGGCTACAACCTGCAGGGGATGAACCACTTTGGCAACGCGAACATGGTTGGTATGAACGACTACAACCAGTACTACATGTGAGCGGGGCTAAGGAAGGCGTGCTCCTGGACGAGGACAAGGACCATCGCTTTCATCATCGAATCTCTATTTTGGCGAGGCGGCGACTGCGATACCTTTCTCGTTGTCACTTTTATTTTATATTTTGCTTTCAACTCTGCAACTGTGCCCTTTGCTCTGTTGCGAGCTTCTTTCTTTTTTGATAATTCCTTTTGCATTCCCTTTCTATATTCTTTATCTTCGCGTTTCTTTTTCTTTTATCACCTCCCCTCTCCCTCCTTTGGTTTTGTAAAAATGTACACTATCTTGTAAGTGGTATGGATCCCACGCAGCTTTACATCCCCTCTTTCTTCTCTAGTTCTCTTTTTTTTTCAGATCAAGCTTATTTTTTTTTTCACCCACGTACTTTTACTCTCCATAACCAACATTCATTCACTTTTCTATATGTTTTATTATCAATTCTCCTTTTTCACTTTTTTACATTATCGTTCTTGTGTACGGAATAAAAGAAATCCTGTATTTTTCTCCTGTAATCAACAGCCACGGCAGCAGCTGCTGCAAAAGGCCGAGTACGCAGTGCTTGTACAATGAAGAAAAAAGATGGCTGAAGGTCAATGACCAACGCGACGCGTCAAAAAAATGTACTTGTCAGAAGAGAGTGAGACAGCGAGAGGAATGAGCGTGTGATTGATGGCTATTTCGCGTAAAAATCCTGGGTAAGGGGTGGGGAGGTGAGTTTGAATAAAGATAAGACTTAGACTCTTGGCATTTGTGGCCTTCTGCTGTTGCCAAGTCTGAAGTCTTTGATGTTTTTTCTTGGCTTTGATGGATCCATATGTCTTCGCCTCTCTTTGATAATTCAAAATGAACGACGGAGAGTGGTTGAGAAGGTGAGGGCTGGCTGTATGTCTGTATTACCTTGTTTTGGGTCAGCCCGTCCGATGCCAAGGGGCTCATATTTTATTATTTTCCTTTGCTGAAGAAGCATCTTCTCTTCAATACTTGCGTCAAAACTGTCAATCATCCCCCTGACGATCTTTCAGGTAATGCTGAGCTAGCGGGGAATAAAAGTAGATTTCTTGGAAGTTGAGAGGAATAAAGAAAAAAGCCTGTCGAAATGCTTGGCACCCAAGTGTTGGATTGGAGACGGGGGGGAAGGGGGGATTTGCCAAGACTTTCGACTGCTTCGTGCGCTTCCATGCATTCGCCTTTGTTTCGTTCTGGCGGATGAGAAATCATTTGCATTTTATTTATTGTTCGTCGCGTCTGTGGCCTACGTGAATGATTGGTGGTTAAGACTGAGAAGGTTGTTTGTGTCAGTTACTGATGGGCGAAGGAGGGAGGGGAGTGAAGGGAACAACATACCAGTTCGTGTTTTGTCTGAACCCCACTGCTTCTCTCAAGGATCCAAGAACACAAGGGGGGGAAAATCATCGGCAGAATGATTTATTCTCTCGGCGAAGGTATGTTCCTTGAAGCGTAGTGCTCAAATAAAACTGAATAGACAAAGAGAAGCAAAAAATTTCGACCCTATCCCATTCCCTTAAGGTGGGTGCCAAGGATGCCAATACTTCTGTGCCAAGAGAATCGGTCTTTCGCCAAGACAAAAATAAATAAAAAAATAAAAAAAACTTAAACAGATTGGACCCTGGCTTGGTATTTCCCCTGTAACCCCATCCCATACCCCATTCTCACCGAAAAAAAGCACTCAAGCCTGCCTCTCTTTTGCTCTCTTCTCCGCCCCCCCTTTTTCCCGTCATTCCTTTTGTTCTTTCTCGAACTATGTCTGCAAAATACACGCGAAAGAGTATACCCGCCTTGCTGTTAACAAAGGCGGGTAAGAAGAGAGGAGAGAGCTTTGGGCTTTTGTCGATTGGTTAGCATGTCTTGCGCGTATGCGTATGTGTGCGTATGTGTGCGTATGTAATTGTCTAACAGCTGGGCCCAGCTCGCTTGACAGAAGCACCGGAAGCATGGGATGAGGAGGAAAGGGGTCATTGACAGGAAGAATATAATGCATTCACATATGAATAGAGGGAGAGTGAGAAATAGGATAAACTGCCAACTTAATGGGCGCCCATATTCTATTTCTAGTTTCTGTCTGACAGATACTTCTGTCAATTGCAGGTGAATGGGAGCAAAAAATGGAGTTCATTACATGAGCTGCATTGGACCCTGGGCAAACATCGATTATTTTGTGTGCTGCTTGTTCTGTTTGTGAACCATATCTCAGCTCGACTCACTGGAGATGGATGGTATTCTGGTATTCTGTGTGATTCATTTACTTTTAAGGCGCGCTTGCTATGAATAACATGTTTTCTTCTCCATCCAATGTCCCTTTTTGTATTTGTCCCTGCGCATGCAATGTTGTGTTTATGTGTAATGCATGCGATTTTTTCGAGCAAAGCCCAAAGTTTCACGGTCGACGAACACAACTCCTTGGATGTAGAGGACGTTTTTGGTTTTTTTTCCCTCTGTTGTTGTTTGCTGCTGTCGCGGTTGTTGCTGTTGTTTGCGTGCTCTTACTTTTTTCCAGTTCAATTGTCCCACAGCCCAGCCAACTCTACTCATTTTTTTTTCTTTGAGGTTTTCGGATAATAAAAGGAGCTGCCATCCTCCCCTTTTTCCTGATTTTTTTTCTTCACTATCTGTTTCTACAACAACCAACAGCAACAACTAGCAATAGCTATCGCAACAGCTTCTTTGTCTTTCTCAATAATCTCCTTCAATCCTTCGCCCTTTTCATTTCTTTTATCCTCGTCTTCTCAACAACCCAACCAACCGCCACCACGCGATCTTTTTTCTGTTCTTAATCCCTTAATTATATCTCACATCTTTCAACCAAAACAACAACAAAAGGAAAAATGATGTTGTCACGCTCTTCTGAACAATCGCAGGCTCTCCACTACTCCCAGCACTCGCGATACCCCTACAACCCTTACCCTCACCAGTCCACAACAGCGACCCTCGACCACCAGCCCCAATGTCCCCAATACACCGTCGTCACTTCAGCCTCCTCATCGCCCTCCCTCTCCCTCCTGTCAGAATCATCCTCGACTCACTCGTCTTCCCCTCCTCCTCCTCCGGATATGCTCTCTGCCCTTGAGCGCCTCCTCATGGGCATCTCGCCCTTCCCTCCCACCATCCCCACCCTCGCTAAGCCCACTTGTCCCTCCCTCGACGACCTTACCCTGCAAGAGTCGAGGACCACGACCGTTACCCTCAACAACAATTTTGGAAATGGAAATGGAATCAACAAATTTATTCCTGCTCCTTCAACTCCCTCTTCTTTTCCCTCTCTTTCCTTTCTTTCTCTCTCCTCTCCTCCTTCTTCTTCTTCCTCTTCTTTCTCTTCCGCAACCTTGCCGTCGACTCGTACACAGCCCACCGACTCTACAACCGCGCTTTTGACGGAACCCAATTTCGGACATTTGGACCGCTGCTATCGTAATAACAACACATCGCCCATTACTGCTGCTGCTGTAATTAGTCAGGACCAACAATATTTGACCAGCACAACCAACAACGACAACCTTCACCATCGATCTACTTCTCACGGCTCGATTTCATCTGTTTCTCCAACTCCCACATCTTTGACGTTATCACCCTCCAACATGTCTGCCTCCTCTCCCTTGTATGGCATGGACTCTGATCATGATATGTCCTACTGGGGTCCATCATCCCCTCCTTCTACTCTCTCGATGGATCATCGCTCCCACAGCCACAACCACCACAGTAGCCATTATCGTCACAACCAGCAGCACCACCATGACCAGCAGCAGCATCTTCATACCCGTCCCCAGCAACAGCAGCATTGGAGCACAGGGTCCAGTCCCCTTTCACCACCACCACCTCATCAGCAGGATTCTTTTGCATCATCGTCTGATTCTTCTGCTGCCACTTGGGGATACTCTCTCTTCGAGCCTACAACACAGGAACCTTCTCGCACGGGACACACCTCCAGCAACAACGGCAACCACCATCATCACCGCAGCAGCAGCAGCAGCAACAACCATGTCTCATTCCAACATCGGTCACCAACCCACAAGTCGTCGACGTCGTACCTGAACTCTCGAAGCACTCCTGCAGGCAGCAGTGCATCCTATCGGTCTTCGTCTGCTGCTCGTCATACCTCGTCTTCTCTGTCGGATGTGCGGGCCTACGAATCTGGAATTCGTCATTCTTATTACTCTCCACGACACCACCGCACCTCGACCACCTCTTCCTCCACATCGTCCTCTTCATCTTCGTCGTCTTCGTCTCCGACGTCCAACAACAACAGCGGCAGCAACAACCATGGGCAGGGCTCATCATCCTCAAGCAGTCAGAGCAATACCGGAAACACCAGCCGAAACGACAGCAGTAACAACGGCGGCAATGGAAACAACGACAACACACGCCCACCAGGACAACAAACAGGCACAACTCGCGGCGAGCCCAAATCTTTCCCCTGTCAGATCTGCACAAAACCTTTCCCAACCCGGACTCAACTCAAATCACATATGGCCATCCATGTCGACAATTTCCCCTTCCCTTGCCCCTATACCGGATGCGATTTGCATTTCAAGCGGAAGCACGATTTGAGGCGTCATGTGGATGCTAAGCATGCATTGGTCAAGAAATATTTGTGTTCTGGAGGCTGCGGGGAGGGATTTGGAAGGCGGGATCAGATGCTGAGACATTTGAAGAGGGGCCATTGTCAGATTAAGCCCGAGGGCGATCCTACACGGTCGGTCCTCCTCTTGAGCCAGAGCGGGAATGTTGTTGGAAGTAGCTCGACGACGGACGGAGAAAGGGACGCCACAGGAAAGTCGACAACAGCCTGCGACGGTCCCGTTTCGAGTCCACCAACACGAGCGTCTTATCCATACCAAGCACAACAACACTCTCACTCCCGCACACAGCACCATCACCAGCACCAGCACCATCCTTCACAGCAACAACAACAACAGCTTCGAGGCATGAACCTTCCTCCCATGCCCCTTCCACTCTCGTGAGCACCACTTGCTAAATAATGTAATCAAATAACAAATAATATTTTTTTTTCTCCTATTCGTTTACCCCAATCCTTGTTTGGCACGTTATTTTTTATTTTTTTTTTAATTTTTTTTTTTCCTTGCTCTTTTTGTATACGATCGGGGTACTGTACGGACGGACCGACAGACCGAGAGAGAAAAGAAAGAGAGATAGTGAAAGTAAGGTTAACCTGCTTCTGTACCCTTGGTATTGCTCACTGTGGAAAAAAAAAGAAAAATAAACATACCTTCGAGGACGTTCCACAACACGCAATAAAAAAAGTGAGCCAAAAAATAAAATAAAACCGAAGCTGGGAAGGGAAGATGAGAGGTACAGGGAGAAGATAGGGTGAGGAATGGTTGGGAAGGGTAGGGCTGTGTGGGGGAATGAAAAGAACATAAAAACAAGTGCAGGGTGCTGCTTGTTTTGTTGCACCAGCATGGCATGGAGGAGGCAGGTGCGTGGGGGGGGGTGTTCTCCTGAAAAGAAGAAACAAAAAAGTGGGCTGTAGCTTTTTCTCTTGTTGAGTTTGAGGGTTCCTACAGCTGGGGATCTGCTGCTGTGTTGTTCTCTCTCAGGAACGATCACCAAGCATAACACATGACGAGTGTTATGAGAGAATAGAGTCTTTTGTCAATTAGAGATATTGGATGATGGATCAATTTTTTTGATCATTCAATTAGGGAGGGGTTTTGTTTGCGCTTGTGTTTGCAAAAGCTGCAGCTGCATTTATACGATATTGTATCTGATTGGTTGACACTCTTTGTGCAAAGACGCAAGATGGACGAATACTCTTCGTCTCTCACACTCGCACTCACACTCTTTTTTTCCTTCTGTTTGTTCCATTCAAGTTTTTTGTTCATCTCGCTTCTTTCTTGGTACCTCTCTTTCTTTTTTCCTTTTTCCTTCCTTTTTCTTTTCTTTCTTCTTCCTTCTTCTCTCACCACCTCACTCTCCCCCCCCAACCTCTCGCTAACCGACAGACTAATATCCACCATGAACGCACAAGTAAGAACCTCTTCAGATTACCCCACTACATCGATATATACCTCCTCTGACGTACAGGATCACAACCACAACCGGACTCAAGGAGAACATAACCCCAGAACAAAGGGGGAAGGGGAAAGGAAGCAGAGCCTCCGCTTCATCTCCCGTCCTCATCTCTCGCTACTTACCACACAACATGGATGGCGAACAGGAATAGAGATGATGAGGAGCAAGATGATGACCATCAGGAAAAGAATAAGCGCACAACGTGCTCACTGTTTGGATGCCGGATCAGGAAAATACAAACAGCGGCGTGCGAACAGATGGTGAGATGACTTTCTTGGAAGGGTCGACAAACTCTTGCGACAAAAGCCGACGTTCGACCAATCTTCTTACCTTTGTTGAGGAGGTGCTTAGCTGGCTACCCTGCTTTGCTGACTGCAACTCCTATAGTCGCCCGTTGACTGTGGTTCTTTACCACCACCAACCAGCAGCGCGAGGGAGACTATGGGTTGGCGCTATCGGGACGGAACCGAACAAGACCCATCGTCAAATCGACAACAGACCAGATCAACACTATCGCACAGGCAGAAGCAAAAAAGAAAAAATAAGGCTGTATATGAAAACTCCTGCGAAAGTTGGATCTCTCAAAGGAAACACCCCCACAAATAGCCTGTTATTTGTCACCACCGACCTAACCTGTATTCCTCCTCACTCTTCCCCACCCTTCAACCGCATAGATCATGAACATGGCCATTGTGATGGGCTCGATGCAGATCACCAACCGTCTGGACCTCGAGGACACAAAGACAAAGCAGATCATTCTCGGCGCCTACATCACCGCCCAGGCCTTCGTCGTCGGCATCTCGTACCTGATCCAGCGCAGGATCCAGGCCAAGAAGGACACCACCGTCCTCAAGTACCTCGACCAGCCCAAGCCCATGTCTGGCGAGCAGCCCAAGCTCATCACTACCACCAACATGGATTATGACCTCGAACAGAACGCCCAGGCCCAGAAGCAGGCCCTCATCGGTCTCGCCCTCATGGTTTTCTTGCACTTCCAGTTTGGCGTTATCCGTCCCCTTATCGTCCAGTCGATCCTCCCTGTCAAGAACGCCTTGCAGTCCAAGTGGGCTCAGGTCCACGTCTTTGGAAAGCCCGCTGAGGGTGACTTGAAGCGCCCCTGGAAGGCTGATAACCCCTTTGCTGCCTTGACCGGTGCGACTGAGGAGCCCCAGTCTGAGGCTGCTGAGAAGGCTGCCATCAAGAAGGCTGAGAAGGCCGAGTCTAAGGCCGGATCCAAGTCCGAGTCCAAGAAGGATCTTTAAACACTCTTTCCTTATTCCTTGTCACTATCGCCTCCATACACACCCCCATACCTACACACCCTTCCCTTTTCAATATTGAATAAACTTGTATTTTTGCATAATATTTCTCTTCTTTCTTCTTTCCTATTGCTATTTTCTATGCTGTTGTTCTTTTTTTCTACTGTCGATCTTTGTAACACATGCTATATCTATGGATATGTGTGCTTTAGAGGATGGTGCACTGCGAATCACGGTGTCCATCATGTCCATGCCCACCTCCATGACCACCCAAAAGCCCCAATCGAGCGCGCTGGAGCAAATTCGCAGACCGATTCAACCGTTGAAGCTGTAACAGCTGCAGATGCTGTTGTTGCATGTGGAGATGATGCAACGAGGTCTGTGAGCTATTCGCACTGCCCGACGAACTTCCTCCTCCTCCATGAGCATGCAAGCCCGCATTACCACCAACGCTGCTGGTACCGCGGCGCGATCCATGGCGTCTACCTGCAACTCCTGATCCATCCTCATCGTCCTCATCATCATCCTCTTCATCCCCCTCAAGCTCGCCCTCAAACGCTTCTTCTAGAGACCCACCACTACCTCCAAAGCCCAATGTCGAAGCTGCAGGGACAGAGGTCGAAGGGTTGGACCAGGAGTAGTAGCTCTTGACGGCCAGGGAGGGGCACCGGAGTTGTGCGGCTTCGACGCCCTCGAGGGTGATGTTCCTGCAGTCAAAGATCTGCAGTGTAGGGCGGACTAGTTTTCTCCTGGGTCGTGGACGGATGTACTTGCCGTTCTTGGATGCCGCAGCTGCTGCTGCAAGGCGACGCCGACGCGATTGGAGGGCAGATGGCCAGAGTGCAAGGGACGATGAAGAAGTAGACGTCGAAGTCGTAGAGGTAGTCGAAGAGGACCGAGTAGGGACCATGATGCGTAAACCGGGACGAGTCTTCTTGACGACCATTTCGTCAGAGATCGAGGTCGATGCGAGGACGCTCCTGGGTTGAAGGGGCGAGGACGTATAGGATGAGACAAAGGAACAGCCGTTGCTAGGCCCTGCTGCTTCTGCGGCGAGGGAGGGGTTCATGCGGAGGCGGACGGGGATGTTGACAGGTCTTGAAGCGATGAAGGAGCCACTTCCAATGCCACTGCCACTGCCACTGCCGCTGCCACTGGCCATAACGGTTGATCCCTCCTCGCCATTGTTGTTTCTGTTAAGGTAGATGTTGACTCCCTCAAAACAAGTCGACCGTGTCTGCTGCTGCTGCTGGTCATCACTAACAACAGAAGACGAAGCGTTCGCAGAAGAGGTCGAAGCAGACCGAAGGAAACTCAAAGACGACTTGCGCTTCTTCTGCCGAATCCTCTCCCGTCTCTCCTCCCGCTTCCTCTCCCTCTCCTTCATCTTCTCAATCGCCAACACCTTTCGCTCCTCCAACACATTCGCAAACTCCAACAGCAACCGGTCCGTAATCAACAGACAATTATCCAACTCCAGATACACCAACCTCCTACAACACAACGAAGCCGCACTGTCCGCATTATTGGCAAAGACGGTATTGTTGGTGGTCGAAAGTGTTGTCGGGTTGGAGGCCGGGCGCAACATACGGATGATCCCCTGGTCGGTCACGTTCTCGCAGTAGGATAATGAGAGCCGTTCCAGTTTGGGGAGGTACATCCCAAAGGCGCGGAGGGACGCGTCGGTGAGGAGGTTGACGTCTTCGAGATCGAGAAGTCGGAGGCGGGTACAGTTCTGGGCAAGGATGATGAGGCCCTCGTCACCAAAACTCTCGCAGCCGGAGAGCTCGAGGCGGCGGAGGTGGCGGTTACAGTAGTGTCCGATGGCGCGGAGGGCTTCTGTAGTCAGGAGGCGGCAGTGGGAGAGGCCTAGGTAGTCCAAACGCGCTTGGAGTCCCTCTTCGTCCGACCTGCCGTTCGATCCGGTTGTCGACGTCGTGGCGGCGGCGGCGGCGGCGCCGTTGGAAGAAGAAATCGCCTTTGCCTGGTTACCATCATCATCCTCATCATCCCCGTCAACCTCACTCTCGCGATCCGAATCATCCTCCATCGCATACTCCTCGTCCTCCTCCTCCAGCTCCCTCTTCGCCCGACCCCGTTCATCATCCTCATCTTCATCCTCATCCCCACCATCATCATCCCCACAACTCGAACTCTGATTAACCAACAAATGCCCCAAACTCGAAACCCTCACCGAGGTAGCCATCCGCTTCCTCATCCTCCACTTCCTATGCTTCCGACTCGACGCCACTGACAAACCCGACAACAACCCAATCAACCCTCTATCCGTCAAAGACCCACACCCATTCAAACAAATTTCTCTCAACCTCGGCAGATTCATCCCCATCACGGGCATCCACCGATCCTCCAACCCCCCACACCCAGAAACATTCAGCTTCCTCAAATCCTGACAGCTCCTGGTCAGGTTCGACAACCCGAACCCAGAGATCTGCTTACACCAGGCGAGGTTGAGGACTTGGAGGGACCGACAGTAGACAGCCATGGCCTGGAGGGTATAGTTGTTGACGGATTGGAGACCTGCGAGCTCGAGGTGGAGGAGGAGGGGCATGTTCATACAGACGTCGGCGATGGATTTTGAGGAGACGGAGCGGCAGCCTGTTAGGTCGAGACGTTCGACGTTTGGGCAGTGCTCTGCGATCGCTCTCAACGATTCTCCCGATAATTGTACGCAGCCCCTAATAAGTATACAGTAAAACGATACGAGTGAGTGAGAATGGGCGAAGTCCAGGTAGTAAATGAAAAGGCAATTATTACGAGAGAAGAGAGGCCCGCGCTCAGATTTGCTAGAAAAAAAAAAGTACCTGAAGTTGGCGTAGCGCAGGAAGCCAGACGCAGCGGTACCAAGGACGCGCAGCTGGTCATCTTTGATGATATTGTAGAACCGCGTCGTGTCAATCACCTTCCACAGCGACCCATCCATCGCAATACTCCTCCACGACCGACTTACCTATTTAAACAAGAAAAAAAAACCCTGCATGTTAGCAAATTTTTGTAGAACAAATCACATTCATCCAGCTGACTCGTCAAAAAAAAAAAAAAACTTACTCGTGAGACGCGGACGAGTTGGAAGGTCGACAAGTATCGAAAAATATGGATCTTGATTTCTCGCGGGAGTCCATCCATCGTCGCCTTCCATGGTTGGATCTGTTGCGCCTGCTGCAGACGACGCCGTTCCTCCTTGGATGATCGATGGAATCCTCTGGCAATCCCTTTGCCCTTGTTGCGATTGAACTCTGCAAGGGACGCAAACTGCTGCGATACTGTCGTCATGGGCGAAGATGACTTGTGGTGGTGCTGTTGAGTTCTGGAGGGAGATGTCCATGTGATCGAGTTTGAGGGTGAGTGGAAGGCGGACGGCGAAGCGGAGGAGGAGGTGCCATCCGGGGTGGAGGACATGATGCCCTGGTTGTTATTATCGTTGCAACGGTTGCCGAACTTCATGTGGGAAGGAGAACCAGGGACGGAGGATGTGGGTGATGGGGTGTCTACGTCGACAAAGGTATCGTTCAGACCTGAATGGAAGGCTGCGCTTGACGAGGATGCTTCTGCAGCGTCGATTGCGCTATCGGTGTCGTTGTCGTACTGTTGTTGTTGAAGAGCAAGGTGATGAAATAACTGGTGCTGGTGCATAGAATGGAGCCCAGGGAGGAGGTTACAAGTATCGCGCGATAACGAAAGCCCAGATGAAGACGAGTACGACGATAAGCCCTGATTTGTAGTTGACGAAAAGGCTTGGAAGGTGGGTTGAGTTGTTCCTGTGCTTGATCTTCCTGCTTCTGTTGTCGATGAGGATGAGAATGGTCCAGTTGTTGCTGCAGGGGCTGCAGAAAAGTGTCGAGATTGAGAGACAAGTGGCGAGGTTGAGGATGTTCCTGGAAAAGCAGCAGAATCAACGACAGATGGGAGAGAGACAGAAGAAAGGACAACAGGGGCTGTCGTCAAGGTCGTCTTGTGGATGTCCATGCTGTTGTTATTTAAGGACATTGGCGGTGAGAGGGTGGTAGTCCAGTCTGCTGTAGCAGCAGCAGCATTGGGGTCACTGTCCTCCTTGTCATCCATAGTCAAAGGCATCTCGGAAGTGACAGCAGCGGTTGTTGCGGTGGTGGGAGTGATAATGGTGATGGTAGAAATAGAAGTCGATGCTACTTCAGGATGGGCGACGACGACAGGGTCCTTGGCCAGAGCTGAGGCGAGATCAAGTGATGCGACAGTCATCGAGACGGTCCGATACTTCCGCGCAGGGAGAGACGAGGAGGACCTTGATTTTGGGCACACGCACACGACTGACAGGCTATTGGGTAATGATGGGGGGTTTTGTTGTTGTCCTGAGGATATCGTGGTCGGAGAATTGGGCGTAATAAAAGAGGAGGACGATGCTGCTGCTGCTGCAGGTGTTGTTGGTGTTGTCCGTGGAAGTGGCACGGACTGGCAGGACAAACAGCTAGTTGGTCCGAGGGGAGGAGGAATAGGGGTGCTTGTTGTCTCCCTGTCTTGTTTTGGACAAGAGGGTTCGTCGTTGTTGTCGTGATTCAGACTGACGTGACGATAATGACAATGACCCTGACTGTCACCACCACCAGTCGTCTGCTGCTGTTGTTGATGTTGTTCTTGTTGAGTGTGATCAGGTCCCGGATGACAGAGGTCATGAAGACGATCATCAAAGTACGCCTTGTCTCCCTGAGGATATTGGTGTTGTCCTTGCCCTTGTCCTTGCCCTTGTCCTTGCTCTTGTCCGTGTCCTTGAGTAGCGTAAAGGAGGCGCCCCTGACCCTGCCTATGACAAATGTGGCGATACTCCCAATTGCTGCTGTTGTTATTGCTGCTGTTGTTGTTGCTGCTGCTACTCCTCGCCGATCCAGAAACGGAGCCTGCCATCTCACTCCTCCCTTCGCTCATCCTCTCCGGCACGGTGTTGTTGAGGCTGTTGAAATAGCTGTTGCTACTGCTAGAGGTGCGAATTCGCGAGGCGGAAGAAGCGGTGAAGTTGCAACTGACTAACTCGATGTTGTTATTATTATTGTTCTCGCCGGTCGAGGTTGCAGAGATGAAAGAGCAAGGCGAGGAGTTGACAGAGGACGAGAGGAGATCGGATATCCGTTGTGGACTGGAATAGAACGAATCGTCTCCAGTGCTGCCAAGGCGTGTGTTGATGTTGATGTTGCTGGGTCGGATTGGCCTTGACCCTGTTGCTTGGAATGGTGAGCTATCCATGGCTCTTGGTGAATGGTGAGGAGGTAATAAGAGGGTGTAGAGAAAGGAGATGGCTTCCTGTTGTGCCTCGTGTTGTTCAGAGTCTAGAGTAATGGTATGAATAAAACGAGATATATGAAATGCATGACCTGATTGTTATCACAAAGCACGTCGTACAAAGAATGAAGCGAAGGCAAAAATGATGCTTTTCTGGAAAGTGCAAGAAGAGAACGATGATCATGTCACCTTTCTAATTGTTACTTATTTTACCTTCTTTTTTATTGCCGTCTGCCGTCTGCTGCTCTTTTGTTGCTGTTCGTCTTAGAGCGTGTTGATGATGATGGTGAACAACTGGACAGAGGCAGTTGCAAAAAAAAATGGCAAAAGAAGAACGAGTGAAGTGAAGGAAAGAAAGAATGGAGCAAAGGAGAAAAGGAAAAAATGCTCAAGGAAAAAAAAAAAAAAAAGAGGAAGGGCTAATCAAAGGGCGAGAGGGAGGGTCCCCGATCTGCGGGAAGAGGGAATGGAGCGAGTGGATGGGCGTGGATGCGAGCCTGATAGCAAACAAGGGTGTCCATTGGTACATTGGCAATTGGCACGGGAAAGAAAGGAGAAGAGGAAGAGGGTAATTACGCCCTCCCGCGCACATCCATTTGTCTACATAAAGATACACATGCACGGGTGAGAGGAAGAACAGACGACACACCCAGGCAAATGACTCTGTTGTTTAATCTGCAGTGGCATTGGCGACAGAGGACAAGTAAGGAGAGACGCAAGGAAGGGGAGGAAGGAGGAAGGACAGGGAGACAATGAGAGGAAGTGACAGCCCCAATTGTCTAAAATGTTCCGATGTCACCACACCAAGGTCTTCTTTTTTATCTTCTTGTCTCTTTGTTCTTTTACTCCTATTGTTCAATGGCACGGACACTCCCTTTCTCCTTCTGTCCCTCACTCCCTGCGGCAGGACACACAATGAATGAGTGTGAAAATGTGTGGAAGTAAGAAGAAAGGGGATAGATGATGGTGTGCTCTTTGGAACAGTCCAAAGCCAGGGAAAGGGGATAATTGATGATGATGATGGATCAAGGGAAAGCACACTCATAAGAGATCAAGTAGCTCCCTCACTCTCTAATTCTCTTCATAGACAAGGACGAAAAAGAAAAAAAGAGGGAGGACAAGGACAAGAAGGGGTAGGAAGTGAAAGAGGGGGAAGGAGCACAAGGGAAGGGGATCAAAGGGGGGTACTGTAGTACTGTAGATGCAAAGGAGGGAGGAAGCTATTTCATTCAAGCGACTGGAAAGGGAGAGAATGAAAAAGGGGGGACACATATCGACAACATCGACAACTACAATTCGCCCATCGTGCATTTCACTCGTTTGTTCGTACCAACCCATTCATCATTAATGTCGAGCAACCACTCGTTTATGATTGCATTCCCTCGTTGTGTTTCTATGGCTCGTGCTACTCTGCATCCCTTTTCTGTTCTATCCTCCTCTTCTTCTGCCCAATCCCTGTCTGCCCTCCTTTCTCCTTTCTCTCCGATTGTCTTGACTTTCTCCCGCCTATCTCACTCTCATTTTTTTTGGTTGAAGTCCATTGAAAGCAAAAACCATATCTCAATTTTCCTACTTTCGTACTTTCCTTCCTTTCTTCCTTCTTTCCTTCTATTTTTTTCATACCCCTAATGACCCCATGAACAACCATTATCATCACAAACAACAGCTAGGTAATGGCCTTTCCTTCACGAGCAGACAGACAGTGGCGAAAAAATAAAAAAGGCAAAGAAACAACCTTCTCATCTTTTTTCATTGCCTTCTTTGCTTACCATCTTGCCATGGGATCAACTCTATCTTTTTCCTCGGCGTCCTAGGCGACCAAAATGTCAAACTAAAGGGCAGTCAACCCTATTACACTCAAAAATTGCGCGTCTATTCTTCACTGCTGCTACGAAGAAAAGCCTAAACCAATCTCTAACTCTCATTAAACAAGATTATGCTCTGAAATGAGTAGCTCACTCGCCCCTTCATTTTATTTTGTAACGCGTCTTTATGAGAGCTCCCTTTTTTTTCCCTCTCTCCTGCCAAGAAAAAATACGCGTTCTGTGCTCACCGTTGACACCATGGGCACCCGAATGGCAACCAGCCGTGGGGGGTTTTCTTGGCATTGTGACAGAAATAGACGTAATCGCCAGCGCGGTAGTGAGATGTCGCTATTCAGTCGCCCTTAATAAACAGACGTTGATAAATACTGACAAAGGCGTACAGCTTTCTCGCTTATTTCAACCAACAGAACCAACCTTCATTCCATCTGCAACCAACAACACACAATCCACAAAAAATGAAGACCCACTATATCTCCCTCCTCCTCGTCGCCATTGCGGCCCTCGTAAACAGCGCCCCAAATGCCAACGGATCCCAGGGACGCACACTCATTGGAGACGAGTTCACATACCGGACTCAAGGCGATAGTTCTCATAGCAACACCCATACCACCTCTACCACGACCATAACCAGGATCCACAAAGAACCGTCACCAGAAGCCGAGCAGTGGATCAGGGAACCTGGACTCTTTGATCGTCACGTTACTAGTTCCCCCACCACCATCGTCGTCTCGGACATCAAGGATACACCTGAGCCGAGGCAGCCATTGGATCGGCGTGGGTTGCTATGGGGCGGTAGATTGACAAGTATTAACAATGTAAACGACAACTCTCAGAACTCAAGGACGTATAACTCTCACGGTAACCAATCCAAGACGATTACCAAAGTCGTCTCCACTACCGAGAACAGCATCGGCTCGCGTGGACGACTTGGTGGGGAAGACAGTTGGTTCGACATGGGCGCTGAGGAGGATAAGAACGAAAGGGTGTTGGACCACAGCCAGAGTCAGAGTCGACGATTCCTGTACGATTTTCACCCCAACCACAAGTCGCAACTTCAGCCTCGTCATCAAGGAGATGATATCGGTGTCAGCTCGATCGAGAAACGGGGGACGACAACATTGACGACCACTACGACGGCGATTGTTGATTTTGATGACAACGAGTCAAAGAAGACGGTAGATGACATTGCGCGTCGAAATCTTGTCACGATCCAGATCATCACCCAGAACACGAACACGAATAACAATGGACACAGCGTTGACACCAGCAGCCACAGCAACCACGTCTTTCCTGTCAAAGTGATCCATCGCAACAACAAGAGCAATAACAAGAGCAACAACAAGAGCAACAACAACAGCAACAACAAGAGCCACAACGACAAGGAGAAGAAAAAGAGCGGTTCTTCTCCTCCTAATCCTCGCCCTGCTCCCAAAGGGAACACGAAGCCTATCGTCAAGTCTAACCAATACAAGAACCACAACAAGACGGCTGATCAGTCCAAGAAGTCGGCGCACGCCACCAATAGCATGAAGACTAGCAACAAACCCCGGCCCAAGCACGCCCATTGAGATGGCCCTATTAAATGCGTCACATGATATTGTATTAGAGTTTCGGAATGATCGAGTGGAGAGGGCGGGGAAAAATGGATTCGGCCGGGCAAAAAACATGGAATGCGGTTAGGGGTGTGTGGTGTATGTAAAGAGTGAGCGAGTAAAGTGCCGTTGGACAGAGACAGAAGAGGGATGTCGTGCTCTTTTTCGCTGTCTTGCATCTTCCCCACCGCCTTCGGACAAAGTTCTCCGAAGTAAGTTTCCTTTTATTTTCTGCTTACCTTCCCTCCACTACCTCGGTGGTCAACGAGAGACGCCACTTTTTTTTCGGTGTGTGTTCATTTTCTCCGGACACGGGAAAGTAAGTTCAATTGTAAGTGAACACGGAGCAGGCAAGCGACAAGACCGAAGCAACATACCAGCCAATAAATAAAATCCTTTTGTGTCTCCTCCTTCCCCCTTTTTTCCTTTCTTTCTTTTCTTCTTCTTTGTTCATCCCACCCCCAACAACACCCTACTCACTCACTCATCACAATGGCCTCCACTCTTACCACCTCCAACGGAAACCCCGTCGAGGACAACCAGAACTCCATCACCGCCGGTCAGTACGGCCCTATGTAAGTTAATTCATCTCATTGCACTCATTGCACTCACTCATTCACACCCCACCGACATACACACACTCTCTCTTTTGTTCGCTGTATGCTCTACCCTTGATTGCTTTTTTCCCATGCGCAACGGCTATCTTTCTACAGGGCAACAAGGATCAGTGGAGGAGAATAAACACTTTCTTGCTTTTCCGAGCCGGACATCCTCCATATCAACCTCCACGACCCGCCTCGGATGTGTTTGTTTGTCATTGTGGTTACACTCTTCGATAGTGTCTCTTTACAATGAAGTTAGGACTACACGGACCCACTCGTTCACGTCCATTCTCACCGCTTCCTTCTTTTTCCCTCGTTTTTCATGCTTGCATGCTCTACCCGACAACCTCTACTTCTCCCCACCTTTTTATTCCTCTTCTATCCGTGGAACATGCTGTTTTTATGCATGGGTCATTCAAACAATTGGAAAGAAACTAACCTCTTTCTTTTTCTCTTCTTTGATCTCAATATGTGAACATGCGAATGGTGCAGCCTTCTTCAGGATTTCGCTTTGATTGACAAGTTGTCCCACTTTGACCGTGAGCGTATCCCCGAGCGTGTTGTCCACGCCAAGGGAGCTGGAGCCCACGGTTACTTTGAGGTTACCCACGACATCTCCAAGTTCACCAAGGCCAAGTTCTTGAACCGCGTCGGCAAGCGCACGCCTCTCTTCACCCGTTTCTCGACCGTCGGAGGTGAGAAGGGTTCGGCCGATACTGCCCGCGATCCCCGCGGTTTCGCCGTCAAGTTCTACACCGAGGAGGGTAACTGGGACATGGTCGGAAACAACACCCCTGTTTTCTTTATGTAAGTTTTCTTGTCTCTGATCTGGTCTTGTCAGGGGTATTAGGGTTAACATTGGACTACTTCAACGCGGACACAGCCAGAAGCCAGCAAGTGAACAAGAAGAAGGCTGCGCTGGCCAGACAACAAAAATAATTGAATTCAATGGGAGTGGACCCCGATGGTCCAAAAAGAACAGGAACAAATCGAAATAGAGCCGGTTCCCCTCTTTTTTCTCCAAATCACATGTCATCCGTTGAAGTATTTTTCTTTTCGCTTTATGCTCTCTTCTGTTTGTTCCGGGAAGAACGACTGGTTGGATGGACATAAATCAGGAAAGAGATCCACGGACTAAAGTATTCAAATGACTGATATCGTATTATCCATCTTTAATAACCCTCTTAATAGCCGTGACCCCATCAAGTTCCCCGACTTCATCCACACCCAGAAGCGCAACCCCCAGACCAACTGCGGTGATCCCGATGCCTTCTGGGACTTCATCTCCCTCGTCCCCGAGACCCTTCACCAGGTCGCCATCCTCTTCTCCAACCGCGGTACTCCCGATGGTTACCGTCACATGCACGGCTTCTCCTCCCACACCTTGAAGCTCGTCAACGAGGCCGGCGAGTCCCACTTCGTCAAGTGGCACTTCAAGTGCGACCAGGGTATCAAGAACTTCAAGGCCGCCGAGGCTGCCAAGCTCGCCTCCTCCGAGCCCGACTACGCCACCGCCGATCTCTTCAACGCCATCGCCAAGGGTGACTTCCCCTCCTGGTCCGTCCACGTCCAGGTCATGACCACCAAGGAGGCCGCCACCTACCGCTGGAACCCCTTCGATGTCACCAAGGTCTGGTCCCAGAAGGACTACCCTTTGATCCCCGTCGGAAAGATGGTCCTCAACCGCAACCCCGACAACTACTTTGCCGAGGTCGAGCAGGCCGCCTTCTCGCCCTCGCACATGGTTCCCGGTATCGAGGCCTCAACCGACCGCATGCTCCAGGGACGTCTCTTCTCCTACCCCGATACCCACCGTCACCGCCTCGGTACCAACTACCAGCAGATTCCCGTCAACGTTCCCTACAACGCTCGCATTGCCAACCAACAGCGTGATGGCCACATGGCCGTCAACGGCAACGGAGGCTCTGCCCTCAACTACGAGCCCAGCTCTTTCGGAGGTGCCAAGCAGACTGCTGTCGCTTCGACTTACTCTTCCTTCGAGTTGAACGCCATTGCTGCTCGCCACATCATCCAGCTCTCTGATGAAGACTTTGTCCAGCCCGGTAACCTTTACCGCCTCTTGTCTGCCGAGGAAAAGTCTGACTTGATCGACAACATGGCCGGCCACTTGAAGAACGCCAAGGTCTTCCTCCAGGAACGCCAGGTCGGACACATCAAGCGTGCCGACAAGGAGTGGGGTTCCCGCCTCGAGGCCAAGCTCAAGGCCCTCCAGTCCAAGGCTTAAATATGTCGTTCTCTCTTTGTACCTACACAACTCTTTACCCATTTTTGCAAATAAACCACCTTTGTACATGTAACTACAAGTTTCCATCTATTTGTCGTCTACTTTATCGTGATTAGGCGGGACATCTAGCTAGGTTCTTTGATATCTCGGACAATTTGACTGGAAATGCTGATCGTTGTTTGTTTCGCTTGATTGGTTTGTTCTTTTGTTATGTGTTTGAAGCAGAGATCGATGCCGCACCCCCTGACACACGCTCACAGTCATTTTTTTTATTATTATTCCTTTGCTCTGACCTCTCTCTCCTTCGGAATGCACCTAGTCAGCGACTGGCGATATTTTTTCTGAATCATCCATTAGTTGCATTGCCGTCAGTCTTGGCCTACACTCCTTTTTGCTCTAGAGTGTTGACTGTGTGGGATCATTTAAAAAGAAAAATACCGGCGGGGCGACCGAGCACCTTCTCTTGCCCACCTTTTTTTTTCTTTCTGTTATGAGACAGTATGCAAACTAGTGCCCACAGGATGATAGAGATGACCCCCGATCGATTTCTGCCTTTGACTGGGGTGGATTCAAACAAAAGGAGAACGCCCTGGCCGCAATGTTTGACCTTGTTCATTTCGTCATTTCTTTCTTTCTTTCTTCTTTTCTGTCTAGACAGCTTTGTGGCCACACCTTTTTCTTTTGATGATGACGATGATAGTTGCCGGCAGCCTGCGCCTCAAGTCGCCCAAGCCTCCACACCTAGGAAGAGAGAGAGAGAGGGAAAGAGTCAGAGAAAAGAGACAACGCCAACAAGAAGCAGAAGAAGAGAAGAAGGGAATAAGGAGCCTAGACAGACAGACGATGTCAGGACCTATCGCAGCCCTTCTGCCTGCGGCCACTCCATGTCCATCTGTCCATCTGCGAACGAGGCATTTTTTTTGCGTACAAGCCACCAACTTTAAAAATTTTGATGACCACCAAGGTCTCTCTTCGTTCTCTATCTCTTCTTATCCTTTCTCTTCTCCTCAATCCACTCCGATTAACCCTCAACCCTTCACTCCACTCTTCTCCATTCCTGTTCCTTTGAACAAACAACAGTCAGCCCACTCACAAACACACACCCTTTCAAACCCCTTCCCACTCCAACCTTCTGCGCCTCGGGTGCCATTTTATGCCTCCTTTGTTATCCAATGAAAAAAAACGATCCTTCTAGTAGACCCTACACTATATCTTCCACAACCACCTCCCGACGAGCAGCCGCAGGAAACCACGCCAACTGCCTCGTCACCTTCCTCACCGAATTCTACTCTACATCGTGCTTGGATGATCCCTAACTTGAGCACTTGATTCCTCATCAAACCAACCTTTTTTTTGCTTTTCCTTTTTTTACTCAACAACACACTCTTTCAACAAAACAACCATCAAACAACAAAAAAAGTAAATCAAACAGCAAAAAAAACCAACCTCTCCTCTCACAACACATCCTCATTCTCTTCCGCCTTCGCATCCGCTTTTGCAGTACGAAGAAAAAAAAAGAAACAGTTGCAAACGCATAATCCTCCTCCTTTCGTTTGATCAGTCCTCCGCTTCTCTCCCTTTTTCCATCCCTTCCATACTTTTCTCCGCACTTTTTTTTCCCTATTATCACACCTTTTTTTTGTTGGAATATCAGGCAAGTTAACTCTCAATGGCAATGACGATATATGATAAAAACATAGATGCTTAGCCAACGGATAATAGACTGTGTAGTCTGTCGACAGGAGTACAGTAACATTAACCCATGCTCTTTCCTCTCTTGCTCTTTGACTCTGCACTGAACTGTATTGCATTGTTATCTTGTGCCTTTCCTCTCTTTTTATTCGTCCCTTCATCACTTAGAAAGTATTTTTACCTTTATTCAATTTAATACTCCCCCGATATCCCATACAACAACTGCAACCACCAAGCAGCAAAAGCAAAACAATAATCCGCATCCCTCCCCCTTCACACACAATATCTTACCCAGCCCTATTTCATATACAATGAGCACCATCTCTGCCAACTCCTCCGCTCACGCCCCAGTCAGCATGTTCCGCTCCGTCTCGACAGAGTCCTCCGGCTCAACCATCGCCGTCAATCCCTCGACCGCTCGTCTCCAGAGACTCCCCACTCCTCCCCGCAGCCCTGGATTGGCCCCCCTCGGACGCCAGCTGACCCTGATCGAGCCCCCCATGACCAAGGGCATCCGCTTCTTGATCCTCGATTGCCCCACCGACTCGACTTTGCCCTTTTACATGCAGGAGTTGAAGCGCAACAATGTCACCGACGTTGTCCGCTGCTGCGAGCCCACCTACAGGGCAGAGACCCTCCGGGCTGAGGGCATCACTGTTCACGACTGGCCCTTCCGTGATGGAGCAGTGGTACGTCTTCGATTGATTTTGTATTTACACCAAGAGCATCACCGCTACAATGACAGGACGACAGGAGCTGACTAATATAGGAAAAGTGGGCAAGTGGACAAACAAGGACCAGCAACTTCTATGATAATCAGGCAATCAGGAGACATTTGCCGAGGAAAAGGCATGATCACAAAGAGCACAGAATGGACAGGATAGAACAGCCAACACGCAATTAATAGGGGAGCACGGCAGAGCAAAGAGGAAGAAGAGGTGGCGCAAATACACGAAAATGGATTCTGGATGAGTCGACGCTTTTATATTTCGAGCTGCGGTTGAGCAAAAAAGATTCTTTCAGCCAGCAAACCGGCACGTTTTTCCTCCTGTCTTACATTGGCGTTCTTCAAAAAAAAAAGGATCTCAAGAGTGGGCTAATGCCACCTTATCTTTGCCCTCTTCATCATCGCGCATCATCCTCTACGACACCCTCCAATTCTCCTTGTCTCTTTTTCCCTTTCCTCACCGCTTGCATCGATCACAGGGGTAGTGCGATCTGTGCAGGAGGAAAGAGGTGATTGGTTGACTCTATTTCCGAAAAAATCTAGCCCTAGCCCAACAAAAAAGTAAGCTGCGGCGCATCGGCCACAAGCTTCGAGGTACGCAAAACAGAAATTAATCAAGATGCGTTTATTTTTGTTTGAAAAAATAGCCTCCTGTCAACATTATCAAGAACTGGTTGCAGCTCGTGGATACCCGCATTGTCAGACGCCGTAGTGGATCGCCCTCGGCGAGCGAGGAGGAGGAGGACACCCCCACCGCTCCCACCATTGCTGTCCACTGCGTCGCTGGCTTGGGCCGTGCTCCCATTTTGGTTGCGATTGCGATGATTGAGCTCGGCATGGCCAACCTGGACACTGTCGAGTTTATCCGTCGCCGCCGCCGTGGATGCTTCAACAGCAACCAGATCCAGTACATTGACGGCTACAAGCGTGGCAAGATCCTGAAGAACTCGCTTGGTAGCGGATCAAGCGCTGCTTCGGGCGCCTCGTCTGGTGGTGCAGCCAGCGGATTGAAGAACGGACTGAGCAAGATGTTCCGGCTCAAGGCTTGACTCCTCGTAGTTCAGTGTGTCATCGAGGAGATTGAGAATGAAAAGAATCGGGAAGTTTACTTTGTCCACGACAAAGATATGAGTCGTACGAAAACAAAGCAGGAAATCCAAATGGACAGTCAGATGGGAAGAGAGTATGGATGGTTAAAGACGAGATATACACAGGAAGCAGGAAATACATTGAAACCACGGTGGGCGCATGTGCAGTTGGGGCTATCTCGGTCGCCTTTACTCTGCGCGGAATACCACGGTGGTGACATGTGTGACGATGACGATGATATCCTTGGCCACGAACAACGACGACGACGACAGGACCATTTCTGGGTCCGTCAATGTTCCGTCTGGATCAACCACATCCTTCTTTTGTCCATGGAAATAAAAATATTAGTCGAAGATGAACACCTTGTGCTTATTGTTCAATGGAGATGTAGGTTAAGGAAATCAGGTTACGCTGGTGCGGGTATGTCCAAGAATTGGCCCACTTTTTTGAAGTAGTGCGGAAAAGGTTTGATGGGTGAATCGGGCTACAAGGCCATCTGCAATGTTGTCTCTCTTTAATTGATGTATGGCTCAAAAAAGAATTGGGTGGGCAACAACAACAACAACAACAACCAAAAAAATATATGGAAGAGGGGACGTGCGAGAACAGGGCAAAGTGCATGAAAGGCTTTTCCGTGTCAAAGAACTTGCCCAAACTTGCCCAAGAACGTGCCAAGGATTGAACGCGTCTCTCAATTTCGAATGTCCTCTGAGAATTTCAATTGTTGTGGTGCTGCAGGGCGTTACAGGGCAATGGGTCAACGATAGCCCCTAATCTTACTTTTCCGCTTTTCGCTTGTCTTTGGAATTCCTTCCGGGGGTGCTGGAGGGAAGGTGAAAAACGATCGCTTGCTGGATGGGAGTAATGAAGAAGCGAAGATGGGAAGCTAGAAGCCACAAGCGGAGAGGGAACGCAAATGTGACTGAAAGTGCTGTTTGAGAGACAGGAGCTGGTTCGAGCTTTGGCTTGAGCTTGGCTTTGGAAACCCCATTCATTGAAAAAGAAGAAATAAAAAAAAAGTGGCACGATATGAATTGACTCAGAACCATTGACCCGGCGTGTCTCTCCTACCAACATCGTACACCCCGCCCAAAAGGGCCGAACAATCGGCTAAGCTATCTTCTTTTATAAAGGTCAGCCCCCGGGTCATTTTTTTTGGTATTTGTGTCTTTGTTTGCGTTTGTGGGTTGTTGCACGAGTAAACAGCATGAATGGGTAAACAAAAAGGTAGAACAGATTACGTTTTAGTCTTGTTCGTGACATCTAGCGATTAGTACTTACTCTTCTATGGCTGGTATTGCTTCCGCGGGCTCGGAAAACAAAGAAGAAGAAGCCGTTTTGAGATCGGGATGTCTGTCTATCATTCAAGAAAAAAGAAGAACATAAACGGAAATTAGGTTGGCTACCCTTCTTCTTTGGGGGGTGGGCGCAGATAAACAAAGGGAGAGGGAGATGTCGAAATCACGTCTTCGACTTGATAAACATGTTTGTTTTCCATGTCCGACACAGACCTTCAGTCCTTTGCCAGCCAAATCATAAACAAACTAATGGCCAGATGTGGAAAGTCTGCAAGAGCCATCTGGACAATTTTCTTACTTCATTCCCAATTGAGGAGAGGTTGGACGTTGTGAGTGTGTCGGTGGGTGGGTTGATTGAGTAGAGTAGGGAGGGTGGCGCTTAGAAATATTTTCGTGAGAGTGCATCTTCCCACAGAGCACATCTTGAGGTAGGGGTGTGGATATGAAAATCATGAACAACGAATGGGGCGGAGCGGGGATACTTGATAGCATCTTCGTTGTTTGACAAATTACAGATGGAGCAGACGTCTAGGAGTACAAGAAGAAGTGTGCCACATGGAGAGAGAAGATAAACGAGCGGGTGGATAAGCGAGTGTGCTCCGATTAGGCTTCTATGCATTCTTCGCCCAGTATTATTGTATGTGGGGAATGAAGAAAATGCCGTTTGGGCGGAAAACTATAACAAAAGGCGTGACAGCCGACGATAATGCCATACTCGCTTGTGCATTCGTCATTTGTGCAGCGTTTGTACTCTTGGTACCTTACTTCGTTTGCTGCTCTCTTGCGCCAAACAAAGGTAAAACCGGTTCGAAGGTACCTCGTATTCACAGTGTATTAAACGGCCGAGCAAGAAAACTTTGCATCGCCTAAAGACCACGCAGACTTGATTCTTTCGTTCTTGTTTGTCCATCTGTTTGACTAAAACTCGCTTTTGGGCTTGAGTTGCCTGCTGTCCTTCCTTATCCGCAGTCTGCGGAATAGGTTGCAGTTTCGACTCCCTTGACTCCCTACCTTTGCCATTTTGTTATTATTGGTTGACAGAACTGACGGTTCGTTTACTGTCGCCATCGACATCCACGCCTCCTGTTCCTTTTTCGGAATATGCAAAAAACTTGCCCAAATGGGGGTAACTCCTCCTCAGGTGGGACAGAAAAACAAAGAAAAAAGGCGATAAAAGAAAGAATAAGTGTTCGCAAAGGTTACAACACAAAAACGAAAGAGGGACGCATGCATGTCGTATGCGTATACGTATGGCGTGTGGTGTATGCATGCTGATTGATAATCGTTTTCTCTTGCTCACTTACTCATTCTCTCCCAGACCAAATCGACCACTCGTTCGGTGGTACATATCCAAAAGGTTAGGCGCCGGTCCATCAGGACTCATCCCAAGGGGTGAAAGTGTATTTAAGCACATTCATAAGCACTGTCCAACCCCTTCTTTTTTTTTTCTTTCTTTTTTTACCCTGTCCCTTGTCTCCCATTTGTCCTTTCTCTCCTTGACCCTTCCCTTTCTGTGCCCTTGTCATCCCTTCACTGACTGCCCCTTCACTCCGTTCCACAGCAGCAGCAGTTCAATAGTCAAGAAAAGTGGTCCTCCGCTCTATTGTTTCCTTTTCCCATAAAATTATTTACTCTTGACCACACAAACTCATACAACCATGGCGACAGTTGCGGATCCCACGCACCACAGGCAGGAGGATAACGATGCGTACCCCACTCAGATCCAGGAGGACTACCCTCAGCAGGACCTCCCTCACTTTACCGTAAGCACACCCTTGCTTCCTTCACCCTTTTTCTCCCTATCTCTCGCCAGCCTCATGTTACTCGAATGGCAGACAACACGACTATTCGACAAAGCGAACAAGATTTTTTATGTATCAAACGCTAACACAGCAGCTCACTTTTACTATCATATGAATGATATAGTGGCGGTCAGTGGTGGTCGGTATCCTTATTGGCACACTCTTGTGCTTCACCAACATGTACTTTGGCCTCCAGACCGGCTGGATCAGTATGATGTCCCTCCAATCCTCCTTGCTCGGGTTTGCCGTCTTCAAGGCTCTCAAGAACTATATCAAGGTCCCCTTTGGTCCCGCCGAGAACATTGTCCTCCAGTCTGTCGCAGTCGCCACCGGTACTATGCCCCTGGCCGCCGGATTTGTCGGAATCATCCCCGCGCTCAAGATGATGACGCTTGCCGATAACCCAGACCATGGCGGACCTCTCGAGCTCTCTGCTGGACATTTGATTCTCTGGTCGTTGGCGATTGCGTTCTTTGGAGTCTTTATAGCGGTTCCCCTCAGACGGCAGGTTATTATCAAGGAGAAGCTTCCCTTCCCCTCGGGTACCGCCACCGCTCAGATGATTGGCGTCCTTCACAACACGCCTTTGGTCAACCACAGCAACCCGCATCATCGTCAGCATGTCACCGAGGTTGCGAGCGCTCAGTTTGGAGAAGAGGGTCTTCGTCGTCGCAAGAACAATGATGAGAAGACGGATTTGGAAGAGTATACCAAGGAAAGTCAGCAGCCCCTGGGTCAGTTGGCCCCTGTCGATTACGAGGACCAGCGTCATGCTCAGGCGACTGGCAAGATCGAGATTCATGGCGAGAACGGAGAGCATTTCACGTTGGACAAGGAGTTCTTGCAGGAGGACAACTGGCGTCTCAACATGACCGCTTTGGCCATTTCCTTTGGACTCTCGGCCCTGTACACCATTCTCTCGTACTTCTTCCCTGTTGTCTCGACGGTACCCATCTTTGACTGGCTCTCTGGAATGACCGTTACGGTCGCCAGCACCTGGCAGTGGTATCTGACCCCCTCGCTCAGTTATGTCGGCCAGGGCGTCATTATGGGGTTTCCCACGACTGCGTCCATGTTGCTTGGCTGTGTTGTCGGCTGGGGTATCCTCTCGCCTGTCGTCACCAACAAGGGGTGGGTTGCTGGACCAGTCGGTAGCTCGACCAATGGTGCTCGAGGATGGATTCTCTGGATCTCTCTCGGTGTCATGATTGCCGAGGCTGTGGTCTCGTTGCTGGGAGTCATTGTCTTGTCCTTCATTGCTCACTACCGCCGCAAGACACGCGAGAGACGCAACGCCGAGCGCAAAGCGGCCCTCGAGGCCTCTGCTACCCACACTGGTGCCGACATTGATGCCTTCAGCGTCGAGGAGGATCTGGAGGACGAGGATGCACCCATCGACCAGTTGGTCCCCCTTAAGCTCTGGGTTTGCGGTCTCATTCTGTCGTCTGCTCTCTGCCTGCTCCTGATCTGGGTTGTCTTCAAGGATCAGCACATGCCTGTCTATGCCACCTTGCTCGCCATCGTTCTTGGTTGTCTCTTGTCTGTCCTCGGAGTTCGCGCTTTGGGATCGACCGATTTGAACCCTGTCAGTGGTATTGGTAAAGTCTCACAGTTCGCCTTTGCAGGAGTTGTCCCCGGAGGCATTGTCGCCAACCTGATTGCTGGAGGTATTGCCGAGGCAGGAGCTCAACAGGCCGGAGACTTGATGCAGGATCTCAAGACGGGACATTTACTCGGCGCCTCACCCAAGGCCCAGTTCTGGGGTCAATTGATCGGTTCCTTGGCCTCAGTCTTCATCTCGACGGGAGTCTACAAGTTGTACTCGTCCGCGTATGAGTTGCCCGGTCCCCAGTTTGCAGTCCCCACGGCTAAGGTCTGGTTGGACCTCGCTCGTCTCTTGAACGGTCACCCCTTGCCCTACAACACTGGCCCCTTCATCTGGGGTTTCGCTGCATTCTTTGCTCTCCTGACCATCATCCAAGTCGTCTACTCCGATGTCGCCTTCTTGAAGTCCCGCAGCCGCAACGGATCCATCCGCGGTCGTCCTCGTTGGATCAGTTGGATCCCCTCCGGCATCGCATTCGCTATCGGAATGTACAACCTGCCCAACTTTACATTGGCCCGATTTGTTGGAGGAGTGGTGTCGCTGTGGTGGGATTGGCATTGCAAGAAGTATGCGGATCACCCTTCTGCCAAGTATGCAAAGTTGGGACGTGTGTTTTTGATCATTATCGCGTCCGGGTTTGTGTTGGGCGAGGGCACGTTCTCGATTGTGAACTTGATCTTGAAGACGGGCAAGGTCCACTCTGCATCCTGTGTCGGATGCTATGCCGGTGCCTGCTCCTGCAACTAAGCGTACCGATTGTACTGTAGTGCTCTAGTTATCGTTTTAACTCTCTAATTTATCCGAAGCGAATATACCTTTCTTTATTCATCCATGCGTTTGTGTTCAATGGAGTGTTGTGATGGAGAGTGGGCGCGGAAAATAGTTGTCTGACCGTTTGCATCAAGTTGACTTGAATAACCATTTTCCGAAGAAAATGTCCATGTGGACAAATTGAGGTGAGGGAAATAAATCGAATAAAAAGGTCGGCGACAGATTGACATCCATTCCACGCTTCCTCTCTTCTTTCCCTTTGTCAACATTATCCCACAACCATCCTTGTCCACTTTTCTCTCACTGACGAAAAAAAAGACTACATCAACTACCAGTCTGAGAGCGCGATAACAAAAAACCATACTTGAAGCCAAGCCAACAAACAAACACCCATGAGCGACCAACAGCAACAGCAGGAAGAATACGCGCCCACAGCCTCGGGCACCGAGTGGGCAGAAGAAATCACTAGCCTTGAGGATTACGTCCACAAAAGTGCAGGACGCCTCGAAGCGACCGTCGCCAATTCTTGTGTCCCCAAGGACAATGGAGACGCCCTAAGTAAGTTGCAGACGTGCAGTGAATAAAACATTATTTTTTTTTTTTCGTTTTCTGACGTGTTAACATTTTTTTGTTCTTCTATCACCATTGTTCTTCTGGCACTAGCGGATGGCGGGATCTTGACGAGTGCAAACCACAAGACATGGTTCCCCTATGTGCACCCTCGCCAGTGGATCCATAAGGTTTCTAAGGAGTATCGATATGGCAACTATGTCATCGTTGACCGCAAGGTAGCTGCCTCTCTGCTTTGTACTGTTTTGTTACTCTGGGATGGGAGGATGTTTTTTACGACCTGATATACTGATACATACCTTCTTTTCTTGCTTGGACAATGAATGAGTAGACAGGCAAGATGGTGTGGGAGGACATGCCAGTCTATGCCCGCATTGGGATGCACCTTCTCTTTGCCTGTCAATTCGATCACAGGCGTAAGTTATTCTCTTCTTTAATCGTACAGTCCAATTGGCGGGAGAAAAAAAAAATGGCGCATAGCATGGACAGCCTGACTGACAATTACCCCTCTTTTCATTCAAACACAGTGCTGGAGACGCACAACTTGCAACACTTGTTTCTGAAAGAATCGCTGACGCAAGGCAAACACTTTGATGATCCAGTATCTGTCAGTCATATCGGATCCTTTATCAAGACGTACAGACTGGATTTGACAGAGTTGTTGGAGGAGAACCTGGCCAATTACGGAACGTTCAACGAGTTCTTTTATAGGAAGCTAAAGCCAGTTGCGCGGCCTATTGACAGCAAGGACGATCCCGTAAGTCCTTTCCCCCCAACTTTGCAATACAATAACAACGGAAACACTTTCAAGGTATCAAAAAAAATATTTCTGACTTGTTCGAGTTACTTAACGCATGCGTAAATAGACGGTGATAACCTCAGCTGCAGATTGTCGTCTCGCCGTCTTCGACTCGATCTCAACTGCACAAGAGTTCTGGATCAAGGGCCAGAAATTCACCCTCCCAATCTTCCTCCAGGACCCCGACCTCGCCGCAGAATTCGACCAATCTTCTATCGCGATTTTCAGGTTGGCCCCACAGGATTATCATCGGTTCCATAGTCCTGTGAAGGCGACGGTGTCGAGAGATAGGGAGCCGGTGAAGATTGGGGGCACGTATTTTACGGTGAACCCGATGGCTGTGAACGAGAATCTGGATGTGTTTACGGAGAATGTTCGTGTTGTTTCTGTGCTTGATCTTGATAGGGTTGAAGGTAATGAGGCGTTTGATAGGTGTGTGTTTGTCTCAATCGGGGCCTTGCTAGGTAAGAAGCACCATGTCATCCATTATTAGAGTACTATCGTCATTTCTTTTTGCTTTGATCAAAAAGGCGCTAACAGAAATGATATCATTTTTCAATTGCATATTGCACTAGTCGGGTCGATTGAACTGACGGGGGGGAAGGTGCCCGGGACCAAGCTGGAGAAGGGAGATGAGCTCGGGTATTTCGCGTACGGTGGATCGACATGTATCCTTTTGTTCAAGAAGGGCACCGTTCAGTTTGACCAGGATCTGATTGAGAACTCCAAGAAGGGTGTTGAGACACTCGTCCGCATGGGCGAACACATCGGACGTCACATTTGATTCATCAAGGAGGGTTTATTTCACTTTCTGCATTACTCGAAGTGAACATAGATGGACATATCGAGTACACAACAAGACAATATACTATATTTAAAAGTCGACGACGGAACCAAGACCCATGGTCTCTGCCCTATCGAGGACCAATGCAGTAATGGCGACATCCTGGGCCGCAATCCCCACACTCTTGAAAATCGTCACATCCTTCTTCTTCTCCCTGTCTTGATTATTCCCACGGTCCGAAAACTCCTTGGGCAAGGCTCCCCGCTTGAACTTGCCATCCTCTGCAAAGATCTCACCCAACTCTACCAAAACTCCATTCTCGCCCGTCAGTTTCTTGGCCAGGATAAATTCTCCAGCCTCATGTTCACATTCCTTCTTGGCATCGACCAACGTCCAAGCACGAGCGACCAAGGACTGATCGATTTCGTGCATTGCCGGAGTGTAGGATCCGACCATGTTGAGGTGCGTTCCGGGTTGGACCCATTCTCCGGGGAAGAGGGCCTCGGTTGTGTTTGTGCAAGTGCAGATAATGTGTGCGGATTGGACGATTTCCTTCAGTTTGTCCTGGGGCGATCCTGACCCTGATCCAGTTGTCGAGGAAGTGGATTCGCCGGTGGTGATGCTGAAGGCCGAGATATCGATCGACTTGGCACTGCAATCGGGCGATAGTTCATGGACAAGGTCGCGGGCTCGAGGGAGGGTCCTGTTACAGATGACGATGCGTGAGATCTGGTCTGGCAAGACATGTGTCAACAACTGAATATGTGCTTTTGCCTGCGCGCCTGATCCAAACACTACCAACGACAACGCCTTATTCTTCTCCTGCTTGTTCTCAAAGATAACCCGAGTAGCAAGGGCAGACCCGGCAGCAGTGCGAACAGCCGTCAAGAGTCGAGCATTGACGAGTCCTCGGGGTTCCCCAGATTTGTTGTCGAGGACGATGGTGACGCCCGGGAGGCCATCCTTCGAGTCTGTTTTGGGGACGGAGACGATTTTGACGGTTGAAGTGAGGGTGTCGATTCTTGAAGGCATGGTGAGGGTTTTGTGGTAGGGGGTTTGGAGTGTTGATCTCTGTGGTGTCTGGGTCTCGTTTGCACTGTGGTTGTAGTTGAAAAAGGGACGATAATGGTGAGTAATTGTTTGATGTGTGAGTAATAGTATGACTGGGATATGGGCATGAAAAAGAGAGGTGGTACCTGTAGGCGTGGAAGGCTTGTGCTTGAGAGGTGAGAATATCCTCGATGTCGATGTCCTTGAGGACGGCAGCGACGTGCTCCAAGGAAAGAACGCGGACGGGAGGCATCTTTTGGATAAGTGTAAGGGTGAAGGTGAAGGTGAAGGGAAAAGAGGGAAAGTGAGAGGTGTGAACACAAGGGTCTTTAATTGAATTGTGGTCCTGTTTCCTTGTGCCTGAGTGACGTCATTTTTGGTTGAAAAATCAAGGTGAGTGTGGGGAAACAGACACCATTCGGTTCAAACATCCTTTTCATCCTTTTTATCCTTTCCTTCATCACCATCCCTCAGGAACATCAAGATGCCAGTCGAAACAACCAAAGTTCAGGAACAGGAAAAGCACAGCCAACAGCCAACCGCTCTCACACTGCGGTCGATTGCCTTCTCGCACTACAACGAAAAGGCTCGCTGGGGACTCGACTACTACAAGGTCCCCTACATCGAATATCGCTCCCTGCCCATCTGCCACATGATCTCAATGTTCAAGTACAAGGCCAAGGCTCGCCCCCCTGGCCCAGGAGCCAGTGTCTTTGTCACCCCTCACCTCACCGTTGAACACAACAGCAGCAACAACAAGGACAAGGAGAACGAGACCATTATTCTCAACGACTCGAAAAAGATTCTCGAATTCCTCTCGGATCAATATGCAGCACCCGCCAACAGCAACGGCAAGAGTTCAGCATCACCCAACCTGTATTCGAACGACGAGGCATCAAAGGCCAAGATCCAGGCATTGGAAGAACGGTTCAACACCATGATCGGTCCCCATGTCCGCCGAGTCATGTACTACGAGATCCTCCTCCATTCCCCCAGATCCGTGGCTCGTTCCCTGGGCCAACACGACAACGCCGGCAAGTTACAGTCCTGGATCTGGAGCCTCTTCCTCCCGATCTTCGTCTGGATGTTGTGCAAGGCGATGCACATCAACGAGACCTCGGCCGCCCGATCGAGAGACATTCTCAAGCGGGAGTTTGAACACCTCTCACAAGTTCTGGAATCGGGACCTCCTGGACCAGCATACCTTGTCGGGAACCAGTTTACGGCGGCAGATTTGACATTGGCCAGTTTGGGTGGGTTGGCGGTAGGAGTGACAAATGAGGATGGGTATGGGGCTTGGGTGCCAAGCATCCAGGATATGGCGAGACCGGAGGGGAGGAAGTTTATGGAGGAGTTGAGGGCTACGACGGCGGGGCAGCATATCATGGAGTGCTACAAGTTGCATAGAGGACACAAGGCGCCTGGATCGGGGTATGGGTTTAGCTTCTTTGGTCTGTGGTAAAAAATCATCATTGGCATCATCACTACCATTGCGTTCACCACATTTAGTCATAATAATAATAAAAGAAAAGAAAAGAAAAGAAAAGAAAGAGAACGTAATGGGCAATGTTGGTAATAGGCAGAACAGGGTGCATGGTTTTATTGCAATGACGACAGACAAGGGGGCAAGGTTGTGTCGATGACGATGGTGGTACAGACAAGAGGCGGATAGTCTATGATGAGACGAGCGACATGGAGATATATCGAGAAGTAGGTGGCTGTCGTGTCTTGAGTTGTGTGAAAATGGACAACTGACATTGGGCCACGCGCAGAGTTGAAGGCCGGCTTTGCCCTTTTCTACCTGTGTCGTTTATGGGTGATGGTGTCTGTTCGTTCACTTGTCACACGTTGACGTCTTTCCTTTGTTCTTTTCTTTCTTCGCTCTTTCCTTTCCTCTCTTTCCCTACTCCTTCTTTCTCGCTCTCTTTTTTGTTTCTTTTCCCCTTCCCTCTCTTTTCTTTTCTTTTCTTTCATATCACCCACCTCTCTCTGTCTCTACTTCCAAACCAGACCAACCTCCTTCCCTCTCTCCGCTTCCTTCCATCACCACTGTCCTCTCTTCCACACTACCCACCGACCAACTCACTCTCATTCACTCTCTCACCCACTCACACACTTCAACACTGTCACCCCTTTGCGCCTCGCCATAGCCATGCCTGCCACTTCACAGGTAACACACGAACTCAACAGCAGCAACAACAACAACAACAACAGCAACAGCAACAACAGCAACAACAACAACAGCAACAACCACACGGAGACACTACCAATGAACAATGGAACCGTGGAACACCACACAACACAACACCCTCGACAATAACCACCACCTCACAGCTTCCCAAACACTTCGACTCCATATCGTTTCTTAAAAAGAAAAATGCATTGCTTTACCAAGCTAACTCACACCACCTCACCTCACCTTTTCTTCTCCATTCCAATGATCTCACAGCCGCATGCTGTCCATATTCTGCCGGCAGTGGCCGAGGAGATTTCCTCCTCCCAGCAAAAGTTCACACCTCCACTCTCCACCGCTCTACAGGACAGTAATACATCAGTACAGCCGACGAAAACAGCAGCAGTAACATTCGACCTTCACAGCCAAACCTCGCCATCGTCCCCGCCTCCTCCCCCTCAGCAACAGCAACAACAAGCAGACACCATCTCACCCGGAGTCACCTTCTCGGACGATCAGTATGAGCAGTATGACTCTGACATGGAGCCAGAGCTTGACTTGGGCGTTTCACGCGAGACCTTACACGAAGGTCAGGTTCTGAAGGCTGGCTTTCTTCACAAGAAGGGCGAACGTATCAAGGTAAAAAGACAGATACCATGAAAGAAAGACAATGGACAAGATTGGATGGGAAGTCTGCCAAGGGCTTTTGTTGGATATGACATAACACGGCACGACATCAATGGTGGACAGGAGGTTTTCGAAAAAAAAGGACGTAAATATGACACATCACTGCATGCCAGGGACGCGATAGGGCACAGCGAGATGGACAAAACACAGCGAATGTATACATACAGCTCGAGGACGCATGATGAACGCTCAAATCAGGGACCCCAGTCAGTCAGGTCAGGGAGCCAGAGAGGTGTTTTAATATATGAAAGAGGCGAGCTTTTGCATTAGTGCAGTAATTGGGTTGGTCCCTTCTTATGGTCCCTTCATTTCGGATATAGTTCATTGCATGTAATTGTGTGGTGTGGAAGTAATGTCCTATTACAAGCCTATGGACAATATGCTCTCGGGACCAACTTTGCTGAGCTCGATTGCTTTATTTTTACCCTCCTACACTTTTTGAAGGAATGAGCCCCTCTCTTTCTCTCTCTTCTCTCTCGTCTCACTTTTCGTCAAGGGAAGAGGAGAGAAGGACTCATCAAAAGCAGTCCATGCAAGATGGGAGATGGATGGCTCTTTGGATCTTCTTTCTGTCCTTTGTGTGTGTGTGTATTGTTCTCTACCGCCACCTCCCTTGTCCCTTTGCGTTTGCTCTTTCCACATGGTTGCATCACAACGATTTTTTTCTTTTTCCTTTTTCCTTTTGCTTGTAAGATGGATCAGGTTGCCTAACGCGCCCAATCCTATTTTCCTTCGGTGGTGATAGATCTGGAAGAAAAAGTGGTTCGTGCTCCGGACGTCCAAACTCGCCTACTACAAGGATAGCAAAGAGTACGAGCTCCTCCGCATCATCGATATCCGGGACATTCACAAGGCCGCAGAGATGGTCGTTAAAAACAAGACAGGCGTCTTTGTCATCGTGACCCCACGGAGGACTTTTACCGTCCAGGCCGACAGCGCCGCCGAGATGGAACAGTGGGTCAATGCGATCAACCAGGCCAAGATCCAGCACGACTTTGCCTCAAGTTCCGACATGGATTCATATGCTGGATCCACCCCACAGTTGGATCATCCGAGTTCAGCACCCCAGCCTGGTTCTGCAGTCGCTGCAGGAAAACGACCCGAATTGGTCAAGCAGGGTTCTGGAACATTTATGCCTCCTCGCCAAAACTCTCTTTCGCTCTCAGACCCAGGACTCGCCAACAGTGGTGAAAATCCCACCAGAGCAGGCAGGAATATGTCTCCCCCAACATCTTCCCCCTTGTCGAGGAACGAGCCAAACCTTTCTGGTCTCTCGTTGGGGATTATGAGCCAATCGTTGGGGCAGTTACCCTCCTCTGCAAGCTCACCCCCTCATCATCCGTCGGGACCCACCGTTGCATCAAACCGGATCCTGCAGCAGCAACAGTCGCCTCACAGGACAGCTGATGGCTTATCGTTGATCACTTCTGGAGCAAAGGCAACTCGCATCGGCGGTTCTCCGGCGTCACCTCCACGAGACGATGGCCTTCAGGCCGATCTTGCTCCCAACTCCCTCTCATCCAACTTTTCATCCAACACTTCTCCCAAGACACCCACGTCTCCGGAATATGGCTCTGGTGGAGAGCAGTATGGCCATGGCGAGCACAATGTGTCATCGGAAGAGGAGGAAGATATTGGCGATGATCCCACAGTTCTTGAGGCAGGACGCGTTGCAGCAGCAGCTAATGCACCAGGATCCGGATTGGTGACAGGCGAGCAGTTGGAGAGCAAGGTCGTTCGGCAAGGGTACCTCTTGAAGCTGGGCAACACTTACAAGGTACTTTCTCGTTCTTACCTTGAAGCCTCGATCTGGTGCTTTGAGTGACATATGCGTCAAGAAACTAATCTTAATTATTTCTATTTCCTTTGTGGTGCAGACTTGGCGCAAGAAATGGTTCGTGCTCCGCGGCGACAAACTGACATACTACAAGAACACGAAGGTATATACTCTTTACGCTTCTTTGTCCAAAATACTGCTAATTTCATTTGGTTAATTTACTTACTGTTCTGTTCTGTTCCGCTGAATACTCTCGAACTATAGGAGTACCAACCTTTGGGTATCATCCCATTGTCGAGCATCATCGACGCATTGCAGACGGACCCTGTGTCAAAGCACAAGCAGTACTGCCTTCGGATTGTCACGGCGAAACGGAGTTTTGTCTGCTGTGCGCCTGACGAGGACACGCTCTTGTTGTGGCTGGATGCAATTCATGTCGAGTGCGACCGTGTAGCCCTGGAATCGCAGCGAGAGCAGGATGGCGAGGATTTGTTGTCGGATCCAAGAGCCATGGGTCGTGTTGCCCACATGAATGCTACTCAAGGAGGAGCAGGAGCAACACCAACAGTAGGAGGCGCTGTACCCCGGTCAGGATCAAGGTCGGGTCTGGCACCAGCTGCGGTGTCCAGCAGCATACAATCTACTGGGTCGCAGCTCAAGAAGGTGCTCAATCAGGAGAGCGGCGGTGAAGCTGGCGGAGGTGGAGGCGGAGGCGGGAGTGGTCCTTCTGTCTCGTTCTCCACATCTCCTGCTGTTGGCGGACCATTGCTGGTTCCTCATGCTGCTGGAGGCAACTTGTCGTCCTCCTTTGCGACCTCTCCGTCGCGATCATACCATACTCAAGAGGGTCTAGCGCGCCCTACCACTGTGACCTTCAGCACATAATCTTTTTTCCCTCTCTTCTTTTCACACTAATGTCTTGTCCATTTGCTTTGTTTTTTTTTGTCGTAATTTTTTTTTCCTTCACGTTTTCATGCATCCTATCCTCCCTTCTCCACCCTAATTACGCCTCATAATGACCCCTTCACAACGTCCCTCGTCCTACGTTGACATCAACTTACCAAAATACTAATACACATAATGTAATGTTAAATATCCAATCTCTCCCGTGTACCGTGGTCGTTGTTTGTGTCTGGCTACAGCTGACTCCTCTTGCCATTCGTCTTCCAGCGTAAAGTTTTTCAGAGGACGAGGTGTACTTTCCTTCCTTCCTGCCAGACACTGAATGGATGCTGGTCGAATTCGAGCCGTTGACTACAGAAAAAGGGGATCAGTCTCGAAACACAAATCGCCCAGGTCGTTGTTTGAAGAAGATGCAATCTTTTTTTTCCCCTGAACATCCACCGAAAATTGCTTGAACAAAAGTCGCCTCCCTTGCTCGTCTGTCCTGATAGATGCGCGCTGAGAAAGGCGGTGTGTGTGTGTGTGTGTGTCGATCGTAACTAGGGTGGGGAGGGGGGACACATGAAGTTATAATTATACGTGACTGATAGACAGGACCAGGACGTGTTTTGAGACAAGCTGGACTGCGTTTGATACACTTGGACGCGAACATCCTTAAACAAACGCGTTTGTGCCATCATCAATGATATGACGGCAAAACATTACCACTCACCAGGAAGGACAGATATAAATACCCCCCCCAACCCCTCACCTTCTTTTTACTACTTTTCTCTCTATTTTTACTATCCCTGTTCTCCTACTTTCTCACGCCTCGACTTCCATACGACTCAAGGCCCTCCACTCACACCCGCTCACACATCCAACACTCGAGTCATCAGGGAAGAGACGAGGAGACGAGCACCAACGAGGGCATGAGGAATGAATACTAGAGAACATGTCTTTTAATAAAGACACGTAGCTATGAACGAGAAAAACTGACTATGGTTCGATAATTGTAACGTGAAGATCGCCTTTGCTGTGAGCACTTGTTGGGGGTGGGTGGGGGGGGGGGGGGGAGTGAACAAAGCCAAATCTTTTGAAGCACATATGCAGACACCTGAACCAAGTATGAGGCTATCCGTTCCACTGTGGGCTTCCTCTTTTTATGGCGTTTCTGAGGCATTGTTGGCAAACTTTGGGCTCATGTGTTTACAACCATGACAGGGAGTTGACTGCCCACAAGATCCAACATATTGATGGTGGTGATCAAATGGAAACATTTCGATCCGTCCGTATCCTCGCCAAAGGCATAGAGTATTGTTGAGAAAGTACACTTCTCATACACCTGTTTTTCACATTTGTTTTTTATTTTGGGAGAATGCTGTATGATGATGAATAGTGAGAAATGGCTATGCTAAAGCAATAAAGAAACTGTGGTTACCTATGGTATGATGTTGATAAAGCATTGGGAAGTTGAAAGAGTGGGGTGATGTTTTTCTGAAAGAAAAAACTGGGTGAGGCTTTGGAAAAGAAAGAAAAAAAAAAGAATACAATGATGATACAGTGGAATTCCAAATCCTGAAGGCGTCTCCGTTTAATCCAGGACAAGAGCAAATAAAGAAAGCATCCAAGCAACAACAGTGTTGGTTTAATGCAGCTGCTGTTGCTGACGCTGTTGGTAACGCTGCTGTTCAACGGTGACGGCAGCCAGGGCAGCAGTAAGAGTCGAGACCTGGGAGACTGTGCTCGTGGGCGACTTGGGCGCGGCAGAGGCTAGGGTGGGCGAGAGTGATGAAGGCGTCACCAAGCCCGACGTCATCATACCTGCCGTGTGAAGACCTGCCGAAGATGAAGAATTGGTCTGGATCGAGAGTGGGTTCAGTCCAGGAAGAGTCGCGCGGCTGAGCACGGGAGAAGTCATAGGCGTGACATCGGTCGAAAACACGTTGGGATCCACAGTGTTGCGGTAGGCCGACAGACTTGACAAAAGGCTCGTGGTGATGGCTGCAGTGGTGGCGGCAGCGGCATTTTGGATGCTGGAGCTGGTGTTGGGGCTGGAGTCTGGTGTCTGTTCTACGAGTGGCGAAGACTTGGTGATGTTTCCCGCATTGTTGTTGTTGCTGCTGTTGTTCTGGTTATTCTGGTTGTTCTGGTTGGCGGCCGATGCGGAAATCGCGTTAATGGCAGCCATCATCATGGGAGAAGCCTCGACTGTCGAAAGTGCGGCCGCAAGAGTCATGGCCGCAGCCTGGTTGTTGGTAAAGGCACCGTTCATCAAAAGAGGGTGGCTGGTCAATCCTGCTTGGTGAGCCTTCAAAGCGGCGGTCAGGTTGGGGTGCGAATGTTCGATGTGGTACTTGAGCCCGTTCAGGTTCTTGTAGCGTTTCCCGCACTCAAGGAAGGAGCAGACGTATGGTTTGGATTCGGGTCCTTCGGCGTCGCTGAGACCAGATGCCGAGCAGTGTCCGTGCTGGTTGTGATACTTGAGTCCGTTCGGGTTCTTGTAGGCCTTGTCGCATCCGCTGACTGTGCACCGATATGGCTTGTCTGCGCTAGAAGATCCGGACTTGCCGATGCTCTCCATAATGCTCACCAACTCCTCGCGCTTCCTGATCAGGTCTTCCGCTGCCTTAAGATATGCTGGGGATCCGACCTCGCCGACATCCGGCAACAGACCCTGCTGAATCGCGTGCTCCAAATAGTCGGTAACTGTGCTCAAGAGCTCTTCCTGTGATTTCACGGGGCCTCCTGTTGCTTGTCCTGTTGCCGTGGAGGCGAGAGCGTTCGACAATAGGGAGGCGGCGTTTGCGGTAGTAGTTGAAGTGGTGTTTGGGCTGACTCTGTTCGTCAAGGGGTTAGTTGGAGTCAATGTCACGTTTTGGAAATTGGAAACCTTCTTAGCCATTGGACTGTGGGTATCAAAGGACGTCGAGTAAGCGGAGAGATCACGCTTCTTGCTGGCCAGGTTAGAGAACTCAGCCTGAGCCGTGGTCCTCAAAATCGAGTTGGGAAAGGCCGAAACAGCATCATCGAGGGCCATGCCAGAGTCCTCAGAGTAGATGTCGGAAAGCGAGACCCCATTGTTCTTTTTCTTGGCGTTCAAAAATGAGAGCGGGGTCAGCTTTTGGTGCTGCTGTTGTTGATGGCTGGCTGTCAGGGCTGCGACAGTGGCTGCGGCGGCAGCATTGGCCGCTGAGGCCGAATGTGATTTGCTGTGGTTATTGCTGAAGCCATGGCCGTTGTGCCGTCCGTTTGATTGGGGATGGTCATTGCCCGAGTCCGAGCCGGTGGACCAACCATCCTCGTCCGTGAATCCTGCGGGGACGGGGTGGCCATTGTCGTCATCCTCCTCGAAGCGCACATGGGCCTCCTCATAGTGCTGCAGGAGTGCATGCAGATCGCCGAGGGTCAGGCCACAGCAGGAAAAGTTTTTGCAGTAGTTGGCCTCAAGTTCCCGCTGATAGACATCGCCTCTTCTTGGCGATGAGCTGTATTCTGGCTGGATGGGACTATGTATTCCGAAATAAGAGGGATGAGACGATAGAGTAAGTCAAGGTAAGCAAACACACAATTGGAACAGCAAAAAAAACGGCTGGATTGCATAAGACCATAAGACAAGACACCACATGGAAAAAAAGTAAAGATAAAAAGAGCGAGGTAGGCCAAGTGCTGACAAATATAGCACCACTTCTTTTTTTTTGAAGGCTGAACATGGAAAGTGAGAAAACAAACGTACTCGGACAGCTGGGGGGATTGGCTGTATGGGAAGGGGGCAAAGAAGGATGGACGCCTCAGTTGGGCAGAGTGGAAGGAGCCGATCGACAGGACGAGAGAGGGTCTCCGCAGGGCAGTTGCAGCGGCAAGGGCTTCGGGGTTGAACGGAGAGGAAGCCGCGCCGGAGTTTGAGAGCGACGGGAAGCCTCCTTGTCCATGGAAGCTGCTGCCAAAGGGGGTCGAGGCTGTGCTACTATGGTTATTGTAGTGGTTGCTGTTGCTGTAGCGGGAGTTGTTATTGTTAGCAGAAGAGGAGGAGGAGGAGTTTGCCGAGATGTTGATGCTCGGCGTTGGGATGGAGGCGGGCATCTCTCTGGGAGTGAAGGGAAGTGTAGGCGCCAGTGCGTGTGAATGTGTAAGGGAGGAATGAAGGGAGGAGAAAGAAAAGAAGGGTAAAGGGTGTGAGAAAGAGAGACAAAGAGCAGTGAGAGCAGAGGGTGCTAGTGTTTGTGAAGGGGAGGAGTAAGGGGACGTGGGAAGCGAGAGAGATGGACAGAGCAAAGGGCACAAAGGAGAAGGGAGAAGGGAGAAGGAGGAGTGAGAGTAATGAGGAAAAGAGAAGAGGAGGAGGAAGAGGAAAGAGAAGAGAGAAAGTAAAAAAAGGCGGGAAACGCACACACACATAAAGGGAAAAAAGGAAGAAGGCTTTCTTCCTTGCGTGATGTCAAGGACCTCGGTGATGACGGTGGGTTGTTAATGGACAAAGAAGCCCCCCATTCATTACTTGTTTGCTCTCGCTCACACGCAGTTCACTCTCGCTGCTGCTCTCATTCTCACTCTCACTCTCAGCCATGCATGTGTCGAACAGATAGAGGCAGACATGGCAGATAGACAAACAAACAAACGGACGGACACGACGGAATAGCCACGCATGAGAGAAAGGGTGGTGTTGCGCCCCATGCACACATACACAACACACGCACATTCTTTTTTTTCATACATTGGTTGTCGCCTGGCTGACGTGCAAGTGTAATACGACTAGTTCTCTCTTTCAACTGTTATCTTACTCATCGTTCACACTCTCTCTCGTTCTCTTTCTCCTCATCCTTCTCGCACTTCATTGTTGAACGGAGACCCCGTTCAGACAATCTTTGGCCAAGGCCCATTGATTGGCTACGTTCCCATATGGCTTTTTTTTCTCGCTCTTAGTATTCAGACCCCGTCCTGGGTTCGTGTCGTCGGTCGGTCAATTACAAAGACTCTCCCTTCGTCAATGGCAGGGGATGAGTTAAAGGTAGAAGAAGCGACAATCAAAAGAGAAAAAAAGGCACCCTGATGTTGGTGTCTGTCAGTTGCTCTGTTGTATCACCATTGGGACATTAGCCAAGGTTATGCTCTCCTTCACTTTTGATTGAGAGTAAAGGACGGTGTCGACGAACGGGCGGGATACAAAAAAAACGCAAGGAAGCCATGGCACAAATGACCGACATCCAAGAAAATGAATAAAAAAAAAGACCCGAGTCAGGGCATGGCTGAACTTCAATCCCACTTTTCTTGCATCCACACAGGACATGGAATGGAAATCGGTGTGCTGAATCCGCTGGGTTGAATTTGAACTCTTATCCCTTTTTCCTCCTCGTTTTTTGTATGTTCCCCCATTCACTGCTCCCAAAAAGAGAGTTCTTCCTCCCCCTTCTCTCTGCCGTCTCTGACGAATTCCCGCGTGGCAAACCGTTTCTTACTTACCTTCTTACCCCCCAAACCAGACCCTACACCAACCCAACACAAACACGCACCCCAACCTTACCACGTCTTGTACAAACAGCATGCAGGCTGACGAACAAATAAGCTTTCGCTTGTATGCATCTCGCCACATGAGTAACAAAAAAACAAGCAACAACCAAGGGAATTGTACGTACTCCTACGGTATGTGTGATCATCATACTCAACGGTTGGTATTTTTTCACTTCTTTGACTGACAAAAAACAGGTTCGCCTCTTGTTTCTTGTCTCGAGTCTCAAGTCGAGTCTTTCTCTCCCTCTCAACAGTCAGATCGTGATCCATAGTTATCGCAGTTGTTATTCATCCCCGCCATGTTCATTTTCCACCAGGGAACAATTATCGATAAAAATAGCAATGGAGAGGATTGTCTATTGAAACATTTTTTTTTCCATTATTTTCTTTGATGATGAACCACCCTCTTCCGAATTGACGCCACCAACGTGAGAGAACCACGCGTCAAAATATCAGTAAAACGCGGCTCAAGATCAGTCGATATTCCACAACGCTTCATGTCCTGATTCATGTTAGTCTCAATGAGCCAACAAGTGTTGATTCCAATCCTACCTGGAGCTAGGACCTGAAAGTCCTGCAAGAGGACCGGTGCAACTGACTTTACCGGTTTTCGCCTGTCGTCATCCCAATATGCAGGATGTGTTCAACGAATTCTTCGTTCTTGGGATCGATAGGAACCAAAACTTCGCACCGCGCTCATCGTACTTTTTACTTATTTCTTTCTTTTGTCTTTCTTTTTGTTTGTTCCTTGTTCGCCTTTGTGCTCGCCCATTGCGAAATGTCATGCATTGAATCATCCCTGTTCGCCTATCTCTGTCTCTCTGTTGACAAACCTGGGACTTTTTTCATCCATCACTTCCTGATACTTTGTTCCTTGATCCTTTTTTCTCTTCTTTCTCTCCGTCCCTACTTCAAAGATTATCTTTCTATTATCCCAACCACCTATTATCCTCTTTACGCGTAATCATCTCCTTCTCCTTCTCTCCCTCTCTCGACGCCTAGAAACTATTCTCATTTTCTCCTCCCACAACTTTATGACCCACCACTGACGCAATCCGCTTCCACTCTCTCACAACCATGTTGAAACGAAGAAACACCATCCACCCCGGCCAGTACACCAAACCCATCCATCCCTTGGATCGCCTTCATTCCCCTCTCACACCTACCTCTTCTTCTTCCACCAACCCCTTCCTCTCTTCATCTCTTGACGACCTCAGCACCCTTGTCACCAAACACAGTCGCCACCACCAACAACCATTATCTGCAAACTGCAACAACAACAACAATCCTTTCACTCCACAAAACACTGTTCCTATCGATCACCAGGAGCAGCAGGACTATCGATTTCTATCTCCGGAACAATGTGATGACCAACATCAGCAACAACCTCAAACCAACACCAACAACACAAAGGACTTGCACAGGCGCCGGATGTCACTGGATGTCTTCAAGGTCCCTTTCAACCTCAACAAGAGCCGTCGTGCGACCTGTGCAGCCTCGGATCTTAAGCGGATGCTGACCATCAAAACTTCGTCTGTCTTGGTCAGACGTCAGCAGAAAAAGGCGGATGATCAGAGTGACGGTAGCAACAATGGAGTAAATAACCACGACGGCCCTGTGGATGAGATTTTGAAGACTTCTCGATATCATCCTGATGAACAAGTGATGGATCGTCAGGGCGATGATGATGGGCAACAGTATCAGAACTTTGCTCAAGATGGACAGGCGATGGAAGACGAGGATAGCTACCGATACCAACATCAACATGCTCACCACCAATACAGCAATGATGCGGCGGAAGAGTCTTTCAACCCGTTCGTACAACACCACAACAACCACAAAGGACACGGTCAAGACATAGCAGCACATCCCTTCGACTCTGCACCTGATCAGGATACAGACCCATACCGCCAACCGTTCCAGGCAACAGATCGACCCATCAATATAGACGAGAAGAAATCCACGAACATGACGCGTCGCCGATATAGCGTCTTCTCCGACTGGTCGATTGAAGACTGTCCACGCCTTTTGGCTATGCAGCAGCGACAACAGCAGCAGCAGCGGGAGGAGCAGGAGCAGCTTGATCGACTGTATCAGGTACATATGAATGTCAGTCAACTTGTCCTTTTCCATCAATGCTCTATCGCGTTTTTTATATTCAATGTTTGCTGACAGTCATTGTTCCTCCTTTCATGAATTAGGGTATGTCGTCATCGCAGACAATGTTGGCTCGCTCTACGACAGACACGAGTCTAGGTCAGACCTACGACATTACACAACATCGGCGCCACACAACAATTGCACACACCCATCATCCTTCACCCGAATCCTCAACACCAGCTCCACCACCTGCAGCAGTGGCTTCTTCAGGGATGACAGGACGACCGCGCAGGAACACGGTCATCCTTGGCAAGAACCTGATCCGATCCGCAACATCAGCAGCAGGTCCCAACCATCGTCGTCCCAACCCAGAGACTGCGTCCCTCAAATCAACGACCTCTCGACATCCCGCGACAACAGATGCCTACACTGCATCCCTCCAACGCCGCCAACTGCGACAACAACAGCAGCAACAGCAACAGAAACAGCATGAGCATGGGAATGGCCAGCTACGACAACCTGTAGGAAGGCCTGAGTCCTCACATTCGTACAAGCACGACTTTTTGAAGGACACGGCAAAGTGGAAACCGCACCCTTGGACAGTAGCCTCGTCTTCGTATTCCAGTGCCTGTTCGAGCCCCTCGTCTCCTCTTCACCAGAGCAGGTTTCCACATGAGTTGGGTCATGAGGAGAGTGATCAAGACGACTCTGATGAAAGTAGTAGTGAAGACGACGACAGTGGCAGTAACAGCGACAGCGAGGAAGATAGTGAGGATGATGGTAGAGATGGTAGCATGAAGGCGGTGGGAAGGTGTGAGAGGGATCAAGGAGATGCGTGTCGTCAAGAGCACTCACGATACCATTCAACCCATGGTCGTTCTCAAGATCATCCCAGCCATCGTCGGCAATCTTTAGTGCAGGAACAAGGAGGACAAGGACGGAGGCAATCTATGGACGCGAGTGATGCCCACTCTTATCGCATACTATCAGCAACCACAACAACAACCACTCCTCTACCAAAAGCCGAGCCGCTGTACCACGATATGAAAGCGATCCAAATGAAACCCTATGGCCATGAGGACGACGACGACGATGGTTACAGTAGATTCGAGCAACAGGCAGGCCAGGAGGATGTGGGTCCTCAAGAGCAGGGATACGAGGACGGCAGTGGCGGCAATTATGGTTACTATGACGATTCGTTTCAATGGCACCCCTACAACTACGATCAACAACCTGACTCTACAGGCGGCTATTACGAGTCACCATCTTCATCGGCCGCCGCGTTCTCGGAGTCCACAACAACACCTTCCAAGGCCCAGTCCCAGGACAGTCTCGCCAAAAAAGCCAGCCTTGCCAAAGCCAAGTTCTACAAGTACCTCAGCAAATCCGCCACCACAACCTCTCCTTCCTCCTCCTCACAACACAACTACCATCCATTAGACAGCGGTGACAGCGACCTCGAAACCACCAGCCATCACCACTACCAGCATGGCTTCTACGAAGCAGAAGTAGACAACTACGACCACGACAGCAGCCATCACCAATTCGGATCAGGATACTCGTTCACGTCGTCATTGAGAGCCCGCGTGCGGTTGACAAAGACCAAGACAGTGCTTCGACAAGTCAAGCGGCGGTTGAGTGAGGCTCTTTCGGAGGCGACTACTAAGGCAGCTAGTACTTTGAGACATGATCTGCATATTGGCAAGAAATTTGGTCCTGGCCCTGTTGGGATGAATGGGGTGGTTGAGATGGAGAGTAGTTCTTCTCAGGGACAGGAACACCTTGCCCAGACTAGCCGGTAGGATCATGGGTATAGACAGGAGCAAGGCGAGGTGCATCGGCTGCAGGCACACCGACAGGATCGTGACCACGCCCAGAATCGTGTGCATGGACATGGACAAGTACAGAGACATGTAGATGGACATTCACAAGGACGCAGACAGCAGATAGCGCACCCTGCAGTGTAGAAACCGGAAGAATCGAGAATACAAAATCTCCCTTTTCCCTTTTCATCTTTTTTTTCCTTCCCTTCTTTTGCTCTTTTCTTCAGTTTTCTTCCTTCATGTCCAGATGAAGTAACCTTTTTCCGCTCTCGATGAGGTTCTAGTCCAATCTGCCCTTTAGCCCGCGCTGCATACTGAAAAAATCATTAGCCCAAAGGGAAGTACATGGTACATGTGCCATGTGTGTGGTTTTGGTGCTAAACGGGGAAGGTGTGAACATCTTGATTGTATTTCTCATCTTGCATGCAGTGCAGAGCAAAGGGGTCAATCTTTGAGTCAGGGTCTTCTGCTCGGTGTGATGTGATGTGGGTGTGGTGTGGTGTGGTGTGGTGTGGTGTGGTGTGGTGCGGACAGGGTCCAAGACCCAGTGGACAAAGGAGGGGATGGTGGAGTGGTTCAGTGGGAGGGTGGGGGATGGGTCATGTGGACAATTGGATTGGTAGAGCTCTGCTCAACTTTCCGCCTGCACCCATTTTTTTTCCCTTGGTTTTCCTTTGTTCTGGGAAAATAATGAGGAAGAAGGAGGGAGGAAGGAGACCCCTATCCTTGCTTGCGTCTAATGCACACTGTGCAGCAGCTCATTTGTGAAAAATGTGCTTGGGGGGAGGGGCTCGCTGCATGTGCTTTTTTTTTCTTTTCTTTTTGCCCTTGAAAAAAGAGGAGATATCCATAGGCAGACAAAAAACAACAACAATAGAGCGGCTAGAAGGACCCTTTCGTTTTTGTTTTGCCTTTTTTGTGGACTAAGGGATGCTGCTGCTGGCCAAGAAAAACAAAAGAAAATCTAGAAAATAAGCATCGCAGGCAGGCAGGCAGGGGAGCATATTGACAGGCATAAGTATATGCATTTTCAGTTTTATTCGCATTTGACAGCACCATTGAGTAGGTTAGGATCCATTTGTTGCGCTTTTGGAGTTGACATTTATTTTGACAACATATTTTTATTTATCCCCTTTCAGCACAGTGCCTCAAAGTAAAAGGAGTTGCATGAAAAGGGGATGGCGATACCGAAGAAAAAAGCAGTAAAAGAAAAAGAGAAGGGTATTTGCTGGGAATGAAAAGGTTAAAGAGGACGACAGGTAGCTTGAAAAAAAAAAGAACGCGGTTATATATGTACAGGTTTTTTTTGCGTGAAAGAAAGGGAACAGCTAATCAATTTTTTTTTGTGTATACGTTGGAGCTAGTGCTTGATGAAGCGGGACTCAGCATGGTCGACATCGCGGTAGGCATGGATGGGTGCCTTGTCCTGCTTCAGTGCGCTGTGAGACTCGACCATCCGGATCGCATCGGAGGCATGCTGGCTCAAGCCTGAGGTCTGGTGTTCAGCCTAAAGCGAAAATGATGAGTTGTGTGATAGGTAGACACATGCGGTTAGATATCAGGGTTTTCGTTATTCTTGTTTGTTCTTCGAGTCCGAGGTTCAATTAAGAGGGCTTAAAAGCAGAGGGATGAGAAAAACAGAAGGGGAGAGGGCAGAACAGGTTCGTGCTGTTATCCGTTTGGTTTATCTGCCTGCCTGCCTGTCAGGTTTGACTGCAGGAAAGTGCAAAGAAAAAAACGACAAGGGAAAAGAAGGGGTCTGGGTCACTCAACTCGACTCTTTTTCCTTGTTGTTTGTTGGAGGTGGTGGTGTGTTGATAGTGGGACCGAACAAGAAAATACACACACGCGCGCGCGTGCCGTGTGTATTGAGAATGGTATGTCCGTTTTTGTTTGCAACGATGGGGGTACAAAAAAAAGACACTCTCCCTCTGTCCAAGCAAGAAAAAGGGATGTGCTAACAAGAAGGATCTCACAATGTCCTTGTTTCTATCTGCTTGTTGAATCATTGCTGAGCAAACAAAGGCTACTCTCACGCAGGAAACTGCCTAACTCATCAAGGTATTGAAGACTTTCCTCCCCTCTTTGCCAGGTGTACATCACCATGATCTAATGACCTGCTTTCCTTGATCCTCTCTCCCCACCTCTTTTCCTCTTTCCAATTGACTCATCGTGAAATCACCATTCTTTCTTTCTCCGGGTTTAAAGGAGTTATTACCTCGTGGGCAAGGTTCTTGGCAGAGTTCTCGAGCTTGTCGGCAGCATTCTTGGCTGACTCGGCCCAGGAGCTGGACGAGTATGCAGAGGGGTGGGAGCTGTTGCCAAATGCAACCACGGGGATGCGGGCCATCGACACGCGGGGGAGGCCCAAGTTGATCGTGCGGATAATGGCGGTCATTTTTTATATATGTGTCTTGTTAGTGATTGAGTTGGTTGAGGTCTGGTGAGAAGAGCGAGAGTGAGTTTGGTTTGGAAGGGTTTGTTGAGTTGTAGTGTGGAGAAAAGAGAAAGAAAGGAAAGAAGGGGACGGTCTCCTTTTTATATCAAATGATGAGGCCTTGTTGGGCGTATTTTGCTGTCGGATAGGGTCTTCAAAGAAGAAGCACAAGGAGGGAGGAGACAGAAGGACGATTGCAGTGTAGCAACAACAATAGCAGCAACAAAAAGAAAAGGGGATTGTTGTTGGGTAATAATAACGACGGATGTATGGATTGTGAATGTGTTTTGTGCATGTGTATACAATTGACCGTAGACGAGCCCACGGACGAAAAGCGAGCGATATTACTGGTCCACAAGGCCATGATTCGATCTGTACGAGGTCCCTCTTTTTTCTTTTTTTTCTTTTTTTCCTATTTTCTATTTCGATGGCAAGCTTGGCTTGTTGGCCACGGATACAAAGGGACATTTAAGCGCATAATACACAGCTCAATTGTTAGGAAATGTCGACATGGGAACTGAACAGGTGGAAAGAATTGCCTGATTGCTCTGTCAACGTATGTCGAATCTTGGGGCGGACAAAATAAGAAAAGTTGAATTCAGGGCACCCAAGTGGACCAGAGGTCAGCCGCACTCTGCTCAACCCTAATCTAATTGCACAAGTTACTCACCTTTTTTTGTCGTTCTATTTGAATCCATTCCTTTCTCTCTTGGCAGACACACTCATTCCAAAGAAAAAAAAAAAGATGAGCACCTTCGCTTCTATTTTTTGTGGAGCGAAGGTGTTCGAACGGTTCGTCGGGAAATCATGGGTGCGTATGAGTGGTGACTTGTCCAATCGACATGCACACAGAAAGATGAGTAAGGTTGGGCCCGTTGGGGCATATTCCCCCTCCCTTTCGTTCTCTCTCCCCGTTATATCTCTGAACAAACAAAACGATCGTCAGTTTGTGTGCTGGGCAAAATGTAGGCCGTGAATTGTTGGGTGCCGAGGAAGAAATTATTTTGGGTGCTTCTTCTAGTTCTTTCAATTGCTGCTTCGATAGCGATAGAAGGAGAGGATGATGTGGCAATTGGACAGGCAAAAGATACCATTCCTTTTTTTTCAGCCCACTGTTCATCGCATCAGAAGCTCAACCCTTTACCCCCACTCCCCAGTAAATACCCAATCTTTCTCTCATAAACCATGTCACTCTCCTCTGCAGTACTCCCCTTGCCCTGCAATGGCCATGTGGATTTAATACAGAGTATGCTCTGTACTTTGATATTGTGCACATGTCTTGTCGGACTCGTTTGCAAGGGGCAGTCTACTGGTGTAACCATGTTTGGTTGAAGAAGCAAAATAAGTCTGGAAAAGGAAGGTTTTGCATGACATGCTGACGTGTTTTTTATTTTACTCTATGCTATGTGGAAAGTGGATGGGGATATGATATAGATGTGGTAATGCGAAAAGAAACAAGAATGGAAGAAAAGAAACAAAGCTTAGTTTACTTCCTCATCTTCTTTCCTTGTCTGTTGCCTCGGGCAGCACCACTCTTGCTCTTGTATCCACCCGCCTGCACAGAGTCATCGTCCCGATCATTATCGTCAGAGTTGAAGAGACGCTTGTTGCCACCACGACCACCCTTGCCTCGGCTGGCATGCTGCTCCTTCAGTTCTGTAATGGCAAACCGCTGGGCTTCTGCGACACGCTCCTGAAGCAACATGACGGCATCCTTGTCTGCAGGGAACTCCTCCAATTTCTTGCTCAAGGCCTGCTCAATTCTCTGGTAGACCTCAACATCGTACTGTGTCACAAATGTAATCGACTTTCCAGAGCGACCAGCACGAGCGGTACGTCCAACACGATGAATGTAATCCTTGGAGTTGTTGGGGAGATCGTAGTTCAGGACAATATCAACCGAAGGGATATCCAAACCTCTATAACGATACGGAGAGTTGTGAAACACAATTGCAAACAGGTGTTAGAAGAGACCCCCATTATGCTGCGATAAGCCAATGCGCCAAGTTGATTCACGCCAGATACCAACGCATAAAAAAGAAGTGCCGTACCTGCTAGCAACATCGGTGGCGATCAAAATATTCCGGTTTCCAGACTTGAACTTGTTCAAAGCTCCCAAACGCTTCTCCTGACTGAGCTGACCGTGCAATGGAATGGCAGGGAATCCCAAGTTCCTGAGCAAGAGTGTGATTCTCTGGGTGTCGTTACATGTCCTGGAGAAGACAATGGTCGAGTTACCGGCCAACTCGTTCAATAAGTAGACAAGGTACGAATCCTTGGACTTCAGTGGGAAGAACAAGTAGTACTGAAGCAGAGTCGCAACGGTCGAGTACTTTGTGGCGACCTCGACCTTGACGGGGTTGTTCAAACTAGCTCTCTGGAGCTTGGCGACCTTGGTCGTCATGGTGGCTGAGAATAGGAATGTGTTGCGCTCCTTGGGGATGACCTTGAGAATCTGGTCAATGATAGGTCCAAAATCCATGTCCAAGAGACGATCAGCCTCGTCCAGAACCAGGTACTTCAATGTCCTCAAACTGAATCCCTTGGTGTTTTCGAGATGGTCCTGAAGACGTCCTGGAGTGCAGACGATGACATGGGGCTTCTTTGAGAGAGCGATCGACTGGGCCATCATATCCATGCCACCAACAATAACACAGCAGCGCACTCCAATGGTCGAGCCCAATGACTCGAATGTCTCTGAAATCTGAACAGCCAATTCTCTATTAGGCGGTAGAAATGGTCAGGAAAATGGAGCAGGTTGATAATTAGTCAATGTCCAGTACATGTAAGTGACCACCAGCGTTTTTCTACACGTAGAATAAATAACATGCTCAATTGAGGTGAAAAAAAAGTACCTGGTGGGAGCCATGACGCAGGCAAACATAGGGGAGGGATTGTTCCAGAGGGCCTGGAGAATGGGCAAAGCAAACGCAGCGGTCTTTCCTGAACCAGTCTGGGCAAGACCAATGATGTCACGGCCCTGCAGCGACCAAGGGATGGACTCTTTCTGAATATCTGTTGGCGCCTTGAACTTGAGTTGCTCGCAGGCATCGACCAAAGGTTGCATCAAACCCTATTATACCATGACAGATGGCGTAGTCAAGACACACAGCTGTCAGTCGACTGTACATTCCATGCGCATCAAATGTTCACAGGAACACTGGTACAGTCACTCCTTTGCTACATACCAGGTCCTTGAAGGTGACATTGGAGGGCTCTGGCTCGTCGCTGTTGCCGTTGGCAGTGTCCTCCTGAGTTTCCTCCTCGCCCTGTTCCTGGTCCTCCTCGCCCTGTTCCTGGTCCTCCTCGTCCTGTTCCTGGTCCTCCTCGTCCTCCTCGTTGTCGTCTTCGGACTGGCTGTCGTCATGGTCGCTGATGTCCTTCTGGACCTTAGCAATGGCCTTCTTTTGGACAGGGGCAGGAGCCTTCTTGTCAGCCTTGTGTGCCTTTGTTGCAGTGGCGGTGGTTGTGTTTTTCTTGACAGCCATGGTTGTTGATGAGTCGGAAAGGGAGAGTTGCAGCAATGCAGGCAGTGTGACTTTTAGTGAAGCCCACTTGCTCTGGCCGCTTAGTAACCCTTCAATGAAAAAAAAAAAGAAAAAAAGGACAACAGTGACTGCCTTTAAAATGTTGCCACGAAAAACGAACCAGGAGCAGAAACAGAGAACAGCTGTACAAGAGAGGAGTGTGCGCCTGCCTCTGTGAGCGAGTTAGAAAAAGGACAAGTAGAAGGTCCGCTCGCACCCTTCTTTTGTGCTGTACTCAGTCAAGGTTCTTTTGTTCTTTGGGATTCCATTCTCTTACACACTCGATTCCTAATCACCTCCAAAAACAGCGAGAGGACCAAAGCAACTTCCTTCTCCTTCCTTTCTTTCCCTTCTTTCTTTTCTTTTTCCTTCTTTTCTCACTCGCCTCTCCTGCTTTTTTCACACATACTATACCATATGGCGGACGCTATCGACCAGCAGCAGTGGAGCATTATCCTCGGCGCAGACCTTCTCCAAAAGCCAGACACCGGCGCCGCAGCCACCACCACCACAACGGCATCAGACGACACCAACAACAGCACCTTGACACAATGGCTCCTCGCTGGCGAGTACGGCCCTGCCCTCAAGTCCACCGTCGCCTCTGATATCTTTGGCACCCAATTGGCCGAGTCCGACCCTGAAGTCCTCGCCCTCGACTCATCCCTCGACCTCTCCGCCTTCCTTTCAAAGCGCATCCAATCCTACCTCGCGACCACCCCAACAGCATCCTCTTCCACCTCCTCGGCCGCATTGGACGTTCTCGCGGTCGGAATTGCTTCTCTTTACGCATTTGTCCAGGCTGGATGGACTGGACCCGAGTTGGGATTCGAACCCATCGACCTCTTGCCCGCACACGTCAGAACAAAGTCTAAGGATTTGGACAAGCAGGCGCTCGACAAACTCTCCGTCGGAGGAGAGGAACTTTATCACCTCTCGCCCCAGATTCTGTTCTTGCACTTTGCCAGGATTCTTTTGGTCGACCATCTTGAGGAATTGAAGAAGGATGCTTTGGTCGGAAAGTCGGCCCCCTGGTGGGCACTCCGCACATTGTTCTTGCAGCAGCGTACATTGGAGGGCCCCACGGGTCTGTTGCAGGAGCAGATGGTTGCTTTGTTGGACGAACTCGAGGCTGTTTTGAACAAGGAGGTCAGTTGATTTTTTTTGTGTGCTCACCAACACAAACTTTATGCATCGTTTCTTGATCAACTCATTGGAAGATACAGAAAAGGGGGCTAACAGCGAATCTCTTTCTTCTTACTCTGTAGGTTGAGCGTGAGCAGGGATCATTGGAGGCCATTGACAAGAAGGAGGTGTTGACTCGCTTCTGGATTGAAAAGGGACTAGTGATGCACTGGTATACCGAAGACACCAAGGCTTACGAGGCCTTCCAAAAGGCGCAGTCGACGTCAGGATTCCGATTCAAGGTGACAGGAGCATTGGGCAAGCGCACAAAGTTCCAAACATACGACACCTCGCAGCTGGTGGTCGTTGCCGAGAGCAGTCGCGAGATGGCCAGCTCCCGGCCCTCGGCCTACAAGTCCAAGGCAGGATCGGGACCCAAGAACCTCGAGCACAACGACGACACTGTTCTGGAAAAGATTCAATTCAGTGAGCTCTCAGAGGAGGACCGTGCACGCCTGGGAGAATTGGACTTGGACCCCTCCAAGGAAATCGAGGACCTCAACCCTATCGACCACGCCCTCTTGCTCGCCTTCTGCCTCAACATCAAGAACACTAACCCCGCCCATGGACTCACCGTCGAGCAGATGTTCCCCTTTGTCACCCGTGTACTCGAGACCCCCAACAACTGGACAGTCTATACCATGGCCCTTTTGCTCCGATCCCGTCTCGAGGCCGACAAGTCCCGCACGGTCGAGCGTGGTGCTCTGCAGTTGCAGGCCTTGGTTGACCAGACAAGGATCCACGATGAGACCTCGACGACGCGCGAGCGCATGCACCACTTTTTCTCGATCTCCTTGCCATCCAAGTGGGAGCTGGAGAAGGAGCTGGCGGAGCAGTACATGTCCTTAGGTGTTATCCGGTCGGCAATGGATATCTTCGAGCGTCTCGAGTTGTGGGAGGACGTGATTGCTTGCCACCAGTTCCTGGATCAGGCCGAAAAGGCCAAGGTTCTGTGCCGCACCCTCCTTGAGAAGAGCCCCAACAACCCCAAGCTCCTCTGCATTCTCGGCGACTTGGATCAAGATCCTGAAAAGTACAAGGAGGCCTGGGAGGCTTCTGGCCAGCGTTTCGCTCGTGCCCAGCGATCCTTGGGTGCCTACTACTTCAAGCGTGAACAGTTCCAGGAGGCCATGGGTTGCTACCAGCTCGCCCTCAAGATCAACCCTCTGTTTGAGAACTCGTGGTACGTCCTTGGATGCATTGGAATGCAGCTCGAGGACTATGACGTCGCCATCGAGGCTTTTACTAAAGTCGTCTCAATCGACCAGTCGAACGGCGAGGCCTGGAACAACATTGCTGCCGTCCACATGCGCCGCAAGAACAACCTTGATGCCCAACACGCCCTCCGCCAGGCCCTCAAGGAGAAGCGCGAGTCGTGGAAGATCTGGTCCAACTACATGTACTGCTCGATGGACGTGGGCGATTTCACAGAGGCCATTCGTGCCTTGGGTATGCTTGTCGAACTGAGATGGAAGGCCAAGAAGGATGATACCACCGAGGAGATTGTCGACATTGTGATCCTCGACAGGATTGTCCAGGGCCTCACCCGCGACCTCAAGGACCTCTACTCGCGCAGCGTGGCCTTCCAAGAACAGAGGATCGAGGAACTTTTGCTCGGCATCACTAACCGTATCACGACTGACCCCCGGATCTGGCGGATCTGCGTCAAGTTCTACTTCTGGAAGAAGGACTTTGTCGAGTGTCTCGAGTGCCAGCTCAAGGCCTACCGGTCCGTCATCCATAACCCCAAGATCGAGACCGACCAAGCTGAGTTTGAAAAGGCGGTCGAGGCGGCGATCGAGACGGTCGACTGGTACCGGAACCTGGGCCCCATGACCTACAATGACGCGCAAGGACAACAGCACGCCGTCGCCAAGGATTGGGCCTACCGCTCCAAGCAGATGATCAAGAGTCTGATGGCAAGAACTAGAGATTCCTGGGAGCACCTTCCTGCCTTTGAGAAATTGCAGGATACCATGGAGGAACTCAAGTCTGAAAAGTAGAGACTTGTACATAGAACGCGTTGTTTTTTTTCGTTGGTGTATTTTTTTGTGATGAATAAGAACTTTCATTTCTAAGTATGATATCCTTGTGTCCTTAGTCTAACAACACTATGGAGTCGCATGTGCATGTTTGTGTATTTTTTAGGCAACTGCAGGAGAGCCAGAGCGCAAGGAGACGTTGTTGCGACGGTATGAAAAGTTGAAGCCTAACGTATACAACGAAAACGACAGAAATGGTATTAGAAGAAAGTAAAACGCCATGCACAAAAAGATAACATCCTCGCCTCTTTCGACTATCTATGTCTCTCTCCATTTCTTACCCCCCCAAACTTACCATGTGATCTTGTCTCTGTGGCGATCCTACCCTGGTTGATATCGAGGAGCAACAACCCAGATGCAGCATCGGGCAGGTTAAAGTTCCACATGTTTTTGAAAGCCGCCTCGTCCTTGTCGTTGGGGAGGGTATTTACTGCAGGCAGGCGGTTGACAACGCTCAGGCAGTTCTCCAGCAGCACTCTTTGCTCATCACTAATTTCCGCGTTGTTGAGTAAATAAGCAATGAAAATGGAGTTAACATACGCAATGATTTCCACACTCTTCACAACCCTTGGATATGGTCCTAACCGCAAACAATGAACAACGTTGATTCGGGGGTCTGTCGGGTGTCGGGATTACAACTGCACGTACCTGACGTTAGCCTCGACATGGGCCTTGACGCCCTCCCACATGTCCATAAAGTTCTTTTGAGAGATGGCCAACTTATTCCTGTACAACTCCTGGTCGCCCTGAACACCAAACTCGTTGTATGAAATCCCATAACGGAAATGCAATCCTGCAGAGATGGTGAAATCAGCCTAATATAACCGTTTTGTTTGTTCAAAGGCAGTAGGAAAAAATGGGTTAGGAATGAACATTGATAAAAAAAAATTGAGACTTTTACATACAGCCTTCAGTCAAAGAAATGGCTTCTATGCGTACCTTGAGGGTTAAGGCTAGTTGAGCAAGGATACCCTCACGTCCAGGGCTAGCATGAGAAATGAGGATGCGGGTCTCGGTGGCGTCAAACACCTTCTGAGCTGTATCGACCAACTGTCCGATCTGGAGGGCTGTCGTCCACATTGTTCCCGAACCTCCAGCAATAGTCGAAATACCTATGTCATATTATCACCGCAGAAAAACAAAAAAAGTTAGCCAGACTTATTATCATATTTAAAAACCTCACCTCCCCTTTCTTTTCATGAAGACCGTAAGAAACTTACCATCACCGATATCAAACAACTTGTGTTGAGCGATCGCGCCTCCAAGACCAAAGAGACGTAGCTTGACGCCGCCAATATCAATCACGGCGGTGGCGCTCTCGTCGATGATGTGGAGGTTGGGGATAGTGTATTCGCCCGAACGGAACTTTTCCAGAACGCTCACGTCCTCGCAGGCTCCCCACACGGTGTACACGGGAACTTTCAGCGATTTTTGTCCGGCAAGGTACAGGGGCAGCTCTGATAGGATGGGGGTGGTCGATGCCTTGATCTGCTGGCGGAGCGAGTCGGAGGTGACGGTCGATTGGAGGAGGCGAGTGCGCAATGCAGGTGGGATCAAAGTGCTGTACTGAACCAAATGCTTCAATGTCCTATATTGTGTCAGGGTTTGATGATAACAGTGTCAAAATATGGTCGGTCATTTTCGTATTGTCTCCTTGCATGTTGCCTTTCCGCATATCTCCTTGCATGCGTTGACCTCTTGTACAGCTTCCTGTGAGTCCTCTCTAACAAAGTGACTACTCCAGCCGTGTCAATCAATCCTGCGCCACTCTCCTGGAAACGACACGCATCCATTAACCATCGAGTGCCTGTCATCTAATCTCGATCGAATGGCCGGTAGTATTACCTATCACTGATGCGGTTAAGACTCTCACGCTCTGATTATTAGAAGATAACAAAATATGTTGCGTGTTAGGCTTCAAGACGAGAGAAGTGTATCGACAATACGTTGACATACACGCATGTTCCGCGCACTCAAAAAATACAAAGCAGGATCCCTTACCATAGAAACCAAAATCGCCGCAGTGGATGATCAACTTGGCGCCAGTCTGGTCCACCAGATCGTTCAATTGAGAGATGTTGCCTACAAACCCAAAAAAAAAGAGCAGATACAAAACCAAGGATGGTCAATTGATATGGTGGATCAATGGTTCGGAAAGGGCGAGCTGATGGTGCCTGGATATCACGGATCAAATGAAAAATAAACAAAATGAAGCAGGCGGACAGTTTTATTTTTACCTCGAAGGTCGGCAACGCAGAGGACCTTTCCAGCAGGGGTGCTGAGTGCTTGTGGGTTGGGCGAGTTCATGGCTCTCTTTTTTTAGTTGGGGGGGGGGTTTTGGGGAACGAGCGTCGTGGTTTGTTAGCATGTTGCAAAGAGAAGAGACGGTAAAGCTGAATTTGCAGGGACCGTTGTTGTTCATGAATAAGTACAAAATGAAGGCACGCGTTTGCACTCACCTGATGGGAGGGTCGTACGAATGAAGTTGAAGGGAGAGGGTGCGGGGTGTGTGGGGGAAGAATGAGAGCGAAGGATGATGAAAGGGGATGAGAAGTGAAAAGTGGAGACAGGGCGCCTTCGCTCTCTCTCCTTTGCCTTGCCCTGAGACCGAAGGAATGAGAGTTTTGTGTTTAAGGGGCACACCACGTTGTTGGCGGAGAAGGAAAGCACGACTGCATCGCGTTTTGCTTTTCTTTTCATCGCGTGCCACCAACCAAGAAAAAGTATTCATTTTGTTATGCTTTTTTATTTACAAAGAGCACATAAACAAAACAAAAAAAAACAAAAAAAAGGCCCTACAGTTATCTGCAGCCGTCCTTCTCTCTCTCTTCCAAAAAAAAAAGCTACTCATATTACTTCTAGCGCCATTGCTCGGAAACTCGCCAACAAGATGCCTCAAGAAACAATGCCTGAGAGCGTTAAGGAGTAACGGGCGCGGCTGTGGTTGTTGTGCTCGAGAGACCTGCAGCAGCGGCTGTCGTGGTTGTCGTGGTGGTGGTCGCCTCAGCACCAGAAGCAGTCGTGGCTATTTCGGCTTTCTCACGAGGAGCGGTGGCGGCCGCCTCAGCACCAGAAGCAGTCGTGGCTATTTCGGCTTCCTCACGAGCAGCGGCGGCGGCGGCCTTAGCACCAGAAGAAGTGGCCGTGGTCGCCTCAGCGCCAGAAGCAGTCGTGGCTATTTCGGCTTCCTCATGAGCAGCGGCAGCGGCCGCCTTAGCACCAGAAGAAGTGGCCGTGGTCGCCTCAGCGCCAGAAGCAGTCGTAGCTATTTCGGCTTCCTCATGAGCAGCGGCAGCGGCCGCCTCAGCACCAGAAGAAGTGGTCGTGGTCGTCTCAGCACCAGAAGCAGTCGTGGCTATTTCGGCTTCCACACGAGCAGCGGTGGCGGCCGCCTTAGCACCAGAAGAAGTGGCCGTGGTCGCCTCAGCACCAGAAGCAGTCGTGGCTACTTCGGCTTCCTCACGAGCAGCGGCGGCGGCCGACTCAGCACCAGAAGAAGTGGTCGTGGTCGCCTCAGCACCAGAAGCAGTCGTGGCCACTTCGGCTTCCTCACGAGCAGCGGCGGCGGCCGCCTCAGCACCAGAAGAAGTGGTCGTGGTCGCCTCAGCACCAGAAGCAGTCGTGGCTACTTCGGCTTCCTCACGAGCAGCGGCAGCGGCCGCCTCAGCACCAGAAGAAGTGGTCGTGGTCGCCTCAGCACCAGAAGCAGTCGTGGCTATTTCGGCTTCCTCGCGAGCAGCGGCGGCGGCCGCCTCAGCACCAGAAGCAGTCGTGGCTATTTCGGCTTCCTCACGAGGAGCAGTGGTGGTAGTCGTTTGAGGAATAGGGATGTCGCCCCTGGCGTTTGGGTCACCGATGGGGTTTCCACTGTTTGCCGTTGTCGTAGGCGTGGTCTCGCCGAAGTTGGTAATAGCAACCAAATCGGGGGTGGCTCCTCCAAAAGCCTCTCGACCGTCGGGGGTGACTCCTCCAAAAGCTTCTCCATCGTCGGGGGTGACTCCTCCAAAAGCTTCTCCATCGTCGGGGGTGGCTCCTCCAAAAGCTTCTCCACTGTCGTGGGTGTCTCCTCCAAAAGCTTCTCCACCGTCGGGAGTATCAGTAACGAAAACATTTTTGATACTTTCGCCTCCATCGGCCCTGGTGCAGGGTGCAAAGACGACAATCGTCTCGGTCTTGCACTTCTTGTGGTGCTTGCCGTGGTGCTTGCAATTATGGTGATTATGGTCGGGATGATGGTCGTGGTGACCATGGTGCTTGCCGTGGTGCTTGCCGGGATGGTGGCGACCATGATGACCGTTATGATGGTTCTTGCTGTGATGCTTGTGCTTGTGCTTCCAGAGCTCGTTAGAGTCGACGATCGCGGCGTTACCGTCAGCATCGGCGGCGGGGGCGGCAAAGTTGTCTTGGTTGGCGGCGACTGCATCTGCGGCCTGGGAGTCGTGACGGTCTCGCTTGGCATCGGTGAAGCCGGTCATAAGCGAGAGCGCCGTGGCCACGGCGATGAAAACGCAGGAGTTGATCTTCATGTTGTAAGTGTGTTATGTTTTGTTGGTTCAGGGTATATTCTTGGTGCGAAGTGAGAGAAAAAAAAGCGCTGATGAGAAAGGAAGGAAAAGGCGAGTGGGGGTATAAAATGCGTATGACGGCGTTGTAGGCATATGAAAGGGAAAGAGGTTTGCCTGACAAGAGAGAGAGAGAGAGGAGAGAGAAGATGGCGGGCGTAGTTGGGAAGTGAAGGTAGGAGGAAAAGAAGAAAGAATTGGTAAAGGCGAGTTTGAGCGAGGTTCTTATACTCGCGGTTTGCTTCCTCCTTTTGATTTCAGGAGGTGAGGTGTAGAGTATTCCTCCGTCAACACCGTTCTTGTCGAGAATTGTACATGTGGTCCGATCACATCCACGGCTTCGTAAGAAACGATAGAAGGGTTAGAGAAGAGAGTGGTCAACATGTTTTCGCAAGGGGACTAAGGGGGTAAGACAGAGAGAAGAAAGAAAGGGTGAGAAAAGAGGAGAGAAATTGGCCATAGCCCACAATAGCCGAAGGGAATGATAATACAAGGAGGAGGAGGAGAAAGATAATATAACGCAAGAAGAGAGGATGAGAATAGGGGGGAAGAATTGAAATAAGGAGACGCGACGAGACAAGAAAAGGAAAAGAATAGGCGTAAGAAAAGGCAAGGAGAAGGGTGAGAGAAAGGTGAGTTGGAGGGACAAGGGATATGACGGCGGTGGTGATAGTTATCAGTAGGATTCAAAATCCGAATGGTAAAGAGGAGGGAGGATGGATGGATGGACGTCCGAAATGATGTGGCATAGACCATTGAACCATTCATTATCATCGTACATGACTCTGTACGCACGACAATCAACACACAAGAGACTAATACCGAAGAACGTATAACAAGGCAAGAGAAGGGAAAGAAAATAAAGGAGACGCGTGCGAGGAATGTCAGGGTTTCGAAATATGACACGCTGAGAGAGAAGAGAAAGGAAAAAAAAGAGGATCTGAATCCACTCCCACTTGTAGCGAATCCAAAAGAACAAAGGGAATGAAAGGTGCAGGGGAGGCACGCTCAAAAAGAGGGCGAGAGAGCCACTCAGATTGGAGTGGAATGAAGACACTAGTTCATCTTCCCTTTACCCCCCTTTTCTACCTCCATGACATTTCATACCTCCTCCTCCTTCCTCTCCTTACTCTCCCCCTAAGCATGCAAACAAATGGAAAAAGTCGCAATTTACGACGTGTGTTTGACGTGCAAGTGCAAGGAGAACAGAGCAGCAACATGGGCCACTTCACCGCTCACAGTACCTTGGTTTGGTGTAATCAGCAAAAGCACAGGACGAACTTTCTCCTCCTCCCTTCGCCCTCCTAACCCCCTGCTGAACAAATCATCACCAAAGAAGGTTCATTTGGCGCCAAATGTCCACAAGCACTAGTTCCTACTTCCTTCTTCACACTTTCATCTCGGGGTGGTGAAGGTGACAAAGACTCAAAGCTGATGCCACACGAATAACGAAGGAGAACTTATTGCGCCCAATGGTCTCCATGATTTCCCTCTTTGTACCATTCTTCACGCCTTCTTTCCATAATTTCTGATGACATAGAAGGGCTTTCCGCACTTCACCAAAAAACAGCTCAAGGGTGAACAAGGTGTAGTCACTAATACTCATTGATTTTGTGTTGGTGTATCACACCTTATACTTCTAGTTGTTGTCAACTCTTTTCATCCTTAGGGTCGATTGTTCTCGACCCTCTATGTGAGGCTAAACTCGATGATGTTGTCGTTGGTGCAGCACTTTTGTTGTTTTTTCGCATGCAGAACCATGGAAAGGGAATAAGAGAGCGGCACTCAGGAGGACTGATTCTCAAACTCCTTCCGTGCTGCATAATAAAGCACTAGCAAATCGTGTCCGACTATCATGCATAAAATAAGAAGGGAGGAGAATTAGGAGAATGTTGCACAATGGTTGTGCGCATGTGGAGGAGAGTGAATAGATCCATAATTGCACTACAGCACATATCCAACACGAGCACCACATAAATGAATAATGTGGTGTATCGGCACTCGTCATTTCGTTGCGATGTTGAGAAAAGGTGGACAAGAAACGTACCTTGAAGAAGACAAAAGCCAACTTCTAGGCCAAGCAGTGAAAAAGGGCCCAAGAATTGACGCTCCACAATCAGCAAACACAAGATAAGGAGCGCCATAAAGAACCTCGATAGATAAATCGCTCGGTCATATTTGTCTACATGAAATTCAATTTCAAAAAACAGAGCTCATGGTTAGCTACGATGCTCCGTGTTTTCTTCGCGAGAGTATTATGTATTGCGTTATTTTCATTGAGTCGAAGGGATTGGGCGTGTTTTTTTTATTCTTTTTGTACCCTCTTTCTCAGTCAGCTTACCTTGAGGCTGGGAGGTCACATACTTGATAGCCCCGTTGAAAAAGAAGACACTCGCTGCCACGATCAAGTAGTACTTCTTCACGTACGACTGAGCCCCGTTGTGCCCTCCTGCTGCTCCAGCCCCAACCTCGCCCATCCCTACCCCCTCTCCGCCGCCCACCTCCGGTATTGAGCGAGCAACAGGGAGACCACCGGCGCCTGCAGCCTCGGCCGGGAATTGGCCTGATTCGAAATTACTAGTCTCAAAGTGACTAAGACTTGACAGAGATTCCCCTCTTGTCGATTGGTAGATTCGAATCAGGTCAAGGCATCCAACACCCAAGAGTAATTGAGACAGGTTCAGCATGAAATGGAGGTAACTCCATAGTGCAGAGTGGATGGGGGAACGCATCGGTCCTTGCTCGTGGTAGTCGTCGAAGTACAAGAACCACTGGCATTTCACAATCGTGATAGAAAAGATCAACAACGACCTATAGTCAAAAGGGAAAAAAAAACATTGATAAGTTGGAATAAAGGAGTCAGGGAGGTTTGTCTTGGAAGGAAGGACACGGACGATTGTCTGAAAGCGTGGGCTTTGGTCCTCCTGCCAGAAGAAAGTGGATGGGCATGCTCTCATGCACATAAACATGTCAAAACACAAAAAAGGAGTTCTTACAGATTGTCCCATCCCAATTTTCCCGGCGCGTCCACTAGGTCGTCCGTGAGCATGAAGAGACCCATGACACTCTCACCCAGAATGATAAGCGTGAAAAGACCCAGTCGCTCGGGTAAATGGCTCCCATTGAAACTGACCGTCGGGTTTTTGGCTAGCGCAATGCTGGTTAGGACCTCAATCCCAATCGCCGAGAACCAGATCGCGTAGCGCGCCTGGTCAGAGAGAAACTCGATCAGGAATGCCGACGCCCACCACATGATGAACGAGACAAAATTGGCTGACATGTAATAGAGAATCGGTCGTCGCGACTTTTTGTCGGGCGCGTGGATCCATACGATGAAGTACTGGCCGACAAGCACTAACTTCATCACTATAAGAGATACGTTTGTGTTAGCATCTTTCCTTAGTCTTTTTTACGCGTTCAGATGTTTACTCTTAGCGTCTCTCTCATGTGAACTTACCAGCGTAACTCAAGGCGAAACCATTAGAATTGGTGCTTGTGAAGTGATCTCCATTGCCGGCAAACCCAGCTATTTAGTCAAAGAGAAGATGTCGTTAGCAAGAGTGTGCTGTTTCCTCACGGTGGAGCCTCCAAGGTGAGAGAATATCCAAGAACACGCGTTACCTAGGGCGAATAGCTGGATCAGCTTCCATATCCTGTTCAACAAGTCATCCGTGCTAAACCGCACATCGAACCTATTACGCGCGCATTCAATGAGTCTGAGGTTAGTTTCTCAAAACAAAAGGCACGACTACGATGTAAATGGAATGAGAAGCAGGCACTTACATTGTTTGAGAGAACCACATCCACCAAAGAATCGTGAACCATCCGCAATATCTCAGGAACGTCGTCGTATCAATGATGGGGTGCTGGTGAGTGAAGATGGTGATATTCGCCACAAACGTTAAGTCGAAGAACAGCTCTATCAAAGCCAATAATGCAATTGTGAATGACAAAAGAGCTATGGTTAGCAGGTTGCGCGGGCATGTTCGTAATCGGATCAAATGCCTTCCAAAGGAAAAAAAAGCCGACGTACCCATCCATGTAGCTGTCTTCTTTTCTCCTTCATGGTCCTCGATTAGTTCGCTCACGACAGTCGGTTTTCTATGTCGCCAAAAGAGAGAGAACAGCCAATGGTTATTTTCTGCAGTTAAAGTATACTCCTCTCCATGCGCATGATGAGGGCCGAGATAATCTTTTTAGGCGTGCCTACAAACAAGCACGAGAATAAAAGATGTGCTATTCATAGAAAGAAATCCAATCTTACTTACTTAAATGCATATTTCCCATGTCCACCGCCACCTTCCTTCTCCCCTCCTCCCTTGCCTTCTTTAGTCTCTCGGATTTCGAATGCAAATGGTGAGTCAGATAGGTGGAGACGACTATGGTATGTTGCTAGAGTTGTTTGTTTTAACGTCAAGTAAAATAAGGAGATGAGAAAAAGAGGGAATGGTATGATGTTCAACCAGTTTCATGTGCACAGATTGTGCACAAACAATAATAGGGCTTATCGTACGGGAGTGGTGAGGTATCCCAATGTCGATGCCTATGTGGACTCGACGCAACAACTCTGTCTGGATATAATGCTGTAGGTCCACAGGGTTGCACCGCTGAGGCAATCTTCCGCTCTCATCAGGGCTGAGCACAAGCTATAAAGACCATAAAGAGGCGACAGGAAAAACCATAGAGATCTGTCAACACCGAGGGAAAGAAACACCTGCATAAACAAACAAGCAAAAAAAGAGAACGTGCCTCCTCCTCACAGCCGCCCGTCCACCGAAAATAGAATTTTGCTTTCCCAACTTACATGGCGGGCGATGGCTTCAATGTCGCGTTGACTGAGTTCGTGATGCCGCGTGAGGGCTTCGGATGGAGATTCGTTTGGCTTTGGGGTGATGTGAAGAAAGAGTTCACTGCCCTTCCTTAGGGATGTGGGGCCACCACTTGTTGGTGGTGATGTAGAGGCGGTCGGGTAGTTGGTGAGAGTTGTTTGAGAGGTGCTATTGTTCTGAGGAGATGTCCATTCTCTGAAGGGACAATAAAAAAGGGATGGGACATTTGAATGGCTGTGTGAGCCTTATAGGCGTTGAGGCAAATTGACCATATTCGGCCAAAACAAGACAAAAGCAGCAACAATTGTCCATCGTAACATACTCTTCCGGTTCAGGTGCCTCTTCGACGACTCTTACGCTTCTCCGCCGGACATTCAGCGGTAAAGGTGGTGCTGCTGAATGCTGATAGGGGCTTTGTGAGAACGGGACCCTATAGAGGGTTGACTTTGGCCGGCCAAAGTTCACCATGGTCCTTGCCCTCTGGGGAACACTGTTGTTTGTTGTTGTTTTAGTTTGGTTAGTTGGGACCCTGGTCGTTCATTGGTCAGACGCGATGAGACAACCACGAAATACACAAATCGGCGAACGGACCTATGCGCAGGAACAGTGCTGGACCTGATCTGTTCAGAGTTCAATAGTACGGGAGAGAAGTCGTCCATTTCAATGGTCGGCATGGCTGAGGAGGATGATAATAGTATCTATGTTGTCTACTCGTGGATATATGTGCAGTAAGTTACAAAGAGTGCAGGAGTGAGGAGGTGAATGGAGCAGTAGGGTATTGTTGGGTATTTTTGCAATGAGAATGAGAAAGAAGAAGGAAAAAAAAGGAATGACAATGTGAACTGGGACGAATGAAACTATTGTCCATCAACAACACTCCCAACTATTCTCTCTCTTTCTCTCTCTCTCTCTCTCTCGGCCTCCTACTTCTTCGAAGGGACTTCTTTATCTTTCGTTTCTTTTGTGAGAAGCCTCCTTGATACCATGCAACCGCCCCATTGAAACAGCCCATCATCCCTTGAATCCATTTCCTTCCTTCCCTGTCCCCTTGAAATGCGCATAAGTGTACTTTGTACTGGATGTTTTTTAATAAACATAGTAAATGTGACTCTTCCGATCAATTACCCTTGGAGTTCCACCATCCCTTTACTCTGTCGATCCTCGCCTGCACAAGATTCTTGGCCGAACGTTCTTCCTTGTCGGCGGTGTTGTCTGATGTGACTTCAATCACAGACGAGCCTCGAGAACGGGCAACGGGTTTCGTCTCGGTCGGAGCCCCCTTCCCAAACAACTTTGTGTCTTTGTTGAGCTCGATTGCCATTTGCTGCAAAGGGGTCCAAACAAGATCCTTCCCTGCATACATGTACGCCAATCCGAACGTTGATCCTGCCAAATGAGCCTATTGTTCAAATGGAGAAAGTCATTTCGAGCTGTTAACATAACATGCGCCAGCTTCCATCCTACAACTGCATAATGCATACGGCCATAGACAATCACTTGAACTTACATAGTGGTCAAACATCTTCCAGTTCTTCAGGATTCCGACCAAGTCCAGACCCATCATAGCTCCAAGTGCCACAGGTATTTTGATGGGCAGGAATGGCAAAAAGATAATGTAGACGCTGGCGTCAGGGTACATGTAAGCCGTTGAACTGATGCATCCGAACAGGGCTCCACTGGCTCCAAGTGATGGGATCATCTTCGCCCATGGAACTCGTGCCACCGTGAAGAGATGCGAGGCCAATGACGCGGCGACACCGGTTGTGAGGTAGAACGCCAGGAACTGCTCCCTGCCCATTTGATCGTGCAAGGGTACGGCAAAGGAGTGGAGCGCAAACATGTTGAGTCCAAAGTGCCAAAAGTGTTGGTGGCTGAACATGGATGTCAGCAAGGTGATTGATCGGCCGCTGGATGGGTCATGCATAAACCACTTCTGCATGAAAGGTGCCAATCGTGGGACCTGCCAGGCTCCAAAGACAACCGAGTTGGCTGCAATCAGACTCCAGACAGTCCTCTCTCCTGGCGTGAGTTCCATCCACCGCGACCGCATCATGAACAGCATCTTCTGTAACTCCACTGGGATCCCGATCTGCTGAATCCATCGATAGCGTTCTAAGATATCGCCCCACTGCTCCTGCAATATTTCAGATTGTGCTTGGACAAATTCCCGTGCTGAAGGCCTTTCGCTCCTGGAACTGGATCGCCATGCTTGGATGCGTTTGATAAGGGTCACTTGCTGTCGCTCCCAGACGTAAGCCGCGGTCACGAATACTCCGAACGATGTAGCCGCAGTGAAGAGGATAGGTTTCGCAATGGCTTGGAATGGCGTCGGTGCACGGAAGAGGATGTAGCGCGGGGTTATAGAGAGTGATGTAGAGCCGTCTGCCAAGGTGAATTGGCTGCCTCCGGTCGGGCTAGGGCGAGTTGAGTAGTTCCGCGTTTGTTTGAGTAGGTTGGGTAACCGAGCTTGAGCTTGGCACGACCGTAGAAGAGGAACAAGTCGCTGTGTTGTCGATGGGCAGGACAGTGTTGCTGATCGAGTGGTGGTGATGAGTGTCCGGGATGACCATGGCGTGACCATGGAGGGCTTGGCGAGACTGATCCTGAGCATGTGTCTGTTGTCCTTGTGTGGTACGTGTGTGTTGAAGGAAGAAGCAAAATGAAGTTGTTGAACGAATAACGGTGTGACGGTCATAATCCTGAAAGGAAGAAAAAACGCGCGCAAGCCTTTTCCTTCACACATCACTCTTTTACACCCTCTTACCACACACACACACACACACACACACACACACACTCTCTCTCTCTTTCCTCATCCTTTACTCTCTCAACACAAAATGGTACGCTACAACATCGCACACACCCTCGACAGCTTTGCTTCTTTCTCATAACCAGTACTCGTCAAATATACCCTCTGTCCCCATTATCTCACTCGTTAGTCTTTCATGTCTTTGAAATGAACTAGTCGTCCGCAAAATACAATCTGCCCAACGATTGGGAACTGCGCTGGTCTCGCTCGCGCAACCTGCCCTACTTTTACAACAGGACCAGCACCGAGTCCCGCTGGCAGGCGCCCGATGGTGTCGATCCCAGTGTCATCCTCGCCTTCCAAAAGGACTATCAGATCCAGCAGCAGCAGCAGGAGGAGGCTGCCGCCGAAACCCGTGCCGAGAAAGCCGACAGCCCCAGACGTGTACGCGTCTCCCATCTCTTGGTCAAACACACAGAGTCACGTCGCCCCAGCTCCTGGAGAGAGGTGAGGATCTGTTGTTTTTTTTGTCTATTTCAGGTGTATGTATGTGGACCACGATGAAGAAGAAACAAAGGCTAATCGTGAGACTTTTATCATCCAAATGAATCAAAAATAGCCCACGATAACTAGAACCAAGGATGAGGCCTTGGAGAGACTGAAGGGTTTCCAGTCCAAGATCCAGTCGGGCGAATCCCAGCTCTCGGAATTGGCAGCGACCGAGTCCGACTGCTCCTCGGCCAAGAAGTCTGGTGACCTCGGCTTTTTTGAACGTGGACAGATGCAGCCCGAGTTTGAGCGTGCCTCCTTTGCGCTTCAGATTGGCGAGATGAGCAGCCCTATCTGGACAGATTCCGGAGTCCACCTCATCCACCGTACCGGATAAACACTTCTTAACACAACACACTGCACACACACACGCACGCAACTATTTCGCACCGTCTTTCCGTCTGTTCAACAATGAGTAATTTGCCTTTTCACTGGAATCAGGGGTCAGGAGGTCAGGAGTGGGGACCCGTCCTTGGCGAATAAAAACCTGGCTTCAATTATTTGCAAGCTAGTTCCGGATTACATCATGTGTGAAAGCAGGTGCAATCTTTTCTATGCTTGTTAGCTCTGTTGTTATATCATTTACTCTTTCAACGATAACTCAACTCTCTTCACCGTTCGTTTCCATATCGTTCTTTCGCTTTCTTTTCTCTTTGTTTCCGTTTGCTCTTAAGGAAACGAAACCAGCAGTAGGCTCATCCATCGTACCAAAAGCCCACACATGCTTTAAAGTTGCACCCCCACTCAATGCGTCGTGGCTGGCAGTGGAAGAGTGACCACACTTGGCTTAAGCACTAATAAGTACCAAGAGCTGCGTTCTGTTTTGTGATTCTCTGATACCCGATACGATAAGATAGTGCGCCACCAAAATTCAAACTTCCCACTCAACGACGGGTTGAGGTCAATTATGACGCTCTTCTCTCGATGATCAAAAAGGAATGCAAAAGAAAGTGTTATGTGAATGATAATAATGCTAAGTGAGTGATATCTATTTTTTGTTGTCCTTCTTGGCGCGCTTGCCGTCGCGGGTGTCTTCTGTTGCCATGGCACTCTTGCGCTTGACCTATGTCATTGAAGGGAAGAAAAAAAATGAGGCGATTAGAAGCCATCGCAAGGAGAGACAACGCACCAATAGTGAACCAACAAACAGCAGAAAGTCAGCGCATAAACCTACAGTGTCGACCAGCAACGAGAGCGAGGGATCCTCAAAGACACCCTGGGCCTTCTTGACGCCACCATTATTGCTCTTGTTGTTATTGTTGTTGTTGTTGTTGTTGTTGTTGTTGTTCTTGTTCTTGTTGTTGTTCTTGTTGTTGTTGTTTTGTTGTTTGTTCTTCAGCTTCTTCTCGTTCTCTTCATGAAGCGTTGCCGTCCTCTTCTGCCTCTCCTCCATCAACTCATTCATAGCCTTGGTCTTCTTAAAGTTGGGGTTAGTAGGATCCAGAGCGAAAAGATGCGAGTCGTGAAGCGCGCTGAAACGAGGATCCTTAACATCAATCTTGAAGTCGTCCTGAAGGTCCTCGCCCTTGTCGCGATCGCTCTGGCCACCCTTGCCCTTCTTCCTGTTCTTCTTCTTCTCGGCCTTCTGGATCTCCTTCATGTTGAAGTGTTGGTTCGATTCCCGGTTGTCCTCCATCAACAACTCCAGTTCGGCCTTCTTGCGGTTGTCCTCGAGACGCTCCTCCTTGGTGCGCTTCTTGCCGTCCTTCTTTCCCTTACCCTTCTTGCCCGCATCTGCGCCCTTCTTGCCCTTGGCTGGCAACATCATGTCGCCTCCTGCAAACTCTTCGGCAAAGTAAGAGTCGTTCATCAGACGCTCATCCTCGTCATCAGAGAACAAAGCCTCGCCACCTAAAGGGTCAATGATAACATGCATAGAGTAGTGTTAGCGATGTACATAAATTGATCTTGGAGGTAATTATCATTCGCTTGCTTAACATACATGAGGGCGCACAAAACATACCTTGGTCTTCACTGTCATCCTCGCTATCGATGCCGCTGCCCTGAGCCTTGGCAGCTCTAGTCTCCTTGCGACGCTGGCGGCGCTCCTTCTCCTTGCGCTGGTATGTCTCAATGGAGGTTTCTTCCTTGACCGGCTGCTCACGCTGCTTCTTAGCCTCCAACATCTCGGCAGCAGCCTCGCTCAAACCGGGGGCGAATGTGATCTCCATCTCCTGGTTCTTGTCGTCGTCGCTATCGGCATCACTGTCGTCCGAGTCTTTGTTTCCGCCCGACAACAGAGCGCGGTATTTGCGTCTTGCGGCCTCAATATCATCCTCGTCCTCAGAGTCCTCTTCATCCGACGAAGCCAGGTATGCCTTGAAGTCCATATCGTCCAAATCTTGCTTGGAGAAGTTCTGGCGGGTGACCTTGATTCTGTCTGCGTCGTCCTCGTCCCAGGTCAACTTGACGTTGGAGTGTTGGAAAACTTGAGTGGTGAACTCGTTCGGCTTGTAGTTCTCGGGAGCGCCAAAGGCCTCGTCGCGGGGGATGTCGTCAAACTCCATACCATCGGGGATAAAGCGGAGATCAAAGAAATTGGCACTGCTCTCGTACTCGGCTCCATCGCAGGCGTCGCAGATAGATTTGGCTGTCTCGACAGCGTCGCAGTCGACGACGGCATAGTAGTACTTGAGGCGATCCAGTTGGTATTGGCGCAAGGCTTCCGAGTCGATCTCCTCATTTCCTTCCTCTGTTTGATCCTTGATGAGCGACTTTTCTGTCACCTCCTCGTCGTCCGAGGAGTCGGCGTCCTCATCCAGCTTCATCTTGGAGCCAGCCTTCTTGAAAATCTCTGGTGGTGGTCCCTCGCGCTCCTCACGCTCCAAACGCTCCTTTCCAAACTCGGAGAGGTAGATCTTGACCGAACGAATAGCTCCCTTCTCCCCTTTGAATCCGGAGAACACCTTGAACAAATCGATAGACTATTTTCCATAAAGCAATATTGACTGCGTTAGAAAGACGTACAAAGGACAGCGGTGCATATAGTAGCATTCTACTACTGTCTGGGCGGCAAAGTGTACCTTGACGTGATCCCAATCCAAGTTCACACAGGCAAAGCGGTGAGATTCGTCTCCTCTGGGGACATCGTCCTCCTCTTCCTCCTCATCGTCTTCCAGAACCTCGGCCTCACGATCCAGCTCAGCAGCAGCATCCTCATCAATGTCCGAGTCCGAGTCCGAGCCACTGATGACTCCACGACCACGCATGGGGTCGTACACGTCGTCGCCCTGCTCCTCTGAATCTGATCCTGATACGCTGACATTGTCCTCCTCCTCGTCCTCGTCCTCTTCGTCATCCTCATTGTTGTCCTCGTCACCGCTAGCAGCCTCACCCTTCTGCAACTGGTAGAACCGCTTCATCTGCTGGTCGCTTGCTTTGCTCTGGAGCTTGCGTCCATACTTGTCAACCTTGGCTATAATTGGTGAAAATGTGATGGTATGAGCACAATGTCCGTATGTGTATCCTGTAGCGATGTGGCATGGATCATTAATGGTACGGTCCCAAGCAACAGAGTAACCATTTGAGCGAGATACGTACGTGCGCTTGAGAACTCCTTGCCCTTCAGCATGGATGAGAAACGAGAGTCAACTGTGACCTTGGAGTCCTTCTTTTGAGGCTTCACGAAGCGAGGGTCTCTGTGAACGTGGGAGAAACGAGGATCCTGGATAGGAGCACCGGTAGCTGGGCTCTTCTTGCCACCCTTTTTGTCTTTGGGTGCCATGCTGTGTGTAGTAGGTTTGTTGATGGGTGAGATGGAGAGAAGAGTTGATGAATGAATGGTTCTGTGCCACGTCCTGTCAACTTGACTTATGCCCTGTTGTTCTTTCCTTTTGTATTTGAGCCTGGCTCTTTTTTCTTTTTTTTGTAAACAGACAACAGGCTGGGAGGACAGGTAGTATGTGCAGTCACGTCTAGAAGCAAGTCTTTAAAATTTCGCGGCAGCTGGGAACCATTGAGAGCCTCCTCTTCTTAACAAACGATTTATTCAACATGAAGCAGTCCGTTGGTAAATAATCCATCCATCAACCATCGCTCCATCCATCCATGGGGACCACCATCCAATCCGTCAATTAGAACCCGGCGCCTTGACGGAGCAATCGCGAACAACAATTACAACAACCATCCCAACCATCAGATTCGACAGCAACGCCAATTACTCAGAATTGTCGCCGCCATCTCCAAGTTCATTCAAAACGACATGGAGGATTCGGTTCACCTTTAAAGGTCCTTGACGACTTTGAAGGCTCGCCAGCTCTCTCGAATAAGCAACGACAACTACGCGACACGGCTCTTGGATACGGACGTTTACAACCACAAAGAAGTCATCAGTTCGCTGACCATCATCATACCTTCCACCTTCCAGATGTTAGCTCTTCCCGCCGCAAGAGCAGAAAGGCCCACTTTTCTGCTCCCTCTGATCTTCGCCGTAAGATCATGAGCGCTTCCCTCTCCAAGGAGCTCCGGGAGAAGCACAGCGTAAGTTTGCGGTTGGGATAAGTCCAAGTTTCAAAATCCCCCTTCCTTCCCTGGTGGGAACCCTTCAAGACTACCGACAACCCCGTCCTACTCGACCTCCCTCTCGGCAACCCGACAAGTTTGTTTCGACACAAAACGACTCGTTTCTTCCAACAGTCTTCTGGCACTTATTCGACCTCGACACATGGAACCTGCTTGCTCGCTCCCCGGTCAAGAACAAAGGATGGGCGATTACAGTTTCAAAACCCTGGACTTGCGATCGACTTATTCCTTGTTCATTCTGATCGCGGGATGTGTAGCCTCGACTCGACAACGGTTCGACCAACGACAACCTCATCGACTATCCTCGCCCGTTATCAGCACAACGCCACCATTACAGCACATCAGAGCAGCATTGTCAGTCGTTACGCAATAAGGAACAGCCTGGCGAGCACGCGGAGGATTTTCAGTCTTAGACTGTGTGTCCTTTGTCGAACGCTTGTTATTGTTCGGGCTTTGGAACGTCAAACCTTCCAATGCCTATGCTCAGCAACCTGACTCTGCAACGTAATGTGTCCGACCAACTCCACTTGTCTTGAGGGATGTTTGCTGGAAAGGAAGGGATAATTAAGAGGGCAAACACAAGAGGGATACGAATTCTACCCACCATTCAATTCCTCCATTCAGTTATTACCCGGCAGTATATCTTACCAAGTCCTTGTCTTTTTGACTTTTGACTGTAATTAGGCCCGTTCCATCCCCATCCGCAAGGATGATGAGGTCATGGTCGTTCGCGGTTCCTTCAAGGGCCGTGAGGGCAAGGTCGTCCAGGTCTACCGTCGCAAGTGGGTCATTCACATCGAGCGCGTCAACCGCGAGAAGGCCAACGGTGCCGCCGTCCCCGTCGGTATCCACCCCTCCAAGGTTGTCGTCACCAAGATCCACATGGACAAGGATCGCAAGGACCTTCTCGAGCGCAAGGATCGCTCCAAGAAGACTGAGGCCATGCAGGAGTAAATCTTTTTATTCTCCTTTCAGCATCATCTCTTTGTAACAGGCGGAATGTTTGAACAGAATAAAATTTCAGCTTCATCCCAAACGTAATACTATTTTTGCCCCGTAATGATAGTCTTTTTTTGTGTGTTTGTTTTGTCTTTTGTGGCCATGTTCAAGTATTCATAAGTGATCAGTCTTCCACTGATCGATCCAGTTTGATCTGTTGGCGCCAATGTTCTGTTCTCCACATACATTTGCCACCAAATATCAACCAATGTTGCCTTAGATCACTGTTCGTGCAGAACCCCCCACAAGTGAACCAAAGCCGTTCAAGCTGGCGTCGCCGATCTCGGCCACTCAACAACAGCCGCCAACTCACCAGTTCCAAACAAAGAGGCGCGCTAGACAGCACCTTGTCTGCTAGGAGTTCACAAAAAAATATAGACGCCCAAAAAAAAGAGCTTTTATTCCGCGATAAAAACAAAATCCTTTTTTATTCCTCGAGTGTGCAAACGAAAACGTAAAAAAGAAACGTTTACTTGAGGGGAATGAAGCGGGAAGAGTGGGTAGCACCAATACCGGGACGACCGTGCTTGACGGGCTTGTAGGTGATGGAGAACTCTCCGAGGTAGTGTCCAATCATCTCGGGCTTGATCTCGACCTGGTTGAAGGTCTTTCCGTTGTAAACACCGACGACGGAACCGATCATCTCGGGGACGACGATCATGTTACGGAGGTGGGTCTTGACGACAGCGGGCTTCTCCAAGGCGGGGGCATCCTTCTTGGCCTGGCGGAGCTTCTTGATCAAACCCATGGGCTTGCGCTTAAGACCACGCTGGAAACGTCTGCGGGGGCGGGCGTTAACGAGGTCCATCAACTGCTCAGACGAGAGGTCCAAGAGCTTGTCAAGATCAATACCGCGGTAAGAGAACTTGCGGAAAGTTCTCTTCTTCCTTGCGTCGAGGGCGGCGGCGTCGTGGTTTTCGTCAGCCTATATGAATGTTCATACATAGGAAGAGAAAAGATATCCATGAGTTTCCTGCTGTTTGAACGATACGTGGTATCCCGAGAAGGTTGAGTCCAGCAGTGAGAGAGCATTTCAACGCGCGAGTGGATACTGCGGCGGTTGGTAGCATGCCAGGTGATAGGTTTGTGCTATATCAATTGCTCCTGTGCTGTGTTCCTTTCTCCAAGGGAGTGTCAAAAGAAAAGGCTCGCTCGCCAACCAAGTGCAACGTTGCATCGCTGCATGAAGCACAGAAAGGTAATAACCGGAATCGCAGACTGGTCCTGAGTGTACCCTTAGGGGAGCAAGGAGGACAGCTCATACCGTCGCTCCCAAGCCTATGCCTCCCTCGCTTAGTTGCAGGCCGATTCGCCGTGGTTGTATAAGTGTTGAAATAGATGGTGAAAATAAAGTCCTCCTGTCCCTCTTGTCGCTCCGAACCCACGAGTTCATCGTTGTTTCCTGCTGTTTGAGAAGTGTGTCATCCTGTTTGCAGAAAGTACGTGGCATCCTCTCATCCATTTGCTGACTCCTTCAAGACGCTCCAGCCATCGGAGAGATCATCTGATGAAAAGTCGAGACTCCCTCTTGCCAGAGGAGGGGTGCCGAAAAATGACCAGAAGCGAATTTGATATTGCGGGTGTTGACGGTGTTGGGTGCTGAACGAACGATAATGACGGAGAACGATGGATAGATGGATCGATGGGTGTCCATGACCCCATGGGACTGATGCTTTTTGCTGCTTCTGTATATGGTGGATGTATGTATCTCCTGTGGGCTGCCAGAGTCCTCTGAGAGCGAGTGCTAGTAGCAGTCACGCACCATTGTGGAAAATATCAGAAAGAAGGGACATCTGTCGCCTCGCCTGGACCTTGCAAATAAACTCGTGCGTGGTCACGTGAAAGCCGTCCTCTGTTTGTTTTCTTTTTTTCTTTTTTTTTGAGGTCCTTACCTTCGTACTCGAACAACAAGAGGCACCACCACCTTCGGACTTTGCCACTCACTTTACATCTCCTCCCTCCATCAACCCACCACTAACTCCATTCCCACTCTCACCTCACTACACTTCACTCTCTAATACAATGGTTGTGGTCGGCTCAGCAACAGACTCCTCATCGCCCTTTGGCAAGAAACTTGCCGCCAACGGTACAAATTTTTTTACTTTTTTTTGTATTGGTTCCAAGCCCACTGAACTTGTTACTGTCCCAGAAGTCCTGTGGACTGATATTTTACCTTTGCACCTTCATCGTTGTAGACAAGAAGACCAGAGATAAGGCTGTCAAAGCCCTTGGAAGGTGGATCTCGAACAAGAAGGACTTCACACACATCGAGCTTATGAAGCTCTGGAAGGGTCTCTTCTACTGTACGTACTGGATCTATGCTTTATTTTTCATGGGCGATCTGCATTCAAGATGTCAATTAGAGGCAATTGAACGATCTCTAGTTACTAAACCTTTGATCAATCGCATTCTCGCTGTTTAGGTGTGTGGATGTCCGATAAGCCCATTATCCAGCAGCAATTGAGCGAAACGTTGTCTTCATTGATCCTTCGCGTGCCTCGCGAGTCCGTCATGGCCTTTATTGCAACATTCTGGGAAACGATCTGCGCAGAATGGCACGGAATTGACCGCTTGAGGTATTGCAACGGATCACATTGGCAGGATACTACTATTTTGGCACTTGGATGTCGAGTTTTCTCAGGACATATTGGCAATGGTGCTTACGTGATATCTCTGCCTTCTATTAATTGATCTTGTATAGATTGGACAAGTTCTACTTCTTGTTGCGTCGGTTCCTTTCATACTCATTCCGCATGCTCAAGGAGAACGCTTGGGACTTGGAGACTATCGAGGAGTTCACCACAGTCATGACGAACGGGCCATTAAAGTAAGTCGGGGTCACTGGACTTTTCAGGAACAAAGAAGACATGGATAGGTCGGCGCGACATCTAGGCTCGATCATCGCCCCTTACATGATTTATCGTCCTTGTTTACTATTCATAGCGCTTCGAACAAACAAGTACCGGATGGCATTCGGTTCCACCTCATTGAAATCTATCTGGAAGAGCTGGAGAAGGTTGTCACCATTGCCGAGTCTGGAGATGTCCCCACAGCACATATTCTTCAGCCCATGTTCCATCTTTTGGGAGAGACTATCAACGGAAAGGTGTTCAAGAAGGTCGCCGAGGAAGTTTTCGAGGAGATTCTGAAGAAGACAGGTAACCTTCGAGAAATTGCCGCGTGAACAACTGCTCGCGCAGGAAACTATGATGCATAATGGTCGTTGGTCAACATACTAATGAGACAATTCTTTTTATATCTACGATTTCACCATTCTTCTTTTTTATCATTAGCTGCCGGTGAAGGGGACGACTCTGATTTTGAGGATGATGACGATCTGACTATTTTCGATAAGAAGGACGACGAGGACGAGGATGAGGTCGAGGAGCAGGATGACGAGGAGATGGCAGAAGATGAGGATGACGAGGAGGAGGCCGCGGCTCTGGCAGAGATGGAGGACGAGGCTGATGAGGCAATGGGAGAGAGCACAACATTCGATTACGATCTGCTGGGTATCAAGGAGCGTCTATTTGAGATCGGAGCAGAGAAGGAAACGGTGGAGCAGAACCGCCGCAAGGTGTACGTTCTCTACAAGGCATACCAGGACTTTTGCCCGCTCGAGGATGATGAATCTGACGCCGAGGCAGAAGGAGAGGAGGAAGCTGACGAGGACGAGGAATAGAGAAATGACACCCACCCAACATATCCATATCCACTTTCAACCGCACCCGCATCATCATCCACACACCTTGCATCAAAATAAAATACGTTATTTCCAAATATGGTGGGCAATTGGGGATTTTGCTGTTTTTTGAGTGGCCGAGAGCATTGGACGAAGATTGGGCGGGAGTCTTACCTGGCACATTGGATGGCAGCCTGGACGAGTGGAGCGTTCACTACATGCTAAAGTTCAAGGCCGTGGGTCGGCAAAGGCGTCAATGATGAGCTGGCTCATGCGCACGCACACTCACGGGGTACGGCTCCCCCAAGGATGAGATCTCGCTCCTGCTTTTCCTCTCTCGCGATGGACGCAATTGAGACGCACAATGCGTTCCCCCCTGTTATTTTGCTGACTGGTCATGGTTTGTAGTTTATTGACGCCCTTCTGTTTATGCAACCCTACGCCCATCCATCCCTTCATTGTCCCCGTCCCCGTCCCCGCTTACCCCTTGCACTCATTTCATTCTCATCTTATTATTTTCTTGATCCGTCCTTCCGTTGGCGAGTACGCCTGCTGCAGCCCATTTAGCCTTGGTTGGCGTCCTCTGGCCCTTCTGTCTCCTTGTTTTTTTTTACTCCCTTTTCTTGCTCTCTGTTCTTGCTCTCTGTTCTTGTTGGCACTCTTCTTCTTTTTTCGAATCGGCATCGGCCCAATTCGGTGACCATGGACACGTTGCGAAGTTGTTCCTGGCTCTTTCTCTCTCCCTCGTTCGCAATAATATCATATGCTTTTCTCCTACCGTCTCCTAAATTATCCTCGTCTCTTTTCGACTCGCTCAATGGGACACATTGGGTCGGCAACTACCTCTTGGTGTTCCTTTTCTTCACCCCGCTCTTGTACGTTACATCTATCCATTGCCAGTTTGCTCTTTCGCGCTCTTTGTTTCCTCACCGCTGAATGGTACATTATAAGCTCTCGTTTGTTTCTTTTTTTTTAACTTTTGCTCTCGAGACCTTTGTTTGTCCACGAGCTTGTGGTACAGGGAGCAGTTCGTGTGTTTTTTTTTTACTGCGGGAAGTCAAATTCATCTCTCTACTTGGGAAGACGAGCGCCTGTACGTTGTTTTTTTACTTGCTGAATGACGACTTTTTGTTATCTGAAGGGGATAGTGACACTGAGAGTGATAAAAAAAAGAGGGGGGAGAGAAGGAGACAGAAAAAAAAAAGAAGGCCTCTATCGCGATTAAATTGAGAGAAGGGGAGGGATGGGATGAGATGGGATGGGATAAGATGGGATGGGAGGGTGAGGGGTTAGACCAGGTCATATGGGCAACCCGTTTTTTTTACACTTCACTTTGAAAGAGGGGCCGGTCGGCTCTCAGACCTGTGGATCCCAGGACGACCCCCGTCACCTGTAACCGTAGGAGACTAAGAGAAAGACAAGTCATAAGGACGGAAGAACGAGAAAGAGAAGAGGAGGGAAACGAGTAAAGAGAAACAGAAGTGACAGAGAGAAAAGATGTTGCTTATGACGAGTAATAGGTCATCATTTTTATGCACCTTGGGTATTATTTACATCTTTTTGCAAAAGAGCGATGGTGCCCAAAGAGCTGTTTGGGTCGTGCCCCGACGACAATAACTTCTTGGCAATGCTTACTCTCGAATGTCAGGATAATGATATGCGTGGCGTTGCATGGCCTGGCATGACATGGATGTTGTCGATGAGATGGCCCGGGCCCTTTTCGATAAAAAAAATTAAAAAAAAATGGCGGATTAACTACGGTACCTTGGTGCCACGACGGGGTCCATCTAGAGCAATGCGCCCAATGCACCAGTCAAGCGTACAAAAATTGCAGGCTATTTCAGAGCGAGACGACATGCATCCAAGAGCATTTTAAAGAGAGGAAGCGACGACAATGCGTCCAAAAGTAACCAGAAAAACAAAAGGCACTCGTAAACAAACGTACTTTTCATAATGCAAAAGAAACAAGGCGATAGGTTGGTAACAAGAGTGAGTGAGTGAGTGAGTGAGATAGGCACACTCCTTTTTTTTCTGTTGTTGTTGCTTATTTGTGTATTCGTCTCAATTGCGTTTTGTTCCTTTTACTTCTCTTCTCTTCTCTTCTCTTCTCTTCTCACTCACCCTCACTAACTTCACGCCAACCCCAAACCTCTCTCTCATTCTCTCTCTCTTTTTTTCTCTCTTCCAACCTCTTTTAATCACCACCTCCACCACCACCCCCTACAACAACAACCCCACCAAATACTTTATAATGGCTGATACCACCACCCACGAACACGTCGCCGCCGCCCAAGAGGTTGATGTCCCCGCCCCCGCCCCCGCCGCAGCTGAGACGACCGAACCCGAGGCAACGTTTTCGACCGCCGTCGAGCCCTCGGATGCACCTGTCCTGCATGCGGATGATGCGCCTGCTGCTGCTGAGGCGACTGAGGCGACTGTGGCCCCTACCGAGGAGACATCTGCCGAAGCCCCCGCTGCAGGAGAGGAGGCTGCTGCCGAAGGCGCCAACGACTCCCCCCCAGTTTCGGCTGGATCGGACAAGAAGCAGAAATCCTGGATTTCCAAGTTGACTGGCAGCTTCAAGAAGCTTGGTGATAAGAAGCCCAAGACTGAGAAGGCTGCCGATGCCCCCGCCGGTGAGGAAGATGCCACTGCTGCCGCGACCGAGACTGATGCTGCCGCTCCTGAAACTACCCCAGAGATCACCGTCGACGACACCGCTGCTGCTGCGCCCGCTGCGACTGAGGCTGAGGCTCCTGCTGCTGAGGCTGCTGTTGCTCCTGAGGCCACCGCTGAGGCTGCCGCAGAGAAGGCCGCAGAGGATACTTCCGCTGCAGGAGGCGAGGCTGCCGCTCCCGCACCTGTGAAATTGGCCAAGCGCCTCTCTTTCAACTTCTTCAACAAGAAGTCCAAGGCTGAAAAGGAAAAAGAGAAGACTGTCGCCGCTACCCCCGCACCCGTGGCTGAGGCTGCAACAGAGGGCGAGGCTGAGGCTGAGGCTGAGGCTGAGACTGAGGCTGCTGCTCCTGCTGCAGAGGTCGCTGCCATTACCGAGGAGGCTGCACCCTCAACCCCCACCAAGGATGCCGCCCCTGTCATCGAGACGACTGAGGTCCCTGCAGAGGCAGCTGTCGAGAACACTGCCGTGTCTGCTGCCCATTAAAAGAGGCATCAACCCCCTCTCCCTCTCTCCTCTAATAAGGTAAGGATTGCAAAGAAGGGGAAAGGGTCATTGCTGAAGGAGGAACACATTATTTTTTCAAGGAGATACACGCACACGCCCACGAAACCATTCCGAATTTGTTTGCAGTTGACGCTCTTTTGTGTTGTTGTTGTCGTCCTTGTTGTCTCGTGTTCCTTTTGTTTCTCGCCAGTACGACCGTATTTATCGATGGACAAAAGAACGAGGAGGCTCGTTAAAATGTTCCATCTCATCGTGAATGGAAAGCTTTTTATTATGAACCCTTGACTTTCTCCCAATGGCGTTTTGCAAACATTATCACCATACACTTGCAAACCTACTACTCCGATTCCCAATATCGACTGTTGATCACACCACCCCTCCTCTCTCTTCACCACCATGCAGAAACAGACCATCGTGCCCTTTCTGACGCGATCCACTCGCATCGCTGACAAATCCAGACCACTCAGTTTAACCCACACATTCCTCCTCTTTTCTTTTTTTCGCTAGCGTGACAATCCTCCTCAATACGCCTTAATCCTTCGACAGAGGTCATCGTCCAAGGTGACCTCTCTCCAATCGTTTACCAACATCCACTTCTACTCCTATGCTTTCTATTCCCCCTTTTCTTTTCTTTTTCTATAATTCTTTACTAGTTTAGTAATCTTCCGTCTTCTTTCATAAAGACAGCTGAACGTTATTTCCACCTTATATTGCTTCCATTGTGATCATGCTACTGCAAAATGCTGTCTTGCGTGTTGAGTTCTTTAAGGGCGGAAGGATGGATTTTAGATCCTGTTCAACACAGGCAGTTTTTTTTTTGGTCATTCATGCAACGCTTGCAGGGGGAGAAGTAGGGAGTGCACAAAGGGACTTTGAACAAAAGGATGAAGGGACTGACGTACCATGTGATGCATAGATTGGTATGCAAAACATTTCAACAATGCATGGACCCCATCATGGGTACTTCCTCCCCTTCCTTCCTCCTTTGTACCATTCATTCCCAAAAAATAATAATGTACATGTACATCACAAAAATGGACGATTTCTAGCGATCTTATTTTAATAGCATATACAACATACAATTAATTAGAGTAAAAGAGAGAGCGAGATGAGAGATGAGAGATAGAGAGGAAGGAGAGAGACGAGGAGTCTAAGAGAAAATCTCCTGCAGGTCATCCATTCTGGCGCCTTGGGCTTCCATCTTTGTCATTCCAAGTCCAGAAGCCAACGCGTTCTTTCGGCTCTGGATGCTCAGAATCTTCTCCTCCACAGAGTCCTGGATAATAAACCGCTTGACGATCACAGGTTTGGTCTGACCAATTCGGTGCACTCGGTCAATGGCCTGTGATTCAATCGCGTAGTTCCACCACGGATCCTTAATGCAACAAGAACAAGGTTTGATGGTTTTTCCCTGAGTAAGCATTTTTGCATTACAAACACGTTGTCATACAAGCAAATATGCAAAACAAAAAAACACAAAAGGGGAAAGGAAAAACTTACAAGCATGTAGACGCGACTAGCCGCGGTCAAGTTCAAACCAACACCTCCAGCACGCAAACTAATCAGCATCACCGTGGCAGGATGGTCCGGGTCCTTGAACGCCTTCAATGTCTGTTCGCGACTGGCTTGACTCAGTGTACCATCCAACCTCAAAAACTGGAATCCATCCCTGTCCAAAATCGACCCTGCCAAATCCAACATTCCCGTGAATTGAGAAAACACAACTGCCTTTGTGTCAGGGTCTGCTTTCCGGTCTCGATTCAAATGTCGCATCAACGCGTCCAGTTTGGCCGAGGACTTGAAGTTGTTTCGCCGCATCTGGATCACACGGGTACTGTTGCCGCTAGGATCGCTGATCAGAACGTTTCCTCCTGACACGTTTGACCTCTCGTCGTCTGTAAGCTCCTTTCTAGCTCCAGTTGCTGCTGCCTCGGAAGTGGTATACTCGATCAAATCGTTCTCAGTGATGGGGCCTTGCCTACAAATCGGACACTCTCCACTCTCGCCCTTGTCATCGCGGACCTAAGAGAACCAAGATAAACATTCAATTCGTAATTAGTACCTCTATCGATATTCGCATATGTCTCTTGGCAAGACATGTTGAAAAAGTAACTTACTTGGAGATAGTCAAGAACACAACTGCGACAGGCAGCATGCATGCAAGGCATCAGAACGCCATCTGCCATATCCTCAAAACAGACTGGGCATTCTGGGATAGCCTCCGTGTTCCTCATCAAGTTCTCAAGTACGCTCGCTCCAAAGGATGTATCATTCTGGTCGCTGTCGCCAGAGAACTTTGCCATGAGCTCCTCCAGTTGGACTGGGCCATCCTTGAGATCTTGTGCGCCGTCTGCCTTGCCTCCTCGCCCCACTACCAGCAATGGATGGTCACACACTTGGCGCATCCTATTGAAAATAATGGCAGTAATCATGCAACGTTTAAATATTTAGATAGAAGATTCACAGGGGAAGTAACAAATTCGCATTAGACTGCATTAGTTACAACTCACCTCATAAGTAGTTGAAAGATACTGGCATAATGCCTCAGCACTGTACCCGCCCTGCAGTAGTGGTTAAACTTAGTCTTTCCATCCTTGAACAAGGCCTGGTAGATGTCGTTCTCTTGAGCTGAAAACTTGAGATATTCAATCTCAATAGTTCTCTCTGGTAACATGATGATCGGGTCTCCATTCTCATCTTTGGTAGTTTTGGTCCGTCTCAAGACAAGGGGTTCCAGAACCGACGTAACCACTCGCATAGCCTTATCCTTATCCTTGGACTCGAACGGTATCGTGATAAACGTGCGCCAGAACGAAAAGTTGGACCAAGGCTCGGCCCGCAAGAAATGGACGAGTGAAAACAGATCTTCCAGCTTGTTTTGAACAGGAGTTCCAGTGACGACCCACCTCCGCACAGAATTGAGTGCATAGCACGCCTTTGCAGTCTTGGTTAGCCGGCTCTTGATCTGATGGGCTTCATCCAGTACAACTCTATGAAAGTCCACTGGCAGGTCAACAAGGTATGAGCACACGAGTACATGAATGCAATCATGCACATAAAGAGTACATAGCAAATTCAATCTCATATATCTTACCATTGAACAGCGCGCTTCCTTTTCGCCAGAAATTTTGGGCCTTAATATTATCCAGGTCACTCACCCCCTTGGACTTGGACTGCTCGTTCTCTCTCGCACCGACAATCTTACTGTACTCCGACAAGACGACGCCATAACTTGTGATCAAGACATCCGGAGCCCCTCTCCTGAGAAGAGATTCATCTGTACGGTCCCTGGCACCTCCGTAGTAAACCTCGACAGTCAACGCTCCTCCAGAAGAGTTGGTAGTCTCATCGCGCCATTGCGAAATCAAACTCATCGGACATACAATAAGAGTTGTTGGCGATGATCTTCGTGGCGTTGGTGCTGAGCTTGATGTTGTGAGTCGTGAGAACGCCTCCTCGGGCGCGTCCAGCTCCGCCTTGTCCATCTTGTTGGAGTGTACCAAGCTCAAGATCTCGATAGTCTTGCCCAGGCCCATCTCATCCGCCAGAATTCCGCCTCGGCACAATTGGTCACTCGTCGGGAACTCGAGGCTCATCTCGCTCGAGTATGGGTTAAAGTAATATCTCTGAGGTTCGTCCGATTTGAGACCCTGGCCATCTTCCTGCTTGAACTCGTATGCCTCCCAAAGCGGATGTAATGTCTGGTGGCCCTCGGTCGTCACTGAGCATTCCTTGTGGTACATCCAGGCCAGCGCATGCCGTTGGTATTGCTTGAGAGTGTAGGTCATCGTTGGTGGTGGATCCATCGGAGCAAACTCACGTCCGTGCTGTTGTGCCTTCTCGTAGAGTACATCGAGCTCCTTGTCCGACACCTCAGGCTCGCCCTCCTTCTCCTCCTCGCCCTCGTTGACCGTCGCAGTTACTTCGGGTGTCGAGCTGAAAATTTCGATGTTTTGGTCACGCGGCCCAACGGTAGTATTGGTGGCAATGGGCGTCAACGCTAGTTCCCGAAACATGGCGTTCATGGCGTACTTCCTGAACTTGAGATCCAACTCATCCTCCGTCTCCATCGCCTCCTTCGCAAACGACGATCCTGCTTTGGGGTTTCCCAAGACCTTGCTAGCTGATCCTAACTCCGTGAAGGCTGCAACAGTCAAGTAGCAGCGCATCGTCAGCACGATCTCGGCCCCAGTCTGCAGGACGGGTGGTGCAAGGATGATCGTGCCTCGAAACTCTGCCAGCCCATAATCCATGATCTTGGAGACCCATCGCGCCGTGTCCACATGCAGTCGGCCAATCTCAAAGCCGTTTTCCTTTGTGAACCGGACGACGTTGTTCTCCTTGGCCGGCTTGGCTGCCCATCCCGTCTTCTTACGACCCAGTTGAGACTGTGGATTAGGCCGTGACCTCTCAAAGCACACATCCTCTCCTGCCTTGATCTTGACCATCCCTCCGAGCGCATAAGCAACGATGGTGATCTCGCCGAGGTACTTGGGAAAGAACGAGTCCTGGATCTTGCGTTTTTTTCCAGCAGCGGCAGACTGTGATATTGTTCCTGACTCCTGTTTGACAGACTGTGAGGTGGCACCGGTCCGCCGTGTGAAGAGCTGCTCGTCTGAGTTGACAATGGTTGCGTTGCGTTTCTGGCCAGCCAGTATTCTTGCTGACGATGTTGTTGCTTGTGCTTGTGCTTGTGCTTGTGCAGGACCTCGTACTGGTATAGTGGCGGTGTTGTAGGTTCCTTCATAAAAGTGATTGATGGCGCGATTGAGGTTCCCGTCCGAGATGACATGGAGCTTCTCCAGGATGGCAACGTCAACATCAGGACCGAGGATGTCAGCCAATTCGGCGAGGTGTGCGGGTAAGTTCCGAGTGGCAGCCATGGCAATGCGATCGACAGAGTTGGCGAGGTGTGGGTCCGGGAGACGGTGAAGGAACAATCAAACTAGTAGAGTCGCCAAACGAGAAAAATCAAAACAGAGACGCCACCAAATTCGTGCCTGCAGGCGGCTTATTTCATGCTCTTGCCTGTCACCTGCATTCCTTCAGACCTCTCTTTTTGTTGCCATCAGCCCAACAACGTTGACATGCCGCTGGTCGATTACGGGAGCTCGTCTGATGAGGACGAAAATGAGATTCAGGGAAGCAGTGCCACAGCAAGTCTAGGCGGCAAACAACAAACGTCGAATGCCATTCCTTTCGCAAGACAGCAGACAGGGAACAAAAGACAGCTTGAGACAACGGCTGACGTGGAGAAGGGAAGGTAATACGAGAGGCTCTTTTTTGAACTTCACGGATGGACGCATCTTGTATATGTAACCTGAATAATACCCATTGACGAAAGCACAAACAGAAAAAAGGTGTCTCTCCCTCCTTTGCCTTCCACGTTGACAGACCTCTACAAGGACCGTGAGCGACCTCCAGACAACCCCGACCGTCACCAAGGTCGGATTCGAGCTCGTGCCCACGTTGATGGATCGTGGCCGGTCCACGTTTACCTCGAAGGTATTTTTTATTTCAGTCACAGGGGTTGAGTGAGCCGGACCTTTTAGTGGCTGTCAGCGATATTAACATGTCTTTCGTTTCAATAGTTAAACTGTCCCACGAACTTTTCGATATCGTGTCAACCCTCACGAAGACAGCACGATCATTAGCACCCTCTACGATCTCCATGCTCCAATCGGTTGAGTCCCTCAAGAAGAAGGGCGACGCTCCCGTTGAAGCTGAGAGTGCTGAGGATGCCACTGAGCTCCACATCAGTCTGACACGACCAATGTACCTCCAGGAACTGCATCTTGGTCACTTTGCATCTGACATCAGAGACACCTTTAAAAGTCGAAAGAGGTATAAAAAAAATACGACAGCCCAGATATACATAAATGAGCTAAAAGGCGTTATACTTATAAGCTATGGCAGACCTGCCCCAAACGACTCCGTTATATTTCTTTTCTTACGCCGGGTATTGACAAACACTATTTTTTTTTCGGACTAGATTCAAAGTCAACTTTTCTGGTGTCCAGAGTTTCTCCAACGATGATCAAACACGTTCGTTCCTCAGTCTTCGTGTGGGAGCAGGTCATGCTCAGGTGAGAAATACACGGGGCCATGCGCGATTTCATTCTTTCTTTAGCGCCACACTTGGGTCATTATTAACACAGGTTTTTTTTTGGGGGGGGGTTTCCACTTCTTCCATCAATTCAACAGCTAGAGAGTCTTGTGGCAGAGATGGATAAGATTGCTCAGCGATACTCGCAGCCCAAGTTTTACCCGGACCCTCAGTTCCATGCCAGCTTTGCGTGGGCACTTGGAGGCGGTATGCTGAACTCTGGAGTTGTAGAGTCGATGAGTGAGTTGAATGGTGAGCTGGGCCATGATCTGCGCCATTGCTCGGTCGGAGTGAAGAAGGTGAATTGGAAAATTGGGCAGAAGACTGGGTCGGTAGAACTTTTGGTTGAGTGAGTTGTTGATTATAAGTAAAGGACGAAACTTTAACAGGGTGGGTGAACCGGACGGATGTTCCTTTGCTTCTCTTTTTTCATCATTTTTCATCACTTTCCAATGACCGATACAGCCCAAACGCACATCGACCAATCAAAACCATGGTGCTAGGAACATCCATCCTACCTTATTTTGACTTTCTATCTTTTTCTTGCGCCTTCTCCTCCTCCTCTTTCTCCTCCTCATCTTAACTGGCAACTTCTCAAAAACAACCATTTATTACCTGCTCGCCATCCTCTTCAACACCATCCTCTTTTCCTTTCCACCTTCCACCTTCCACCTTTCACTTTCCTCACGCTCCACCATCCACCGCCGTTCCTTTCCAAGACACAACATATCATGGCCGCCATCCTCAACCTCAGGAAAAAGACTCTCCTCGCCGCATTGATCATGCTCATCCTAGTCCTGTCCTTAGGCGGACCCCTAGTCTTTGTCCACTTTCCTCGCACATGTATCCCTCACGTCGACCTCGCACGGACAGGAACCAACGCACACCCCAGGATCGTCATGCTCTCAGGAGAACAATGCACCTCAACCAATCCACACAGCAAGTGCAAGATGATCGGGCCACTCTCATACTACAACCGCCGAGAATACCAGGCACATCACCAAAACCGTTACGATCTCCGAGACAACTTTACTTCATACTTTGACGACGTCGTGAGTCAAGGCTACGTTCCTGCCTGGGCCAAAGTCAAGATCTTGCTCGACGAACTCGAACGAAACGACCACGACTGGATCTTCTGGATCGACACCGACGCCTTGTTCACCAACATGGACATTGAGCTCGAGCGCTTTGTGGACGATCGGTACTCTCTTCTTATCACAGAGGATCTGAACGACCTGAATGCTGGTGTGTTCATGCTCAAGGTTGACGACTGGTCTCGCAAGTTCATGAGCGATATCTGGTCTCGGGTGAGCAACCGCCTCAACGAACAGGAACTCATGATTGCTATGCTCAAGCAGCCCGAGTACCAGAAAGAACGTTATGTCAAGTATCTGCCCCAGTGCAGTTTCAACAGCTACTGGGAGGTGAAGTCCTTGCATGGGATGTACCGTCCTGGAGACTTTGCGATCCATTGGGCGGGGCACAATTTTGATCCTTTGACCTTTCAGAACTGGAGGCCGGAGCACCATTTCAAGTTTGGGTACTGAAAAATAAACTAATGAAGCTAAAATAAGTTAAAAACACATGCTACTTGAATGACGATGAGCATAATCCCCTATTTCTCCGTCTCTCTTCATGTCCGCTATATCTTTCCTTCTGCATCGGCCAATTTCAGTCCTTTTGTATTTCAGTCGAGGCTGTTCGTTTACTGACTATCCACACATTTTCTCTTTTCAATTGTTGGGTTTCCACTTCTCAGACTTGCATTGCATTGCAGAACCAATGCCTTCGTGAAATTATCCTGAAGGAGTTGGCAACCCCCTTGCTAATCTATTTCTCGGTGGCCAATATACATCTAGCATGTATACGTTACCTCAGACTCAACTCTACGTTTGACTATTTTTTTTTGTTTTGTCTTCTACATATTCCACCACAGCAAAACACGCCAATTCTGCCACCAAATCAAAAAAGCTTATTGTTCCTCTGTCCTTCGATGCTGTGTTTGTACTTCCTTTGAAAATGGCGCCTGAAATCACACGAGGCTTGCACAAAGAAATCGAAAAAAAAAAAAAAAGATTTAGGCTGAACAGGCTCACGAACAAAGTCTCTGGCGCTCTGCTAGCAAATGGACGAGGATAAGCAGTCACCTAGATTTCGGCAGACGAAACGAGGGGATGACGCGTTTGCCGTCGTCCTTCGAACAAAAGACAGGGTTCATGGTGAAGCACATGTCTTTCAGCTCTTTCCCTTCTCACCCTTCACATCACACACACTCTTCTGCCCATTATGGTAATGCATCTTGACCAACACAGGACACTGCACACCTTACACCCTTCCGCTCTCTTCAATCACTAACCATATCAACGACGACTTCTCTCTACACTCATTCTCATTCTCATTCTCATTCTCACTTACACAGCTTGTTCGAGTGCGAAGCAAGGAGGGTACCCATCGCATCGAGGTCAACCTCACCGACGACATTATTATTCTCCGGAATAAGGTACTTTAAGAACCACATACTCTCAGATCTGGCACCTATCGTTATTCAGAGCAACAACCGCATGTTGTCTGACATTGTTAAACACCCTCTTCCTTATTGTTTGAAACAAATAGATTGCCGCAGAACTCAAGATTATCGACCCATCGACCATAACTGTCAGCGATCAGCCTAATGCCGGAGCCACGCCCATGGACAGCCTCTCGGGAAAGACTCTCGGCGAGCTGAACGTCAAGTACGTCACCGTGTGACAAAAAAGAAAACGTATGACAAGGGATTGTTCTGGAAGCTAACATGTCGTTATCCTTCTGCGCCTCTTTATTTTTGCTTTGTCTTCTCCACTTCCAGGCACGGTGACCTTCTCTATGTTGGCTTTGCGGAGGCAGCACCGACTCCTACAGCAAACAAAACTTCTACAGTCGTGCAGGATGCTGTGGATGATTTCCTCGACACTCAGACCGGACACATCAAGCGGGACAAGGACGCCAAATTGTATGTCATCACATCATGCACTTTGCAATGGTTGCTGTTGTTAGCCTACGATAAGCACACATGCTGATACTCGAATTTTTTGGCTTTCGTGATATAGCTGCAAGCACGCGTCAAACGGAATGTGCGATTACTGCATGCCTCTGGAGCCATTCGACCCAGCATACCTGGAGGAGCACAAGATCAAGAGCATGTCCTTCCATGCTTACCTCAGGAAGTTAGGATCACACGAGAAGAAGCAAGGAACCAACTACATTACACTGCCATCTCTGGAAGAGCCCTCTTACAAAGTCAAGACCAACTGCAGCTCTGGACACCCACCATGGCCCGCCAGTATCTGTACAAAGTGTCAACCCAGTGCCATCACATTGCAACGTCAGGTAACAATGTCTGCATTTTGGAGTGTTCTTTTCACGGCATCTGATGGTAGACGACGTTGTGTAAAGTCTAATTCAAAAGTTGGCATTGAAACATATAGACTTTCCGTATCGTTGACCATGTGGAATTCGCGAATGGAACTATCATCGACAAATTCATCGACTACTGGCGTAACACAGGACTTCAACGTTTTGGTTACATGTATGGACGTTATGAACCATATCCAGAGGTGCCTCTGGGAATCAAGGCGGTTGTCGAGGTCATCTACGAGCCTCCACAGGAAGGCGACAGCGAGGGCGTGAAGTTGGACTCGCCAATCGAAGGCGAGAAGAAGGCCGATGAGATGGCTGCAGCCTGTGGTCTTCAGCGGGTTGGAATGATTTACACCGACTTGACTGACGACGGCACAGGCAAGGGAACTGTGTTGTGCAAACGCCACATCGACTCCTACTTCTTTTCGTCCCAGGAGTGCCAGTTTGCGGCGGTCATGCAGCAAAAATATCCCAACGCGACAAAGTACTCCTCCACAGGATCGTTTGGGTCCAAGTTTGTGACCTGTGTCATCAGCGGCAACGAGGAGAGCAACATTGATGTGTCGTCGTACCAAGTCTCGAACACATGTGTCGGTATGGTGGATGCAGATATCGTTGAGCCCAGTGTGGAGCCAGGAATCATGCGTGTCAAGGAACCGACCTCTGAGCGTTACATTCCCGAAGTGTTTTTCAAGTACAAGAACGAGTACAACCTCGTCGTTCAAAAGGACGCCAAGCCCTCCTTCCCTGTTGAATATCTCTTGGTCAACGTACGTAATGGTGTCGAATGTGGAGCACCGCTCTCTGTAAAGTTTTCTTTGCTGGTGTGGTTAAACTGACAGTGGCTTTATGACACTTGTAATGATATCAATAGGCTACACACGGCTTCCCAGTCAAGGCTGCACCCATGTTTTCATCTTCCAACAGCTTTCCTATCGAGAACAGGGTCGGACAATTCGCACAGGATGCAGGAAAGCTCCACCGTCACCTTCAGTCCGGCAAGCTTGTTGACCTCGCCTCTGACTATCATTTCCTGCTGTTCGTTCGCAGCATGGGTGTCCTGAACGACAACGTAAGGATCTTTTACCTCTTTCAATCTCTCTCATACGCGGATTGAAGATATTGCGACCTGGAGCTAACCATTTTTGCCATTTCTTAATTCTTACTTACAGGACGAAATGACACTGTTGGTCCGCCTGGCGCTGTTGCACAAGGAAGAGGATGCCCAGCAGCTGGAACAGAAACCAGGATGGCAAACACTCATGTCTATTCTCAAGGAATCGGCAGGATCGTCCTCTAGTGGCGGCGGCGGTGGTGGTGGAGGCAGCAGTGGTGCTTCAGGAGGCGCGTCAGCGATTGCTCCATGGACGTGCCGTCACTGCACATTCTTGAACACCCACGGTGACGAGAACTGTGAGATGTGCGGACTTCCTATGGGATAAGAAATGAAGACTCCCCTATGCTTCTCGCGGCTTGGCTATTCCTTCGCCTCTCCCTGTATCTTTTTCTCTTCCTTTTTTTTTTTAACATCCAAATACAAAAAAAAATGCGATTCAAATAATCAAGAATTAGGTGATGAAGGTGGATGACGATGAAGGTATTTATTAAGATATTTACACAGGTATTTAACAAGAATTAAACGCGGGGCTGCTGGGGTTGCTGCTGCTCGGTCTCGACAGGGACCTTGCGAATGGAAGACTGGTCTTCATCATCGCTGCCACGGGCGGCGGCAGGGAAACTGTCCTGAGTGGCACCATAAGGATGCTGATCCTGTTGTTGTTGAGCCATGACACCGGTGTTGTCCTCATCGATAGAACCACCGTATTTCGCGGCCAAGTAGAAGCATGCAGCCACGACCATACCACCCAAGAAACCAACACCGTCGTTCTTGAAACCGACCAACATACCGGCCGTGGTGATCATGACAATGAAGTTTGCGTGGCGCTTCACGTCGTCGTGGACTCCGTCGTTAACAGTACGAGCGACGGCGCCCAATTCGATACCGCTGACGAACAGCATGACACCCAGAATCGCGGTGGGGAAGCATTGGATGAGACCTGAGAGGGAGGAACCAAAGAAGAGGCCAAAGAAGATTTTGAGGGTTCCCAGGATGATAATGGAGACCTCTGAGCGGGCGCCGAAGCGGTACTGGGCGGCGAGACCGCCGGATCCGTGGCAGAAGGGGATCGATCCAAAGAAACAGCCGATCAAGTTCATGGCGCCGATCGACACCGCGATGGTGGGAGTGCCGGCGGGCTTCTCGGGGAAGAGGTCGTTGGCGAGGGCGGCGAGGGCGATGACAGAGTTCAGGGCCGTGAGAGGGATTTGACCGAGACCGGCGGACAGGAAACCGTGCTTGAATTCCTCGGGTGTGGGGACGATGGTCGAGACGGTGTAGACTCCAATCTTGGGGTAGACGACGTTGGCAGGAGGGTTGGTGTACAACTTGATGAAGGCGATGATCAAGCCCATCATGAAGATGATGATTGCGGTCGGGATGCGCTTGGAGCGGTAGTAGAACAAGAAGACGATGATGAAGGTGACACAGGCCCATTCATAGTTGTTGGCCCAATCCCATCCTTCACCACCGAACGTGTGTGCCTGTTTGATGAGATCGGCGGCTTTGCCAGCAAAGGAGACTGCTGTTCCGAGCTGAATGCCGCGGATGACGGCGAGGGGAGTGTAGCGCTTAACGAGGTAGATTGTCCGGGTGAGACCGAGGAACATGACGACGGCCGAGACTGACATTCCGGCGCCCATGACAGAGCCCATCGACATCTTGTTGGTCAACGCGATCGCAGCAATTGCTATAAGGTATGAATGTAGTCAACGTACAAGAAAAGATTTAGACCTCTGCGCAACTAGGTATATCAAAAAAAAAATCGCACTCTTTCAGGGAATAGAAAATAAAATAAAAGACTTACACTTCATGGGCTGGACACACATGGGCATACGGAAGACGATACCCGTAACAATATTCCAAACACCTCCAAAGATCAAACTGGCCGTCAGGTCGACCTGGCCTGTAAGCGAAAGCGATAAGAGGATAGGCAAGAGTGTACCAAGATCACCGAGAGATCCGGACAACTCGCCCAAGCGAAAGCCAGACCTGAACGAGGTCAGACGTTCCTTGACCTCTTCCTTGACTCGGGTGCTGTAAGAGGAGTCCTGTTGGACAGCAGGGGTGGCGGTGGCGGTTGGAAGGACGTCTGCCATTTTTGATGGAGGGAGGGAGGAGGAGAAGGGAGAGGAGGGGGTGAAGGAAAAGACTACTGAAGAGAGAAGTGAAGAAGAAGAAGAGAAAAAAGGGGGAAAGGTACTCGACCTTTATACCTGCAAGGGAAAGCAACAAAGGGATAAGAGCTCCTTCTCTCTCCCTCTCTTGCCGAGGAGTGCAGTAGCTTATTATTTTTCAAACGCCGTGTGGTGTGCTTGCTCATCCCCACTACCCAAAACGAAAGAAAAGGCGACCTGGCGATCATCCAACAAACAAATGCGCACGCGAATAGAAGCAAGACTCCTCCAACTCTTCTCCAACATCACCACAACAAAAGTATAAACAAAAGAGTCATCACTCTTCTTCTCGTTATCCGTTCGGAACGAGAACGGGGATGGGAGATATATCTTTCGTTGTCGTGCACCATCCATCTCCGTTGTCTGCGTGTGGAAAACAAAATAACAAAGACCGATAACTTTATGCCTATCATCGTTTCCTTTTTGGCGGAAAAACTGCTGCCTGTTAGCTTGGGTTTGTGTTTGACACATGTACATGGCAACGAAGGAAACCTTTGAGTCTCCACTTTAAACTTTCGCATCCTCTCCTTTTTCGTTGTTCATATTCGCGCCTTCATGGATATGAACTTTTTCACTTTCTGTCATGTTCAATGCCCACCTGTACCTATTTTTTTTTCATTTTCTCCCATGATGAAAATCGAAACATGAATATGGATGGCGCCATGTCGCATCATCATCCACGCCTTGATAATTTCGCCAGTATTTTCATTCTACCCCTCTTTCCCCACCTCCACCTTTTCTTTATATTTCCTAACGTTTTTGGATCTACGAAACACCCTTACCTTGTTCTCCCACACAATTTTTTTCCCTATCCTGGACTTTTCTGTTCCACATTCATAATCCACCATCTCAACTTTGCTTAAAGGTCGACCGCTACCCCACCCCCGCCCCCGCATTAAAAAACGAAAGGAAAAAGAGGAGGTGGGTGTGAAAAAATAACAAAGAAAAAAAAATGGGTACAGTTACACAACAGCTTCCGATTGGACGGTCTGGACCATAGGACCCACGAAAAAAAAATGGATAACCACCTGGTCCAAGCAAAAAAAAAAAAAAAAAAAAAAAAAAAAAAGGAAAAAAAGGTGGGGAGAGCGATGATTTGCCGCCCTCGAAAACCCCTCTTTTCGCGTGTTTGGTGTCTGCTTTTGTCATAGTCCGTCCGAACTGACGCCAGCTCCTATCATCTCTTTGAAAGTTTTTTGCAGACGTCCACTGTAGGATCGATCCGTTAGCAAAGAGGAACCGTTGGAAGTGATCTTCGAATGGATGGAGCTAAACCAACCTATGGGTAAACTTGCCCCATTGGTGTGAGAGCCTTATCGAAAAAGTGGGGCCATGGGTATGGTGAAAAAATGGAGTCGAAAAAGGTGGAGATATCAGCCAAATAAACTGGGGAAGACGAAAGTTACAACGTTACAGTCGACTTCGTTGCAAGGACATAGGGAAGAAAAGAAGACAGGGTACCATGCCATGACAATTCAGAGTGAAGCAATGAACACAAAATCAGGTGAGTCTGGATATACACCTGTTTACTCTTGGACGTTTTATCTGATGCAAAAAGAAGATGGGGCGAATGGGGTGCCGATTTGGTTCAAAGAGATCCGACCGAAGTCACAATGTTCGATACGCGACGTTTCTTCCGAAAGGAAGAGAAGGAGGATAGATGGTCTAGCCAAAGACCTGGCCAGCTTCTCTCGCCTTTTCCGCGTCTAAATGATCGTAGGATATAGGATTTGAGAAAAACGTGCTAAAGCATCCTACACGACAATTGATACTTACTCTTCATTTTTATTACGGTAACAATACAAACGTCTTCTGCCGAGGCGACGATTGTGTTGAGCTGCTGCCGCCGTCCTGTGCCCAATTGGCGCTCTCAAACTTGGCTTGGATATCCTTCATAGAGAGAGAAGCAATAATCATAGAATCAGGTGGGTCTGAACATACACCTGTTTACTCTTGGACGTTTTGTCTGATGCAAAACGAAGATGGGGCCAATATGGTTGAATAAGATCCGACCGGAGACACGGTGTTCGACACGCGACAATTCATCCGAAAGGAAGAGAAGGAGGACAGATGATCTAGCTAAAGACCAGACCAGCTTCTCATTTTTTCCGCGTCCAAATGATCGTAGGATAAATAATTTGAAAACCACGTAATATGACATCCTAGACGACAGTTGATACTTACTCTTCATTTTTATTACGGTAACAAAACAAAACGTCTACTGTCGAGGCGACGATTGTGTTGCGCTGCTGCCGCTGCCCTGTGCCCAATTGGCATTCTCAAGCTTGGCCTGGATATTCTCCACCTCTGCATCCTCATAGTACCGCTTCTTCATCGCCCTGTATTTGTTGATATGATACATTGCCTCGATTTCTAATATCAAATAATAAGAAGCAGCAGCATCCAATGTGTTAGTACGCGCGTGTGTTTTACAATCCAACACACAATGCGAGACACTTCACCCCCCCCCCCCCCCTCCCCTTGCGCAAATTTTTCCTTCACTGCCTACCTTTGCAGACATAGTCGCCAAGATCGATTCGCTTCTGAATCTCGGCAGGATCGGTCAGATCCTTGTTTTTCATGAAGGCACCCTTCAGCTTCTTGTGGAAATAGTCTGCACCCGCTGGATACTCGCGGCCAAGATAAATGAGCTTTATAGTCAACGAAATAATGAATGGCATTAGATGGCGATATCAGTCACGTGTCATGGACGACCACGACATGGTGCCCCCTCGGGTCCAAACGCCTCTCTTGAAAGCAAGCGAGCGATGGGAAGGTGATGTCTGTCTGGCCGTGTTGTGTGGGTCGAGAAGAGTCGGGCTGAGGGAGAGGTAGGGTAAGCGCGTTGGGCTTGGGCTGGTTTGGTCAATGAGCAAAGAATGTCTCCTGTTGTAGTAGAGATCTAGTTCCCGTTTAGAGTCATGCGTTCCATGCGAGAAAATGAGAAGGAACGAGCGCGCAGCACCTCAAGGAAGGAGGGGGATGCGTACCTGCTTGTAAAGGGCAATGACTCTGTAACGTGTTGGTGTGCTCATTCGGAAGAGTGTATACGTCGGTTGTTGATGCGGAGTCGTTTGAAGGTCAACGAGGAAAAGTAAAGGAAGAGGAAAAAGAAGGGTCGCGTTGGAAATAATAATGTACATTGGATTTATTTGAGTGTGGTATTATTTTTTTTTAGAATCTTTTTTTTTTAGGGCTTGTAGAGGGCATCGATGAAGGCTCCGGCAACCTCGGCAACGACGGACGAGGGAACAGTGGCGGCCATACCGTACATACCGGCAGTCGAGCCGCTCTCGGTGATCTTACCAGCCTCAAAATCAGCCATCACCTCCTGGAGATCGGTAATGAACTCGTCCGATGCATCGGCAGAGGGGATCGTCGACGTAAAGTGGACACCAGGAGGGTTCTGGAGGGCAGACAAGTGCCAGCCGCGCTTCGACATCTCGTCGCTGATATCGTAGATGTTGTACTTCTTCGAGTTGAAGGCAACGACCGACGTCATAGGGCTACCGTACACATACAAGCTGGGGATGGCCTCGATCGCCTTGCGGACCTTGATCTGGGCACCGATAATGTGCTTGGCCTCCTTAATGTAGCCTTCCTCACCAATGTGCATCATTGATGCCCAGCATCCGGCAATCAACGCTCCGGGACGGGAACCGGCAATCGAGGGAGAGGCATAGATTCCACCAGGCCAGTCACCCTTCTTGAAGTACTGGAAGCGACGAAGAGCCTTGCTGTGGTACATGATGATAGAAGATCCCTTAGGGGCGAATCCGTACTTGTGAGTGTCGCACGAGATGGCGGTGACTCCGGGAACACGGAAGTCGAAAGCAGGGAGTTTGTAGCCGGCCTTCTCGGCAAAGGCAACCATGAAACTTCCCAAGCAGCAGTCGACGTGGAAACCAATGTTGTGCTTCTTGGCGAGCTTGCCCATTCCGACAATATCATCCATGACACCGTGGGGGTAGTTGATGGCGGATCCAGCCAAGAGGACAGTGTTCTTGTTGATGGCCTTCTTGACGGCGTTCATATCGGCCTGCATGGTGACGGGGTCGATGGGAACGTGGATCAGCTTCATGCCAAAGTAGTCGGCAGCCTTGTCGAATGCAGCGTGGATGGTGACAGGGGCAACACTATTGAAAGTGACATGCGGACAAAACAGTACAGATTCAGTCAGTCTCTTGTTGCTTGCAGAAGCGACTCCAACAGACGACCGTTTTTTCATACCTTGTGGATACAAATGTAACTTACATTTCAGGCTTGGTGATGCCCTTGACAGCCTTGCCCCACTCGCGGTGAGTCTTGCAGGACATCAAGATAGATTCGGTGCCTCCAGAGGTCATGACGGCTCCAGCATCGGGGCCAGCATGGAAGAGAGCAGAGACCATGGCGCAGACCTCAGCCTCCATCTTTCTGACACCGGGGAAGACCTCGGGATGCAGGGGGTTGGCGCTGGAGAATGTCCTGTAGGCGCGAGCAGAGAGATCCGAGAGGACCTTGTTGTGGTGGTAGACGGCTCCAGAGACACGTCCCTCCTCCCAACGGGTGTGAGGCAACTCGCTGTATCTGTGCACGGTCGAACATAATAATTAAGAATCGTTGGGGGCATAGGATAAGAGCAAAAAGGGGAACGTTAGTATAAGGTTTGGGGTTTCGAGTTTGTTTCCCTTTCTGTTTGTCCCACAGTCGCCAGTTCATTCTCTGGACTCTTTCTTTCGTTCTCTTCAAATAGAATCGAACATGAGTCGCCCATATACACACGACGTTTCTGTGCTCATTCGATCGGGCTGGATGAGCGTCAGCAACGTGCAGAAAGCGCCATAAGGCGATATTTTGTTGTTGACTGCTGTTGACATTTACCTGGCGAGCTCCTTGTTCATCATCTCCTCTGAGAATCCGTGCTTGGGCAAGGTGATGTAACGGGGGAAGTTGTCATCCTGGGGTGCGACCTTATCCTCGATGTCCTTAGCAGCCTTTCCGAGCTCAGTCTCTAACTTGTTCCTGACACTAGGGACCATCTTGGCGCATCTGAAGGCGAGCTATAATCACGAAGAGTTGTAATAAAATGATCATTGGATGTCAGTTCAGTTATTGTTGTTGCTCCTTCCACTTCTTCATTCTTCGATTCTAAGGTTCCCAGGTTCCAGGTATTGGTTCCAGGTATCGGCTCCTGGAAACGAGCAGATCCATGACAGCACTGACAACATTTGAGCAATGACATCAAGAAAGACGACCTTTCACGATAACTTACAGCAGCCAAGTAGGCCTTGACCTCCCGGTATGTGCGGTTGGGTCCGTGGACGAGGAAGGTGGTATTGAGGAAGGAGAGGAGCTTGTAGACGAAGATAATGAAGACGATGTTCTTGATGTTGGACAGGCGCGGGTTATTGAGATATGCCTGGATCATTTGGGAGGCCGGGCTGGCCAAGACGGAGGAGACTGGCATTGTGTTTGTGAAAGGGAGTTGTTGGTGAATGAGGAGAATGGAATGAAAGAAGAGAGAGAAGTAGTAGAAGAATGTCTGAGGTATGGTTGTTGTTAAAAGGTAGATTCAGACAAGGGAGACGGGAAGGAGGGAAGTAGTGTTGTTTGTTTGTATGATATGAACAGAGAGAGAGAGAGAGAGAGTGAGAAAGAGGTGTTCAGATGATAAGGAAAGAGGTGAATGATATGAAATTAGGCGGGTGATGCAGTGGTATGATCGACAGCAGGTCAAAAGGCTTGCAATTGGAAAAAGGGGTGGAGGGGGATGGAAGTTGAAAGTGAAAGTGAAAGTGAAGAAGAGAAGCAAAAGAAGGAGAGAAAGGGCCTTCCTTTATGTATGTTGGGTGTTTGATTTCCCCCTCGAATAAAACATTTGCTTTGTTCACGATATCAATCGCCCCGCACTGGCTGCAGATCACACTCACTCATGCACACTCACTCAACAAAAGAATCAAACGCAAGAAAAGAGGGGATGGAGCACCTCCTTCAAAATAAAATAATATCTAAATACCACAGATCTATCTCGCACGGCACAATTTTGACAAATCGACCCTTAACCTCTCAAACGTCTGAGCAAAAAACGCTTTGTTGCTTTGTTGCACACAACAAACACAACAAACACAACAAGACAAATAAAAAAGCCGACAGTCTCAATTTTCTGTTTCCCTTTACTGCTGCTGCATCCTCAGCATTCGCCCTCTTTCTCTCTTTCTCTCTTTCCCCTGCCGTCACCCAAAACACCCAATGCACCCAATGCAATATTCCTCAAAGGATCAATTGTCAACAACAATTGTTTGTCGGCTATATTCTATCCATATCCTGTGCAGATGCAATGACCCTGGTACCATTCCCTCCTCCATGTTTTGTTATACCTCGTCATTCGCTGTGGAGGAAGAACGAGGATCTTTATTTTTCTTCTGCTGGACGGGTTTATTCTTGGTAAAGATAAGAGAGCGACATGATGCACATACTGTACGTACATACACAAAGAAGTACCCTTTCTGATCTCTGTCCCTGTCCCTGTCGTTGCGAAGAACGGCTAATTAATTTGCAACTCGACAGCGCGGGATACAAAACGCAACAACGGCCACTATCGCGAGAAAATAATAACAACCATAACAACAATATGCGATATTCCCATCGCTTTCTCTTTCACTCTCTTTTCCTTGTTCTTACTCTGCTCAGTCAGCCAAACTCAAATCTATCGGCACCCACTTCGATCTCACTTCGATCTCACTTCGATCTTCACACAAGAACGATGAAGCTGCCGCTGCTACACGTATACAGTACACGCGCACCCGATCGAATCGTCCCATTCATCCCCGTGCTCTCTCTCTCTCAAAATACATTCTTGCCCCTTCAATCTCTCTCAAACTCTCTCATACACACTCTCTCTCTCCCACGCGCGACGACCCTTTTTCTTTCCTTCCATGGACAGCATATCTTTTCATTTGGGATGATGTGTACTAGCTGGTTTGCTCTCCCCACACTGTGCCTGTCAACGTGCTCAACTCTCCACACGGCACCATTCTTACACATCTTTCTAGCTTTCTTTCGTGATCGACCTTGTCGCCATTTCTCTCCTCCTCCTCCTCCTTCTAACTTCAGACCACAAGCCCATCATGTATCTTGGTACGCTAGATTTTTAAAACGCCAATACGTTCCTGCAAATTGTTCCTAGGCAGGACACACACACACCATGCTCATGTTCAACTGCATAGAAGTAGATTTTGCTACTTGGTGCAACAATAAGAAGATATTATCAAGGAGACAGACACCTCCTAGTATTTGCCCACAATAGACATAGTGTGCTTTTTTTTTTCTAGTCGAGTGTCAATTTGTCAGGAGGTTCACCCTTTCTCTTCTCTCTATCCGTGTAGTATCCTGAGCACCTTCTCTTCCATCTGGCAACCCATTTCACCACCAGTCGGTCAGTCTATCCGTCGGTTCGTTTTAGTTTGTTTGAAGGAGTTGCTTGTTTATTTTGGCGTTCTCCTTTCCAACCACTGTTCCATCCATTCATAGCTCTGCTGTTACACGCTTTTTACTCTTACTTGTAACTTTCGTCTTGTAGAGCCTAATGCTCTCTCAGGTGAACATAACAAGAGTTTCTACTTGACTGGCACCTCCATGATGGAAACCGCAGAAAGATCCTTTGTTGAGAGGGAGTTTGTGCCTGTTCGGTACCAACAGCAAGGGGGAAAGGGGGGTTCAGACACGCAAACCGAATAAAACACCTTCGTTGACCCAAAGAGCCAGCTTCGTCTTCCTCTTTCTTCTTCCTCTCTCTTGTTCTCTTGTTCTTCCGTTTTCCTACTTGCACTCAACCAACCATTTCACCTGCATTCCTATATCCACAGACACAGCTGCTTTCTATAATAATCCAGCATGCTCCCTTCTATCACTGCTTGCACTTTGACCCTCCTCTCGGCTTTGGCCCTGGCATCCACCACCTCTGCCGCCGTCCTGAGCTCCGGCCCAACTGGAGGTAATCACCACACCCACCACCTCCCCTTCTCCTTCCCTGCACTCCTCACCGACAAGCCTACTTCTTTTTTATTGCCCTTTCTCCTCTTTCAACCACTTCCATTGTTCGTTATCATCGACATGTACCTTTTACACAACAACCCGCAGAGAAAAAATATATCGTCGACCGCGTTACAATACTGACATACCTGTACACTCTTCCTTGTGTGGTTTTGGATTTTTTTCTTGTGCTAACAAACAAACAGATACTCGTTGGAAGATTGGAGCGTCGACCAAGATCCGATGGAGATTGAGCTCTCCTACCTCTAAGGGCGACCTCGTTACTATCTATATCGTTGGTGGTGGTACGTCTTCCTTTCTCTCGTTACTGCATACGGTACTACTACCATCCTTTTTCTTTGCGGCGCGCAATACTAAGCTAAACAAAAACACGACTCTTTTCCTCCTACTATTTGATACTATTTTTTTCCACCCTTAGACCCCAAGGCATACAAGCGCTATGAACCCCCACTGCTCTCGGACACCGAGGCCGGAAAGCATACATGGGACATCGCCAAGATTCCCAATGTCGATTGTCTTGATACTTGTGCACTCGAGTTTATCGTTAGCAACCGGTCCGGGATCCAGGGCGATTTTTACTCTCATCCGTTCCTTATCTCTACTACTGGCAAGGCACCCGAGAGTGCGACCGTTGTTGCCGACAAGTCTGCTCCTGGTAATTATCGCATTTTCTCTTGCTCCCTTTTCTCATCTATTTATTTTTTGTCTGCTGTGCCCACAAGTTCTTGTTCATGGAGCTAACGTATTTGTTTATCTTTTGTGCATCGTGTAAACTTTTGTAGTAGTGGCGGGTTCCAGCCAGAGTGCAGCAACGCCCGACGGTCCAATCACTCTGATCCAGAACGCCGCGAAAGGCGCACAGCCCCAACCAACCACTGGCAGTGCCAATACCAACAACCATCTGGGAGTTCAGGGTCTCGCTACTATTGCCCTTGCTGCCATCGTCGGCGCCATGGGCATGGCTCTCTTCTAAGCTGTAACTCCTCCTTCCCTCCTCCTCCTCTCCTCCTCTTGGTCATTCTTCGCCCTTTTTGTTTTCTTCTTTTCCATGTATTTTTTAATGTGTTCATTTTTCACGATTATTTTTTGGGGGGGTTCTCGGCCAGCATTTTTATTTTCTTTTCTTTTTCTCATACTACCTACTATCCCACGCCCAGTTGCGTTTTTATGAACGCGACATTTTTCACAATCTGCAATAAACCGCGTCAAGTCGCGTGAGTTTTCTCTTTAAATCCTATACACATAAACAAAAACTGCCCAGAAAACGTACAATATCGATATAAAAAAAAAAGAATGCAAAATGTGTCATTGTTGGTTTTTTTCTTTTCTAACTTCTTCATCCCAAAAAAAAAAACAATTACTCTATTGGTCGCTAGGGCGGACATCATAACGACGCCCACGAATTCCCCAAATACCCCAGTTACACTGAGCCGACTGACGGACATCAGTCATGTTGATTTCATGCTTCAAGCTCCTAAAGGCATTCTCCCTTGGCTTCATCAACCAATCCATTTCATATCCTGCATTCTCAATCTCGGCCACATCGTTCATCACATCGCGTTCGTCAAAGCCCGTTCCAAAGATGGCGCACTTTGTGTCCAACAACAGAGGGATCGTAGGCTTCCACATGTCCTTGGTCGAAGGGTGGGCCAACCCGGGCGAGAAGAGGAAGAAGACGTCGTAGTAAGGGTTGAAGGGGCCGGCCTCGGCGTGATAGGTCTCGTACCGGGAGTTGTCGTAGACAAATGTCATCTGTTCGTAGTGGACGTGTTGATGGGGTTCCTTGGATTTGGTGTGAGGGGGAATCGCGTCTGGGCCGACAAAGTGGATCTGGAAGGCGGTGGTGGGGAACAGGTAGGCGAGTTGCATGTAGATGTGAGGGGGGAGATGCGACTCTGCACGGGCGCCCAGGCAGAAGATACGGACAGTGTGTGTTGCTGTGCTGCGGAGATCCTGGTTTTGAGTGATTCCTGGCATCATTGCTGGGTGAAGCGTATGGCGAAGAGCTATCATGACAACGGGGAGGGGGAAGAAGCGACGCTTTTGTTAGTGACACTGGAAAAACAAAAACAATTTAACGATTGACATGGTCCAAGTTGTTTACGTCCTCTAATGCTGCTGCGCTTTCCGTACCGGCTAATGATTTCAATCCTTCGACGGTGAGATCCTTGCCGAGCTGGTAGGGCGAAGACTGGTGAAGGACCGATCCGATGGTGAGAGGGTAGGTCAGGACGTGAGAGACATGGCGCATTGATCGCTCCGAGTTCATACTGAGGAATCCACGAGTGTACAGGAAGGTATCCCAATTTGACAAGTTGACAGCCTCATCGCGGTGCTGTGGTCCTATAAACATAAAACAAACAAAATAAAAATGTCAGGGGATCTGCGCTGTATGCTGCAATGCTCGATTGGTCCTAAATTTTCCTGGACGCTCGAACGGCTCGCTGCGGAGCAAATCGGCATTGGCAAGGGGAAAGAAAAGGGACATCCTTGTTACCTGGAAACTCAAACTCCTTCATACGACGACCAGATCGCAGATCATGCTCGTCCTCGTTGACCTCCCGGAGTGTTCCACAGACGTGCTTATGGTGCTCCTTGTCCATCTTGTAGTGCTCCTCGCTGCAATGGGTCGGGTATCCACAATCAGGGCACTCATATGTAGGTGGCTTGGTCTTGGTCTGCTGCTTCGCTGCTGCCTCCTCCTTGTGCTCCTCCGCAGCATGCTGTTCCTTGCATACTGGACACGTTCCGTGGGCAGCAATCCAGTCTGCCTTGGCGCGAACAGGGGCCAGAGGGGATTTGCTGAGAGGGTGGAAGAGGTCGGCCTGCTCAAGAACGGGCTCGAACTGGGACGTGAACGGATCCGATGTCGCGGGTTTGCGGGAGGTGAAGAATGATTTGAGAGAGAGCGACCGTCTGGCGGAAATGGCGGCGGCAGAGGAGACCCTTGCTGCTGCTGTCCTGGGGAGTATCCTGAGGGCGGGCGCCAAAACGGGTCGAAGTCTTGATGCCATGATGTCGTGTGGGTATGATGTCAAAAAGTAAAGTTGGAACCAAACTCACTGATCGGTTGTTCTCTTCTGTTCCCCCTCGGCGTTTTTCTCGGGGCAAGAGCAGTCAAAATCAGGAACATCAATTCGCGGGTGGGACGGGTCGAGTCAAGGAACACAATAACACTGCAAATGCAACATTCTCTTCATTTTAAAAAGGTTTACTTTATTCCTCGACAAATGAAAACTTCATCTTGGAAGTGCTCACTCGCTGGCATTCGCGCCCAAGGGTTCTACCTAGACCAGGCGACCCACAGTAAAAAACGCCGACTTTGACCTGGCGCCCTGAGGATGCATCGCTCTGTGTCCACTTGGCTCTCATGTTGTCGAATTCCAGAGTGAAATTAGGTCGACCGAGATGAATGTTATCTGGCCCGATAATGGCATCGCCCTCGCCCTGTTCCATACCCTCAAGCGACCTCGTGTAGGCATCTTCTGCAGCTCCTCCCGAGAAAGTGATTGGAGAGTGGGATGGTGGAGATTGGATAGAGGTCAACGAGATCAGCGAGCTGGATCCAATTGGGCGGTCAAGTGGCGACAACAAGTCGTCGTGTTCTTCACCGTCCTCGTCATCCTCTGAGTACCGTCCCGATGCCAATCCTTCTGTGCGAAGCAATGGTAACGAGTATGAAGAATCCTGACTCTTGGACCGACTCATCATTGATCCGCGCTTGATGATCGGTTTCCGTCTGGTGGATGTTGAGGTAAAGTAGATGTGGATGCGAATCAATCCTGTCCTGAAAAGTTCCATAGTCTTTTCCATCAAGAACAAGGACTGAAACCAATCCAGCTTGTTGGCATCTCGCGACACCCAATACAAGTCCAGTGTCTTGAGGCGTGAGCTCTGTGTTTCCTGATGTCGAAACCTATTTGCATCCGATTTTGCGCACAGTCATTATTAATACAATTGAAACCTGTTTGGATTGCATGGGCGATATCGAATATAAAAAATAGGATATACGACGGAAACCTTACCAAATGTGTCGCAGAATGCCTGAAAAGGTCGTAATTCCGTTCCCTGTTCCGACCAAGACGACGTGATCGAAGTTCAGGACATCCTCTTTAGGCCCGCCGTAGGGTCCATCGATCCTGATCTCTGGCAACAAGGATCGATCCCGAACTGCTTGAGCCTGCTCCAATCGAGGGGTTTCCGGTCCGTGTCCGAGTAGTTGTCCGAGTTGCATCGTCCAATCTCCGTCCTGACGAATGTGTAGCGAAATGGTTGACTCGATAGGCGAAGAGGTGATGGTGAACGGATGCCACTCAAGCTTGGACAGCTGGGGTATATTGAGGTAGAGATGCTGTCCTGGGCGATAGTGCAGTGACGGATCCTTGAAGTTGAGCTCAATAGCGCCTCCAGGGTGAGCAATCGCCAGGGATAATGGAATGGAGGGGCGTGACTCGAGAGCTCGGATGGCGCGCTCGACAAGGTAGATCACGGAGGCTAGCACAATGTATCGCCAGGATCCGTAGCCTCGACACTGGCCTTCGTTGGTCTTGACAAAGCAGCCGTAACCGTGGAAGGCGAACATGCCCATGCACACGAGGGCGAGATGGTGAGTGTACCAGAAGACTTCGAAGTGCCGTTTCCTGATCTTCTTGTGCGCTGTGACAAACATGATGCCGAGAATGAGAAGCATCCAGTATCCTGTCACTCCAGCCCACGTCCCAAAGTGGTAGGACATGGCACTTCCTTTGCCGAGCTGTTCCAGTCGGTAAAAATTGACACAGTGGCCGAGTACATGGACGGTGAGAAAAAAGAGAATGTGGTAGGCGAGAAGCTTGTGATAAGTTGCCGTGTTGGAGTTGTTGCCTTCGGAGAGAGTTCCTTGGCCAATGTGAAAGAGGGCAAAGAATATCCTGGAGACGTAGGAGAGTAGTTTGCGGCACATTGGGAGCATAATGAGGGCCATGTCGAAGGCGAGGCAGAGGGCGGCACCTCTTGAGCAGTAGATTGAGAACCCAATGGTGTTGATGTCGGATAGTTCCTTGTCGTTGCGCTGGAGCTGGAAGCCATAGTAAAAGATGGTGGCGTGTGCTGCCGAGAGGAGGACCTTGGCCGTTGTTGACATTCTATGTCTGAGGTTGAGATGGATGTTGGAGAAAAGATGTTGTCATGAGCCGAGAGGTTGAGATTGTTCGGCGGTGGTGTTGAGGTTGTGGGGTTGGAAAGTGGAGAAGGAAAGAAAGAGAAGCATGGCCGAGCCTGGAGGGGATGAGCAGACAGGGAGACGCCGAGTGATTGCTATGCTTGAATGGACCGAAATGAAAAAGAAGTGTCAGGCTGTGTCTAAAAATAAAAGAGGCGCAAGAGTGACTGTCTATCATGTAAAACCCTCCTCCTAGAGAGAACCACATTCAGACACTCCCTTCACTTGCGCGAGTGGATGTGACAGGTCAAGAAAAGGCATAGGCGAGTGAAGAAGAACAACACTTGCTTGAAGAAGTGGACCTGAGAAAGATAAAGGGCGCAAAAAGACAAACCAAGAAAGGCTTACACGTTAAATGGAAAATGAAAGCGTAGACCACGCACACTTCACACCAAGTAAAAGATATGATGAAGTAGAGCCTAGATGCAACACATAATGCTGCATAATTAGGGGTGGCTCTCAAGAAACGAAAATACACTTTTGTTACGGTTATTGTTGATGACACGCCAAGGCATGGCAATTGGTTCGTTGCAGAAGTGAGGGGAGCCTTTCGGCCTTTTGAATTTTCGTTGTGTTCAAGAAGCTCTATTGTTTGTTTTGTTTGTTTTTTCTTTCCTTTCATTTGCGGTGAGAGATGAGGAGAGGGGTGAAAGTAGTGAAAAGTAGCAAGTGGACATGGTCTTTTCTACTTTTTCGAAAAGAAGGGTGGCATATGTGCACACGAGCCAGAGAGATACATGGATGAAGTGGAGCACGAGGAGAAGAGAGAAATGAGGATGGAAGGGAAGGGAATACGGCAGGATACGATACGATACGATATACGCTGGTCGCAGTACATTGATGTTTCCACACGCGTGGGTGGACACAGAAAAAACAAAAGAGTAGAAGAAAGAAGAAGAGATCCAGGTCCATGTGGTCGAGTTCGTTGGCCTCGCTCTGATCGAGCTAAAGGTTAATTAATTTCAAGCACAAGATGAGTTGATGCTGCTGCAAGAAACACATCGAATCACCTTTGATCTTTGTCTAGCCCAACGGACACTTTTTTTTTTCTTTTTCTTTTCTTCTCTTTTCTCTTTTGGCCCCTTTGACTCGACCCTCTTCCCTCCTTGTCCCTTCTCCCCCTCCTTCACCTCTCCTTCCTCCCTACTCCCCCTCTTCTCCATCACTTTTTTTTTTCTTTCCTCATTCCGCCCTGTCATCCTCTTTTTCCTTCTCATTCAGCAACTTCTCCCTCACTAACACACGCCTCCTTTTTCTCAAGACACGAACGCCCAGACACCTCCCTTCTCTCCCTCCGCTAACGACCCACTCCTAGACATCTTTATCAACCATGGCTTCGAGGTATACTCCCTCACCTTTGCAAGGCCAACAACAGCAACAGCAACGATACGCGCCCCCGAACCAGTTTCAAGAAGGACACACCAACCCCACAGACTCATCCGACTGGAATGCATACAGCGATCAGTCTATGGTAAGAACCCCTCCTAACACTTCCTCATCTCTCATTCGATGAAAAAAAAATGGCACTCAGAGTAGGTGAATGTAACTTCACCGGTTTAACCTTTCCCTTTGCATATTTGATTTTCTCTTCCTTCAGAAGCCTTCAACGGCTTCGGTGAGCTCGATTCAAAGTTGGGTCTCAACAGACCCTTCGTCGAGCAACTACGCGAGCCAATATACCAGTAACAGTAGCGGCCAATCCCAGCAGCAACCGGCCCACTATTCATCCCATCAGTCCTATGTGCCACCCCCGCGAGGATCCTCCGCCACGCCCTCAGCCAGGAACCGAAGCAACAGCAATAATAGCACTGCAAGTGGAGCAGGCATGGGATATGGGTATGGTAACAGTGGTGGTTACACCGGAAGCCATTTGAGCCATGTCAGTCAAGTGAGCAACAACAGCAGCGTTTATTCACAACAGCAACAGCAGCAGTACCAACCACAACAATATCATGACCTGTCTACCTACCAACCCTCAACCTCATTCAACGGGGTACCTAACGCCAACGGATCTGCCCGACCGGACCAACAGTACACTCAGCAAGGATACCCAAGCTACGATATCCAACACGCCAACGAGTCGAATATCTCTTTGGGGAACAGCACAAGTGCTGATAGTCATGCACCCAACTTTCAACAACCACAGCCACTTTATTCCCACCAACACCAGCAGCACCAGCAGCAACAGAGACAGCATAGATCGACTCCCTCGGACACCTCTCACGTCTCTGTCAGCCGCGCTCTCCATCAGGAATCTCTAGCGGCTCAGTCACAGTCGCTGATGCAGCCGATTGAGCAAGTCGGACCAAGCCAACAGGGCTCTCCTCGCATGAACCATAGAACTGTCCCCAAACGTCGTGAGCAAGGACAAGCGACAGCAAACACGACTCCAGATGGCGGTCTGCCCTCGTTGGATCAGTACGAGGCCATGCTTCAAAAGATGGCCTCCCCTACTCTTGGACCAAGCAGCCCTCGTGAGGCTCGCTCCAACCTGAGGCGGATAGACCATGATCGCGAGAGCAGGGCGGCACGGCAGGCGAGAAAGCAACAGCAACAACACCAGCCGCCGATGGGTATGGATCAGATGATGAGCGGTCTGGTACCTCCCCCACCCGCCGTGATGATTGTAGGGGATTCTTCTCCGGTGGACCAATCTAGCCTTCTTGGTGGCAACCGCCTAAGAGTGACAAGTGCAGAGGAACGCAAGCTCCGGAGGCGAAGCAGTTTGCCAACCTCTCTTGCGAACTCACCCAGCCAGCTAATGACCAATCTTAGACGCCGCAACAGCGGCCACCACTCTCCCATGGATTCTACAGCCCCATCAGCGACTCTCCAGGTCCACCCACTGGACAATCCCTTTGGCCGCCGCCCCCTTGACATGGGCACCCATCAGGAATCGTCCCCGGCTTCGCAGGGATATGAGAACAGTCGGCGCCTGCTGCATGTGGACGAGGATGACGACAACGGGTCCGTGTTATCGGACGACTCTGAACGCCAGCGGCTGGACCAACAGCGACGGAACAAACGCAACTCGCCTCGACTCTCACAACTGGTCGCAAAACCTCCATTGACGACAAAGTCCCAGCTCCGTCTGAGCCATACTCTGAGTCAAACAGACGTGGACGAGGTCAACATGCTGGCATCTCCTGGAGCCAAGGACGGCGACCTCGAGGTAGCCTCCGTTGCCGCGCTGGCCGTTGCTGATACTACAGCTAATGATAATCAGAAGACGGATGAGGGCGATCGCCAAATCGAGCAGTTCCAGTGGGAACTCTCACAGCTGCAGGAAGAAGTCTCGCCCCCAAGGAACATGGCCAGCCCCAAGCCCTCGCCTGCCACACCTTCTGCGTCGCGTTCAAGGGCGACCACACCACTTGGGATCGTTGCTGAAGAGTCTTTGCCAATGCCAACAGGACCCAGTCGTCAACATCTTTTGGCTTCATTGGAGGATGGCGGTCATAAATCTGGACCTAATCGGACAACGTCTCCAATCTCCATGATGAAATCTCGTCCAACAACACCGGTTTCTGGAATCCGCCCACCACCTGGCCCAGCCCCGTCTATGATGTCTGCACCTATCCCCAGTACTGGTGCCTACCCTTCTCCTCCACCTTCAGTCAATGGAGGACCAAGAAAGGGAACACGGGATCCAGCTCGTCGAGCCAAGCCCAGTCCATCTGTGTCGTCCAGTATTATGGCACCTACAACACCAAGAGCCAGGGCTGGATCTATTGCCATGATGGACGGGATGTTGACCCAAGCTCCTCCAACGCTCCCTCTTCCTTCGCTGCCCCCGCCTCCACCACCCTCTGCCGGATCACGGCCGTCGACTGCTTCTACCTCGAATGAGACCGCGTCGCAGCGTCGTCGCAAGCCCTCTGGAGGTCGGGATCTTGTTCAGCCAAGTGCTCAGTTGTTGGCAGAGTACACATTTGGTGGTCAGGATTCTTTGCCAACACCTGCACCGTCTCTTCCCATGACGCCCGAGATCGGATCCAATGGAGCTTCGCCGTCGATGCTTGAGAAGGAGAAGGAGCTGGTGACTGCCAAGGATGAGATCCAGCGACTGCAGGCCTTGTTGGCCGAACAGGACAAAGGTGCAGCAGCCGCAGTGGAGGCCCGCCAGGAACTCGAGACGAAACTGGAAGCCATGATGATCAAGAAGCTGCAGGAGGAAGGCGACGACATGCAATGCGCACCCGGTTCGAACAACACGGCAGCAGCAGCTAAACAAGAGGAGCAATTAGAAAAGATGCGGCACGAACAGAGTGCCCAGCAGGAATCCAACGCAGCCCTTCAACAGGAACTTGAGGTCTTTGCCGAGCGGTTGCAGCAGGAAGAGGCACAGTATCGGACCCTCCAGGATACGGTCCAGCGTCTGACTCTCAAAATCTCACGTCTTGAAGATCAACACGCTGAAGAGGTTCAGCAGATCCAGCGGGATCATGAAGAGTTCTTGGAGAAGGTTGTTCAGGATCATGCCGAAAAGCTTACCGACCTGACAGAACAGTCCAAGACAGACTCTGAGCAGCTCGTCCTCAAGTTCCGTCAGGAGCAACAGGAACACCTGGGACATGCCGTCGCCGAGAGGGAGTTGATCAAGGACCAGGCGACCTTCCGCGCACGGGAAAAGGTTCTCACCGCCCGCTTGGACGAGCAGGTCGATCGGAATCAACAACTTGAGGCACGGATCTTTGACTTAGAGAAGAAGCAGGGCGAGCATGACTTTGAGATGGACACGTGGATCAAGACCAACAAGTCGCTGGAGCGCCAATTGGCCATCGAGCAACTTCAGCAGCAGGAGAGCCGGTACCAGATTGAGAAAGTCGAACGGGAGAACCGTCGTCTGCGTGCCATCCTGGCTGATCTCGATCTTGCAGCCCGACTTGGCCGAGCTGTCGATAGCGGCAATGAGGATGAGGTGGAGGAGGAGGATGAGGAGAACAGAGAGGAGGAGGTCAAATCGGCGTATGAGCGTCAGCGGGAGAAGTGGATCCACCAGACACAGTTGTTGGAACGCAAAATGACCAAGGCTGAGGAGGAGGCGACTGCTATCATGGAGAAGAATATGGAGCTCATGGTCGCCCTCGAGATGGCCCAGTCCTCATAGTTTTTGTTTTTTTTCCCCTCTCTTTTTACGATACTTCATGATAAAAAGCAGACGCTATGGCTGTTTATTGAGCAACACAAAGAATCATGTAACGTTCTCATGGCTGGAGGTGATCCAGCAAATCCATCTGCCATTTCTATCCATGTCTTGTTTGTGGGTGGGTAAGGATAGAGTCGAGATTTGTGTTTACCTCCCTTCTCTCATGCATAAATGCTCGTCCTTCAGCTATATATTTTTTGCCAGCATCACCGACAGAAGAGTGTGTTCAAAGGAGAAAATGCTTTTTAATCGAGCGAGAGGCAATGTATCAGCCTCGTTCACACCTTGATCTTGAATCAAATCCTGTCCCTGTTCTTTCGCATTTGCTTGCTCTCTTTGGTGTGGCGTCGGGATTAGAAGCATATTTCCTTCCTCGTTCGCCCTTGCACCTTGAACAGTATCCATGTTCGCATGTCTCCGCATTTCATTTCGTCAATCATGTTAACCATGGGTATGTGTGATGTTTTGTGTTGGTACAATGTTGTTGACACCTAATTTATTTGAACTATTATTTACAGATGATATTCGTTGTTGTTCGAGGCTTACTCGCGCTCGAAGACGGCAGCCATACCCATACCGCTACCAATGCACATGGTGGTCAAACCGAGCTTCTTGCCCTGGCGCTTCAACTCGGGCAGCAAGGTGGCGATCTGGCGGGCACCGGTGCATCCCAAGGGGTGGCCCATGGCGATGGCACCACCGTTGGGGTTGACCTTCTCCAAAGGAATACCGCAGGTCTCAATGGAGTAGATAGCCTGGGAAGCGAAAGCCTCGTTCAACTCGAAAATATCGATATCCTTGACCTCCTTGCCGATCTTCTTAAGGACGGCGGGGATAGCAACGGCGGGACCAACACCCATGATACGGGGAGGGCATCCGACAACTGCAGAGGCGATGTACTTGCCGACAATGGGGAGTCCGAGTCTCTCGGCGGTCTTGCGCTTCATCAAGAGAACAGCGGCGGCACCATCGGAAACCTGGGAGGCGTTACCGGCGGTGGTGGCACCATCGAAGGCAGGGCGAAGCTTGGACAAGCTCTCGAAGGTGGTACCGGCACGGACACCGTCATCCTTGGAGATAGTGACCTCCTTCTCGTTACCCTCAGCATCCTTGATGATGGTCTTGACGGGGACGATCTCGTGGTCGAACTTGCCCTCGGCCTGAGCGCGGGCGGCCTTCTGGAAGGAAAGAGCAGCGAACTTGTCCTGCTTCTCACGGGTAACGTTGAATTCGGATGCGACGTTCTCGGAGGTGATACTTTAGAAAGTAAAGGAGAAAAAAAAGATCATAAAGCATAAGTCATCGGTGTCCAGTTACTTAATCGGTCATACGGTGGATCGCAAAGCATTATAACGTTCGAAGGGCTTACCCCATGGGGAGCTGGCAGTCGGCAGCAGCAGCGGAGGCCTCGGGGATCTTCTCGGAGGTCTGGGGGGCCATGGCAGAGGGACCGTATCCCATGGTCATGGACTCAACACCGGCACCGATACCGATGTCGATCAAACCAGCCTGGATGTGGGTGGCGATGTTGACAACGGCCTGCAATCCAGAGGAGCACTGACGGTTGGTGGTGTAGATGGAGGTCCTCTCGGGGTATCCGGCATAGAGAGCAGCCATGCGGGAGACGGTGGCACCACCGGCAGCCTGGAGAACGTTACCAACGCAGATATCGTCAACGATGGCGGGGTCGATGTTGTTGCGCTCCTTGATGGCGACGAGGACGGCAGCCAAAAGATCCTCACTATTTTGTTTTTAGGGGGGTGAATTGAACAGGGAGTCATTGTGAGTGGACATGGCTTTTGTATGAATGTGAGGGTGTGAGTTGGGATTGTTGTGTGGGAAAAGATAATCCTGTGTCCTTCCAGATCGAACAAAAGAGTGTTTCCAGTGAAAGGCGCTCCAGTGTGTCGCATGGTTGTGTGTTAACCGCGTATCGATCTGGTTCAATGGGTCCACACGACTCTCGGCAGTCCATAGGTTCCTTTCAATGATAGTCGTGATCCAGAAAAACAGGCCATTGATCAGCTCCGTGAGCCGTAATAATAAAAGCGAAAGTGTGAGAGTGTGCACAAGAGAGTAGGAAGGAGCAACTTACGGGACGGTGTCCTTGAAGCCACCCTTCTTGCCGCGGGTCATGGGGGTGCGGACGGCATCGACAATGACAACATCCTCGGGGGACTTGACGCCAATCTTTGTGAGGATGGACGAGGTCTGGGCAGCGGTGGGCTGGACAGTCAAGTGGGAAGAGATTTGAGCGAGACGGGAAGACATTGTGTATGTGTGTGAGGGAGTGGAGGGGTGGTTTGATGAATGAGAGAAAAGAGAAGAAAAAAAGGGAAAGGGGCGTGTATGAGTGTCTTTTTATGTATTGCGGGGGAGAACAAAGGGGAGAGGGACCAACGGGGAGTGAGTAGTCCTATGCCGTGCAGAGAGGGAAAGTGATCGAACAACTACCCCGGAGAATGATTTGTCTTGGCTACATACAGTAGGTAGGCGGGCTGGCTCGCAAAGGACGGATGGGCAGAATACACAGCATGGAAGTACAGAGTGTCTGTCGGACGGGAGGAGAATAACCGCTTTCTTGCCCATGGACACAAACACACTTATAAAGTGGGACGACAGGTGTGTCTAATTGACAGCCAAAAAAAAGGTTCGCTCACCATGGCTTCAAGGCGATGGAGAGAAGGGGCCGAAGAAATATTCAGCCGAAGGGGTGTATGAATCAGAGGGACCCGCTACCTCTTTGGAGAGTACACTCGACGACAACATATGGGTGATGTTCATCAGAAGTATATGAGTGCAATTGAATACGATCGATTCATTGCACGTGAAAGTTACACTTTAGGCCTGTCCCCGTCCAGACCGACAGCCAGAACGAAATCCGTCCCCTCTCTCCACACTGCACTCAAAGACATGCAAACATAGAGTTTGTCTATTGTCCGTTGGTCATTTTTCGCTCAATTCTTTTTCTCCTCACCTCGCTCTCCAAGCTGCACTCTCACTGGCGCCCGCACTTTTCCTCACTTCACACTTCACACAATAAACTACAACCGAACAGACCCTGCCCTGTCTCTTGCTGCTTTTCTTGGATGCCCATGTGGGATTCTGTGACTTTGACAAGACTCAATCGTTTCTACTTTAGTCGAGTACCACTTTCCTTTGTTCACAACCCACATGACAAAGAAGAAAAAAGAACTACCAGACAGACAGACAAGCATACATTCCCTTGTTCTCGTTGCTCTTGTATCACTCTACTCACATCACATCATCTCATCTCCTTTAACTCTTGTCTTTTTTTTTCATACCACGCAAAAAACGTTACTGCAAATAAACAAAACATAGCAAACTTCGATCTGTCCCATCTCTTTCTTTGTATTTTTTTTCCACGTCCTTTGAGATTCTTTCTTCCTTGTTCCCTAAAACGCTTTGGGAATCAATTGGATCGGACGAGAAAAGCTAAACAAAGAAACTGGGCACTTTTAAGCAACAAAATATAACAATGGTTTTCTATAAGCAACGGGGAAGATCGATCAGGTCAGAAAAGGATCACCCAACACTTTTTTTTTTTTACTTCCCTTGATCAGATCCGAGAGTACAAAATGCATCCCACCACCTCCTTCTCCCACCGCACCCCTCCCCACATTTATTTTTTTTCCCTGACCGGCAACACCTCTCATTCCTTCGATCGCAAAGCCAGTATCAAAATTACATTTTTTTTATTAGGGTTGTTCATTATGTTTGTTGACTACAAAGTGAACGAGGCAGAAAGAAAGAGAAAGGATATCGTACAGTACATGCGCATCAATGGGTCAATTGACGCACCGGAGTGAGGGAGAGAAGTTATCAGTGTGTGTGTGTGTGTGTCTTTGTGTCTTGGACACTTTTTTCGGTTGATGGTGTGGGGGTGTAGGGATAATAATGGGTGAAGAGTGTCTCAAGGAGATGAAGAATCGATGTCGACATGGAAGGCATGTTGCTGCCTTCGTGACGATGATGGTGGCGGCTGATGTTGCTGTGCTTGATGTGGTTGTGGGGCGGGTGGTGTCGACGCAGATCCGACATTCAATGGCCCATACGGAAGGACAGGAGGTTGCCTTTGCTGTTGCAGTAGTTGTTGGTCTACTTGGTGAGGATGATCTTCGTGTCTCTGGTCAAGTTGGATCTGCACCTGATCTGGTTTCCCGGCCTCGTGGGTCACGATCCGAATGACTCCATTATCCTCCTCCCGCTCCACTTCTCGGTACTCGTTGCTGTTCCTTTGGTGGCGAGGATCGTCGTAAAGATATTCGGCCATGATTTGTTCTGTGTCACTACCATGTAATATATGTTGCTGATTCGACAACAATGGTGGCGGGTCAAGGAGGGATCCAGATATAGTCCTTGCTGAATCATCCGAGGATCCAGAACCAGACACCGACCGGGCACCGCTCGACAACGACTGCTGCTGCTGGATACGAAGGCCCTGGCTCGCCGGATGACTCGCCTTCAACGACTGCAAGATCTGTGCCTCGTCGTTCGGAGCACCAATGTCGAACTCCTGTTGATGCTGTCCTGCACTCCTGTTGCTGTTATGACTACCGCGGTCATCGATCTGGATCTTGGGGTAAGGTGACTCGTTGCTGCTGACCATCGCCAATGGATGCACTCCACTACTATCAAGAACAGGGGTAGAACCACCCATACTCAATACCGCAGCATTCGGACTTCTGACTCCTTTAACCTTTGCAGCCTCCCTCATCTCCTGGACCACATCATCCAGAGTCCTAGTGTTGTTGGTACTCGTTCTGCTCAGATCCGGTCCATACCCATTGAATCCCAGCATCGACCTCTGATTAATAGACCTCTGGTTGTCATACCCAATCGTCCGCTGCTCAGCATCGCCCTCCATTAACCCACCAACGCTCGACGCACTGGTAGTCGGAGGGCGGAACACAATCTCATCCCCAATATTAATATGCGGCAGTCGTGTGACCACATGGCTCGACTCCTCCCGCTTCCTGGACCAAGTCCTCGTATACTTGTACTGCAGATGCAGCAACGGCACCGTGACACCATGGATCAACACGCTCGAGAGGACCAAAAACATGACGACAGGATAAACCACCGATCGAACACGAAGGAGTCGCTCAACATTATGCGGATTGTCGCCCAGGTTGTCGGGGTTGGTTAAGGATGCGGTCACTTTGGAGAAAAACACAGCTCCGACACCGATGGGTCCGAACCACCCTGCGAACGCTGCCTCTCGATAACTGGCTAACGCCGGAATGAACCTCTTGAGCGCCATCACAAAGGGGAGTCGACGCAGCATGAGGATCAAGATTGCGAGTACGATGAGGCGCCAGACGGAGAGTTCTAGGGCCATGTCGTGGAAGTTGGCGAATGGGATTGAGGCGCCAATGTAGACAAAACACGCCAAGTTGAGAAGCATATCGATCGTCTCCTGAATATGCGCCTCTGCAATCTCGTTTGAAAACCAGTCGCTATTTTGTTGCAAGGGAAAGACGAGTTAATATGTGTTGACTCGGATGTATTATGTCTCCAATAAAACGTAGGACGAAGAAGACTTACTCCCAGGCAAAGACGTTGCCGGCAATAAAACACGCGAGCAGATCATCCGACGCCAAGATACTGACACATCCTGCAACAGCCAAAGCCAACGCAATCGAGAACACCAAGAACGACTCCTTGTCAATCAGATTCCTGTTCTTGGCACCCTTGACCAACTTCCTAGCCGCCGCGCCAATCAAGCCTCCAAGGACAATACTCAGCAGAATCTGGTATGCCCAGACCATATAGAACCATTTGGCGACCGCAGTTCCGATCGTCCTCTCGCGCATCAAGTAGAGACCCAGGAACAAAAAGGGTAGTCCCATGCCGTCGTTGATACCGGACTCTGCGGAGAGTAGGTAGCGAATCCTGGGTGGCACGTGCTTCTCTGCAAAGCGACCCTTGACGACCGAGTTGGACAAGACAGGATCCGTGGGTGTCACACATGCTGCCAGTACCATTGACTCGACCTAATTGTCATGGTATCGAAAGAAGCCTTTTTGATTAGCACGGAAAAAAGCAAATAAAAGAACTACTCCTTGCCTCCTTTTCCCCTCAAAGAAAAGAGAGGGTTCCATGGCGAGTAATCGGGTGGTTTTGTATCCTTACGAAATCTAGGTTGGGAATCATGGCCCAGATCAACAAGGCTGACGTGAGCCACATCAGAACCATGAGCGGCACAATCATCATAAACAGCGACCGCTTCTCTTTCACCATGTACGACCTATCACATAGAGAGAATACGGAATATGGTTAGTCATAGCTCCAATGCCGGTTGCAATAGCGAAAGGGGATAAGCTGGGCTGGCTGCTTACCTGGGTAGCGAAACTCCTGCTGCCATGACCTGGACAGCGATGACAATCCTCGTAAACTCCAGGGTCACAGAATCGAATTTTGTCCATGACATCGGATCGAATATCCCAATCGCGTACGGTCCAATGATGATCCCGAACGCTGTGGACACGACTATAGACAAAAAAAATAATATTAGTGGTTGCACAGAGAAAAGAAAACGCGACACATGTTGCGGTCAGACCAATAACATGTGTCCCTCTTTCGTCCCATTCACTATCAACCCCCCCCCCCCCCCCCCCCAAACAGTAATCAACACTGATAGAAAAATATTGCATGAGCTCTTTGTTCGTTGCGGGTACTTTCATTGAAAAGATGACAGTAGCAAGTAGGAAGGTTCAGAACACCACTGCAGCCTCAAATAACAACAAACAAACAACCAACGTAACCAATATAGACCAGTTTTGAGATCGTCACCAGATCACAATGGAAAAAAAGTAACGTCATATAGCAGTTGAAACGAACGATGAGGCTAATGGGCTAATGCCGCTGTTGTCCCGCCAGACTCTTTTGCCTATTTACGCGCTTTGTCTCATTTGCATGCAGTAATAACTGATCAATGATTTTTCGCGTCCAAAGAGTTTTCATTGAATAAATCGCATGGTCGGCAAGTGGTCTTCTCTTTTTCACCCCTCTAACATATACCCCCAAAACGAAACCTCATATCACAGAAGATGGAGGGAATGAAAAGGGCCACTTCGTAATGTGCATGCTAAACCATCCTGAACTCTTCTCTTGAAAATCCTTATGTGTGTTTGTTCTGTGAAGAAGGAAGTGAGTAAAAAAGTGTTTTAAGGGACAGAAAGGAATGGAGAGGGCCGGATAATTACTTCCTTAGAAAAGGAACCGCATGGGTAACATTCATGTGTATGCGCGAGGTGCCATTGTCACTTGTGTGTGAATGTGTACTTTGGTGTGACAAGAAGGTTATGAATGAACTAGCTTGTTTTTTTTGTCTATCCCCGAGAGAAGAGGAAAGGGCAGAGAATAGAGAAAGATGGCCAAGAAACACAAATTCAAAATTGAAGGAGAGGAAGGTGAGCCAAGATGCTAATGTTCGACGTGTAGGAGAGCAAGACGAAAAAGAGAGGGATCAAAGTGGGTAGGGAAGGAGGTGTATGCGTGTGTATGTCTGCATTGGGTGGCGGGCCAGGAGGAAGGGAAGGACTAGTGCAGAACGAGGTGATACACATAAAACGAAGACTAACAAGCAAGTTGTAGCAATAGTTGAGGATCTGATTCATTTGCAAATCAGCGGAAATCTGCAAAGGCCACACGCGCACGCATCTTTTTTTTTCCTTTTCAGTGCAATGAGCTTATCGAAAGGGGTAGGAAAGGAGGAGGGGGAGAGGGGTATAAACATGAGTGCAAACGATAAAACACCAAATGGTCAACTTACATGCCTCGGAGATGAACAGCTTTTCCTTGACAAACAGACTAACAAGGCCAAAAAAGATGATGAAGCATCCCAGAAGCGCGTATGCAACGTGCTCTGGCGCCGTGTCGAAAACAATTGGCGACGGCATATCGTTTTTCTTCTCTTCCAGGCTATATCAATCGCTCGTTCTCGATCTTTTGTGGGCGCGAGTGGGTGTCTTGTTGTTGTTGGACGAATGGAGGGTGTGTGTGTGATTGGTCGTTTGCGTGCCTTGTACTCCACTCTGCAAGTGCGATGAAAAAAAAAAAAGAGGTGAAGGGGAAGGATCCGGATCAGAAAAAGCAAAAGAAAAAGAAAAAGAAAAAGAAAAAGAAAAAGAAAAAGAAAAAGAAAAAGAAAAAGAAAAAGAAAAAGAAAAAGAAAAATATGCTGCAGGTTGCGACAATGCACGGACAAAAAAAATGTCGTCTGACGGAGGATTGCGAATGTAAAATAGAAAAGAATAGGACCGGGAGGGAAGAGAAGAGAAAAGGAGTAAGTTGACGAGGAAGGTAGAGGGCGGAAAGAAGAAAGTAGAGGGCGGAAAGAAGAAAGTAGAGGGCGGAAAGAAGAAAGTAGAGGGCGGAAAGAAGACGGAAGAGGGAGAGGGAGAGAGAGGAGAGAGAGAAGGAAGGACGAGAAACCAATTGAAGAACTGAAGAATAGATGGTAAGGTAGCGTGGATGTGAAGAAGAGAGCAAAAAGAAGAGGATAAAAGGGAACGACAGAACGATGAGGAAAAGAGAAGAGAAAGAAGAGAGTGAATAAACAAGGGAGGGAGGAATGAAAAATGGTGTCAAAGTGAAAGAGAATCCGATGTGGGTGATGTGAGTGGGGTGGGTGAGAAGTTTTTAACTCGTTAACGTATCGTTTTGTTCTGCAGCAAAGGAATAAGGAACGCCGGTTGAGGGGATAAGAGGAAGAAAGAAGGGAGAGAAGATGCACGCGGGAGAGAAGGCAGTGGAGTGAAGGAGCCGAAGAAGATAATAGTGAAGAAGGACGATGTGGACGGCTACCAAAGGGTAGGGTTAGGAAGGGGAGAGAAGGAAGAGGGGAAAAAAAAGAAGAAAAATAGAAGGAAAATAGATGGAAGTCGATGAGAGAGAAGAGGAGAGAAGAAGAGGAAAAAGAAAGGAAGTGAAGAAGGACATTTATTCGGATGAAGTCTGTGTGTGTGTCTGGTATGTGCACAGTGCACTAGAGTCGTTCGTTGGGCTCATCCACAGAAAGTCATTCGCCACGCTACTTTGAACACAAAGGCCGTGCTCTTCCTCTCTCATTGTCTACCATTGTGGTGGTTTATGCTACACTCTATTCAAATAGCCACTCCATGGAACACATCCACTTTTTTTTCGGCTTGGTCTTCTGTCTGTTTATCGAGCAACAGCCGCAACGAAACAGAACAGTAAACCTGCTCGCCAGGAATGACCATGACGTGTCGATAGACGAAAAGGATGGACAAAAAAACCAAAACCGACAACCCGCAATTACAAGAATACTCTCACTTCCTCACCTCTCAGATCATCCTCTTACCGCGTTACTGCTCCAACATACATTAACAACAAGAACATACACAGCTTCATTTTTATTTTTGCCTCCAATGCTACTACTACTTTTTCTTTCTTTCTTTTTCTCTCTTTCCTTGTTCATTTTTATTGTTCCTTCGGAGGAGAGGCGACGCCCCGTCCAGCCCTTGATCTGGTGCCGTCCTTCTCTCCCTCCCCTCCGTCATCCCTCTCATCCTTTTCCCTCGTCCCCCTTTTTTTACCCGTTGGACAACTACTGCCTAAAGCAAAAATAAGCAGGAAAAAAAAGGGCAAAAAAACCAAGGGCAAGGGGTAAATGAGTTGGTGGGTGGTGTGCGGGTGTGGAACAGAGATATGCAGGCAAGCAGGAAGTCGGAACAGTGGGGCCTAACCATGATATTTTTACATACCTGCATGGGCTTATAGCAACAACAACAACAACAACAACAACAACAACAAGACAGCAGGCGTCACTGGGGTGTTGCTACGCAAAGCACATGCATGTGGAATAGACCTTTGGTTGCGAAGGTCTGTTGTTGATTACATTACTAGACATTATTTATTCTTTGGATTACAGAATAATATTGATATTCACAAGTAGAGCGATACAGCCATAGAAAGAGCCTTGCTTTTGTTCTTCCCTGGCCATCCTTCCCCCTTCCCCTTCTCGTTCGACTTCAGCTTCACCTCCACCTCTCCATTTTCATCCAGCGAAATGGCACCTCGTACTGACAACGACACCATTGACCTCAGCCTCAGCTCGGATCTCTGTCGCTCCAAAATACATCCGGAGCTCAAAGACAACCTTTTGACCAGCGACCGCACCTGGAATGAAGGGCAAGGGAATCAAAAAATCGCCAATCTTTTCCACCAGCGGACTGTCGACATACCGGGGGAGGTTCATCGCCGAACAGGCATAGAGCGGCGAGTTGATCGGGTTTGGGTACTGGTAGGTCACATACCGCTTGGTGATGCATTCGTCGATCCCGATCTGTTGGCCAGGGACCACGTACACCGAGAACCGGTCCCGAGCACGCATATGGCCCTCGTTGTCCCGCACCTGCTTGTGAGGCATGTCGACTCCAAACTCAAAGCTCATCAACGAGTCGACTCCATAGAATCGTCTGGCGACACGGGCAGCGACCACGCGGGGCGAGATTCCTGCCAAGGCTGCTCCACGGACGACCGCCAGCTCTGCGCGAGGGGGCATCGCAATCAAACCGACTTTGTTTCCAAACTCGGTCCGGACACGCGTGTTCAGGTACCCAGAACAGCCAAATCCACCGACCATGAAGATAGCATGGCAGTTAAAGTTGGTCTGCTGAAGCTGGTGTTGAATCAGACGCAGGACATCGTCCACCACTGGGTCAAAGACCTCCCGTCTCATCTCCTCTGCCGTGATCGTAAGCACTCCATCCTCGAGCCCGATATCATAGTCCGTCAGATCCGCGCGTCCGGGAACAGCCGGCATGGTGATATACTGGTCGTCGATGCCGTCAAAGAGCGGCTTGACCTGATGAATAAATGTCTCCATAATCTGGGTCCAGTTGGCCGGGGTGAGACCCTTGTCCTGCCATTTTGAAAATTTGCGCCTCAACAACACCTCCATACGCTCATCTAAAAAGATGGATCCGCAGCTGTGTCCGCTTCCACGTGTGACCTCGCGCAACGTCCGTCCTCGGGGCCCTGATGCCACCTCAAACACAATCAAGTCGACCGTTCCACCACCGGCATCGCAAATCATGAACCGTTGGCCGTGGCCAATCGAGAACTGGTCGCATTTCTTTTCGCAGTAAAGCGCCGCAGCCTCGGGCTCTGAGATCAAGAGCAGGCGGTGAGCTGGGTCCATGGGCGTAATCATCCCTGCTTGAAGGGCTGCTTGTCTCATCACTGCCTTGGCGTGGTCCGTCCACATAGCCGGAACAGAGAGACAGTACTGGATGTGGTGCTGTTCGAATGCAGAGCCGAATCCTTTCAATGCCGTCTAAAATCAATACGCCATAACAGATTGGTTAATCTTCTGCTCCTTTTCTGCCCTCCTAGACTTTCTATAGTGCAACAGCGAATGACTAAGATATGCATGAACGTAAATCAAATACCTGGACAACATGGGCATGGAACAGGCGGAGGTAATCCGCAATCGCGTCGACGACCGTCAATCCGTTAGGCAGAGGTGGGTGAGGTCCGGAAGACTCGTCCAGGTGCAACTTGTATTTTGAGAGCAAGACGTGGTTCTTGTAAGGGGGCTTGGTCATGGCAATCTTGGCAGGGTATCCCCACTCCAGAATCTCCTTGGAGTCCGGTCCATACAAGTTGCAAGTGGGCACCTTTGGGTAATTGTGCGATTGCTTTGGCCTAGAGGTGAAAAGGGGAACAATTATTTTAATTTTTGACATGCTTCTGTGCATCTGAACAGGGCAAAACACACGCGCACCTTCGCCACCAACGAAAGGGACTTACCAGGTAGAGATTTCATGTACTTCGCCATCCTGCTGGTATGCATAGGCCATGGAGGAATAAGTGGTACCCCAGTCGATAGCCATGATAATAGGGTATGATTGGTTCTCGCTCCCTGGCATAACATAGGGGCGGTGGCCATAATGGGAGGCTGGATTGGGTGCGGGTGGCGCATACTGCTGGTGTTGTTGGGTATACGGTTGGCTGGTGACAGGGTAGGGAAATTGCTGCTGGACAGGTAGTGGTGGCAGTGGCTGCTGCTGAGAAATAGGATACGATTGCTGGAAGCCAGATGGAGGCGCCGAGTACGACTGCGTCGATAGAGGAGGGACTGGATAGGGCTGCGAGTGCATAGGAGGAGTGGATGTTTGGTAGGCATTCTGGGCCAGGGGACTACTCTGATATGGCGAAACGGCCGCCGATGCCTCCGTCTGGGGTGTCGATACTGAGGGTATATTAGGCGAAGGGAGCGAGTAGGCCACTGAAGCACCGGTCTCCGAAGGGCTGCTGCTGTGGGTGGCAGGCGACACTGGGGAAGCCAAGCTGCTATAGGAAGGGGGCATGGTGGCGCTAGTAGGCTGGGAGCTGGCAGGGGTTGAGTTGGCGCCATTGGTCCTGGCAGGGCTGGCTGATTGGATGGTAGTTACGAGCTCGGAGCCAGTGATATACTGGGGGTCGCCGGGAACTGCTGGAGGTGGCCGGTTGCCTATGGTCACTGGACTGACAACTGGGGACAACGACATGGTAGCGCCAGAATTGAAATCCTGCTGCTGGTGTTGCTGTTGCTGTTGTTCTTGTTGTTGCTGCTGTTCTTGATGTTGCTGTTGTTGCTGTTGCTTCTGGTTGTCGTAGACAGCTGGCTGTGCGGCCGAGAGTGAGACCACGCCATCGACGTTGCCATTGGTCGCTACTGTGCCGTTGGAAGGAGGGATAGCCTTTTCGTCCTTTGCCTTGGAGTCCTTCTTTTTCCTCTTGAGGAAGAACATGGTAGTAACGGAAGAAGAGGAATTAAAAAATAGTGTCGAGAGAAAGGTATGTAGGCTGTGTGAGCTAAAAACACTGTTGGGAGAGAAGTAGAGGAGGTTTCAAGGGCGATTCCGTTGGCTTGTTGTTAGGACGAGGGGGGGGTGAAAAGTCGTCAGGAACGCGCAATCGAAGAAATGACGGGAAAGGGGAATGGGGGCAGAAAGGGATGGATGATGAAGGAGAAGGAAAAAAAAAGAGAAAACGAAAGAGATGGGTCCCCTGCTGTTTGTTTTGGAGCTATAGAGTCGACATACCTGTTGGTTCAAAGGTTATTTTAATGCGGCGTGTGGTTGTAAAAGGGTACAAGGATGGAAGTGAAAAGCGAGTTTTTTTTTTCTTCATGGTTTCGACTTTCGGGCTGTTGCTTTTTTGTTGTGACACACTCACATATCAATGCGATGTTCTTCTCAACAGTTCCTGGGCAAAAAAAAAAAAAAAAAAAAAAAAGAAAAGGTCGCTGCTTCCTTTTATTATTACAACAGCTACTCAGACAACCTTGTACAGGATCATGGCCAAAGGAACCATGGCATCAGCAGCAAACATTCCGTACTCCTCGCTGAGCGTCGTCGATCCTGCTTCACTCTCGCTGCCTCCTCGGTAAACCTCGACCTGTCGATGGACAACATCTGAGCCCTTGGGAGGCCGCTTCATCTTCATGCTGCTAGGCGGCACGTCGTAAGAACGACCAAGGGCTGCGAATGTAAGGATCATGCATTGGACCTTGTTGCTTGGATCGGCATTCATGTCGGCGTTCGATCCCGAAGGCGCCAACCGCGTCGATGCTAGATGGCTATGGGCTTGCGACGAGTTGGGTGACAAATAGACGTACTTGTTCCTGATTGACACAAATACGAAAAATAATAAAGCTGTCAATCAAAAAAAATATGTATCATTACAGCAGCCCAACATTTACGCTTTGTGAGCTATGAGGCGAAGAGAAAACATAAACAAAAAAGGCAGCAATTACAACATCTCGATCACCTACTTTGCAATGGTATCCTCGTAGCCGTCGTTAAAGATGAAGCAACTTGCACACTTGTCCTGCATACAGTTACGATACATGCCCTCCATTCCGAGCTTGCATCGAAGGTCGGCGGCATGCCACAATGGCCTACAGACGCGCTTGTTCCAGCTCTGGCCTTCAAGGTACCGGTCAAAACAGGAGGCAGTGATCGGATGGATGGGTATAAAGTTGAGGCATTGAACTCGAGGGCCGCGCATCTCGTTGTCATCGGGTATCCAGGTCGAATAAAAATAGTCGAGAATCGATCTCGTCAGCGGTGACTTTTGCGTTGTGTCCAGAGGAAGCGACATGGGTAGCCTCGAGGCAAGACAAAAGAGATGAATGGAAGGGCAGGTTGAGCCCAGACGTGAGAGCTCTGCACGTTGGTTCATTGGGATCTCTGGTGGTGGTTCCTGACTATAGGGCGAGACCGAGTGGCAGATGAAGCACTCACACACGGACTCAGGTGGGAGGGTGGTTGGCATATCTGCCTTCGGCTTGATCCTGGATGGGCGGGTGTGCGCTGTTGCCAAGGGCGATGATGCCGCAAGAGGAGACGAACCAGCGGTCATCTTGCGGGGTGTGGTGCGCTGGGGACTTGCGCCCAGGGGCGATGGTGTCAGATTGGAGCCGGATGAAGGCGGGCGCTGGCCTGGATAGGCCGCGATAGGAGGCGATGTGTTGGATTGGGCGGACATTGATGAAGCTGACTCGAGAGAGGCTGAGGATGGGGTGTTGAGGCGCTGTTGAGATGGTGGGGGAGGAGGGGCGTATTGTTCTTGCTGCTGCTGCTGTTGTTCCGATTGTTGCTGTTGTTGTTGTTGGCCTGGACGCGGACGCAGCTCAGGGGCAGGCTGGTAGGGCGAAGACGACCTTGCGGGTGAATATGTGGCAGAGGGTTGGGAGAGAGGAGGAGGAATCCACGATCCTGGGTTGGAAGGAGGGGGTGATGTATATGATGCCATTGTGTGTGTTGTATGAAGGTGTTGTTGGAGGGTGAATGGTGGATAAAGCGGGCAGGGTAAGTGTTGTTCCGGGTCTAATGATTTAAAAGAGAGAAGAGGTGCAATGGCGCACAATGACGGGAGAAGGGCAGGCTGTTGGTTAAGATGGCGCTTTGAGTGAGAATAGGCGCTGCACTGCACGGTGGGAGTGCATGCGACCAAGTAACAAGAAGGGCTTTTGCTGTATGACAATATGAGCTGGAGAGAGGGTCGACGTACGGACTATTATTATTATTTTTTTTGCTTTCAGTGTCTGACGGTATCTGAATTGACTCCTTTCTGGCTGCGAGCTGTGTCTGAGTGTTTCTATGGTCGGAAAAGAAAGCACGGTTGATGCGATGATGTGTGGGTGAGGTACGTCTGAGACAGAAGGGAAGGATGAGTAGATAAGTAATTGGACGAGACTGGGGTGGGGAGGATAGACCAACAAAGGGTTATTAAAGGATTAAAGAGGAGGATGAACAGGTGGACGACAAAGGGAGAAAGGTCAGAGGAAGGGAAGGATAAAAGGAAGAGGTGAAAAGAGAAAGAAAAAAAAAGAGTGGGAAGGATTTGGTGGACAGACTGGCTTGGTACCAACTGAACTCTGTGTAAATTGGACGAACGCCAGAGTGGAGTATCCAGAGATGGGAGATGCGTCGTGGAATATGATCCAAAGAAAACATAAGAATGCTCTCAATTGTTTGGATGGATACTATATGGATTGGACTGGAAGGAAACGAAACGAAAGGAACAAGGACAAGGCCAAAAGAGCACGAAAACGCTGACAACAAACAAGGCGAGATATCCAGAATTGGTTGGTGAGGGCACACTGAAAAGAAAAGCTTGCATAGACCTACGTACGTGTGCAAGGGAGAGGGAGGGGGGTGATGGAGGAAGTTGAAGGAAGGAACAAGGATGAATGAATGAGAGAGAGAGAGAGAGAGAAAGAGAGAGAGAGAGTGATGACTGAATGAATGGAGTGAATGGGAAAGGTGGTGGAGGAGGGGACACTTCCGAGGAAAAGGAGGAAGAAATACCTTTTGAGCGGTGATGCTTTTTGTTTGCAGACAGACAGACAGTGGTACCGCGGGTGAGGAAGAGAAAGGGGACGAGTGTTGTGAAGAGAAGAGAAGAAAAAAAAGTAAAAATAAAAAACAGCGTAGGGACACAAACGAAGAGGGAGTGGGTGAAAAGAGAGACAGGGCGTCGGGACTGATTTTGATAGATATATTGAGGTGAGACAAAGAAAAAAAAGAAAGGATAATAAAAGGAAGAGGGGGACCAGGTCCCAGGGGAGGGGAAGAGGTATTGTTTGTCATCATCGACAGCAATAAGTGATCAGTGTCCATCTGGATCCCCGATGATACGGGTGGTGGCGATGATGATGGCAGTGATGGTTCGTGCCTGAGCAACTGATCATTAGTATCAATTCGTGAACCAGTTCTTGCTGTCTCTCATCTCTAAAAAAAATTCATCATTCTCTCCCTCTCCCTCCTCACTCCTTTGTCCATCTATCAGTCCCTTTTGTTATTTTTACATTTTGTTCCTCTTGTTTTCTTTTTTTGCACCCTGACATCTTTTCTTTTTTTACACTCTTCTCTTTTTCGTTCCCTGTGCCTTCCTTCCTTCCTTCCTTCCTTCCTTCCTGCTTCTTTTCCTTCATCGGGTTTTCACATTCAACCTCCACTCCATCCATTTTTTGCTGCATTCCTCTTCTCCTTCTCTTCTCCTCTCTCTCTTTCCCATCGCCTCATCCACTCTTCCTTCTCCTCCTGCTCTTGCTCCTTCTCTTCTTCTTACCATACCATACATATACATATACATGCACATACATAGAGACATACCACACCCTTTCTCTCTTTCCCTTTCGCGCATTATCCCTCTTGCTTTACCCACACCACTCCCTTACTCTTTTCCTCCCTCTCCGCGTTCTTCTCTTTTTCTCTCTCTCACTCTTCTAACGAACTCCTGCGGTCCCTTTTTCCCTTCTGTCCTCCTCGCCCTCTTCCTTCCCCGCTTTCACCACCACTGACCCCCTCAACTCTCCCGCCTCCTTAGTCCTTCCCCTCCTCATACCAGCACTCCAATTGCCTCATCATCATTCCTCTTATTAGCGTGCCTTCTCACACTCCAAATACTCAGGCACCACCTCTAAGAAAAAGGGCACAGACAAAGCTTCACACCCAACAACGCCACACCTCTTTCCTTTTCCTCTTCCCTCTGTCTCCAACTTCCCGGTACCCAGCATATATTCTTCCATTCACCCACACCTGCACCACTCTTCCCATTTCTTCCGTCGTCCCTCTCTTGACCTAGAGAGATCCCCCCACACCTTCCTTTCTTTCCTTTTCGGTCCACCCATCTCCATTCACACCTTTAATAACACATATACAAAAAGATGGCCACCGTTCCTTCTCGCTGGTTTCACGCTGCCGTAAGAAGTTATTATATTTCTTGTACCTTTCTTCCCTTCGGCGCTTTATTATTTACTTTGCCACTGAAACGAACTCATTCCTCATTCCCGATTCCGCCTTGTGGGTACTCTTCTACTAAAATAGTCCTCCCTAGGCTCGACAATATACTTCACAGGAGGAACGACATACGACAGCACAGGAAAGATCGTACTCTTGAGCGATACCATCGGCCTTGATGTATCACAAGCATGGGAGACCAGCAGCCCGCTCTTGAACACCCTAGCTGAGGTACCAGCGACGGTCAGTGGACACGTCATGAGCAAGATCTCAGGAACAACACAGCTCCTCATCGCAGGCGGAGAGTCAACCTCGCCACTCACTCAGGCGTCTTTTACATATCTTTTCGAGACTAAAGATGGCAGCTGGTCTGTCATAGCCACCCCTACACCCCCTAACCGCCGCCTCTACTCCGCTGCCATCGCCACCGGAAAAGACGGTCTTTTGCTTGAAGGAGGTTACCTCACCACAGTTGCCAATGGCACCTTTGACCCCTCTCTAGTATCTCTCAACCCTGCCGCTAAATTCCAACCAAGCTCAACAACCGCAGTCGCCTTGGCCGCCGATGCACCCGCCCTTGCACGACACACCATGACGCTTACAACAGATGGTCAGGCTGTGATTCTTGGCGGTATCACCCCACAAGGAGCTGTCGCCAATCTCTCAATAGCTCACGTTCTCAACACACAGAACACTGGCGGATGGAAAGCCGTCCCACTGGCTGGAACGGCACCCGACCCACGCATGTCCTTCTCAACCGTCATGGTCAACTCCACTACTATGTTGGTCTATGGTGGAACTATAGACCTCAAAACTGGATACTCGAACGCCTTCTACCTGGATCTCCCTACATGGACATGGTCTTCACCGCCAGCACAAGGAGATGCGCCTAGTCTCTGGGGTCATACGGCAACAATGGCGGGCAATTTCATGGTCGTCGGTTTTGGTAAGCTATACCTTCCTCTCTTTGCTTTCTTCCTTCCCTCCCTCACTCCACGCCTAGTCCCCTGCTACCGACAGTGTTTGTGTTTCTCTTGACTCCATTTCCCAATCGGCCTGAGAGCAATTCGTTTGCGGTAGATTGCTCTGATCAATACAAGAGAAAAAGGAGACAAAAACAATACAACATTGTGACACAAAGAGCGCAATGGCAGCTTTTTTCTTTTCTCCTTTCCCACTCTCACATACATTTAGCACGTTTCTTTAATACCTTTTCCTAGTCTCACTAACAATAACAATGGTTACCCGTTTTCTCCGTAATTTTTCTACTATAGGGACGTCCTCAACACCCAGAACAGAAAACATTGCACTCCTAGATGTCACCAGCAACACATGGACGAAAAAATTCCGACCTGTTGGGCAATACGCGCCCGACGAAACCTCCAAGTCAAAACTGAGCGTGGGAGCCGTTCTGGGAATCGCGTTTGTGCTCACGGCGCTTATTGTTGGCGGAGCGTTCCATCTCCTGGTCCGCCGGCGAAAGCGACAGACAAGGAACACGTTGGCACGACAGAACATGGGCGACCACACTGCACGGTCAGCGGTCCGATCGAGTGCATTGAATGAAGATCGGAGTCTGTTCAGGAAACTGGCGTCGTTGCTCGGGATTGGAGGATCATCCTCTTCTCGCAGCAGGGATAACTCGAGGCGGTCTGTGCGGTACTCGGAAATGCAGCTGCACTCGAGCGCGATGGCGATCAGTTCTCGGATGACCCAGAGGGGCTACTCGCCCGTCAGCTTGGGATACCCTGAGAATGTGGTCGAGCACGGATGTGGCCAGGTCTCGGTCTCGAGCTACATCTACCCGAACCAGGCCTGTGTTGAGACCGAAAAGGAGGTCCAAGACGGACAGGAGACGCAGATCGTCTTCCATATCCTTACCCAAGCCCAACAGGAAGCCCTCAAGCTTAGCAAACAACCACCATCTAACAAATCCAAGCTGCACCAGCTAGACTACTAAATACAAGCCTAGGTACATATTTAATTAATGAATTGCCCATATTGTATTTTTTCATGTATCCATATGTTATTGATGTGTTGTAGTAAGCATGGACTGTTGAGTAGCCGGAAGGGACGCGTTTTACGTGTGAATATGGTGGATACAGTGCATGTAGTGTCTTGTGGATCCCTTTGAAACAACCTGTTGAGAAGTGCCCGAGCGACAAAAACAGAAAAGTTATTTTTAGGGCAAACAGGGAAGGAACATTCAATGCGACCACGTGCATTGTGAAATGCGAAGGAAAGGAGTACCATTCGAAGGGAAACGGGAGCGAGCCCTACTAATATTTTCCTTCCCATCTTTCGCATATTAAAATATGCCCCCATCCGTTTTTTGTCGGTCTCAAGGATAAGGGGGGGGGGGGGGATGAGAGTGAAGATAGAAACGTAGCTTTCACGCGCTCCTTTCTTCCTTCACTTGTGCGATTACCTGTTGCATGGAAGGAAGCCTTTTTCATGGCCAGAAGGAGGTGCATTGACCTTTTTTATTGTGGGCCATATTTCGACTATTATTTTCGCATAATGCTGATCTTTTATCCCCCTCATCTCCCTACATCTGCATGCACCTGTTATTTTTCTCTTCCATCCACGGAATATTTACATCATCCTCTTCTCCCCCTTCCTCTCCGCCCCGCTCCTCTACCCCTCTCTTTCCTTCTTTCCCGCAGCCCCCTCTTCCTTCCCGTTCCTTTACCATGGCGCGTCTCGACTCCAATCAAGAGTAATAGGTCGATCGATTCTCGCCGTATTGGGTAGATAATTACTTTAAAGGATCCTGCCAATTGTCTTGCACTTACTGGATGATTGGACAATGATAGACGATGGATGATGGATAATCATTATTCTTTTCAATTGGTCCCAGATGGTCGGTACGAGTAGCTACTTCATTACGATAGAATGAAGAAAGTCAATCATCAAACGTCTGTCCAAACACGCGGATTCTATATCATTTTTTCCTTTCCTTTCATTTCATTGTGAGAGTGAAAAAAGACGCGTTTGGGGGAGAGAGGAATCGGATCGGGCCATCTGCATTACTTAATTGTGAAAATCGTAAATGGTTGGTTGTCGTTTCGGGGGAGAGGGGGTTCTCCTGAAAGCATAATAACCACCAATGAACAACACATGTCGGGCATGAACTTTCCTTTGTCCAAAAGAAAACTGCTGAAATGAACACGCCCTCAGCAACCCCAGACCATACTCCAAAACCCACATCCCTGTCGCCCTGTCAACTTCTTTCTTCTTTTCTTTGGGTCAATTCCTTGCGGCTTATACCACTGTTAACCTACTTTCGTCGTGTGGGATGGTGTTAGGACATGGATTGGATCGCGCTTTTTTTGTGTTTGTGAACCCCATGTAGGAGATCAGATATGCCTTTTGCAGCTTTTCCGGTTGTTTACATAAGGAAGACAACAATGTAAACAAAAGAGTCAAGCTGTCGGCTGCTTTTTTGTTTTACTTTTCATCTTTATTTGTGAAGAAGCGGGAAAACCAGTTGGGCAGTGCTGGTGCCGTCCTTGATGATTTGTTTGATGGTAGGTTTAACTTTATGTTTGTCAGTTTGTCTGTTGTGTTGTGTGGAACTTTGAAAGAAAAGAAACAACTGAAGCGTCGAATAGAACAAAGAGAAACTTTAACTGGCAAACCACAAGACAAACGGTCGATTGATATTTCTTTCTTGTCGGTCGGTCGAAAAATGGAAAGGGCGGTGAAAGTGGGATCGGTAAGATTAGAAGAAAGGAAGAGAAAGAGGTGGGAAGAGGCCTTGAGAGTTGATGGGTGTGTGTGTGTGTGTGTGAGTGTGTAGAAGTAAGCGTGCGTGCATGTTGTGATCATCGCGACAAACGGGAGATGGCACTCGGAATCATTTTTTTTTTGGGTGCCTCGTCGCTTCATCAACAAAAAGAACCGAACCATAGAACGCAGGTCCGCGGTGTTTTCGGATTCAAGCGTACACCAACAACACATCAAAAAAAATGCTCACTCAACTCAACTCCCAGCCAGCCTTTCAGTGAACAAAGAACAGGGCATTTTTTGTGCTCTCTATTTTTTTCTTCACTCTCAATCTCGCCCTCACTGTTTCGGCGTTACTCAAATGGAGCGGCGGTATTAAAAGAAAAATAAGGCCGTTATGATGTAGTTTTTCTTTCGCAATCAATTGGGATACTCTTCCAGTTTTCTTCCCGCTTTTTACTATCAGAACCAGTCAAACCTCAGAAGGTTTAGAAACATACACATACGACGATGGGAAGGAGCACAGACAAGGCCTTTCGGTTTCTGAAAAAAAAAATTGGGAACCAAGCTCCGGAGCGTAATCAAAAAACTTTAATAGAACAAAAAAAAAAAAGTGAGTTGCCTTCAATCAAAACGGTATTCACACCCTTGCCAAGGTACTGTAACCTTGCTATGGGATCGCCCTTCGGTCGTTGCTGCTCTCGCTTGAAATTCCAAGTGCTGTAATCTTGCTTACTCACCCTATTCCCACCCTTTTTTCCCCTTTTGCCATCTCATAAGATACTCACTGGAAAGATAAAGGGCCAATTGAGAAGGGGGCGCAACGAAAAAAAAAAAAAAATTAGGACGCCCAGTTTGCCGCGAAACACACACACGCACACAAAGGCGGACACAGAGCAGTATCACATAAGAAGGATTACACAACACAAAACAAAAGAAGGTTGCATGAACGGATGGGAGGAAATGACTTTGAGCGATTGGAACCAGTTTTTTTTTGGATTTTGTTTTATTTGCTCCTTTCTCTCTTCATTTTTTTTGTTTGTATCTTGCTCATCTAAAGCGAGAATGGCAGAGGAAGAAGAAAAAGAAATGGTCGATGGGGACCCGTCCTATTTCCCACTTTCCTGCACTCCAATTTTTCCTTTGTGTTCATATATAACATCTCAGTCTGTAGGCTATACGATGAGTTGAATCTGCTTATGCTGATTAGCATTGTAAAAGAAGTAAAAGAAAAAGAAATCGACAGGCGCATTAGCATGAGCATGAAGCATAGAATGCTGTAGAATGGACCGAAAGCAGAAAAGGATGAAGGTTGATAAGAGGGGCGAGTAAAAGAGGATGACCATGGTTGGTTTAATACAAGAAATGTTCACACAACTGCTGTGCTTTGATTACGAATTGGTGCCAGCTGAAATCACCCCCCTTTTTTTGGCCCGTTCTCTCACCTCGTTCACCCTTACTCGGTTCCCAATGATCCTCATGTTCCCATTATCCCACCTTCACCCTTCTTTCTATCACACTCCTCCTCTTCGCTATTCACGGAACATGGGTGAATGTGTACAAAAGATATACGCCACTGACCCCCCATCTCTTTAGTCATGGAGAGCAAGATGATGAGTAAACCAAACACAACAACCAAAAAAATTGTGAGCAAAAAGGGAAAAGACCCGCCCTTCTCTTTTGCAAACCATCATTCAGTCACCCAGAACGTCAAACCATCGCACAAAGGAGAAAAGAAGCGCAAACCTTGTGCACAAAGGAAATCGATCTACCCGTCCCTTCGTTTCGCTTTCGTTTGGTACATCTGTACATTACATGATGGTCCACGGGAGAAAAAGCTTTTTGTTTATGTTTGTGTGTTGGCCGACAAGAGGGAGCGAAATGGCAGTAATAATGCCTGATGTGGGGGATGACAAAGACTGAATAGAATGAAAATGGATAAGGGAAAAAAAAGTAATAATAAAAACGCTGTGCATTATGGACGTGGAGGCTAGGTTGGTTGGTGGGTGGGAGGGCGGACATGCGGGAAAGAGCAACAAACCTATCGAGGGCAATTCCAATCATATACCCTTTCCATTGAATGTGTGCCCTTGCCCTTATCACTCTACCTCCATCCCTTGGACTGGACAAATACATGGATGAAAAGAGTATGGTAGAAAAGCTACTTCGTTCCATTGTTGGCAGGACCACATCGTGTTTTTTGTTATTTGGCATATGTTGCTGTGCAGCAAGATCCCCTTACTACTCCCTGTTGACTTGGAAGGGGAGAGAAAGAAAAGTAAAAGAAAGGGACAGTGAAGAGGGAGAACAAGAAAATAAAGGTAGGAGGCAAAAGAGATAAACGAGTAGAAGGAGAGTGTAGAAACGACAAGCGGGTCAATTCAAAAGAGGGCAAAGAGAGAAGGAGAACGAAGAAAGTGAGGGCAAAGGGGTGGGTGCACAAAGGGAATACAAGAGGATGGCCCTCTTTTTTGACTTATAACCGTGTGTCTACGTGCAATGATCCTCCAGCAGAGCCCCTTCTCTCTTTCCATCTCTCGTTCTTGTTCTTCTTTCTTTGTCGCTTGTTGTTGCTTTTCCCTTTTTCTCTTTCCATTTCCCTTCTTCCTTCTTTCCGCTTCTTCTTTCCTTTCTTTCTCTTTCCTCCCTCCTTCTTCTTTCTTCCTTTCTGCCCTTCTTCTCCTTCCTTTCTCCTTTTTTCCATTCTCCCTTCCTTCGACCTCGGCGACATCATCCTGAGCCATTCTCCACACACACACACACACACACACACACACACACACACACACGCTCACCTTCCCTCCTTGCCCCGAACCCCTGTCCCTCGACCATCTCTTCTTGGCTAATTTTGCCCAAAAACGTAATACAAGGGAACCGAAAGAACTGTATCCAGTGCTCCTTTTTTTTTCTCTTAGTCGACCACCATCTCCTCTTCTTCCTTTGACTTTTAATTCTCTCCCTTCTTTTGTTCGCCTTTATCTTCCTTCTTGCGTAGTCACCATCCTCGCTCTCCCTCACATATACACCTTTTTTCCACTCCGCAACCCTATCGCCTGTCCTCTTCCATTCCCACCATTACCCATCATCGTCCTCCTGCTCCCATTTTTGTTTTGTTTTTGCTCAACGATCCCTTGCAGAAACATACCTCGTTTTACTTTTTGTAATCAGGAATTATTATTATTATTTGGGCGTCCAGCAACGAGCTTTTGAAATAAGGTGAGCGACATGTCCGTTACCTATGGTACCTGGGGAGAAGGAGGAGAATGCATTCTTTATGAAAAGAGGAGGAGAAATCCGGCGCCAAGTGCGATTTGCAGTGTTCTTGGCTGTATGTTCCTCATCCCGTAATCCGCCTCAACTGTCTACATCTTCGCCAGACTTCTCCATTGGCTTGTTTCTCTGCATTGTCTCTCATCTCTTTCGTTCTGTCCCCTCTCTCCCTATCATAACCCACATTTGTTCTATCAGTGTTATGGAATTTGAACACGTTTTGTCTCAGATGAGTCGACAGCCCCTGGTTCCTGGTTCCTGGGCAGCAACCGGGTTTGTTATTTAAAAAAGATATGCAGCCAGGTCGATTGGATGTGTCAGGAATCGCCGGTCGGGTCTGGTCTGTGTCATTTCAAAAAGGATGCCATGACCTGACTGGTGTGGGGGAAAGGAAGCGGGAAAACGAACAGATGCAAAAAGGGGAGGAGGGAGCGAAGAATCATACACACAGTTGTTAATACTCTATACACGCGCCACCATTTCTTCCTCATTTTCGTCTTCTGTCAATGCCATACTTTTGGACCCGACTCGCTTCACATATCACAACTACACACACACACACACACACGACTCAACCACACTCGCTCAAACAACCAACCATAACCGACAACATACTGACACAACTCTCGTCCCTCATCGCTCATCCCCTCCTTTTCCTTTTTCTTCATTCCAAAAAAAGGTGTTCATCGTGCCAACGTGTTCATCCGACCTCTTTTATTGTATTTCAACACAGCTGGTCCAAGCCTTTTCGGGAAAAGGTCAAGGTACTCCAGCTTTCTTTTTTTCTTTTCCCAAATGTCAAGAGGACATCATAAGCAGGCGAACGGACAAAAAAATGAGGACAAGAGGCAGTGATGATAGAAAAGTGGATAGTGCAAGAGAGGTGGGGACACGCATGCTAACAAATCGACACATCAAACACCAGCGAAAAGGCGAAGGAAAGAAAGAAAGAAAGAGGAACTGAAAGGGAGAGGACTTCACAAAAAGAAAAGTACAACAAGGAATCACGACATGTCTACCAACAAAACAAACATCCAAGCAAGCAGAATTGAGTGGTGGCACATTGCCCATTTTTATTCGCTTTTTTTATGTTGAGTTTTGGGCTGTAGCATGTGTTGTAGCAGATGGAAATGACAGCAGAGCACTGCACTGCCCAAATTACGACAGTACCGGAACAATGCATTATTACTCTTTTGTGAGATGGTAAACAAATACAACAGACACGATTCGGAGAGAAAGGGGGAAGAAGGGGGAAAGGGGCGACAGGAGCGAGAGAGGAAGGGAGGAGAGGGGTGATGACAGAGAGAGAGAGGAAGGGAGCAGAAAGTAGGAAAGGGGGGAAGAAAGGAGATGCATGGACCATGTGTGTTGTCTCTCATCGACCACTCTCATCTATCTCCTTCCCTCTCTCTGAAGTAGACAAACACACATTCACTTTCACAAATTTTTCAATGAATGCATTAAGTGCAAGTACAGTCAGTACATTCTCTCCTGCCCATGCTCCCCATAGCCATATTTCTCTCTTTCTTTTCTCTTTACTTCTCTCTTTCAGTTCATTCTTTCCCAACTATTCGTTTATCACTTGTATCCTACTGTTTCCCACCCTCGTTTTCATTAATTCCTCCCAATGTAAAATAGCTTCGATTCAATTGACGTCTACCCGACTCTTGGCACTTGTACGATTTGCTGATCACTTTATTTTCATTTCATTTCATTTCTGTCTTCGTCCTTAATCAATTAGTATCTGAAGAGTCCATCACTGCCGTCCATCACTGCCATCCATCACTATTCAAGGGCGAACAAACGAATAACGACCGTTTACAGCAATACAAGCGACTTACGCCCAGCTTCATAAAAAATATCCGACAACTCATTCACTTATTCATTCCCCAGCTCATTCAAACATACATACAAATATACATATCGCCATCACCTCATCCTCATCTACAAAAAATACGCCCAGCACAAGATCCATCGTCCAGCACCCTCGCTCTGTTGTACAAACAGCTCTCAACAACAGACATCAGGCAGGAGCAGCAAAGGCAATTAACGCTAATCCATACCAACAACCACAACCACAACAACAACAACAACAACAACAACAACAACAGCATTAACTCGCATCCCGCCCAGTCCTTTCCGCCCTTTCGCTTTTCGCCTTTCGCCTCTTGCTCACGCATTAACAAGGAATAGCGACAAACCCAGGGCTCCTTTCTCTTTTACTCTTCACTCTCTTTTTACCTTACTCCAAAAAGAGCACACCTACTTCACCCACCCACATCACCTTACCTCTCTTCTCTTCCATCTCCTCCTCTTCCTCCCACTTCTCCTCCTTCATCCCCTTCTTCCTTATTTTCTCATTCTTATTTCATCCTCATTCCCTCATCTCCTTTCATCACTTCATAAACTTCTCTCCGAGACGTACAATCTCATTAGAGAAACCATCCACTCCTTTGGTTCCGTCCCTTCCAATTTCCTCCCTGTCTCCTTGTTGCCACGCCTTAGTGCCCTCTCCTCACCCCCTTCCCCTTCCCACCTTTTTAATCATTCCTCCCTTTCCTCCCCTTTAACTCGATCAACGTTTGCTCTCGCTCATTCCTCTCTTCACATCTTCCTTTTTCTTTAACGACACTCATTCGGCATGCTCGGTTCTGGTCCTGGCCCTGCGCCCACGCCCTCGATGACTCTCCCTCCCCTCCGAGAACTTGATAAGGTCCTTGGTCCCGAATCAGAACACAGTCGCTTGGCTAATCACCACTCAGTACCATCAGGACAACCCCGGTCGCAGTCATCTGATCCTCATCTCCATCAGCACTTCCAACAGCAACGGCCTCAGCAACACCAACAACAACAGCAGCAGCAGACACCGCAGCAGCAACATCATCAGTACACCCAAAAGCTCCCTCCAAGCCAGCACAGCTACCAGCACCATGACCAACCCGGCCGCTATTCATCGTTATCTGGATCATTACCAGGACCATTGTGGATTGGCCGAGATGGCCAGGAAGAGGGAAAAGGTATACAAAAGATTTGATTGAAGAGAGACAGTGTCCTTCGTTTGTATTCGTACATATTACGAACGCACACGCAGATCTGCAAAATGATCATCGTTCTATACATATCGTTTGACGCTTGATGTTTTCTGCTGTTGTTTGCTGTTTGTTGATGCATTACTCGAGTGTCCTGCTCTCGTAATTTACCCTCCTTCTCTGCTTTCTAATCGGACCTGACAAGGTTGCGCGTCCCTTATTGCCCTTTTGCCACCACATTACCCACCCATCCAAAAAGAAAAAAAGTATGCGAGACTGATCGATGTTCTTATTTAAACTTCCATATTTCTCGTCCAAAAAAAAAATCTCTTTGTTGAATTAATAATAGACCTATACATGAGCGCCACCAGGGCCGACTCGGTTTTGTCCAAGGACTACCCGCACGGGCACACTCATCGTCATCTCCCCAGCGCATCCGCACATGAGCCAGGGCCAGGGCGGTCTGATTCGAGCCCAGGCCATCCTCACCAGCAACAACAACACCAGTCGCAGCATAATCAAAAGGGGTCTACATCCCCTACTTCAACCCACACCACCTCATCTGCAACTGCGACTCCATCTTCCAAAACGTCTGCACAGGCAAATACAGCAACAGGAGGAGCAACATCAGGATCAACTGAAGGCAGTAATTCTGGAAAATCGACGGCCGAGCAAGGACGGAATTCGACAAAGCGTGCCGCCCAAAACCGCGCAGCCCAGCGCGCATTTCGTCAGCGGAAGGATCAATACGTCCGTGAATTGGAGCGCAAAGCGGACCGGTTACAACAGGCCGAGGGACAAATCATGATTCTCATGGCTCGCAACCGCGAATTGGAGGCCGCTGCTGCCCAGAAGCAACTTGGCGCATCCTCGTCACCACTGCCATCCCCACTCTTGCTACAGGACTCGCCTAGGGGCGGTATGGTTGGACCAGGAAGAGCCATAGATCGAGGAGAACGCGACCGGGATCGGGAACGAGAATGGGCTGTCCATGAGAGGACCCTGGAGAGCAACGGGTCCTTTGATCATTACCATCCTTCCTCGCGCCCGGCGCTGGGCCGCCATTCGTCTGTTCAACACCTTCGACAAGCCTATAACGCCGCATCACCACCTCTTTCGAGTAGCTCAATGAAACACCTTTCACTGAGCAGCAAACTGTCGGCGCCCGAATCGGACCAGGAGATTGAACACCAGCATCGTCCTCATCGTCATCTTCACCGCCATCCTTCGGAATCGTCGCTCAACCTCCACCGCTCCGGGGCCTTCCCAGTGTTCTCTACTGATCCAAAAGACGAGGATCATCAAGTGGCACAGCGGCTTCTCAGCATCCGAGGAACTCCTATTGACTCTCGTCCAGAGACTACCTCGCCCACTGCGACCAACCGGTCCCCTCACCCTGGATCTAGCGGCGATGTATCGATGCAGTACTATCCTGGATCTCCATTGACGCCAACCCATGAGCGGTCATCACTCTACTCATCGGCTCAGAACTCAAGGGCACCCTCTAGCGCAGGGGTCGGCCCCCGTTCCTTGCCATCACCTACAAGCGCAGCCCATGGCGATGGTTCGCTTCCCACTTCTGCGTCTCCTGCCCACCCACCTGCTCCTTTCCATCCATCGTCGTCTGACTACGACCTGGGCAAAAAGAGACCAAGCGACGGAACCATTAGTTGGGCTAGCCAGGATCTTTACAAGAACCCTCAGGATACCCACTCACACCACCCTTACCACCCCTCAGTCAAGAAGCAGGCTAGTTGGAGTTCGCTCTCGGAGCAGAGACGTATTCACGCGGTCAAGAAGCAACCAAGTTATGGCTCCATCTCGGAATATCGTCACAGCTGGAGAAGTAATAGGACCGAGAGCCCAGAGATGACATCAGACGCTCGGTTCGGCGGCAACAGCAGTGACCGTGGCAGCGTAACGCCTGCATTACCCAGGATTCCTCCACAGTTCTCGCAGCAGCGCCCTCCGCAACCACCCACTCCTCAGCACCCGCCATTAAGCTTTGACCGTGAATACCCTTCCCCGACGGCAGCATCCCATACCAGCTCTACATTTTCGCCACCCACGAGCCACCCGCAGCACTTTCAACAGCACCATCACCAGCAGCACTCGTCGCATGGACAACCACCAGCTTCGTCTGACTATTATAGTCCTCCGCGGTCAGCACCGCAGCAACACGAGCATGGATCATCAGATATGGATGTCGTTCAGGAAGGCAGCAATGGTGGCAGTTCCGCAAGTAATCATCACCACCACTACTCGCATTCTCAACACCAGGTCGCATACGACTCTGATGAGATGGATACCTATGACCAACGACGAGAGTCTTCTCATGACTAGGCCCTCTGGTCCCCATCACAACCCTTATTTCTACTATTTCATCCAGTACCTAGTTTCCTTCACACCCAAAAGAACCACCTTTACTTAATATTCAATTTTCTAATAATATATAATAAAAACAAATAATAATCGCCTTCCTCCTTTCAACTGTCAACTATCTACTTTCGGCTATCAAGGTCATTTTTTGTCCGGTTTCGGTATGCCTTCCGCCCCCTCCTCCTCAAATAACCAAGGGAGTGCCTCAACTTCCGTTCCTGTCGTAAAAATGGTGAGGGGATGCGTTAACGACCGATTGCACCTCATCCTCCTCCGCGATTTCGATTCGTTGAGCGACGGCGCGCTTGGGCAGGGAGGATGTTGAAGATTAGCGAAGATATACTCAAACTTCAAGTCCGATTCCCGGATGAATGGGGCGTATATTCCCTTTTGTCGATGGTGACGGGGGACGGACGGTGGTCGTCATCCATGAGAGTGCTCCTCAATCGACCAAATGGATGACTAGCTGTCGTTTAAAAGAGTCATCACTTTCAGTGCCCTCCGACCGATTGCATGTTTTGAACAGTTGACGCCTGAGTTGGGGCGCCGATCTGTTAGGTTGAGTTGTGCTCAGCTACGGGCTTTGTTTATGCGAGATAGGTGACAAGCAGAGTGGCCCTATGAGTGGAGAAGGTTGATGCTTTTGACCGAGGATATCCTCGTCGCCGATTCTATGCGGACAATGAGCCCTTTTTATGTCTTCCTTGTCTTCCGTTACCCTCGCTCACCACCACCATCGATATCAAGTATCGATGGATCCTCACCGTCTTATTTCCACCCTGTCGTCTTGGTCCTCGATCGCATACGCGTTTTCCGTTGCCGTCCAAATCTACGGATTCCGATATGGCGTCGTCGCTCTTGGTCGGCTTGACCTTTTCTCGTCGTCACCATCAAGCTCCGATTTCTCAAAGAGGTCGGGCCCAAAGGGGGTATTGGCCTTCGTTTTCGAACTGTGCTGGCTCTAGAGTGCCGAAAAAAACACCTTGGTCTGTATTCTGAGGTCGTGGGCTGGTGTAAAGGGCGTGAGTTTGGTTTGTTGGAATAGGAAAACTAAGGGAGATCTATGTGATATGTCCGCTCTGGTAATAAGACTCCTGTAGGATGATTTTGTGTTCCTGAACGTTGGGCTTTTGGTGGTGTAGTTTTTTTTTTTTTTTTTTTTTTTTTTTGGAAGGTGAGAGGCGAGAGGGCGAATGAGAAGGAGAGATACGAAAGCTAATTCTCTTGTCCTTTTTCCTTCTCTTTTTCGCCGAGTCTGTTTATCGGAAGAGCAATCATGCACAAAACTATAGGACCAAACACGTTGATGCTATGGAACCGACCTGATTGTACCAAGATATCAGCACTCTACGTCTGGAATCATCACGTTCTCTCTTTCTCTTATGGACTTATTTCACCCCACAATATAACGCGAAATCAACGCGAGACGCGACTTTTGTTTCATTGCGTAGTTGTGTACCTTTTTAACGCTTTTTTTTTTTTTTTTTTTTTTTTTTTTTGGGGGGGCTTCAATCAGGGCGACGACATACCAACACCGCTCCTCTATCTCCTTCTATCCTACCTTCACACTCGCCTTAACACTCAGGAAAATGATCAATCGATCCGTCAAAGAAAGCAACAAGGTACTCCAAAGCTATGCCGTAAGCATTTTTTCCACCGTAGAAAAATGCAGAGGGTCATTGGCGTCACCTTGCCGTCCCATTCTCAAAGCGGTCTCCATGTTATCTCCTAATTTAATTCTACGTGTCACCTGGTTGCAGAAAACAAAAAAGGTGTCGGTCAAACGGTGCTTGTCGTGTTCAACCTTTCTCTGTAATGAAACACGATTCAGTTCATCTCCTCGTCCTCTGTTTGAACTAACGAACATACTTGCGCCTTTCAATCCATTCTTTCAATCCTCGCCTACTGTGCGCGTAGTCAAGTTCAGGAAAAAGACAAACATGCTTTCACTTACCTCGTCTCAAAGCAAAAAAAAAAGTTATTCATTACACTTGCAGCCTCGTCTTTTTGCACACCTGAACATAAATGCGGAGAGGCAGGACAGCCACACGCGTTGTCCAAAAAGATAAACGCCAAGGGTAAAAGATAGTTGCGTGGTCCGGGAATCGAACCCGGGTCTACCGCGTGGCAGGCGGTAATTATACCACTAAACCAACCACGCTTTGTTCGATGTGCAATAAAATTATGCTGTGCATGATGGATTAAAAGTCTTTAGACCAATCACGTGATTACTCCAGGATTGAGATTGCCGCGCCCCTTAACTTAGCCTCATAATGAATCTCCAGATTGGAACACTCCTCCTTCCAGATGCTTTTGATCTGGTAGTTCGTTATCTGTAGGTATCCAAGGGCACCCAAAAACCCCCCGTGGGACTCCTCAATAGTTCTTATGTAGTGCACGAGGTCTCCATCATACTTTCCCCCTTATTTCATTTTGTTGTTGTGGGTGGTCGCTCTGAACTCCTTGGTCAATCGCGCTATTTTGATATGGAAAAGGAACGACTCTCGAATTGTTTCTAAGCTTGAACCAAAGCGTTGCTTCTGACGCGGAAAAATGGGATGAGGGTCGTTTTCCATATTATCCTTCTCGATGTATGTAACAGCTCCAAGTTCTTGACAACACCAACGGCGTGTTTTCGTTTTTGTTTTTGACGCGATATTTTTATTATTTGACGATGTCATTTTTTCCATGAGTTCCTGTCTTAGCCCAACATGCTACGCTTGCGTCCACGCATACGAACTATTTTTCGAAGACAAAGAGGTAAAAAAACAACCTGTTAGCCAAAACATGCTGTGTTCACAAATGAAAAGTAATGACGGCAAGAAGGACAGATAGTGTCATTTTGATCTCGTACCATCTTCCAGCTTCTTGAGGATCTGCTTGGACGCCTTGCCACTCTCGCCATATGCCTTCAAGATCTGCTCAAACTAGTATCCACAACAGCGAAACAACAAAGAGTGAAAAAAGAATCATTAGTCATCATATGCATACCAAACTGCCTCAAACCATTTCCTCACGCCATCAATCTCCCTTCAACCTACCATGACCTCGGTGTTAGGATGAGTGCTCGAGAACGCCCTCTCAAGGACATACAAGTCTACCGCCTTGTCCTCAATCAACTGACTGACATAACTCAGCCCAAAATCAATCAACACCACCGACCCGCCCGTCTCGTTCCTCATCAACAGATTCGAAGTCGTCAAATCACCATGGACCACATCGATATTATGCATCAACCCCAAGGCGCGTCCAATATCCTGTGCGACTTTTGTCTGTGCGGCCTCGGTTTGGCCCTCGGGCGTGACGAGGTACTCCCGGACGGAACAGCCTTCGATGTATTCCATGTAGATCAGGTAATTCTCGGTGTCGACCATGTACACAGTTGGGGTGTCGATCCGTGCCCTCTGACACCTGCTTAAACATCTTGCCTCCTGTATTTTGTTGTTGTTGGTGGTCGTAATGGTGTTGTTTGGTTGTTGAGAGTCGACAGTAATGTAGAAATACACGAAAGAAGAATCCGTAGGGTTAATATTTTGTTCTTTCTTGTCAATCACTCATGCAGCATAGCAAATACAAAATAAAGTACCTGGACGACTCGTCGTGAGGTTAGCTTCTTGTCCAATGTAGGGTGGCGGTACGCCTTTGTAAATCTCTCTTTGATAATCGCCTGGCGTTGGCAGAATGGTGCCAGATACACCTTCTACTCGTTGGAAGGAAAAAAGTTGTGTATGGGACCAGAAGGTTGAGAGGGAAGTGGTTAGGTTGGCTTGCCTGCGCATCGTTTGCCCTTTCGGATGAAAAAAAAAGCTGTCCATGGGTTCCACTCTCCATGCATGAGTATAAAATGGTTATTCCTGGAATGCACACTTTACAGCTTCGGCTCCTTGCTTGATCAGTTGGGCGTTATAGATCATGGTCGACTTTGAGTAATGGTGTGAATGAAAGAGCAAGAATCGCTTAAAAGCGTCGCAGCAAATGAAATCAAAGTCATTAAGGGCGGCTCCTCGAAAGGAATGGCTGGCAATTGAATCTTTATTGTTAGTTTGCGACTTTGCGTATCACCCGACATTGTCAATGTTGACCATATCCTGTCTCGTTTATTTTCTTCCATTACGATCGTCCTGTAAACACGCCACGGCTGCGGTAGCTCTCGTGTTCCTTGGTGATCTGGTTCTGGACCCTCGAAACATCCTGGACCTTGGACTGAAGCGATATCGTGCTGTCCTCGATCCACTGCAAACTAGCTAAATGGCTGTCCAAGATCACTACAATCTGGTTGACCTGCACACCCAAACAACAAATAAAAATTGTTATCACAATGTTAGCAACGATTTTTTCAATCGACGATGCGTTAAGATCAAAAACCACGGGAGTAAAACTTACGGGATCACCGCTTTCGCCTTCGGTCTTAGTGCTGGTCTGGTTGATTTCCTCAATCATGCTGGTCAGGTTGAGGGACATGTCGTCGAGCTGCTTGTTGAGGTTCTCGGCCAAGCTATATGTCTGCTCGCGCTGCTCATCAACAGGGCGCAAGCCGTTTGCGTTGACTCCTGCAGTAGCGGCATCCTTCTCGAACAACTTTTGCACCTGATCCTCGTACATATCCAGTGTCTTGCTGAGCTCCTGCTGCTGTGAATCAATGTAGTCCAGGTTCTGGTCGATCTTTGCTTGTGTATCCTCAGTCTCCACGGTCATCTTATACAGGTTGCTAATCTATTAGTCCGATATAAAGACACGTACACCGACGTCAGTACCATGATCCCTGATAACAACGCCATGCAGCAATCGATGAACATTAACAATCCCTTCTAAAAAATCAAACATACCTGGTGGCCGTTCTCAAACAGCTTGCGATCCCAATCAGAAACCTTCTTTGCCTGCTCACGGAATGCCTTGGTATGCTCATCCAACTGTCTCGACCATTGATGCAGAATCTCGTCCATGCTCTTGTTGCGCAATGCAGATGGTGTAGGGGGTGTGACGGTCTTGGTGGCATCCTCCTGCGGTTTGGTGGTCAGTCCAGTCGTAGCTGCAGGCGTTGTAGTGGCAGCAGGGGCAGTGCTGAGCGAGAATGCGGGTGCTGATGTTGCGGCCGACGAGGTAGTAGTTGCTCCAGCGTTCAAACCGAAAGCAGGTGCGGCCGCAGTTGTGGTGGCAGCGCCCGAAGCAGCGGGTGTTCCGAATGAAAGAGGCGAAGGTGTAGCAGGCTTTGCACCAAATGCAGGAACAGCGAGTCCTGCAGCAGGGGCGGAACTAGCAGGGGCACCAAAGGGCGATGATGTGGCGCCAGTGGTTGGTGGCTTCAGTGCGAAAGGAGAGCTAGCTGCTGGTGCTGCAGTGGTGTTCAAAGTAAAGCCACCGACTGCTGGGGCAGAGGCTGCTGGTGCTCCTCCAAAGAGACCTCCTGCGGGAGTAGCGGGCTTGGGTGCGCCACCAAAGAATCCTGATGTTGCAGCTGGAGCAGCGCCCAAGGTGGGAGCAGTTGAGGCAGCGCCACCAAACATTCCGGGGGCAGAAGTCGCGGTCGAGGCAGCAGGCGCGCCAAAACCACCTAATGTAGGCGGCTTAGATGCAGATGCTCCAAATAGACCGCCTGCAGATGCTGCTGGTGCTGCTCCAAACGGGCTGGGAGTGGGTGCTGCTCCAAATGGGCTGGGTGCGGGTGCTGCTCCAAATGGACTGGGTGCGGCTGTTGATGTCATGCTGATTCCAAAGCCTCCTGCGGTTGATGCTGGGGCTGGTGTCTGTCCAAAGAGTCCTCCTGCAGCCGGTGCTGGAGCCGAAGCCCCTCCAAAGAGTCCTCCCGCACTTGAAGCTGGGGCCGCAGCACCACCAAAGAAACCTCCTGCAGGTGCAGCGGTTGATGCACCAAAGGCATTTGTAGGAGCTGCTGATGCGGCCGCGCCAAATGGAGAGCTGGCGGCAGGTGCTGCTCCAAAGGTGGGGGCAGATCCAAACGTAGGGGCAGCTCCAAATCCACCAGCGGTGGGAGCTGAAGTTGTTCCAGAGCCGAAACCGAATCCAGCAGAGGGTGTTGCTCCTGCAGGCTTGGCTCCGAAGGGGTTGGCTCCAGCTGCAGCGCCTCCGAATCCTCCTCCTCCCCCTGCGGCGCCACCAAAAGCTGATCCTCCTCCGCCGAATGCTAACACAACAGAAATGAAAAGGCGAATTTAGCGTTGAGGGTCCAGTTTGCTGCATTGCACAGCACCAGTTTAGTCGAAGGAAGAGAAGAGTCCTTACCACCAAAGCCTTGGTTGCTTGCTATTTGACGGTGTACAGAAAATAAAATAGTAGCAAAAGGAACAAGGCATTAGTCAATGTCAAGAGGCCATGTAACGCGTGTTGCCATCGTAAGTGTGCTCTAGTGTTGTCGACGATGATCCGGTGGTAGTGTACCCATTGTAGTTTGTAAGGTAGTTGTGTTCTTGTTGGTGGAATAAGTGTTTGTGTTTTTTTTTAGTATTGTCGAGGGTTGATGACTCTTGCGTGTGAAAGAAGTGGAAGAAGGCGCGAAAGAAAAAAAGCGATGTGGCCACCTCTTCTTCACTATGAGCTCGACAAACACAAAAATAAAAACGTGATGTAGCAGTCACTTTACTTCGCGTTGGTTTGCAAGCAAGCGAACCTGCGGTGCCCCAGGAAGGAGCTAAGAAATACTTGACCATCATGTCTCGCTGACAATACTCTGATAGCATGGGTAGTTCCATCCCCAGGTCTTTAAGCACGAAGGAGCACGCATAGTGCGAACGGTGTCTCGCTCTGAAGCAAGGATCATAGATCGCTATGAACGACTGTATCAGCTCAGGCACAAATGCTATGTGGCAAGTGGCTTAAAATTCTAATTGCCCATCCATGCACTCAAGAACCCGTTGCCGTCCGTCCCTTTTTTTTCCTACGCTATACTTTCTCCACTCCCTTTTTACCTCCCTAGTTCTTCCATCTATACATTCGCCACGAAACTGTTGAGTAGGCGGGCATCATCTCACATGGCCAGCCCCTTTCGTCTAATTCGCCCTGCAGGAACCTTGGCCCGGACCCAGGGCTCATCCTTCCTAGGACCCTCTTCAATCCTCCATTCCTCTTCATTCTCCAACGGTCGCTCTGTCACCTTCACGTCTTCCTTCGAGGCTAAGCGCGCTTTCTCTGGCTCAGCATTCAGGAACGGTAGCAACAACAGCAACAACGGCAACAATTCATCCAATTCCAAGGATATCGTCAACAAGAGCCAGGCACAGCTCACCGAGGAGGAGAGTGCAAGGACGCTTGCAGCAGCGGCCGAGAGAAAGCGTTTGGAGGCTCAGGATGTTGCCCTGAAGGAAATCTTGGACAGCGCGGCAGCCGAGAAGAAGAAGCTGGAGGAAGAGGCCCGAAATATTGCAGAAGAGAAGGCTCGCCAGGCGGCCAAGGAGGCTGCAGAGGCTGAAGCTGCGCGATTGGCTAAGGTTAAGGCGGACGCCCAGGCAAACGAAGCAGGACGGGCAGCAGCCGCGGCGGAAAAACAGTCAGCGGAACAACGTCTGCAGGCAGAGCGAGCCCAGGCCGCCCGGGCTCAAGCCGATTCCGTTGCAGCACAATCATCAGCCAGTCGGGAAAGCATTGTAGGATCAAAAGACGTCGGCAAGGAGGCGTCATCGGCCAAACTTTCAGCCAGTTCCATCGCCGGCGCGTTGAACGGCTCGGCTACACAGAAGGGAGAGTCAGTAACGACGGTCAGTGAGAGCACATCTGCATCTGAACTCAAGGACGACCCTTTGGAGCAGTTGAAATCGAGGTTGTTGCCCTACAAGCAGTCCTTGTCATCGTCGAGCGATCAATTGCGATCCAATGTCTCTGCCGGTCTGAGGGACCTTTCCGACTCCATCAAGAGGAAGGATTACAAGGAGACCATCGCCCAGCTGTCGGAGCATCTCAACAACTTTACGGGGTACAACTCCATCAACGAGTTGAAGCACAAGGTTACAACTCATGGTAAGTAGCCTCTCAGAAATGCACGCGTGGATGCTCTTCTAAACCTTGCACACGTTCGATATTAACCACGCTATATATCCTGTCTGACTAGGTTCTCAACTGGACGATGCGCGTGCCAAACTGGCACGGGTAAAGCAGGCGTACGAGGATGCTATCGGGACCCGCTCGGACACACAAAAGGCCATCAACGATCTGCTGCAGCGCAAGCACCTGTGGTCACCCAACGATGTGATCCGCTTCACGGACCTCTACCGCTCCGAGCACGCCAACGAGCAGGCCGAGCTGAAGAGCAAGCAGGAATACAAGCAGGCCGAAGCCAATGTCGAGGAAAAGTCGAGGAGATTGACGACCATCATCATGGAGCGTTATCACGAGGAGCAGGTTTGGAGCGACAAGATCCGAGCAGCGAGTACATATGGAACATGGGGTCTTATCGGGATGAACATTATGGCCTTTTTGATGGTCCAGGGCTTTGTCGAACCAAGGAGACGCCGCAAGCAGGTTGAGCGCTATGAGGAGTTGGTCCAGGACTTGACGGAGCGTGGTGTCTTGCCTGAGAAAACGGCCACTCTTCCATCGAGTGGCGCCTCGCCTGCTGCTATCGCACAGGCGAATGACTCTACTGACCCTGAGGACAACAGAGAGGTCACCCCGGTTGCTGTTGGAGGAGCATTGCTTGGGGGAGAGGATGTGCTTTTTAAGATGATCCAGAGCGCAGAGCGTCAAGAGGAACGGTTGGATCGCATGGAGCACTTGCTGCGTCAGCAGATCCCTGGAGCCTTGGAGAAGAATGAATCAGAGGAGACCGAGGAGGCTGGTGAATTCGTTGTTGCAGAGGATGGCACGATTATCTTTGTGGCAAACGAAAATACTGGCTTGGTAGATATGGGCGAGTCCTGGGGCGAAGAGCTGATGAGGGGCTCGATCAGCGAGGGCAAGTCAAGCTCGATTGTTATTCACCCTGGCAGCCGGTTCTCGAGAGTCCTGAAGGACGGTGATGTTGAGGTGGTAGCGACCCGCCGTGACTTTTTGTTGAGCGGCTTGGGCGGAGCTATTATTGGAGGATTGGTGACCCTGGCAGTGATGATGAACCGGTAGACCAAATTTCTTTTATTCATCGTAGATTTAGCCAGACAAAAAAAAAGCATGTATAGTATTCCTTTTTACTTCTGTTTATCGAGATGTCTCAACATATGCGTTGAGACGGATTGGTCCGCGACAGGCTGTGTGGTGAACGAAGGAGGAGAGAGGTTCAAGCAGGTTTTGTCTTTTGAAAGAGGAGGTGCTCATGCTCAGATTCGTTCTAGAATGTCAATATAAGGGCGCGGTATTTTTGGGATGCTGACCAAACGCCCCAAAGTCCATTTTTCCTATTTTTTGTTCAATGGCGAGTAAATCTTTTATCGGAGGGAGATGCACGGACGGGACAGTCAAGGACACGCGGGTTGATAGGAGCATGAGGTTTTGAGGCGTATTTGTTGTTGTTTAGATGGATAAAGGCTTGACGAGAGATAGACCACGTTGGTGCAACGGTATGAAAGCGAGTCGAGTAAAGAGAAGCAAACGAGAAGCTGCACCATGGCAAAGCAAGAATTCAGAAGAAGACAGGTGTCCCAGAGTTGAGAAGTGGTGAAGGTGGTTGCGAAGGGCAGGGGCGGGTTATTTCGAGAGAGAGTAAAACGAAGCAGGAGAGCAATTGCATTTCAGAAGACGAAGAGCATTGTTCGATACGAGGTGAGGGTCTGTTGAATAACCCATTCAATCAATCAAGCAAGCGCTTTTGTTTGATAATTTGGTTTGATTTGAACCATTGATAATTGAGGCTGGGTGGAGCGGGTGGAACCTTCTGAACTTCCATTTTCTTTTACACTTTCCTCTCGGCTGGTGGGCGGCAATTGCATTTTTGTATTTTTGTCCATCTGGAGAGCACGATGGCGCATTAGCCACCCCAATCTCCCTCTTCCTTCTTTTCCTCTCTTCTCTTTTGTTTTCTTTTCCTTCTCGCTTTCTCAAACACACACACACACGCCCTCTCACGTCCCTCTCATTTGTTACGACCCCCCCTCTCCTTCCTTTCTTTCCCTTCCTTCCCTCACTCGCCATCGTCTATTTTCCCTTCGACTCTTCCTTTTATTTCTGTTACGACCTTTTTTTTATCATTTTCGATTCTTCCACTGCTCACGTTCATTTTTTATCTGTTATCTGTTACCGAATATCCACTATATTTTTCTCTACGACCTTCCCTTCTACTCACTATCACCCTGACATCCAGATAACCAGGCCATGCCCCGCGACACGGCACACGAGCCTCTCTTGGCCCAACACCACACCTCTCCCTCTAACAATGTCTTCGCAATCACCGTCGACGATCTGGCCCCACTGACAGACCCGACCAACCCCAAGTTACCTCGCGATTTGGGAGGGATTGACCAGATCTGTAAGGCCCTCAAGGTTGACCCCAAGTTAGGTCTCAACTCTGACGAGGCCCTCGGAGCGTCGTCGTCTTCGGCGCCCCATGGCAAGTCGGATGAGCCAAAGTTTGTTGCCAGATCTGAAGCCTTTGGCCGTAATGTAAGCTAAGCACAGATCTCGCCTGTTACGTATTGATTTTCGATGTTTGGGTATCTCGGACAAGAGCAGGAAAAAAAGTGCCCGGTTGACAGCAAACAAATAACGACAGCAGACAACGACAGCAGGAGAGGCCAGATTATCCGGTAGTTTAGACGGTTCATGTGGGTGGAAAGTGGTTCATTCGCAATTGTTCCAAATATTACATTGTTGTCGATTCGACTGGCTGGGTCCCGCTCCTTTTCGGGCCGGGGCGTGTCTGACTTGAACTGCCATGACAGTGTCCATTTGGACCTGCATTTAATTGATGCAGACAGTCCCGGCGTGTGTCTTTTTATCTCCTATATAGTCCGTCTTCCCTTCGGATGTAGAAATTTGGCGCTTGATAACTCGACTGACCCACAATTTTGCTTTCATAATGCATTAGGTATTGCCAGCTGTCGATAGTGCCTCCTTCTGGTCGTTGGTCAAACAGGCCTATGACGATCGTACATTGAGTAAGTTCACCGCAAAAGAAAAAAACGGCGATCGAAACCAGAACGTGACTCGATTATCTGCGGGGATTGCGGTGATACATTTTTTTTCTCGCTTTTCCTGCTAAGCTAACACGATAACAATGTGTTTTTCTATGTATTTTTAGTCTTGCTCAGTATTGCTGCGTTTGTTTCCTTGGGCGTGAGTATTTACGAAGACTACGGCCCCAACCACGATCCTAATGAGCCCCGAGTGGGCTGGGTCGAAGGTGTGGCCATCCTGGCCGCTGTTGCCGCCGTGGTCTTTACAAACGCCATTAACGACTACCAAAAAGAACGCCAATTCCGCAAGCTGAATGCCAAGAAGGAAGATCGCTGTGTCAAGCTCTTGCGCGACGGACGCGAGCAGGAGGTCAATGTCAAGGAGGTCCAGGTCGGAGATGTCTTGCTGATGGAGCCTGGCGATTTGTTGGCCGTCGATGGCGTCATCCTCAAGAGCCACAACATTACTTGTGACGAGAGTTCTGCCACAGGAGAGTCCGATGCGATGAAGAAGGACACTCACGAGCGCTGCTATGTCATTTCGGGATCCAAGGTCTTGGACGGCTCGGGATCCATGCTCGTCACTGCTGTCGGTACCAACTCGTTCTTTGGCAAGACCATGATGGCCATGCGCGAGAACACTCCCGACGAGACCCCCCTGCAGATCAAGCTCGACCTCCTCGCCGAGGCGATTGCCAAGCTTGGTATGGCTGCTGCTGTTGCTATGCTATTCACCCTGGTTGTCAAGTACTTTGTCCAAAAGTCTCTTTCCGGTGAAGACATGCCCCCTGGAGCAGAGATTTTCTCGGACATGGTCAAGATTGTCATTCAGGCCATCACCATCGTCGTCGTTGCCGTCCCCGAGGGTCTGCCCATGGCCGTCACTCTTGCACTCGCCTATGCCACCACCCAGATGTTGAAGGACAACAATTTAGTTCGCGTCCTTTCTGCATGTGAGACCATGGGCAACGCCACGACCGTGTGCTCGGACAAGACTGGAACATTGACTCAGAACAAGATGACGGTCGTCGAAGGCACGCTCTCGCTCAAGTCGTTCAGCCACATGGATGGCGCCAAGACTTGGCGCACAGAGGTTAAGAACTCCGTTGCCGACGTCATCATTGAGGGTATTGCGCTCAATTCGTCTGCGTTCGAGGACAAGGACGAGAAGGGCAACCTTGCCTTTGTTGGATCCAAGACCGAGTCGGCTCTTTTGGGTTTCATCAAGAGCTTGGGTGCTTCTTACAGCACCTTGCGTGCAGATGTCAAGCTCGCCAAGGTCTACCCCTTCAGCTCGGCCAAAAAGACCATGTCCTGTGTTGTCGAGTCCCCCCAGGGCAAGGAGCCTTACCGTCTCTATGTCAAAGGTGCCTCCGAGATTGTCATCCGTTCGTGCACCCACTACGTCGACTCTGAGGGTCAAGTCATTGCTCTCGATGACGCTGCCCACGCCAAGTTTGACCAAATTATCAGTTCCTATGCCGAGAAGGCGCTCCGTACCATTGCCCTTAGTTACCGCGATATCTCTACTTCCGAGTTCAAAAGGTTCAAAGACGAAGATGCCCCCAACGAGAAGCTGGTCTGCCTGGGTGTCGTCGGTATTCAGGATCCCTTGAGGCCCGGTGTTGTTGAGAGTGTCCGCGACTTTGCCAAGGCTGGAGTGACCGTGCGTATGATTACCGGAGACAACCTGCAGACTGCCCGTGCGATTGCCAAGAGTGCTGGCATTTTGTTGAAGGGAGGATTGGCCATGACCGGACCCGAATTCAGGGCTCTTTCCAAAGCCGACCAGACCGAGGCCGTCAAGCGTCTCCAGGTCCTTGCCCGTTCCAGTCCCACTGACAAGACCATTGTTGTTCGCCGTCTTCAAGAACTCGGAGAAATTGTCGCCGTGACCGGCGATGGCACCAACGATGGACCTGCACTCAAGATGGCTGATGTCGGATTCTCGATGGGTATCACTGGAACAGAGGTTGCCAAGGAGGCATCGGCGATTGTGCTCATGGACGACAACTTTTCCAGCATCCTCAAGTCCTTGATGTGGGGACGTGCTGTCAACGACTCTGTCCGCAAGTTCCTGCAGTTCCAGCTCACTGTCAACATTACTGCCGTCGTGCTGTCGTTCATCTCTGCTGTTGCTTCGGACGACAACCAGTCGGTCCTTTCTGCCGTTCAATTGCTCTGGGTCAACTTGATCATGGATACCCTTGCCGCTCTTGCTCTGGCCACGGAACCCCCAAGCCCCGATGTCCTCAAGCGTTACCCTACCTCCAAGGCTGCCCCGCTCATCAATTTCAACATGTGGAAGATGATCCTCGGCCAGGCTATTTTCCAGATTGCCATCAACCTAGCGTTGCTCAAATACGGTGCCCAGCTGTTCCATCTCCCCCTGAACCGCCACGGCAAGCTGGATCCCGAGAACCTCCTTGTCCTCCGCACCATGATCTTCAACGCCTTTGTCTTCCTCCAAGTCTTTAACGAACTCAATTGCCGCCGCATCGATGACACCATCAACGTCTTCAAGAACCTCCTCCACAACAAGATCTTTATTATCGTCCAGTTCATCGTCGTGGCGGGTCAGATCCTTATCGTCCAATGGGGTGGCCAGGCCTTTAAGACTGTGCCCCTCACAGGCCATCAGTGGCTGTTGACTGTCTTGATCGGATCACTCTCCCTCCCTGTGGGTCTGTTCCTGAGACTTTTACCCGCCAAGGTTATTCCCGACGCCGTCATGTCTCAGGTTCCCGAGGAGCACCAACCCCTGGTCAGCGCCGCACGTATGCGTTGGGAGGGAGCGAGCAAGCAGGTGATCATGCAGGGCAAGTTCTTTGAGGCCATCCACAAGAAGAAGAATGCGCAACAGGACGGTAAAGCCACGAAGCGGTTGGGCCTGTCGGGAGAATTGGCCAAGGACACTTTGTGGAAGAAGGCGTATGGCGCCGCAAAGACCCAGCTGGACAACAGCAACAACAACAACAACAATAGCTCTAGCAGCGGTAGTACTTCTCTGTAGAATAAATAATGACCATCTACCTTCCATACAGAAGGGGAAGAAACGAAAGAAGGTTACCCGCTTGTGAAAGCATGTCAACGAAGGAGGCGCTCAGCCCGGTGTTTGCACCTTGTGTCCCTTTTTTTCAGATACAGGAAGATACACATGACGGTGTGTCCCTCTCCCCCTTCCATTTCAGTTATTTCGACCTCCGAACGGTCGACAATAACACAGAGATAAGTCGACAATTGTTTTTTCCCCTCTCTCTCACAATATGGAAGGTCGGGAAGGTTCTTTTTTTCAGAAAGGAAAGGGAAAATGGGAAAATGCGAAAATGGAGTTTGAGAGCACCGCCACTCCCTCTCCGCCCGTCTTCCATTCACCCTTCGATCTTCCCAACCTTCTTTTCTTCATGCCTTTTCATCCCATTTCCTTTCTCCTTTTTGATGGAACTCACCGCCCCCCTCAACGCCACCCTCCGCGGTTTCTTTTCTTCGTCCAATATGGCATAAGTGCTCCTCCCTACAACAATGTCCAGGCCATCATCGACAGACCAAAACGGGCGAAGGGTTAAAAAATGGCCACTCAGCTCAGCCTGGTCTTGCAATCAGCCACAATAGAATAAAACCCCCCAACAACAGCGCCTCTTTTTTCTCTTACTTTTCTTCTTCTCTTCACTCATCCTTCATCCATCATTCTTCATTTCATTTCATTTCCATATCATATCATATAATAACATAACTACTCCCCTCACTTTCTTTTCATATAAATAGTAATACTCCTCCCAACTCTCTCTTTCACTTTCCTTCTTCACTCTCACTCTTATCCTTGTTAACCTTTTCACCCACCCTCTCCCTCTTTCTCTCTGTCTTTTTCAATTGCTCCTCCTCCACCTTCCTTCTCTTCCTTTCCTCTTTCGTTACTCTCAATTGATTCTTAATTTTGCACAGCACCAACAGCCCTCTTTTGTCATACAACACTCATCCTCCATCCGCACACACAACAGACCCATACACATACCCCTCCTACAGCAACGATTCAGACAGATACTCGACTCACTATGACCAACACCACCTACAACGTCCGAAAACTGACCTCAGAGTTTGCCAAAGACCAGCAACAACCACAACCTCCCACTTCTTCACAGCCTTCTTCACCGTCCCTCTTTACACAAGCACCACAATACCACCAGCAACAACAAGTAACAGCAGTATCAGAGATAATGTACAACGAGCCCGTCTCATACGTCTCCCCGGTCGTTTTTGATGTCCATCCTCAAGAACCCGAACCATTTCATTTCGGAGCAGCAGCAACAGCAACAGCAACTGAATCGAGTGCTGCTCTCTTTTTCGACCAGCCTCAGTCTCGACCGGCGGTCTCCCTCCCGATGTCGGTCTTTGCTACGGCTCTCATCCCCGTCTCGTCGTCGATGACATCTCCTTCTTGTGTTCCCCACCACTCTGTCGGACATTGGACGCACGTACAAGAAACACAGACACAGGCACAAGATATCATGACTCGTTTCTTCCCTGTTTCTGCCTCTCCGTCTTCCACGTCGTCCTCGCCTGCGGTTCACCAGATCCATACCCCTCACCCCTCAATTGTCGCGCAGCAGCAGCGACACAACCAACACTACCACTACTCCTCCTCACCTCAACAAAACTACTTCCACCATCATCATCATAAGCAACAGGCAAATGACTGGGTAGCATACGAAGACCCTACTCTTTCCCCTCTCTCGCAAGACCTGGGTCTGGGCGGCAGTTCGGCAGACCTTTCGGACCTCGACAGCAACTCCCCCGTCCTCAGTCATGACTTCGATGAGCTCCTCTTCAAGACTATGGTCGATAACCTTGTCTTTGAGAGTGACAGCCACTTTGACTTTGGCACTTCCCTCATCTCTTCCACCACCATAATCCAACAACAGCAACAACAGAATGTGCCTGCGCCACCGTCCCCTACCCCCGCAGCAGTTATGGTCGCCACGCCTCAACTGCCTCCCTTCTCTCCCATCTCCCCTGCCGCTGCAGCTTTTGTTGCGGCTGCTACGCCCTCGATTCATTTCCACGTTTCCTCACCCACACCATCCCCTCTTTCGCCACCCTTGGTGCCTTATTCGCCCTCGGCTCCCTTCTTGATCCCCTCCAACCTGTTCCAAACCGCCCAGCCTACTCCTTGCCCTGCTTCTTCCTCTTCCTCGACCCCCGTTGTTGCCAGATCCTCCAGCAACAAGTCGACACTCAAGACAAAGTCCCGCAAGCGCACCCAGGCCATCCCCTCCTCAACACCCTCAACACAAGTAATATCCTCAATCCCCTACTTTGACAGTAACCACGAAAAGCGCTTCCGCTGCGCCTGGACCGGCTGCGACCAAGACTTTGAACGCCACCACAACTGCAAAGCCCACTACTCCACCCACACCGGCGAACGACACTTCAAATGTGAACACCCGGGTTGTCAATCCAATAGTTTCCGTCAGAAGGGCGATCTAACGAGACATATGAGGATTCATACGAATGAGCGACCCTATGCTTGTGGGGGTGCTGGGTGTGAGATGGCTTTTGGAAGGTGTGATCAGAAGGCGAAGCATGAGAAGAAGTGTCCCTTATTGGCTCATGGTCGGTAGATGTTGGTATCTTTCTACTTTTCTACTTTTCTACTTTTTCTACTTTTTCTACTTTTCTGAAGTTGTATAATATATAGTAGCTGTACTTTTAGTTTAATTACAAACACCTAATAATGAAGGAACGTCATTTTTTACACATCTCGTTATGAGCTGTATGTGCCTGCTCTCATATCTCTCTCCCCTTGACGACGTACAACACCGTCATGGAGGAGCTCACTCCTCCAACGCTTTCTTTGTCGTTGTTGTCGTTGTTGTTGTGGATGTTAATATTATTCCTTTCCGGCCTTTCCCATTCACACTATTATAAACAAACAGAAAGTAGAGCAAAGGAAACAATGTATTTTTTTGAACTGGCAAATCTATTGCTATTTATTAGGATGGTCATCCTAGGGGGGTTGGGTTGTTTAAAACTACAAGGGATGTAGGGAAAAGACAAGAGGATTCTCACTCTCGGAGTGTTAGATCCTTGTCCTTATGGGAAGGGGGTGGGGGTTTGGTGGGTAAGGAAAGGCAATGGTTCCTTTGTTTTTGGTTTGGATATGATACAGGTAGGAAGTAGGGAGTAGGTAGTAGGTAGTAAGGCGGGGAGAGGGAGGAGTTGTGAGAAGTAGGACCGGACCGGTCCCGGTTCTTCTTGGAGCCGATAGTTGATTGTTGCGCATTGCGTTCGAGGTTTGTCTAAAAGACAAGAACCTTTGAAGGTTCGTTCGCACAGGATTTAGGCCTTGATGGACTTGGCAGCCTGAGAAAGGGACTCGCGGACGGCAGGCGAGGAGGCAGCGGCCTTGTTGACGGGGGTCAAGGACTGGACGAGCTGTTGGAGGACAATGGGGTGGTGCTCGGGGTGGAAGGCGGACTTGACGGTGGCGGTGGTGGGGATTGTGATGGATGTGAAGGAGCGGGCAGGGGTCTGAGCCTGGCGGAAAGCGTTCATGATGGACATGTTTGTTTGTTTTGGTTGTTGTAGGTGGAGGAGTGGGAGTAAATGGCTAGAGTGGAGAGAGTGGAGAGGGTTAGAGGAAAAAAAGAGATAAAAAGAGAAAAGAGAAGAGGAACCCAAGGCCCTTTTATCTTGAATATCTTGAAGGAAGGTGGATGGCGCTGGGAAATAACAAAGAAAATGGAGAAAGGGAGATAACGGGATCTCGCTCAGGGGTCATCAGGGGAGCAATAGGTGATCAAAGATACGATGTCTCTCTGGAGTTGAAGGCCATGCTTCGGTGAAACCTTTTTTGATGACAGCCAATGGTCTCCTTTCCTTTCCGCTTTAGTGTATTTCTTTCCTTGCCCGGGTGACCTCTTTGTCACTCCATCCGTCCATCGTCATATGAAATTGCTCTCTTTCTTTCCCTCGGTGGCGTGTATTTTTTTGAGATCGAGATGCATGCGATGGAGAGGACAGGATGTGGGGGTGGGCGTCTTATCTCCCGACGAGATGTGTCTTACCGTCTGTACTGTGTTCTCGTTGTTGTTGTTTGTGTTTTGTTCTTGAGAGTGTGGGGAAAGATAGTGGAGAAGGATTGCTGTGAATCAATGGTTCAACAGGGGATGGATGAAGGAAAATGAAGAAGAAAAAAGGATAAAAGGAAGCAAACAGAATTCTCTTTTATATCCTCTTCTCTCTTTGTTGCCTTCTCCCTTTCACCAGCCATTTCCAATGGTCTGTTCTATGGTCAAAAGCAATCGGCGTCAGACTGAATGAGCGCCACGCTAGTCGCTAAGGACAAAAAAAATTCTTTAGCTCCAAGCGGGATAGTGCATCTTCGACTTTTTTTTGTTTGGTCTCTGTTGCATGCTGGGCGTTGCGGAAAGTGTATGATGTTAATGACGTACTATGGTGATGATGCCTCCCTAACAAATGCATCTCTTCCATGAATGAATTGCATGAGAACCCGAACAAGGGGGAAAAATCAACCATTAAGAATAAGGACGAACACGAAGATGAATGCAAAGGCGCACTACTCATCATCCTCATGGCGGGTCATGCCAATTCATGGCTACCTCGCACAAAGTCTCATAGAGTTGCACAGAAAACTGAAAGGCTGAGGCATTTTTCTTTCTTTCTTTCTAAGACAGACTGCAGTGGTTCATCTTTGTTCACTCTCGCTAAGAGGAGAAGGAGGAGGAGGCTACATAGCGAGTTGAAGTATGAAGAGAGAACAGACACAGGGAGTGCAAAAGGATGCTAGCATTCATTACCGACGGATCTTTCCCATCCATCTCCCGTTCGTTAACGTAGCCTAGCGTTGGCTGAGAACAAAAAACAATGAGGAAGAGATAAGGGTTTCTGTTTGTGTCAACTGCAGGGATCGAGTCGTCATATGCCCAGGGCTCATCTAACCAGGGGCCGCCGTTGATTGGCCAAGATAACGGAAACGACAGATGACTTTGGGCAATGAAAATGAAGAGCTTGACCGAATCTCTCCGAAGTCTTAACCTTACAAAAAACTAGTCGGTTCTGTCACCCCGTTCCATGAAGAGATGAGTTTTCAGTACATACATGGGTCATGGTGCACTGGAGTTTGGTCTGTAGTTCCCTTTTCCTTCCAAATGACTTCTCTGTGCTGTTTGTCAGTGAAATAAAATTATGTACGTTCATACATGATCAGTGGAGGGGCATTGGATATGTTGCCTTATTCGCTTTTGAGCGCCTGCCTTCTCCTTGTCCTTGTCCATGTCCATGTCCTTGTTAATGTTTTGACTACGCCTACGCAAATGCCCACATGTCACTCATAAAGAAAGAAAACACGACTTGCTCTCGACGATCCCGACAAGACGACAGATCGCTCGACAAGAAAGGAATAACAAAGGAGTGGTGACGAGATGGATGTTGCTCTCGAGAAAGTGCCAGTCCAGATGAACGCATAGGTCGCTAGACATTCAATTGCAACAACAGAGTTATTTGGTAGAGCGATGGAAAAACACAATAGCCGTGCTCTCGGCAATGTCCCGGTCCAGGTAAACACACAGGTCGCTCGACAATAAAGGAAAAGAAAATAAGAACAAAGGAGTGAGAACGAGATGGATGTTGCTCTCAACGATGGCCCGATCCAGGAAAACGACATAGGTAGCTTGATGCTCTCGACAAAGATCCGTTCCAGCGATAGAGGTCGCTTAACCATCAACCGCAGCCGCAGCAGGACAACAAGGAGGTGCCCGATCGAGCTCAGCGAGAAAAGGCGGGATGCACATGTATATGTCGCATATTTGCTCAACCTAGTGGTCGAGATTCGCTATTTTTTGTATGAGCTTTTCTTTTTTTTATTACATATCGCACAAGACGAAAATAAGGGGGGTGAGCTACAAGGAATACCCATGCCATGCCATGCCATGCCATGCCAGACCGTAGCGAGATGGTATTTTTGGTCAACGAGGAGGGAGGAAGAAAGAGACGGAGATAGAATAGGAAAAGGATGCAAATGCAAAAGCATCCTTCAAATCGGGCAACCAAGAGAGCAGAACCGTTGTACTTTGATTACATGGACGACGCACAAGAGCAAAAACAACCCGCGAGAGACCGAAACGAGGGATGGACAACACAAACAAAGCAAGGCATGGATGGTCCACGCTGACCTTAATTATTGCGGATGTTACACCTTTCTCCTCTCCACTTCTCCACTTTTCGGCTGGCAACGTAACGTAGCACCATGCAGTAGTCCGCATGGTCGCAAGTTAGGTTTTGTCCGACAAGTAAGGAAAGGAGCATTAGAGAAGTGGTGAAGGACCAACAAGGAGAGAGAGCAACCTCGCCTCTCTTTTTCCCTTCATCCTCTTCTATCTCCCTGCTATTTCCATATTCATCTCCATTCACTTACATCGGGAAAAAATGAACACCTGCATGGGGTGCAATAGTGAGCATACGATTCCGCGCGATTCATGCGGCTGAGGCAAAGAGAGGAAAAGAGCAAGATGTGAAAAAAGCAGGCAGGCAATAACAGGTCTTTCCCTTCCTATCCGTCCATCCCCTTGTCTGTCTATTTTTTGAATGCTTCATGCTTTATCGACGAGACTGACTGACTGATTGACTGATGTGACGAACCCCTTGGCAATTGGGGGTAAGGGGACAAAAAGACGAGGGCATGAGAGCACAAAGAATGTGCGTGTGTATGTAAGAAACATGACCAACAAGAGAGAGAAAAGTAGATGAATTGCGGAAGAGGAAGAGGATGAAGGGGATAGCGATTGTTAATTAACCACTTCGAGAAAAAAGGAAAGAAATCACCGAAGACAGAATGCGATAAGAGACAGTAGGCAATTATGGGCAATGGTAATATTGTCGAGTTCCGAAACGAGGAGAGGGGGATGCAGTACAGACGATAACGAGGAGCATCCGAGAAATAGAGAGAGGGAGCATTATGCTTTGGTCCTATGTAGCAAATGAACAAAAACAATGGTTCACCTCTCACTCTCGCGTTTCTGTCGCGTAATGCAGGTCAATCATCTAACCATTGTTTGTTGGAGTTTTTCTTTTCAATTGCTCTCCTTCTCCAAAGAAACATGGACCGGTCAATTGTTTTAGGTGCCAAGGACTAGGTCAACTCGGAATAATACTACAACAGACAAAAAGAAAATAGAGTGTCCTTGCATAAAATATCGTGTTTTCGCTCTCTTTTTTTATCCTCTCTTGGTCTTTCGTTCGACCGTTTGATGATCCTGTTCACAATATGGAAAAAAAGAAACCGGCAAGTATAGACGAGGAACCTGGTGACACATCGGCGTCGGTGTCGGCGTGTGTGAGAGGGTTAGAGAGACAAGGAAGGTTAGGACATGGGTTTGAGAGACGGAAGGGATGAATGACTTTTTTGCCCCTTTGAATAATGTTTCGGTTTCTCTTTCAAGGACACCCCACTCTGTTTTGTTTGATTAGAGTTCATTCCTGTCGACACATACGAAAACGCGAAAATTACTTTGGTGAAGTATAACGTTCGCTTGCGAATGAAACGCGAGTTGTTGTTCCTGGAGACAGTCTCCGTCGCCTTTTCCTTGTCACCACCATTCTTTGCTCACTTATCCCTGTTTCTGTCCCTGTCCCTGTCCCTGTCATCAGCATCAGCATCACCATCATCCACCGACGCACCGATTCGTCATTGTCCACCACCCTCCGTCATAACCCTCTCTTTTGTTGCCCAGGAAACTACCTTCATAGGTCCATCCACCTCCTCCCTTCAAGTGTTGTTTCAAAAATATGCATTCTGGAAACCGTCGTGGAGCGGTAGGAGAGAGAAAGGTAGAGAGAGAGAGAGAGCCAGGCAGGACGTTCAATTATGCGATGTTCCCAGGAAATGCTTTTTCCGATGTCAGTGTGTCACACGATTGGCCGCGTGCCAGTCAGGTTCGTCGGGTACACTCGAGAATACGATTGGTTCCCCGAAAATATAGAGTTTACTTTGAGGCCCTGGTTTCTTTTCTTTTTTCTTTTGCTTCATTGTCCATGGTAGCCGTCTTTTTTATGAGTTCTCTGCGATTGGGTATTAGGCGTACGACTAGGATGGTGATGATAACGAGAAGTGGAGAAAGGAAGAGATAGGGTTTGGTGGAAATCCCGCCCTGTCAGGTTCCCTCTCCTCTCTTGTTCGTCTGTCTGTCTGGTCGCCACCAGGTCCGGTTTGAAATCGATCCAAGGGTCCTTCTTCTTCTCTTTGTTTCAGCTTGTCCATGTCGTGACCCTCCCCAGAAGGACGAGAGAAAGGGCATGATCACAGTTTTCGACTTTCTCCACTTACTTCCGGTGGATGTGTCGGTCGTAGGGCTTTGCATGTGGTTTTTCTTTTGGAGGAGAGGAAGGGTCGCTTGAACGGTGTAGTGGTATAGAAAAGGGATCATGAAATAATGAATGACAAACACATAACAGTACCATGCCATGCAAGGGAAGACAGGCGTATGACAATAGGGTAAACGGGATTGATAATGGCTTTTTTATGTTTTGCTGTTTGTTACGTTCCCATCCATCTTTCCCACTTCCACCTGTGAACAAAGAAGAATAACAAGCGTGACCTTTTTACCGCCCCTTCTCATTCTCTTTCTTCCTTCTACTTACTCTAAACACGTCCATGCCGAAACAAAGAATGATAAAAAGCAAACAGCAGGACCATATGAGAGATCGGAGAGGGGAGGAGGTGGAGGGAGGAGCATGCGATGCGTGCTTCCGGGTGGCACAAAAATAGTGTCGAATCGATCTGCTCAATACACTCTTACAAAGTATGTCCCGTATGTGCAGCTTGGCATGCTCTTTCCCTTCCCTTTCCCTTCCCTTTCCTCCTCTCCTTATTTATTTTCTCTCTCTCCCTTCCCTTCCCTTCCTGCCTCCCACATGATGGGATGACCACAATGAAATAAGCATGCAGATAAAATACAATAGTAGAAAATACTAATTACAGGTCACACCGGCTGACATGTTTTCCTTGTTTTGCTCTCCTCTCTTTACTTGCCACTTGGCGCAGCCTTTTTATACGGAAATCCCAATGAGTGATGGCTGTTATATCAAGGCAGGGTCGAAGGAAGGAAAGGAATTAGGAAGAACGCGCAACAACGAACCAAGATGAAGAAGTGGCTCATTACTACCACAACGCGCAAATCGAAAAGGCTGGACTTGAACATGGACCGCAAAGTGATGCGCCGCGCCTCGCAAGGTGAGGATGTGGGGTAAAGGAGATAAAGATATCTTATTGTTCGATGCCATGTCACTTCAGCCCGTAATTTTTCCTGATGATGAGACGGTAGGTATGAAGATGAGAGCAGCAATTTGTCGATGAATGATAACGGAGGTGATGGGTGGAATGGTGTGTATGTATGTCTGAGTTGCATGAAAAATGTAGGGTGGTGGTGAATAGATGGTGGCTCACGACCGAGAGGTGACCACCACCACTGCCTCCTCATGTTCTTCCCCCTGTTTCCCCTTACTTCACCCCACTTGAAGTATAACATATATGTGGCTCGGGTGGATGGGGGGAGTATCGAATAGATGACTCGTGGCAAGGGATACTGCTTATCCACATGAAATTGTCGAGATGGTTGTGTGCTTTGCGGAAATGAACGAAAAACTATTCTTTTCGGAAATAGATGGACGCAAGACGGACGCTATGTTAGCCGTTCACTTATACTCACGTAGTTCGTGACGTATCCTGCAATGGCACAATAATACACTATTTTTCTTTCTGTTGTGTAGATCGATACGCCCAACGACAACGTGTGCATCTTTTGTTCTGCTTCCTATGTACGCTATCCACTCGTCATCTTTATTGACATCCGATGCGAATAATGGGCGAATTGATCCGCTGTGTTATCTGTTTGCGATGATGATGGTGCGAAAGATCGGCGTGTAGACTCTTCGAAACATATGGCAAGGAAGACGCTATCTAGTCGATTTCGATGGGTTCTTCCTCAGTTGATGGATGATGGTTAACAAGTGATCACCATCACCATTACATCCTCACTACCAGACAGATCCTATGTGCCGGTTTTCTACAATTCCCATTTTTCCATCGTATTCTTTTTTCTTTTGGATCTCTGGCACAGCTGAAACTCGTCCTCTGGGCAATCGTGGCGTCTGTCTGTCTCCAAGTGGCCTGGGAAAAAAACTGTAGAAACAAAATAAAAGAGAGGGCGACAAAATGGATGTTGACGGCCAATTGGCTAGTTGGTTGAAGAATGAAGAAGACGATAACGAGAGGGGTTCCACTCTTTGAGGAGGGGAAAAGAGGCTTATCTACCCCGATGGCCGTTTTGGCATTAGTAGAGGAGACGTTCCTGAGAGGCCCAGTTGTGTGTCAGTAGTGTATGTGGATCGATGGAGAAAAATGGCAGGATGCAATTGAGGTGGACAAAGACGAAGAAGGGGTTGCAACAGCAGGCTAGGCAGAAGCGGATTAGGTATAGGTGGGCAAAGCAAGGGTTTGTGGGTAGAGGGGTAGAGAGGCCAGCAAAGCATGGAGAGCGAGAAACAATAGAATAAGAAAAAAAAAAAGGGTTGCATGTGTGCATGTTGCGCCAAACAATAACCAATTGAATCGCAAGTAACAATCGATGAATATGTGTTTGCGATTGAATAAAAGTTGAATTCAATCGGAAAAGAGAGAAAGACGTGAAGACGGAAAGCACGGGTGAGACCAAGCACAAAAGCACACGACTTGATGGATGGCCAGGCAGACAGGCCGATAGGCAAACGCACATTAAGAAAAAACATAAAAAGGTTTTTCTTCTTCTTTGTCCTCCTCTTTTTCTCTTTTTCACGTCTTTCTTCTCTTTTACCTTTTTCTTATTGTTTTATTTCCTCTCCATTACCTTCTCTTCTCTTACCTCTCTTTCTTCTCCTCTCTCCTCTCTTTGTTGCCATCACTCCCACTCTCATTCCAATACCACATTCCCATTGCCCTACTTCCACCCTCTCCGCTTCCCCACTCTCCGCTTCCCCACTCTTTACCCCTCTTCTCATTCTTGCACTACCCAAAAGGAAGACCCTTACACTCGCCTTACACAAAATATAAAACTCCGCCTTCATCCATACTGTCGTCCCTCAGCGTGGTATCGTTTGCTGCAGCCATGATCAGCTTCATCAACCCTCTCCACAGCAGAGACCACCACCAGGTTGCTCCTTCCACTCCCTCTCCTTCCTCTACCTCGCCTCCAAAATCATCTCCACATTCACATTCCCTCTCGCGCCAGCAGCAGCAGCAACAACAACATCACCAGTTCTATCAAACCAAGGATCAGCTCCACCCCGACCAAAAGGACAACAAGCCAAGGTACTACTCCATCTTCAGCGAACTCACTACCCAGGTCGACCAGCGTGAGCGCGCCCTCCAGCAATTTCCTTGCGAAGAACGCCATTCGTACAACCCCCACTACCAACACAACCTCGTCTCCTCCCCATCCTCCCCTTCACTCTGCCCCTCCTCTGCCGGATCCTCGCCATCCTCTGCCTACTCCAACAGTTCCAGCTCGTCTCTCTCAAGAGCAACCGGTGCCCGCGTCTTGACCCATGAGCTGTCCAACAAGCAACATCAGGATCACCACTACTACCGCCATTACAACCGTCGCCAGAACCAGCGCCATTACGCCTATCAGCAGCAGAACGAGCACTACTATGACGACTGGATGTTTGGAATCTCTGAGGATGATAGCTACAATGGTGGTGCCTCCATGACTTGCGCCCAGCCTCAAGATCCTCTTGTCATTGCCGCCTCATCCTCATCCAAGACCCCCTCTCTGAACGGATCCTTACGGTCGTCCATTTCCCGCAAGGAGCGCCTCCAGGTCTCCGATGGTTCTCTATCGGTCGCCACTCAGATCTCGGCCAAGAACCGCCGACCCACAGTCACGTTCTCGCCCGTGGTCCTCCACCACCCTGCTCCGGGTCAGGAGTTTACCGCGTTGCTGTCGTCGTCCTTCGCCTCCCCTTCCCAGACATCATCTGCTCCTGCCAAGCTTTTGCCCAGCATTGCAGAGTCCTCGATGGGTCTGGACAGTAGCATGGCGATGACTACTGCGAAAGCCGAATCGACCAAGGCCGTCCAAAATCTGCAACAACAACAGCCAGCCAGTACCGGTCGCATGACTGCCAAGCAGTCCTTGATGCGCATTGCCCAACTTTCCAAAGATCAAGATGGTTGGTGCTCCCACAAGGCAGGCCAATATACCCAAGGCTATGCCGAGGCCCGATCCCGCGGGATGAAGCTTGACGGTCGCCGTGCACGTCGTCTCTAAACAAGCAATCGGATAAGCCTGCCTCCTCTTTGAAGAGGCGCACATACAAAAAACCAATCGGCAACACGGTGCCCTTTCTTTTTCTTTTCTTTTTCTTGTAGTCTTTCTCTCTTGTATATTTTTTTTCGCGTCTACTGTATTCTATTGTAAAACATCTCCAAAAACCTTTTTCAAGGTTGTTCTATAGCTTCTTCAAAAACTCAATTGTATAAAACTGTTATTTTACTCTACTCAAGTTCAATTGTTGTTGTTGTTGTTGATGTGTATGATCTACGGGTGAAAAGTGCCTAACATGATGACTGGCTGTAAAGAAGATGTTGGATACGTTGTATGGTCCCATGGAACAATTGAGCTCTCTGCCATTCGGAGAATCTTGCAGACCTGGGAGAAAACACGCAAGAGCTTGTTCGTGTTCTTTGTGTGTGCCTTTAATTCACTCGTTATCATGTTCCATGACCTTGCTATCCCTTCTTTCCCTTCTCTCCCCTCGTCCTTACTCCTTCCTTCCTTCCTTCCGTCCTTCTCATCATCCTTATTCGCCCCCTTTGTTCCCATTTGAGAGCACATGTGTCCACTTGGGCATTTTTCCAAAAAGATACGCGCGCTGTTGTTCGTCAAGCCATTGTGACACCAAAAACTTTTTTTCTGAGCCTCGGGATGGAACTTGGAAGGCAGGGAGGACCAATATACAAAAATAAAGGGTTCAAAGACATTTTTATTCATTGGACCTTTGCCGCCTTCCCTTCACTCCCTTCTGTGCTTTGTGCCAAGAGGAAGGGAGGCAGAGAGAGAGAAAGAGAGGAGAATGGGGGGTAAACCGACAGGCATAATGCACACGGGATAGAGAACAAAAGACAAGGTGTTCCCATCATTGGTTTTGTTTGGTTTGTTCTACTCCTTTTGTAGCCGCATATTATTTTTCCTTGGAGAGTAGGAAGGAGGTTGGGGTGGTTGAGCCCTGGTGGGATGAACAAAAATAGGGGGGTTGCAGGTAATTTACAGTGCTGTACACGAGAGTAAGCGAAAGGGAGAGTGCGCGAGAGAAGACGGATAGACAGATAGACAAGTAGATTGATGATGAGCATGTGTAACGAGTGACAAAGGGTGAAAATAGGCTAGGAGATACGAGATACGAGAGGTTGGGCGAGAAAAGGGAGACAGAGAAGAAGGGGGGGGGTTCGGGAAGGGAGGTTCAGGGAAGAGGGGATAGACGAGTTGGGTTTGGTTTCCGCCCGAGCGAAACAAGGACGCGAAGTGAGCGAGTGTGTCCAAGGGAGGAGAGAGAGTGGGGCAAGACTGACGCGCTTCTTGAACCTTTGGAGGATGCGTCCGTTTCGTGTCACTTTCTCTTTCTCATTTTCTCCATGTATCTCTCTCTCTTTGTCTCTCACTTTGTCTCTCTTTCGTTGTTTCTCCATCTCGTTTTTTCATTTATCGTTTTCCTTTACTTACCTGACGAAGCGAGCGAACCTGGCAAAGGTCCCAAAGCGTTCTTCCTTTTCATTTCCTCCGTGCGTGATACATGTCAAGGTGTCACTGGCGCCCTTTTTGCCCTTGTTCGTTCATTCCCAGCTTGTGATATGCATACCAGATGTACAGAGAGAGAAGATAGAGGGAAGGTGAGGCCGAGACCGCGACAAGAAATGAACGATTGACGCAGTTCGCCACACGCTCATTCACATCTCGTTCACCACACCACCCCCTGTATGCTTACCGCATGTTCATACATCTCATCCGTCTGCGTGCTGCGTGTATCTATGTATCTCTCCATCATTCTATCTTCCCATCTCCTGTTGAATAGAGTATCGGACACGCACAAAACGGTACTAGCGCCTTCCACAATTGAAACTTATGAACGAACACATTCTTCTTACTGCTTTTCATCTCTTTTTTCCTCCTTCCTTCCTTTTCTGCTCTTCGGTTGGGGCTGGGGTTTATTTCATTCAGGGTCAAGGCTCAGTCAGGTTCAGGGCCACAATTATTTTGCCTCAACTCCTTCTCGTCCGCTCTCATTTTTTTTTACCTATCCTATCCCTTTCTTTCCCTTTGCCCCTTTCTTTATGTCTCTCTCCTCTCTAACCCACCCCCTTGTATACGCATATTGCACATGACATCGGGAGTACGTGCATTCACTGTTCTCTGTTTTCATTTCCGAGACAAAAGTGATGGTAAGTGCGCCAGCCAAGAAGGAGACAAAAACAACAAAAAGCCATATTACAAGCGACGCGATCGTGATGCGGTGTGATCCGATGCGATGTGGTGTTATATTGTGTTGGGGGTGTTGTTAGGGTGGTTGGTGCTCTGAAATAGCAATGTGGAAGGAGGAGATGGAGGAGAAGAGTCTTTCCTCCCTTTTACATGTGCTGCAAGATGCCAATTCATGACGAAGGGCAGGCAAGCTGCGGTGAGGATTTGTGTGGCGGTGAATAGTAATATCAGTAGGATAGGAGTGGTGCAGATAGCAACTTGCATAGAAATTGTTCCCGTCCGGGAAGGAACAAAACGCGAAAAATAAAAATAAACAGCATTTCGTCCCAGCCCACATGTACAAACAGGAAGTGGAGTAGCTCCCACCTAGCTTCTGGGAGTTCATTTCCGGCATGGGAAGAATCATCCCTGAACTCAAAAAGCTTACCCCTCCATGCTTCTATTCTGGGGTCTGGGAAGAAATGAATGAGAGAAATGAACGGCAGAAAGTGGGCTCCAGAACGCGGGATAAGGGAAGAGGTGCATTGGGACCAAAGGAAGTGTCTGATGGTTATGAAAAAAAGGAATGCATGCGTTCAATGATGTACCCGCTTCTACCCGCCGGATGTTGGGAGCCATGATGGCTTCCCGCTCCCAGAACTCCCCCTGAACGCGACCTTCAAAAATGAACTTCCTTGTTTCGACAGACTTATCTTTGTGACTGCCCTATCATCGACGCACGCCCTTTCTTCGACTCCTTGATTCCTCCTTTTCATTCATCATTCACTTTACCCTTGCCAGACATCCCAGCAGGCGAAACGGGATCCTCACGAGCGATGCATCTCCTGAATACGGCCAAGCTTCTACATGAGAACCCATACACGGGCGACAGGATCACTAAAGCCTGCATCGTCCACCTGGAACCCTCATTACTACGTGATACCCTGAAGTCGCAACAACAGCAGCAGGCTTACGACAACAACACCAACGAGGAGGATGTTTTCTCGGCGCTCGGTTTGACGCATGATAGCAGCGACGGGCCTGTAAATGGAATTGCTGAGACAAGACAGAGAGGTTCTGAGCTGGTCGCTATCAAGTCCTTGTCGAGCTCTACATCCTACGCCGACGGATTCGATAGCTCATCTGACGATGAAGAAGCAGACGATGAGGACGAAGGTGATTGTAGCGATATAGCACTGCGGCAAAGGCCATTAGCGCATGGATGGACTACGATTGGCCAAACTGATGTCCCACAGAAGGTCAAGTTTGGACTCAAAGCCAAGCGTGAGATTGCAGCCCTTCGCGCCGCTCAAGGGCATCCCAATGTAATTATCTTTCCCATTTGCCTTCGTAAGGATTATACCATGCTATGATAGTGGGGTTCTAACGACTGTTGTATTGATGTATGATAGGTGGTGCCGTTCTTGGGATTCACGGGACATAAAAAGCCCAACGTGTTCCACAAAGCCCGCAGACAGGAACAAGACTCATCACCAGCGAATCTGGGCATTTCACCTGAACCCCTTGGAGGATCTCTCTTTGGATCGGCCTTACCTCTTGGCAGTAGTCTCTTTCAGTCTGACGCAGGAGGCATCCCAACATCAACACTTACACTGCTACAACCATCGTCAACTTCCATTCTCGAGGACGGCCCTCAGAACCTGTTTGCACCCTTCCGTCAGAGTTCTGGATGGGATAGCGACGGCTATGACTCTGACACCAGTGAGAACGTACACGAGATTGATCCCAACAGCTCTACTGAGGCCAAGCTTCACCACTTTCACAGGATATTCTCGCGTCAACCGGGGCCTGGTGGGATCATCTTGCCGCTGGTTCACAATTCGTTGCAGGATCTTATCCAGATTGGTTGGACAAAGACGAGACCTTTTATGGTGGAGACATGTATGCGACAGATCCTGGAGGGACTGGCTTGGATCCATGATGAGGCTGGGCTGATTCATAGAGACATCTCGGCAGGCAACATCCTGGTCACGATTGGGCCTGGAGGATACAGGGATGAGCAGATGGGTGTAGTGCAGGACAGGAAGGACGGAAAGGGGTGCGGCGTTGTCCAGTGTCTGATTTCTGACTTTGGCTGTGCCACCTTTCATTCAGCCTCTGAGACGACTGCTGAGACCGTCCCACATGAGGAGGAAGCGGCGGTAGATGAGGATGATCAACACAACCACTACCGACCACAGCAGAGACAGCAGCAGGGACTCACCTTTGAAGTCGGCACAAGGTATGCAAATCAACTCGCTAAATTATATTTCGGCACGCTTCGGTCGATTCACTCTCATTATTAACACTGACGTTGCCTTGTTCTTCTAATAGGGCATACCGAGCACCTGAACTGCTGTTTTCTTCGGGAAAGTACACCAATGCGATTGACATTTGGTCCGCAGGAGTGCTCTTTGCCGAGATGTACTTAGGAAAACATCTCTTTGAGGCAGAGTCGGATATCGGCCAAGTCTGCGCCATTGTCAAGGTGCTTGGTACACCCACGGAGGATAACTGGCCTGTAAGTGACACTTCATCCTTCGTATTTTGTTGTCCATTCATCTGTTCATCAAAGGATCGGAAAGAAGAAATGATGTTGATGCGTTGCAAAAACTTGATGTACGAATGTAGGAGTACAAGACAATGCCGGACTATGGCAAGTTGATATTCCAGGCATTGGAGGTCAACGACTTGTCATCAATTCTCCTTGGCTCGTCTCCACCGTCTCTGGACGAGAAGGAGAATGATACCTCCGATTCGCTGGCCACACACGACGATGACAACGACAGAGAGGAGGAGACTGCGCCGCCAACTTTAATTTCCGAAGCATCGTTCCGACTGATTGAGCACATGGTCACCTTTTCTGGAGCAACACGACCCTCAGCACGTCAGGCCCTTTCTGAGCTCCCGTCTTTATTCGGTCTCTCCGTGGACGAGAATGGCGAGCCTAGAGATGGTGAGCTTCTGAAGGAGTGTATTCTGGATGTTCAGCATGTTTTGGATGAGCTGCAGCGGTTCAAGGCACGGGAAGCGGATGAGTCTGATGATGGAGAAGGAGGAGGTGGTATGTTTATGTTCAGCCTTGGAGGAGGGGGCCATGGCGCTGATGGAGCTCATTGGCAAAACGCCGAATTTGAAGAGGGGAGCGACGACGACAATGACGGTCAAAGGTCAATTCGGTCAGACGACTTTTCGAGATATGATTTTCAATCAGCAACAACGGCAGCAATTGGACATGACGATAAGCAGGAACAGGGACAGGGTCGACAGTTTGGACGGGAGTTTGATGGGTATGATGGGTATGATGGACGTGGACACGAGTTTGTGTCGTCTATGTCTGTGTCTGAGCACGGCGAAGGCGAAGTAGGAGCTGGAGGGATAGAAGGGGAGAAAGACGGTGGACCGGTAAGGGCTGTCAAGCGGCATAGGGGTGTCAGTGGAGGTGACAGCAGCTTCGACAGCCAACAGGGATCCGGTTAATGTCCATCTTTGGGCTTGCTGAGAAGTAAGTAGAAGCCTATTCGCTGAGATGAATACAAACACGCACCGTTATTGGTTCAAACACAGGTTCTGTGTGAACTCCCAGTGAGACGACAGTTGGGCGATGAGATAAAAAGTATGCATGCCACGGAGGAGAAAGCAAGAGGTAGTGCGGAGAAGGAAGGCCATTGCATCTTTCGCGGCTGTTTTTTGTTATTTGCGTTCGGCCGTTTGGCCTGGTTAGGCTTATCTTGGAAGGAGGAGGAGGGCATGGTTGGACACAAGATGACCTTAATGGAAGGAATAACCTTGGAGCATTGCACTACACACATTGTCGACAATCAAATAAGGCAAGTAGGACAAAGTAAGAAGAGTAAATGGGCAGATGGGAAGAAAGGAAAGGAAAGAAAGAGTGTCTAAGGGGTCCAGGCACGACTAGACACATGAAAAGGAAGGCCCTTCTAGTCCGGAAGAACACGCTCGGATCTTTGCTTACAAGGCTGAGAGTATCTCATCACGCGTCCTTGGACGAAGTGAACGTTGTTTTAGGCTTTGAGGAAAGGATGGGCTTCGACTGTAGTAGGCAGCTGTTTGAGTGTTGTTTTTTGCTCTCTCTTTTCATATCAAGATATAACGACTCGCCGGACATTAAGTTGCAGGCCGCCTTTTCTGCGCTCATGAAGCAGAACGATTAGGGAGGACGGATATGCTTTTGTGCGATGGTTGCACGCGGAGTGCCCTTTGACAAAGTGAACGGAGGGATGAGAGGACGATAGAGGGCAGTTCGGACAGGAAGCAAGAGAGAGAGAGAGAGAAAAGGAGAGAGAGAGAGGAAGAGGAAAGAGATGGTTGGTTGTTATCGTTTGTGTTTGTCTGAAAGAAGGAGAGAGTTGGGTCGAGTGGACAGGAAGGAGCCCATTTTCGACCGATTGCATATTTTGATATCCTTCTTTTATTCATCCAACTGGACAACAACGGAATGAACTCGGACCTGGACCTTTTTCAGTTTTTTCCTGCAGTTACGTCGACCCCCTAGGCCTGAGAGTTGTTACACAACCTCATGGACCTAACTCGTTGTTAAGCTTGCCTGGTTTGTTTATTTGCGTTCGCTTTATTTGCGTTGTTGTTGTTCATGCGAGGGCAGATAGGATCTCAGCTTTTTTTTTCTTTCCCGCATCCACGTAGTGTCCATGGACACTCTCGCTCGACTCAATCAGCCGCTCGCTCACTCTTCGGCCTTCGATGGACATTTTTGAGCTGTTGACAGTTGTGGAAAGAGAGAGAAAGTGAGGTCGAAGGGTCGGTGAGTTGGGGAGATGGGACAGTAGGGGAGGACGGGCAGAAGAGATAAAAAAGCAGCGACTTCCTCACCTCTTTTTATATTTTCTTTTCCTTTCTTTTCTATTTGACTTTGACTTTGTGCCTCTTTTGCAAATCCGAACCCAACCACCACCTTCTTCTCCTCATCATCATCATTTCTCTTTCACCTGCACCCAGCCTTTCCACTTTTTCACTTTTCCATCTTTCCACCCTCGACCCACCACCCCGCTCCTAAGCAGCAACTAACACACAATGTCAAAGTACGAGGAAGGTCACCACCTCGACAGCGAAAAGTACGAGACCGGTCATGGCCAGCAGATGCGAGACTTTACAGTCGACTCGCCCCATATGGCGGCAGAACAGGAAGGTCTGAAGCGCGACCTGCGCCTCCGCCACATGATCATGATTGCCATCTCGGGCACTATTGGCACAGGTCTCTTCCTTACTTCTGGAAATACCATCGCTACCGCCGGACCAGGTGGTGCCTGTAAGCTCATTTTCTTTTTGTTTGTTCTTAGATGTTGATGGGGAAAACGCGCCTCAACTTGTCGGAGAACGTAACCTATTGGTGGCCAATGAAATGCTAACAAAAGTTGTTACTCTGTGTCTCACCCAAATATATAGTGCTGGCGTACGCGATGATCGGGTTGTGGCTGGTCTTTGTCTGCCAGGCCATTGGCGAGGTTTCTACCCTCCTCCCCCTGCCCGGTGCATTCAACGCCTGGGGCGCTCGCGTCTTTGACGAGGCCTTCTCTTTCCAAATGACGTAAGTTTAACTACCTACTACTGTGGACACAGTCGTTCGATCACTCTATTCTACGCGCATCTCGCGTTAAAACCATCGCCAACATGTCCCCTCAAAACGCTAACACTTATTTCCTTAATCCTTTCGTCCCTTTTTTCTTCTTTGTATTCATGTTTTAAAATACGCGCTAAAACAGTTGGATGTACGCTATCAACTGGTTACTCACAATCCCTGCCGAGCTCTCCGCATCCGCAATCATTGTCCAGTACTGGCTCCCCGCAGACTCGTCTTTCCCACCATGGGTCGTACCATTGATCATCATCATTGTCATGGTCATTATTAACCTGGTCGGTGTCCGCGCCTACGGAGAGCTCGAGTACTGGTTCTCGATCCTCAAAGTCCTCACTATCATCATCTTCATCATCTGCGCCATCCTCGTCGATGCTGGACTTGTCGGTCAAAAAGTCAAGTATGGAATGGACGCCTGGCATATCGATGGTGCACCCTTCAAGGGCGGCTTTATGGGATTCGTCAAGACTTTGGTATCCGTCGGCTATGCTTATGGTGGGTCGGAAATGACGGGTGTCACGGCGGCCGAGTCGCGCAACCCTCACAAGCATGTCCCCCGTGCCGTCAACACCGTCCTCCTGAGAATCGCATTCTTCTACATCATCTCCATCTTCCTGCTGGGCTCGATTATCCGCAACGATGACCCTAAACTGGACAATGCCGAGGGCACAGCCGCCGCAGCACCATTCACGATCGTCTTCCTGATGGCCGGCATGACCGCCGCCGCAAACTACATGAACGCCGTCGTCTTCACCTCCGTCTTCTCAGCCATCAACTCGGACTTCTACGTCTCCACCCGCATGCTCCTCTCTCTCGCCAGAAACGGTTGGGCACATAAACAAATCGGTTATACAAACTCCCGTGGCGTCCCTGTGGTCGCCCTAGCAATCGTCACCCTCTGCTCCTGCCTCTCGCTCATCACCATCTTTGTCGGCTCAGGCGTCGTCTTTGCCTGGTTCGTCTCCATCATCGGCTCAATCATCTTCCAATCCTGGATCCTCATCCTCTTCCTCCACTTCCGCTTCCGAGCCTGCTGGAAGGCCCAAGGCCGCGACCCCAGTGACCTACCCTACCGGTCTTGGGGGTACCCATACGGAAACATCCTCGCAACCGTTATCGGCGTCTGCTGTATCGTCGCAACCTGCTACCTCTCCGTCATCAACCCTCCCAAGAACCCCGGCCCAGGTGCATCAGTGCAAGATACCAGCGACTATCGCAAGGCACGCGATAGCTATGCACAGAACTTGTTGGGTGCTTGGTTCCCTTGGGTCTGCTCCGCCTTGTTGTATTTCGGTTACAAGATTGTGCGAAAGACAAAGATTGTCAAGGCTGAAGAGGCTGATTTGGACACCGGACGGTTTATCCCGACCGAGAGCGATAAGGAGGACCTCAACAAGAAGGGTCCCCTTTGGAAGGTAATTTAACCGACGTTGCATTCATCAATGATTGTTCTATCGAGAATATGTGTCATGCTTCAACAGCTTTTAACGTATGATTTTTCTCGTCTCCTTTTCTTTTACTCTTCACGAATAGCGTATTCTCTCATTCCTCATCTAAAGATTATTTATCGCAGCTAATATATTCAACGTCTGTCCGTAGTGTCTGGCAAACGTGTAACAGCAATCATCACCAATGTTCAACCATTTGCAATTGAAGCCATGAAACCATGATCTTCGTTGAATAGAAGTGTAATCTGACATCATCCCCATTTCAGCAAAAGTTGTTTTATGGGCAAAGTCTTGTAAGGTGTAGATAACAAAGATATTTAAAGGGTGCACAATGGAGGCCATTGCGATTGTTGTTTTTTTGACGTATATTTTCAGAGAGATCCTCCCGCGTGAGGCAAAAGGGGGGGGGGTTTGGAAAGAGTCATGAAGGATAGGTGAGGTCAAATCCTGAGAGAGTCATGGTAGTGTACAGAGGTTAAGAAGGAAGAAGGGAGAAAGGGGAGAAGAGTCGATCCTGACTAAAAGGTCGCAGAAGACGACAGAATTTACTTGGCGGGGGCAAAGCCGACGCGGTTCTTGCCGAGATCGTAGACAGAGTAGTACTTGCGCAAGAAGACATCGCCGACAATCCAGAGGTCGCTGAGAGACTCGGGGAAGTCCATGCCCATGAATCCAGAGATGCAGGAGCCGCCAGCGTTGAGGACATAGTCAGATCCCGCCAACTTGTACTCCTTCTTGCCAAAGAAGAACGAGAACTCGGGCAATGAGGGGACCTTGTCACACTCGATGGTGTACTGTCCAGCATAGTTCTTCTTGGCGCCAATCTGGTTGTTAATCATCTCGGCAAGAGCAGTCTCCAAGACAATCAACGACGAGCCAGTGTCGATGACGGCGCCTCCCTCGAGGTCGACCTCCTCGTCACCCAACTTGATCTTGTTGAGGTCAATCTCCCAGTAGCCCTTGCGACGGACGCTGTACCAGTCAAGGTCACCCTCAAAGTGGTTCGAGTCGACACCTCCGAGGGTCATCTGGCCACCGGTGGCACCGTCAGCATAAGCCAAGTAGAAACCAAAGACGGCCTCATCGATCAAGCCCTGGTTGACAAGGTTGTAGAAGGGGGGGACAACACCCAAGACGGAGATGGTGTCATAGCCAAGACCAAAGATACCGTCAAACTTGCCAAAGGCAAAGGCAAGACCGGGCTCCTTGACAGACTCGCCAAAGTCCTGATGCTTGACGACGATGCCACCAACCTCGAGGTTGTCGTTGCTGATGATACCCTCGAGCGATCCAGAGCCGTACTGGATGCCAAACTCGGTGCCGTTAGACTTGAAGGTCGAGGACTTATTGGAATCGAAACGGCGGTGGAGGAAGCAGGCAATGGAGCTGCAGTGGGTCGAGGGGACCCAGAGGTTGGACGAACCGGTGTCGAAGACGACGGAGAAGGTCTGAGGAGGCGATCCAATGGAGATGTCACCATAGTACTATGTTGTCGATAAAAATGGGTTAGTATATTTTTATTGGAATGACCCTGCTCTGTCGTCAGTTCTCCTATTTCATTATCCCACACGCAAGCACTGTCCCAACCACCTGACACAAAATAACGAGCACGTTCTCCCATGAACAAATTATTGGTCTGTTCCCCCATCTCCTTGAAAAGGAATAGGAGCCAGCTTCACAAAAAGGGCTTGGCAAAGGAGAACGGGCGTGTAAGGTATGTGTTCTGTCCAGTCCCGCGTCTCTGAGTTCCCAGGCCAATGACGACAACATAACAACACCACCATTCAACATGTACTGCGCACAATGCTCCAATGGGGGGTCATCATTATTACTGTCTATTCGTTTGTTGTTGCGCGTTTCGTTTCCACTCCCATAAAACGACTGTTGATAACTGATAATAAGGAGGTGGTTGCTACCACTGATAACACTACAACCGTTCCTGATATGATATTCGTGAATAACATTCCCTGACACTTGAATAAGACATACCTGGGCGTTCATGTAGTTCGAAAGAGGAACTCCATACGAGGGCTTGCCCTCGGCATCGAGACCAAAGATCTGGCTGGCCTGGTCAGCCTTCATCTTGCGAGCAGGGGAGCCAAAGTACTTCTGGGCCATGTACGAGCCAGTCTCGGCGTAGGCATCGAGTCTCTCGGCGGGGGTCAAGTCAGCCTTCTTGAGGTTGATGCTAGTATTGGCATTGGGCAATGTAAACTCATTTAGTCGCGCTTTTTCTTGCCAATTATTATTTTCATTCTATGCTGCGTGTGCATGAGAACATAAGAGTGACGCCAAGGGACGCGGGTGGGAGTAGTACCGAGTCATGGCGGCCTGGGAGGCGACAGCCAAGGACAAGAGTGCGACGACGAAGGAGGTCTTCATAAGGATAATAGTAATAAGGATTGCTGAGTGTGCGGGAGGGTGTTGTTGGGGGCAAGGTGTGAAAGGGAGTGAAATAGAGAGCAAAGAGAGGAAGAACGGGAACAAGGTCAAGTGAAGTGCAAAGAGCACTCAACGCACTCAGGTACTGTGAGCGTCATCGTCCTTCACTAGTGCCAAGTGACTGCTCGCTCGGTCCACTCACCCATGGTCGACTTCTTCTGCCTTAAACTTCTTGCTATGGTTTGCACTTTTCCAAGCACCTTGTGCTTCATGTCATGAACAAATTGTACTACTCCACTCATTGGATTTCATCATCCACTCTCTTCTTCTTGCTCTATTCTTCTTCTGAGCTAAGGATAGCTACCAAGGGATCTGACAATTCATTTTGCTCGCAAGAAGGAGAGTTAGAGCAAAAATTGGAAACAACGGACGTGAACTGAATGAAGTACAAAAGAGGGGAGGAACAACAGAAAACAGCATTTTGCGCACAGAGACAGGCACTAACATGACATCCACCCCCTTGAACTCCTCGTTTATTTAACTCACGCAGAACGTCAATTACGCTACAATGCAGTTCATACAATAAGCGACGACGACAGTGTTCCATTTTACATGACAGTGCCACCCAGTCTCTCCTTCCCGCCTCGTCGTGTTCTTGCCAGGTTGGCTCTGGGAAACAACAATTGGCTACTCTGGGTGTCCGCCATCGTATTTTACTCAATCGATCGATGGTTGCGCGGAGTTTTGACATCTTCCTTTTTTTGTCGTCCATGTTCAAGGCCATAAATGAGGGTCGAGTAAGAGAGATGCATGACTAAAGATATGCGGCCTCGTTGTTGGAGATTGAGATCCTCGTCTGAGGGCATTTCATCTCAAATATAGCCATTGCTTTCACCTAGGGCATCAGCATGCTTTGCCAACTATGCCGTTCGCCTCTTGAAGAGTGCGGTATTAAGAGAGAGAAAAAATAAAGCGATGTCATGAACCTTCTTTTTGCAGCAATGTACGCGGCATAGGAGCAACGGCAAGAGCAGAGCAAAAAAAGAAACAAAGAAGAAAAAACGCCGAGCGAGAAGGATGTACATGTGTACATGAACATGCACACGGTCAGCTCACGACGAATGCAGCCCGCAAGCATAACTGGCATAAAGAGACAACAAAGAACGCCACAAGAGCAAAAGAATGGACTTATGGTACATGAGTTTAGATTGCCTAGGCCAGAGTGGTAAGAATCGGTGTCACCAAGTGAAGCTAGTCGTCAGAAAAATAAAAGAAAAATCCCTCATGTCGCACTGCTTCCATTCGTCCTCGTTGTTTTCTTTTTTTCATTCAAGAAAACGAAAAAGAAATCGCGCAGAGTTCTTTTCTGCTAACTTTCTCTGGAGTATGCTTCTACGGTGCACCGTTCCAATGCATGTTTTGTGCCTGAATGATAATGAGACTGAGGCAGGTCCAGGGGGTGGATCATCAGCCAGCCCTTGCTAATCGTCAATGATATGAGGCCTTTTCTTGCAAGTGTTGACAACCCCTTCTTCCATAAATACTGTTCACTCCCCTCGAGCATCGTCAAAGCAATGCAAGCAACCCTTCTCTCCTTCTCTCTCCTGCTTGACCTTCAACCTTGACTTCACTTTCCCCTCCCTCTCATTTACTCTCTATTTCAACCTTTGTACCCTATTTCTCCAACAAAAAAATACGTTTCACCGTCTCACTCTTCCTCTCCTTCAATCATGACCCATGATAAAGAGAATAGAAAGTCTCTCGCCCTGGTGCGCACCCAGACCATGGAGCGAGCCCAGGGTAACGCAGCCCCCATCGAGTTCCGCACACTCTCCATCCACGTCACCGAGACCCACCGCTCTGGCAAGAACGGTGGCATGCCCGCCTACGGCAAGGAAAGGGACGCCAAGCCCTCAAGGTTCTGGAAAAGCAAGAAGAATGAGGATGAGCTGGTGACCGAGACCGACTTTTTCTCTACCGCTGACTTTCACAAGCTGTCCGAGTCCGAGATCAACCTGCGCTTCAATTCCGATCCCACAAGAGGCCTGACCCAACCCGAGGCCGGTCGACGACTCAAGGTCAATGGCCTTAATACCCTGGACTCGCCCAAACCAAACTACGTCAAGATGATCTTCGGCTACACCTTTGGCGGCTTCTGCTCCATCCTATGGGTCGGTGTCATCACCTTCCTCATCTGCTGGCAGCCTCCTCTCTCACCCACACCTAATGTCACCAACCTCGCCCTCGCCATCCTTGTTGTAAGTATTTTTGAGCAAACTTGTTTTTTTAAGAACTGCCGTCATCCCCCTGTTCACCTATCTTAACCTTGGCTTGCTTCTTTTCTTCTCCAATGCAACAACAATAGCTATTTGTTATTATCCTTCAGGCCGGTTTCTCCGCCTTCCAAGATTTTTCGACTGCCAAGGTCATGTCGTCGATCCTTGACATGATCCCTGCTGACTGCCATGTCATTCGCGATGGTCAACTTGTCAAGATCCCTGCCTCTGGTCTGGTCGTCGGTGACCGCGTCCACCTTTCGCTTGGTAACAAGGTCCCGGCCGATCTCCGCCTCCTTCAGGCATCCAGCGATACCCGTTTTGACCGTGCTGTTCTCACTGGTGAGAGTGAGGCCATTGAGGCTAGCACAACCGCGACGGACGACAACTTTTTGGAGTCCAAGAATATTGCGTTTATGGGTACGCATGTTGTCCAGGGGTCGTGTGTGGGTGTTGTCATCCTGAAGGGCAACGACACGTTGATGGGCCGCATCAACAAGCTGACGACTGGCCGCAAGCCCAAGAAGACGATCATTCAAAGGGAGATCACGCGGTTTATCCAGATTATCATCTCCTTGACGGTCGCACTCATCCTGATCATCACCATCGCCTGGCTGGCCTGGCTGCACCGCGTCTACCCCGACTTTATGAACCTCGCCACTTTGCTTGTCACCCTCATGGGCTGTGTCATCGCTTTCATCCCCGAAGGTAAATAGTGCTCTGTGCTGACAATCGATCGTGCATGCATGCATGTCATCCAACCTTGGTTTTGTTTGTTCCATGTACTCAGTCGCGTTTATTGCCTTTGCATTTGTGATATGAATTAGGTGTGCCTATCTGCATCTCGCTGACATTGCTCATGATTGCCCGCAGAATGAGCGAGAACAACATCCTGCCAAAGTCACTCAGCACAGTCGAGACCCTGGGTTGTGTCAACGTCATTTGCTCCGACAAGACCGGTACACTCACCGAGAACAAGATGCACATCAGTAACGTCGCCTTCCTCGATTACGAATCCACTCCATCCGAGGTCGCCGCCAACATAGCCAAGGGTCTCCAGAACGTCAACCAATTGCCCCAGCCCGGTGATGACCACCTCTCCCTATCACTCCGCCAACTCCAGCTTGCCACTCTGCTCTGCAACAATGCCAAGTTTGACCCCGAGACAATGAAGTTGCCTCTTGCCGAGCGCAGGGTCCTCGGTGATGCTACGGACAGTGCTCTCTTGCGATTCGCCCACCAGGTTTCCGATACCAGTGCCCTCGCCCCCAGCTTTGAGCGCACCTTTGAGATCCCCTTCAACTCTCGCAACAAATGGATGATGACAGCCCACCAGGGCTCGCGCGCCAACCCTCAAGTGATCAAGACCCTCTTTGGTTCCAACATCATGGACGCCAACAACACTGCCGCCAACGAAAAGGACGACATGCTTGTCTTTGTCAAGGGTGCTCCTGATATCCTCTTGCCCTATTGCAGCTCTTTCTGGTCAGCCACTACCAAAGATGGACCCCAGCCTCTCACTCCTGAATGGGCTGCTGAGCTCACTCGCATTCAGCAGACATGGTCTCGCGGTGGCAAGCGTGTCTTGATGCTCTGCAAGGGTCGTTACAGTCCTTACTTGGCCCAGCACAACCTCTCCATGGCTGGCTCATCGACCTCGAACGCTATTCAAGAAGAGTTGACTCGCCAGGGTCTCCAGGAGCTCTGTATTCTCGGTCTCGTCGGTATTATGGATCCTCCTCGCCCAGAGATTAAGGACACCATCCGTGCTTGCCGTGGTGCCGGTGCTCGCTTCTTCATGGTCACCGGCGACTTTGGTCTGACTGCCACCGCCATTGCAAAGCAAATCGGCTTGTTTTCGACTGAGCGTGAGCCCCACACATATGAAAACATCATGGACCCCACCCTGAACGCATCGAGCAATGGATACGAGAAGACACACTTTGACGATGCCAGCAGTCTCCAGCAAGCCGAGGTCGGTCGCCCTCGCTTCCGTGAGGGTACCTCTCTTGTTCTCACTGGATCAGATCTTGCCAGGATGAGTCCTGGCGAGTGGGACATTGTATGCGCCTACGAAGAAATTGTCTTCGCTCGCACCTCGCCCGAACAAAAGCTGAGGATTGTGACCGAGTTCCAGCATCGCGATGGAGTGGTTGCTGTCACGGGTGATGGTGTTAACGATGCCCCTGCTCTCAAGGCTGCCGATGTTGGTGTTGCTATTGTCTCTGGTTCGGATGTCGCCATCGAGGCTGCCGACTTGATCTTGCTGGGTGGATTTGATGCGATCCCTGAGGCAATCCGTCTTGGTCGTCTTGCCTTCCAGAACTTGCAAAAGGTCATTGGCTACTTGCTACCTGCTGGATCCTGGTCTGAGGTCTGGCCTGTCCTGATCAATGTCTTCCTCGGTGCCCCCTTGAGTCTCTCGTCCTTCCTGATGGTCATCGTCTGCTGCTTCACTGATGGTATGTCGCTTGGATATATTTTTCTCTGCAAACGTGCATTCATCCTTGTCCATGTTGCTAACCCGTCGCTGCTTCTCCCTAATCTTATTTCTTAGCCTTCCCTTGCACTGCGTTGGTCATGGAACAAGAAGAATTCGACCTCCTCTCCCTCAAGCCCCGTAACTCGAAGAAGGAACATTTGATCACCCTCAAGATCTACGCACAGTCATACTTCTTCATTGGCAGCACTATGACCTTCTTCTGCAACATGTTTTTCTTCCTCTATCTAAAGGAATTCACCGGCGTCGGATTCTCAGACCTGGTCTTCACTTTCGGGAACTTGCCCGAGGAGAAACTCGCCGCCCGGGGGATCTCATTGGAAAAGTTCAACGGATACTATGTCAACACTGCCCAGTGTGTCTGCTTCGTTACACTTGTGATCCTGCAGTGGGGCAACATTCTCTCGGTCCGCAATCGTCGCATGTCGATCCTCCAGGCTGACCCCTTCCGTAAGCAGCGTCGCAACCTCTGGCTCTTCTTGGGTATCCTCGCCTCGTTCCTGGTCGCCGTCCTTGTCACAGAGACGCCCGGTATTCAGGAGATCATGTTGACCAACTCTGTCCCGATCAAGTACTGGTTGCTGCCCTTGCCCTGCGCACTGTTTATTATTATCGCGGATGATATGCGCAAGCTCATTGTTAGGGTTTTCCCTAAAAGCTTCCTTGCTAGGATAGCCTGGTGATCGAGTTGTTGGTTCTTTACTTTACTTTACCATGTTTCGTCATTTACCCCCAACTCTTTTCTTTCGTTTTCTCTCACGCTCATTGTCCCCATTGCCTCCATGCCACTCCATGCCCATTGTTATGAAACCATATTCCTAATAAACAACGATCTGATAGCGTTTTTTTCCATTTTGGATCATTGCAACTGCGCTGTGCCGGTTTCCATGTATTCTTTTTGACTTTTCTTACATTTTTTTCAACCCACACTTGTTTATGGTTGATCAGCGCCTACGTACATACATTCCCATCCATCTGTCCATCCAGTAATCGATCATCGAAAACAAAAAAGATGCAGAAAAAAAAGAAAGAGGGCAGCGGGAGACCAAGACTTATAACCCGCACCGCATTTCGCCCAATGCTCTTCCTCTTCATCATGCAGTCCATCCCATCAAGTGTAACGCGTTCTTTTTTGTGTTATGTGTTGTGTGTCACTTTGGGATGACGGATAATTTCTGCCGGTAGAGAGGAAAATAACCAAAAGAGGCTAATTGGGATTTCAAACCGTGAATGGAGGCCCGGACGCTCACTTGGCCGAAGCGGGCTGTGTGGGAGAGGAGAAAAGCCGTGGAGAATAAATTTGGAGTGCAGGGTACGGTCCATGCACCCTGTTGCAAAGAGAGGGGGTGAAAATTACATATCGGTGAGCACAGTTATGTCAATTGGAGGGTGTTTGACCATTTTCCAATGGTGGGAGGAGAGAAGTCAAAAAATAGTACCTCGATCATGATCGAAACGTACTTGCCTTTCTGCTTTTCATTGTTCACTCTTATTGTCACTGTGGGCTCAATCTATTGTTGTACCGCCCCACAAAAAAAAAATGCATAAAAAGGGTTTGTTCACTCCCACATTTTTTTTCCTCTCTATACTTCATCCTCTTCTCTTTTCTTCCCTTTGCTTACTTGCAAGTGAGCAACAGCCTTCGCCCTCCCACCCCGCCTCTCGATCACAACAGATATCAGCAACTAGTTAGCATTACCCTCAATTACCACCCAGCCATCATCACCCCCAAACCCCTTGAGTTACGCTCGGATCCTTTTTCTTTCTCGGCTCGCTTGACAGCTGGATTTTTCTTCCACCTAAACAACCGGTCATCCCAATAACAACAACATAATCAAAGCAACGACAACAATGTCCTCAGCAGTAGCAACCTCGAGTTTGTCCACCGCGGCCATCGTCCAAGTCCTGAAGCAGCTCTTGACACGATCCAATATCGCCAAGGTCCTCGGCACCTACCTGGTCTACCTCACGCTCAAGTACCGCAATACCGCATATGGTGTCCGTACTCGCACAGATCTTCCTGGTCCCATGGGCCTCCCCTTCCTCGGAAACACCTACCAGATGGTCTTGCCCCGCAACGAGCTTCTCCAGCGACAAACCGCCAACCATGAGAAGTATGGTCCCATCTACACGATGACCATTCCCGGTGTTGGGCGTATTGTCAATATCTTGGATCCCGATATGATCGACCATGTGCTTCGTGTAAACTTTTGGGCGTATGAGAAGGGTCCTTTCTTGCGCACCCAACTCGGACCACTTGTCGGTGGAGGTAAATCATTACAAGGCTTTTTTTTGCATTGGTTGGTTACCTGTATCTTCACCGACACACATGCTTGTATTTTTACAGGGTACTAACACTCGTGTGCACTTCCTTTTTCTGAACAGGAATCTTTGGCGCGGATGGACATCAATGGAAGTGGCAGCGCAAATTGGCCTCACACATCTTCAACGTCAAGAGCTTCAGGTCCTACACAAGCACCGTCTTTTGCAAGGAAGCCGACTTGGTCATTGACTACCTCAACACTAAGGCCGATCGCGGAGAGGTCGTGGATCTGCAGGATGTCTTCTACAAGTACACCCTGGGTATGATTATTTGTACATTTGTAATAATACTAAGGTGTCATAATGAGCAAAGCAAGGAGGCATTAGCTAATTCAATTGCATGCAATTATTTGCCGAATAGATTCGTTTGGAGAGATTGCATTCGGACAGTCATTCGGATGCCTCGACAAACCTGGAGAGGAAGTCCCCTTCGCAGCAGCATTCGACCGCCTCAATCAAACCCTTTCCGAACGATTCCTCTCACCCATGTTCAGCATCATCTCCTGGTACAAGGGCCACGTCAACACCATCAACCGCGACAGCAAGATCGTCAGCGATTTCACATACGAGATCATCCGACAGCGCCGCGAGGAAGGTCACAGTAAGGATCACAAGGACCTCATGCAGTTGTTCATGGAGGCTCAGGACGAGAACGGCGAGGCGCTCACGGACGAGATGCTCAAGGACACGATGAACAACTTTATTCTGGCTGGTCGTGACACTACAGCCCAAGCACTCTCCTGGATGTTCTATCTGATCCACCGCGACTCCGCCGACAAGACTGTGTTGCAGAGTCTCAGAGACGAGACGGAGCAAGTTCTTCAAGGCACCCTCCCAACATACGAGTCGACCAAGCAGCAAAAGTTTGCTGAGGCTTGCTTCTATGAGGCCCTGAGATTGTACCCCTCGGTGCCCAAGAACATAAAGACCTGTGTTGAGGACGATATCTTGCCAGGTGGTATCCCTATTTACAAGGGTGAGAGAATCGGATGGAGTTCGTATGCTATGGGCCGCAGCACGGCTGTCTGGGGACCTGATGCCAAGGAGTACAAGCCTGAGCGCTGGCTTTCTGGCGAGAAGCCTTCTCAGTCCAAGTTTGTTTCCTTCCACCTTGGACCACGCACATGGTAATTCTTGGTTCTCGGGTAAAATTTCAATGCGTTGTGATGGTGTTTGTTGATCAATTCTCTGACAATGTTGCTTCCTCGTTTGCTTCTTACTGTTCTAGCTTGGGTCAAGCGTTCGCTACGATTGAGGCAATCACGCTGATGTCGATGTTGGTGGAGCGCTTTGATTTCGAACTGGTGGACCCCAAGAAGGAACCCGCCTATATTCCTTCGCTGACCATGCCCATGGATTGCGGTCTCCCTGTGCGCGTTATCCGTCGCAACCCCAAAGCATAGAGTTGATCTGTGATAACCTTCAATACAAATATCGTGATACATTTATTGATGTGCTCGGACCACCTTCAGAGTGGGCGCGGTCCCCTTAAGTTTCATGCTTCCTCTTTTTTTTTCCCTCTTTCGAGCAACAAAAACAAAACGTGTACTTTTCACTCCTGTTTTACCCACACACACACAGGACTCCCCTCCCCCACACAAAGACTCAACAATGCCGTCGCCAGCAACACTGCCCAGGAGTTCATGCTCAGGCTCAAGCTCCAGATTACTAACCTCGATCCGCTGCACCAGATCCTCATCCACCCTCAGGAGGACTATAGTTACAGCAAAAAAACAACCCATGGTTTTCCAACAGTGTCGCCTCGGACACTCCTGGATCTCGGGACACCCTCACAGTCTCCTCTACAAACCCGCCACGGCTGCCAACCAAGCGTCGTCCAAGGGCGCGACAGGGTCCTGTGGCAGTAGCGGGAACAGCATCAATACAGGTGCCGGACAACCAAGCGGCAGTTCCAGCTACAATCACAACAACAGTGGCAGCAGCACGTTCCTGGATTTTGCGGGCAATAGCCGGTACCAGGCGTACACTCTTGCCCGGTTCTCGACCCTCTCGGTGGCATCTTCCTCGGCTTCATCCTCTTCATTTTCTTCTTCATCTTCGTCGCCGTCTTCGGGTCAAGCTGGTTCCTCAGGGTCTCAGGTTCCAGGATCGTCCTCGATTCGGCAAGAGCCGACAAACAACGCCTCTGACCGCCACCATCAGGACAGAGCCCATTCAAACCCAGCAGATGCACAGTCACCCGAATCATCGTCAACATCAACAACCTCTCCCTTGAACACCGCATCATCACTACCTACATCATTATCATCGGCATCATCCCCAACGGACAAGGTGCACGACGACACCGAGGACGCATGGGCCGTCAACGAGAGCTATTCAGGTCACGCGTCATCATCTAGTCAGCCATCATCATCCGACGACAGCAAGGGCGACCCCTCAAGGATATCCTTCCACCAAGATGTCACCGCCTCCAATCCTAGAGACCCTGCGGCCATCGATGCCTCATGGCGCCGCACATCCGATTCTATCCCTTCGACTCCTTTCTCAAGCAACTCTGTCCTGTCTCCTTCCTCGTCCTCATCTTCGTCGTCAAGTAAAGCCGGCGGACTGGATCTGAGCTCAAGCACACTAGTCCAACAGATGCTGTTCAAGGAGCGGGCGCCACACGCCGATAGTTCCGAGGGCGACAATGGCAGGCCAAAACAGGATCAGCAGCAGATTTCCAAAGAAGGTAATTCAAGCAACCATCGTCCAGTTGACTGGGACGATGATGACGACCACGACGATCACACGGAGCGGAGACTGGACCAAGCCCGAGGATGAGATATCGATTCCCCAGCTTATATTTTTGGTGACCCACTTGGACTATCGACCATTTTTGTTATTTTTGCGACTATGCTATACGGTTCTCTCGTGCCTTTTGCAATAAAGCACTCAATTGCACAATTGGTTGGCTGCCTCTTGTAGGATATCATGCTCCATCAATATGCATGACTATCGGACATTGACACCCATCATCTTTTCCCTCCAAAATTGCCTTTTTTCGTAACGATAGAAACCTCACCACAATCCTCTTCATCTACGGCCGATTCAACAACCGCAAGCCCCTCTCTTGCATCCATGCTGTTGAACCAATCGAGCGGCGTCGCCTCTGAGTCTCGCAAGGCTAACAAGGTTGCCCAACAACAGCAATCCAAAGCTGCGCCTGCTCAGGAGGATGAGGATCATATCTCAAAGTTGGATATTCGTGTTGGCATTGTGCGTTCGGTCACAGCACACCCGGATGCCGAGGCTTTGTATATTGAGCAAAGTAAGACACGGTTATGGCTTGGGTATTTGTCAAGCACACATTTGTCAATAAGCGAATCGTTTGTTACTTTTGTGTACCATGGATGACTAATAATGAGAATGTTCCTATTTCTTATTTGGTAATCGATAGTTGATGTTGGGGACAAGGAGAATGGTGAAGCCATGGAGCCAAGGACGATTGTCAGCGGCTTGGTCCGTCATGTTCCTAAAGAATATCTGGAGGGCCGAGCAGTGATCGTGGTTGGGAACATGAAGCCATCAAAGCTCCGAGGAGTGATGTCCCAGGGTATGTTGTTGTGTGCGATGGAGCAGGACGACAAAGGGGAGGTGACCAAGGTTGGCCTGTTGGAACCAGCAGAGGGTAGTCAGGCGGGCGACAAAGTGACATTCGAAGGGTTTACCGATCTGGACACTATCCCTGCGGCGGTGTTGACGCCCAAGAAGAAGTGGTTTGAGAAATCTAGGATTCATTTCTCTGTGCAGGATGGGGTGGCCTATTACAAGGGTTCACCCTTCAGGACTGTTCAGGGACTGGTCCGTTGTAAGAGCATCTCCAAGGGAGATATCTCGTAATTTTTTGATAGCATAAAAACATTCTAAACAATTGATATCGCCACGGAGGAAGGAGATGACGGGAGCCAGGGACTCGATTGGGTCATATGTGCATATGCGTCACATGGGAGATGGTCCGTTCTTTTTTTGTTGAGTGTGTATGCGTGTTTTCTTTCAATTTGGTTGGTTGGTTATTATCAAAGGAATGGAGGCCTTTGGATGAGAAGGGACTAGAAAAAAGACGAAAGAGACGACAGACGAGCGGAAAAAGGCGAGCTGTGGCTGCCTGGCCCTGGAGTCTTAGACTTGACGGTGAGTGAGAGAGTGAGAGAGAGGGAAATGAAAGCCAGCCAGGCAGATGAAAAGATTTTGACTCTCAGTAAGAAATGGCGCCATCGCTCTTTGCTTGAGAAATGAGGAAAATGAGAAACATCGCCTTGCCAATAAGTAGTCACATAGCACACCATTGACTGGTGCAACAACTCATACAAAAGAAGACCACAAACGACCTCGGTCCTCATTCCTTTCGCCCAACTCTCTCCATCACTTCCCCGTCGCTCTACTTCACTCTCTTCCTTCTTGATCTACGCCTTCTACTCTCTACTCTCTCTTACTCTCTTTACTCTCCTCACGAACACGCTCTCTTCCTTCTCCACACGCCGTAACGTCAACCCTTCGTGCACTCTATCTCTTTCCCTCTCTCACTTCTTCACCCTACTCCTCCTTTCCTTCGATATACCCTATTGATATACCCCACTCTCCTGCCTTCACCTCACCTTTCCTTTCCACCCTTGCATACACATATTCACATCCACATACCCTTCGCAATGGCACACCGGTCTCCTTCACCATCCCCTGCCCCTATCGATCCCACTGACTTGCTGGCCCCTTCGCTGTGCCTGAACCCAGACGCAATTGCCGATCTAGCCCCTGTCCAACCTTCAGAACACAACCTTCTCCCTGCAACCTTCCCCACCCTCTCTTGGTCAGAAAAATCTTCCCTCCACCACAGCATCTCATTGGGCGAGAAGCGTCTCTGCTACCGCCACCGTCCTGATCTCAGGTCCAAGCGGGCTGCTGACGAGTTCCAGCTCGAAGAGTTACAACAGGTACATACTTTGTCCTTTTTCATTCTATCCAAGGCGTTCGTTATCGTGTGCTCCATTACTACCTTTTGCATGCTTAAATGTGCACGGTTCATCTGTACCTGTCTATCTATCTCAAAATGACTAACAACTTTTCTTTGTGCACCCTTGGTACCATTCACAGGACATCAAGTTGCTCCCTAGCCACGATCAACAGATTATCTCGCACATCTGGTCCCTCTTCGGCTCTGCCCCAGCAAGCCATCGCCAGCTTGTCCTCAGCGGCCTCTTGACCCAATGCTGTGTCCCCCAACTCTCCTTCCTCTCCAACCACCTTCAACCACTCCTCCGCATCGATTTCTTGACCATCCTCCCCCCAGAGATCTCCCTTCGCATCCTCTCGTACCTCGACGCCACATCTCTCTGCCACGCTGCCCAGGTCTGCAAGAGCTGGAGGCGACTCGCGGACGACGATGTGGTTTGGCACCGGATGTGCGAGCAGCACATTGGTCTCAAGTGCACAAAGTGTGGATGGGGTCTTCCTTTGCTCGAGAAGAAGAAGGTCCGTGCAAAGCGCCAGGAAGAGGGCGCCCAGATCCAAGATCGTCCTCTTCAAATCGACACATCCTCCTCTTCCCATCCACCATCACCTTCCCCCTCAATCTCGCCATCTTCTCCCAGCTTCCCTTCCCGCCGTCGCAGTGCCTCCAGCGACATTGAGACCGACTCGCGCTCTGCCAAGCGTGCCCGCCATGGCTCTCGCTCCCCCTCTCCTTTCTACGACTTGAGCGACTACCCCGCACCCCTCTTCCAATCCCCAGTGCCACCAGTCAAGCCTGAGGGCACGACCAAGCGACCATGGAAGGAGATCTACTCCGAGCGCCTGATTGTCGAGCGCAACTGGAGAAAGCGCAATTACAGGGTCAAGCAGTTCCGTGGACATACCGATGGTGTGATGTGTCTTCAATTCGACGACTCTTTCCTCATCACTGGTTCCTACGACAACTCGGTCAAAGTTTGGAACATTGAGACTGGCGAGTGCCTCCGCACCCTCACCGGACATGCCCTCTGCGTTCGCGCTCTTCATTTCGACGAGGCCAAGCTCATTACCGGCTCGATGGACCGCACTCTCAAGATTTGGAACTACCATACCGGCCAATGCATCCGTACCCTTCAAGGTCACACCGATGGCGTCGTCACCCTTGATTTCGACTCGCGCATCCTCGCCTCGGGATCCGTCGACGCCACCATCAAGATCTGGAACTTTGCTACCGGTCAGTGCTCGACCTTGAAGGGCCACAGCGACTTGGTCAACAAGGTCCAGATTTACAAGAAGGACTTTCTCTTCTCGACCAGCGATGATACCACTGTCAAGTTCTGGGACATTGCCTCCCGCACCTGTCTCCAAACCTTCACCGGTCATGTGGGTCGCGTCCAATGCCTGCAGACGTCCGGAGACGCATTGATTTCCATCCTCGCCAACCGTCGCCACGGCAAGTTTGCAGCTTTGGAGCTAGCCTCGCAGGACTCCAACAATGCCGTCGTCTCGCGTGCTCGCGCCACTTCGCCTGCATACGAGAGCTCGTCGTCTGACTCGGAGACAAGAACCACCCGCTCCATTGTCGTCACTGGTGGTTTGGACAACACTCTCAAGATCTGGGATGCCGAAACCGGTGCTTGCCTGAACACGCTGTTTGGCCATGAGGAAGGTGTCTGGTCGCTTGCGTTTGACAAGCTCCGCATTGTATCTGGCAGTCTTGACAAGACCATCAAGGTTTGGGATACCGAGAGCGGCCAGTGCCTCTATACCCTCTCGGGTCCTGAAGGGCCAGTAACTTGCGTAGGCCTTGGCGATACCAAGGTTGTTGGTGGATCGGCCGACGGGTCCGTCTTCCTCTGGGACTATGGCGCCCGTATGTAGAATCATATATAGAAAAAACACAAAAACATGTAATATAACTGTAACATAGCACGCAAACCGTCGTTTATCATTGTTATGGCGCAATTGAACTTAGGAGACGAGCATTACGTTGTGAGGAGCTTGATCCGCAACATAGATTCAATGTCATTGAGCGCACGTGACGTAAACAAGAAGAGTCCGAAAGGAAGTGGCTAGAAAAGGCGAACTCGAGAGAGACTCTGTAAGAATTCACCACTCTTTCCTCACACACCATGTCTGCCATCCTCAACACCCTGACAAAGGTCGCCATCCCCATCGGAGCTGCTGTTTCCTTCTTGCAGTACAGCATGTACGATGGTAAGAACAATACAAAAGCAAGCAAAAAGCCGACAAGATCTTTTTTCCGTTGTCTCCCTTGTTAGGTCGAGGATCTGCCTTGGCTGAACGAGTTTCCGATCACAAAACATAATCACTGGCAACAACAGGACACTTAGCAGGAGCAACGGATACTCGGATAGCAGAAACGTCAGGCATCACCCTGAAGAAATCAACCTCCATGGGCACAAACACAGATCGGACCTTGCAGATGTGTGCTTGGCCGCATGAGTGGTAGCTGCAACGATGGCTGCGCGCTGTTGTGCTCGGAGAGGACTATCGATCGGCCGACTACTTCTTTTACCCCTCTTCGTCTTTCAGGACACTCAACGACTAGTGCCGAACAAAGCTCTTTTCGGCCCTTTGCAGTATTCACTGGAGATCAAATCACAATAGCTGCTGCACCCGTCTAACCACAGCCAACTCATCAATTGGCCACTTCTCTCTTCAATAGTCCAGGGAGGACACCGTGCTGTTATTTTCGACCGTTTGGAGGGAGTCAAGCCTACCCCCGTCGGCGAGGGCACTCACTTCTTGGTCCCCTGGTTGCAGCGCGCGATCCAGTTTGACGTCCGCACCAAGCCCCGCAACATCTCTACAACGACTGGATCGAAGGATATGCAGATGGTCACCTTGACCCTCCGTGTCCTCCACAGACCCGAGGTCAAGAACCTCTCCCAGATCTACCAGGGACTCGGATTGGACTATGACGAGCGTGTCTTGCCCTCGATCGGAAACGAAGTCTTGAAGTCGATCGTTGCCCAGTTCGATGCTGGTGAGCTCATCACCCAGCGTGAGCTGGTCTCTTCCAAGATCCGTGAGGACCTTGCTAAGCGCGCAAGAGAGTTCCACATCGAGCTCGAGGATGTCTCTATCGTAAGTGTCTTTTTTCGGTTTTGATGGCTTTAGTTGCTGGTGATCCGCATCTTGGTGGAGATGAACAGAATTTATTGAGTATGAAGGCAGGGTACTAACAAAAAGAAATTGTTCGATTGTTTCAATGACTAGACTACCATGACTTTCGGTCGCGACTTCACCAACGCCGTCGAGCAGAAGCAGATCGCTCAGCAGGAGGCCGGTATGTATTGATTGCAGGGATATGCCAATTATCCTCTGTATCACTGCCAAAAAATTGGAAGACATTTTAACTGACGCATGTCATCTGTTTCTGAAACTTCTAGAGCGCGCCAAGTTCATTGTCGAGAAGGCCGAGCAGGAGAAGAACGCCGTCATTATCAGAGCTGAGGGTGAAGCGTAAGTTGAATCTAACATGAGTACCTTAGCTTGTTATGTGTATCGAAGTTGATCATGTTGTTTACCGCTAACTAACTTTCTTCTGTGTGTCCTTTCACTAGCCACGCTGCCGAGATTATTTCCAATTCCTTGGAGAAGGCTGGTGCTGGTTTGATTGAGCTCCGTCGTATTGAGGCTTCGAAGGACATTGCCGGTACCTTGGCCCAGGCCAAGAACGTCACTTACCTTCCCAACCAGAAGGGCAACAACATGTTGTTGAACATCCCTGTCTAAGTTACAACGAGCATTGGATACAAATGAACAGCAGGAAGACTAATAAATTATCATTGAACACAATCCATCCGAGAGCTCCTCACGGCTTTGTTTTGTCATTGTTGTTTGCATGGCCTGGATCATGCTGCACGTGATCAGGTTTTCAAGGCTTACTTTATGAACAGGTCTGGGCCTTTTTGCATCTGAATCTCTTTCTTCAACAACTTATTTATCTACAACGACCGCCATGGCAGTTCCAACACTCGCACAGGTTGAAGAGGCATGTACTGGAATGTCGACCAACAGGGGGGCCAAGAATTAAGTGCCACAGCGACAATGGAGCAAGATGGTTTATTGGCATCAAGAACATAGCACACGGTTCAGCTCTCAACAGAACCCCCTCACTTCGTGGAACCGTTGGTCGCGCTTAAGAATACGACCCTTGCTGACACCTTGTCGTTTCTTATTGTTACAATGAAAAAAAATAAAAACAAATAGCTGATCCAACAATTCTACTCGAGTCAGGATGCCACGTACCAAAAGTCGGCCCAGGAATATTTGCACAATCTTCAGAAGGAAGGGTTTGCTTGGGAGCTGGCACCTCACCTCTTGTCGACTCAGGTACGCGTCTTTGCCTAATTCATCACTGATCCTCTCTTTACTCTCTCTTCGTAGCGCATGGTGCGCGCAGATGGTTCCAGAGAATCAGCAAAGAGAGTGATGGATCTTAACGGCAATATTTTATCTACTGCTGGATTCGAAAACTAACGCGACTGAGGTATATATATAGAGCGAGAACAGCCAATTCTTTGGTGCGCACACGTACCAGGTCAAGATTTCTCGGGATTGGTGAGTCACTTTGCTTACACTGACCTAAGTAGAATATGTTTTCAGGGCTATCCAATGTAAAAACTAAAAATACTGTGTTCGTTGTTGGCTGGTGCGATAGGAAAACGATACCAGAGGATAGGCTGGAGTGGATGCGGGAGGAACTCATTCGGTGGATTGTGCGCTTTTCGAACGGGCCAGCTTTTATCAGGACCAAGTTATGCCTCGCTGTAAGATACTGTCAGGGATGTTTGACTAATTTGCTCCGCCCGCGATCACGGCTGCTGTCATTTGAAATTCGATCGCCAAAAGATTGACCAAAACTTCTCGTTTGTTTTTGCCATTGTAGCTGTCGGCGTATGCGATGAAGGCGGTGCCTACACATTGGTCAAACTTCATTCCAGGAATCTATCAGGATCTTCGATCGCGCGTCAACCAGACTGTGGACGGTGTGTTTATGACACAGCAGGCGATGGAATTGGCTCTACTCGAATTTCTGACGATCCTACCTGAGGAGCTCGGACGGGTAGAAATTGAACCAGTGAGAAAGTATGAACCTTGCAGCTTTCGATCTGATTCTTGTTGGCAAGTGACGACGATAGTGCGTGGTATTAACGTGCCTTTATCGGCTTCCTGATTTTTCAACTATTGCGCAGGGTTCGGTTGTCGGCTGAGGTGACAAATGGGCTGCCAATTATCATCTCCTTAATTCAAGAGATTCTCGTCGGGAGCAACGTTTCGTCAAAACCAAAGGCTCTTGTCTGCCTCCGGAGCTGGGTACAATACGGCATTCCATTCGAGTATGTGACACATGACATTATTCTTGCAGGTTCAAGACGCGTACCCTGACAGAGAACGACAGAGCTGACTGGTGTTCTATCCTTTTTTTTTGTTATTAACTAGTGTTATTCAGCCGATTCTTGGATTGGCGTTGAACTCGTTGCTGGATGATAACACGTTTGACGCTGCTGCAGAGGTGTGGTCAGAAATCATGTCATCCAAGTCGGCCTCAAAACATCAGAATACTATTTGCGAGGGACTTATTCCATGCTTTGCAAGTGGATGGGCAAGAGCAAAGCACCTAGAATCTGTTCAAGGTACATACAACGCACTACAGCAAGTGTGTACAGGCGCAGAAAGTTTATTATGTCCAAGTGGGTATTAATTAAGGCTATATTTACCTTGAACTAGCTGAGAGTGAGGATATTAGCAGGAGTCTCTGCCAACTTTTGTCGACGTTCGGAGACAATTTTTCGGACTGGATCGCAGCAAAGTTCCTTCGGCCAGACATTCAAGTGTACTTGGAGATGATGATGGGATTTGCTGGGTTCCCTGGATACTATGCGGAGGATGAGACCACCAGCGACTTGACCCTCAACTTCTGGTACATGCTCCAAGAGTCTCTCAGCGAGTTATCAGCGGAGGATCTTGAGGACGGTGGTCGCGAGAGCCTGGATGAGGACCGACAGATCATCCTCTCGACCATTTCTTCTGCATCATTCATCACTGGTCTGGACAAACCTTCACTGCAGGCCATCAAGGCCGCATCGATCCACGTGTACATTCAGTTGACTGAAGTTCTCAGGAGAAAACTAGAGTATCCAACACAACGCGAGTGGCTGTCATGGACGCGGGACATTCGGCAAGAATTTTCGGGTCACCGGCAAGAGATTGCCGACACCCTGATCAACTCGTACCATGTCCTTCATGAGCAAATCTTGTCGTTGCTTATCGATACGTGCTCTCGACAGTTGGATGGGATTCAGAAGGCTTCTTTGTCAGGGACCAATTTGGCGGAGAACGCAGAACTGGAACTGGAGCTTGTGGGATTGGAGGCAACTCTTTATTGCTTGAAGGCACTTTCTGAGGTTGTTCCACATGCCGAGAGTGTACAAATGCCTCGGTTCTTTAGCGATCAGATCTTTGGTCGCCTGCCAACCAATGTTGTCTGTCGCGCGCGTGAGACTGCATTGACTTTGATTGGTATGTTCTTATCGTTTCGATATTTCCTGAGTATGATGATTAGTGGTACTTACCTGGAAAAACTAACGAACGGCATTGACATTCACGTAGGCTCGTATGCGGACTGGTTTAAGGTGCACCCACAGTTCTTGTTGCCCGCGCTGAACTTTGTGATTCCAGCTCTGGAGGTGCCCCAGCTGGCGCCATATGCTGCCAAGGCCCTGAAGAACATTTGTGACACTTGCCGTGAGTCATTGGTGGAGGCTATTGACGCATTTATGACCGTGTTTGCAAACGTGGAGAAGGCTATTGACCCATCGATCAAGGGAAGCGTTGTGTACTCGATCGCCACTGTTATCCAGACTCTTCCCGTGGAGCGAAGCATCAGCCCCCTTGTGGTAAGTGCTATTTTGTACATTTCGAGCGTATGAGACGCCACCAATATCAAGCTCATTGTTTCTTAATTGTTATTTTGTATCAATTGTAGGGCTTACTGGGAGATATTTTCACGCGATCAAACGAGTGTATGGAGACCAGGAAACAGAGGCTAGAGGGAGGAAATAGTGAAGCGGCCAGGACCCGGGTGACAGCCGCCAATGGAGAGACCGAGTTGGAGCCCTTGTCGGCCTTGATGCTGGTTCAATTGGAGTTCTTGCTGTCATGTTGCAAGGGTTTGCAGTCACCTGTTGAAGATGAGATTCGGACAGGTGATGAAAGGGTTCAGTTATACCAGAGGATTTCCGAAGATCGTGCCAGGGTATTGGCTGCAGGAGGCATGTCGGTTGAACTTGCACGATCCATGGAGCAGGTCATCCAAGGAGTTGTGATGTTGTGGCCTCATGAGCTGGAGATCATGGAGGTAACGTACTGTTGTTTTCATTGTGATTTTATATTGAGGGCAGAGCATAGGAACTGACACTTGGACTTCATCTTCATTCTTGTTTCTAGAAATTATGCCAAATCGTGAAGACGATGATGACAGCATCACAGTTCTCGCCGCTCTACCTACCATTCCCAGTATTGATTTGCGTGATCGAAAGTGGATTCCGTCAGCATGCTTACCCTTGCTGGTTGGATGCAGTAGCCAGGATCGTCTCGGTTTATTACTTTGAAACCACAGGCGGATCTCTGGCATCCAAACTGGGATCGGAAGGGTCACAAAGCTCTGCCTCGACATATCAAGGATCTGCCGTTGTGGACCTGGATATTCTACCGGTATCGAGCGGAGCTGCCCGACAACGGAGTGCTGCCGAGTTGGAGAACGAAGCAGCGTTCACGCATCTGTTGGCTTCCGTGGTGAGCCGGACGATGGACGGCATGCAGTCTATGGCAGGTATGCTGCAGTCCTTATATGTCGCTTTCAGTTCAATCGCCAAGTTTGCGGAGGAGAATGATCTAATGTCGGAGTTGAAAACTAAAGCCAAATCGACCTTTATTTCTCCACAGATATGGAGGAGCACCCCGATGTGATCCACTCGTTCTTTGCGGTCCTTTCACAGGTATGTTTTGTTTTGTATCACTTACGTCAACAATTGTTTTTTGCTTGGTGTCTACAAGACTTTGTTGTATGACAAAACATTGGGGTTGTACTATATGTTGATCTAACTATTTGTTTGCATAATTTCTATTTTTCTAGTTTGTACGCCATGCACCCCTCGCATTCTACAGCATCCCACCTGAGCAAACTGAGAACCTAATGAGCTTTGCCATTGCAGGAATGGGCCTCCAAGAGCGCCTCGCCTTGAAAGCTACCCTTCTGTTCTTGGTATGTCGTCTCTCTGAAGTTATTATTTTCATGCCATTTGTTTTGTCTGCATTATGGTTCTTGTGGTATTTTGCGTTGTGTTAACTAATGCGACGACAATAGATCGAGTTTGTGAACCAGAGCTTTGATTTCCCCGAGTTAAAGCAACGAGTCGACGGACTCATGGCCAGACTCGGGCCCCAAATGATGCGCGGCATCTTGATTGTAAGTCGAACAATCTCACTTTTCTCCCTTGTTTGTCCCTTGTCTTCATTTTTTGATACGTGAACTGACACAACATGTTTTCGGTAAAATGCGCTGATTAGGGTGTCGGTGGCCAGGTTCCGCGAAGCATGGTGCCACAGTTGAACGACTCGCTGTACCCCTTCATTGGAAAGTATCCTCAGGAGTGCCGGAGCTGGATTCAGGCCTTGCTCGCTGAGGTATGTTTTCTCTTTTTGTTTGTTATATCTGGGCATTATTTGGTTGATGTGTTAATGCTCATAGGGTGTATTTATGTGTGAAAACTGATGAGTTCCTTTTTTTTTTTTTTTTGCGAGAATAGCCTGGATTCCCATCTGTCCATGCGGACCAAGCTTCAAAGCAAAAGTTCATCAATGGTATCTTGCAGTAAGTCCTTTTTGCCCAGAGTTGAAGAGACGAGTGCATTTAGGGGAGGAGTGAGAGGGATAGAAGAGGATATCTTTCAAAGGAAAGGCAATGCAAGAAAAAAAAACACGATATATCGCGTAAAAAGTAAGAGAGAGGACAGGGATTTTAACAGATAGATCACTAACTCATCACTACTCCACTATCGTGCTCCTCAATCCTTATTATCAATGTATGTACCTTAGAACTCGAAGCCCGAAGAAGTTCAAGGAGGAGGTGCACCAGTTCTCGAACAAATGTCGACAGTTGGATGGTTCTGTGTTTGGGTCTGCGATCTAAGAACGAGTGGTTTCCTTTTTTTTTCCCACTCGTTTTGTTTGTTCACTTTGTGGTCAAAGACCCCCCCCCCCCCCAATTTGTTTGGGTTTAGAACACTGTTGGGCCAAGCACCAAGAAAAAGGTCACACGGACACCCAGAAGGCAAGAGAAACAAAAAAAATAAAAATTGTGGGGTTGCAAACCTTCTTGCTATTTTGCCATTTTTGCCCATTGGGCCAGAAACTAGAGAGGGGTTTAGGGACAAGGATAAAAAAAATATTATTTGGTGTCGTTGTTGTTTGTACCAATGCTAACTCTTTTTATTTTTATTTCTGAGGAACTTTTTTTTTTTTGGGGGTGGAAGGACAATGCGAATGACGAGTAACGGGACTAAAAAAAAATGACCGTAGGGGAATAGTGGGATAATGCTTATGTACGAATGAAAGAATAGGAGAGCAAAAGAAAGGCACTTTAGCGGTAGGCGACCTCATCCCAACGAGCAAGACGATCCAACGCCTCGAACCAAGGATCGCGCTTCCGAGGGCGATCTGTGGGGTTTGCTTCATCGTTCGTGGTGCCGTTGTTTGACTCGACGGTGGTGGCGGTGACGGTAGCGATGTTGGCAGCAGTAAGAGGAGCAAGTGGGGACACATCCATCCCATTCCCAGAGGACAAGGACGAGAACTCGTCCTGGCTCATGGTCCTTGACAGGGCACGTCTCCGTTCAAGTGCCGCGGTACGCTTCCCACACACAGCGGCGGCCAGACCAGTCCTCCAGTCCGAATCTGTCAATTCGTCCAGCATGGGATTTGTGTAGACTGGTGGGTTTGCAGAAGCGGTGGGAGAAGGTGTTGGGGTAGGTGGCTTGGTATCATCGTCGTCGTCGTCGAGCTGTGTGGCGGTAAAGTAATCGATGCAGTCGAATCCAATCTTGCATAGTGCGTGGGAAAGAGTTGCAGGACTCAGAGGTGCTAGTGTTGAGGCCATATCTTGAGCATTGTTGTTGTTGTTGTTGTAGTACAGACTGTTGATGTAGTTGGTGGGAGTGGAGGTGGTGTTTGTGTTTGAAGGGGTGTTGGCTCGAGAGTCGATGGAGGAGGAGAGAAGGTAGTCCCAGCAGTGGTCTTCGTCGGTTCCGTAGATGGAACTGAGGGCTCGGGAATAGGTTGTGAGCCAAGGTCCTCCGGTGACTGAGGAGGAGTCGATGTGGTTGTGGACTGTGGCCATTTTTTTTTGTGTTGATTAATTTTATACTTGGTGCAGAGAGTGTGAGAGAGGGTGAGGGATGGGGTATCGAGTGGGAGTTGAGAATGGAGAAGAAAGAGAAGAGGAGAAGAGAAGAAGGTGGAGGCGTTTTATGTTTTGTTTTCTGAATTGTTGGGGAAGAAGAGAGAGAGGATGAAGAAAAGAAGAAAGGGAAGGGAGACGCAGCATTTTAAACGGTTTTTATTCGATTTTCCGAGGGTCAACTTCATACAAGGGAAAGATTGATAGGGAAAATGAATGCTGCAGTAGGGGATTCATGCAATAAGGAGTGGGAGAGCAAGAGATAGGGAAGGATAAACAACGGCACAGAGCAATTGGCAATGGTTCGGGTAAGGAAGAGGGGCAAACACACTTGCTATTTGGTTGTACGTGCAGCGCGACGAACAGGGCAAGCGCAAAGGAAATGGTATTGGTGTGACTGTAGTGTGGATCGGAGTGGAACGAGATAACGACCAGTGCGCGAAATAAAAATGTGAAAGGGAGGGCAAGACAAGAAAGAACAAGAAAAAATAAAGGGGCGTGGTTCATGAGACACAGGGTGTTGTTTGGTTTGGTCAAGGTCTTCTTTATCGAGGGGGGTTGGTGTTCGACCAGTGATACTATCTACCTCATACCAACCTACTGCACATCTACTATTCAGTTCTTCTTCTTGGAAGCACCCTGAGCCTCAAAGGAGCGCACGCGCTGGAAGGACTCGACCAACATCCAGAGCGGGAAAAGAACCCAAGGCGTGTAGAGGCAGTTCAAGAACAACTTTTGGCCTTCACTGATCGCAAAGGGGAAGTTCTCGTCCTTGGTCAAGTTGAGGGTGGCGAGAATGGGGAGGACGGTGGTGATGACATGAGCCGAGTAGACACAGATCCAGAGAGCGATTGAGCGTTTGTTGTGGTAAAGCGAATAGGCAGCAAAGAAGAAGAAGGGCAGCTGGAAGAGTGCCTCACAGTGAAGGAAGGTGTTGAACCAGATCAAGGATTTGTCGCCCATGAAAGGGTCCCTGAATGTGTCGACATAAAAGTCTATCAGGTTTAAAGTAACAGAGAAAAGTTGTTAATATTTGTCAAGGCGATTGAATGTAGTAGGAAGAGTAAGACCTAGGTCGGTCCTCAGGTGAACATCACTGCCCTCAAATACCTTGGAATTTAAGAAGAGGTTGGATGAGGGGTGCGAGGAAGGCGGGGTAGAGGGGGACGAGATCCATGAACATGGTTGCTGGGATGTGGGAGATAAAGTAGATAAACATGGCCATGTCCTTGGGTCTGGCCGACAAGGGCACCAATCCTGTAGTTGTTGTCATTGTATGTTTGTTAGAATATCAATTGGGTGTAGGGAGGGTATAAGGGCAACAAGAAAGTTGTCTTGGAAAGCTGATGAGAGTGGATGAAAGAGAAAAGGAAGAAAAGAAAAGGAAGATGATCTTAACCGTCGGATGATGTGGGAATCCCTTTGCCTTGGTTGATCACAGAAACTATCAGCCCATTTGATCTGAGTTGATCGCAAAGGCTGCGATGTAGGGGGACGGTCGTTTTTTCTTTCTCTCTCTCTCTCTCTCTCTCTTTCTCTCTCTCTCTCTTGGGCGTCCTTTCGTCGCTTTTGCTGCTCCCACGTTCTCTTTTTTTTGAACCCAACCCACACGACGCGACAGACCATCCACCAACTCACACACAACAGCAACCACCACCATCACCAGGAATGGGAAACACCGCTTCAGGCGAGGAGGGAAGGCACCGTCTCGGATACCATGTCCTCCGGGTAAACTTGACCGTCTTCTACACACTCTTCACACACTCCAACGTCCACCATCATCATCACGCACACACGTGCATAAAACGAACCGACATTCACTCTCATCAACTCAGCACCCCACTCTCTCGCATTTCATTCCGCTGACACTGCTACCCTTTATCTTGTTGCTCCCGTTGTAGGTCAAGGATGACTCACCTGCATACAGGGCTGGGATTCGACCATTCTTTGACTATATCACTGCAGTCAACGGCGTGCGATTGAACTCTGAGACGACATATCTTCAGGAGCAGATGCTTGCACACGAAGACAAGCCTTTGATGCTCGACATATATTCCACACGAGAACAGGCTGGCAGAAGTATGCTGTCGCATTCGACAAATTACTACCATCCTGGAAAAAACTACCACAATGGCCCAGAGGACGATATCACTAATGAAACCCCAAATTTGTACGATAGGGGTGGAAATGATCCCCACACGGAAATGGGGAGATGGGAACGGCGGACTTATTGGATGCAGTATTCGCTTCTGCATGTTTGACGCCGTCAACGATGTTGTTTGGCACATCCTGGTAATTATAGGGGACACAATCGAAATCGACGTAAGCCGTAAGGCAGAGAACTCATTCACAAAATAACTATTTTGGCCAATGGCTTTCAATTGTGTAGGATGTGGCTCAGGGATCACCGGCAGAGAAGGCAGGCTTGTGTGCACATTCGGACTATGTCATTGGAACACCATACGGAATCATGCGCGGAGAAGGCGACCTATATGACCTTGTGGAGGACAACATTGGTGAACCCCTGCGACTTCACGTGTACAATTCAGAGACAGACCATGTCAGGGAGGCAAGTCTCATGGTCGTTACATTTTTCTCACGCTCAGTGACCAACACAAATCGATTACGACCAAGGTGGCTTACCAGGGATGTCTCTTGTGTTCTACTTCTTCTAGATTGTCATCATACCAAATGAAGAATGGGGCGGCGAAGGGCTGTTGGGATGCGATGTCGGCTACGGGTAAGGCAACAATAGCCTGCAGCAAAGGAAACGAGCATTCAGGAAGCACCCAATAAGCATTGACCAGGCTATTCACATTATTATCATTGGTAGATACTTGCATCGACTTCCAAGACAAGGATCAGTTCAACACCGTGGATCGAACGGCGCACCCAGGAAGACGCCGTCATTACCGTACCCACCATCACACGAAATGGTAGTTGACCCTTCAGCTATCCGACATACTCTGCCAGCATCATTTCTGCCTGGTGAACAGCCAGACATTGTCGCTCCTACACCACGGCCACCTCAATCGCCCTCGTGGTTGAACCCAAGCGCTATTTTGGAGGGCGCACTACAAAATACTTCCAAGAAAGTCGAATCGGAGGAAATACAGGAGCAGGATCTCCCACCGTTCCGATTTGGACGAGGAGAGCGACCGGATGCAGAGGACGAGCCCGAGTCTGAAGATGAATTTGTACCACGAGGTGGTCGAGGCCAGGCTGCGCACAAGGAATCTTCCACTCTTCCACCGAACTTCATGAACAAGTTCCAACAGGGCATTTCCCTCCACCACGAACACGACATCCATACTCCTCATCCATCGCTGACAGGGATCGAAGAGTATCAAACAACAGCTACAACAGCGACGACACAGCACCTAATGGCACCAACAAAAGCACCGCCCAGAGCGGTCGATGTCAATTCGGACGAGATCCCTTTTGGTGCAGGAAGCACACAGGACTTGAGCAGCACGCTCGGAATGAACGCTGTACCCTTCAAATAAGGAGAGCGAGTTCGAATTGCTATTCGGAGGAAACTTTAGGCAAATGCAACACCAAACATCCCATCAAAGGTACATACCATGCTGAGAATAAACAGCTTGTATCCGATCCAGATCAATTGAAATAGCCTTCATCTCCTTTTTTCATCTTTTTCTTGGGCTCACGGAGAACGGGAGAGGAGAGGAGTTTTCAGTTTACCTGACTTGCCGGTTGTTTGTTGGTTCCGTGCAGACAAACGCGTGCTCATCTTTTTTTTTTTTTTTTTTTTTTTTGACTTTGTTTGCCATGGCTGCAATGGAATGACAAGTTAGCCAATCTTTCTTCTCTTCCTTCTTATTCTTCATCGCCAACCATCCTTCTCCTCTTCACCTGCTGTTCTCCGATTTTCTTTTACTTTTTCCTTTCCACTTAACCCGACTACGATACCCATATAAAATCATCCTTAATATGACTGAGGTCCAGCCAGCAGCGGCCTCGACTGTTCCTGCCGGTCAAGGTGCATCTCCAGGCGACATCTCCCACATTTACTCCCGAATCAACAGCATCATCGAGACGGTCCGAGACCAACCTCCGAAGCAAACTGCTACTGCTACTTTTACTACTACTACTTTACCTGCGGAGCGGGAGAAACATGGAGTGGCAGTGGCCAAGACGAACCGACTTGCAGGTGAGTTTTTCTTTTTTTATATGGTTGGTATGGGCTTAGCACTGGAATGGAACTAATAAGTCAAAAAAAAGGTGGCTGGCTGTGGTGCTGGCGGGGAGTGAGTGGTCCGATTCTGATGTGGCGACGCCGACAGGGTTTTCAAGGTTTCTTTTGGGGCAGCCACGGATTGCTCAGGGGGGATACGAAAGTGTGATGATTTTTGACGAGATGGTTGCTGGGGACACAAGGCGGTGGAGACGACATGGTATGGTGCGACGAAAACAATAACACAAGCATACCTGTAGAGATGACACGAGGTGAGGGGCAAGGAAGGTCATTCCTCCCTTGGTTGTTCTTCCAAAATAGCTTTTTTTCTGAGTGGGCTGTCTATGGTCCCCCAGTCCAGTCCAATCCTGCCCAATGCCTGAATGATTGTATGGCCCCCAGCCCCTCTCCCCTTTTCTTTAGATTGGACTGGGTTGGATTGTTGAGAAAGCGGTATACGGTGGTCCATGGTCGATTGGGATAACGGGCATACGTTCACTCAATCACTCACACTGACACTCAACACATACACATTCACACGCATACAGACATGCCCTTTTGACCACACCGACTGACACGCCAGCCTGACCTTTTTTTATTTTCTCGTCTTGACTTGCCTTTCTTTTCTCACTTCTCTTCCTTTCCCCATTTTTTGTTCTTCCTCTTTCTCCTTCCTTCTTTTCCTTTTCTTTCCGCCATTTACTCCTTCCTCAACATAAAAACGACAACGACATTGCAACTGCTAACGTCATTATTACACTACCACTCATCATGGAACAAATAATCGATACTACAACAACTACAGACGGACAGGCACATCCAGACACCGAATCAGCTGATGCAACAACCTCAACAACCACAGCAGAAACTCGTCTTCACAACGGCGACACAGCTCACCAGGAGGATACAAAGTGTCCCTGCTACAAGGTCCTGGCCGATTCAAGCTCTCGTGCCTGTGGAATCTGCGAACGTATAATTCCTTCGCTTGATGACGTACACAAGGAACACACTCGCCTGGTCGAGGAGATGGAGCAGGCACAAACCCGACTCGCCGAGGAGAAGAGACGAGCCCTGGCAGCTACAGTCGACGTCGAGGTATTGCGCAAGAAAATCGAGGATCTCGAGGATAGTCTGCAGGCAAAGTCGGACGACTATGAGAGCGTACAGAAGGATCTCTCGATCCTGAACGATAAGTACGTGGACGAGATTGAGAAGGTCGCCGAGCTGCAACACGCCAAGGAGACGGTCGAGGGCGAGCTGGAGGAGTTGAGTCGAACGCTGTTTGAGGAGGCCAATGGGATGGTCGCGACAGAGGCTAGAGCTCGTCACCAACTCGAACTGACACGGAAACATCTCGAACTCGAACTCAAGGACGCCCATGAACGACTTGCAGCAGAGACTTCGCAACTCAAGGAACTCAAGTCAAAGATGGAAGCCATGATGGATTCCCAGCCACAGAGCAAGCGCTCGTCCACCAATCACTCTGACCGTGGCAGTGTCGACCTCGCCCAACTCTTTGGAATCAACAACAGTAACAGAATTTCGGTGCCAGAAGTGCTCACAGAGGAGCCCGAGCCCGAGACCGCCATTGCCATTGACGGCCAACTCTTGCAGGAATTCAAGGAGTTTGTCAGCCTGAGTTCGTCTGTCCGCCTCAACAAGATCCACAGCCTCACATTCATGCGCCATTGTCAGGACGAGGACGTCGAGCTCTGCTTAAGATTCGGAAACACCCCAAGGATCTCGGCGAAAAAGCTGACAGAGGGCATTTGCTCAAACACCTGCTACATCGAAGAGGCTACGGCAGAGCAGGTCAAGGAGTACGAGCGCATGGTCTTGGCAGCACAACAACCCCCTTCGCCAGCGCGCAACTCCATGTCCAACAAGAGTGTCCTTTGGGAGCGTCTTCAGAACCAGTATGCAATGTATCAAGCCCCCAAGGGTGGATGTCAGACATGCGGTCGGTTAGGTCCTCTGAGCCATCGGTACCGAATTGCGTCATTGGATGAGTGGTCGTTCATCGATCGGTTCTGCCGTGACCGTCTCGTAGCCGTCTGTGAATTTTATATCTTTATCCGCAACATCCGCGCAGGACTGTACGCGAGCCGCTCCATTGAGGATCTTTACTCGGAGAGCTTGCGTCTACGACTTCAGATGTTTTACGCCCGCTCAGGGGTCTTGCCTATCATGCTGTCGGAACTTGGCACGACGGCTCAGTCGATTGGAAGCATGGGATCGGCAGGACAAGGACAGTGGCCAGAGGGAACACCACCACCCCGTGGCGAGGGCAGCGATGCCGGATCGACCAATTCTCCGTCCGCTTCGGCCTTTACGACTCCCATCACCACCCCCAAGATCGAAAGGGCCGAGATCTTGTCGAGATCAGTGTCTCGGGAGGAAGTCGTGTCGGCCAAGACCTCTTTGGAAGAAAAGGACCGATCGCCTGTCTCGCCTACTACTGCTGTCACAGCAACCACTTCCGCCTCCTCCCCTTTGGCTTCGGCTGGACCCGAGCCAACAAGTTCTTAATTCACCCAAGGCCGCACCTTCTTTTTTCTTTTCTACGCGTAGCAACTTTGTCGTAGCTCTAGGAATAGCATACCATCAAAACAAAAGGCTTTGTTTCAACTCACAATGGATACCTTGTTGCCATGAGAACCTTTTCGCATTTAAATAAGAGGAAGAATCATCCCCTGTTGTCGCTTTGTCTCTTTCTCGCCCTCCCTACGCCTTGTGAAGCGCCCAACTGGTGCACGTTTTCACTATGAATCCTCTTATTTTCTCAGATGTGATATTTCGTGTCTTTTGAGACTCTTCGCCTGATACCTTCCCCGGAAACATGGTCGCCATTTACACAACCAAGCCCGATGGTGTTTGCCAAAATTCGAGGTGGAGGGTGATCCAGAGCCGAACAGGGGACACTTTGCGCATTGACGTATCGTTGAGGGCTAGCTCGTACCTTCAAGATGGTAACCCAAGCTCCCTTATGCCCTGTCGATAGCCCCTGTTCGTCTCTATGCACGTTGTTCGCCATAACCGACAGACGTTACCGTTCAGCTCTTCGACACGGCTTCATTGTATCCAAGTCCAATACAACGCAAAGGTAGGAGTCTTCCATGCAATTTACCATATCTAAATGTGATGTGTGCCGTCTGCCAGTTGCCTCTTTTTTCCATTTTAAATCTTGAAGCACAAGTCCCTGTCAACGCAGTTACGGAAGGCGACAAGTATGATTTCGAGATTGACCTCTAAACCCTGCCCATGCGTTTTAGCAGCTTTGAACCAGTTTCACTTCACTGTTGCCCCTCCGCGTGATGTTTATGATTCTGTGAAGATAGGGGCTGGTCCAAGACAAGATGTCGAACAGGCCTTCCCCACGGACAACCCGCCCGTTATACACTTGCCTCATCGTCCCAATAATCCAAAGTTTCCTAACACTGAACTATTTGCCAGCCTGGCAGTCCTATCACGCTGCTAAGCTTTTAGCACACTTATCAAGGATGCTGTCAAGGAACGAAGCGGCCGAGGCTTTGATGATGATACCGGTCCCTTGGTTGTTTACGTCGACAAGAAGCATTCGTTGCCACCCATAAATCATCTCATCTTTACTGCTACTCTGGGATCATCCACCGTAATTTGGTCGTCAGCCGGGATGCTTCCAGCCAACAACAGGGTATACGTGTTCAAGTTGTACCCGTCACCAACAATGGGGAGAGTATCGAACCCTTGCTTGGCACAAGCCTCTGGGCACAGAGCTTTTGTCGATGTCGGAACTGAATAGAGTGATCTGGACAGCGCTTCATTTCGTGGCTGACCACTTTGGGGTGGATGATTTGCGTGACGTGTGCTAGAAGCAGGTGGTTGAGTCGATCGAGGACCCCAACGTGGTCAAGCTGCCGTTTTAGGTCGGATGTGCCTTTGAGGAGGTCAAGGTTTCTGCACTGTGTTATATCGCTTGGAACTCGGATTATATGTTTGACGAGGGTAAAGACGCGTTCAAGGAGTGTCGTGGTCAAGAGGAGTACCACAACATGCTGCTCGAGGTGGTCCGGTAAAAGAGAGTGTAGGCTTCGGTGATCTTTGCTTAGATTTTTTTGACGCGTCTTTTTTTTCCCAAGTAGTAGACAGTAGCCTTGCTTCTCCGCGCAGCTTGCGTTGAGCTTCGCCTTATTACACTTTGAGATCAATACATTCTTTTCGTTTTGCTTTTGTTCTTTCTTTGTCACACAGTTGTTCTTTTTCGACTTTTCTCCCTCTGATATATACGCGTTCCACAAAAAATAAGCAGCAGCACAATGTGCCGCTTTCTTGGCAGCCTGAAGTTACGCGTCACGCTGCATGGTCTCCAGATTGCATAGCTGGCACACCGAGCGGTTGATTTTAAAAGTCGACAAACTCTCTTTTTTCAGGTACACACACTCCTCGCGAGGTTCACTGGTGGCAGAAAACAGAAAGTAATGCCCCTTTGCAACTGAGCTGGATTTCTTTCTGCTATCTGTGTTCATTCCCCTTTTCAATTGGATTGGATGTGCCTTGAGACGGCTATCGACAAACACGCGTTGACATTCACACCTGGTAATGGGCTGTTGCGAGGCGACTGGGTGAGAGCCCCTGATCATCTAGGCACAAGCATAAAAACGCTTCTAATCCCAGTTCATATTTTCTAACATTGTCACTCTATATCCCTTACTTTCCTACCCCTGCACAAAGACATATGTAATATCCACTGCTTCAAATGACCCATGTTTAGTTCACTTTAATATACATATGCACCCCTTGTAACGCCGTAATCCTTAATAACAGCACATGTTTATCAACAGATCCAAAGTCATGAAGTTCACCCTCATTACCACTATTGTCGCCCTTGTCACCACTATTCTGATGTCAACCACAACAGCCCTCTGCACGGACCGCTTCACTAGGGATCTCCCCTTCATCAAGACCCTAGCTCGGACCCAGAACTTCAAAGACGTCCCCGTCCACTGGTCCTCCTCTAGTCGTTGCGAAATGGATATCAATGCTGAACGACCGTCTCTGATTGTTGTCCAGCATATTGCGGGCCCGCGTTTCAGGTGTGAACAGGCGAATTCAGGGAACGGTACATTCTGTACGGTCAAGGACGATGTTCGTGACATGACGTCCAATCGGTTTACGTTGGTGACGGCTCAGTTGTGTGAGTGGTACGGCGGTCTGCTTCAGATTACTTCAGAGGCGTACTCTCCTTGCAATCGCTTGCATGAAGGTATGGCTACTCAAGGGTAGTGAAGGAACGGAAGGAAGGGTCGACCTTCTCTCTCTCTTCCCTCTTTTGCAATCTATATTACTACCCTTGCCCCTTGCAGAAACAACCTGCGCTTTTACTAATAAACTTATCCCCTCTGAGATCGATGATATCGTGATTGCTGGAAGACAAGGATGCAGCATTTGTTTTTGTTTATTTTGAATATCGCGAGGGGAAGAATGAATGACAGAGAGAAAGATGAAAGAGAGACGGATGAAGGAGTATCCATCAGCGAGATGGCATTATCCAGTAAGGCAGATAAGGGACATAAATAGAGAGAGAACTTTGCTATCAATCCGGATTCCATTCTCAGTCTTTCTTTTATCTTCTCTTTCATCATATGAGACTCAGACCCAAACACCCTCATCCATACACCCTCATCCATACACCATCCCATCAGCCTCCCTTCCCAATCTTACCACTGCCAACGTCGATAACATTCTCACCACCACCACCCCTACCAATATGGGACAAGTCGATCTCGTCGAAGAGCTCACCCTCCGGATCCAATGCAACCCTATCGTCAGCCCAACAGCTCCATTCAACACCAAATCCTTGACAATCAAGACCGGTGGCGCTGCTGCACACGATTCCTATAACACCCCTCAATGGCAAGTCGTATTGACCCGTGTTGGCGGCAACGGTGACAGCCTTGATATCCAGCTCCGGTCGCCGTCTCATTCTCGTCTCCCGACCAATTTCCGGTCTGTCAATGTTATCTACCACCAGCGACATCTGGCTAGTGTTCTCTTGAACGAGTCGGCGTTTAGTAACTGGGGGGAGTTGAAACGTAAGTTTTAAATGTGTTTTTGTGCAACATGCATTTATCAATCATCAACATACTAACTCGCGTTCTTTTTTCTTTCTTTTTCGTTGGTTCCTACCTTTCTGATAGTTTCGTTTCCGGTGGAGAAGGCTCTGAATGGGGAGAGGTACGAGTTCGATATTATTCTGTCGACTCAACACCAGCCAACTGAATCCCCAAAGCTAGCCCCACTGCTATCGTCGCCATCCTTGTTGCGCTCATCCTCTGCCTCAAAGTCCACAAAGTACAAGTCGACCCTGAGCGGAAAGGGCCACCCACCCTCCTCTTCCTCTTCATCGCGTCTTCTTGATCCGACCCAGAGCATGATGAAGATGTTCCTCCGAGACCGCCAATCAGTCGATGTCCAATTCCTGTTTGAGACTGAGTTTACCCCAAGTGGCCGTGTCGCGGCTCTCTGGGCTCACCGCCTGGTCCTTTCGCGTTACCCCGCCTTGGAAGCCCTGGTTCAAAGTGCCGAGTCCTGTGAGAATGGGTGTGCATTTGGACCGGTAACCGTGCGTATGCCTCACTCGATCTCCCTGGCGGCGTTTTCTGGCCTGTTGTACTACCTCTATACGGGCAAGGTCCAGCTCTCGATGCGACCAGATATGTTTGCCTTGAGTCAAATCGATCTCGATTCCACCTACGCGATGCATGATTGTGCCCAGTTCAACACCAACGCGGTGATAGTAGATGGTCTGTACTTGGTCGACACCATGCCATCCTGTGAGGTCATCTGCAAGCCCTTGGTCGACTGGTGTGTCAAAGACGCCGAATCGCTCTGGCCCACCAAGGGCATCCCCTGTCGCGAGCTCCACTCCATCGCCAAATACTTTGGAATCATCGACCTGCAAGAGCTCTGCCTAGAGGGGATGGTGGAGTCAATCGACGCGTCGAATGTAGTCGAGATGTTGTTCGAGTTTGGAGGGTCCTCGGCCACGGTCCGTGAGGCAGGGTTGAGCTTTGTAAACGAGAACTTGGCGGTCTTGTTTGCGGAGGGAAGGGATCCGTTTCTGAGGTTCCGTGAGAGGGAGGAGTGTTATGTGATTATGGTTGAGGTTATGCGGTCATTCACGAAGCAACTTAAGGTTGCGAGCCATGGAACTGGTGGTAGTGGTGGTCACTGAAAATATGTTCTTCCCCTTTACTTTCTTTCGCACGTAGTGATTTTTCTTTTTGAGAATAGTAGCCAAGGACAAGCAATGAGAAAATAAATATGAGTTGTGCCTTGTACATGAGTCAATAAGGCTTGCCATTGAGAAGTGTGTTCTTGTGCCAGGCCTTTTGATAGAATTCGTTATAATGTGATCCTTGTTATATACTTTTGCATCATCGAGAAGACGACAAGGACGAAAGTGCTCTTCTTTCTTCTTTCACCCCAACATCCACACCACGTCCAAACTCGACTTGCACAAGGAGGTGACTTTCCATATCTTCTGTGCTCCCTTGAACGAACATACTCCTGGAAACACAACGACTTTGACCATCACCGTCCCAAATTTGTTTACTTCAACTCTAGTTGACGGAGAATCTCGAAATTTGACGGTCGAAGCCACATGGGCCGGTGTAAACTATCACCTCAACAACTATGGTCATAAGGTCGAATGTTTCACCCCCATGAACGTTGTCCATCACAAATGTGGCATAATAAGCACTGCTGTGGATCCAATCAACAACGTTACCTTTGTCTCGTCAGAAGTAAGTATTTATCAACGTGTGTTTTTGATCTCGTACTTGGGACGAACGAAGTGCAGCGTTTCACATCTAATACTGTGTGTGGTTCCTGTCATGGCCGTGTGAGGAAAGAATGTACGACTTCGAGATCGTCTTCACAACTCAGTCCCCTCTTTCGCACGTTCAAGTTGCCTCTGTCTGTTGGCCCAGCCGCCGACGGAGTTGACGAATCTGCGACGATCGAGGCTGGCCCGAGTCAAGCCACCATGAACACTTTGCTTGCCGACCGTCACTCCGTCGATGTTCAGTTTAACTTTACTGCCAACAAGCCCCAATATCAGATTCTGGACCCACCGCTCTATTCTTTCGCGCTACTAGGCCTTGGACGATCTTATTAAGGAATCCATGTCGTCGACTTGCTCTTTGAGGTCGCATGATACTTCGACAAAATCAGAGAGGCAGCGTTGGGATACCTCGCCGACGGCATGGAGTGAATGTGTGACGAGGGCAAAAATCCGTTCGAGAAGTATCGCGACTACAAGGACTGTCACGCCAAGATGCCCGACGCGATGCAGTACAAGTCTATCCCTGTCGACCGTCGGCACTTGGCTCTGACTTCGACCGTTCGCTCCCTTGCGATTTGTAACTTACTAGCAACACCCTCCGATATGACATACTCGTCAAGGAAGAAATTATATCGCAAACTCGCCTTTATTCATAATCATCTTGGACAGTCGCGAAGTGTTTTTCAACAGTCCTAATGCAGCGAAAAAAATACGGGATACAATGTCGCTTCTTTAGGGAAAAAGACGCGGGGAGAGTTCTGACAACTTATCTTTGCCAGCTCATCGAGGCCCATGTTATACAGCTCAGAAAGCACCATTTTCCACATCAAGTCACAAGGAAACAAAATGGCCATCTTTTATCACCCAACAACGCATGTGAAGAAAAAAGAAGCAGCGAGCAAAGCGCGACTTTATTTGACCATCTATCCAAACCCAAAGCAATAAACATATGAGTTTTTTTTTTTTCTTGCAGGGGTGATTTCACATGTTCACATCATAGTGAACTAGAAAAGGGCTGCATCTTGCATGAACCGACCGTGGGAGTGATATCAATAAGTGCTGTTGAGCAAAGAGCTGTTGCTTTTCCTTTCTTTCAGCACTTCTTTCTTTCTCGTTCAACCAAAAAAAAAACCTCCACCATGACCAACGCTACCTTGTACGAGGACATGATCCTCCACGTCCATTGTGAACCCCTTACTGACTCTCCCCCCAAAAACAAAACCACCATAACCATCTTAACAACACCACTCTATAAAAACTCCAGCTGGCAAATCGATGTATCCAGAAAATCAAGGGACTTGTGCGTTGCGCTGAAATGGTTGCCACAATACATTTACGAATACAACAGAGGCAACGTTTATGGCTACCCGCCTCAGTTCCTCTCCATGCACGTTGTCCACCACAGACAGGGAATTATCAGCTGCCAGCTCGACGCCAGGTCATTCTCAGATGGCAGGCAATGTCAGTGTAAGTGTCGGTCAGGATGAGTCTTAAAATGACGATGGATGAATAACTCAACTGGCGTTTACTCGTTTCATTGTGGTAATTTAGTAACCGTTCCTGTTGATAAGGCCACGCGGGGAAAGATGTACGATTTCGAGATTGTTCTCACGACCCAGACCACTCTGTCGCGTACGTTCAAGATGCCTCTGTCTGTTGACCCAGCCGTCGACGAGGTTGACGAATCCGCGGCTATCGAGGCTGGTCCGAGTCTAGCCATCATGAAGACTTTGCTTGCTGACCGCCACTCCGTCGACACCCAGTTCATATTCACCGCGGACAAGACCTGCGCCAATGTCGGGCTCTGGGCTCACCGCTCGATCCTCTCTCGCTACAAGGCCATGGACGATTTGATCAAGAAGTCACTCAAGGAGCAAGTCGCCCGAGAGGGTGACGTCGGGCCGTTGACCATCCGCATGGAGAAGTTCTCTCTGGCGACCTTTGCTTGCCTGGTCTACTATCTCTACACCGGCACCATCAAGCGCACCATGGACACCAGCCAGTTCGCCTTCAACCAGCAAGACGAAGCTGTCGTCGTGATCAAGGACGAAACCACCGGTCGGACTAAGGATCGCATTCATTGGAACCCCCTGAGTGCCGATTCGTCGTGGAAGATGAAGGACGTGGCCTGGACCGACCTGCTTTTCATTTCTGAGTACTTTGGCGTCAAGGACCTGCGCGATGAGTGTCTTCGCGAGGTAGTCGAGTCAATCAAGGATTCGAACGTAGTCGGGTTGTTGTTTGAAGTCGGTTGCTTTTTTGCGAAGGTCAAGGATGCGGGACTGGATTACTTGGCGGACAATATGGAGTCGATGTGTGATGAGGGTAAGGATCCGTTCGAGAACTATCGGGATCATAAGGAGTGTCATGCTATGATGCTTGATGCGATGCGGTACAAGTCTATCCCTGTTTCCCGTCGACAGAACTACCTTGCCTCCACCATTCGTTCCCTTCAGATCTGCAACTGAACAGCAACTCATCCCTTGGTGTGTCCCGCCCCTTGTGTTCACGTAAGAGCGGATCAAATCGCAACACTGTTTTTATCATAGCTCTCTTTCTTTCAGTTTCGCGCAAGCTTCTTTATAAATAAAAATACAAAAAGCTCACACTTTCTCGGATTTAGCAAGTTCTTCAGGAAAAAAGACACAGAGAGAGTTCTGATAACAGATCTCTGCCAGCTCATCAGGGTCCATGCCATAGAGTTCGGAAAGCACCAGAAGCACTTGTCTATGTCCACATCAAACCACAAAAGAATAAAAAAAAATATTCAGTGTTAAAACACCATCATTCCTCATTGCATACGTCTACGACTCGGCAGCAAAGAAACAAAGAAAAAAGAGGAATGGGTCTTTACCCGATCGTGCAGGGCTCATTTCTTCCTTTGACCATGTTTCCAAACTCAAAGCGCTCCTTGTGTACAGCGCGCGGTTTATACATGTCCTGTTGTTCCTTGGTCATCTTCAGATGCTTGAATGACGCGTGGGTCGGACGGATCTCGCACCAGGGTCCATCCGTCTCGATCATCAGTCGGTCCAGTGGCACTTGTGCCGCAACCTTCAAGTTCTCTTCTGTCTTCAGCGAGCTATCAAGTTGTGCGAACCAAGGTGTGATATCAATAACATATTGGTTGTATATCGTACATCGAACAAAGTCAAGACGTGTGGATGATGCCTGTTTTGTGAAACACTTACCAGCCGTTGAGACTGATATACAATCCCAGATCAATATAAGTCTTCAGTTCCTCTTGAGTGCCTGTAAAAGAATGGACGATACCATCCTTGAACCGACTCCGGTTCTCAGTAATGATCTTTGCAAAGTCACCACCAGTATTGCGGTCATGCAGGAACATGGGCAGCCCTGTCATCGAGGCCAGTTCGAAATGACGGTGGAAATGCTCCAACTGTGTTTCTTTTGGACAAAAGAAGAGTCGATCGTAATCTAAGACGGTGTGAGAGAGAGAGAGAGAGAGAGAAAGAAAGAAATGTATCCTGGTCAGGTATGTCGCCATGTGGGAGGACATGTTTGCATAAGAGGAATGGGTGGGGACAGGGAACTAACCGAGTCCACATTCGCCAATGGCAACAATCTTCTTCTTATTGGCTGGGTCAAGAAGAAAAGCCTTTTGGGCATTGAGGTAGGCGTCAGGTCCGCCACGGAACTTGTCAAACTCGGCTGCATTCCTGGGATGGCATCCGATCGTGACAAACATGCTATCTGTAAGTTGAATGAATCAAAGTTAAGTTCAGATTAGGTATGAAACACGCTTTGACTAGGTAAACTAGGTCCAGAGGATGCATGATTGCGACAAGATACGGTACCGTCGTCTCTGGCCAACTCGAGGGCCTGGCGACACATCTTGAGATTGCCAGCGGTGACAAGGAGGCGAACTACGCCGGCGTTGCGTGAGCGGCGCAATACCTGAGCGAGGTCATCTAGAAATGTGCGGATCAAACTGTTAACATCAGTTGACGCGTTTCAAAGAAGATAATTAAGTACGCAATGAACTGGATGATGTTCGTACCCGAGTGGTGGCGCATTCCGCGATAAATGCCACGGAACATGGGATCGGTCAAGTTGATCCCGACATCTAGATGGGTCCAGCGGATCGGTACAAAAGGGCTTGATCAGTTATTGATATTCGACGCGGGAGTCGTGAAACCTTGACGAGAGAAAAGAGTTAAACTCACCCATCATTCTTGGAGCCATTGTTGTAGTTGTAGAGCGTAAGGAGGTTGTGTGTAGTGAGTGTAGTAGTGTTGGCGTAGCTGCTGCTGCTTGTGTGCGGCTGTTGCAAATTGCGCGTTTTGTTGCTGAAAATAATAAAGAGCGAAAGGGTGCCTGATTGAACTGTTTAAATAGATTGGTGGCGGTCATGAGTGATGAGCAGCAGCAGGTTGTTGAATGTCTTTGGTGAGAGTGATGGAGTTGAATGGAGCTTGGCTTGGGCAGGACTTCTGGTCAACTTCTTTACTACGCCACGTTTCTGTGACTCAACTTGGTCCAAGCACCGCACACCAACTCCATGAAAGGTAAAAAAAAAGGTCCCTCTTGCCTAACGTCGTCATACTCTATTGTATCTTGGCTTGTAACGTGTGATTTTTGCCCCTTCTTTCACACTTTTATCCACACACTTTACACACCGCTCTCTCCCTACTACGGCGCAATGAAGACCTTCAACAACCTCACTGAATTCAACAACCAACTCACCGCAGCAGGCTCGCGACTGGTAAAACTGATTGGGACAAGACGACTAAAGAGAATGAGTCACTCATTCCTCCAACTCCAATGGTGAAAGCGTCGTCCATGCTGAGACAGTGTTTGGCTAACTTTTATTTTCTATCCTGTTCATAGGTGGTGGTTGACTTTTTCGCGGAATGGTAAACGCCAATACGGCTTGCGGTACCGTGTTGCCATCATGCCATACAATCTCAAACAATGGAGTGGACGACTTACGCCATGCTATCTCAATTTTTGTCCAAGACATAGGTGTGGACCCTGCAAGACGTTGGCTCCTATCCTTGCAAACCTGGAGAAGAAGCACAAGCCAACCATCTTTGCAAAGGTCGACGTCGACGAGGCTGGAGACATCGCAGCAAAGTACGAGGTCAAGGCCATGCCAACGATTGTCATGATTGTCAATAAAACAGAGGTTGGCAGAGTCGTGGGCGCTGATGTGGCGCAGATCCAGACATTGATCAAGAAGCATGAGACCGGAGACGCATTCTCTGGCACGGGCGCAGGACAGACTTTGGGCCGTGGAGCGAGCAGCACAACCACGACAGCGACAACAACTCAGCAATCAATTGACCTGTCCAAGATTCTCGAGGGACCAGGTGGCAGCTGCCAGATCCAGGTCCGAATGCTGGACGGGTCTGTGATTCGGGGCAACTTTGAACCAACGCATACGGTGCGGCAGGTACATGACTTTGTCAAGGCAAACCTTGACGCATGTGGCGTTCTGGCCCCAGGATTTGCTTTGATGACACAGTTCCCGAGAGTGTAAGTTATCATGTCAGCCTTTTTAACTATTGTCTTATGGAACAAAACAAAACAAAACTATGGAAGCAAATTGGAATGGCATGATTGGACAATGTTTGAAGGGACGACTTTTCGACCCGTCGACTATATCCACTTTTTTTCCGCCCTTTACGCCCAACTAACTTCCATTCTCCTTGCTTTTGTTCTTGTTGTCGGCGTAGTGTATATGAAAACGACGCCCTCGAACAAAGTCTTGAAGCGGCCAAGTTGACTCCTCGAGCTCAATTGATTGTGCGATCATGATTATTGTCGGTGACCCTCTGCAAGACAAATGAGTCGGATACATAGATGGGGGATTCGGAGGAGCAAAAAGGATCGTCGAATGAAATAAAATGAAAGGAAAGAATCAAACAGGGCCAGTCAGTTGTGAGTGGTCGATGCGGGAGATAAAAGGGACTAACAAGAGCAAGCATAGCCAGAAAGGTTATCCTGTTTAGAGGGAGTATGTCACCACCTTTTGATTGTGTTGTGGGTCTCGGACCCCCGGTAATGTATTTCCAGCCCTCCGTCCTGAAATCTATCACTTAGAGATGGAGCAAGAGTGGTCGCCGTGGGGGGTAAGGATGTAATATTCAGAACAAGAACAAGACAAGGAGCAACAAAAGTGGAGTGGGATTGTGTGATATGGTATGATCTGACTGCTGCTGTTGAACCCAGTGAGGTGGATCTGGACCTGGAGCCCTAGCCGTCTTTCTTTCGACATGATGGAGTGAGCATGTTTCAGGAACAGTTCTTCGGGGTTCATACCATATCTTAAAATTTTTCGTCTCCGTTCCTCTTCCTCCCAGTGTGACTGCACCCTTCTCTATCTCTGGATTCCCATGGGGTTATTTGAAAAAGACGACGAGGTTGTGTTTTGTTGTTTCTCACTCTTTTTTCGTCACCCACACCCACACCAATCCCCTCCCCTTCCCTTCGAACGTCTGGGTATCCGTTACTGCCCATTACCCTACCTTCATCTTTCTTCTTCCCTTTAACCTTGTCCACATACCCTCTTTCCTTCCTCCTCCTCCTCCTCCTCCTCCCTCTTCCTTACTCTCCGTCTACTCTCAACAATGTCAGAAGCTGTCGAGCACCGCCATGACTTCTCTGCCGAGAAGCAGGAGCTCGAGTACGAGTATAACCCCAACAACTATTCCGACACCGTCCACCAGCTCAACGATGATCAGGAGTTCGGTGCCGTCAAGCGTGACCTCAAGTCCAGACATTTGCAGATGATCGCCATCGGAGGAACCATTGGTACTGGCATCTTCTTATCCTCGGGTGGATCCGTCGCCGCTGCTGGCCCCCTGGGTGCCCTGATATCTTACACGATCGTCGGTATGCCCCCTTCAATTATCCTTTTTAATCAAATTAGTTAAAAAACAAACATGGGAAAATAAGCGCAACGAGTATGTAGTACATGCAATTTCACCAACTCTAATACCTTTGCCGTTGTATCGCCCGCTCGCTACTATTTTTATCCGCTTGTCGTTATTTAGGAACCATGGTCTTCTTCATCGTCACCAGTTTGGGTGAGATGTCTGCCTACTTACCTTTGCCTGGTGCCTTTACGACTTTTGGAGCTCGCTTTGTTGACCCAGCCCTTGGTTTCGGTTTGGGTGCCGGATACGCCTTCCAGTGGATCATTACTGTCATAATCGAGGTCACTGCCGCCGGAATGATTCTCCAGTACTGGTGGCCCCACCTCAAGATGTGGATCCCTGCCTTAATCTTCATTGTCTTGTTGGTCGGTATCACCCTTTTGGGAGTCAAGGCGTTTGGTGAGCTCGAGTACTGGCTCTCTATGATCAAGGTCCTCACCTGCATAGTTTTCATCATCATCGGAATCTTGGTCGACACTGGCGCTGTTGGAGGCAGATTCATTGGAGGCGAGAACTGGCACATCGACCAGGCCCCCATTGTCGGCAAGGACGCCCGTGAGAGGACCATCAACATCTTCACTACCTGCGTCTGGGCTTTCTTCAGTTTCGGAGGCACTGAGCTCATTGGTATTACCGCCGGAGAGTCGTCCAACCCCGCCAAAGCTGTCCCCAAGGCTATTCGTCAGACGTTCTGGCGTATCTTGCTTTTCTACATCCTCTCCATCACAGTCATCGGACTTTGCATCCCCTGGACCGACCCCAACTTGCTCAACTCTGTCTATGCCAGCGTCAACGAGGCCGCCACCATCGCCCCTTTTACCATCATCTTCAAGATGGCCAACCTCCCTGGTGCTGATCATGCCATCAACGCCGTCCTTTTGACTGCCGTCTTGTCAGCCGGTCAGAGTTCCTTCTACGCTTCGACCCGTACCTTGATGGCCATGGGTCGTGAGGGCAAGATGCCCGCTATCTTTGGTCGTGTCAACAGCCGTGGTGTCCCTCTCTACTCGCTAGCCTTTGTCACGTGCATTGCCTCGGTTGCCTTTGTTGCCGATGTTGTCGGAACTGGAGTTGTCTTCGAATGGCTCGTCAACTTGACTGGAATGTCTGCCCTCCTGACCTGGATGTCAATCTCTGTGATCCATCTCCGTTTCCGCGCTGCCTTCAAGGCCCAGGGTCGTTCCCTCTCCGAGTTGCCCTACATCGCCCCCTTGTTCCCTTACAGCTGCTACATCTCGATCGTTTTGGCCTTGATGATTGTCGTCTTGCAGGGTTACCAGGCCGTCACTGCTGATCCCTTCGAGGTCAAGGGCGTTGTTGCTGTCTTTGTCGGCGCCCCCGTCTTCTTTGGAACCATCCTGGGCTGGAAGCTCTACCACAAGACCAAGATCGTCCCCTTGTTGGAGGTCGATCTCGACTCTGGCCGTCCCAACATCATCCGCAGTACCTCCAAGCTTGGCGACGACGAGCCCAAGCCCTCGATCTGGAAGCGTATCATGCACTTTGTCGCCTAAATCGAGAGAGACGGATCGTACTTTAATTCACCTTGCATTTGCATCCTCCTGATCCTATAATATACCATCTTCGCATTATTTTTTTATCAAAGTATTCTCTCACGATACATGGAGTATTGGGTAATCAACGCCATTACTATAGCAGTTCTTTGGTATTACGCAGCAGAAATGATACGGTGCAGCCTCCGTAGCAATAGAAAAATGGGGGCTTGGCAATGCAGGGACAGCAGACTGTAATCCGCCTCGTCTGTTATCTTCCGCGGATGGGCAGAGGAGTGAATGGGCGTTGTTAGAAATCATATAAATACTAGACGATCTTTCCTTTTTTTTGTTTTTGTTTGTTACACCATTCCCTTGATTTATTCCTCCTTGCCTACCTTCTTTCATTATTTCAACTTTTCTTTACTTTTCTTGGTCAACAAGCAATGGCACTATTGTCAACCTCTGTACATGTCGATGCGACTCTGGTCGAACTGATCCTGGCGGTCGTTCTGTTCTCGCTCTCTGCTGGTGTAGCGCACCAAAGGTTAGCAAGCATGTCCTTAGTAATGTGAGATTGCATTGACATAAATGAGATGGACTTGCCTGTGCTAAGTCAACCCCTGAAATAATTTTTCTCTCTCTAGTCGAAAGAGAGTGAATGACAGCTCTGAGGAGAAGGTTGACAACAACGACACAGATCCACTATTTGAGCAACCAGCATGGGTCACAAAAATACATGTTCGTCTACTTCAAGCACTGTCGTTTCTGTACCTACTGGACTTGAGTGTGATGAGCTATCGAGCCAGCCATGCCGCATCACTCGACCACCATGTGATTCGATCTTTTGTCTCCGCCACAATGACCTCCGCGGTATTTCTTTTCGAGTCGTCGTCATTGCAGGCAGAGACCAAGCCGCGGAGTATTCAAGGACCTCGTTGGCTTGCTTTCATACCCAGTTGGATTGCACTCCTCAGTTCCTGCGTGTCGATGTTCCCTTTGTTCAGCCAAGCCAGCACCATTCTTTTTGCCGGCGGAGACTCTTCTCGACCGAGTTCCAAGGCCATGGTCGAAAACCTCTGGAAGTTCTTCTTCGGCGTCACTGGAGATGTGTTGCAAAAGGTGCTCATTGGTTCATTAGTCCTTCGCTTCGGACTCCTCTGTCTCATGGGCATGCTCTCTGTCGTCATCCTATCAGAGATCCTGGATCCCACACTCCTGCACCTTCCCGCAAGTCTATTGAAGGACCACATGGCGTCGCCTTCCAAGATGAATGTGGAATTCGCAGCAATGGATTCTTCGCCTGACACCAAGGATAATGGCGACAAGGACAGCGCGGAAAAGACAGGAAAGCATGGATTCAAGTCGATTCTGCGCAAGGTCGTATTCTCGCTCAGGATGTCCTATCCAAGCGGGAAGCGGTGGCTCGAGGTCCTTTACTTTGTCAAGTTCGGAATTATGATCCTTGAGCGTGCTATCGTCTTCTATGCGCCAATGCAGACGGAGCGAATCATCCGCTCGTTCAGCCAGACTGGTCAAGGTAAAGAACGAATGTCTTGCAGAGAAAAAGATGTTTTGGCTATGTTACTGGTGTGCTAATTTTGTCAATATTTTTTATTTCTTCTCCAGCTACCGACGGATCTCCTGTTTTGTCGAAATTTGATATGGCAAGCATTGTTTCTTACGTCGTCTACGACTACCTGAAGCGGTACTCTAATGTCCTCACTGCCATCACCGCCGTTGTAACCTCGCCCGTCGACGACTATGCCCGCAACTCGATGGCTCTCCGGTTCTTCGAACACGTCCACGGCTTATCAATGGAATATCATCTCAACGCAAAGTCTGGGGAAACCATGCCGGTTCTCCGCAGCGGCGAGGATTCAGTCATCTACATCACCGACACGCTTTTATACCAAATCCTCCCCTCAACACTTGATGTGATCTTGTCGCTTGCCTATTTCTGGTTCGCCTGGGGGTGGAAGTATGGTCTGGTGATCGTCGTCAACGTTGCGATCTACATGGTCATAAACAAGTATGTCACCCGCCGCAGGATCGATACTTGGAACGACTTTTCGGTCAATTCGTCCAAAGCCTCCTCGCGTGCTACTGACTCGCTGCAGAACTTTGAGACGGTCAAGCATTTTACCAACGAGACGTTTGAGGTTGATCGGTACCGTGTGGGACTGGCCGGGTACAGTAAGAAGAGTCTGCGAGCGACGATTGAGGATAGTCTGTTGATGATGCCGAGGGGTTTGATCTGGAGCTGGAATTTGTTTATTGGATGTGCGCTTTGTGCGACTGAGATTGCGCAGGGGAAACGCGACGCGAGCAGCTTCATGACTTTTGTTCTTCACTCGAAACAGCTCGAAGATCCTGCAAGTCACCTCTTGTCTTTCCTTTTATTTTGTATGACTGAAAAAATGCTGATCAATGAAATGCTCTTTACTAACACAATCCATCATACTCTTGTCTCCTACCAAAATGTAGATTGATACTTTTGGCTGGGTGTTCAGTTCGATCGAACGCGAGTTCAATTGCGTCGAGAAGCTTTTTAACATTCTTGAGGCAGAGCCGACTGTCAAGGACATTCCCAACGCCCCACCACTCGTCTCAAAGAACGGTGATATTGAGTTTGAAGACGTCGGTTTCCAGTACAGCCCTGACAAGAAGGGTATCTCTAACATCTCCTTCAAGGTACCTCAAGGCTCAACCGTCGGTATTGTCGGACCCACAGGCAGCGGCAAGTCCACTCTCCTCAAACTCATGTTTCGCCTTTGGGACCCAACCTCTGGTCGGATCCTGATCGATGGTCAAGACATCTCCAAGGTTACGCAGACCAGCGTCCGCCAACAGATCGGTGTCGTCCCTCAAGACACTACCCTGCTGGACGAGTCTATCCTGTATAACATCGGGTACGCCCGTCCCTCCGCGACAAGAGCTGAAATTGAGGATGCCGCCAAGGCTGCTCATATCCACGACAACATCATGACCTTCGAGAACGGTTACGACACCTCTGTCGGAGAACGCGGCGCCAAGCTGTCAGGCGGCGAACGTCAGAGAATCGGGATTGCGAGAGTGGTTCTGAAGCGACCGTCGATAATTCTTCTAGATGAGGCGACTTCAGCCCTCGACAGTGCAACCGAGAGCGATATTCAAAAAGCCCTGAACGCTGTGACGGAAAATCGGACGACGTTTGTGGTGGCCCATCGCCTGAGCACCGTTATGCACGCCGACTTGATCTTGTGCATCAAGGACGGGAGAATTGTCGAGCGGGGTACCCATGAGGAGCTGATTCAGAGGGCAGTCGAGAATGGTGGCAAGGGCGAGTACTACAAAATGTGGAGGATCCAGTCAGGCGAGAATGTAAGCTCCAGCTCCTCTTCTGTTGGTGGCGACGAGCGCGACTCGGTCCTAGCGATGACGCCCAATGTCCTTTCCAAGGTCGATCCAGATGTGCCTACAACTCCCAAGAAGTCAGCGGAAGAAGCCATAAAGGTTGAAGAATAATTGGTATAGCAAAGAGACGACGTTTATTCTTCAACTAAAAAGGATAGAACACGCATACAAATAAAACATTGCATGGGTATGCTCAATTCTATCTGTCGTATCACAAAGAGATATTCTGCCACCTAACAACATATCGCTCCACAATCCAGATACAGTCCGCAGGATCGGATCCGGAAAGCGCCACCGGTCGACAGGGCTCATGGATCTCAACGCGGTCCGCCACTTTCAAGGTGGAGTGGTTGAACAAGTTTGAGAAGATGACATTGAACGTCGGTCCTGGTTCAGCTGTCATTGACAAAAATGTCGCCGTCTCCTTTTGTTGATTTCCTGTTTCCTGCAGAGGATTGAGAGGCACAACTGCTTGCAATTCTTCAGAATCCGATGATCCACCGCCAATGCTACTGAGAACACTGACTGTCCTATCCAGAGCTTTGACCACTTGTACCTCGACTTCCTTAGTCCCATTGTTCTTGATTCCATCGATCTCCACATCCTGATAGTCCCTATTCTTTGCCAGAGGGGCGTCGCCAGAACCAGACAATCCATTGGAGCGGGATACACCGGCCGGCTTGTCCAACGCGTGAGAGAGGAGGCCGCTTCTTGCCGCATGTGTGTCACACATGCTCAGCCCTTGACCTTGTCCTTTCGAGATGTCATCTCTCTTTGAACCCTGTGTGTCCTTGGAGAGATGCGACGATCTCCTTGGGGATCTCACTTGACCCAACCCCCTTGATTGTAGCTCGTAAAAGACGCGCCACTCTTTTCCTAGATTCTTGTCATTGATCGGCATCCCGTCCGAGTCTCCAGAGCCAGATCGAGAGAGTGATGCCGACCTGTTTTCCACGTTCATGAGTCTATCATTTAAGGAACCGCTTCTTCCGCCCCATGAAGCTGTCCAGTCAGATCGACGTCCACTTGCCTCCGAATCCACCAGAGACACCGACTCGATCCTGCCGTTGTTATTTGAGGGCTCACAGTCATCAAGTACCGATCGTGTCCTTATAGAGGAGAGTCCAAAGAGAGGCTTGGTCGTGTTGCTGGAAATCACCTTGCACTTGGCCCATTGAAGACGCATATTTCTCGAAATCGACATAACTTCTATCACGGCGATAGGCTCTGAAGACCCCAAGAGTTTGACTATACAGAATAATAAATGGAGGTAAATAATGTTCTTCAGAAGAAGACAAGAAGAACTGGCAAAAACACTAAACGATGAGAACGTACGTTTTCGAATGGTTGCATTGGCCCATATATAATACTCAGACCGATGGTAGGGCATCATTTCAACAAGCCTCCTTGCATAACTTCCTTTGGCAAACGAACTAATAAGTCACGAACAAGAGGTGTTTATGTTAGATAAATCAACATGTTGTTAAGAAGACGAACAACCACATGTCCCACCAAGATCCTAGGCATCAGGTCCCGTACTTGGTCGTTCGTCCTGGAACCTTCTTGTCGTATTGCTTTTGGGTTACGAGGCCTTGTGGTATAACGAACTGCTTCTGAAGTTTTGTTACCGTCAACTTGGGTTTCGCATCCTCAACCTGATCTCCGTTGCGGTGCCGCTCCACGAATGGCCGTGGAGGGGCGATCCGAGCGCCGGGTTTTGATTTCCCGTGACCATTTTGAGCGACGAGGGTATTGGGTATGACGAGCAGCTTTTGGATCTCAGTCACCGTGAGTCTACGTCCTGTATCTCCATCCCGTGCAGATCTCATGTTCCTGCGTCCTGGTCCTGGTCCTGGTAGACTGAATCTAAGCTCTGCTGGAACTCGTCGCGACGGAGTTGGTGCTGCAGAGGTCATGCTGGTATTGTGTGGGCGACTATTGACAGATGTTAACGACTGTAATGATAAGTTAGTCTTATTATTCCAACAAGCATGTATAATACAGCGCGATTGACACGGGATATGTGTGCGAAGACACGCACGTTTGTTCCAGAAATCTGTGTGGCACTTGTTCTTGGCACCAGAGAGGCTATCCCAAATTCAGAATGAGAGCTCGCCCCCGAGATCGTTGAGACGCTCCTGCTGAAGGTCTGTGAGCTTATCGTTTCCGAGGCCAACGAGGCTGCTGATATAACCGAGAATAATCCTAGGACTGGCGCGCTTGTTCTGAGAGCGGGCTGGATGCTTGGTCCTGATATCGACGAAGCATGAGCACCAATGGCCTGCGATTCTACGAGCCCTGGTGGTGTTGGGGTTGCTGATATATGGGAGAACGCATTTGACGCTTGTGAGGACACTCCGATGACTGGCTGAGAACTTGCTTCGTCGGCTGTCGGGGCTGGAACGTCCACTCCCTGGGTCATCGCGGCGGCACTCGTATCCGATAACCATCGTTTCACAGCCGTACGTAACGAGAGGCAGCGGTTTCCTGGCCGGCTTGATAATCGTGTCACAGAGGAAGATCCTTTGGAAATCGCTGAATGTAAATTCCTATCAAGGTAATTATCAGCTCCTGCGGTGACCTGAAGCGCCTTGAAGGTAAATGCCAACGTGAGTAATGTAATTTTGTATGTCAATACTCTTTCCTCTCCTGGAAACAGAAGTGTCGTATAGGTTGATCATTTGACATACCAAAGTGCGTTTCCGTCCTAAACGCATTAGGCGTTGGTAGTTGTGGCTGTAGGTGACCTCTCCGTTGGCATTGTTGGGATGGGACATTTTGTAGCGAGGCTTTTGTTTGTTTGAGTTGCCCTGTGGTGCGAGTGAGTTGGTCCGAGGAGCCGAGGGTTCCTGGTCCTGCTGATGCGACATTTGTTGTTGTGTGTGTTGGGAGCGAACGAATGGAAACCATGTGAGTCGCCGCGTTGTGCCACCATTTTTTGTACTCGTCAAGAGACCCATGTGACTGTCTCCCAGGGATCCTGCTTGGCCGTGCGTGCGTCTTTTCCTACCTGCACTTGACTTTGCCTCCTTCTTCTCTCCTCTCTCTCTTTCCTTACTCCACCCTTCACTCCTTTTTTCCCGGCCAGCTGGCCTTCCCTTCACCACCCTTGCACTCACCAACCTCCTCCCCTTTTATTGTGTCTCCCCTGCAACTCGATAAGGAAGACACACTCACTCTCTCACACGCACGCACTAACAACCCACCCAAACAACTTAAAAACACCATTCAAAAAGACACATCACAACCTTCATGGCATCACTTCAAGGCAAAAGAACCGTCAGAGGAAAAATCAGACCCCCACCACGAAAGGTAAATCCACCTCACTGTAGTCGCACTTGCATTAGTTTTTTCAATACACGCATGCCTGCGATTGACCCCTTCTATTCTCTTGCTCTTATACTCGTTGTGAAACTAGGGCGCGTCGGAGGTCGACTATGACATCCATTGGACAACACTCCAGAATGCCATTACCACTATCCACGAACAAAAGGCTCACATGCTCTCGTATGAGGAGATCTACCGTTGTGGATACAACCTGGTCATTCACAAGTGGGGCGAGCGATTGTACAACGGCGTCAAGGAGTTGATCGAGCAGTACTTGGAATCCGAGGCGGAGACCAAGGTCGTCCCCGTCCTAGGCATCGCCGACACGTCGCCGGCCGAGGGAGTTCAAGTCCTGAAAGTCATGCAAAAGCTGTGGAGGCACCATGTGACCTGCCTTCTCATGATGAGCGATATCCTGGTCCATATGGTAAGCATGGTATTGAAGATTAGCGAATTGCCAATAAGGATAATTACGTTACGGATCTTGTTGGACTCGACATTGACGACTTGCATATGACCCCTCTTTTCCCATTTCCAATCTAGGACAGGAACTACGTTATAGCAAACAGGCTGCCGAAGACATACGATATGGGTCTGTTTCTCTTCCGCGACACGGTCATTCGGTCACCAAAGTATCCGATTCAATCGCACCTGCAAATGGTCCTGCTTAACCAAATCACTCTGGAGCGGAAGGGAGACGTGATCGATCGTGGCGCTGTCAAGTCCTGCACGGAGATGCTGCTGGAGATGAGCGAGAACAATGGAAACGACCCAATCTACATCGCCGACTTTGAGAACTTGTTTATCGAGACCAGCCGCGAGTTCTACAGAGTCGAGAGCGACGATCTCGTACGACGATTCGACCCACCCGAATACATGCGAAAGGTAGATAGTGGACTAGCAATGCCTTGCACGACGCTAATGCTAAATTGATAGAGTAAGTTAACTCATCCCAGTCACCCTTTCTCTGATAGGTCGAAAACAGACTGGAGGAAGAGCAACTGCGTTGCTCGCATTATCTCACGGAAAAGACGGAGCCAAAAATCAGACATATCGTGGAGCAGGAGATGATCGCCAAGCATCTGCAAACAGTCATGGAGATGGAGAACTGGGGACTCAAGCAGTTGCTGATCAACAGTCGTCTGGGAGGTATGCTCAATTACTGGAGAACATAGGTAGCATTGGGTTGCCCAATGGATACGGTTCGTCATGTATATTCACCCCTTATTGCCTCTTCATATCAATTAGATCTGGATCGCATGTATCGACTGTTTTCGAGAGTGCCCAATGGAGCGCGTACGCTGCAGGGAGGCCTGTCAGACTACATTCGGGAGTGCGGGAAGAGCATCAACGCCAATGTCCAGGCATCTGCCATTGACACGGTTGAGAAAGGCGTCCCTCTAGGCGTTGCATTGGCCCTTCGATGGGTCCAGGAAGTGCTCGACTTGAAGGAGAGATTTGACGCGTTTTTGGCCAAGGCCTTCGCAAAGGACAAGTCGTTCGAGACAGCGATCAACTCGGCCTTTGAGTCCTTCATCAATCTCAACCCCAAGGCACCAGAGTTTATGTCACTGTTCATTGACAACAAACTCAAGAAGGACTTCAAGGGAAAATCTGACGACGAAATCGACACCATTCTCAACAAGACGACAACTCTCTTCCGATTCCTGTCTGACAAGGACATCTTTGAGCGATACTACAAGCAACATCTCTCAAGTCGACTGCTGCACGGAAAGAGTCTCAGCGATGAGGTGGAGCGAGGAATGATTTCAAAGCTCAAGATTGAATGTGGTTACCAGTTTACTTCGAAGCTTGAAGGAATGTTCACGGACATGAGGCTCTCCACCGATACCATGAGCTCCTTCAGAGAGTTCCTGGAGAATGCTGTCGACACCCCTCCCGTGGAATTGAATGTTACTGTTCTAACATCGACTTTCTGGCCCGTCCCTTCGACACCTGTCTCCTGCAACCTCCCGCCTCAGTTCTTGGCGGCCTCCAAGGTCTTTGAGCGGTTCTACACCTCCAGGCACAACGGCAGGAAACTAACCTGGCATGCCACAATGGTAAGGCTATACTTAGTTGTGTTTCCTTTACTCACAAGTGTGTGTGTGCCACTGTAATAATCATGCCATGTTTATTTACTATTCCAATTAGGGCAATGTCGACTTGAGAGCGACTTTCAACAGCCGGAAGCACGAGCTCAATGTATCGACGATGGCAGCCATTGTACTATTGGTTTTTAACGATTATCCCGACGGCGAGACGATCCCATACACGACCATCGAGCAGGAGACAGGACTGCCAACGGAACAACTGAAACGGACACTCCAGTCTGTTGCCTGTGGAAAGTTCAAGATTCTGATCAAGGAGCCAAGATCGAGGGACATTGAAGAGACGGACGTCTTCAAGTTCAACTCTGCTTTTTCAGAGAAGCTGTCGCGCATCAAGATCCAGACGATCGCGTCGAAGGTTGAGACTTCGAGCGAACTCAAAGAGACCCACGAGAAGGTTGAGGATGCACGCAAGCACATGGCAGAGGCGGCCATTGTTCGTGTGATGAAGAACCGCAAGACGCTCGACCACAACAATCTCGTCACGGAGGTCATTGCACAGCTTCAAGGACGGTTCAACCCTGCACCTTCGATGATCAAGAAGCGCATCGAAGCTTTGATTGATCGTGAATATCTCGAGCGAGCTCCTGGAGACAGGTATGTAACAAATGTGTTTATCGTTGGTCTTTTTGCCCTGACATCAAAACCAAAACAGACTTTGACTAACATTGTCGATTATGTTCACCTTGATACACTCGCACTCTTAGGGCGATCTACAACTACCTTGCATAGTTCGAAGAGACTGAGAGGCACATTACATCATTAAAAAACAAACAAACAAACAAGCAAACAACCAAACAGTAAACTTAGGATAGGCCTTCGTTGTCATCCAAAGGGTTTGGCCTAGCTCAATTATGCATCAATCACGTGCGATGTGCCCCGTGACGGAGACCATGCATGACAGAACACTTTGGGCGCCTCCTCGAGTTGAATGCATTTCTCACTCCTTTACCTTCTCTTACAACACTCCACTCCCATTCTCCACACAATTACTCGTTCCATTGAACTCACCAACTCAGCGAAGCGCCCCACTCTTACTCACCGAGCACAAACAAGTCACGCATACTTCACACTTATTCCTCTCACACTTCAGCTCACTTCTCCCAGCACCAACCACGACTAAGACAACCTCTTTCGCTTGGAACAATATGGCCCCCAGACTCGACCTCGTTATTGCCCCCGGAAAGCACCTCGGATGGTTCAGACTCGGTATGGCATCGAAAGGCTTGCTACCCCTTAGCACATATTTTCTCCTTTGGCCCATGATAGTATCTGACATTGGTTGCGGATACCTTATTTTTTGAAAAGGTGGACTGACACGAAATCTCCGACATTACGCTCTTTGGAACTGTAGGCACGTCACTGTGGGACATTATCCGCCTCCTTCGTGACCAGGCTGCACTGATCCCTGTCGTCGAACTCAAGTACAGCGACGATGTAAATGAAAGCAATGATCCGACTGCGCCGTGAGTAGGCATGATCCTATGGAGAAGTAAGAAAAGTGCTGATCGTTGTCCTCGTTGTTGCTTGTCTATCCTATACCAACTGATAGCATCCATTCACGGCAGACATTGTGTTGAGACTGGCCTCGAATGGCATCGAGCTTCGGTTCGAACCATTGTCACAGCGCCTCAAGTTGATCAAGGTCGATGACTTTTCGAGACTACGACTCACTTATCAAGGAGGCGAGGTGTCGTCAACTAAAGCTCTCCCTACATTTCTTCAGGCCTATAAGCTGTTTGGGTAATTGTTAAGCTACATAAGCAGTTTATGAAGTCTTGTCAAGAATGTTCTTGCACACCGGACATGTGAGTAAGCAAGAAAGACTGATCGTAACGCTCATTTTTTGTTGGGTAATAGCCCGACGTACCCTGGCGAGTTTGATGGCTCCAAGCACTTGTACACCCTCAGCTACCCAGTAAGTTTTGTGGAGTATGACGCCGGTATTATTTCATAAAGACATCCTTGTTGAGTTGGCAATGGTTTTGACGAAAATTGTTCTTGTTACTGCCCGTGTCAAACAGGGATTGTCACTCGTCTTTCCGATCCCTGAAAAGCACATGCTCCTATACCAGTCTTCTGCAGGTATGAGTCTTGTTCTGATGATTTGAAGAATGTGGATATGGTTCTTCTCCACAGATGTGGCCGAAAGAGTTCTGACATTCTCTCCCGCTTCCTATGTGTATATCTAGATCTGCCTCTAGAGTTTCCAGATGGAACGACTCCAGTGGCGTCACACATGTATATCTATTACGGGGCTGACTGGAGTTCAGCTACTCCAGTACCGATTGCGACACTTATCAGGAACATCCAGGACTCGAGTAGCCCTGGTCACCATAGCGGGCGGTTCGGAGAGGGCAAAGTCGAACTGGAAAGAGTCACGGCCAAGGTAACGGGATCTATGACATCATGTACTGTTTTTCGGCTGCTCCTTTTTCTCTCTCTCCCTCTTGACCCTTGTTTCGAGTAAGGGCAGGCCCAGAAATTACGTACTTATTTAAACGGACTTCCGTTTCATGAATAGATCAACCATGGAGCAATACTTCAGTTCACAGGAGCTGGCCAGACACAAAAGTGCATTATCTTGCTAAATGTGACAACACCACAGGACCTACTAGCTGATTTGGGATCACCCGCGAGCATTTACTACAAGGAAGAGGACAAGATGAAGATTCATTCAGAGACCAAGGAGAGTTCTCGGATTCAACAGGAAGAGGACGGCATTTTGGGAGAGATGGATGATATTGGCTATGACCGGACGAACAAGCCCGCAGAAGGTGCCCACTATGCTCTTTCTTTGCATTTATGCTTCTTAATATGTATTTTCGCGTACGATTGCAGAACCCTAGCTAGATGCATTGCTAACACTTACTTCCAAATGACGCTTATTTGTTGCCACTTAGGTTCACAGCAACCAAACGACTACTTTTACAACTACTTTCATTTGGGCATGGATATTCTTTTTGACGGCAGTACACATAGGTGCAAGAAGATTGTGATGCACACGAACGTGCCTGGACATTTTGACTTCCAAAGGTACGCTACATTTGGGAAAAGGGCAATATGATTCATTGAGGCAGTTCAAACATAGATGCTGAACAGAGAAATCGTCTATCTTCAATCGATGATCTCATAGTTACAAGCGCTGCCCATTCGTCCTTCAGGTCCCCTTGTCATCACCATCATCCAACGCAAACATGGACGCAGAATCAGCAAGACTGCCCCCAATTGCACCACAGGCCATCACACCCTCACCCACCCGCCAGCAACAGTTCGGCATCAATAGTAACTTGGCTTCAGCTGCAGATTCAACTGCCGGCGGTGGCGCCAAGGCAATCAAGAAAAAGTCTCGAGCTGGAGGAGTGGCATCTTCACCCGACCCGAACGAACCCATCCCGTCTTCGTACTCGTCCGGGGAAGGAGGAAACAACTCTCGAGGGTCGCCTGATCTTTTGGGGTCTTCGCCTGTCCCGTCGACTTCAGCGGCAGATGCTGTCGCTCAGGAGATGGCTAGCCTCAACATTAACCAGAACCAACATCATCAACAGCAATCTTCATCGTTTGGAGCGTCCCCGACAGGAGGGATGATGACGGCCGTGTCGCCCGAGAAGGGAATCACTCCCGATATGAAGATCCTCACGATCATGGCACTTTTGGATCCCTCCACCAACAATATCTCGTCCGCTGCTGGCACGCCAAACAAACCAGCTGTGATCCTCAACCGTGGCTCGAGTACTCAGAACCCGTTCGGACCCACTACGCTGAATGGAACTGATGGCGTTGTCTTTGAAGCCACACGGAACGGACATATTGTTACCGTCATCCTCTATTAGAAAAGCTTTGATCTCGACCTTTCTGTAATCAGCATTGAGAAATAATAGTAGAGGTCCAAATAGATTTTATATTTTTTAGGTAAGGTAATTACTGTACATTGAGCGTTGGTTGGCATAGCAAAATTCGCGATGTTCAAAGAAGAGAACAAATAAGGGCGAGAAAGAGGGGGAAAAGAAAGGTAACCGACACGAAAGGTACCAGAATGTCAAGATAAAAAGAGCAAAACAATGGGTCAATTCCAATCTTGTTTCGTCGGCCGTCGCGGTTGTTTTTTGTCAGTTGATGGGTTGGTTTGTTAGTTGTTGGCTGCAGGGTAAATCTTGGTTCTGAGCAAGGAAGAAACCGATGTCCTTCTAGGGATCCATTTCATACATAGATTCTCGTATCATCCACTAATGGGGTAAGTAAGTTGGCCTCTTTGAGTGATTGTTAGGTTGTAGAGTGACCCTTAGGGCCCATTATGAGGAGGGGCGCTCGAGACCCGACGCCGAGCAGGTCCGTGTCCACGGGCACTGTCCTTGCTCAGCGTTGGTCCTGGAAAGGGCTCCTCCAGTCCGAGATTCGGTCCACTGGTGTAGAAGATCTTAGGACGGTAGCTTGACTCCTCCTCCATCACACTATTACGATAATATGAACAGAAATGGTTAGATGTCATCTGCACAAACAAAATCAAGTGTATGTTTACAGCTTTCAATTTCCGCACCTGGAGTTGCGGAACTTGTCAACAAGAGCGCGTCGCCCCTGGATGGTGGCATACGAGAGGCTGCAGATCTTGTCTGAATTGAACCGTCCCCACTTCTTGCCGACATGGTGTTGCACGAACGACGCAACTACCCTAGATAAAGACGCGGCAAAAGAAATAAACGGTCAGAGTAGAGAATGACATGAGCTGGTCAGACCAAGGCAATCTTCATCCAACACAAACAGCGCACGGTTGTTTTGGCTTACTCAATGTTGATAAAGTTGATGAAGGCGTAGCCAACGTTGCACTTGTTTTTGAAGTCCATTCGCAGATACAAGAAGTCGAACTTTCCAAAGTGGGACTCGTTGATACACTCGAGAAGCATCGACTATTTCGGACATACATGAAAAAAACAAAGTGAGGTTATTAGCTTCCAACCTGTCGGACAGCATACAACATTCAAACACTTTGATCCATCGTCATACCTGGGTATACTTGTTGGGGATATTTCGGATCATGAACGTGGTGCGCTTGTCAGAAGCTAAAAGGATATGAAAAATGGTTATTAACACAGGATGCTCATGGGATGTGACACAAGCGAAAGGCGCCACCGAACCATGAGGGGCCTAAACTTACGAGCCAAAGGGATGACAACTTCTCGTTGGGCTTGGCCGGTGTTCGAGATCATTGATGTGGTGCGCATCAGCAAAGGAGGACTGCGTGGGCGCTCAGTGGCTGGAAGCTTCTGAGATTGAATAGCAAAGCGCCAATGCTCTTCCCTTGTTCTACTCTCGACCACATCGCCATCAGGATGTGTCAACCCGCGTCGGTTACTCGCTGTAGGGGACAGAGTCCTCAGGGTCTGCTCGGCTGGCCGCTGGACTGTATTTCCAGACTGAGGACTACCTGCTTGATCATTCGAGCGAGAGGACTCGACACCACGACCGGCACTGCCTGAGGGTGGATACATGATATCGCCTGGGGTCGAATGGGTCCTGGCCATCCGATTACCGATTGGAAGAATGCTTTGCTGCTGCTGCCAATCACTCGATCCGACAAAAGTATTCTTCTGATAGAACGTCGCTTGGCAATGGATTCGCGTCTATGGATCAGAAAACACAAACGTTGTTAGCCTTCTTGAGAGCAGTGGTCACTTCAGCTTTTCAGTGGTTCACTTACGTTGTTGTGCATTTCTCGCAGCGCGGATAAAGCCAAGGCGGCATGTCTGGTGTCATAGTACTCGACAAGGATCATGGAGGGCCACCCATTGAACTCTTTTTGAAATGACTGGATATCTCCAAACGTCGAGAGGAACCGCTATTGTAGCAAGGGCAACTAAAAGTTAGTGTTGGTTCGCGCAGAAGATCCAACAAGCGCAATTCGCTACGGCAGTTGATCTTATCATTTACCAAGAGATCGTTGTCCGTCAGGATGGGAGCTTGAAGGGAAACGGCAAGAACTCCCTCATTGCCATTGATTGGGCACTCCGGAAGCACCTAGAGAAAAATGGAGAGTGGACCATACCCACGCGTCAGAACGATCCAGTTTGTTTAGGCCGTTGATCCGGTTTGTTTAGGACCTCGACCCATTTCTTTGACATGGAAAAAGAGAGATACGATAGACATACCCTACGGATGTATGAGGACGGACAGAAGTGGACCTTGATATCTGAGTTCTCGAATGCTGGGCTGGAATATAGACGCTTCGATGCGACCATCGCGTGACGGATGTCAAAGAACTCCAGGAAAACAATTCCGTCGCTTATCAAGAACGAGGTATAGGTTCCTTGGAGATCACCAAAGCTCTATTACAGATGCAAATAGGAGGAGCACATTTAGACTTTGACTTTGCAAGACTTTACAGCATTCAAAAAAGACAAAAGAGCAAAGGTAGGTGTGCTACCTTAAAAGCGTCTCGAGCAACCCAGATCGACATTCTACGGTCAACGTTGGAGACCTTAAGAAATCGCGTGGGGACTCCAGGGTCCGTCACCCTGTCGGCGCTCTGCGAGCGCTCCCTGAAGTAAATTCCTAGAGGCGATGTGTCCTCCGAATGCGGCTGGCCCTCTGAGCTCATAAATGGTCGCAACTGGCCAGCAGTCTGAGATGGGGTAAAGAGTTCGTTGAATCCCAACAGGGCTCGCGTCAATGAGTAGTCACTTGGGCTGGGCGAGGGTGAGAAGAAACTCTGGTTTTGTAGAGTAGTCGGGGGAGCAGCAGGCCGAACGACTCTTGAAGGGACCACGTCCTCGCGCTCTTGGACATGTGCTGAGTTGTACGAAATATGGCGAGCCTTGCATATCCCTGGAGCTTGGGTTGCACCGGAGACTGGAGTGTACAAACTTTGATCGGAAAATGTCTCTTGGACCACTGACTGCTGAACTTCGATGGGAACGTCGTCAACATCCTGACTCCAAGGCATGAAGCCGCTGTCGGTGCACGAAGCCTTGCGTCGATTTGTTCCGGGAGTTTCAAATGGCTCTGATCGATAGGAAAGTGAAGCGGAAGTCGCGGTACTGTCGTCACTGGTTGATCTGACATAGTCCTGTTGACCGGTCTCCTGCACCTGTAGTTGACCTCGACCGAGCCATGCATGCTGTTCGTAGTCCTAGTAGAACAGAAAATGAACCCGAAGAGGGAGCTTGTGTCAGCAAGATGGTGCGCATTAACAAAACATGTTCGTTCAGTCACCTATTGACAACGCGAAGAAAGGTACAAGGATCGCCTTACCGTCAAGAACAGACTGCGTGTGCCATAAGTGGCTGTTCTTTGTCCAATGTTCTGTTGAGGTGCAACTTGCGATTGGGTATTGGTGGAAGACTTTGATTGTCCAGAAAGTTGGTTCGGTGCAGAGCTTGACGATGCATCAGGCAGCCGCAGCTTCTCCATCATGAACGACAAGAGCGCAGAGGTTTGGTTGTTGTCGTCGTCGGTCATTTTGCGGATCGTGAAAGAAAAGGTGTGTTGAAAAAGAGGGTTTGATAAAAACGGAAGGAGGCTCAAAGGTTGAAAGATGTAAATAGCCCCAAGAGGACTGAAAAAAAGCGAAAGAAAGAAAAGATGGTGTGCGCAGAGAACAAGATCGAAATCCTACACCATACAGACGTTTGGGTCAGTCCAGGGAGGCCACTGCTATACCGGTAATCAAAGCGACGAGATTCCTTGTGAATATCCAAATTCCTGTCTTCAGGGATCAGACCGGCGCAGGGACGTCAGGCCGACAGATGCAACGGAAAAGGATGAAAAAAGGCAGGCAGCAATGAAAACAGGCAGAGTTCTTGACGATCAAAAGTGAATCTCGATGTCAAACGAAATGCAGTGTGTGAATTTAAACAGTTCGAGTCGATTCCCGTGCCAAGGCTCTATGTGAGTGGTGATCGCGAACAACGTGAATGGTCAGTACTCCAAAAAGAAGGATCTCATCAACGTAAGGGCTAGGAGGTCCTTCGGGAGACTAAATAGGTGGGATACTTGGTCAAGGTAGTTGTGTGGTGACGAAAGTGGAAGCGACTCTCGTGAACACGCTTCTCATTTACACTCATTGGAAGAGACAAAAGTGACAGTTTTTTTTGAGCGCCACCGAAATGAGAATCAGAAAAGAAGCTTTTTTCTGGTCAACAGCTTCGCCCAGTGCGATGTGCCCAGCTCGAGCTGTCCTTTAGTCGTGGAAAACAGTGCAACCAACCAGAATTATACTCGACCCACTTTACTCACAGATATTGTACTCTTTCTGGTCAATGGCGGGGTGGTGTGTTGTTGGAGGTGAGCAAGAAAGGAAAGGTGGAAAGAAAGAAAGAAGATGACAGAAATGAAAAAATAGTGGCGTAAAAACCGCACACTGCGTGAAAAGTGGCAAAACTGTTACGGATGACTGGGGGTGTTAGTGGGAGAGAGAGAAGACGAGCGAAAGAAGAGGAGAAGAGGAAGAAAGAATAGAGGGAGAGGGGAGAGAGGAAAGAGGATGTGTTTGGAGGTGGATTGTTGTCGAAGGTGTAGTTGTATTATAATTACCTGCCTTGCTTTGTTTGTTGGCGAGAAAAGGCGATAGAGAGTATGTCGATTTCCGTTGGCTTTTCGGCAAAATCAAAACAAAGGAGATGGGTTTAAGAGAGAACGTGAGAGGGAAAAGGCCAGGAGGTGCACCAAAGGCTAGGGATCAGAAAGGACGAGCTGGGAGGGATAAAGAGGGGATGATTGATGAACACCAAGGGGGACAGTAATGAAGGGAGACGGGGTAAGAATGGGGTGGGTGTGAGAGCGTGTCGGGAGGATGAAGAAAAGGAAGAAAGGAAGAAAGGAACGAGGGAGGATGGGAGGGTGGGAGATGGAAAGTAGGAAGAAAGTAAAAAAGGAAGGGGACGCGGATATAAAAGAAAAATTAAGAAAGAGAAGAGGGGAGAAAGAAGGATCAACCAAAATAATGGCGAAGGGGGGCGGCTCTTTTTGAACTCGCATGCATGCATACACAAATGTATCACACAAATTTGAATGACTGGGGAACCGAATCAACGCATTTCATTCCCATTGGTCATAAACAAACAAGCTACCATACGCTTACGCATGGACCATGCCCATCCCATTCATTCCATCGACAACACCGAAAAAGTAAATCCTCAACGGCAGCATTCACCTTTTTTTGTTATCTATTGTCATAATATTAAGAAAGAAATCCATTGGTTTTAATGACGAAGAGTACAAAAGAAGGAGGCAAAAGGTCAGTTCTTAGCTGCAATGGGTGGAAGGAAAGTGTGTCCAGGCTAAACAAGTCCATCGTATAAACTGAGCGCCTGCACGATCGTGGGGTCTTTCATCGAACCCTCCTTGAATTCTTCAAAGTTCAAACAACCATCCCTGTCCTTGTCCATGAGCGAAAAGATCTTTGATACGCGCTTCTCGGGCGTATCCTCGTCTGGAGGCAACTTGATCATGGTGCCAACCATTTTGTAGATGGCATCGACGATGCTCAGCATCTCGTCGTATGTGATCGATTGATTGTTGTCGATGTCGTACAGTTGAAATGCCCCTATGCGATGTCATGAGACGAGAAAAAGGTTAATCTCTCTGTATGCGGCAACTTTCCCACGCCTAGACTCTGAAATGGTACAATCTGCTAGAGAAAAACAAGAAAAATACACATCGACGCTGACATCATGGATTGGTATATCAAAGCAAGGACCCGACACCTTATCGTCTACTCGACTTACAATGTAGCTTTTCCTCAAGATTTCCTCGAGACGTGACCGAAAGAGCAACAATGAATTCCTTGAACTCGATCTTCCCGTTCTTGTTTGAATCGAAGACGTTGAACACATAGTCGGCAAAGGTGGACGGGTCACCGAACGGGAAGAACTGTTTATAAATCTTTTGAAACTCGGGCTTGTCAAGCTCTCCGCTAGGGCAGTCCTTGATAAAGCCCTTGTACCTACAAAAATAAAGGTGTCGTTTCACCGAGAAAGGTGTGTAAGGAATTCTTGAGCATAGCACAGCATTGAGCAGTAACCATTCGGGAATGCAGGGTTTGATAATGACGTCCTTTTCGTCATTGTTTTTGTTGGTCTGCCCCCTATGACCTTCTTTTCATCCATCGGTTGAGTATCCCTGCAACAGCGGTGACAAAAGCAACTCCTCGATCCTGTTTCTGTAGGTGCTGTACAGCCGTTAGACATAAACAAACGTGCTGGGGGATCAGTCCAGTATTTCAGAATACACGCTTCTGTTCCGGCTACGCCGCCCTTGTCTCCTCATTGTCCTCTTGTTCCCGATGGCTGTTGAGGTATCCCTGTCCCGTATTCTTTGAGAGTAATAACTCTATTTTGACTCCTGATGTTGTTGGGAGAAAAATTGTGTTGAAACTCGATGGACTGTGCTCAAACTGTGTTCTTGGACAGCTCGTTTCCACCCAGTTAGACAGACATGCATATCCAGCAGCACGAAGAGGGCCTTGAGAGCCACATTGCTGAGAACTTCAAATCGTGATGTCCATACCATTGCTGAAGCTCCTTCTTGTCGACTAGCGGAAAAGGGATAAAGGAATGACAGATTAGTGGCGTTCTACTTGCAGACAGAGGCGCTGTTGAAATTAGGACACTTGAATGCGTGAGCGAGTCTATTACATCGTGTGCATCGTTGAAGATCCTTGAGTTCTTCTGTCGTCAGTTTGGATTGTGATCGTCCCATTTTGTCAAAGTCGTGTAAGCTAGTGAGTTGGTGGTTTAAGTGAAGAAGAGTACAGAGGGTGGTGTATGGGGTTGTGCGGAAGAAGTTGTTTGGCGAAAGAAAATCTGGTTTTTAAGGAAGTGGAAAGGCAGGAAAAAGGCGAACGTTTGTGAAAATAATGATAGGAAAAGGTCAAGAAGGGTCATATTCGACTTTTTTTTCATTGAGAAACAAGTCACGTGGAGCTGACTCGATTGGTCGTGGCAAGGCCTGTGCACTCGATCTACCCAGACCGATACCTTGTACCCCGCGGTCACAAGAGCCTGACGCCTTAAATAACTTACAACTCCATCCTCATGACCATCGCTGCCCGACAACAACAGGACTTACCCACTCCAGCCTATAGCCGCTCATCACAGCTATTTCATTGAATGAGTGAATTCGGGGTGAATACGAGCAGTAGTCAGAAGAAGGGGCGCGGGTCGCGACTGACTGGCTTTTAGGGACTGGAAGTCTCCATGAATGCCAAAGAAGAACACACATACGGAATGGACACTCCAAAAACACCACTACCTCACTCACGCACACCCTCTTTTTATCTTTCTATCTTTCTATCTTCCATCTACCAACTAACCAGCCAACAATGACTTGCAGTCAGTGCCACCTGCACCGCCCTTCCTCGTCATGCATGTTGCATAATTCCCCAACTATAACACGCGCAACCCAAACAGCATGGGTATTTTTCATTTATTCTTGACACATACTCTCTTACCAATTGGTATCCATCCCTCTTTCCTCCGCATCTGTCACAAACACATACAAAAGACTTGATTTAAAGTTTGCTCCCCTCAGATCCAGTTCTTCCTTTTCTTTCTTTCCTTCCTTCCTTCGCTCCCACACATTTGTCCGTCGTTTTTCATGCAAGTGGAAAATTGATGAGAAATCGGAAATACATTATGATTATTTTTTTACTGCGACGCCATACGGTTGTTGACGCTAGCAGTTGCTGCTCTGGTCGTGATCTTTTTTCTTTTTCACACACACAAAATTCAAAATGCACAACAATTAGGCGTAGTCATCGCGTATTGAATTTAATAATACGTTTAGTAATAAAAACGAAAAGATGCATACAACAAACAGGAGACTTCTAGTCTACTAACACTCTCGCGCTTGTGGAACCTGCTGCTGGTAACCAGATTTCTCGCGCTCACGCATGGCTTTCTCGGCGTCGGCTCTCAGGTACTGCGCCTTGATCATGAACATAGGCACGACTCCAAATATAACCGCCCAAACTGCAATAAAGATCATTGGCGGGTTAATCCCCTTCGTCGCTGACAACTCATTATTCTGCAGAACTCCCAAGATGGTCAAAAAGATCACCGTCAAGAGTTGACCAAATCCCCACAGTAGCGAAGTCGACGAAGCCGGTGTGACGGGGTATGTGATCTCAACACCATACTCGAGACCGGCAGGGAGGACCGAGAAGCCCGAGATGCCGAGGATGATCGAGGTGGCCATGAGCCCCCCGAAAAAGTTTCTACGGATCGCGAAGTTGAGGGCGATGAACATTGCGCTGGAGATGGTGACCATGATCTTGGAGAAGCCGCTGAAGTGCTTGAACTTGTCGAGGAGTGGGGCAGAGATGGATGCTCCGAGCAGGCCAGAGAAGATCATGGCAGCGCCGAAATAGCCAGCCTCGGAGGAGGAGTAGCCGTAGGGGGCTGTGAACTGGGCAATGAGGGCGGTGAAGGAGGTGAAGCAGGCGGTGAATGTTCCAAAGACGAGCATCATGAGCAGGAACTGAGGGTTGCTGAGGGCCTTCTTGAGTGAGATGAAGAAGGGCTCTTCTTTAGTCTTCAACAATGCCTCGGCTGCCGAGGGTGAGGGCGGTGTTGGGGGTCGCTCGGCCATGAGGAGGGTTGGGAAGAGGGCAACGACGGAGAAGATGGCGCATATCAGGACGGTCCTCTTCACAGACTCTGCATCAGTGGTGATGGCAGGAATAACCAGCTGTGCCAAGGCAGCAGCAAGCGAGTTGGAGACGGTTCCGATCATGGTTGCTGTAGCACGTTCGTGCTCAGTGAACCAAATAGCAGCGTACTTGGGAGGGACGTTCATAAAGAAGGGCTGAGCAGCTGCTGCAATGACCTGACCGATCAATGTCAAAGCAAGACGGCCTTCAGACTGTCCAGGAGCAGAATCGACCAAGGTGCCCAGGAATCGAAGCCAAGACCCGACAATCTGCAGAGCGGCCCCAAAGATCAAAGACCGCTGGATCCCATGTCGCTCGCACATCCACCCTGAGATGGGCGCCATCAGGACGTAGGCAATAAAGTACAGGATCGACGTCAGGTTGATGATGGACCCAGAGCAATTGAGGAAAGCCATGGCTTGGGCGGGGACGGCCGAGTATGTGAGCCAGACAAACCCGGTGGCGATGTTAAGGGTGACGATAGCAAAGAGACCGATGTAGCGGGTATTGTAAGTGCGATAGATGGTTGGTTGTGTTGATAGCGTTGTGTCTTGGAAAGGGATGGTAACTGCGCCCTGCATTGAGATACGTTGCGGCATTGAGGCAGAGTCGAGTAGTGGGAGGTGTTGTTGTGAGTCGCTCATTGTGAATCGAGGTGAAGAGAAAGAAAGCAAGAATGGAGAGTGTTGTTGAGAATGCAGATGGGTGTTGGGAAAGGAAGAAGCGACTAATGACTTGTCAGAAAGAGGTGCAAGTCTACTCGTTTTTATAAGAGAAAGACATTAGCAATGGTTAAAGTACCAAGGGTCGCGTCAAAGCGTTTCTAATAATATTCAGCATAATGCTACGCTGATTAGGGTGACCAAACAGCCTCAAATGCCCCTCTGCTCAGCCCTCGTCGACTTTTTCCTTGGCTGTTGTAGCTGTTTGCCGCTAGTCCAATCTTACTCGCCTGTCAGTTCTCACCATCTCCTTTCTCCTTTTCCATCCTGCAGCCGCGGTTCCTCACAGTGAAAAAAGGCAAACAGCACTGCCCTTCCCTCCTTTTTCGCCTCCCATCTCTGTCATCTCACCCTCCCGTTTAAGCCTAAAGCTCTCTAGACCCTCCATCTTTTTTCTCGCATGTCTTTCTTCTTTCTTTGAAATGCCTCATTCACCTAGACGTCAATGGGCTGTAATACTGAGAATGTCTAAACCGCTTAAACTTGCAATTGTGTAAGGCCAAGCAAGGGCCAAAGGGTCAAGAAGGAATACGGCTTTCTTGGCGATGGCTAATTTTCTGACCGAGGGAGTTGTCAGCAATAGTCTATCAATGCTATTGGCTGTGTCTTTGTCTTTCTCTTCCTCACCCCCCTTGCTCATCATATACGATGTAATGTGTGTTGGTGTGTTTTCTAGCCTATCTTGCGTCAATATCCAATTAGCAACAAATGATAGGGCAATGAGAGCTGTGCGGGGAATCAAGGAAACAAAAAAGTACGAGCCCCTGTCTCCCTTTTTCCTTGTGTCTCCGCTCCCTTCTCGGTCTGTTCTCACCTTGTTTCCAGGCTGGCAACCTTCGAAAGTTTATATCGTGTAATATTTTTATTTTGTTTTGTTTGTACGACATGAGGGGTCTGGTCCTGGATCTGGTTGGTCAGAATCGTCTACCCGTGGAGAAAGAGAGCCACACAAATTTTTGGATGGAGAGGGAGGCGCCATTCGCCTGCCGAACAATCATCTGATTGCGACTAAGGTGGGGGGGAGGAGCCCCTTCGTAACAGCAACCAGGCCGGCGACAAGAAACGAAACCATAGACCTCGAAACCTATTATTTTTTCATAAGATTGATCCTAACATTACATGTGTTCTTTTTTTTCTTTTCTTTTCGTCGCATGAGTGCAGAAGGGTTCATTCATAGGCAGCGCGAGGTTCATTGGAAAATAGAATCAAGGTATCCGTACAGATATCAACTTTACGTCGTGTGTAGTACACCTTCTCAATTGTGGGGAGAAAAAAAACGAGTCGAAGGGGAGGGGAAGAAGAAGATAGGAAGGAGACCTGAGCGAAAGAACTGGCCCCACAAAACTTAACTGCAAACGCCTGTCTGGAACTGAACTTGATGAAAAGAGCACATGAAGATTGGATGAACGGATGGACGGACGGGCGAACGGATGGACCTTGAAACCGAACAGGAGAGAGAGAGAGTTGCCGGAGATTCACCCTTCTCTCCACTTCTTCGATTTTATTCGCACAATTGACACATGTCTACACGGTCCTCTCACTTCTTATCTACGAACAAAAACGAAACCCAGAACCTTAGCGAGCCACCAGCAAGAACCCACGGTCGGACCTCGATGGAAGCAAGTGAGGGAAGAGACGAAGATTATGAAATTATGTGCTTGATCGCCTTGTGCGTCTGTTTTGTGCTCTTGCGCTTGGGATGGCTGAAGTAGCGTGCTTTTTGCGATGCCATGATCGGGATGTGTAAAATTAGCATTGGGTTTTCTAGCATTATTATAATTGAGGAAAAATGAGGGAGTACAACCTTTGATCGCATTTCACAATTACGTTGACATTAAAAAACCACGACCGAAGAGCAACCGACCATCACTCACTCGCTCACTCACTCACTCATTCATTCACAGAAGCAAAACAAAGTAAAGTACGAGGTGCGAGTATGGTGGCGGAGGTCAAGGAAGGGATGGATACAGTGGGATACCAGGCTGGGACCTGGTGCTGAGGATGTCGTTTAGTTAGAACTTGTAGGACCGTTCGATGGATGGCATTAACGCCATGCCATTTCGGGGGGAACCGTGCGAGAGAATGGAAGGGAAGGAAGGACCATGGAAAGAAGGGTGTTCTTTTAGTCAGGGCAAAAATAAAAGAGAGTTGATTCTGGCTTAGTCAACGCATGGATGACATTCTGTTGGCTGATGTTTGTGGTCTGAAGGGCTTATGTGCATGAATGATTGTGTGCTTGTGGTCCCTGCACGTGAACTGAGTGAACAAGCCGAGCTTCTAACAAAAAATGAAATGAAATGTGTTTTGAGCCAAAGGAAAGTCCGGACTATGGAGAGTCTACTCTTGTTTTCCCCCCAAGGGTGTAAAATGAGACAGGCAGGCAAAGGGACACCAGCCCATGTTTGACATGGCCGAGGAAAGCGTGAAATGGACAAGAAGGCGCGAAGAAGAGACAGGAGGAATGAAGGGAAGGAGGATAGACTTGTGGAAGAGAGGGCTCTCCAACTGTTGACATTTTGACACCTGAAAAACAACAAAGACATGAAAGAGAGAAGAGCAACGAGCCGCTCTCAATTTCTCCAACCCGCATCCTCTCCTACATACCCTTTTACCTTCTGCCTCGATCTTCCTTTTCCTCTTCTTTTGTTGTTGTTGCTCGTGCTCAGAAAAAACATAAACAAAAAATAAAGCGCATTGTGGGTTGGTTCATTTCTCTCAGTAGCCTCTCCGTCCACTTGGGACTGGATTTGGACCAACAAGGATTTAATGGCCGTCAAGACCGAAGATGCGCGGTTGGCGTGAGGTCATGTTGCCCTTCCCTACCCCTAACTTATCGGAAATTCTCTGAGGAACAAGACCGTTACTAGCGCTTCGGCCTGCACCATACAAGAGGCGTAGTTCTTTACTGTCCTTTTCTCGCGGTCGGCTCGTGGTTGCTTCGCTTCTCGTTGCCTTTTACCAAACTTGCACTTTTTTTGTGAGGTGTGTACAAGGAGGAAAGAGGGACGAGGGTTGAAGTGTCAGGAGAAAGATGAGCACAGAAAGAGAAACGACTTGTGTGACGAAGAGTAGGGGAAACAAAGAACAGGATGAACAAACAACGAGGAGAGAATTGGTCATTGGATTTCGTTTTGTTGTATTTTGTGCACAGAAAAACAATAGCAACCAGTGTAGTAGTATCTAGAGGACATTTAAGATGATAAACAAAGAACACAAAAGAGAAGGACGAGAAGGCACAAGGCGCGCATCTGTCCTGGATAGTTTTGAGCCTTGCGCCATTGTGAATGATCCCTCTATGAACAATGCTGGTTGAACCATGATACTCACGAGAAGGAAAAAAGTTGTTTGTGTACAGAAGCAGTTGCTTTTTAGTAACGCAATTGGTGGTGTGCATTGGATGGAGGGAGAACAACAAGCAAATCAACAATTGACAACAACAATAACATGCACCGACTGGTGGTAGGGATCAATGAAATCGACAACAAATAAACAAAGAACAACAGGTATTGTCATTGTTGACGGTGGTGTTGTTCTTGCAAGCAAGCATGAGAAGAGCTTTCTTTTCCTTCCCTCTTCCACCGTTGGTGATAACAGGCGTCCTTTTGGTCGGTCGAGTGATGGATGGTCTGTCTGTCTGTCTGTCCGTCTGTCTGAGTATGAGATAGAGGATTGGCTATTGATCGGGCAGATTTGTTCTCCCTTCTGGATGCCCGACGCAACCGAGATGGACATTTGACCTTCTCTTTCTCGTCATGGGCGCCTGCTTACTCTTTGCGATGTGGGAGTTGGTAAGGTTATGAGCCATACTAGCAATAGTAACTAATGAAAGAAAGACGCATATGAATGTGAGGTCCAATTGAATTGACGAAATTGAATAGCAGCTGTCTGTGTCCCTTCGCATCGGTTTTTCTCGCTTCCTTTTCCCTCCCTTTGCACATGCACATGCTCACACTCTACAGTGACAAGACAATAATAATTCAACTACCCTCCCCCATTTCTCCACCCTTCCTCCAGCTACTCACATCCAGCCCCGCCAAAGTTCTCTTCTTCTGATAAAAGGATCCTCTCTTCCGCCCCCTATCTCTTTTTTTTTCTTTTTTTTTCCTTTCTAGTTTCTCCATCGACCTGATCCTCCTCTCCCACCACCCACACCAACAAACACCACCTCTCCATTCCCTTACAAAGCCTCCATCAACCAAGGCCTCACTCTCACTTTACGCTCATCACCTCGCAACTCTCTCTCTCTACCTCTCTCTCACGTCTCTCTCTTAACCAACAACAACACATATTATCAACATGACCAAGTGCCTTACTGTCGACGTCGGTCCCTCCGAAGTTCAGGGCGAGACCCGTATCCGCCGCTCCGTCCTTTCCGCAAAGCGCCTCATGTCCTCGCCTCACGACGATATCAAGACCCTCTACGATGTTGTCAACCACTCTGTCAAGATCCGCCCCAACCTCAACGCCATCGGCTACCGCAAGGTCGTCAAGATTATCGATGAGGAGAAGGAAATCACAAAGATGGTCGGCGGCGAGGAAGTCAAGGAAAAGAAGACCTGGAAGTTCTTCAAGATGTCCGGCTACCACTGGTTGACCTACAAGGATGCCAAGCAGGTCATCGACAGCATCGGATGCGGCCTCCGCAAGTTCGGCGTCAACCCTAAGGATAAGATGACCGTCTTTGGCGCCACCAGGTAAAAAAGAAGCTTGATGTTTTGTTGATTGTTTCGTCGTTTTCTTGTTCCAGGTGGGAGAAGAATTAGTTGGGGTGGGACAAGGTCGCCAAAACATTCGCTCAGGAACTATTTTGGTGGGATGTGGAGATAGATGTCAGGTGGTGCCAAAAGAAAAGAGAGCAGCAAATCTCTCCTACTCCACTCACCCCACCACTGGACGTGCGCTGTCCTTTCGACTTACACAACGCCTTTTCAGAAGGAGAAGAAACTCGAGAAAGGGTGATCAACCCCCAGGAGTGATCAATCAAAAAGAGGAATTTGGTTCGCACGTATCATCCATCACCAATGCCCGTCTCCTTTCACAATCAACTAACTAAACCGCTTATACTTATTCTCCGGCTGACAATAGTGCTAACTGGCTCTTGGTTGCCCACGGTGCCTTCACCCAGTCCATCACCATCGTTACCGCCTACGATACCTTGGGCGAGGATGGTCTTTTGCACTCCATGAACGAGGCCGAGGTCGCCACCGCCTACACCAACGCCGACTTGCTCAACACCATCAAGAACGTCGCTGGCAAGTGCCCCACCTTGAAGAAGATCATCTACGACGGCGAGGCCAAGCCCGCCGACGTCATCGCCCTTCAGGATGCCCACCCCCACCTCGAGCTCATCACCCTCGAGGAGTTGAAGCAGCTTGGTGTCGACAACCCCGTCGAGCCTACTCCCCCAGCTGCCAAGGACTACTGCTGTATCATGTACACCTCCGGATCCACCGGCAACCCTAAGGGAGTTTTGCTTACCCATGGCAACTTGGTCGCTGCCAGTAAGTGGTTGTTTTTTTTTACTCCGCAACCCATTTCTCATTTGTTATTCCATCGAGTTCTTCCAGGACTGTTAAAGTGCTCTCACCAAACAAATGAGGAAATGGTATCTCCATGAACCTGTGGGAAACTGTCTTTCTAATCCTGAACTTTGTTATCTCTGCGCAACTCTTCTATAGTCGGTGGTGTTAACAAGATGTTGACAAAGTACGTTCACGAGGGAGATACCTTGCTCGCCTACTTGCCATTGGCTCACGTCTTAGAGTTCTTGGTCGAGAACGTTTGCTTGTTCTGGGGTGTCACCCTCGGATACGGTACCGTCCGCACCTTGACCGATGCCTCTGTCCGCGAGTGCCAGGGAGATATCAAGGAGTTGCGCCCCACCCTCATGACCGGTGTTCCTGCCGTTTGGGAGACCATCCGCAAGGGAGTCTTGGCCCAGGTCAGCCAGGGTTCGCCTTTGGTCCAGAAGGTCTTCCACGCCGCCTTGAATGCCAAGGCCTGGTGCATGGAGCGCAAGTTGGGCGCTTTGACTGGAATCTTTGACACTGTTGTCTTCAACAAGGTCAAGCAGCAGACTGGAGGACGTCTTCGTTTCGCCTTGTCTGGAGGAGCCCCCATCTCCCAGGAGACCCAGCGCTTCTTGTCGACTGCCTTGTGCCCCATTCTCCAAGGTTACGGTATGACCGAGTCCTGCGGTATGTGCGCCATCTTGACTCCTGATGTTTTCAACTACAACCGTGTCGGCTCGCCCGTTCCCTGCACAGAGGTCAAATTGGTCGATGTCCCTGATGCAGGTTACTTCTCGACCGACTTGCCCCGCCCCCGTGGTGAGGTCTTCATCCGTGGACCCTCCATTACCGCTGGATACTTCAAGAACCCCGAGGAGACCTCGGCCACCTTGACTGCCGACCGCTGGCTCAAGACCGGTGATATCGGTGAGTGGCACCCTGACGGTACCATCTCGATCATTGATCGCAAGAAGAACTTGGTCAAGTTGTCCCACGGAGAGTACATTGCTTTGGAGAAGTTGGAGTCTGTCTACAAGTCGACCGCCTACTGCAACAACATCTGCGTCTACGCCGACTCTATGCAGAACAAGCCCGTTGCTATCATTGTCGCCTCGGAGCCCCGCATCTTGGAGTTGGCCAAGGCCAAGGGCATTGCCTCGAAGGATTTCGCCGTCCTCTGCCATGACAAGGTCATCATCAAGGCTGTTCTCGATGCCTGTTTAAGCACCGCCAAGCGCGCCGGATTGAAGCCCGCTGAGATGTTGCAGGGAGTCTACCTCGAGCATGAGGAGTGGACCGCCCAGGGCGGTTTGTTGACCGCTGCCCAGAAGTTGAAGCGCAAGGATATTAACCAGGCCTACGTTTCCCAGATCAAGACCCTCTATGCCTAAAGAGGTTCATTTTGTCCATTTTTCATTTCCCCAACGAACATCAACCCTACCACATGTATTATGAACACAAAACACTACAACAACAACAACAACAACAACAACAACACACGCAACGCGCCCACCCTCTCCGTAATAGCGTATACCCAATTATCCTTCTGTGAAGGATGATCCCAGTGAAGAATAAAAAACCAAAAACATCTTCAAAATCACCTTTTCAATCGAAGTGAGACATTTGAGATATACTTCGACAAGTGCACGTTGAGAAAAATAAGGACGACACATGGTGTTCTCGGACAATGCACGCAAAAGAACTTTTTTTTCCGCGAAATAAGAAGAAAGAGAGGAGATGAAGTAACGTTTTACAAGTTTTTTTATGGGAGGAGGGTTTTTTTTTGTAGAAAGAAAAAAATGTAAAAAGGAGCTATCTAAACAAGTTTTTTGGTGGAGTGTGGTGATATGTAGGAGTGTTGTTGTGTGGTTATTTGGTTTACTGAAGATATGAGAGATGGGTGGGGGTTCACTTTTTTTTAAAACTTCTCGGTGACCTGGACGTCAATGGCGTCAAGATCAACCTCCTCACCCGCGACAAACACCCGCTTCACAAACAAATCGTCGGACAAGAAGACCAAATCCGCATCGGCACCAGGCTTGATCACACCCTTGGTCTCCTGGATCCCCAACAATACTGCCGGGTGCAACGTCACCGCCTCCAGAGCCTCGATCAAACTGCAAGACGTGAATTGAATGAAATTACGGATGCAAGCGTCCAATGTAATAACCGACCCAGCAAGGGTATCGGTTCCCTCAATATAAACCCGGTCCTCCTCCTTGGTAACATTCATGTTTCCGAGCTGGTAGTTTCCGGGGGCGAGGCCCATGGCGGACATTGCGTCAGTGACGAGGATGACACCCTCGGGATGGGAGTCGTAGGCGATCTTGACCGAGTTTGGGTGAACGTGAATGCCGTCGCAGATGAGGCCGTAGTAAGGGCGGGGGAGGTCGAAACGAGAGCCGAGGAGGCCGATGACACCGGGGTCGCGGTGGTGGAATTGGGGCATGGCGTTAAAGAGGTGGGTGATGAAGGTTGCGCCCTTTTGGACGGCTTCTTCGGCCTGCGAGATGTTGGCCATCGAGTGACCTATTTGGTTAAAGCATTGGGGAGGGTAGGATGATAGACAACGTTAGAATAAGAACAAGGAAAAAGACACCATACTCCTTCATTGTGGACAATAAAAAAAAATGGCAAGGAACGTACCGACGGAGATGGTGATGCCGGCCTTGGCGAGGTCAGGAATGCTCTCCATGATACCCTCAAGCTCGGGGGCACAGGTAATGATCTTGACCGAGTTCAGGTTCTGCTGGGACAACTTGTTCTGGGCCTCGGGCGTCTCGCCCTCAAAACCATAGACGTCCTTGAAATCAGCATATCCGTTCTTGGCAGAGGCCTGCAAGACCTTCAACTCGTGGGCTCCAATACGGGCCTCGTTGATGAAGGGGCCTTCGACGTGGGCTCCAAGGATCGTGGCACCTGTCTTGGCTGATCCTTTGCGAGGCTTCAAGTGCGAGAGAACCTAATTGAACAAACAAAACATAATGATGGAAGAAACAGTAAACAAAAGAAGGGAGAAGAGGAAAACGAGGGTGAGTATGACGAATATTATCCGATTGTCCATCCCATGTGTCAGGGATGCTTTTCTGCGAGATAATGCAAGCATGATGGGAAGAGGGTGAAGAGGGGCAATGGAGTGAAAGGAATAGAGAAGTAGGGGTCTGGGCTCATTGTGTTTGTTGTTGTTATCCTCCTGTCGTTGTTGTGGTATGCTGTTGTCGAATGTTGAGGATCAAAAAAGGGTTGTTATCAGGGTGCGTGTGATCTTACTTTGTGGTACACAGAGGCGGAGGAGGAGACGATGGTAGGGCAGTAAGAGGTGGTTCCGTACTTGAGCAGACCACGGTTGACCAACAAGAGATCCTTCTCGTAGGTCTCGGGGTCAGAGGGGACCGAGAAATCGACACCAAAGGCACCTAGTTAGAAAGAATAAGATGTAATTATGCATGAGTACAAGGTGCTTTTCGCCTTTTGCTGCAAGCAATGCCAACCCATTGATTGCTGTTGCACCCAACGGCCACCACGAACCAAGGCACAAATGTGGGAGTATCTCTCTTCATTTCTCCCCCCGCCCAAAAAGAAAAGAGAATTAAGGTAAAAAGGAAAATGAACATCTCGAACACACCGAATCACAATCAACATCCCCTCTCTTCTCACAGTTCAACTCAACAAAACTCTCACGGAATCGAATGTGCTCTTCCAAACTCACTGACACATCGAATTCCTTCTTCATCTCTCTTGAAGAAAAGTAAGATGGTCTAACTCGTGGGTTGGTTGCAATTGAGAATAGAAAAAAGGGTTCTCTCTTGGTGCATGTGTATCCTTTATGCTCCGTGTGTGTATGTGTGCAAAGGTCCGTGAAAAGAAGGCATGGAGAGGGGAGAGAGAGGAAAGGGGTGATAATCAAACGGCCCAACGGGTAATAGGGGATGAAGAGTGGAGGCGAGAAGGCGCATGTCGAATTTGGGCGCCTTTTTCCTAGTTGTTGTTGTTGTTGTTGATGATGATGATATGGTCGATGATGCTGTAACATTACTCTGCATCTGCATGTTTGTTTACATTGCTGATTCTGACTCTCCGCTTGTCGGCTTGCTGTTGTAGTCAGGCCAGCACAGTTTGGTCCAATGGTTGATCAAAAGACACTCACTCCTCTTCCATCTCTCCGTGCTCCCTTCCTTACTCACTCCCCAACCTTTCCTTTGTTAATGACGCCGATGGCTGAAAAGAAAAAAAAATCTTCTGACTCCAAAATAAAAAAAATCAATATTTATCCATTGTCGTTTGTTGTATGCTGCTGTTTGCATGTTTTGTTGCGCGCCTCTGTCTTGTTGTCTTGCTGGTATCTGCTTCTCTGTTATTATTGTCGTTGCTGTGGTTGTTGCTGTTGCCCCTAATGCGCACTTCATATAACAACAAGCACCTCCTCTCTCATCACTCAAGAGGTAGATAAAGACTTACCGTTGATCTGGGCTTCGATGAAACCGGGGACGACCAAGAGTCCGCCAGCGTCGAGGACCTGGTCGGGAAGACGCTTTTGGTACCAGAAGAACTTGTGGGGGTCGATGATCTTGCCACCCTGGATCCAGATGGCGTCGTGCTCGACGATCTTGTGGTCTCTGAGGATCTTGCAGTTGGTGATCTTGATCACCTTAGGCTCGTTCTCGGGTATGGGGGTATGGGGCTCGGGCGAGGCGGGTGCCGAGGAAGTGAGGGATGACGTCTGGAGTGCCACAGGGTACTGCATGATGTATTAATATAATAGGAAGGAGGGAGAGATTAATGAAGAGGGGGTGGGGTAGAAAGGCTAAGGAGGAGGGGAAGGAAGAGGAGAAGGAGAATGAGATTATGGCAGCGAGGTGAATGAGGGGGAAAGGGGGAAAGGGGGGGAGGTGCAGTTTAGGGTGAGTATGAGGATGAAGAGGGAAAGGAAGTGTGGAGGAGAAGAGAAAAGAGAAAAGAAAAGAAGAAAAAGAAGAAAGGAGGAAGAGGGGGGAGTATAAAAAAGAAAAAAAAATGGGCACACACATCAACCATCAGTTGTCTCTCTGCCTCTCTCTCTCTGTCTGTCTCTCCCACCCATCCCTCCCTTGGCTCTGATTTGATGAAGATAACACATCTCTCTGGGGAGCCCGTCCTGTAAGAACACAGGGTGATAAAATAGTACCAAAACACACTACATCAATTCAATCAGTTATTATTATTGATTGAACACTTCCCTCTTCTCCAACCCTTCCTTCTGACCTCTCCCTTGTCTACCTCTTCTTCTCCCTGCACTCGTCCTTCTGACTCTTCTTTCCTTGCCGCGCTCTCTTTCTCTCCTTCCCTCTTCCTTACCTACTTGGCGCCCTCTACTTGCATCACCCTTTTCTCTCTTTCGCTCTCTTGCATCTTGCTTTCCTTCCTCGTTGGTTCTCGCAACGAACACAAAAGAAGGCTGTCTCAGTCACCCGTCTTAACCGGTCTCCAAAACAAAAAAGTCTCCCATCAGCACCAGCACCGACAACCAACTACAACCACTTCCCCTCTCTTACTCTCTCTCTCTACCATGGCCCCTTCGTTCTGCCTCAGTCAATCGAAATCAAAGAAGGAACAGGGAAGTGCATTAAGACCTTCGTAACCAACAAGGTCAAAGCAACTAGCGTTGGGAGGCGTTTGCAGGTCCAAAGAAGGGAGTAAAGGTAGAGTAGGCAGCAGTGGGGTGTCGGGTTTGTGCTAGGTAGAGTCCGTCCACTTCTGATCCCGGCCGGCCTCCTGTATACAAACAACAATAACAAAATATTGAGAAAACAAAACAAACCAAAACAAAAACAATCAAACAAACAACAAACAAACAGGCAAGAAGAAGAAAAGAAGAAGAAAGAAGAAAAGGAAGAGGAAAGAAACTCTAAAAGGATACAATAACCCAACAAGCAATGGGAAATCAGAGATGACCAAACTACCCCTTCCCCTCTCTCCCCTTTCGTTTTTAGTGGAAACGAAAAAAGAAAAAGGTGTACACAAACTTTGAGATAAGATCAGATTTTTTTATCTTGAGGGAGTGAGCATTTTTTTTTTTTTTTTCCTCTTCCGCCGCTCTCACACCTTCTGTCTCTTCTCCTCCACCATGGGATGACGGCCTTGCCTTTGCCTTTGCCTTTGCCTCACCGCCGATCAGCCCTCTTCCTCCACTATTTTTTTTTATTCACGCATTTGTTTTTCTTTCCTTTGTTGTTGTAATGCAATGCTCATTTCTCTCTTTCTCCATCTACTTGTTGACAATCAATGGTTGACAACCCCACCAATGGAGCTACCCCACATCCCCCTTACTTTTCTCACTTGCCCATTATCCGATCTTGCAGATGCTTTGCTTCTCGTTATTGAATGTTGTCCTGCATTTCAATTGAACGTATAGTTTATTATTTTATTGTTATTCCATGTCGCAGGAGCCTGTTTGAACAAGAAGGGGTGGGGAGTGGGTCGAGACGCAAAACAGAAAGCCCTAGCGGCAACACAAGGAGGAGGGAAAGGAGGAGGAGGGAGTGAATGAGCCTGGAATAAGACCAACGAGAGGAGGGGGGGTAAACCATGACCAGACTGAACTTCTTTTTTTTTTCACCCAAACAAAGAAAGAGGTGATAACCCAAAATAAGATTGTGCTGACACTCAACAAGAACAAGAGACTCATCTACCCTTTTCCTGTTTGTCCACTCCACACCCGACTCGCACCTCATTCACAGTCTTACTTACCCAGTTTTTACTCTTCATCTTTTCGTCTTCATACAAGAGCTATGGCTCAGAGTTCATACCACAAACCCCATTTTCTATCAAATAAAGATACTTCTCCTCACCGTAATCTAGAGTTGTAATCCAGCCAGCCAGTCGAGTCAGCCCAGCCCAGCCATTAGGAGATATGACATGAGGGTACAGCTGACGAAAAGGATAGGTATTAAGTGGTTGGATGAGTTGAAATATTGTTGCTCGTTGGTTGAGTGGGTGGCCAGTGCTTGCATTGTCCGTCCAGGTTCGATCTTATCTTGCTGCATGATGAGCGAACCGATAGAACCGATAATGCAGTTGATATCTTTACTTTTTTCTGGGTCCGTTCGTTCTCCCTCCCTCTTTCTCTTTCCCTCCCTCCTTCTCCTCGGCTGTTTTGCTAGTCAGCCAGTTGGTCAATCATTCAAGCCAATGAACTCAATAGAGTCAATCGGGCCTTTCCCTTGTGCCTGTCTGTCGACCTCTCAGTCTGCATATCGTTGGAGTCAACTGCACCTTTTGTTCAATACATCCCCTCAGTAAATGTTTACATGCTTTTTTTAATATTTTCTTCTCCTCTAAGCCTACGCCTCCTTCTCGAAAGGCTTCTGTCCTACAAGGATATAATAATCAATGTACGACTTATTCTCCTCACACTCTCGAATCCAACTCTGTACCATCAAATCAAACGCCTTCATGGAAGCCCCATCAAACGAAGGTGTCATCTCTACAGGAACCAACGCCGACTGCAAGGTCTGGAAAATCAACACCATATTCTCGGCCATCGCTTGCCCGACCCTCCCACCCCACGCTCCTACAGGGATCGAAAGTCGTTCCAGTTTGACATTTTGGAATCCAATCTCGGGCGATTCACAGAGCCTCTTCATTTTCTCGCCTGCGAAATCGAAATCGAGCCCACGTTCCTCCTGGAGGAGGCGCGAGCACCACCGCATGACTTCTCGGGTACGGGTCCCTGCACGATGAACGCGCATACAGGGTTCGAACAACTCGATCCACCCACCGGGCTTCATCACCCTCCGGAGCTCCTTCAACGCCACAGGCCAGTCCTCGACTGTCAGACCGAGGTAGAGGAATCGCTGGTAGACGAAATCAAAATACTGGTTCGGAAACGAGAGTCGGGTCAACAGGTTTGAGGGTGAGAAGAGACAGTTGCTCGGAACTGCCTGATGGACACTCGGGAAGAGTTCTGGATTGATGTCGATACCGTATACAGTTGCATTCGGGAACTCTTTGGCCATTTCCTAATAGAAGGAAGTAGGACGAGAGAAAGAAGGTGGGAAGTCGAGTGGGTTAGAATTGACAGCAAATCACGTGTATGGGCCTTCAAGGTAAAGGTCGTCCGCTTCTGGTCTTTCTCGTCTGTCTACCTTCTCGTTTATCCCTTCGCATACGCCTCTTCTTCTGCGCAATAGAAACACCAGAACATTTGGGTGCTGCTTGTGATGTTCTCGACGAGGGTTGTTTTACCAGTTCAAAAAAATGCCTGCTTTCGTCATGCGGCCATGTGGCCCATTTGATTTTCACTCAACGCCCGCTTCGACTTCAAAACACAATCTACTCTCCCCTTCTTCTACTTTCTCCTTTTATGTTGTTCCAACCGGTTTTTTGTGTCAAAACACTTTTACCCCTTGCCTTGACACAATTAGATATCCCCTATCATCTATTCATCTTGTCCTCCCTTCTCCTTTTCCTCGACCCCAACGTAAAACAATAAAGAGACTTACCATAGTCCACTCTCCCAAACCACAACCCGAGTCCAGAATCCGGTCAATATCATATCGCAATGGGGCGTGTGAGTTTCCACCGCCAATGTACTTCCAGAGTGCATGTTGTCCCTTTTGACTAATGTGTGTCAGAAAAATAAAATAAAATAAAAAACACATGGCCCTCCGTTAATACCATCAACAAAAGAAAAAGTGGGCGCTGTTCTGTTGTTGTTGCGTAATGGTTCAAAAAATATGAGCAATAGGGGCAATTTGCACAAGAACAAAAAAAGAGCTTCTGTTGGATATGCACTCTAACCGTACCTGTCTTGGATGTCTCGGCTGATGGTCGAGATGCTGGAGGAACTGAACCGTCTCCTGGCTGCCATCCATTCAAACTGGGGTGGAGGTCGTCGTCGGCTGCTTCGCTTTTCCTTGTTATTGGTACCATTCGAGTCAAGAGCCAAGGACTCGGTTCGTTGGATCAGATCGCCTTCAGAGTCGCCCGTTTCAGTATCCGAGAGAGAGTCTGCATCGCTGTACTCTTCTTCCTCCAAAGACTCGATCAAAGAGAGACCCTGGGGATGGTTGCCGAGAAGAGACCGGAGCGAGGAGAGGGTTGAGCTAGGGCGGTACGCCCGTGGCTTCGATGGAATAAATGAACCCTCATCGCCCGAAGCAAACTGCGCGTCTCCGTTCGCCGCACCCCTTGAAGTTGTTGTAATCGAGGTCGAGGACTCAGCGCTGGAAGAAGGAAGGGTGGGGAGTGAGGCGGCCAAAGGTGAGACGAGCTTGGATCGCGACATAACAAGCTTGGTTGATGTACGTGGCCCCTGAACCGCCGGGTAATGTGCATGGACCTCATTGCTAGTACCGGCCGAGCCGTTGTCATGTGCGCCTGTGCTGCGTTCACCCGTCATCTCTGGTTGACTCAAGCCTCTTGCCCTTGCGCTGGGGGTGGGAATGGGTTCAGAGGTGTAGGCCGGCCGGCTGCCACCCGCGTTATAAGGAATAGTACCATTGACAGCAGTAGTAGCATTAGCCGAACCGTTAGAGATAGAAGGAAGAGTAGTGGAGGCCGACCCCCTGCTCGAATAACTCTTGCTTCGACCGTTACTGCTACTCCCTAGACCAGAGGGGCGTTCATTTAGACTTGGTAGGGAGGGGACATTAGGGTAATCGCCCATGTTTCGACAGGTATTGTTGACCACCTTGACGATGGAACCTGGCTGCTGATAGTACTGGTGCGGGTGGAAGTTATATTGGTGAATCATGTGTGTCGACGATCTTGTGGGCTTTTGCCGAAGCCAGTCCTTGGCCTCCGGTGAAGTACCCAAGAGGCGAAGGTCCGCGGAGAGTTGTTGCTGTTGCTGGTGGTGGAGGATGTGGTGTTCTGACCCACGCCTCGAAGGCTGAAACACAGGCGACGCAGGCCCGTTTTTCCTGTTGTTGTTGCTGTTCAAGGAACCGTCATCGAGGCTATTAATGCTGAGATGGCTATATCGATGTTGGGGAATGACTATCGGCGAGGTATGGTACTGGTGCGTTGCAGTAGTAGTCGTCGAGGCCGTGTCTGAGAAGAGCTGGGAGCCGGCGGGAGGGCGCCGTTGTTGAGGAGAAGATGGAGGAACTGAGACGGGATCAAGATGCCGATCCTCAAACCTAGAGCTTAAATAGGGACCATCGATATAGGTGGCCGAGGTCGGGGTCGTAGCCGATGACGGGATCGAGAACGAAGGTGAAGCCGGGCTCTGCGGGAGGTAGTCGGTATTTCGGTTGCTGTTGTTGTTGTTCTGAGTCGCTGCTGTTGTCCCGCTGCTGAGGCTGTGGGTACTTGTGCTATATCTGATATTGCTCCATTCACTCGAGGCGGCGCCATAGAACTCTGCCTGGTCGAGGGGATGGCACTTGTTGGTCGACTTTTGACGCAGCATTGGGTTGCCAGGAGTTGAGTGGATGCCACCATTGGAGTATAAACTGTCGCTGGTGGAGGGGAAATAAGGGTCGTGTGGGGTGTGCAGGGGGTGTAGCCGTTGCTGCTGTTGCAGTTGTTGCTCCTGTTGTTGCTTTTGCTTGTTGTTGCGGTCGGCCAGCTTTTTCTTTGCTCTCCGGGTCAAGAGTTCGTTGACTCTATCATTATCCGCGCTGGAGATGTTTCCCATTATGTTGTGTTGTGTGAGTTGTATGTGTGAGCGATATGTATGTAAAGGGAGTATATGTGGTGTGTGTGTGGAGAATATGTGGGGAGCGGTGGAGGACTTTGAAATAATAATGAACAGGTGAGGAGAAGGGGAATATGATACAAGAGTGCGAAAGGGTGTGAGTATTACTGTACAAGTGAAGAGAATGGAATGGAATGGATGGACAGGAAGAGGAATGAGAGGAATGGGAGCGTGAAAGGATGGGATGGATGGTCGAAAGGGAAAAAAGAAGAAAGATGGAAGAAAAGAAAGAGAAGAAACAAGAAGAGGGGGAAGAGAAGACGAAGAAGAGAGAGCGAGAGTGAGAGAGAGAGAGAAAAAAGGGGCGAGGTGATGGGTGGGATGGATGCAGAGTAATAAGCGATAGACAAGGAAAAAGGAGAATATTTTTCATATTATACAAACAACGTGTGTTTTTTGTTTGTGTCCTGTGTGTCTCATTGTCTTTTAGCCATGAACGAACGGTACACTGACTAACCTCAATCAGTCAACTCTGTCTAACTTAAATCAATCACTCACTGATTTTATTTTTTTGTGGGGTGGAGGGGCAGCCAGAAGGACAAAGAAAGGTCAGATGGGATGCTGCAGGTGTGTGTGAACACGATAAACAACAAAGGCAATGAGAGCGCGCGCGATGGCATCGAAAATACCAAATGCTTTGACACGGACTGCCCTCCTTCGTGTCTCTCTTCTCTCTCTCTCTCTGTCTCTCTCTCTCTTCTCACATTCTCATCTCTTGAATCACACTCTTACTGACCCTCAATCACCCACACACTCATGCATTCACTTATTCACCCACAAAAACAAACAAACAAACAAACAAACAAACAAATAAATAAACATGTAAATAACAGCAGCCAAAAAAAAAAAAAAAAAAAAAAAACAATGAAAGAAAAGAATCTACAACCCCTACATCCACAATACTCCTCTCACGGAATCACGAAAGGATGTACATTATCATATGGCTGAGCTGAAGGAAATGAAAAAAGGGGGGAAGGTGAAAAGTCGAAGCGAGCGGACTAATATGAACGCGCAATGGTGTAAATAAAGAAAAGAAATGGTGAGCAAAATCAGCACGAGATGAACATTTTAGGTGCTCAACCATCCACCACCTCTGTCCCCTCGAACATCCCATAACGGACGGGATTTTATTCTTTTTTTGTAAAACGAGCTAAGGGTGAACCAATGTACACAAGGTTTGGGCGGCTGTGAGGTGAACGATAGGAAATAAAGACCGTTGGAAAAGAGATGTGGCGGAAAAGGGTAATAAAAAGGCTGCCTGTTGTGGTTGTTGTCCCTGTTCTCTGTTGTTGGGTCGTTGTGCATCGTTGTGCATCGTTGTGTATCGTTGTGTATCGTTGTGTACCGTTGTCTCTTTGCTGTCTGTCCATCTGTTAGAGCCAATCTGCTTCTCCATGGTTCCGCTCCGCGTCAATAGGGCTATCTCTCTTCCTTCTTCTCCCTTCTTTCCTTGTCTACTGTAAACCCCAACTAGGGTCCCGTAACTGACCCCAGGGCACTAATGTAAAAACAAGAGTCAGAAAAAAGGAAGACGTAGGAAAAAAAGAAACTCTAATCCATGGGCAAAATACCTTATTTCTCATCTCTCTCTTCCCACTCTTCTATTGGACCTTCCATTGGACCTTCCATTGGACCTTTTTTCACTTCCTGTCAAACGCAAAAAAAAAAAACTCTACATCATTGGACCCGGACTTCGGTAGTTGAGAAGGACTTTTTCCGTTATTTCGATCGAATATGACAAGGATGGGAGGAGTCTTTCTTTTCACTTGAACTTGCAAGAAAGGGGACGAATGGAAGAAAGAAAGGAAAGGAGACGAATGGAAAAAAGGAAAGGAGATGAACGGTCCAGTAGAAAACAAATGAAGATCACAGATAGACAAGTTCAGCAATGCAAGCAAAGGTATCCACCAGAGTGGGATGATTTCCGATGGATGGCAATCCCACATTGCATTGCACTTTGCCCCATTGAGCTTGAGCTTGGACCTTTTTTGCTACGATGTTAAGAAGGGCGCTGCATCGGGGATGAAGGAGAAGAAACGAAGGGTGCAGAGGATTATCATGTTGTCGTTTTTTGTTTTGTTTGTTTGTGCGCTTGTTTGTTTGTTGATTGCTTTGCAGCGGTCAGTCAGCAGTAGGGGTGGAGGAAAGAGTCTGACAGAATTGTTGATGTCTGTAGAGTAAGGGAAACGGGAGCAAATATCGACAGGAGGAATCAAGTGCCGTTGAGGGAGATATGATCTGGGAAACAGGGAGAGCCCTGTTGTGTGGAGTGCACGAAGAGAGACCGATGGTACACAGAGTGAGAAAAAGAAAAAAGATGAGAGAGATGAGATGTGTGGCATTGACTCTCAACTCTCCGCTGTCTGACAGAGGAACAGGACACAGAGGCCATAGGCTATATACGGTTCATAGCCTTGGACGCTATTCAGCCAAGGAATAACCAACCATCTTCTTTCTGTCAACAGTCAACTAGTGAGGACAATGAATATAACGCAAGGGGTACGAGTCGATGGAAGTATTATGTCGTTGTCCGTGTCAGTGAGAGAGAGAGAGAGAGAGAGAGAGAGAGAGAGAGAGAGAGAGAGAGAGAAAGACCCTTTTTCTAACCCACATGTCCGCCTCTTCATTAGACTACTCAATAATCCCTCCCTTCTAACACATGCATCTTCTTTCAACAGCCCAGCCCCCCGATCGACTTCGCCGCGGACAAAAGTAAACAACAGACAGGGGCCATGAGTCCTGTCTTCATTTCTTTTATTTGTTCTTCCTGACCCCTATCTTGCCTTTTCTTCTTCGCACTTGACCACCTCGTTCCTGTTGTTCATTGTTTTTCTTTTTCGTTCATCGAACATTGTTCAGTTCTTTCTTCTCCACAAGTCTTTCCCTTGCTCTTGTCATCAATCATCATCGTCACTTCACTCCGTGCGCCGACCTGTGTCACGACCAAGTCTCCTTTTTTCTTACCTTGACATAATTATTCCGGAAGTGCGCATGTGGCCGCCTAGATCTCTCCTCTTCGACCCTAGTGTCCTTTTTAACAAGTTAAAATTGAAGGATGTGGGTGCATGTGACCTGGAAGTGTTTGCAAAAAGCGAAAATAGGGTGAGAGATGCAAGCAAGCAAACAAACCCTCTTTGGAGCGAAATGTCACACTTCCAACAGCCTCCCCCTCTCTCTCCCTCTCTCTCACACACTTCCCGTGCAGCACGCGCGACTCCCATAACAAGAGCGACATGGTCGATTGGGATTGTCTTTTTTTCTTTTTTTCAGCGCCCTATGCTTCCCAAAATACCTACACGTACACTCCCTGGACACACGCCTGCTTGTCGAACTAGCTAACCGCCCTTTCTTGTTCTATTATTGCCTCTACATATAGGCAACGGATCTCCACTTCATCGGAGAGATATAACCCCGGCGGCACAGAATGACAAGGTTCACGTCAGGGTTGTTTCTGCAATTTCTTCGCATCGCTTGCTTGCCTAACCAAGTGATACACCGCCCACGCCAAATGTCCGCCCCGTCTCTTACCCTGCCACTGCTCCTGGGTATGATAGCTCGGGACTGAGGGAATAGGAGATGATGATGATGACGATGATTATGATGATTGAATTGTCTTGCCTTGCATCGGATGTATATTATCCACTTGACCTCATCTGGACTTGGTGTGGCACTGGCAGGATATAGTAACGGGGAGTGGCGTCTGCTCTCGTCCCTGCCCTACCCTTTCCAACCCTGTTTTGTTTTGTGTTAATCAGCAATGAATTGAATCTCTGGGACCCAAGAACACAATAATATCAATATGTAATTAGATCTGGCCTGCGTTCAGACACTTATATCTCCTCCTTTTCCTGTAATGAAATAGGGAGAGTTAATGTATGATATCTATTTCGACCGTTTGAAAGTAAGATCCGCCTCTCTGCCTTGTGCGCAAACCAACACCGAAAAACAACCGATGCACAATCGGAACAGGGGCCGTTTCATTTATCTACTGCATTCTGCTCCTCAAACGGGATACATCATTGTTGTCTTGGACACATACATCCTCACCTTACACTTCTTTTTTGCCCATAAGCGACCAACTACCGTCTTTACAAGTCCATTTCTACCCTTCTCTCACTCTCTCTTTTCTCTCTTCTCATTTGAAATGTCGAAAATAGTTGAGCGTCCGAGTTCTCAAGGTTGAGCTTTTGTTGGCTGAATGCTGAATAACGATAACAGAACGTAACAGGGGTGGTCCCTACAGTCATCTGTACATGACTATCATCAAAAACACAGTAGCTCTAAAAAAAACTTCGATCGTCTTTGCTTGTCGTCTTGTGAAAAAGGGATGAGAGGAGGCGCTTGGTTCCACCGCGCGATCACAAAAGCAAAAGCCCAAGGAGGCTAGCGGAAAGCAACATGGAGAGGAGGTGACCGTGTTCCTGGAAAAGATATGCGCCCAGTTTTAGTACCCTTACATGGGCTATGGCAGGAACAAAAAGAGGAGGTCGAAAATAGACATGAGAGATGCTCACACTGCCCTGATCGCACACAAACAAAGTAAAGAAATACACCCCATGCACCACGTTATCTTTGCTAACTAGCTGTGATTATCTATTTGGAGGCCATGCCCTACGATGGGCTGGTTATCGTTCCTTGCCAAAAGTGTAAACAAACAATCGGGGAACCTGGTGGGTCAAGCCTAATAAAGCAAAATTGTACAGACACCGCGCCTCACTCTCAAGTAAAGCGGCTTTGAGAGACATCCTACACCTACATTTTTGTTTCGAACAGAAAATTATTGACTGTTGTGGAAGCTGTGCTGTGTTTTCTCTGTCAGCCTTTGTTATTCGCTGTCCTTTTTTAACGGTTGGGCGGACCGAATGTCGGCTTGCGTGTTTTGTCAAGAAGGCGTTGTGCAAGGGCGCGGTTGAAGGGAGGCGGTGGCGAGGGTTTGTGTATCGGTATATGTGTGGGGAAGGAGAGCAATTGTATATGTATATGTCCCTGACAAGTCGACAACCGTTACAACAATGAACAATCTCATTCCGTATTCTATCCCTACTTCATGCTTTTCATGCCATTCTTATTTGCTCCCTTTTACCACCATCGATAATGATGTTGCTATCAAGTGGCAACAGTAAGCAGAGCAAGCAATTCAACTCTCTCCTTGTCTCTCTCTCACACACACATGTTGCCTTGTTTACTCGGTACAGGTACATCATCCCCTGGTCGTTTTTTTTGTGTTTGTTCTCTTTGGAGATCTATTATTATCTTTCGATCCCAATATTATGGGCGCCATATCTCTGTTCGTTCATTCATTCACCCTGCAGGCCCTGTGAATTGTTATATTGTCGACCCGACAAATGTACGTTTCTTTTTTACTTTATTTAATTAAAAAAAAAAGCGTTCGAATGGAAGAAGACAAGGTTGACGCCCAAGTTGTGTGTGTGTATGCTCTTTCTTTGCCCTTCTGGACCACTCGCTTGTGCTTGCGTGTCCATTTTATCCCTTGTTAAACAGCTGCTGGCCTATTTCTCTTTACCGGGGATTGTCGAGAGGCTCTCTTGGAATGGGAAATCTCCTTTAAAAAGAAGTGCTCTCAACCCCTACTCCCTCTCTTTTCCTCTCACTCCAACTGCTCTTCACATCTTTTTTCATTGCTCTCTTCGACCACAAACCATAGACAACTATTTACCTACAACACACGCCTTTGTACCAAAAAACATATCTGTTCTACTTTTCTTTGCTAACGCTTACTTGTATAAATACCCTTCGCATTCCCCACTATCAAACTTCACACTTCTGCCCTTCTTTCCAAAGGACCCGTCCCCTTCCAACCAAACCAACAACCCTTTACCCTTACCTTTACCGTTCACCTTTTACCCTACACACACACACCCCTCCTCTCCACTTCTTAACGACAACTACTTACACATCACAATGAAGATCGCCACTTCCCTTATCGCTGCCCTTTTCTTGGCCTCGGCTGCCACTGCCGTCATGCCCGATGACCCCGCCAAGATCGATACCTGCACCAAGCCCGGTCAGGTCGCTTTGACCTTCGATGACGGTCCCGGCCTCTACAACGACCAGCTCTTGGCCCTCTTGGCCAAGAAGAACGTCAAGGCTACCTTCTTCGTCCTGTAAGTTTCCTCTCTCTTTTTCGTTTTTTTATCACTGGCGATATTGGAGACAACAGTCAGCCAAACACACACACCCCCCCCTGAATCCGCATCAGCAAGCAACAGCCATTCGATCGATTGAAGCTTGTGCCTGAAAAACAACGACGGCAGCGATAGCATCATCAAACGAAAAGGTGTTCACTTTCCTTGGCAAAAAGAAACAGACAGCTGGATCAGACAGGGTGACCCCTGCTTTGTTTCTGTCTGGGATCGCTGACTGTTCACCCAAGTAGAACATCCAAAACCTTCTGCAGTCGACGAATTATTACTTCACTCCTTCAGCCTCGCCTCCATTTCATAACAAAAAAAACAGTACTGACCTTCCCATTGCCAATATGTCTCATCTCGTAATAGTGGTTCCATGGTTGCTGCCAACGCCCAGCAGGCCGGAGCCCTCAAGAAGATCCTTGCTGGCGGCCATCAGTTGGCCTCGCACACCTACTCCCACGGCAACTTGGACAAAATGACCGAAGACGCCATGCGCTTGGAGATCTCCAAGACCTCAGACATCATGTTCCAGCACGCCGGTGTCCGCCCCGCCTACATGCGTGCCCCCGAGGGTAACTGCGCAGCCGTCTGCACCAAGGTCATGGAGTCCCTCGGCCTCGTCATCTCCCACTGGAATGTCGACACCAACGACTGGCGCTTCACGACCTTGGCCCCCGCCGCCGCCACCGAGAAGTCGATGGAGGAGATCAACAAGGTCATCATCCAGGGCTCCAACCCCGCCACCGACTCCTCCATCCTCCTCGAGCACGAGATCCACAAGTTCTCCGTTGACCTCCTCGCCGAGCGTGTTATCGACGCCATCACCGCCAAGGGTTACAAGTTCGTCACCATGGAGGAGTGCGTTGGCAAGCCCGCTTACCTCACCGGTTCCGTCGTCCCCCCCGTTGTTCCCCCCACCACCAACACCACCACCACCGGCGCCGTTGTCCCCCCTACCGGCTCCGTCGTCGCCCCATCCGGCAGTGCTACCATCGGTTCTCCTCAGTCGACCGCCTCTGGCACTGGCGCCATCGTCCCCACCATCACCACCGGTAACAAGGGCACCAACTCTGCTGGCCTCGTCCGTGCTGGTGCCTGGGCCATGGGTGTTGCCGCCGCTGTCGGTTTCGCCATGCTCTAAGTATTTAGTCACCTCCATTTAGACCATTCGATATAATACAGAAAGATATCCTTTTTCTTGTCTTCAACTCCAACTCTCTCCTCATCCAACTATTTACTTATAATCATTCATTGCAATAAAATGACTCGTGTGTACAATACTTCCAGCCTTTTTTTTAAGCCAAAGAGAACAATTGGTCGGTACCAGGTATTTTGCATTTTTTGAGTTGGGTCGATTGCTTATTGATTTTTATTTATTCGGGATAGGTCGTTGCCGTGCTATTGGTTGTTTTCCATTGTTGAGTAGGCTTTTCTGTTCCTGATGAATGCGAAAGAGAGCGATAAAAATACAAAAACGGCGGCTCACAAATGCAAAAAAAACAATGTCCGATCATTGAACTGAATTGACCAAAAAAAAAAAAAAAAAGAGGAACCCGGGGAACACAAGTGAGCAGAGAGGAAGAGGAGCAGGAATGGCCGAGTAGATAGGGAACGTGCGAGTTGGAGTGGTTCAGGGTCGCTCCCCATCCTCCTCCTCTTCCTCCTCCTCTTCCTCCTCTTCCTCCTCCTCCTCCTCTTTGGTTCAAGGAGAAAAGGAGAAAGTAGAATGAGCGACGGTATAGTATCCTCATTCTTCCTCCTCCGCCTCGCATCCGCTCATGCTCAAAGACAGCGTCGCCACCCATTCCTACAGCCATACACATGGTCACGGCTCCAAGGCGCTCCATTTTTCGCTTGAGCTCGTTCCTCAACGTCGCGATCTCGCGCGCACCTGTACAACGTTATCCATGTAGAAATAATGAATATGAAACACAAGTGTCAGTTCGCGGGAAATTTTTGTCCTCTTTTTTGAGGTTCAAGCAAACAACACCCACACACACAAACGACGATACTGTATGGAACAAAAACAAAAGCTCATTCCATGCTAGAGTCTTAGGTAAACCTACCGCGTTCGCCAATGCGCCACCATCGGCATTAACCTTGTTTGTGTCGAGACTGCAGCTCCTGCTTGTGTAGACCATCCGGCTGGCAAAGACTTGTTTTAATTTACAATAGGTCCATATCTTGGATTTCGATCACTGTGTACTTGCCGAGGATAGGCATACCAGGCGCTCGGTGGTACAACGACGTATAAAAAAAATCGTAGCCGCTCCATCCGAGATCTGAGACGCGCTACCGGCCCCGTCGCTTGCGAAAGCAGGTCGAATCTTGATGAGAGACTCTAACGTCACTCTATCGCAGATGCCATCGTCCTGACTGATCATGACCTGTTGCTTTTGATTCGTTTCATTCTCTTTGTTGTCGGTGATTGTGCCCGCTTTATCCCAGCTCTCCTTTTGGTGGCCTTGGTGCATGTACGAACGGAGACGATCTCTTCTTTGAATTGGCCTTCGGTCTTCCTTCCGGGCGAGTGCAGCGCGTTGGAAAGACGGGCAGTAAGCTCATCCTACGATCTCCGGTCGATCCTAAAGTCCCGTACCACATTCCCCGATGTCATTCTGTATTTGTACGCTTCTTTCGAACTTCGCTTGGGAAAAAAAAAGATAGCGCACGGTATGCAAGGTACGAGAGAAGGGGAAAGAGAGTCGCGTCTGAATTGAACTCGAGCACAGACGATCTGATCTCTCTCTTCCTTCCTAATCTCACTTTTTGATCTAGTAAAAAGAAAAATGACTTCCGCCTGGATTGGCGGATTCATAACAGTTGCGCTCGGCCTACCGACGATAGAAATATTTCGTTCCAACCATTGAAGGGCCTGGACGATGCACGAACTAAAGGAAAAGGGCGAGAGTAACTCCATCAAACAAAACATGGATAGAAAAAAGAAGGATTAATCTATTTGACAACCCGGGTTGTTCGTATTATTCAACAACCGAACACGTTTGCGTGCTAAGTCCATGTAAGCACTTTTTCATCTTTTTTTGATGATACCATGGAAGATGACACCAAGCACTTGCAGTAGCGCTTGTTTTCCCCACTTCTTTATGGAGCACGACTCCCACGTTGTTCAAAGCGGTTGTTAAGATGCTTTTTATACGAAAATACCGTTTTTTTTACGCGTGTGGTGGTGATGAAGACATAATTTTGGCTGGTGATGGCATTCGATGGTTGAAAGGGCTTTAATAATGATGTGGATGACAAAAAACGAAGACGCTGCAACAAAAACATCGATGTATTGACTTTAAAGAAAAATAGGTTGTCCATGGACTTAGCATGCAAAACACGTTAGGTTGTTGAATAAAACGAACAACCCGGGTTGTCAAATAGATTAATCCTACATCTTTTGTGCACAATGAGACGGCTAGTAAAAAAGAAAGATAATACGACATTACCTGTCAGAATATCTTCATCCGAAGGCGTCTGCATGCCCACCATCTCGCGAAGGAAAAATGTAGACGAATGCTCACAGCAGGGATCGAACCTGCGGCCTTTGCGTTATTAGCACAACGCTCTACCGACTAAGCTATGCGAGCTCGCTTTGATATTTGTCGTGTTTTTAGGATATATAAGAACTTTTGAATTTACTCAGCAGTCACACTGTTATCATGTGATTAAGTTTGAGTCACGTGTATGAGCCTTTGACCCTTTTACTAAAAAAAAGTTGCTTTGCCCAACTCATCCTCACCTTCTTTACCCTCTGCAATGCGACAAACACACAGCAAACAGAGACTCACAAGGACTGCTTCAAGTCCTTTCACATATCAAGCTTTCACCTGGTTCCCGAGTCCATGACCCCATCATTATCACCCCCCCTGGTGCCAAGATATGAGTCAACTCGGACGACGACGAGGTTGTGATCTGTTGCGCTGTTCGCATACCCATCTTGGCTTCAAAGGCGTTATCAAGGACAAAAAACGGTCGTCATAGAAGTGAAAGGGACAACAACGACTCCCTTTCGCTCCAATTGCAGCTCGAGTGGGGCAGCAAACAAAGAAAAAGAGATAGTATAGTAGTAGAAAGGATTAAAGACGAGGGAAGCAGCTGATAGGAGACGGAAGGGGGGGGGGCGTTTGGATTGGAACAAATACGTGCAAAAGTTCTTTGGATTTTATGATATTACATTTGCTGCCTTTTCATTTTTACTTTTTACTTTTTTCTTTCTTCCTCTCTTTCTTTCTTTCTTCCTCTCTTTCTTTCTTCACTCCTTTCACATCCAACACAACACACACCCTCACGACTATCTCTTCCTCGCCGTCAACTTTCAGGACGCAACCTATCGATCATGGTAGAGACATCATCCATTATAGCACTACTGAAACGTCTGGACGCGGTGACGACAAAACTGGAAGACCAGGCCATGGCTGGTGCGTCAGCCGCAGACGTATCGTCGTCCCTGACAGGAAGCGGAGGGGTTGTAGGCGCAGGAGGACCTCGACCTTCTCAGTCCTTGGCAGTGCCTCCCAGCGGTGTTAACGGTGGCAACAGCGGAGGAGTATCACTGGGGGGCTCGCCAAGTATCAATGGCGTGTCGATAACAGCCAGCAACGTACCGGCGGTGGTCGATGGGTATGACGAGCTTGTGAATGGACCACTCAAGGTGTTTTCTGAGCTCAGTCATGCTATCGGAGGACTTGTCGAGGAGCAGGTAACCCATTCATGGCATTCTTCTCGGTCGTTGCTTATTTGTCGTTTACTGGAGAACACCATCTTGAGACTTTTTTCTTTCGTCTTCCGATAAAAAACAAAGGCAGACCATGTTGGCAAGCTGCTGGCAGCACAAAGAGAGATGATCATGATCGCAGCATCGAGTCACAAACCACCCATGACCTCGGACGTCTTCCGCCTCCTCCTCGAACCCACCCAACAAGAACTGACCCAAGTCTTGGAAATCCGTGAGAACAATCGAAGCAATGCCTATGCCCCGCATTTGTCGACTCTGGCCGAGGGCATCCGATGCTTTGGCTGGGTGTCAATAGTAAGTGTGCTTGTGCGTTGTGTTTGTTTGTGTTCTGTCCTTGCCCCTTGATTTTTTTTTCTCATTGCTTTGCATGTTTGTTGTTGTCGCTCCGAGATATGACTGACCCTTGAATTCGCCATTTTTTATGCATCAATGATGGATGGGAGTAGGAATCGAAACCGACAACATACATTGGACAAGTCAAGGAGGCGGCACAGGGGCATGCAAGCAAAGTGATAACCGAGTGGCAGGAAAAGTACGTTCTGATTGTCAAAGGGCTATTATAATTTTCAAGGGAGCACCTCTTTGTCATGAAAAAGAATAAGCACTATGTTCCAACCTGGTCGTTTCATTTCTTTTGCCGATAGGGACGAGAACCACGTTCATTGGGCGCATGAGTTTATTCGGTTGTTGACAGAGCTCCAGTCTTATGTCCGCAAGTACCATCCAGCAGGACTTGTTTGGAACCCAAAGGTAACAACAGCGTTCGGAAAAAAAGGGTTGGTGAGCATAGGACGATCTCAGAATACGAACCCCTGATATCCTATTGACATAATGAGTTTCCTCTCTTTTTCTCCCGTGGGGTTTTAGGGAACTCCACTGGATATCAACAGACTGACACGGACGGAAAGCAACACATTCACAGCAGGAGCAGACGGTACATCATCGTCGTCTTCGCCATTTCCTCCACAGCCACAGCTCGCACCTGCTATTTCTCAGGCTGCTGTTCCGTTGAGTTTGCTGCCGACCAGGGATGCCGACATGTCGGCCGTTTTCGCACAATTGAACCAAGGAGAGACCATCACTTCGCATCTGCGACCAGTCGACAATACTAGGGCGCCTCGTAGACCTTCAGGATCCGGTAAGTCTGACTTAGCTGAAATCCATAGCCGAAAAAAACGAATCAAGCACTATGGTTTATTACCAGCCGCTAACGCATTCCAATTGGAAACTAAATGTGTTTTTAGGCATCTCGAGGGCGGAGGGCAAATCTTTAAGCAAGGTACCAAGGATGGCGCTAGAGGGCAACAAATGGATTATTGTAAGTCCATCCTTTTCATTCCAAACAAAAAAAGGATGTTGTGTTATTTCATGTGTATTCATTACATTTAATACTTGTCGGGTATATATATATATATATATATATGCATGTTTTCATGTACTCACATCGATCCGTTTCCGCCGCCTTTTCCATTCTTTATAATCGATCGAAAAAAACACACACAACAGGAGTACTTTGAGAACAACAACGACGTGGTCCTCGATGGTGCCGAGTTAGGTCAATCCGTGTACATCTTTGGCTGTCAAAACTCGACCATCCAGATCAAGACCAAGGTCACGACGGTGGCGATGGATTCCTGTACAAAGACGGGGCTCTGTGTCGAATCCCTGATCACCTCGCTCGACGTCGTCAACTCCAAATCGGTTCAGCTCCAAATCCTAGGAAATGCACCGACGGTGAACTTGGATAAGGTCGATTCTTGTATGGTCTATTTGTCCAGAGAGTGCATGGACGCAACGGGGATTTTTACAACTAAAACCAGCGATGTGAATGTCTTGACACCTGCTCCAGTACCTGAGCAGCAGCAGCAGCAGCAGCAGCAGCAAACTGCGGTTACGACGGCAGCAGGGACACTAACAACAGAGTCTATTGAATATGTCGAGCGATCGGTCCCTGAGCAGCTGTTTACGAGGATGGTGGATGGCAAGATGGTCACTAGTATCGTCGTGCAAGGGTAACAGAGCGGGATTAGTGCTGTAAAATACGATGCGCTAAAGCACTTTATTTTTTGAGCGTAATAAAGAAGAATGGGCTGCATTTATCAAGCGTCATGCTCAGAGATACATGGTATGCTACATACACATGAGAAAGTAGCCTTTTTTGTGGTGCTTTTTTAGCGCTGGTTTCTGCAAATTGGACGGAAAGGACGACTGACGCCACGAAAGACTGAAAACAAACTCAGCATGCCATAAGTGAAGGTCTGACTTGCAGCATACTCATACTCGTGTTGTTTTCCGCCTGTTCACCTTTTTCTTTCTTCGCCTTCTTCTCTTCTTCTACTTCTTCTTCCTCTTCTCCTTCTTTGTCTCCACTGGTTTCCTACACACACACATCACTCTTCACTCCATTCCTGTTCTCCTTTATTATTACCTGTTCACTTCCCTCTCCACTACAACAACCATCGACCTTCATTCTCCCCAGTCCTCCTCCTCCCCTACACTTACTCCTTACACACAAAGATGAAGGGCACGTTCACGACCCCGGCGCTCTTCCTGCTCTCACTGCTGGTCCTAATCATCACTCCAACAGCAGTGCACGCCGGCCCTTACACACTCACGACTCCAACATCCGCAACCCGCTGGACAGCCGGCCAACCCGGCTCCGTCACCCTCCTCTCCACCGACAAAGCCGGAGCGTCCACACAATCAACCGACAGACTCCTCACCATCACCCTCCGTGTCGGCAAGGGCGGTCTACTTGGGGGGTCTACCCAAGTCGCTGTTATCCGCGATGGGATTCAACTCTTGGTGCCCTTCAAGGGAACCGAGAAGCAGGTTAAGCTCGACGTGAGCGATTGGATGGTTCCTGCCGGTACGGCGGCGGGGGATAAGTATTTTGTGCAGATGGTTAGGAGGAAGGATGGGTTCTTCGATATCCCGGATAAGGTCGAGAGCGCGTTCTTTCAGATTGTTGCGGCCCCTGTTACTCCTCCTCCTGTTACTCCTCCTCCAGGTATGTTTATTTTAATGGGATTGATATTAGCATACCTTGCTTGGTCCTCCTTACATTAGCATGTGTTTTGCGTTTGTTTTTGTGGACTATTCTGTTGTGGTTGCTCCAAATGAATATTGCAATAATTACTGTGTGGAGAAGCAGCACTAAACTCAAAAAACCCTATGTCCTGACCGATCGATTGTAAAAATCCCCCCCCTTTCTCATTTCAACCCGTCTTAGCCAACACAACAGTCCCAACTCTCCCAACACCAACCCTCAACACCACAACAGTCCTCATCCCAACACCCACCCCAACCACCCCAATTCCAACAACACCTACCCTCCCACCTGGTCAGACATGCGCCGATATCCAGGCCCAATGTGCCGCCAAGAACCTTACCTTCACCGATACCAATAGTACGGCTATTTGCCAGTGCGGGGCGTTGTTGATTATGCCCGTTATTATTGGTAATGGTGCTAGTGCATTTGGTGGTAGTTTGATAATGGCGATTATGGGGCTGGGTTTGTCGGTTTTGATGAGCTCCACTTTGTTGTAGCTCTAGATAAAGAAAATATAGAAAACGACTCCACGCATGTAGTGTATATAAAGGCAATCTTAGAACAGAAGGTTAAAAGAATGGATAGACTGTGTGGTTTGGTGGGACTGCACGATGATGCTTTTTTTTTTTTTGAAACAGGGGGTCAAGCAGAAAAAAAAACTCTGTCCTTGGGGAGGTCAAGTTGGCTAAAAAGCGGGAGATTGACTCACTTTGTCGTTCAGGCCCTTTTGGGCGGTAACATTATCAATCCCCTGTCCTTCGCTCGCTTTTTTGCACTACCCCTGTTCCTTCAGTGTCTGAGCTTCCTCCATCATCCCTCCATCTCTGTCTCATGTAAACAAAGAAAGCAAAACAAAAAAACAAAGAAAAAAAACGAACGTGCGCTTTAGCGAAAAAGCTTTTTACAGAACCAAGGGGTCAAGGAAAGAAAAGGAAGGATAGTGAAGATATAAAGGGAAAAATAAAAATACACATGCTTTTTTGCTTTTATTTGTTTTTGTGGTTGCTTTGGTTGCTTTTTGTTGTGGTTGAATGGGCTTGTTTGTTTTCAGGGGGAGGTGATCATTCTTCCGTTGAATTGGTTGCTGTTACTGCTATCACTACTGCTACCGTCGTTCGTCTTCTCGGCGAGGGAGCGGTACCAATCACGTTCTTGTCGGAGCTGTTGAATCTCGATCATTGCGTCACAGCAGTGTCCTGTTCCGTCGTGTTCGTGGGTGGGGGCAGGGTGAGGGTGACGGTGGTCGTGTGGGAATGTGGACGAGGTTGACAAAGGATGTTGTGGTTGCTGGTGGAGATGTTGCTGGTGGTGCTGCTGTTGTTTTTGATGAAGATGCTGGAGGTGTTGTTGCTGGAGGTTTTGATGCAGTTGCTGAGGGTGGTGAAGATGTGAGGATGGGTAGGAGTGGATATGCGAGAGGGATTGGGAATGAGGGCGATGCGAGAAATAAGCTGGTCGCTGTTGCGATTGAGCTGTAGGAGGCGAGTGACGGCCAACTGAGGAGCTTTGTCCAGGCTGGTCGTTTAGAATAGTCGCCAAGGAGGTGGCTGGATGACGCTCCATCTCTCGATGTTGTTGGTATTGTTGTTGTTGTTGGTGCTGATGGTTGTGGCGATGGCCGTCCTCGTTGTGGGGAGTGGGTTGGTCGTGGCGGTGGGATGACGATGAGGACGAAGAGGATCGAAAGGAGGGGAAGGTAGATGATTCTGATCGCGCATGGGTCGCCCTGGGTTCTTGCTGTTGTGGGGCTCTCCGATCAGGAGTCGCATTGTTGTTGCTGGTGGGGGTTGTTGCGCCGTCGGGGTACTCGAATCCTTTGGGGTATGACCACATGTTGGTTGGACTTGACATGGACGAAGGGGAAATCGACGAGGGTGATGGCGACTGTTCAGGCGAGAGGGAAGGTGACAATGTGGACCTTGACGATAATGATGGATGGCTGTCACGACGCGGCCGAGGTTGTTGAACTCGTTTGAAGACAGCGAGAGAGTACTGTGGATGTGGTTCGTTGTTGTGGATGTTGTTGTTGTGGAGGCGAGCATGTAGGTGTTGTGGATGTGGATGTGCCATCGGAGACGAGAGCGGGTGTGTGGGGGTACGGTCAAAGACCGGGCTGTCGTCCATGATCATATCCGACGGCAGCAGCTTCCCGACGCTCGGCTGAGTGAGAGATCGTTTGTGGACACCGACCCAGGGCAAGAACTCCTTTCGCCAGCGATGGTGGTCAGGCGACGAGAGGATGGGAGATGTTCCTCGGCGGGCCATGTATGTATCCCCATCCATATCAGGACGCTCTGTTGTCTGTGTCTGTGTGTGTGGAGTAAAGGGACCACCAACAGCAGCACTACTACCAAACCCAGCTGCAGCTGCAGAAGATGCAGGGGACGATGACGAGTGTTGGTATGGTTGATGTTGATGTTGTTGTTGTTGTTGTTGTTGTGGTTGTGGATAGTTGTGGTGAGAGTGGCGGAACGGGGGAAGGAGGTGGTCTTGCGGACTAGGTGTGGTTGGTGTTCTCTGCTCAACAGAATCCTCCAATTCGCCACCGAGGTCTACTCGCGAGGTCGACCCATGCACATGAGGGAGCGAAAGACTCCTCTGGTGGGATTTGCCTGCTCCCCGGGACATCCCCATCGCCAACCCCGGCTGGTATGTCCATTCCGAGCAGTGAACATTTGACTCTGCACTCAGGTGTCTCTTCAGCGCATCCAGACGCGCAAAAGTTCTCCCGCACTGTTGCATCAGAGGAGACAGAGTTAGAGAGAGTTAAAGAGGGAAGGAAGGAAGAAGGAAAGGAAAAGAAAAACACATGAAAGGCCATGTTAGTAAATGAGTTTTGTTCACTTTCCTCTTTTCAACTATCAAATACATCATCAAGAGCTTACATTGTTGCAGCAGTATGGCCTCTCTCCGGTATGAAGTCGTTCATGGCGCTTCAAGTCATGAAGGCGCCGAAAGTACAATTGGCATGCCTATATCCCAAGCATGAACAAAGCGTCCATTAGAAAGACAACACACAAACAAACAACAAACACAAACAAACAAATAAACAAGTGTCACAATGTTAGTGAGCAAGAAGGAGGTGGTTATCGAAGAAAAAAATTAGGGCACGAAAGGTAAGAGGGAGAGAAGTTGCACCAGCGAGCGAGGAAAAAAAAGAAAAACGTTGCTTACAGTGCATTCAAAAGGTTTGTCGCTTGAGGGAAAGCTCTGTGCTTTGTATGAGAGCTTTGGCTTGTGCTTTGGGGTGGTGGCCATGGACATGATTGAAGAGTTGCGTTGTTCGTGAAGGTAGGAAGTTCGTTCCGTTGGAAGAGAAAGAGAGAGTGGCGAAGGTGAAATGTTTTGTCGAAGGGAAACAAAAAGAAGGCAAGAAAGGGCAGGGATGCACGGAGGTGAAGAGAAGAAAAAGGAAAGAGGAGAGGGAGGAAAAAAAAGAGACAGACGAGAGGAAGGGTGTGCAACGTCAAAATAAAATATATGTACTTTTTTGGATAGATAGAGATAAAGAGGAAACGTTGTGCAGGATAGGTGAGACGAGGGCAGCGATGTGAACGTAGGCAGGGGTGGATGAAGGGAAATGAATGAGACTGTGGGAGATACGTAGTTAGAGGAGTGATGGGACGAAGAAGAGAGAGAGAGACAGAGAAGAGAAGAGAAAGAGGAGTAGGAGGAAGGAAGGAGTAAAAGGAGAAGGATGAAGCGAATCGAGAAAATAAAGGATGAACAAAAAGAAGAGAAGGAAAAAGAAAAAAGAAAAAAAGAAAGAGGAAGAAGAAGAAGAAAAAAGAAAAGAGAAGGATGATGATACAGTTGTTAAAACAGTAACAAGATGTGCACACAAAAAAACTATCTACAGTGACAAGTGAAAGAGTGCTAGGGTTTCTTTTACTGCGCTCACTCTGATGTTTTCTGTCTTCTTTTCTTTTTGAATCGAGTAGTAAGAAGTAGGCGGGGCGGGAGACGAGAGCAAGAAGAGACGGAAGATGGCGATAGATTGTCGGCTCTCTTTTTTTCTTTGTGTGTGGCGGTAACGGGGAAAGAGAGCGAGAGCAAGATTCAGTTCAGTGGGGAAAGTAACAGAGACAAAGGGAGACAGAAGAGGCAGGACGCAGGAGGACGGAGGTGGTTTTCGTCGAAGGAAATAAAACAAAGCGAAACGAAGATGTAATAATGGGCGGTGGCAAAAAAGATTTCAGGGTGAAAGTATGGTTGTTGATTGCCAATGGTGGGGTAATATCAAATGGGATTTTCGTGATTTCAGTGGTTAGTTTCTTTGAGACGGATAAGCTATGAAATGAAACGCAAGGTGAATGAATCGCTTTTGATGATCTACGGATAAAATGCAACTAGAAGACAAGCCAGAAAGAGATAGAAAGCGAGAAGATGCAGAAGAGAGAAATGAACGTCGGAGGTAATGGTTACAAAGCAAAGAAGGGGAGGAGAAAAAATGAAAAGGGAAAGATCGTCGACGCGTTCTTACTTTTTATATATACGTGATCAATGCTTGCCCTCGAATATCAACCATCGTCCATTCATTCATTCATTCGTTCATTCATTCGTTCGTTCGTTCTTTTCTCCGTCTTCCTTCCCTATGTTCTCTTCTTTCCTTCGAATAAAACAAATCAACAAACAAAATCATATAAACAAATACTTCGAGTTTGCCTTCAGGACAATTGGGAAGGTGGATTGTGTACTGTATGATGATTTGCGGTCCAAACTACAATGAAGGACGAGGGTCAAGGGGACTTTTTTTTTTTTTTTTTTTTTTTTTTTTTTTGCAGGGGCTCGAAGGAGGGACAGGGGTAGGTAGGGATTAGAAAACAAGGAGGAGGATCAAGAGAAAGGACGAACAAAAAAATCATCACCAACAATATCCAGAGAGCCGAGATGCACATGGGCATTACACCATCAACAATAGCACTTTCACACACAGACTGGATCGAACACATACACCACATTAAAAACAAATAGAAAAAAGACCACCATTAAAACCTCCTTTTTTTTGCTGACAGCATTACACATCACACAGTTCACACAGTCCACATCCACATCGTCCTTCATCCTTCATAGAGCAAGACACGTACCACTCCAGCAGGATTTGTTTCCTTTTTTTTCTACATAATTTTGTTGTGGATAATGAATTCCCTATTCTATCCTCCTTTTTTTTGATTGTATTATTGGATTCGTTGAGAACAGGAAAGTTGCAAGAGAAAAAAAAAGCCCTCTATCTTCCTCTTCCTCACCCCCTTGTTGTATATGCTATGGTCATATTTTACCTCACACATCGCTTTTGTCACCAGTGGCCACACTGGTCCCATTTTGTTATGTTGGTCTATCGTTGGTTCTCAATAGAACCCGGTGTTGTACACCGCACGCTCGCACACCCTTCCAACTCTAGTATTATGTAAACTCGGGAATCAGAATATTATAGTTCACAAATCACAAAGAGTGAGAAGGTAGAGAAAAGAGGGAGGGAGACAAAGGGTTTAGGGGAATACAAGGGAGGTGGTAGGTGAAGTATGATCTGGATGCTTCGTGGTTTTTTGCATGATATTCACACCGTTCCTACTCTCTATCCTATCGCATGCCATCGGAGAAAAACATAAATCAATGTATAAGTGAGCGGAAAAGTATAGTACATAGACTGTTTGTTTCGTCTGTGTAAGATAGAGTGAATGTTTGAGAGAGAATAGCAGGAAAGAGAAACGTCAACTCCAAGGTCCATAAGACAAGTAAGAAAAAAAAAGCGACCACATCCGTCAAAAAAGAAAAGAGCCAAAGGAAACGAAAACTCTTGCGAGTTGCATTATCGATTCACCAACTTCGAGGCTTTGACCCTTGATCTTGGCTGCAAAAAAAGATACAATACGCTTTTTTACCCAGTCAATCCATCTGTGTATCTATCGGGATTGTCTATTTTCGTCCTTGTACATAGTCGTCCGGCTCTTTGTGTGTGCTCTTTTTCGCATTGAACCCTTATTGTATGCATAGTCAATTGCCCCTCCATTTTTGTTTTCAAGACTCTCCTTTTCTGTGCGACATGAAAGTTAGTGGTTTGTTGCAGGGCATGAGGGAAGGGAAGGAGAGGAGAGCAAACTGGTTAGTTCTTGAGAGATGATATAATAAACAGAATACACATGTGGGGTTATGTTGAAATTTACCGCCAAGGGCATGATGTTTTTTTGTTCCCTTCTCTTTTGGTTGCCTATCATGTTTCCTAAGGGAGAAGAAAACCACATCAAGAAAAAAATACCACCAACCTATCCGACCATGACCACCACGAGCAGATGGATATTTGTCCATTACGTCGGAGCGAGGGGGAGCATGAAGTTGCATGTACGAAGAAAAAAAAAGAGGGGCCGCTCTTCCTATGAAATGCATCATCGCTCCCTTTCTTTGTCCTTTGCGCGCGCTGACTACAATGTTCAATTTTTTTTCCGGATAAATGGTGGCGTTCCATTTTGGTGGCGCAACATCTTTTTTTTAAAAGTTGACGGAGTGGTAGTGACTGGAATCGCATGGTCTGCCTTCCCTTGGATTCTTCCCTGGCCCTTTTAGTGTCAAAGACCTGTCTCTCCTTGACGCTCTTTTCTTCTTTTTCACCACTACTCCTCACATACCCCCTCTCCACCACTCACAGCCAACCACCATGAGCAAAGACGACGAATACGACTACCTCTTCAAAGGTATGCTTGAAAAAATGACAAGAAACAACGCCTCTTTTATCTACATTCTATCTACACCAGGCATACAGCGCCACTAGGGCTCAATTTTACACCCTTCCTGCCAGTCCGCCCCACCTTCTCTCGCAACCAGAAAAAAAAGAAGGGGGCTCAAAGATGATGAGAGGCTGTGTTGCCACGCGAGATGACCAACAGCAAAGAGTACTGGCAACAAACATACAAAGCTCCTGTCATCACCACCGGAACAACCTTCTCTCTCCTTAGAATGAGTGAACACCAGTAGACTCATCGGATCGCGTAGAAACCTCTAAAGAGGAGTCGAACTACACGAGTACGGGGAAGAAGGGGGGCACGGCCCAGCTGTCTTCAATGAGCGCTCTTCTGGCTGGGCCATGTCACCATCATCTTTTTTTTTTAGCAAGAGCAAGAGCATAGCCAAGCTGCACCAACCCTGGACCCTTGTGGACGATATACAAAAGGAATAACGGACCGCCCCTAACTTCGCCTTACTCTTTGCACTTGTATCTCTTTGTGTCCTTCCAGTTGTCCTTATCGGAGACTCTGGCGTAGGAAAGTCTAACCTGGTCTCGCGTTTCACAAGGAACGAGTTCAACTTGGAATCAAAGTCGACCATCGGTGTCGAGTTCACAACGAGAAGCATCCAGGTCGATGCAAAGACGATCAAGGCACAGATTTGGGACACCGGTAAGTTCATCTCACCTTTTTTTTTTGTCTGTCGCCCAACCAACCTCTTTTCCATTTTCTTATTGGAGTGGGGGTCGAGTCAAGGGGGACACTGAATTCGCGCGTCTCCCCTGAAAGGACGGCACGGGGTGGGATCAGAAGATGAAGGACTCATTTCACTCTTTCTTGTTACTGCCGGAATGAGGGGACGAAAGTTCTTATTTGCTCTCTGTGTTTTACTTAGTAGCGTGTGTGTGTATCGTTACCGTTCTTTTTTTCCCCTTCCCTCGCTCCTCTTCCTTGTTGTTTTTTCTTCTTCCTTCCTTTGTGTTCCCATTCAGCCTTTTTGGCGTCCTTCGCCGACCGTCCCCTTCAGTCCAATGTTTATGTGCAAAAAAGATCGGTTGGAACCAAAAAAAAGTGGGCTTTTAGAGTTTTTCTTTTTTCCTTTTGCTTATTCTGGACCAAAGGACACCGGTTCCCAGTTCAACCTTTTTGCTCCCTCCCCTTTGTCCCTCTCCCTTCCCTCATGTCTGTCCCGCCACAAGGTGGAGGAGACGGAAACACCTATCAGACGATATTTTATCACTTTACTAACGATCTCTTATTTTTAACTGTTGTCTCATTGTACCTTGCCGTTGCGTCTTTTCTTTTCATCTTTACTAGCTGGACAGGAGCGTTACCGTGCCATCACTTCTGCTTACTACCGTGGAGCTGTCGGTGCCCTACTGGTCTACGATATCGCCAAGCATGCTACTTATGAGAACGTTGGCCGCTGGCTCAAGGAGCTCCGCGACCACGCCGATAACAACATTGTGATCATGCTTGTTGGTAACAAGAGCGATTTGCGTCACCTTCGTGCTGTCCCCACCGAGGAGGCCAAGCAGTTCGCCGCCGAGAACGGACTCTCCTTCATCGAGACCTCAGCCTTGGATTCCAGCAACGTTGAGCTTTCCTTCCAGCGCATCCTCACAGGTAACTTGCCGTTTCATACTCTTTTCTCTTTCCATTCACGCAATTGATCCTCGAGTTCTGAATCCTAACACGTCCCCATCTTTTTCTTCATCCCTCTCTAATCCCGATAGAAATCTACCGCATTGTGTCCAACAAGGCATTGGAGAGCAATGGAGACGTCATTAGACCCACTGGAGGCGAGACCATCAACGTCAGCCCCAACTCTGGAGATGCTGCAGCTGCAGGAAAGTGCTGTTAAGCACCTGGTTTTTTGTCTTTTATCATCAACAACAACAACAAACAAGCCAAAGTAGATAAACAAAGAGGCGAAAGATTATTAAATAAATTCAAAGTACATACACAAAAAAATATGAATGCACAATACGTACCGTCGTCTTTTTTCATGGGTCAGCATGAACACTCATCATGCCATGCAAAGGCAAAGCAAAGGAAAGCATTCCTCACCATCATACATTTTTTTTGTTTACTCTAGTGAGATCGGCGTGCAGAGTGTGGTTGGTATTTTTTGTTTCTTTCCCTCTTTTTTTACCTTCATTCAATCCATCTCTTTTGTTGGCTTTTTTTCTCTCTCCCTTCCCCTTTCTAACCCCCTTACATGCACACACATACGTCGAGAAAAAACATCAACAACAAAAAATATACTGTTCTAAACGCTGTCTGCTAAAAGAAAGTCAGATTTCTAGCACCCAATAGCACCCCCCCCCCAAGACTACCTAGCACCAAGAATACTTCTGGTTAAGAACCCACTCGAGTTCCTCGGGCTGATGCCCAGGATACACTGTATTCAAAAGCCCCAAACTCGGGATCGAGTCCTTCCTGGTCTCAACCTTCAACCCGAGCAAACTTGCGAGAGCTTCATCCCCGTTCCAGAAGACGACTTTTGAGAGACCCCATTTCTTGGCTTCATCTTTTGCGGCTTGCGCGAATGCTAATGCGATCGCGTCCGTGTCTTCTTCTGGAGAGGATGATGGGTCAAGACGCCAGCGGAGGATGAAGAGGTTGTCGTCTGTGAAATCGTGGTGCCAGAGGACGAATTGAGTTTTGGAACCTGGGACGCGGATGCCGAATTTGAGGTCGGTTTGGATGAGGAGGGCCGAGTGGTTCTGGGAGAAGATGACGGAGGCGTTGAAGTACGATCGGGCAAAGAGCCATTGGATTGCGCGGATCTCGGGTGTCACTGCCACGATTGTCTTTGTCTTTTTATCATTGTTGGTTTTGACGGTGGCGAGGCGGGTTTCGAGGTCTTGTCGAACGAGGAGCGCGTCCTGTGTGATGAGTTCCTGGAGCTGTGTGTCCGTAGCCACGGATTCCAAGGTGACTGGTTTAACAGATCCGCGGGTGCGTGCCATGGGTGGGGTTGGGAGGGTCATGGTGGTTGGGATGAGGATCTGGGTGCAAGTTCGGGGAGTCCATCCAAAATCGCCATAGAAATCTGGTCCCAGGTCTGAGTAGAGGAAGGTGAATGCGATCTTTTGGGACTCCATTTCTTCCCACAGCAGTCTATAGTGGGGATAGTGGTGCATGGTGAGATAATCAGATTTTAACCTTTTTGATTTAGGCTCGTGAACGAGCGACAACAAAGAACCAAAGAGCAGGTGCATCAAAAACGGGGAAGCACTCAGAAAAAAGAAATGGGGACCTTACTTCATCATGAGATGGCCGTAGCCGTGGTGGCGGTACTTGGACGGAACATACACAGACGCAACACTCATACAACTCACATCCTTCACACCTTCCCCGCCATCCTCAGTCCTCGCAACCAGTCCAGGCCGCTCATACGTCTCCAGCGCGCCCAGAATGCGCTCCAAGTTCTCCTTCGATCCATCGTCCTCCACAAACGACCCTTTCACACCTCCCTCTCCAACCGCCCCACGATAAGGCTCCGTAACGTCCGCGCCGGGTTTAGGAACAAGGACCCAAGTAATCAGTCGCCCCTCGGAGGAGAACGCAGTCGCGGCAAGGTGGCGTTCACGGGCATGATACTTGTCCTCGGGGACGCCCTTGGCCCATTCTTCCATGTTGTTGGTCCATGTCTTTTGGATGATTTCTGGGACGGTCGTCGGGAGGAGAATTAGGTCTGAGAGGGCGTAGGGTGCTGGACCACGGACTGGCCTCAACGCTGGGGTCTTGGTGGTGGTTGGATTGGTGGCTTCGGTCATGGTTGGAGAGAGAGAGAGAGAGAGAGAGAGGTAAGAGATAGTGTGATGGAGTTGTGAAAAGAAAAAAGCGATCCAACGCATTGTTTAAATACTGCAAGGTGACTGAATTATTTTAGTACTGCAAAAGCGACCGGAACGTTTGGACCTTTTTTTTTTCTCGAGAATTATGTTCTAAAAAAAAAAAAAAGTTTTGTTCCTTACGCCCATGTGTGGGAAGAATGGAACCTGACCGGCTGTTGCCCGTTTTGTTGCGCATCCTCTTTCTAGGATGCCTACCAAAGTCGGCATAGTTGACGCAAAGGAGATGACAAAAAGGTTATGTGTGTTTGGCGTGAGACCGATCTACGAATTGTGTAGTAAGCCCGCGATTGGAGCGGAGCGTTTGTAGATTTTTATTTGTTACATGATGGGTGTGGGGTCTGTAGGAAACAGGTAGGGTACTAAGAGTTGACCGATTAGGCCAATATATATGTGTGTGTGTGTGTGTGTGTAGGTAGTGTATGTATTTGTATGTATGTGTGTGTGGTCATCAGGAGTACGAGAGTTGTACAAGGAAGGAAGGAAAGGTAAAAATGAAAACAAAGAAACAATGAAAGAACAGAAGAGCAAAAATAATGCAAAAAGGACAAATAGCAAGATCTCTAGAGGTATTCCATCTTGCGGTTGTGCCAGTCCCGTTGCCGCAAGGCTCCGACTCTGGAAAAGGTACTCATCTGAATACCGACAAGGGCCTGAGCGTGAGCCATGAACACTTGATCAACCATCATGGGTCCAAAGACACCGAGCTGGTCGGCAGTGCCCATGAGGTCGTGGTCCAGGTAGCTCCAGCCAAGATCTGCAAACTTCTTGAGTTCCTCTGGCCGGCGCTCGTTAGTAGCGACAAACACAGGGAGGATGCCCTTCAACGACCCTGTAGGGTTGAGTCTAGCCTGGATCACATCAATCCTTGCAGCAAAGTCTTCGGTCGAGGGCAGGCAGTGGATCATCTTGGGTCCCTTGAAGTTGTCCTGGCAGTACTGAGCGAAATCTCCGCGACGAGCATGGATGGCGATGTACTTTTGGGTCGGCACGATTGTCGTCCTCGTCTTGGGGTTGTACACTGCCTCGGACTTCTCCAGGTTCTTGTCCAGATATGCCTGCACAAAGTCCTCAAGCTCCTGGGTGAAGTGCAGATGTTGACCGAAACGCTCCCACTCAGACTTGTCGGGGACAGAGACCTTGTAGGTGTTGGAGATGCAGATGTACTTGTCGCGGCGGTGTGGAACTAGGGCCTTGGTGATGGTGTCGATCTTGGTGGCGTCGATAGAAAGAGCGCTGAGGGTGACATTGAGGTTCCACTGCTTGAGGAATCCCTTGGCTGTAAAGTCGATGGTACGCTTGGATCCAAAGCCGCAGGTGATGCGGCACTGCAACTGGTTGAACTCGGCCTGCTCAACGTTCCTCAGCTTGTGGAACTCGACCACCTTCGCGCCTGTTAATTCCTGGAAGTGGTCTAGGTCGAGGAACCTTGACCAGGGTTGGTTCTGTTTGGACTTGTCGTGCGATGAAGCAGTGATGGGAGGAATAATCAACGTGCGGCCGAGGGCCTTGGCGACCTCCATACCACGAAGCATACCGTAGAACTGGTTGGTGATGCCGGCGTAGGGGAGGTAGGTGATGTACTGGGTGCTGTCGCTGGCGTCGAGAGATTCCTCGAAGGGAGGGTACTCTTCTACCTCCTCTGAACTCTCGTCCTCGTCCACTGCAACTCCTTCTTCATCAGGGGTTGTTACATCTGCAGAGTTGTTGCTACTGTTCTCCTGAACAAGGGGCTCGCGTGGACGGTTCACAATCTGTTGTTGCTGCTGTTCATCCTGTGGCAGTTGGATATCATGTTCATCATTGAGCTTGGGAAGGGCCTGCCTTGGTCGTGCATATTCGTTAGAGGGTTGGTCGTTGTCGTTGATCCAAGGGCTTCCAGCGCCATTGTTATCGTTGTTGTTGTTATGGCGCTCAGGATCCTGCCTGTAGTTGCCATTGTTGTTGCTGTTGCGGCTGTTCTTGTTGGTTCCCCAACGGATAATCGAGAACTCGGCGTCCTTTCTGCAGCCTGGGCCTGTTAAGCGAGTTGAGGAGGAAAGAGAGAAGGATCCTGTAACGGCATGGAAGACGAGCATAGTTCCTGAACTGACGAGGAGGGCAAAGGCGAGGAGGATGATGAGTCTGCGGTGTGTGTAGCGCCTTGAAGAGGTTGAGGTTTGGCCTCCTGATGGGAAGCGTGTTATCGACACTGGCCTGTACTTTGGAGAGGTAGCCATTGTCTCTTTGCGTGTCGGAAGGAAGAAGATACGGTAAGGTGAGGTGGAAGGCGACGAACGGGAGGGGAACTAAAGACAGTAACGGTTGCGAATGTAGGAGGAGTAAGGCTAGGAAGGGAAGGGGTGTCGTCAAGAAAGGGCGAGAAGAGAGATGAGGAAGAGAGGAGAAGGGGAAGAGAGGTTTGATGGTTTGTTGATGACGAAGGTGAGAAGAAGAAGAAGATGAAGGGAAGAGATGGGATGAAGAGAAAGAAAGAAAGGAAGGAAGGAAGGAAGGAAGGAAGGAAGGAAGGAAGGAAGGAAAGGGAGGAAGACAAAAGGGACGAAAGGCAGGTTTCTCGTTGATGGTGCCTGGGGCCGAACAAGGGATAAAATGGATAAAATCATAAAAAAGAAAGTGCCGATGAAACTCCGTCGCAGAAGGCAAAAGGGACACAGACAGAGAGAGAGACAGACAAAGGAGACCCGTTGATTGGATTGAATTTGCTAATAAAAAACTAATTTACAACATTTGCATGGCCCTATGGACTAACGGATCATTAGCGGTCCTTAGACCCAACCAACCCTCTTCCCATGCTTCCTTTTTTTTTTTTTTATCTTTTTTCTCATTCTCATCCCCATGGACGATGGACGTCCAGAATGACAGCCAGGGCTCATTCTTATATTTTTCTCTCAATTGCTTCGAGAGCACATGCACATAGAACCATAACCATAGAAATAAACCAGCAACAAAGAAGAACCGAGACGGGCATGTATCCACGAAATTATGGCCTTGCGGATAAAAGAATTGATTTTGCATCTTCAAGCTCGCAGGCCATTTCGAACAGGTTTGAACGTTGATAAGCGATCGAGCATGTTGGGGGTCGATCCATCGTCCCAGGAAATAGAACAAGTCTAATGAACGTAGTCCAGACAGAAGTAATGGTATGGTCATCGTTCCTTTGTTTCTTTTCTTTTCTTTCCTTTGGAAGCTGGATGCTAGCATCTCTCGTCATTATTCAGGGCAATGCGGCTATTTCCGGCGACAAAGATAGAGAAGCATACACACGTGTTATCGTCATCATCTTGGGTCGTGTAAAGAGAAGGAAAAACGAAATCAAGTAACTTGAAGGCTTAGCCGTGTTAATAGGTGAGTATCGTCATTGTGAACCCTGTTCGGATTCCTGCTGCCCTGGTTTCACTACTTCTCTCTTGGCATCCCATCACCCCAGTCCCCGCGCCATCAACTTGAAGCAACTGGGGGGAGACCAGGGCCAAGGTCCACCTGACTGACGCCTTTCACTTTCTGTTACTTCTTTTGTTTCGAATGTCGACGCACACGCCCATTTGCATTGTTTCACACTTCCATGAAAAAATTGCACTATAAAATTCCGCCGAAGACGCGAACCCTTTCTTTTTCACCTTCACACACTCCCCCCCCACAACTCTCCCACACTCAAAGCCAAAGATACCGTCAACATCAACATCAACATGAACATGAACTCTGATCTCGACAACAAGGCCGGAAGACCTGCCGCCAGTAAGTGAAGAGTCAATATCTTGCACGTCTTCGTTGACGAGAATCGTTGTTGTAGGTCGCTGTCGTCTCTCCTTCGTTTCTTTTTGCTCTTTGTGTTTTGTTGCCACCAAGTTCATGTCGTATTTACAAACTCCTATCTTCGTCTTTGTCGATGTGGAATAGCCAAGGTTGCCGGTATGCGCGTCCCAGCCCACGACCACTCTGTCCCCGTCGTCCGCAAGTAAGTTAATCGGACACTTTTTTCCTCCCCGACTTGACTTCTCAGAAGAAAAGCAGTGAATAGAGAATCCTGTATATCTAACCCCATTCGTCCACTTTTTCTTTTATCTTCTTTCTACCTCATAGGGAACACGACAAAAAGCAACCAAAGGACGAAAAGGAAGACTCGGAGCACAACAACGAGGACGAACGCGAGCTCGAAAAGATGGAACGCTTCGAGTATGAGAAGCAGACTCGTCTCGCCGCCGGTGAACGCCTCGCCCGCATGCAGGAGAATCAACCCAAGAACGAGGTCATTAACAACTTCCGTCAGCGCGAGAATATCATTGTCTCACAGCCTATCCTCCATTACCACTCCAAGTCTGGTGCTGCCGCCCAGAAGTAAAAAAAAACTCTGAAGATGATTCAAAAGCAAGACAGATTGATCTTTTGAGCTTGTTCTCTTTTTTCTTTCTTTCTTTCTTTCTTTCACCATTGATCGGCTTACTCTTTCTCCTCCCTTGCACATAAGCAACTTTTGCTACCCAAAAAAAAACAAACTTGTACATACTTTTTTTTCCAATACACCAAACTACATTCTCTACAGTAAACAACGTGCGAATCGGCAAACACGAAACAGCGATACTTCGACGCGTGACATGGTCTTGCATTGTAACAAGAATTCTCCGAGCGATTAGAAAATTTAATTTTTGGGGGAGGGGGAATCAACAACAACGTCTACATATGAAAAGAGATAGAATGAAAGTGGAAAGAAAGCAACGACAAACAACAACAAAAACAAAAGAAACATCAAAGAGGAAATGATTACAGCTTGCCCTCGGGGAAGAGCACCTTCTGGACAGCTTCAATGACACGTCCATGGATCTTGGCATGGGCAGCAATGACACCTGAGTTAGTCGCCAACGTCCTGCCCTTAGAAAAGTCCAGAGGTTGACCATGAATATCAGACACAATACCGCCTGCCTCAGAGACCAACAAACTACCAGAGGCATGGTCCCAGATCTTCTCCTCGTACGTGGCGCTGACCGGCAGCCTCAGGTAGACCTCTGCATCTCCTCTCGAGAGTGAGCAGTACTTGCATTGACTGTCCATCCGGACGGGTGCCTTCGTGATTCCCAACAAATGTGCAATCCTGGCAGAGTCGCTCTGGTTCGAATGCCCGCTCTCAACACTCTCACAGAAGGACGCGTCGGCAAGAGATTGAATAGAACTCATCGAGATTGGAGTCTCTTCTGTCGATGAGAAATTACGCTAATAGAACAAACACAGTAGATGAAGAGGAAAAAAAAAAGAGATAGAAAACATAATGTCAGAACAACTGTCAAGTCGCCTTTTTCTCGTTCTCGGGTAGTACAAATGATATGACAACATTTGTGGTTGGAAAAAAAAACGAGATCGACGACTGAGAGAGCGGGTTAAAGATGAGCTGACAAAAATGTGTTCGTACCTGGAATGCGCCCTGACCCTTTACAGTGATAAAAAGACATCCCTTCTCGCCATCCTTGTCTTTGGCATCAACAGGGAGATTGGGGCAACCCATCACACCGACCTGGACCTGACCATCGACAATCAGGGCCAAACACACTGCAAACTGCTCGCCTCTCAAGAATCCTTTTGTGCCGTCAATGGGGTCTAATGCCCACATACGACCATGAGCGCCTCCAGCAAATGTTCCGCGGTCTATCGTCTCAAGAAGCTAAACGTTCAACAGATAAATGGTAGTGTGAGCCGATGAGGATAATAAAAAAGAAAGATGAGGGAGAGAGGGTAAGAAAGGTTAGAGAGGATGGTACAGTTCATCTAATACATTGTTTCTTATGTCCAATCCCAGCGAGCAATTAAAAGTCGCCAACGAGTGTCAGGAACAAAGCTCATCATGACCGAGAGAAATGGTGACAGCGACTCTCCGGAGGAAGGATAGTTTCCATGGACGAATAGCGCAAGATCTTTTTTTCCCCTCCCTTCCTCACTCGCTTAATTAGAAATCTCCATCTCAAAAGGCCAGGCGAGGAAAAAAAAAAAAAAAAAAAAAGGCGGTCCGGTCCGATCAGGTACGGCTTCGCTTTTTTTAAAACTGTCCTGTTCTGTTGGCTGTAAAACAAAGTGGGGACAAAAAGGAGGGCCGACCGCAGTTTCCCATCTCTGTCCTCCCGAGCCATTCCAACGCATGATCCCCCTTCGCTTTTCACACCGCCAGTCCTTGTTCAAATGTTCCATGGAAGAAAAAACGTACCGAATCCTCTGACAATGCCTGGTCGAGTCCGCTGTTGGCCAACTCCAAAACCTTCTCTCTCATCTGACGACCTTCCTCGCCTCTCAAATCCTTGGAATCTTCCTCACCAACAATAGGGTCTTCGGGGAAGGATTTGTGCAAGATGGAGTTGATGACAGCCTGCGCACTGAAATCACCAACTAATCCATCAAAACATCAATAGCAATGGCGATAGCAATATGAGCATTGGGAAACAAAAGAAGAAAAGAAGAAGAACAAGGAACGATTAGCATGTAAGCAAGGGTCCAAAGGGAGCGCATGCGGGAAGGAGCGTACTCCACAAAATAAAATGAGGGAAAAGAAGATGGCGAAAAACGAGATCATAAACATATGTGGGAATATGAGATCGAAAATTGTAGAAGGAATCAGATGTATTAAAAATGAGGGGAAAAGAAACACATAAAACACAAACAAACAAAACAAACAAAACACATACTGGTGACGGGAGACTTGTCCTTCTTGGTGATCGTTTCACCATTGACGAGCTTTGTAAAGACCCGCTGGCAGACTTTGCTGGCAGATAGGACGGCGTGGATGGCGACAGCACGTTCCGCGGCAAATGCAAGAGCTGGATCATTGGAATGAGAGGGGGAGAGATGAGTGTGGTTCAGCCGATCAGTACTCGTGTCTGTCATTGTCCGTTTGAAATCCTGCTGATCCAAGTGAAGTGAACAGCTTCTGTCCGGCTAGCTAGCTGTAAACTACTCCTGAGATATAGGTTCCTGACAAAGCATCATGATATCAGGCAGTTTCTTCCATCTACTATGCTCCCGAGGTAGAGTGCTATCCTGATCCCGAGTCCATTGTTGTACATTCCTTTGTGAGTTTCTCGGTGTGAGCCTGTTGCAAGAAGCGGTAAAGGTGACTTGAGAGAGGGAAGAGAAAAAAAAGGAGGAAGTGTGTCCTCGGGTGAGTTGCGGTGTGTGTTTTCCTGTGCTTACCAGACATGATGAGGAGACTGAATAGAGATGTGAATGAGAGAAAGAGAGAGGGGGAAAGTGAGAGTGAGGAATGCGAATGAAATGGCCAAAGGGAAAAAGTAAAAAGTGAGAAGAAACGAGGCACGTTCTCTTGTTCTCTCAATCTCCTTACTCGACTGCCTTTTTTTTTTGCCTTCCATCGTTCCATCGAGGGCAAATGAAAAAAGAACTGATTGAGCAGTCCCGACCGATGGCGTCAAATTGCGGTGGCCGATCTCTTTTTTTTTTTTATTAATTTTTTCGTTCCTCTGCAGACTCATACAAAACACACCACCTTCCTTCCTTCCTTCCTTCCTTCATTCCTTCCTGCATTCATTCACCGATCCCATCGTCCGTTCTGAGGGTGGGATGGCCGTGGTCTTGCCTCGCCATGAGCACCCGGAGGTGGGGGACGAGGGGGAAGAGGATAGCCGCCTGGTGGAGGCGGTGGGCGGAAGAGATGAGGCGGTGGAGGCGGCTGGTGGTGAGGATTAAACGTTCCTGGATGAGGGGGAGGGGGGAAATGTCTCGCTCCTGGTGGCATTGGTGGTGGGGGTATTTGACCGGGGTAAGGGTATCCCATCGGGGGTGGACCTGGAAGTCCTGGTGGCCGCTGTGGTGGATAAGGAGGTTGATGAAATGGAGGATAACCTTGATTTTGACCAGGAGGAAGAGGGCGTGGGGGAGGTCGGCCTTGGTTGTGCAAGGATTGTGGGGGGAAATGTGGCTCAGAGGGCCGTGCGTGTGATGATGGGTGGTGTGGTGGAAGATGTGGAGGAGGTGGTGGACGTGCATCTGCAGGAACATCAGACTGATTCGGTCTCCCAGACCCAGCCGAGAGACTGCTTGTTGGAGGGGTAGATGTCGGTGCGGGACGCTGTCTCTCCTGGGCTGATGCTTGTGTCTGTGGGACGGAGGTTTGATTGTTCGATGGAGGGGCTGCACTGTACCCTCCCGTCTCTGGATGAGTGGCCTTTTGAAATCCAGACACCCGATACCCCGATCCTTGTCCACGGTGATTATCTGCAGAGTCTCGTCCTGAAAACTCTCGCTGATGCCCTGCATTCCCTCCCCTTCCTCCTCCCTGGTCCCATCGATCGCCTCGGGAGCCTTGTCCTAGAGGAGTATTGTTCGACGCCGTAGAGTGTCCTTGTTCTCCAAACCCTTCAGACGACTGGAACCTTCCTCCTCCAAACCCTCCACCGCTACCTCCTCGGTTACCGCCTCTACCACCCCTACCACCCCTACCTCCTCTACCACCGTGTCCTCCGCGTCCTCCTCTCTGACCTCCCATAAACTGCCTCGACTTTCTGAACCGTGGGTTCTGCATAGCAATCTTCAGTACATCTGGTGACACTGGCTGGCTACCTTCTTCCAAGTTTCGTACCAGCTCACCTGCGAAACGATCGTCCTTGTCTGTGATCAACGTGTATGCAGTACCCTTATCACCAGCTCTTCCTGTTCTTCCCACCCGGTGAACATGCGAATCAATATCACGCGCCACGTCGTAGTTGATGACAGTCCTAATTGACTTGATGTCAAGACCACGAGCCGCGACGTCGGTAGCGATTAGCGTTGGAAACTGGCGGTTCTTGTAGTCGTGCACGGCCTTGTCACGCTCCTGCTGCACCATGTCGCCGTGCAGACATTCGCCTATTATTAGTGATGAATTGGGCGGAAGGTCAGTCAAAATCAATAAGCCCCAAGCGTCGTTCATACATTCATGCCATCCAACAGAAGCAGGCAAGGCTTACATCTCACGCTCATGTTCTTGAGGTTTTCTGTCAGCTCGACGACTCCATTCTTTCTTGAAACGAAAATGAGGACGCTTCCGACTATAGTCAAAGAAGGGCGTTTCGTTAGTTATGTGGTTGGTAAAGAGTATGAAGTGTCATATTCAGAGGCAGCATGTAAAATGCTACTTACGTGCTTCAAACTCCTGGAGTCTCTCCAATAGCCATTTCCATTTGAGAGTGTCGTCCTTCAAGATCTGGATGACTTGAGTGACATCCGAGTTGATCTGCATAACCGAAAATGAGTGGTTAGACGTATCTGTGAATAACATAACCTGGCAATCTCCTGTCGTTACAAGTGTAGATTCATTGTCATACCTGGCCAACATTGCCGATGGATATCCGCACAGGATCGGTCATCACTTCTCTGGCAAGCCTTTCTACACGCTTTTGAAACGTCGCACTGAACAACACGGCTAAAGTAGATGAAAAAGAGTTTTGGGTGTTCATTAGTTGGGGCGAAATACGCATGGGTAAGCAGGAGTATCGTGCGCACACGAACTCATCCTTGCAGATAGGTCCTTACTTTGACGATCTGGACGAATGTTGTCGCAGATGGATCGCACTTGAGGCTCTACATCAATAAAAGGCGACGGGACACTTATTGGTTAGTAAAGGACAATGGCTTTCCGTACAAATACAAGTTCCACATCAAGCACAACAAAAGGAGTATTTACCGAACCCCAGATCGAAGAAGCGATCAGCTTCATCCATCACCAGGAAAGAGGTGCGCTTGAAGTTGGTAGCTTTGATCTTGATCATGTCAATGAGCCGTCCAGGAGTAGCAACAAGGATCTCAACCCCTGAACGAAGAGTTTTAAACTGTTCCTGCTTGCTGGCTCCACCATAGACGACCGCGACGCGTAGACCATACGCCTTGGCAAAACGTTTAGCTTCACTGTAGATTTGATCCGCAAGCTCGCGTGTTGGGGCTAGGACAACTCCAATAGGCCCATCGCCCTTGTCAAGTTCTTCTTGGTCCATAATATGCACGATCATAGGCAGCAAGAAAGCGGCTGTTTTTCCCGAACCTGTCTTGGCGATTCCAATGATGTCTCGCCCGGAAAGGGCTACTGGGATAGCCTGCTGCTGAATACCACTGGGTTCGGAGTATCCTGCTCGCCGAATCGTCTCCATGAGAGCCTCCTCGAACCCAAAGTGCGCAAACGAAATACAGGGTTTCGCTGCATCTGCCCCAGAGACTCTCATATCTATTGATTAATTCGAAGAATAATACGTTGTGTTAGATAGGTGTGCTGAAAAATGCTATGCGTCAGCTCATATACCGATCGTGGATGCCACGACAACTTACCGAGATCCATCCTGATCTGCCTAACTTGCTCATCGCCCAGCTTTGCAATGTCCTCGTGTTCCTCGTAGAAGCACTTTTCAATCTCCACATAGTTTTGTCGAGAGTGATCCACCCTTGGCAATGGCGTGATTTCCTTCTTGCCATTCGACTGCATGTCGTATCCCGCCTCATCCGGATCGAACCTAGAACGAAAGTGTAACGTGCCTGGTGAGTCGGATTACTTTGTATCCGCAAACGAGGCAGCAAATAAATACGCAATGGCAATATCTTACTGTGGTTCGGCTGCACTGTCAATCGCACGCGCAGTGGCATAGACCTCTTCGTCAGAGTCGACATCCTATCATTCAATATGGAGGACGTTGTGAGTTCGTGTTCGTATTGCTTGGGACGTTGGACATAATTGATGATGGCTCGCACGACTTGAAACTATTTTGTTACCTCGTTTCGTTCCTGCATAGGTCCACCTTGGCCGACCATAATTCCCTTCTTCTTCATGTGCTTCATGTAGCTCTCGACATAATCCTCGTCCTCGATATCATCGCGTCGGACCTAATCGAACGCAGGGCGCATTGGTGTAAGAGGGTGACAACGTACTCAATTTGTTCTGCTTTCAAGCAGCGCGTTTCGAATAACACAAAATGGCTAAAAGGTAACCATACCTTTTCCTCTGAGGGCATCTCTGCTTCCTTCTTTACTTGTGTGTCGATTCCAGCCATAAATGCATCCAGTGGATCATCTTCGTCTTCCTCATCGTCTGCCTGGGTTTTTGTCGTCTCCTCGGCAGCGGCAGCTAAATATATTGCACAAGGTGATACATGCATTAGTTTCTAAACAAATGATCACCAAATATTGCACACTACACATTGGTCCATTAGCATTTATATACCTTTCTTGGATCCAAGGTGCGAAAAGGCATCCTCCTCGTCGTCATCATCATCATCCCCAAAGACAGATTTTTTAACTGGCGGTGCAGGTGGGCGTGATGCTGAGGATGCTGATCCAGATGGCTTTACGGTGCTCAATTTCGAGAATGCGTCCTCTCCCTGACCCTCTGTATCGTCTGGACCTTGCTCCAGCTTGATCTGCTTGCGCTTGGGTGGACCTGTCGAGCCTGTGCTGTCGTTCCCTTTGTCTTCGTCGTCGTCGTCGTCGTCGTCGTCACCAAAGCCTAGGGCTGTTGTTCTCGAAGGTCGCGTTGGACGCGCAAAGGGGCTTGGTCGTGAGTTCAGGTTCGGTGAGCCAGAGCCGAGACTGATGTTGATGGATCGTTTGCCATTGTTCATGGTAAGTTGTGTTGTTCTCCTGGCATGTGTGTTTGAAGAGTTGAACGAGACCTTCTCTCTTGCAACCTTGCTTTTGTGTAAATTGTTTAGCAGTCACACACACCTACCCCTCATCCACTTTATCTGTTCTTCGCCACCCACCCCTTCCTCCCGTCCCTCCCCTTCCTACCTTCGTCCTCACCCTCAGCAATCGCCACCAACCTCAAGACGGCGCGTAAATCCCCAGCTCGTGTGTCGGGAGGACAACACCCGCCATTGAATTAAGCTTACTCTCACCTCCTCATAAACTCAGTTCACACATACTCTGTCCACCACTCGTCCCTCTTGACCGGTCCGTCAGAATGATGCAATCAACTTTCAGACCCGAAGGCGAGATTCAGACTTCTGTTGATCCAGGACCTATGGACTACAATAGTATCATGACCCGCGGATATCCCTTCGTACCCGTCAAGCGCGTCGACGTCAACGACCCTGACGTTAACCTCGAATACGAGGTCCAATCACTATGTGTTGACAACGGCGAGCCCGTTGTGATAGAGGGCTTTCACCAGCAGGAAAAATGGAATGCAGGTCTTTTCACTTTTCCATATCTTCAAACCAAATTTGGACACCAGAGTAAGCACAAGACCACCATCGACAGAAAATGGCCTTGTTCTGATACATGCACGAGACCTCTTCAATAACATGGTCCTATTGTTTTGCTCTTGCAGAAATCCTCTGTCGCGATCTGCACAACGCCGACGACGTCGACTTGACGATGGCACAGTATATCGAAACTGTGCATGGCGACACTGTAGACCGCGACTTTACCTCCTCATCAATTCCCCCCCACCCCTCAATACCCGGCAATCAGGGCACTCTTCCGCCACGCAAGCCACTCATATACGCCAAGGACCTAACATGTCCTCCAACGTGGCGCAACTTCCTCATGAATGGTGGCCTACCTCCATTTCTAGCCTACATGCGCGAAAACGATTTGAGTAAGCGCGCGTCTGTGGAAATGACTCTTTCATTAATTGGCAGCCTAGCTGCTAGTGTCACCATACTGACAGATACTTTGGATGTTTATGTTTACATAGACAACTTGAATACACAACTTGCAGCCGAGAACCTGATGGTCTACATCGGACAAGCTGGCACCTGGTAAAGAGATCATCTGTATTGTTGAGCACCTTGATCACCTGTGGCATTTTATATACTGAGCCATTTCAACTTCATTTGTTTCTGACCGTTTAGGACGCCAGCTCACATCGATCAATGCGGAGCTATTGGGCACAACATCATGACATGGGCTGACAAAGGTAGGGGTCGCAAAGCCGGTGCAGATTCATAGCAAGGGGGATCATGGGAGACGAGAACATACGTGCTGATTGTTGATGCTGTTGCCATCTATTATGTGTGCATAGATTCATCGTCAATCTGGTTCATGATCAGATCGAAAGACAAGAAAAAGGCAGAAGAGCTTTGGAGCAGCTTTAATCAGCCTTTGGACTACGAGGGCTACTTTGCAGGTTTGGATGAGCTGCAGCAGGCAAAGTTTCCGATCTATGTTGTGCAGCAAAAGATCGGTGACTTTGTCATGGTCCCCTCACGATGCGTGCATCAAGTCATCAACCTTGTAAGTACCAGGATTGTTTTGAACGCTCGGGGATGTGCATTCGTTGCCATATGTGAAGAGTGGCTAATGAATATGGCCGTTTTTTTTCTTATAGGGCAAAGCTACAATCAAGGTATCATGGAACCGTCTTACGCCGAATTGTTTGAAGGCAGCTATGACTTCGGTCCTTCCAAGATACAGACAGTAGGTTTCTCCTGAGATCATGATGCGGATGAAATGGTCACTGTAGGTAATGCACTTTGGTCCAGACTTCTGACTGCTATTTATACCTGCGTCTATTCTAGGATCGGTCGCCCGGAGGGATACCGGATCAAATTGATCATCGAAAGCACCATGAAGGCATGGACGGAGAAGCTGGAGACTCAGGAAGATGATTTCGGGATGCCAAAGAACAATTTCAGTAAAGCGTTCAAGGAGGTCCTGAAGCTCTACAGGAGCATTGTCGAGGAAGAATGGGTGGATTTGCATGCCATGGGATCGGCCTGCGAGCCTTTTGAGCGACCAAAGCGGTTGAAGGAAAGCCAGCATAGTCAGCCAGCAATCTGTGATTTCTGCCGGGCCGATATCTGGAACAGACAGTTTCAGTGCCGCGAGTGTGTCAATGGCGAGGACGCCTACGATCTCTGCGCGCAATGCTATAGTCTCGGACGGGGTTGCGAGCACAGAGGAGAACAGATGGACTTTGTCGAGAACTTTTCGATGGAATCGTGCCGATTGGCGTATTGTCGGGCTCTTGCTGCATGGAACCGGTCGAAGGCATTGTCTGGCTGTCTGAGTCATGAACCCATCACTGATACCTGGTTTGAAAGGTACGTTTTCCACTTTAGTAGCGTTGTTTGATGTCCACGCATTGCATTGAATGTCCTAACCAAAGCTAACCTCCACCTTTTTATAATCCATAGTATTGTTCCGTCTGTTAAAAAGAACTTCTCTTCAACAACCTTGGCCTACACGCGCCACCAATTCGCAGGCGATGTAAAGGTAACTAACTCTATGCTATCCATCTGATAGTTGTATGTGCTGCCGGATATTTGTATTAGAAAAGTATTAATGTTCTCTTCCATGTTGGTAAACTTTTAATCATCTAGGCGTGTCATATCTGCAGATTGAAGAGTAGGATCCAGATGAGCGCAGAGTGTTCCTCATGCCCACTGTCATTCTGTGAGCTCTGCCTCTACAAGTACCACGACACCCTCTGGACAGACATCGCCAGCAAGCGGTCAGGCTGGAAGTGTTATCGGTGCCAAGGCGTATGTCCATGTACCCAAGGCGACAAGCGGGCCGCGGCAGGATGTGCACCTCTAGAGGCATCTCACACAAAATCACTGTGGTTCACCCGACCCGAAGATGACTATCGGAATCACGGCGGCGTCAGCGATGACCTGGAACCTTCTGAGCAGGAAAACGTTGCACTGGGCGAAGACGGCCGGAACGAAAGACCCCAGATTGCACATGGTTCGCATATATCCAAGTGGACCAAGGGAAGGTCGACGCGTGCAGATGGTATGTCGAGTACCAGCACTTTGCGACGTAGGCGGTCGTTGACGCCTGACAGTCAGTCAACCAGCACCAAGAAGGGCAAGAGATCGCGCAGCGCTGTGGGCGATGATGATGACGATGAATGGAGAGCCAGACCCAAGGCTGCCCGTGGGACGCTTACCAAGAGGAACGAGTTGAACCCAGCGCACGCAGACGACCTCTCAGACACCAACGGCAAGAGTAACGACAGGCGTTCACTCCTCACAAACGCACCGCCCATCAACCTCAGGAAGAGCAAGACAAGTCAACGACCAACCACATCGGAGGCGGCCTTTAATTTATGCTTGGGCGAGGACGAGGAATTTGTGAGAACGATGGCCGAGAGGGCCGGATTGCCTCGCACACTCGCATCACTGGCCAAGTTGCAATTGGTACCAGGGATGACCACCCGCGATATTGTCAAGTTGGATAAGCGTTTAACTTCGCTGGACCTCGCTCTCCGAGCGAGTTTCCGAGAGGATCTCATGGACAAGATAAAACAGGCGCGCGTTGAGGAGGATAATGTGACGAACGGGCATGCCGTAGGTTCAAAGCGCCTGCAGAAGCAGCTCAAGGAGAAGGAGGGTCCGCAGAGTTGAAAAAGAAGCCGAGGAAACAAAACAGGAAGACGACGAGTGGGAGGAGGAGGAACAGAAGAAAGTAAGGATACGGCCAAGGTCCAAAAACAGTACGCCCAGTTGAGTCGCTACTAAGATAGATGAACAGGAGAAAAAGGAGAAGGCAAGAACAAGATGGGCATCGCCACGAGCATCAATGTATAGACATAAAGACATCCTGCGGTCAGTATCCGGCATGAAATAAAGTAGAACGCCCTTCCTGTGGAAAGGAGAAAAAAAAAGGTCGTAGGAATTAATGGGGCACGTTTGAAAGGGTTGCCTCGATTGCCCTTTCGTGCTTCCTCGATATTAAAGTTTTGCTATGGTGTAGACGAGGCTGAACTGCAGGATTAGACCGAAACGATATGCGATGACGGTGGATGGCGTTGACAACACAAAAGGCAGCGATCGGGGTGCCTTTGTTTGCGTACTGATGCGCATTGTTTTTTTTTTCTCCCTGTAATGCCTGCGCAACCCAAGAATGGATTTGTCAACGCGCCGAATGAAACAAGGTGGTGAGAAAAAAAAAAGGTGTACTCTACTTACGTACAGTCAGTTGTACGTTCATACTGTGATGAAAATAAAAAGGTATCGGATAGAGCGTGAGCAAGGCGCCCTTGTCTAAATTGCTACGGCTGGCCGAGGACTGGAAAGAAAAAGAAAAACAAACCTAAACCAGTTTGATTTGTCACCTTGTGCTGTCCAACCGATTTCGCCCTCTCCTCACAAGGCCCTCACTGCCCGGGGAAGGGTAGAAGATAGTAAAAGAACAGAGAGAGAAGCGATCACTACCGACACAAAGTATGACCTCTCGTTCACAAAGAAAAACAAGTCAGGGGTTTTGTTGAAAGAAGGAAGATGAGAAAGACGGTGAGGTAGCAACGGAAAGTATAACAAAGTATAGTAGGGCAAGACAAGATATATGTTTGTACATTTGAGGCGGAGGCGAAAATATGTTTGCTATCAGTTAGCATATGCCAGCAACGCAGCCCCATTTGGTTGGGTACTCCACTCGACCTTATCCGAGACAGCAAGTTGTAAGGAAGAGAAGGGACCAGTTGTCGTTGCTCAACATCCTACCAGAGCGAAGGGGCGGACTTACGATTAGAAGGATCGATTCGATTCAACCGCCGTCTGGCTGCCCCCGCCTTTTGCCCTTTTGTGGCTTGGGGTTTGACACACTAAAGTGCTTAAGTAGTTGACTTCAGCGCATTAATGACTAGGCACACACAGAGGTAAGCGATAAGAGGAGGAGGAGGAGGGAGCCATGTTGGCTTTGGAGGGAGAGTGAGTGAGTGTTGGAGTGGTGAAGTGGAGGGAAGGAGGGAGAGTCGTGATATGTTGATTTGTGTGGTATCAGCCAAAGATTCAGCAGGCAAAAACGTGCGTGGGGTGACTGGTGAACGAGTCATCCCTTCCGGCACTATAAATACGTTTCTAAGGGAACCAGCTACTTCTTTCTTTCTCTCTTTCTTCCCTTACACCTTCCCCTTGTCAGCCTCAATCACGTTATTACCCATCTCATCCCACCGGGTGCGCCAAATATTACGTCCTAAGTCGCCCTCTGCCGACTCAAAAACCTAGAGGCCTTCAATCCTACTACTCCAACAGCAACTCCAGCAACTCCAGCAACCTCAGCAACCAAAAAACGACCCTTCATCATCCCCAAAAAACCCTTCAAATATTCGATCATGTCCAACGATTACCTTTCCCTCATCGCCAACCTCAACTCAGAGTCGCCAGTCATGTCCTCGCCAGAGGACTACTCGGCTGAGCTCTCACTCTGGACCAACCTTCAGTTCACCTACGACGCTCCTCCCGGTCTGGGTATCTTTGAGCAGGACTCGGGCTTCGATGCCCTCTCTGCCCTTAACACCCCCGCCCACCACGGTGTCACCACTGCCCAGCAGCATCAGTCCGCCGTTCCCGCTGCTGCCCCAGCACCCGTGTCAGCTTCCAAGATCACTGTGGGCCACAACCCCCAGTCTGCATTGGATCAGAAGCATCTGATGGAGTACCTCAACCTCCCCCAAGAAGGTAATCACTTGCAGCCAGCCCAATCGGCAGCGAACTAAAAGGGAAACGTATGAGAGACAGACCAATTGAGGCTGTCCGATGTGTGTATATCGATGCTCCCCATCCCTATTGTTGTCTTGTCTTGTCTATCCCTCCCTCCCTCTCCACTTTGGAATATCCTTTACGTGCTGTCTGTCAATCACACTTGTCAATTTTTTCTCTCCCTGACTTGACTGTTGTTGTTGTCCCCCTCTGAGTGGATTAATAATTGAAAAAAGTGGAGATTATCTGCCTTTGTCCGCCTCTGTGCCTATCGGGGCATAACACCTCTCACACCCCTCTCAACACCCTCTCCCGACTGTGCGCTAAAAAAGCCTTCGCAATGGTCGCGTTCCACCCCCCCTGACTTCTTCACATGCATAAATGTCTAACTCCACATTACCATAATAACAAATAGACGCTCGCCCTCTCTCCCTCTTGGAGCGTACCCGTCAGCGTAACCCGGTCAATGCGAACCAGCCCCAGAGCTCGCCCGAGCTCCAGGAGCAGGCCGCCGCCATCAATGCCTTCCACTCCTTGTTGGCAGCCTACTCAGCATCGGCTCAGGTGCAACAGCAACAGCAGCTTCAGCAACCGCAACCTGTTCAGCAGCAGCAACAGCAGCGTCAGACCTCGTCTGGCCTGCCATTGCTCCTGCCCAACATTGCCCCTGCCACGGCGCCCACTACGCCCGCAGCTGCAAAGCTTTTGCGCCAGCCCTTGCCACAGTACAAGGCTGCCTCCTCGGCTAAGAAGGCATTGAAGGCCATCCAGACCCCGGCCGCTATCGCTCCCGCAGGTCCTATCGCCCCCAGGAGCCCCACGACCGTCAGTGCCAGCGCCATCGCTGCCGCTGCCACCGCCGTCTCGGCCAAGGCCACACCTACTCGCTTGGCTAGCCCCATCTCGGAGAGCAAGGATGACGATGAGACTGAGACCAAGCACGAGTTATCTGCAGCTGATTCCTTCTCGAAGGATGATCCCGAGTACCTTTCCAAGGTCGCTGCTGAGGAGGACAAGAGACGCCGGAATACCGCTGCCTCTGCTCGCTTCCGCTACAAGAAAAAGCTGCGTGAGCAGGCCTTGGAGCAGACCGCCAAGGAGCAGACCCTCCGTGCCGAGACATTGGAGGCCCGCGTCAAGGAGTTGGAGATGGAGGTCAAGTGGTTGCGTGGCTTGATTGTCGAGAAGGACTCCCACCTTCACGAGGTCACTGCCAGCATGGATGAGTCGTCCCAGCAAGGCTCCAACAAGCGTATCAAACTCGATGCTTATTAAAACGGAGAAAACCTGAGACGCAGCGGTTAAAGGGCTCGGACAATCGTGGGAACCCACATACACCGATTTCACTTTACTACTCTGGCCTTTGAGCGCTAGTCGTCCTTCCAGAACAACTCCTCGTCTTCACTGATCTTTTTTTCCTCCTTGTCTTGTTACCGTTCGTTTTTTCGCATCGTCGCTTTTCCCCCCTTCTTTCCTTGTCTTTCTATCGTTTTCACATTCTTGTTCTTCTTGCTTTTCCATGTCTTTGTACTTGCATCCGCTAGTTGTCCTTTTATCTCTTCTTTATTTGTTTCCAGCAACAGTGCGTCCTGCTGTTGCCTTTGTTTTTTGTTTGTTCTTTTAGCCATGCATTGTTTGCAACCATTTTACACCAAAAAAAACTATTGTACATAGTTGCTTGTTCAGATTGAAAAAAAAAATAACATAAAAAACAAGAGTAATCTCTATTGCGGTTCACTTGATGTCTATATCCTTGCTTCAATGCTTGTGATACCTGCAATAGCAAAGGCGAAGGACAGATAGGCCTTGACAAAGTGCTGACAGGGGGTAGAGTCAGAGGTAGAAGAGAAGCGGCGAGTTATCGGCTTAAGGGGCATGAAATCGTTAGATCCTGACTCGATGACTGATTTGTTCTTTCTTGCTATCAAATAAACAAAGGGCCAAGTTCCCTGTGGCCTTTTTTTCTTCTTCTCATCACGACCTTTTGTAACTTTCTGTAACACTTTACAACATGCCTACCGTCAACGTCGACAAGGAGGAGCTCTACACCGCCCTCGGAAGGGACTACAGTACGTCTTCTTCTTGCTGTTGTTCTCTTCGCAACGCCGAAAAACTAAAACGCCGAACCGACACTCGTTGTGAGCAATGGAATTACTGTCATTCAACTCAACTCAACAAAACTTAACGTTCCTCATTCCTCTCTACCACCTTCTAGCCTTCGATGAGTTCATGGACCTCTGCTTCAACTTTGGTATCGAGCTCGAGGAAGATGTAAGAACCTTTCAACACAAGTTACAACCTGGAGGAAGAAGAACGTTCTCAAAAGAGGAGTGACATTCATCACCGCCGATCAACTTCATCTCACACCTGCCGTGCGTTCCCGCTTACTTCTCTACACTGGCTATCATATAATTAGACCTCGCCCAAGGAGATGGCCATTCGTGAGGTTGGAGCCCACAAGGTCGACGACAGCGTGTCGGATAGACCCATCTTGAAGATCGATATCCCCGCCAACCGGTAAGCGACCGCTTTCTTTACACGCTGACGCCAATTGATGCGTTTATCTATCCGGCAATGGGTTTTCACGCTTGCCGCAAGGACGATATCTATGAACAAGGACAGCGGTGTCGCGCAAAGGAACCATTGATCTAACCTACAACGCAATTCATGATCTGGCGACGACACGACATAGCTATGATCTGTTGTGCCACGAGGGTATCTCTCGCTCGTTGTTGGTCTTCCAGGGCAAGGCCAAACCCCCAGTCTTCAAGGCTATCATGCCCGCTGACGGAAAGCTCCAGAAGTTGACCGTCAAGCCCGAGGTACGTCCATTGAGCAACAGCCTCAGGAATATGACCAAGAAACGAGTGACACTATCTACAAAGGCATGTGTAACTGACACAAGCCCTTCAATCATACCAACGTTGTATGATTAGACCGCTGCCATTCGCCCCTTCGCTGTCGCCGCTATTCTCAGGAATGTCAAGTTCACCGAGTTGAACTACAAGAACTTTATTGACTTGCAGGATAAACTCCATATGAACATTTGCAGGAAGCGTACTTTGGTCGCCATTGGAACCCACGATCTCGACACCATCCAGGGTCCCTTCACCTACGAGGCTTTGGCCCCTAAGGATATTCAGTTCGTTCCCTTGAACCAGGAGAAGAACATGAACGGCGAGGAGTTGATGACCTTCTACGAGAACGACAAGCATCTCGGAAAGTTCTTGCCCATCATCCGTGACTCGCCCGTCTACCCCGTCATCTATGACAAGAACCGCCAGGTCTTGTCCTTGCCCCCCATCATCAACAGCAACCACTCCAAGATCACTCTCGATACCAAGAACGTCTTCATTGAGTGCACGGCTACTGACTTGACCAAGGGCAAGATTGTCCTCAACACCATGGTTGCCATGTTCTCCGAGTACTGCGCCGAGCCCTTCACGTAAGTGATTTCTCTATGACGCAAAGGTGTATATCATGTCGGTATGGTTGCCACTTTGTCATGTGTGACTCACAGACTCACCACGCAAATGCTTTACACATTCTGCATGAAAAATAATAACTAGCATCGAGCCCGTTGAGGTCATCTACGAGGATAACCGTCAGCCCACAGGAGTCACCCCTGACCTTACTTCGCGCACCGCCACGGCCAAGGTCGACTACATCAACAGCTGCACTGGATTGAAGCTCAGCCCTGACGAGATCTGCAATCTCTTGAACAAGATGTCATTGGAGGCTGTCCCCAGCAAGGAGGACAAGAACGAGGTTGTTGTCCAGGTCCCCGTCACCCGTTCGGATGTTCTTCACCAGTGCGATATCATGGAGGATGTTGCCATCGCCTACGGATTCAACAACTTGCCCCATACCACCCCCTCTGTCAGCACCATCGGAAAGCCCTACCCCCTCAACAAGTTGGCCGACACTGCCCGTGTCGAGTTGGCTCTTGCTGGATGGAGTGAGGTCAGCCCCCTGACCTTGGTAAGTTTTGACTCATCTTTCGCGTGTTTTTTCGTGTTCATTACAGTTTGAAATGTATCAGCAACGGAACGAAACAGCTCTAACTGGGACGCGTTTTACATGCATCATCAAATAGTGCTCGCACGATGAGAACTTTGCCTTCTTGCGCCAGAAGGATCCCGGCAACATTGCCGTCCGTCTCGCCCACCCCAAGACGATCGAGTACCAGGTTGTGCGCACATCGCTCCTCCCCGGAGTGTTGAAGACGTTGAAGGAAAACAAGAAGCACTCATTGCCCATCAAGGTCTTTGAGGTCGGTGACACTGCCATCAAGGACGACACCCAGGAGCGTCGCTCGCGTAACGTCCGCAAGGTCTGCGCTACTTATTCCAACAAGACCAGTGGCTTGGAGCAGATCCATGGTTTGCTTGACCGCACCCTCCAGATGTTGCATTGCCAGCCCGTTGATAAGAGCAGCACTGCCCCTGGATACTGGATCCAGGACTCTGAGAGTACGTCTTTTGCCCTTATCCTCACTATTTGACTTGTACACATGCTGTCTATTTGAAAATGTCTTCTATTTTTTATTGCGAATATTAACCCCTTCGATCAACCATTGTCCCTGTAAATAGACCCTACGTACTTCCCATCAAGAAGCGCAGATATTTACCTCCGCCAGAAGGGAGAGACCAAGGTCATTGGATCGTTCGGTATCCTCCACCCCGAGGTTCTGGAGAAGTTCGGCCTCAACTTCCCCACCTCTGCCATGGAGTTCGATCTCGAGCCCTTCCTGTAAATTGACAGCAAAACAGGGGTATCTTTCCAGTGATACGACGATTAAGAGGATATACGAGGTTTTTTTTTTTTACAGATATCCAGCAATGCAGAATAATAAAGCATCAAATCGAAAGCAATGGGTTGGTTTGTATTTTTTTTTTTTTCTTTTTTTTCGAATGCAATTGTATTTGACAGGGGTGGTTTTGTACACGAAAAAGAAGCGATGATACATGGAAGGTGTATGAAAACAACACTGAGAGAAAATATAAAAACAAGTGAAGCAAAACATGAATAAAAAAAAATGTATGACAAAGAAAGAAAGAAAGAAAGAAAGAAAGGAAGAAGGTGTAGCAACGGTTGAATGGGTCAGGCTCTTTTGTTCGTGCGTGTTCTACGGCTAATTGGCGGCTCCTCAGTCGTGACCATATGGATGTTGTTGCTGCCGCTTGATTCCTCCAATCTGTGGGATCAAGTGACAGGCAAAGTCGTCATATCCTTGGCTCTGCAAACCGAAGGCTCTGTCAGCATTATCGTTATCGATCATGCAAGCGTAGTCAAGGAGAAGAACGACAACAGCGGAGACTTTGGCGGATGCTCGGGTTTCCTGCTCAACAGGTGTCGCTCTTGTGCCGCCGCCACTGCGGTCGAAGCCGTAGGAATTTTGCAGTGAGTTGTCGACAACATGCACGCGGCAACCACATTTTTTTCGTACATTTCGGTTCTATTGAGTATGTCAATTTTGGACGTGTGTCGATAACTTCGTTTCCAATTGTATTTTCCTCTCTAGCCGTCTATTTCTTTGGTGTCGTTCACAAAAGGTGCCTCCTCCTGTAGCGTTGTGTTTGGCCTGCTTCGATCTCTTCAGCGCAAGTGATTCGCCGAGATAGCAGCGACCCATTTTTACTATCTTCTTTCCGTAGAACATTGATGAACATTTTATTTTCTTAAGGTCGGCTTATTCTATTTTATGGCGATGACGTAGCCAATAGTGTGAACGTGGCAGGAAGGGGGCGAACGAAAAAAGTTGGGAAGTCTCCAGGAAAAGGAGTTCTTTAAGTATGGTTATATGGATTGACAAAAGTGGGCCTCGTGAATGAATAGATCATCATTTCCATCTCTCGCCTCTTTTAGTCTTTTCTTTTACTGGTGGTTTCGTAGCAATTGTCTTTTGTATTACCCTGGGGCGTACTGAACCATTGATGGAATAGTAGAACTGGGTGTTGTCCATTTTTTCAACTACTCCGTCACAGTTGCAGTTCTCCCAGTCCTGACTGTATCATCGCCAGATCTAACGCGTCGTGCTTCGCCACCAAAAGCCGACTTGTTCCTAGCCAGATAACTCGTGACAGAAGATCGCAAGTGTTAACCAAACACCGGCAACTGATATTGCCGATCGATCACATTTTTCTTTGTTTTCCCCATCAGTAATCAATTCCAGGAACAAAAACAGGGCCAAAGACGAAGGTCCGCTCGCCAAAGTCCCAAACACACTCCACTCTCCACAAACAAACACACACACCAACTCAACCAACCAACATAAAATAACACCGATGCCATCCACCCCGGCATCCGCACGCTCCTCCTCCTCCTTCCCTCCTCGTCCTCCCCGAAAGCAACATCTTTTCTCTGCTCAAGACAACGGATTCGTCAGGACGAGCTCATTTAATCTTCAAAACGACCACTCTCGGCCTACATCACCAACAACTTCCTCAACTCGAAAACAGCATAGCAGATCTCCTCCTCCACAGCTTCGCCCTCGGTCTCCTCGGACGTCTCTTCGATCTCCACCGCCCACTGCTACTTCTTCGTTCATCCTTCCTGGAAAGAGAGGCAAGGTCACTCGTCTGGTCCTTGTCGCTGTTATCCTTTTTCCACCTGTCGCCTTCTTCCTCTTCGCCATGCTTCCATTACTCCTTGTCATCAGCGGTAGGACAACTGTTTTTTTTTGTTATCTGGTTGGTCCCTACCTCTTGTGCCAGTGCCATGGCCCGAGCAATTGAATTGAACCGGCACTAATCCATCTCTTTTTTTTGTTGCTGGTTTTAGTTGTATTCACGTACTCGATTGCATGGCTGTTGTATTGGTCGAGAGCTGGGCCTTTCAGTTTCTCTAAGCTGCCATTGGACCCTCGGAGGGTGTGGAAACTGAACAAGGTCGTCTTCTCGGTCATTGTCGGTGATCTCGACTTGATCCCCGTCGGCCTGGCCCTTGTTAGATACCGTTACTTTACCATGCGTGGATCCAATGACTTTATGTAAGTATTTTCACCATATTAGATCTTCAAGGATATGCTCAATTAATTACCAATCGATATTCTTTGCAATTAACATATGTGTATGGATGTTGTTGATAGTACGGATGTGCATTATAACCCAAGGAGACCCAACAACAAGATGGATATCTATATCCCAGAGGGAGCTGTTCGCTCGTCTGACGTCAAGGCATATCAGGGAGACATGGACTCGGATGACAATGCGGCATTGAAGCCAGTCGTTGTTTTCATCTATGGAGGCGCATGGTCGGCAGGATCCAGATGGACATACACTCTGATCGGAGCTCGTCTAAGATCCATGGGCTATGTGGTCTTCTTGCCCGACTACTCGATCCACCCCCAAGGACATATTAGAGAGATGGAGCAGGATGTCAAGATGGCCATTCAATGGACTCATAACAACTGCAGGAGCTATGGAGGTGACCCCCAGCAGCTTTATCTCATGGGCCACTCGGCTGGTGCTCAACTCTGTGCGCTCACGGTTCTCAATGATAGCATCCGTCGGATCCCAACCTCATTGTTGGGCTCTTCCCCCGCCGCCATTACCACATCGCCAATTTTGACATCCATTTTGACAGAGAGGAAGGACGATCGACATAGCGGAGTGTTGCCAAGGATCCGAGGAATGATTCTCTGCTCGGGCGTGTACGATATCGGCGAGCACTACAAGCACGAGTCAATGCGAGGCGTTGAAGAGATCTCGGCCATGGCTAGAGTCATGGGCAGCAGTGAGCTCACCTTCCGTCAACACTCGCCCACAATCATCCTCCAGGAATTGCTCCAGGTTTCCACAGGAATCGATCCCAAATACCCGACCGAATCACAGACTCGCCACCAACATCTCCTTCGTCATTTGAAGTCGCTCATGCCGATCGAGACGATTGTGATCCATGGCGACAAGGATCTGACGGTCCCTTGGAAATCTTCGTCTGAATTCTACATGGAACTCAAGACACTTCAGTTGGGTGCTGGCGCTAGATTGAGGATGATGACCGGCATGGGCCACGCTGAACCTGTTGTTGGTAAGGAAAACGTTGACGACAATTGCGATTGATAAGCAGTCAAATGTGAAATCGTGAAGGAGGCAATTCCATGTTTCGAGTGGTTTCTAACTCTTCCCCCCCCCTTTTCTTCATTTCGTTCTACTTCTATGAAACACGTTCGTCTTGATTAGCCCTGATGCCCAGCTTCCTCAACAATCCCTTTAAGAAGCCATTGTTGTCCGAAATCTCCCAATTCATTGATGGCAACCGGACATTACAATAGTTCTCAAGCCAGCGCAAAAACACCTAGATCCTTCATAAATACTTGTTAACTTGTAGCACCATAAACGGCCCCAAAAACCGCGGTAAGAGTGGCTGAACGAAGGAAGACCAAAAAGTGGCCTTCTCTCTCTTCAAGATCGCATTTTTTCCCACTCTGTCACAGAATCACTTGACAACATGTTTGCTTGGCGCCCTGTCTCCTTCACTCCAACCAAAGCGCAAACAAACATAGCAGCAAGCAAGCGGCGAGCTTAGTCAGTCGTCGCTTTGGCACTGCGACTTTACTTTCTGTTGTCATTTGCCCCCGATATGGAGATCATTCTCCCGTCGGAAAAAAAAAAGGGTTATTTTTGGATATTTTTTTTTGGAAAGCATGGATGGGTCCTTTAAAAAAAATATATCCTGCATACCAATCCCACGCCCCAAAAGTTATTCTGGTCCTCCTTCTTTCCTCCTCTATTTTTCAACACCGTCCTCATGGTCTTGGTCTGTCCTTTTGGCTGTGGAAGTACGTACTGTATTATTTCCATGAAAGAGAAGAGGGGGGTAAAGGGGAAAATAGAAGGAAAGGAAAGGAAAGAGAATCGCGTTTTTTTTGGGGGTTTGGGTATTATTTGTTTCTTCTGTTTTGGTTTCCAATGTGTCCAGTCCACGGGTGAATAGGAGGCAAACGCAGGGGGGCCCAAACATACAATGCGGTGTCGAAGGTGTTCATCGTGGATGGCATGAGAAGAAGAGACAAGGAAAAACAGGGCGGAGAAAGAGGACACATCCATCCGCAACGCCTTTTTGCACTGTTGTTTACCATTAAAGAGGGGGGGATGATGGTACTTTTTGTCTATCCTCACGATAGTAACGGTGCCAGTGTGAGAGAAAGACGAGACAATTGAGGAACAACAAGAAAGGGAGAGGGACAGGAGTGAACCCCTCATCATCGTCTTCGTTCTTCGTCTCTTTCGCTTTTCTCACTTTTACTCTCTTTGTTCTCACTCCGCCCTTTCAACCACGTCCAAAGACAAAGAGGACAAATGAAAATAGAAGAGAAAAAAAGGGTAAATGGATGATGCCGATGATGGTATGAACGATGTGGGTGCGCAAGGGCGTTGCTATTACTGCACTTTGTTCATGCAGCATACACCGTCCAATATCCAACATCCAGCAGAAAACATGCAATAGACAACAGACAAAACAACCACTGTCCCATCATCCCTTCACCCCATCCCACCGAGACCATGCTTCTTTCACAAGGAAGCCTTTATTTTAGCGTGTATCCACAGCCATTGCTGCCAATTGACACACCCAATGGAGCCGCACATGCAGTATATCAAAAATAAAGAGGGTTCAATGGCACCTATCTATCCCTTATCTCCTCTTCATTGGTTTCTTTTCTTTCTTTTTCTCTTTTTCTTTCTTCATTACCTCACTTCTTTCTATTTTCATCATTGCTACAGCCCTTTTCTCACTCCCAGGGTGAACGACTTCAGCGACTTCCTTCCTCTTCTTCTTGCAGCAAAACATCTGTAAACAAATCCCAGCATCCTCTCACCTGCCGCATCCATCAACGAACAAACAAACCCGAACAAACTCACGCTCACAACAGAACAGCAACAAAACGGCTCTCGAGCTTCCTTCGCACGCACCATTATTCTCCTTCCCTCGCCTTCATTCTTCTCTGTGCTACCTCAGAACCCAAGCCTTGCGCGTCAATAGCTTCTTACATCCATCTTTTTTTCCCTTTCTCGAAATAAGGGGATCGACACACCTCCTCCTCCTTCCCTGCAATCAAAATCCAGGACAAAACAACTTCTTGAGGATAGTGCTCTATGGCAACCAGAGACCCGGGTACTGCCGCTCCACCCGATACTACATCTGCTCCTTCAACACCTTCAAAGCCTTCTTCACAACCTACTGTTGACCCTCCAAACACTACCACAGACTCCAAATCCTCTGAGGCCGCCACCCCCACTAGTATCGCCCCAATAACAACTACTGATAAACCAACAACAACAACGACCATGTCAACCGCCGAACCCCTTATCACCACCACAGGAGAGTCTCCAGTGGTGACGACAACTACCAACCCTCCAGTGACGACCACCGACCCGCCCATGACAACTCCCCCCACCACCGAACCTACTGTCACAGCTGCCACCACCGAACCCCCTGTCACAGCAACTACTACTGACCATCCAGTGACTAATACGACAACGGACCCACCAGTGACAGCTACTACCACAACAAAGGACCCGCCCGTAACAACTACCACAACTACCGAAGTTCCTCCTGTAAAAACCACCACCACGAAAGACCCTCCTGTAAAGACGACGACAACGACAACCTCGCCATACACAACACGATACGTGACAACCATCTCAATCGTGACCGTGACAACCATCGTCCCCGAGACGACCATCATCTCTGGAAAAGGGACTACAATCTACATCACCCGGTCGACTACCAGTCCAGTGCCGACGATCATCCAAGACCCAACTCAGGAACCTGCCACGACACAAATCGATTCTTCGGCCAAGGGAGGATTACAGACCTGGCAAATTACGTTGATTGTTGTTGCGACGCTTGTGATAATGGGTGCTGTGGGCGCTGCGGTATTGGTGGGGAGGATTAAGCGGGAGCGGAAGAAGCGGGATTCGATGTTGTTCTCGGATAAGCCTGAGAGTGTTCTGGGGAGTGAGATGGGGGAGAGTGGAGGTGGAAGGTCGAATAGAACGCTGGTTGTCGGTGGGCAACAGAAGCATTATCACCCTGGGCAGAATGGTGGTGGTAGCGGTTGGAGGGAGAGGCTTTCGGCCTGGAGGCCCTGGGACAGCCATGGCAGCTATCATCAGCAACAACAATATCCTGGAGGACTTGAATACAATCAAGGAACAGGCCAAGGGGGAGGAGGCGGGTTATGGTTGATGGACGAGTCAGATCCGAATTACGACAGATCGGCGGCAGTTGCAAGTGTCGATGCAGCGATGCGCCCCGTCTCGTACGACACCAATGGCAGACTCAGTGGTGTTGGAGATACCATCGTTGGGGAAGAAGATCCGCACTATTATGGCAGCTATCCATACACCGCACAGGCTCAGGGCAGGCACTATGACCAGGACGAGGCGACCCCCGCCACCGCCACCGCCATGGTAGCAGCACCCAGGGGGGTTGTAGGAACGCTTAACCCCCTGGACGATCTTGCTAATTCCTCAGTACAGAGAGGCCCCTCATCAGTCGGAACTGCAGCAACAGCCATGACCTCCAGATCCCAACAAGGTCACTTACAACAACAGTCCAGCCGTGGCAGCCTCACAGGACGGATTTCTCCATCCATCGGACGGCTGGAACGCCTCTCGACCGAAGAAGGGTCAGACTACGTCGATAGCCACGGCCTCCATCGCCAAAGTCAAGACTGGACACTCTCCAGCGTAACCAGCGCCGGCGCCGGCGTAGGCGCCAGTACCGGCACAGGAGCCATCGAGGACAGGACATCCATACGGGTCGACCCCGATCAACTCGAAAGCCATGCGATATACGAGCTCGTCCGCAATGCACCCCAAGCCATCCTCGGCACATCCCCGCCTAAAGCACAGGACTCTGTCCGTGGTGAATCACCAACTTTGCCGTCTGCCCCACTACCTCCACCTTTGAGCACTACAGCGACAGATACGGAGACGGTGGAGATGATTACGGATGGGGACACGGAGAATAACAACGCGGTTTCTGAATCGCATCCGACAGAGATAACTCTTCTCTCGGTCGAGTCGACGCCGGTCTTAAAGCACGCGTGTCTTGATTCCGAGCAGCAGCAGCAACAACCCCCACAGTGAACAATCTCACATGTAGAACAAAAAAAATAAACAATATCCGTACATGTCACCATAGCAACCCAACACCATTGCACTCTCTTTCTCTCAATTCACGATTTAGTACGAAAAGACACACCTCGATTTATGGTATATACTAACAATAGCTGGCTAATGGCGTCCTCTGCGACACAAAAGATCATCATTCCAGTCCTCACTTCCAACACACCGGCGGCAGACAAAAAGACCATTAGCATCATACTTTTTTTGAATAGATCGAAGACGAGGATAGTTGGCGGCACCAAAGAAGCTTCGCTTCCAGTTGGGTTCGTTAGGGTCGGCCTCGTTTCCGTACGTTCCTCCACCGGGTGTGATCTTGCGCAGACGACCGACGCTCTTGGTCAGCTTCCGTTGGTATTCGAGTTGGGTCTCGTAGGGTGTGGAGTCATCCCACTCGATGGCGCCAATGAAGAGCAACAGTGCATCGCGCCATGCGGGGAGAACAGACGTATCCTCCGCGCTGCCCTGGGAGACTTGACCGCCGGCAACAAACTGGACCAAAAACCCAGCCCCGGGCCAGATCTTAATAAGATCCTCCTGGAACTTGACCAAAGTTGACGACAACAAATCGACCCCACGATCTGACTGGAACATGGTGCGAGGGATCAGGCGCGAGCCAAGGAGAGCGTTGATACCGGCGGCCTTCTCGCCAAACATGGCGTCCCCACGGGCCTGGAACATGGCGTAGAAGGTCGGGTAGTGATCGACGGTGTTGTCGAGGACGGCCACGGCGGGGAACGAGCGTGCATAGTCGAGGAAGGGCTGCATGGCAGATGTGGCTTCCTCGACGCTGGCGTCAGGTAGAAAATACTGAATCACCACGACGTCGCGTTTAGCAGCGGCATAGCCGGACCACCCATCATTCGACCACGCATCATGGCGAGAATAAAAGTCCCGCATGACCTTGTCCAGACTCTCAGTGTCGTTGGAGAAAAGAGTCGCCTGGAAATAGTTGATGTTCTCCAATGCCGGGTGAGTCCGATACACAGCCTCAACAACCGCCGCAAAACCCGGTGCACCACCACGCAGAGCCCAAAACAACTCTTGATTCAAGTAATTGTTTGCTATCATCACCTCGCCATCAGCCGTAACAACCGTGTACTGAAGGACGTTATCCGCACAAAGCCCATGACGCGGGGATAGCGGGCCATGCCCACCACCCAGACAGAACCCTCCAACGGCACCCACAGAATCATGGTCCCCGCCTATAACAATCCGACCATGAGCGTCGACAGCCTTGTAAACATCACCCCACACGGCTCCCGGTCCAAGCACCACGGCCGGCACATCCACCTGGAATTCTTGCGCCGGCGCGCCGACGGGTATAAACTTGTCAACAACTTGAATATCGTTCATGGCGGTGACCCATAGGCTGATCGACGACGGCGCGGTGCTCCGACCTAGGAAATCATGCCCTGTATTCTTGATAGCCAGGCGGATATTATGATCAAACGCAAACCGGACCGTCTCCTGGACGTGCGCAATGCTCGTAGCCTTGACGGTGTAGATAGGCACCGCGCCCTGATAACAAGGAGTTGTCTGATTCGTTCCCAAGCAACCCTTGCCATGAAATGTCTCCCAGTTGGTCTGAAGAAGGGCACCCGGCGTAGATCTACGCCACTTATCGTCATTGTACCCCTCCTGGATCTTGTCGCATTGGACTTTGTCGTAGTACGGGTCATGGCACTCGCGGGCGGCTGGGAAGGTGGCGATTAAGTTTCCATCAACGGAATCCTTGAGGGCAGACCAGACGTCAGAAGAGGGCCAGCAGGCTTGGTCAGGGAGACAGCGACAGCGGGGGACGGCAGTAGCAGTGGAGAGTTCGGGGATCGAGTCGTTTGGGTCGGCATGGACGAGAGTCGTGGTAAAGGGTGCACCGATCGTCACCAGTAAGATGACTGATGATTGTGGAAACAGTCGATGAAGACGCATTTTTTTTTTTTTTTTTTTTGTTGGTTGGGAAACTTGGATGTGTTCGTGTTGTTCTTTGTGCTGCTTTATGAGTTAGAAAAGTTGTTGAAGGAAGAAAAGACGAAAATATAGCAAGAGGCATTCTAGAAAAGGGTTCGCTGGCATGGATGTTTGTGTGTTCTGGAATATCGGTGTGTTGGCACAGCCCCTTCTGTGCAAAGAAACACGGACCATCGAGATCAGCAAATCAAAGAGAATTTTTTTTCACGCCAGCACATTCGCGTGGACATGGATTGTCATTGTGGTTCCTACTCCCAGTAAAGAAGACCCATTCACGGCTGGTGGACACCCTCATCAGAATAAGTTGTATTCATGATTCTCACAACCCTTATTCCAGACATACCAAAAAGAAAAAAGAAAGGTGCAAGTTGGACCGCCGTCGTTCATGTTTTTTTATGTATAGAGCAGTGTTCATGCGCGGACCTGGTATCTTCCTGCTTTGGTCATTGTCCGGACACCCTTGTAGGGCTTATACGACTCGTTAAACAGTTTCAGCACATCCACCTTGAGACCTGAGAGTGAATGTGAGTTGATCAAGAACTCAACACCAATGTTATATCCTGCATTCGCCGCGGCGTCGCTACTATCAAACGATTCGAGCAACCAGGATGTCAGTTCGTTAGTCAGTCAACTAAAGCCAGTAAAAAAAAAAAAAAAAAAACCATCTAGTCGCCTTTCTCAGAACGTTTGTCCAACAAGTACCTTGCACTGCCAAAGCCAAAGGATCCAGAAATGACAGGTGCCCGCTCGCGCGGCACAATCTTGCCAACATCCCAACGCAAGACCTTGCCGACAGGGTCAAACATGTACTGGCCGACATTACACTGAGCCGTCAGCGTGGTTGTGGATTTATGCAAGGGTAACGTCAACACGATATTCTCGACCGGCTTCCCGTCCGTGCTCCTTAAGCTGACTGTGATATCAAATTTCGCGCCATTAGCTCCAATGTTGATCGATGGCTTCACCTGGATCGGCAAGTTTTGTTGACTTGGCAAGTTCACCCTAATTATATATGACATATACCAAATGGTGGTCGTCAGTCATCTCCTACTTTGGTTCATATATAGCATCTCGTTCATCATGGTCCTTCCAAGCAAAAAGAGACGTTCTGGCATACCGATAGCTCATGAGACGGAAGTGACCATCTGGTGGCACAAAGGAAAGAACCTTGTCTGATTCCCACTTGTTGAAACGCACCGACTGATGAAAGCTGCAGTCGTCGACCAGTCGTGGGTTAACAAAGCTAAGTGTCAAATCCGGCATTCCTGCAAGAACAAGTTCAGTATTAGTTATTTTCCCAAGCTGTTCATTCTGAAATGAAGTAGGGACGTGCATTCCTCAGAACCAGTGTAATCCTGTCCTAGCTTACCGGAAAGACGCGAATTGGTTTGAATGGTTCCATGGGCCTCACAGGAGACGGCCTTTCCAGTAGAATCGACAATGGCATCAATCTCTTCGACGATATCGAAAAAGATTTCGTTACTGTTGTACTTGACTCCTGCTTTACGCCAGGGCAAGTTGGACATGCCATGGGGCATCTTTCGGGTCGAGACCGAGGTGGTGGCGCCCAAGGTGGTGACGACCTTGTTGAGGATGTTGGGTGCGGGTACGATCTCCTTGAGAGAGTTGGGTTCTGTTGTCAGAGGGAAGCCGTCGTCCATCATCTCTTCCAGAAGCTGGTATACTGTCACAAAGTTCTCCTTGATCACTGTCTCCGAGACCTGTCCAAAGTACTCTTGCAAGATGTCGGGGATCCTGTGCAAGAACTCGAATACCATCATTGGATCGACTAAAAGAGAATAAAGGGGTGATTATGATTTTGGGTTGTTAGCACTGGGTGTTGCCACGTATGATCGATTCAGTGTACGGCCACAAGTCAGAGTCGGCTCTCAGAAAAGCACCCCTCAAAAGAAGAGATACCTTCTTTGGTGACGGGGCTGAGGTAGGTGAGTCCATCACGGTAGACGTTAATGAGTTGGTACTTTGGTGAAGCGATGATGGGCAGGACATCCTCGCGTGTGACATCTTCCCCTTCGGTCATCGCCTTGGAGACTTGTTCGTTGAAATAGTCGACCACCCGGCGAGGAATCAGCTCATGCCAGTGTTTCTCGATAATGACCTTCCTATCAGGCGAATAGAATAGGTCGTAGGGAAACAGGCGGAAGGGAGTGTTATTATCGTGTGGTGAAAGAGTTGTTTGGTTGCATGGCAGTCGTTGTGAGGGTTGGTTCCGTCTCTTCCTGTGTGTGGCATGTAGAAAAGAGGTTTACCCTGTGGGGGAGAGCACGAAGAGCGATTCAATCATGGTCTTTCTTTCAGTCGCTTGTTGTAGATTGTATGGTTCCTGTGGTTTTAGACTGAGTCCTTGTCCTGATGTCGCGTCGTTGGATGGAAAGTGTCCTTGAGGTCCAACCTGCTGAGCCTGGTCATGGGTGGGAAACCCAGGAAAGGAAAATCGACGTCACGGAAAGGAACACCCGTCGCACAGGTAAGTGCGACGATTGATTGGGTGCATAAGTTGGTGGCACACTGGCCACTCTGCACTCACCATCATGCCACAGCAAGCGAACGATCCTCATAAGCACCACTACTTCTCACTCTTTGCGCGGGAAAAAAAAAGCAAACGCGCATCCAGGTGGGTAAAGACAGCATAACAAGTAGGTGAATCCATCTCCATGATTGACTTTTCTCTCAATCTGTCGGGAAATACATAGGATAGGGGTACTCGGGCAAAAAAATTGCGGGGTGATGGCTCCAGGTTGGCTCATACAACACGCACTGTACAAGGGAGCATTAACATCCTTCCCCTTCTCCCCACCGACCCGGCAGATGGGATCTCCATGGGTTCCGAAAAAAAAAAATTGATGTCTCAAATGGTACCCCAGGCGTCTATCCGCGGGCTTTTTTTTTTATTCTGTTGGCTTCGAACGCGACTCTCCGACAGCTGACTCGCTATTATTTTTATCTTGAATGGAAAGAGGGCGCCGCCTGATTGCATGTCGATACACCATAGACCATAAGCAGAAACTATCATGCGGGCGCCTGCTAGCTTCTGCTTATAGTGGTGAATATAACTTCAGTGAGCTTCAAGGTAGGAGAAGCACCAATGGAGAGACAGGGTTTAGATCAGATTGTGAACGCCACCCCCTGCGCACCCTGCCTCTCTGCGTACGCTTACGTTCCCAAGAGAAAGAAAGTTGTCCAGACTTTTAACGACGCCTCCAACGATGAGTCTGTCAGGCTGTGGTTGGTTGTTTTTTTTGGCTTTTTTTGTTCACAAGAGGAAATCGTCGATCTCGAAGGGGACGAATCGAATCACTCTGTTTTTGTTTCTTATGCAGAAAAACTGGGTTGGCTGGGACCTGGGCTTCTATCTTACTCACTGAGCATATAAGCAACTAGACAAGAGAAAAGGAATTGATTGTTGAAGGCGGAAAAAAAAGTAGAGTCCTTTGACCATTGCAGACCGCTACCTTGCATTCTCATTTCCCTCCTCTTTTGCCACCTGTATATGCAACATGCATCTTTTGTTTGTCCCATCCCTTTGTTCTTGCATGCCGTTTGTTGCTCTTCCGCCATCAATCTACTATTTGCGAAAGTGTTTGTGTTCCTGTTCCATGCAATGCATGATCGATGGTGTTTATGTTTGTTGTGCAAAAGAAAAGAGAGATAGCCAAACAGATTGGGCGCGAAGCTTTTTTTTTTTTTTTTTTTTTTTTTTTTTTGAAGAATATCCTTAAGAGATCTTGAGCTCAGGATCTCGCAAGTGCACAGATAATATTCCCTCATTGCTGGCTAGCTTGAACCCTGGAAAAAATAAAATATTGGACTCTGTCATCTTTTTCTGTTTGTTTTGTGTAGCATTGGAAAGCGAACCAATAGAGGGACACTTCTTTTGTGGAAGAATGAAGACACAAAGAAAGTAGACGAAGAGGGAAGAACAAAAGAAGGGTGAGAAACGACGACACCAGTACCGCATGAGTGAGTTGCGGGAGAGAGAGAGAAGGAAGAGGAAACAAGGCAAGCAATGTTGAGAGCACATTTATTTTCCCTTTTCGTTCAGCGGCCTATTGTTTTGTTAGTCGGATTGGATTGCAGATGGATACATGCAGGCATTGAAGCCCAGAATGAGAGAGAGATTACGAAGTGGTGAGGAGAGAGAGAGTGTGAGTGTGAATGTGAGTATGAGAGTTGGAGTGAAGAGAAAAGAAGAGGAGGTCAAGGGGACAGAAAGAGGTGAGAGAGAACAGCGCGTGAATGCGAGTGCTCGAGCGCAGTGATTGTTAACAAAGAGTGACCATGGCCATTGAACGAGCATGGAACGATAGAGGGCGTTCTCGACCGATATTGGCTGGCTGTGTATAATATATTTGTGTATGAATGTATGGATGTATGAAAATGTATGCATTGTTCCTCATTTATTACCCGCTAATGCCAATGAATGAATTGTTTGAAAGAGTAAGCTCCAATGCTTGGATGTGTTTTCGTTGTACTGGGTGTTCTGGGGGGAAGGGAACAGCAAATCAATCAAATCAAAGCGAATCAATTAACTACCTCCATCGTCCCAGGTCGAGTTCAACTCCCCCCCTTTTCCATGTATGTCTTCAACCAACCTTTTTTTTGTCCGTTTCTTCTCTTTTCGTTCTTACTCTCCTTTTCCCTTTCTTTTCTTTCCTCCCCCTCGTCCTCTCTCTCCTCCTTCCCTTCGCCATCACGCCGCCACTCTTCGTCGTCACTCGCTCCATCACTCACTCCATCACTCACTCCAAAGTTCACTCCACTCGCCATCACTCCTTCACTCCTTCTCTCCTTCAAACACCTCCTCCATCCACAAACACACTCCTTCCTTCACTTCCCCTTTTGTGTTCACTCCTCCTCGTTGACTATTTGCACCCTCCTATCTCTTTCTTGTCAACACACCCCACCCGACTCTAATAACCCTCTCTCTCACTTCTTCACCTCTCCCTACCACAACACTCAACACATACGTATATCCTCAAGATGATGCTCTACAAACTGGTCGTTCTCGGAGTAAGTGTCCATCTATTCACCCAGACTGGACCTCTTTTTCTTGACACCACTTCTGTGCCATCTTATTTTGTGTTCATAAACAATGCAAGCTAACAATCTCTAATTTTCTAATGGTCTATTCGCCACTACCATAGGATGGAGGTGTCGGCAAGGTACACAACATCAACAATAACTATGGCAGCAGGACATACTTTGGAGAATGACTACATATCCCGCCGATATGCGAACGAACAACAATGTCTACACAGGAGCAACAACTGCGGATAACTAACCAGCTTTCCATTTGTTTTGCCTCCCATATCCCTTGCCCGCCCCAACCTACCTTTCTTTCTGAACTTCACCCCCTTTTACCGTCCCCGTGTCCCCTTTTCCTCATCTCGCCCCATCGACACATCCGTCGAATCTTTTAACGGTCGATCCGTCACGTCGCCCCATCGTCATACGACCCCGCTCCAACAAAACAACAACCACAACAATCACACCAACCACTCGCCTCTGTCATCATCTCCAACACGAATGGACAAAACTCTAGACTGCATTGACCATCCAGGCAAGTACTCAACAACGTGAAAATACGAACACAGGACGGGTTAATCGATATGAGAAACTAGATAGCACTGAGGATGTACTCCTGGAGAACTACCACGGTGTTGCAGAAAGAAGCGGAACTCGTTTTTCTCCTCTGTGTCTTCGTTTGTTCCCACCCTCCCCAGATAGACAAGCTTGTTCGTTTCGCAAACAACCTCCGAACCCACCCACCATTTTCCCAATTGTCCCGCTATCGCTCGCTATTACATTTTCCCCGTGTACACATCAGAGTACATTGCAATGGGAGCCAACTAGGCCAATGGTTTTTTTCCTTCTTTTCCTCTCTCTTTCTCTCTTTCTCTCTTTCTCTCTTTCTCTCTTTCTCTCTTCATACGATTGTGGATATCGCAGGGGTGGAAAACAAACATCTTCTCATTTGTTCCTTTTGTACCCTCATGCGCGACCATGCTTGTGCCACGAGTCTGGCCCCTTGCAGCCAGCCAAAAAAAAAAAAGGCGGACCTTGTTCGCGTCCCTTGAATTTTTTGCCCTTCACGGTTGTGGGGTTGAGACAGAGCCAAGGTGGAGGAAGTCAACATACATGCCGCAATACACCAATTCAAACGCCAACACCTTTTAACACTGTACTAACTGTTGTCATCATTCATCCTTATTGTCCTTTCTTCATCACCATTCTTGTCAATAGTTGTGCTTAAACCACTTTGTTGGTATGTGCTTGAAGCTAGTGCTCGTCTGGTTCATTTTTGTGTCGTTGGCATTTTTTTGTTTGGTCTGAGCAGAGTGCTCACATCCCACCTTTTAGGTTCTCAGCCAAAAGGCCGCGAAACAACAAAAAACTCCTTCACACCAGACTGGGCGCCTCCACCCTTTGGGTGTGGGTGTCAGTTTGTGAAGGGGAAAAAGAGGGCTTTTATTGTTGTTGTTCTAGACAAGGACGTGGCATTGTCGGTGACAAATACGAAAATCCAAGCGTGCTCACCATTCCTTCTTTCTCTTTTTTTTATTTTTTTTCCGTTTTTTAATTTCTCCCTTGGCGTACTGTAAACGTTATCGATGGACACTTTCATTTTGTACTACAACAGAGGTAAGGGACCATTGCTGTGATACCATTGACTCGTTCATTTCATGGGTGGGGTGAGCGAGAGGGGTTTAATATTATGAGAGATCTCAACTTTGATAATAACATTCCCTTTTGCCTCGCTCTCATACTTTCATCGTCGGTATTTTCCTTGCCTACTTTAGACATACGATCCTACCATTGAAGACTCTTACAGAAAGCAGGTCGTCATTGATGACCAGTCCTGCGTCTTGGAGGTCCTTGATACTGCCGGTCAGGAAGAATACACCGCTTTGAGAGACCAATGGATCCGGTACGCGTTAGCTTCATTTTCTATTCTCTGTTGATGTTCCTTGTTATTTATGCAGGTCCCATCGGACTTTTTGCCATTCTTACGTCTGCAGTCCTTTGAGGATGCTTGGATTCATTTTTTGGGGGAACTATATGCGTGTGTGTGTGTATATGAGAGAGAGAGAGACGAAGGTTTCCAATGCACTTCGTTGAACCAAAAAGCTCTCATTTTATTGATCCTGACTGACCGTATTTTTCGACTTTACCTTGATATCTCATCACCCCGTCATCCTCAATTGAATAGCGATGGAGAAGGATTCCTGTTGGTGTACTCGATCGCTGCCCGTTCAACATTCGACAGGATAAGACGATTCCGTGACCAGATTGTGCGAGTCAAGGATTCGGATAATGTGCCATTGATGCTTGTCGGCAACAAGTGCGACAAGTTGGCCGAGCGCGAGGTCACCCGTGACGAAGGAGCGTTGATGGCCAAGTCGTTGCGTTGCGAGTTTACGGAAACATCAGCCAAGACCTGTGTCAATGTCGAGCGGTCGTTTTATAATGTCGTCCGGATGATCCGTCAGGCCCGTGATGGTGGGGCCCCCCAGCCTAGGCAACCTAAAAAGAAGGTCTGCGCTATCCTGTAAATCACCGTCCAGGATCGCGTATTTCCTTTTAATCTCTTTTTATTATCACGACCACCTAATACTTATGCCCCCACCGACTCACAGAACTCGCTCTCTTTCGTTTTCCTCATTTCTGTCCTCCGTAATAACTCTCATGCCCACAAATAAAAAAAAAAGCTGATACGACATTTCACTATTCAGACCCGTTTAAGGGTGTTGGATGAATGGTGCAAGGATTCGATAATTCAACGGTGAAAAGGTTCGAGGGTTCACAGGTCCAATTGGTTCAATTGGTTCACAAGTGGTTAAGATACAAAAAACAACCTGGCGGTTTATTTTTTCAGACAATGTTCTCATGTAGAACACCGTCAAATGATTACATATGTGCAATTGTGCTATACTTTTGAATGAAAAGAGAGAGCGAGAGAGCGAGAGAGAGAGAGAGTGGGGAGTGAGGGAAGAAGGTATTTACAAGAGGTGAGCGGAACGGAAGTTCTCACCGGCATAGACAGAGTCGCCGGCGAGCTCCTCCTCGATACGGAGGAGCTGGTTGTACTTGGCCAAACGCTCAGAGCGGCAAGGGGCTCCGGTCTTGATCTGACCGGTGCGGAGTCCGACAACAATGTCGGCAATGGTGAAATCCTCAGTCTCGCCGGAACGGTGGGAGACCATGACGCCCCAACCGGACTGCTGGGAGAGGACGGCAGCCTAGAATCGTGAAAGGAAGAGATAATGGTGATTAGTTATATTGCACATGGTAGAAACATATGGTCGCGATAGCTCCTTCTCGTGGTCTTTCATATGATTGTCTTTGTCGGTAGACAATGAACTGAAGGAGAGATCCATCCAGGAACAAGTTCCCTCATGAATCCCATTTCTTCCTGAGCCCAAATTTGGTTTGTAAAGAGAAATAACAAATCCTCAAAAAACCATGACTCCCTTTGTCCTCCTGAACGTAAATAATGAGCATTGATTGACAAGTGCAAAAAGGTAGGGAAAAAAGTACCCTGATAGACTCGGTGATGGTACCGATCTGGTTGACCTTGAGCAAAAGGGCGTTGCAGGCCTTCTTCTCGATGGCGGTGGCAATGCGGACGGGGTTGGTGACGGTCAAGTCATCACCGACGATCTGGATGTCGGTGGCACCGGTCAAGTGGGACCAGGCAGACCAGTCATCCTGGTCAAAAGGATCCTCGATCGAGACGATGGGGTACTTGGCAGTGAACTCCTGGTAGAGCTGAGCGAGCTCCTCACCGGCCAAGTGCTTGGAGGCATCAGAATTGGCCGACTTGAAGTCGAGATCGTACTTGTTGTCCTTGGTCAAAAACTCCGAGGCAGCAACATCCATACCGATCTTGACCCTGCCGGTGTAACCGGCCTTCTCGATGGCATCGACGAGGAGATCGAGACCTTCGGCGTTGTCCTGAATGTTGGGGGCGAATCCACCCTCGTCTCCAACGTTGGTGGCATCCTGACCGTACTTCTTCTTGATAACGGACTTCAACGTGTGGTAGACCTCGGATCCGATCTTCATGGCCTCGGCAAAGTCCTTGGCACCAGTGGGCAAGATCATGAACTCCTGCATGGCGAGCTTGTTACCGGCGTGGGAGCCTCCGTTAATGACGTTGAAGGCAGGGACGGGCATGACAATCTTCTTGCCGCCGTGGCCGGCAAGGTCGGCAATGTGGCGGTAGAGGGGGACACCCTTGGCGGCAGCACCGGCCTTCAAGACAGCCATTGAGACACCGAGGATGGCGTTGGCACCGTACTTGGACTTGTTGAGAGTTCCGTCGAGCTGGATGAGGAACTCGTCAACAGCGACCTGGTCGACAACGTCGATGTTGGCGTTGATCAACTCGGGTCCGAGGTGCTTGTTGACGTTCTCGACAGCCTTCAAGACACCTAATGGTTGGGATGGATGAGAGGGAGGAGGAAGAAGGAAGAATAAGGCGGTTAGTTCCGAATGTAACACATGCCAAGCAAGGGGGTGATGGACCAGAGGGAAGGAGGATGGGCACAGACGGAGGACACGGACAAAGAAAGACACTTGACTTCCTTTCCAGGGCGAGGTGCATGCGCATTTTTCAGCCGTGGGAAGAAGAGAGTCGGGTCGCTGTCGTCAAGTCGCTGTTGCTTGCCCCTTGGGACCACGTCGAGATGATGATGCGTCCGTGTCTTTTTTTTTTTTTTTTTTTTTTTTTTTTTTTTCATTCCCGTGTTTCTTTCGTGTCGTGTCGTAAAGTGAGAAATGAAAAAATAAAAATAACGCTATTCAAGATTGAAGCTACGCCGCTCATTTACACCCTTCCATTCCTTTCCTCATTCGATCTAATTGCGGGGCGCATTGAACAACAGAGGCCACCTTTTCTGTTGTTCTTCTTCTTCCATCGCGTTCCTTTTCTTCGATTTTACTGTTCTTGTTCCGTACCTGCCTCTGTTTTACATTTTTCACAATTGCAATTTGTAGATGCAGCATTGGTTTGAGATGGGTTGAGGAAGAAGGATATATAGTTTTGGATCTATTGGGCGCATGTCCTTTGTTTCTCTTTTCTAGTTCTCACTCTCGTTCTTGTTTCTCTCGCCTGTCAGTTTTTGGGGGCCTATTTCTTCCGATGACCCCGACCTAATTTGCGTCCAAAAAAGGACATCCTAATTCCTCACTTTAACCATGGTCCTCCTCTTTGGCCATTCTTCCCTTCCGTTCCTCTGTCAGAGCCCTCTCTTCCCCCGCACTTTCATTCACATTCATCCTTCTTGTTGGCAAAGCTTTGCTTTTGTGCCATTGTTAGTCTCATTCACGACTTCATGACGCGATCGACCCGCGTCCATTCGAAGGTCTTTTGTTCAGTCGCTCAAAATTACTCACCCCATTTTGCCCACTCTTTCCTGCGATTTTTTTTTTTTTTTTGCCACGGATACCGATTCAAATTAAAGTTTTTTCACGTTTTTTTTAGAGTGCCCAGAACTCTCCATTCCAGCACATTTCCCTGCCACCAGGAACAAGACTAAGCGTTGTGTCGTGTCCTCCACTCTTGCCACTCCGTTTTTTTTCTCTGCTCAGGATAACTGATCTGATCACACCCGAATGTTTGTTGCCTCAATACGAAAGGTAGAGTTTGAGAGAGAAGACTTACCCTTTCCGACGTAGGCGGTCTTGTCACCATCACGGAGCTCGAGGGCCTCGTGGATACCGGTGGAGGCACCTGAGGGGACATCGGCGCGGAAAATACCTGGATTATTGAAAGAGTCATAGATCAGTCGGAGAAGAGTTAGAACCGACGAGGCAAAAAAATGCGGGGTATGTGTTGTTTAACCAATAGACAAATAGAAACGGCGGGAGGTAAAAATGAAAAGAGGTGGCCAGTATTGTTTGTTGGTGGGGGTGAAAGAAACAAGTGAGACGCGACATGAGCGCGGTGGTGAATGAATAAATGAATGAGAATGACTCGTGAAGGTGAATGACAATGGGAGGAATGAGGAATGCGACAAAAGGAGTATAAGGACGCGAGTGAAAAAGAATAAGAAGAGCAAGGCTTACCGTGGGCGGTGGTGACCTCGACCTCGACGGTGGGGTTGCCGCGGGAGTCGAAGATCTGTCTGGCGTGAACCTTGGTGATGGCCATTGTGAGAGAGGGTTGGTTGGTTGGGGTGGGTGGTGTGTGGGGAGGAGGAAGGAAAGAATAAGGAAGAAGGAAAGGTGTTGATGGCGGACTTTTATACTCTCCCTAGGGAAACGCCGGAAAGAAAGACGTCACTTTTTCTTCGACGAAATTGACCGTTGGAGAGAAGGAGGAATGCATAGATCGAGCTTCGTTGGATTTATTAGCCTTGGCTCGATATTCGGGAACACACGACAAACACACGCTGCACGAGAGAACAGTCTAAAATGTTGGTCAATGCTCCATGAGTAAAAGGCAATCGAGTGCACTTCATTACGCATGAGAGGTACTGTATTAACAAAGGCGCTGGATCTGGTCCGTTCTACTCTTGCAGCGGATATGGACGATATGAGATTGGCGTTGATGACATGGGTGCTGACACCTAATGTTTGATCAACTGTGGGAGCATCATTGGACGACGAAATGATGTCAGAATGACGCGCCTGAGTCGCGTTGATCACTCAGTCTGCTCAGCCCTTCGCGTGTCCCTCGTTCCATCTCAATGGCATGCGCCACCAAAATGTGCTGTTATCCAACCAGCATCTTTGGTTTTCACTGGATGTCTTGGAGTATCATCTTTGAGCGAATAAGGATTAAGGACGATGAAAAAAGGAATACCAGTGTGTGTGTGACGATGGTGTGTGGGAGAGGGCCAGGTGTTTGGTCATCATCGTCGTCAGTGCAATAAATTTCTTCCTTCCATTTGTTCATGATGATGTTCGTTATTCCTGTTCTTCTATCGCTCTAATCGCCCTTTCTTCTTACGCCTATTTATTCTTGTCTTTTCCCACCCTTTGTCTCCACTTCCACATCCACCTCTCGTCTTCCTGCTCCACACTCCTGTTACTACTTTCATCTACTCGCACATCAGCACACCAACACACCAACACACAACAGCAACGACTAGCCATGGCACCCCCTCCGAGCTCAGAACCACAAGAGGCCAACGACACGCCGTACCAACCCACCCTTCCTCCTTCTGCCGACACAACTCCCACACACTCTGAACAACTAGCAACACAAGTCAAACCCCCTCTCGCAAAAACATACAGCAGCACAAGCAGTATCACCCAGTCAACAGCACAAGGAGGAGGAGGAGGGGCAGGAGGGTTCCTCGCCACTGTTCGTAGTGCTGCCACGGACATTCTGGGCATCAGTTCGCCTGCATCAGCACCAACAGCAGGCGGAGAGGCGAACCCGAATGTAATCAACAACAACAACAATGGCAACAACAACGGCCATGATTCCAACGGTGACACCAACGGCACGGAGACTATAGTGAGTGGTGGTGATGATGAAGCAAGGAGACATGGGAATACTGCTGGCGCTGGTAAGCTCATTTTTTTCTTTTTCTCCGTACTATGCAGTGTGCGGTACTGTACAACAACGTGTATGGAGTGACTTGTTCTATCGTCGCAGAGTGCTCATACCAGGGAATCGCTGCAGGAATTCAAGTCGCGGCATAAGAAAAGAGTGAGAGAGAGCTTTGGCAATAGTTAATGCGTGCTGCTGCTCGCCAGCAAAAATACCTTTTATTTTTCGACCCACTTTCATTGGAGTGGCCTCTCCTGCTGCTGACTGCAATTGGATCTCTTTGGGCGCGGGGGTGCTTTTTATTACTTCATCGATCGCATCGTGTGTATTGTGTATGTATGAATTTGTGTGCAAGTGTCCCACTATCCACCAATCGTCGTCGACCTCTAAGTCGACTTTTTCTTTGTTTGTGCCTGTTCTCTTACGTTTTGGCCTGCCATTTGGACCCATTGCATGCTCGCCCTTCTTTCTTTCTCTCTTCTGTTCATTCAACTGCCACAGTTGATAGGCATCGTTGTCTGTCATTTTCATACTTTATCACTCTTCTCTCCTCTCCTCTCTTCCCTTCGCCCTCGTTGACTTGACTCCGTCCCACACACTCCTCAGTTCTTACACTCTTTCCAAACATAGACGACAGTGCTCTTGCTCACTCAACTCACCCACCTTATTCTTCTTTTGTTCCTCTCACTCTTCTTACATTCATACTCTCTCACTCCACTCCAAAAACCCTCCTTTTCCTGAAACTATCCCTGCCGATTTCCCGTCTTGCATTGTTACATCCACACCAACCCATACCACCACCACCACCAACGCAGAGAATCAAGGCATGGTCTCCCTTCAGCCAGAGACAATGAACATGGACGCATTCCAGATGAACGGCAGCTCCATCCAATACGAACCCTACGAAGCCGACAACAACCTCTCAGTCATGCAGGCTCAAGGAGGCGGTGGACCAGGTAGCTTCCCAGAGTCGATCGGTAGCGACGGTCAGGAAGACAGCTATAACGGCAGCAGCAACGGCAATGGAGATTACAGCCCGACAGAGTCGACCAGCTCACAGAACGACGGCGACGACTACTCAGCTGCCACCATCAACTTTGTCTACGCGAACGAGAAACGCTTCAGCGACTTTCACAGCGTCTTCCGGAGTGTACCTGATGAGGAGAGGCTGATTGAAGGTAAACACACACTACACAACACAGCATTTTCAAGAACAGCCCCACAGGTCAACGACTCCTCATCCGATCTCCCTTGATCATCCGCCAATCGTTCGGTGGATAATTCAACCCTGGCCAGCAGAGAGGATCAAAATAGAGATGGTGAACTTGTTGTTTACATTGTGAGCAGTGTCCCAGAGCCACAAAGGAGTGACAAGAAGAATAGATCAAGACTCGCATGGTGTGTGTTGTGTGGGAGAGAAAAGAGCATACGTGGCTTTTGTGCCGTCTTGTCTCTCAATTGTGTTAATTAATATTTTGGGTTATGCCTTCTTGCCAGGGCTGTGTTTTGGGCAATATCCAAACCAACCGTGCCTTGTTTTTGTTTCTTTCTTTGAGATCGTTTGGGTAAATGTGGTTCACACATAGAGCCCTTCTTCTGTCCATCTCGTGTGGCCACTGGAAAATGAATCAAACATCAGGCCACTTCGTATTCGTTGTCATAGGGGCTTCTTTGTTTGTGTTCGTCTTCGTCTTTGTGCCTTTTATACCTTGCAATCTTGCTTTGTACATTCATCACTGGTTTGCTAACAGACTCTTTGAACATTAAAAATCTAAAATAGATTACGGTTGTGCTCTCCAGAAAGAAATCTTGGTCCAGGGTCGACTTTATATCAGCGAGAACCATGTTTGCTTCAACGCCAACATCTTTGGGTGGGTCACGAATGTAAGTGTCATTGTACTTGACCTTCCAAGGACCACAGGTCTGGTCCGGAAAATGAATGAATGATAAGCCGAGCCGCTCCATTTGTTTTGGCTTCTTTTCGCTGTTGTTTTCGAGCAAACAGTGTCATCTTGTACCAGAGCAGTACAAGTCAAGAGAGGCCTAACATATTGTTGTCAATTGATATACTCACCGAGCCCCCCTCGTTTCTTTCTCTCCGTCTCTTCTCTCCTTCCTCTCCGTGTCTCTCTTTGATACTCAACAAACTAGTTGGTCATTGCGTTCTCCGAGATCACGGCTATCGAAAAACGACTCACGGCGTTTGTGATCCCTAACGCCATCAGCATCGTAACAACAACCAATACCAAGGGTCACTTTTTCGCCTCGTTCTTGTCTCGAGATGCAGCACACGACCTTTTGATGGCGGCATGGAGAAAGTCGTTTCCTTGTGCAGCCAATGTCTTAGCGGCCCGCAACAACGCCTACTTTCGACAGAACCAATCAAACGCCACGTTAAATGATGACGACGACGCCGACTCGTTCATTTCGGCCCGGCCAGCCTCCGACTCGCGGAGGAACCGACACAGGCGATCCTCATCGGCGTCTCAGAATTGGACCGCCGACGAGGCCGACTGGGATGAGACTGGCGAGGACATGGACGGCAAGTCGTCGGTTGGAGTACGTCGAAGTGGGTCCAAGCGGGCTACTGTCAAGAAGATCTTGAAAGGTAATTACAATTGTTTTGTTTCTGTGATTGGTTTGAAGGGTAAGAAGAAGCTGACTGACGAGATCTGCTCCTTGCGCTCAAATGTATTAACAGAAGTTATTGGTCCCATTCTTCCAGATGATGACGGTCGTAACGGTAAATTTCTGGACAAGCATGAAATATCACCGCTTTGACCTCGAAAATGTCTGCCGGTTCAAGTGAAGTTTTAGTTAACTCGGGATTTCATTCTATTTTCATCATGGCTTGCGTCACATAGGTGCAGCAACAGAGAGCACTCGTACAGGAAGAGGTCGGTCCCAGTCCGAGTTGCCTCCTCGACCAACCTCGTTTGATTTCAAACAGCAGGCCAGTCCCAACAGTAAATCGACCTTTGACTTGGAAGATCAACCCCGAAGTGGACGTTCAGCATCAGAGTCTGCGCCTACTAGCCTCCCCATCAAGACTAACGGCCATGCGGCGGCTAATGGAAGTGCTCCAGAGGCGGCAGCATTGTCATCAGCAGGAGGAGGAGCACTGGCAGGCACAGGAGCCAACCATGCACCCACAACGTGCAAGTGCTCCAAGGACGGCCGACACTACGCTAACTCGTTCATGTCGGAAACATACCCAGGAACGGTCGAGAGCATGTGGAAACTCTTGTTCGATTCCAACTTTAGCAAGAGTTTCCTGACCAACGAGGCCATGAAGGGAGCAGACGTGCAGGAGGAGACCTGGAAGGGAGCTGGCGATGGAACCATGACCAAGGTGACCAAGTATACAAAGTGGTTGGGCATGCCAATCGGACCCAAGACGACCAAGGCCATCCTGACAGACGTATGCGAGTACAAGGACTTTGACGACCATGTCTCGACTGTCACAACAACCTCGACACCGGATGTTCCCTCTGGAGGAAGCTTTACGACCAAGTGCCGAACCTGTATTACCTGGGCTGGCCCAAACCAAGTGATGGTAGTTATTACCGGAGCCGTCGAGTTCACAAAGAGCAGTTGGATCAAGGGTCAGATCGAGAAGGGTGCCGCAGAGGGAATGGGAACACATTACAAGGAGCTGAACGCGAGCATTCGGAAGCACATTGCTGCCCATCCAGAGGAATTTGGCGGAGCCAGCACGAGATCCGTCTCCGCACCACCTACGTCAGATGCAAGCAGGAAAACTCCCAATCCAACAAGCAGATCGGTCACCCCAACACAAGATCGCGCAAGGACCAAGCACCAGCATGCACCTACGCAACCTTCGATGGAGAACGGGAAGTCTGAAAAGGGTCCCCCCGTCACTGCACAACAGTCTGCAGGAAAGAGTGGTGCCGGTGGTGGAGCTGCTGGATTGCTGTCTGGCATTATGGCTTCATTCTCGACGGGTCCGGATGGCGAGGGAGCATCCCATATGGCCCTGATGACGGTCATGGTGATCGTTATGCTGGCCAACGTCTATATCTGGTTCCAGATCTCGAGCGTAACCTCTCAGATCGAGAAGATTCAGGGCGACGTCTTTGCAGAGCAGAGGAGCGGCAGCAGTCGGTCACACATGGCGGCACCACCCAAGGGCGGTGACTATGGTGGGGTGGATTACGATAGCTTTGGCGACAGTGGATACACACGAGACCAGGAGGAGGCGATGTGGGCTTGGCTCACGGAACGGGAAGAGAGACACCGCCGGTATCAGCGTGCAGCGGCTGGAAGAGAATGGAGCCGGATGCGGAAACAGGAGCGTAACGACAAGGACAACGACAGCGATTTCAACGACCACATATCGCCAAAATCATCATCATCCTCATCCACATCAGCATTGACGGAGGCGAAACTGCAGGCCAGGATTAACGAACTTCAGCAACAACTTGAAGCCTTGGAGAAGGCCTTGGAACGTGGCAGCGCGTCCCAAGAACTGTAACACTACCATCACCATACTACCCCCTTTTGAAAACGACAGCGCAGAAAATAAAACCACGATGATCGTTTTCCTTTGCAAGTTTTTGTTGTTACTTTATTTGTTGAAGAAAGGAAAGCAATTGTAAGGAAATGAAGAGGGTTATCGACCGACACCTTTGCGCGTGCGTGTTTGAACGGCTGTTGTCGATTTAAAGCTGCAGATTTCATATTTTTATCTACTTGCGGTTCTTCATGTTGGCGAGGCAAGTGGCGCAATACCACTTTCCGATCGGAGGCTCCTTCAAACCGACACAGCCATAATGGAACCACTCCTTGTCGCACTGTCCAATGTAAGAAAGAAAACCAGAAGACAGTTTACTATGTGTTAGCACAGAACTAGGCTTTGTTTTTCTTTCCATATTCAAATCGATGAGCAGAAGTATATGAATAAACTTACAGAGTCGTTGTCACAGCCAACCATGTCGCCGTAGGAGACCTGCTGACAGATGCAGTAGAGAGGCTCGTTGGGGTCAATATCCATCATGATGGCGCCCGTGCCTCGCTTTCTGCCGGATGGGTTGCTTCTCGGTGCCGACATTGGGCCCTTCTGGCTTTTGCGATCTGTGGGGTTAGAAAAGGAAGGAGGGTGAAAATAAAATGGCGTTGTCAATAAGTCGTTGTCTAGGTGGGGATATTGACGGGGTGAGGCAGGAGGGAGGGTGGGTAGATAGGGCTGTTGTTGATTTGTTGGGATGATTGGATGTGGGTGGTTGGGATAAGTTGGGAAGGCCATTGGCGGCCGTTTACCTCTATTGGCGGATGCTACATCCAGATTGACTTATGGCGGCAATTCATTATCATCCATGTATTCGTTTTTGATTGTTTTGAGCAATACAAAAATCAAAAAGTAAAAGGCGATTGCGAGTGCAGCGGCATGAAGTCGGTATATGAAGGAAGAGGTGTGTCAACATTACGCAAAGGATATGTAAGGTTCGCAAGTTGATGGCAAAGCAAGCGCCAAGGAAGGTGGAGGTATTCGGATTTGTTTGGTGTAGTCATTCGTACCTTTCTTCACTTCACCCGGGTCCTGAAGGTCGATTCCTAGTCTCTGTGTCTCTTCATCCAGTCGAACTATCTGGCGGTTGATCTATGCATAGGAGATATAGAAAAAGAACAAGATGTTAGGCCACAATAACTTACTCATTAGGGCAGCAGTCGTAGACAGGACGACAAAGTCAAGAGAAAGACATACGAGATCGTAGAGTTTAAGACTGTAATCGATCTTTTGGTCGACTTTACGCATGGCGGCACAGTACTCCTTTTCGATGTTGAGACGTGCGGCAACCAGGTTTGCGTCCTCCTCTGCAGGTATGCTTGACCGCTTGGCGCTCTTTGTGTATTTTTTCCAATGACCACGGTATGACTCTCGCAGATCTATTGGTCAAGGAAGAAGGGAAGGGAAGGCAATGGAAAGAGTGGGATTGGTATTAATCAGCTATTGTTTCATGATGGCAGCTTAACAGCTGCGGTAGACAAAGAAGCTTTGGGCAGCAAAGTGAAAAGAGAAGAATGTACCAAAGTATTGGGCGTCGGCCTTGCCGAGTTCTTGAAGACCTTGCTGCACTTCTGAAGGCAGATTCTCGAGGCCTAGGGGAAATATGCATAGAGTTATAGGACAAGAGGTAAGGGAGTGATGGTCGGTGGCTTGTTAGTCTGGGGCACATAATTTTTTTTTTTGTTTTCCTGCAGTATGAAAAAAAATGCTTGGCGCAGAAACAATAGCAAGCGGGACTTACTCTCGATGTATTCTTCGAGAAACTCGCCGGCGGTCATGGGTGGGTTATTGGACATCATTGGTACTGTGGAGGGGAATGTGATTGATGAGAGATGGATGCAAGGTTTGTTAGAGGGAAAAGGGAGAGATGAAAAGATGGAGGAAGGAGGGTTATGTGTAGTGCGAGTGGGTGTTTGTCTGTGTGGGGTGTGAGTGGGTGTGTGTATTGGTCTGTGAAGGAAGGAAAGTCGGACTTGGTCAGGTGGGGAGGGAGAAATGAGACAGTTTGTTGTCAGATAGAGGTCGGTCATTAAGAGAAAATGTGCATCGCCAAAAGGAGGGATGAAAAGAAAAATTCAGGCACCACCAACCAACAAACGATCAGCAGCGCAGACCAAATCAGCAACCTTCTTTGTTTCACTGGATCGCGAACTGATAGACATTCTCGCGCCATCTCGATGGATGGATCGATGGAGTAAAATGGTGCGCGGTGCGGTGCCCCTGCTCACCTCCTCCCTTTGAGCTCGCTGACCAATTGTCTGTCAACGGGGGTCCTTTTATTCTCTCATACCCGTGGTGTCTAAAAACATAAACCAATAGCATTGCAAACAAGTAAGCCAAACGCACAAACAAACAACGGCGCCGAGGAAAAATGAAGAGAAAGAAGGAAATGAAAACCATACTGTTATATGGTCGATCCTGTTCGTCCAAACCGCATAGCATCGATGGCAAACCATTCTTATTTTAGACTCGAATGCTAATAAGTATATATTTGTGCAGTGAGATAAGAAGCTATGAAAGAAGGAGGAGTATGAAGGCGATGGTTACTAGAAAAGGGAAGAGGGGAGAAGGGAAAAGAAGAGAAGTGAGGTGGGTTGAAAAAGGGCGCAAAACGAGACAAGGTTCCATGCCCAAGCATTTTGACCATGGGGGGTGTGTGGATGAGATATGGAATGGGAGCAAAAAAAATAAAAAAAAGTGTGCGGGTCCGTTTGAGTGAGCACTTTGTTTTTCTCTTTTTTATTTCGACCTGGGAGCCAATAGAGAGGGTATGGTTGTTGTTGTTGTCCAGGCCAGGCCATGTCCTGTTGCTTCGCTTTGCTTTGTCTGTGCCATTACCCATCATAGCATACACATATATATATGCGTGCTTTTTCATTTCATTTTTTTCATTTTACCAACCCACCCATTGGACAGACCATAGCCTATTACATCTTTTTTTTTTACCTTTTTGTCCAACCTTAGCCCTTGTTTTTTACTCTTACTCTGTATCTCACTTTCATTGCGCTCTTTCCCTTCCCTCTAACTGTGTCCATCCTCCCTTTTTTCAATAGTCTCTTTTTTTTTTTTACTTATTTTCGTTACGTCCATCTCCAACCCTCTCTCTTTCTCTCTCATCTCATCTCATCTCGTTCTTTCCTTCTTTTTCACACAAACCTACTCGTACACTCCCACACTCTCTTCAACAGCTGAGTCCCCTTCTCTCTCTTTCTCCATTCTCCATCAGACTTAGCCCACCTTGAGGACCATCACCATCACCCTTTTCCGTTGGTCATCCATCACCCTATTCCATCTCGACACTAGGTTTCCTCCCTTTTGTCGCTTATTTTCTTTCACTTTCGGCTTCATACTCCGGTTAAAATAAGAACAGAAAAAAAACAAGCACTCTCTCTCTTTCTTCCCTTCTCTCTCTTCCTTTCTCCCACACTCCAACTTCCACTCTTCCTTCTTTCCTTTCTTCCACAGGTTCTTATCCATCTTACAGTAACCATGTTGTCCGCTGACGACTCCAACCCACTCGCCAAATACAAGGAATTGACACCCATACAACAACACCACAACCACAACGGTCACCACCATTCGCCTCAGGACAATGCACCGACTTCTGGTGTTCTGAAGCATGGTTTCATCTCTCTTAAAGAAGAAGGCCTCAAGGCCTTTATCTGGTCCAAGCGATACATGGCCTTGCGTGAGTTCAAGCTGAGCTTTCATCGTAACGAGGTGAGTAGATCGTATCTCTGCCAGTTGACCCTCTTTCTAAGTTGATGGCCGTTGTTGTTTATATCTTGTGAGATGTTGGGAAGTGGCCATGGGTTCACTTTGGGCGATTGAATGGTCATGCAGCACAAGGAAGGAATTGAAGGAAGAGTCAAACTGGATAACGTCCATCTTGAGCGATCGATTGTTTTCTTTCTTTTTATTGTTTTGTTGTGTATGTATGTGTGTGTGCATTGTTGGTTGCCCTGAATCGCCATGCTTATCCATTTGGCATCACCAACATCAACATCAACAATAAAAAAAATGCGCGGACCTTCCGTCTCACGTTTTTTTTGTTCAACAGAAGCATAAACATGACTAACATCCCCTTGTATCAAACCTTTTCTCTTCTTCATCTTCCCCCACCCAATGCTATTGGTATAGTCAACTCCCCATGCAGTTGTCATTGTTCCCCTGGAGGACATCTCTGCAGTGTCCCGAACGGACTTGAAAACCTATTGCTTCGAGCTCATCACCAAAGACCGCAGCTTCTTTATCTCCTGCAAGAACGAAGAGGAGCTCTATTCGTGGATGCATGAGATTTACTCACGATCACCCCTGCTCGGTGTCTCGAGCCCAACCGATTTCGTCCACAAGGTCCATGTCGGATTCGATCCCCACACCGGTGATTTCACTGTACGTCCCGCCCATCGCCTTTTGCGTTTGCGTTTGCTTTTGCTTGGTTTGCTGCTTCTTTGCGTTTGCTGTGTTCATGACATATAATATGCAGGCTGTTATTAGCATCTGACACTAATTCACACTCTCATTCTCTACCTCCTACTCCTCCATCACCTCCTCTTATCTCCACCTTCTTCTCCTTGTTTGCACTGTTGTGTGTCTTCCTGATATTAATGCTACTCATGCTGGACAAAACAGGGATTGCCCGAGACGTGGACCAAACTGCTGACAGGATCGGCTATCACCAAAGAGGACTATGCCAACGACCCTCAAGCTGTTCTCGAGGTTCTAGGGTTCTACACAGATGAGACCAAGCGTAATGAGCAGGAGTTCGAGGGAGCCATTCCTGCCGATGCTGAGGGTGACCGTAGATACCTCCATCTGATCCCCAAGACAGGACCTCCTTCTCCTCCATCCTCTTCCTCGTCATCCTCTGCCAATCATCGCCCCGAACGTCCGCAGCGTCCTGACCGGCCAGAGGATAATTTGAGACCTCATATCCCAGAGCGCTCACAGAGCATTGACAACCTCCACGAGGTATGTGTCAGTTTGTTTGTGTTTTCTCTTTGTAGATGGTGGTGTGCGTGTTTAGGTGTCTCTTGTCGTTTGCCGTTTTTGTGGTTTTCCATTTTGCTGTTTATCGTCTCTGCCCGTGTGTGCATGTTTTGGATAAATTGCAACTATAAATGAAATTGGATGCGACCCTGCCATGTGTCCAACAGACAGACAAACAGCCAGGATTAGCTAACGCCCAAACTTGCGCATTTTTCTTCTCTTTTTTTTTCTTTTTTTCTTTTTTTCTCGATAGAACAAGACAACTGTTCAGCGCCCAGCTTACACACCCCCTTCGCCAACTGTAAGTGTGGTTTTGCATTGCTAATAATGAACACGACGGAGGAAGAAAAAAAAGGAAGAGAGAGACACGGGACATGTTTGGAGAAAAAAGAAAGGACAAAAGAAAGGAAAACTATGAAAAGAAGAGACACTCTTGTTTCTTTTCTCTTCCTATTCCTACTTGTTCACCACAGCATGCGTGCTGAAAGAAAGGCTAACAGAAAACCACTCTCCGTGATCGCCTCCTTGAACCCAGTCTCCACATGGACACCACCAACATCAACAGTTGCCGAGTCTAACATCTGTCCATGACACCCATTCTTCAAAATCACTTCAACAGCCCTCGCCAGTGACTTCGCCATCTGAGCCTCGTCATCCGCTCCCAGGTCTTGGAGCTCATCATCATCACGATAATTATGACGATGGCGAGAGACCTATTCACGAGTACAACGGAGGGGTTGCGGATGCGGCGGCGGCGTTGAATGGACATGGAGCTGCCAAGGTTGCAGTCGAGCGTCGTATCTCGACCATGACTGAGGCCCAAGTGATGGAGAAGCTGAGGAGCGTCGTCTCTTGTGGAGATCCCAACACCTTGTACAGCAAAATCAAGAAAGTCGGTCAAGGGTAATTACTACAGCAATTTACACGGAGCCATGATATGTCAGCACTGGTGACATTCGGGAAACTGACAAAGACGCTGTTTTTTTTGTGTTCCCGTTATCTTAGTGCTTCAGGATCGGTGTATGTGGCTAAGCATCTTTCGACAAACTCCAAGGTGGCGGTCAAGCAGATGGATCTTGCTCTTCAGCCCAAGAAGGAACTTGTCGTGAACGAGATTTTGATCATGAAGGAATCCAGCCATCCCAACATTGTCAACTATCTGGATTCGTTCTTGGTCAGAGGACACGAGTTGTGGGTCGTCATGGAGTACATGGGAGGCGGAGCTCTGACAGATGTCATTGAGAACAACAAGTTTACAGAGAGTCAGATCGCCGCCGTCTGTAACGAGGTAAGACTAGAAAGCTGGCAGGATACAAGGTGATACCAGCAGCGAGGAGTTTACCGAGGAGCAAGGATGGTCGGAGCAAGTGCTAACGTTACGCTTGTGCCTCTTGTTCATCCTGATTCGATAGACATGCAAGGGACTGCAACATCTTCACAGTCAAAACATCATCCATCGCGATATCAAATCGGATAACGTTCTCGTGGACGCGTACGGTCATGTCAAGATTAGTAAGTCAACTCTGGGAATTTACAGTGGAGCTCAATTGCAGAAGGACATTCGCCGAGATCCAGAGTAGCAAAAAGATTAACATCATGGCACTGTAATCCTTCACGATAACCATAGCCGATTTCGGATTCTGTGCCAAGTTGACGGACCAAAAGAACAAGCGTGCAACACTGGTCGGAACATCATACTGGATGGCACCAGAGGTCGTCAAGCAGAAGCAATATGGCGCCAAGGTCGATGTCTGGTCGCTGGGTATCATGGCGATTGAGATGATTGAACAGGAACCACCATACATGGACGAGGAGCCCCTGAAGGCGCTGTATCTGATTGCCACCAACGGAACACCTACGCTGAAGAGCCCCGAAACACTCAGCTCTGAGCTCAAGAACTTCTTGGCGGTCTGTCTGTGTGTTGATGTGCGAAGCCGCGCCGCTTCCAAATCGCTGCTCGAGGTATGCCCTTTGTCTTTGTTTTTTTTTTACGCGTGTGGTTGCTATATGATAGTTTTGATGGCCAATATTGACGATGTCTTATTCTCTTTGTTGAATGACAAAAAATAGCACGACTTTCTCCGGAAGGCTGGACCTCCATCGTCGTTGCAGCAGCTCTTCAGCGGATCACATTAAGTCATATTTGTATTATTTGTATAGAGAATAAGAGAATAAAATTGAAAGAATCGGAGCTAACATATTGAAAACCTAAGAACTTTGCATGTATTCACCCACCGCTTACTCCTATATCCTTTGTGCATCGCCTGGCGAACGCGAGGCGGCTGCGGAAAGAAGAACACCGGGGAAGATGTTAGTGGTTTGGTGATATTGAGAGCTGAGCAAGTCATGATGGCAGAGCCGAGGGTGTGGAGGGATCCTATTGAAAGGATCTGATCATTTTTAGCTGCAAAGCCACCAGCTGCACTCGCCCAACTCTATTTCACCAGTCATTTTCTCTTCTCTCCTCTACTTCATACTTGTTCTTAACAAACACACACGACACACACACATATATTACCTTCCTTGCACGATCAACTCACACCATGATTGTAAGAACACATACACACCTGCGTCACCTCTCTCCCTCGACTCTCATTCCGCGGTAGACTTGGGAAACTCAACATGGACGAGCTGAACAACGCCTAACATGACACTCGTTTTCACACTTTTGCATCTTACTGATCTCCTTGGTTGTTCTTTTCTACATTACCTTTTTTTTTCCTACTCCCTCTGCTCGGGTCAGGTCGCTATTGAAGGCTGCTGCCACGGCGAACTGGATGCTATCTACAGGACAATCGAAGAACGCGAGCGTTTGAACAACTACAAAGTCGACCTTTTGTTGATTTGTGGCGACGTTCAGGTATGTGAAGAGTTGCACCGCTCACGCGTATCTTGTCCTTCCCATCCTGTTTTCCTCGATTTTGTTGTGTCGATGACTAACGCTTTGTTTTGTACTGTTTTCTTACCTGCTGCTGGCGAACTTGCAGACGGTTCGAAATGAAGCGGATATCGATGCTATGAATGTGCCCCGGAGCTATCTTCGCCTGGGCACCTTCCACAAGTATTACTCCGGAGAAGTTCCAATCCCTGTACCGACCATCTTTATTGGTGGCAATCACGAGGCGAGCAACTACCTCTTCGAACTGTAAGTAACGTCGTTTCTTGAAATTACCATGAATGATGCCGATTTTCAAGTGCTGCATTGTATTGACCAAGGACTGTGTTTGCATTGTTTTCGATGATAGGTACCACGGCGGATGGGCTGCTCCAGGATTCTACTTTCTCGGATACGGAGGCGTCATCAATGTTGGTGGCTTGAGGATCGGAGGCATGTCCGGCATCTACAAACAATATGACTATGAGAAGGGACACTACGAGATGATACCCCTGGACGAACACCAGAAGAAGAGCATCTACCACATCCGCCACTACGATGTCTACAAGATGCTGCAGATCAAAGAGCCCATGGACATTTTTCTCTCACATGACTGGCCCCTCGGCATCGAACGCTACGGAAACACAGCAGAGCTGATCAGGAAGAAAAGTTTCTTCAGAGGAGAGGTAAACCTGAACTAATTGAAAATAGTTTTCCAATTATTTCCTTCAGGCAGCTGCTGCGAGTTGATGAGCGACTGAACTAAGCATATGCTCCATTGTATTTTAATCCTATAGATTCAGAGCAATACCCTTGGAAGCAAGGCGTTTGAGGGTGTTCTGGAGAAGCTAAGACCCAGATACTGGTTCTCGGCACACTTGCATGTGAAGTTTTTCGCAGAGATTTTCTGGGAGCATGGACAGACAGGAGCAGAGATGGTGACTGGACCATTACTTGAGGCGGCTATTGCTGCAAAGGAGGTGGCCAAGAACCCGGACGAGATTGAGATTGCCTTTGATGATGATGACGATGATGACGCCGACGAAGTTACAGGAGAGTTGGGAGCGGCAAGTTTGTTGACGGACACTACGGCGACCTCCTCTAGCGACTCGGACCCCGTTTTGAACCCGGACGAAATCAAATTTGACATGGACGATGAAGACGAAAGCGAGGATAATGACGCGACTAAGGCGACCCCTGCAGTCAAGGAGTCAGTGACAACGGGAGCCGTGCCAAGCTCAGCGGCAGCAGTTGATGGCCTTTTGGTGCCACCCAAGGGAGGTGAGAGATCATATGAAAGCACAAAGTTCTTGGCTTTGGACAAATGTGAGGGAAAACGTCAGTTCCTCGAAATTCTTGAATTTCCCGAAGCCACTGGACCTGTGGAGTTCTTTTATGACGAAGAGTGGTTGGCCATCGTCCGCACGTTGGCTGCATCATTTTCTATCAACCACAAGCAAAATAGGCCTATGGAGGACGCAGTTTTGGAGCAGTAAGCACTACATGTTTTCCAAAGCAGCCCGCTGAGATCTTGCCTTGTCTGACGCAATGGATGTCGTTTACTGATCGTCGCGTTGTATTTTTTGATCGCAAACTAATAGCACGTTGCAGTTGAACAGAGAATGGGTCAAGAAGAACATTACCCAGAAGCAAGGTTTGGTTATTCCAAACAACTTCCAGCACACTTCTCCTACTCATGATCCTGTGCGTACAATGAACCGCCAAGAGAAATACGACAACTGTAAGTCATTTTTGGATTCCCTTCTTTTGTTTTTGTGGTCGTTCCTGATGGACATATTTCGCGTTTTTGGTTCATTGACACCTTCCTTTTATCTTCCTCGCACTTAGCGTTGCCATTCTTGAACCCCCAGATGGAGGACTTCTGTGCCATGCTCCAAATCCCCAACCAGATCAACCCCCGCGGACGTCGCGTTTAAAATTGATGGGCCCTGACCAATTGCCTACAACTGAGAGACTGAATAGCTGCACAACTGGACTGACCGGACATCATGCTAACTCACCGCAAGGTCGGTCTTGCTTTGCCCAATTTGATCATGTGACGACTATGATGAAAAATAGAGAAATAAAAAAGAATTTCCAAACTAGTTTGTCGAATCTCTGCTTCTGCCCCTCTTTTCATTCATTCATACCTTTTCTGCATTCACTACAGCATAATGGCAAAACGAAATGGTCACCAAGGTGGCCGAGGAGGTCGAGGCGGAAATTCAGGAAGACAGCATTCACGGCATGATCGAGGACATGGACATAGGGCTGGAGGAGGTGGTCGAGGAAGAGGAGGCAGGGGTGGTGGCGGCGGTGGAGGTGGACGAGGAGGTTCTCGCAGCCCACACCGGCACTCTTACGATAGCCAGCCACAAGATGGATACATCTCACTTGATGTAGGAGGGCGAGCTGAGCGCCGGAGGACTCAAAGTAAGCGGCATTGGATTGCTCGCTGGAAAAAGAGTCATTCCTGTGAACGGTTTATATTAATTCTCGATTTCAACTTTGTTTACTTTTTTTTGTCATTAAATTAGAGCCGCAGCACCATCAAAAGGAGAGATCTGGAAAAGGAGAAGTTTACAGGCGGATACAAATGTCAAAGGACCCTCAGTGGGGACGGTCGGATCGCGGCGGCCGAGGCCGTTCGCAATCTGGATCTGGATCTGGATCTGGATCGAGAGGATCGGCGAGAGGAAGGGGAAGAGGACGAGGTAGGGGTCCGAATACCGTCATGTTCAACAGGGCGACTCAACTCACTAACCCGGATATCCCGGATATGGACTATGATGATGATGAGGATGAGGAGGATGAGCGTGGCGGAATGGATTATGATGTTGACGGTATGAGTAGCAGTGGAGACGAGGACGATGACAGTAGTGACTACGATGAGGACGATGACGGTGAGATCGGCGATCCCGATGAGGGCCTTGACTCAGGTAGGTTCAGAGTTCGCCACTTTTTTGCTTGTCTTTACCTTTGATTGAAGTATTCTGCACTTTATACTGACCTGCCAATACTCTGACGTCATATCGACGGTAGACGAGATTGATGAATCAGAGGATCAATTCATCATGCAGAGATTCGATTGGGAGGATGACCAGGATCCAGATCGGGAGCGCAAACTAGCGCGGGCTCGAAGGGCTGCTGAGGCTGCGGCGGCGGCGGCACGGGCAGCAGAGCCCTTCATACCTCCCGCTAGATGGGGAGGTACACTTGCTTACCAATCGGCAGCTCAGGGAGATGGCGATGAGAGTTCGGGAGATGAGTTCGAGGAGGCCAGGAGACTTGTACGGGAAACATTGGTATCCAAGACAACGAACGGCGTCAAAGATGCGGATCAAATCACTGAGAACAGTAGGATGAAGGCAGCAACATCATCAGCAACAGCAACGACAGTTGTTTTGAATGATAGGACGACTACTACTACGGCGACGACGGCGAGGTCGCAATCGGTTGATACGCATGTGTTCAAAAAGTCGAAGGTTGTGGTGGATCTGACTGAAGAAATCCAGGCCAAAATTGTGGAGCAGGTGGAAGAGCCCCAAATTATTGATCTGACAGCGGTGGAAGAAAGTACAGTTGTGACAGCAGCCATGGATGCGACAGCAGGCGTTGGCGCAGAGGCTGAGTCGGAGCCGGACTTACAGATGCTTTGGGTGATTGACACGGAGCCGAGTGCGATCGTGCCTGAGGAAGAGCCGCTACCCCAGATTCAGGAGACGTACATCAACTTACCACCAGAGCCCGAGTTCACCGGACGGCCAGCCAAGAAGTCGCATCGGTCGAAGCGGGGCGGTAAAAAGCTGCGCGAGGCGGATCAGGAACGCAAGCAGATCAAGGCGCTGAACGAGGCTGGTGATGGGCATATTGCGCTAGATGAAGTTGAGAGTGAAGTGGACGACGATATGCTGGCACTTGAGGACTACTTGCAGGTAGGAATTAAGTCCCATTCGGACATGATTTGAGAAGGAAGAGCTCGTTAATGGCATGGGCTGCTGATACTGACGCCTCCTTCCTTTCGTTTTGTATCTGGTTAGAATACCACGGACCCTGATAACCCTGATTACTTCGACTCGTTCCTTGGATCACTTACGTCGCTTCCTTCAGGATTCGGTCACTCGAGCGATATTCGCGGTGGTCTGGATGCGGACGACTCAGACTTTGAGGAGGATGCCTCGGAGGACGATAGTCAGGACGATGAAGATTTTGATTTCACAGTAAAGTCATCAGAGAGACGACGGAAACGCAAGGCCGACGAGCTGTTGTCCGGCGCATTGGATACCACATTTGATTCCGACTGGCCTGCTGGTGCGCCTTATGGATACGACTTTTATGACCCTGAAGAGTTTGTGGGTAGGAATGGACGGCGGCCGAGAGGGGGTACTGCAGCAGTTGTTCCTTATGGCAACCACCTAGAAGCCCTCACATCCATCAATGAGTAAGTTGAAATTAATGCACTTTTGTCCAAGTCTGTTAAACTGAGATGTCAAGGAACTAACTTACCTTTCTTTGCTTCCTTTTGTAGTCATATCAAGGAGTTTGTCAATAACCGTTCCAAGGTCAGTCTCGAGCTCCCTCCGCTGGCCAAGGCTCTTCGTCGACGCGTTCATTTGTTGTGTGAGCAATACAACCTCCGTTCTCAGAGCGTCGGTTCAGGCAAGAACCGCTTCCCTGTCCTCCTCCGGACAGAAAAGACCAAGATGCCTCAGGCGCCCATCGATCTGCGCAAGTTTATGAACGCCGGTTTCGGACCTCGCGTGCAGGCCGAGTTTGACAACCGATGGGATCGTAAGAGAGGTGCTGGTGGCAACCACCGACGTGATGGAAAGAGAGGTGGTGGTCACGGCAATGATACCAACAAGGATCCGAGGGATTCGGCGCGTGCTGTCACTGGAAGTGTTGTTGGTGGCACTGCGTCGGAGATCTCCAAGGAGAACGTTGGGCATCGCATGCTCGCGAAGATGGGGTAAGCTGCCTTTTTTTGCTTTCTTTTGCTAGTTATATTTTCAGTATTTTTGATGCTTGAGATGATGACTGACACTTTGATACGTTTTTTCAAAACATGATAGATGGTCGCCGGGCGTTGGATTAGGAGCCTCGGGAGATGGTATTACCAAGCCGATCGAAGCCGTTGTCCGAGCCAAGCGCCGTGGACTCGGTCATGAATAAAGAGACTTCCCCATCCGTATCCTATCCTTTCCTATTTTTCCTTCGGGTTCACTGATACCATGCATGGAATCATTTACAAAGGGATCTATAGATACTGTGTACAATACATTCGTCCTTTTATTCACATCTCTATCAAAATGTATTTTTGTTGTTGTAGGAGTGAATCAATGCGATGGCGTGTTCGATAATAGAACGCCGCGTATGTGCGTGTACGTTTTAGCGCAACTCAGGAGGGCAGTCAGGCTGCTTCGTGGGGTGAGCTGCCTGGAAAGCAGGAACGGTTTCGAGTTCGTTGTTGATCCTGGACATGATCGGGTACGCGCTCATGTCAACCGCGAAGCTAGTTTAGTCAATCAAAGGAGTAAGAAAGGCGGAGTTATGAATATTTGCCTCAGGGGGTAATCAACGTTTGACACAAGTTTGGTTTGAGAAATAGTTTACCGAACACCGTTGTAGAATTGAGGGACGAGTACGAGGTCTGCCATGGTGATCGAGTCGCCGTAGGAGTACTTTCCTGCAGTCTTCTCCAACAACTTCTCAAACGCTACTCAGAAAGAAGGTAGAAAAGGAATATGATTGTTTAGCTGCATGAATTACAAAGGGGCAAGGAGGAGAATGTTATTCATGCGGGCTTTTTTTCCTTAGGGAGGGGGATCGTTCTTTTTTGTCGTTCGTACCTGTGAAGCCTTCTTTGAGGAAGTGAGAAATCCAGTCGGCTTCCTTGTCCTTGCCGATGTACTTGAGAACGCGCATCTGGCAGACGGGTTGGATGTCCATCGCGATTGCTTCGACTAACGCTCGGACCTAGTTTCAGTAGCATGATGGATGATGAGAAAGAGCGTTAATGATATGATGGTGGCAATGCAGACTAGTCATATCGAGTCATTTGTTGTTTTTTGGGGCTATCTTTTACTCACCACTGCGCGGCCGGTGGCGTCCTTGGGCAGGAGTGGGAAATCTACTCACCCCCGCGCGAGAAGAGTCGAAAAAAGAGATGAATGCAAAGTTAAAGATGGTGGCAAAAAAAAACGACAAGCGCCGGCTTGATTGTGAGCTGTTTGTTTGTTGTGAGCCGCCGCCGTCACCGCCACCGCCGCGTCATTGTAAGTTCACTTTCGATTTTTGCGTTTGTTGGTGTGTGTTGTTACGAGTTCCTTTTTGTTTGTTTCTTTACCAGGTCGCGTCTCGTCGAGGTACTCGAGGATGGCAACGGACTCGACAAGTGCTGGGCCTTGAGAGTTGGCTTCGAGGAATGCTGGGACTGCTCCGAAGGGTTGGATGGTCTTGTACTCTGCCGTTTTCTTTGTACGCATTTTCGTACAGAGGTGTGAGAAAGAAATAAAAGAGGTTTTGGTCAGAAGAAATCCAGGAAGGATTTTAGTGATAGAGTGGGCGAAGCCTTTTTGAACTGATGGTGATCATTCGAGCTCTTGAGAAAGAGAAAGAGGGTCTTGGTGGGAAGCAGCGTAAGCTTACATTCTCTTCGGTGAGAATGTTAATGGGTCTGGTCTCGAAGGGGATGTTCTTGAGGTGCAGACCGAGCCTGACTCGCCAGGCACAGGACGAGCGGAAGAAGGAGTAGAGGATTGGTTGCGGGGAGGGTGGATGGGGGTTCATTTTCGTTGTTTTGGAGTAACGGAGGAAAAGGGGAAGAGGTTGCGAAAGGAAAAAGAAAGGAGCGAGAGCGAGTGTGGGAGGGTGTACAGGGTGTGCAGGGTGTGTTGTGTAAGAGAGAAAGAAGATGGGTGGGAAGTGACCACGAATAAAGAGAGCAACGATTGCCTGCCACAGGCGCCAGCCCAGGGCAAACAAAGTGAGCAACAGACCAACCAAACAAAGCAAAGCAACGCAACAAATCCAAAACGGGGACAAGGCCAACCTTACTTCGCTTTCTGTTTTCCATTTCTGTCGGTTTCCACTCCCTTCTCTGCACTTTTCTTCATCTTTGGATCATCTCCATCCCTCCATTCCTTCCTCCTCTTTTTCTCTCTCCCCCCTCCTTCTCTCCCACCTTTTCTCTCTTTCACACCCCTCGACCCGACAATCAGTTTTTGCAATGTCAGGATACCCAGGAAATTACCAGCCTCAGCCTCCCTACGGAGCTCCTCCTCCAGCTTACCCGGTCTACCCCCAACATGGCCCACCCTCAGGCTATCCTCCTCAACCGGGCCACTATGCCCCTCCAGCTCACGCCCCTGGATATCCTGCAGCCTACCCCCCACCCCAGCATTACCCTCCACCAGGGGCACCTGCTCCCTATGGAGCTCCTCCCCCAGGTGGTGCATACCCACCCCCGGCTGCCTCACCTTATGGCGCACCGCCTCCAGCTGCCCACCCTCCCTACGGCGCACCTCCAGCTGCTCACCCTCCTTACGGCGCACCTCCAGCTGCTCATCCTCCCTACGGCGCACCTCAAATTGCCCACTCTCCTTACGGAGCACCCCCAATTGCTCACTCGTCGCCCTACCCCCAGCCTGCGTACCGTCCTCCTGCTGCTGCTCCTCCTCCAATCACCCATATTCCTCAGTATATGGTGAGTCTTATTTCATCTGTTACCTCCTCCTATCTTTTTCTTGCACTTGTTATTGTGTTTCCCCGGTTAGAGGATCAAATTTCCAAGAGCTGGTCGGTTCTCTCCTGTGGATTGGAGTCGAGAGTCATGTGATAGGGGCCAATGTCACAATGGTAGCTGACTACGATTGACCAATCCTCGAAGCTCCCCTGACAACTTTTCTCTTCGTCTTCACTGAATGGGAAATAGATGACCCCTGCCAACGTGGCTCCGCCTCCTCAGGGCTGGCATATGGTCCAGAACCCAAATATCCCCGCACCCACTAACTTCCAGCTCTCCAACTGTACCGGTCGTAAGCGCGCGCTCTTGATCGGTGTTAACTACTTCGGCCAAAAGGCCGAGCTCCGTGGGTGCGTTTCTTCTTTCTGCTTGATTATTTCAATGCGCGAATGTATGCTTTCTTAATTCGCAGGTCAATTAATTTGTATATCTCTTATTCATAATAACAATAGTTGTATCAATGATGTTCGCAACATCAAGGCGTTCATCCGCAGGTTTGGGTTCCGCGAAGAGGATACAGTAACATTGACGGACGATCAGGCAGATCCAACAAGGATCCCCACAAAGGCCAACATACTCTCCGGAATGCAGTGGCTCGTTCGGGATGCACGACCAAACGACTCGTTCTTCTTGCATTTCAGCGGACACGGTGGTCAGACAGCCGATCTCGACGGCGACGAGGACGATGGATACGACAATACCATTTACCCGGTTGACCACACAAGAGCGGGTGTTATTGTTGACGATCTCATGCACGATATCATGGTCAAGCCCCTCCCTGCAGGATGTCGTCTTACTGCGATTATGGACTGCTGTCATTCGGGATCGGCCCTGGATCTACCATTCACTTACAGTACCACGGGACAGCTCAAGGACCAGAATATCTTGCAGGGCGTTGGAAGTGGTATTAAGGGCGCTGGAATGTCCTACCTCAGAGGAGATCTTGGTGGAGTGATGAACAGTCTTGGAGGCATCGGCAAGAAAATTGGTCGGCCTAATGACCGTCAGCGTATTATCCAGACAAAATCTAGTCCCTCGGACTGTATCATGTTCAGTGGGTATGTTGTCGATCTTGTTGAAGCTGGGTTGCTGTGTATTTTGGATGTGTTTGTTTTGATGGGCGAAGTTTTTGTGGCAACTGACTCTTGTATACCGTTGTTGAAATGAATGCAATCTATAGATGCAAGGATAACCAGACATCGGCTGATGCGAAAGAAGCTGGCTTTGGTATGACAGGAGCCATGACCTTCTCCTTCATCACAGCGTAAGTCAGCCATCTCAATTCAAAAATACCCCCCCCTTCGCGTTTGCAAGTTTCGACTACTTGCTCGGAGAACACATGGATGCGTTACTAATTAATGTTAACTCTTTTTTCTTCTTTACATGCTCTAGTTTAACGGCGAACCCTCGTCAGTCATATCTCCAGTTGCTCAACAGCATTCGTGATGTCCTGCGCGCAAAGTACGAGCAAAAGCCTCAGCTCAGCTCCAGTCACCCTGTCGATCTCAACTTGATCTTCACCATGTAATGTCCCTTCTTTTTTGCTCTTTTCTCTTTTCTCGTCATATGTGTACATTAATAAAACCAATTGGAAAGCGAGTGTGATCTTGCTTATATGGTGGATGAAGAGTATGTATGCTAGAATGTGCGGATCAGGGTGGCTTGACCAAGGCAAGATTAGACGGTGACGGTCTTGATGCGGGCGTCGTTGAGCATCTGCTGAGGGGTCAAATTGGCAATCTCGTCGATGAATGCGGCTCTGAAGGTGCCTGGTCCGTGGACATCAGCACGGGTGGCAGCATGTTCTCCTGCAAGGTTCAACGCCACAATTCTAATGGTAAAAAAAAATGATGAGAGTACGTTAATATTATGGTGTGATGTATCATTCGGCAATATTTAGCATACTCAAGAAAACATCTGAAGGACAAAAAAAACGTACCCGGCAACAGCGGCGGCAAAGTGGTCGTTAGGAGAGATGGCAGCAAAAGACGCGATCGAGGAAGCGATCATGCATCCAGATCCAGTAATACGACCCTGATAAGCATGTCCGTTCTCAATCGCTACCGTCCTGAATCCATCAGAAACATAGTCGATCATTCCCGTCATGGCAACAACAGCGCCCTCACGGCGCGCAATCGCTTGAACAATTGCCGCAGGGTTAGAGAAGCCCGATCCCATGCTATCGACGCCGCGCATGGCAATGGTCTCGGTCTTGTCTCCTCCGCCGATGATCTTGGCGATGGTCGAGATCTCGCCGGCGTTGCCCTTGATGATGTCGACGTGCATTGCGTTCAGGATCTTGCGGGTTGTCTCCTCGCGAAGCTTTGTTGCGCCAGCGCCCACAGGGTCAAACACAACAGGCTTCGACTGAGCATTTGCGTGCTTACCTATTTGCACATCAGCAATTAACGGTCAGTCCTAACCGTACTTTTAGATCGTCATTATCGCACGAACCTCGGAGACATACGTCATGATTCATAATTGTGACATACCCGCCTCGTACATGCAGTCGACAAAGGAGTCGGTCAAGGTTCCAATATTGAGGACGACAGACGAGACGACCTTTGAAAGATCCTCAGCCTCAATAGCCGAAGGTGCCATGATGGGCGATCCGCCCAAAGCCAGAGTCGCGTTGGCAGTGTCGTTCATGACTACATAGTTGGAGATATGATGAGTCAATGGCGACTTCTCCCGAAGGGTGGTCAACATCTGAGGGAAGGACTTGATCACATCCTCCACACTGGCACGACCATCCTGGACGGTGCCACGGATGTTGTTCTGGTGTTTTTTCGAAGCAAGCTCGTGTCCGATCTTGAACTCTGACAAAAGCTGCTCAGATGCGACCTTGGCATCCTGAGCACCCACAATTCCCGTCACAACCGCAATCCCGTCCACGATACGTCCATGAGCGCCCGCAGAGTGTGTGACAACACGACGGGTGTTGTCGTGCTTAATTCCTCCAATGACCACTGTCTTCATTTCGCTCTCGGCAGGGAGGGCCTCGAGGATGGCGCGGACACCGATGGGTCCCAGGGTACGTTTGGGAGACTTGGTCTGGGTCATGAAGCAGGTTCCGATACCGATATAATCCGCGCCGTCGGCCAGTGCCTTTTGGGCCTCCTCGGTTGTGCCCGTCGAGATTCCAAGGATTTTGTTGGGTCCGAGCAAGCGACGCGCCTCGACACAGGAAATGTCATCCTGACCGACATGTGCGCCCTCTGCGTCAATCGCAAGTGCAACTTCGAGATTGTCGTTAATCAACAAAGGAACGTTGTGCTATCATGTCATCGTTCGAATATCGTGGGAAATGGGTAAACAATGTGAGATGTTTTCGTTGAGTCATAGAGGGAGTGCTTGCGGTTTTTTTTTTCTCGTTCCGCACAAAAGGAAAGAACAGAAAGATCCTGTCTCTCTGGTTGTTGTTACACGACTCATCCTTATTTTGTCTTCATCCGCCGCCTCCTCCTTTGTGAACGAAACGATGGGGGAGGAGTGCTTGTCGCAGGAGTTTGAAAAAAATAATCAAATTACAACCGTTTCTTCCTCGACCATCTCGTTCTCTTTCATTTTATCTATCCCTCTTGTAGATGTATCCTCCCGACGGTCCCTGATCCTGCTTGTCATTGATGCATCCTGTAGCCCCTCTTTGGTCGCTGCTAATCGCGAAAAGCAAGGGCATGAATATGATCCCGTCTATGCCTATGGATATGACCTCCAGCTGCATGTTGGCGGGTAAATAAAGTCCATGGAAACGAAATAGCTTAATCGCGTTGTCTGCGTGAAGTGGTACCTTCTTGGTGACGGCATGGACTTTGCGCGCGAGCTCGATAAAGGCAGGGGTGTCGAGGTCCTTTTCGCGGAGCTGGACGAGGGTCACTCCGCCGAGGATTGAGTCTTCAACGGACTGGAGGAGGGTTCTTGAAGGGTGGTTCAGACCTGAGTCTGTGACGAGGTACAACGAGTAATCGACTGTTGGCTTGGCCATTTTGATAGGAATATTAGCTTATGAAAAGGGGAGAAAGTCGAAGGAGAAAGTATGGTCAGGTCGAGTGATGGGAATGAGAAGAAAGAATGAGGAGAAGGAAGAAGAAGGAGTGAATGAGAGAGACAAAAAGAAAAGGTGGGAAGCAACAGGTTTTATTGGGGCGACTGATAATCTTAACTTTTGAGTGCGAACACATAAAAGAAAAAGATCAGTTTGGTCTTGATTTTCCCTTTCTTTTCTCACACTCGCTCCTCCTTCTTTACCCGCCCAACTTCCTTCACTTCTCATTCATTCTTTTCACTTCATTTACATTCGACAATGACTGCAGGCTTCCACGTCCACGTCCCCTTCAAGGCACTGACCATCGCCGGCAGCGACAGCGGCGGGTATGAAACCTACACTCTCCCATATTCTTCTCCCACAAACGACTCCACTCTCTCACCTTTTCCATTACTTCGTATTGGTATTAAGAATAACTAACGGCCATATCCAGGTCATGTATTGCACCTACACATAATCCTAATGCACCCTCACATATACTATTGACACAAATAGAGGAGCAGGAATCCAGGCTGATCTCAAGACCTTCACTTCACTCGAGACCTTTGGTACTTCAGTCATCACCTCGGTGACCTCACAGAACACCCTTGCTGTCGATGGCATCCATGCGATCCCCGCTGCCTTTGTCGCCCAACAGCTCGAGGCTGTCCTTTCCGACATCGGCACCAACGCCATCAAGACAGGTAACTTTTCTTTGATCACTTTTGTGTTTTGATGCATCATTAATTTTTGATCCAATGCAATGCGTGAGAAAACCTTGCATCAAAGAAAAAAGAATTGAGTTTGCATACATTATCCTCACGTACCATGCTCTTTTCATCATACTCTTCGTGCCAGGCATGCTGTGTAACGCCGAGATCGTGTCGGCAGTCGCAAAGACTCTTCGCAAGTTCTATCCAGACTCGGAAAAGAATGTCCCCAACCTGGTCGTCGACCCCGTCATGATTGCCACCTCTGGCGCCGCACTCCTCGACTCGAACGCCATCGAGACCCTGATCAAGGACATCCTGCCCCTCTGCCTCGTTCTCACCCCCAACGTCCCCGAGGCAGAGTTCATCCTCGCCAACCACCAAAAGACAAACACCGCGATCAAGATCGACTCATTGGATCAGATGAAACTCGCTGCTCAGGAGCTGGCTCGCTTGGGACCCTCGATCATTCTCTTGAAAGGCGGCCACTTACCTCTTTACAAGTCCAGTGGCAAGGCTGTCCCCCATGAACTGTTTGACTCGATCAGCGATCTGTCGGTTGAGATGGAGGAGCTCGAGTTGGTTGACTTGATCTGGGATTCTCGCACCGGCGTCTTTACAGAGCTCCGCAAGGACTTTTTGAGGACTAGCAGCACCCACGGCACAGGGTGTACTCTCAGCGCCGCCATTGCCGCCTACCTTGCCCATGGATTCGAAGGTACTTTCTATGGAATGTGGTAGTACGCAGTATTTGACGTTTCAGGAATGTGTGAATGAAAAGTGCGCGGCTAACATGACACATCCCGACCGTTGGTGCTCGTCGTTAAATAGCTCACGAGGCCATCACCAAGGCTACCGACTACATCCAATCAGCCATTCGCGACGGACTCACTGTTGGAAATGGCAAGGGCTGCTTGAACCATTTCCACCACGTCGTCCCTCGCTCTATCGAAAAGTAAGTCGACAATACGCGTCACGCCTTGCGCATCCATTTCATGTGATTATTTACGCATTCAATTTCAGGTACTTACTTGCATACCCTCATCCTCACGACCACAAATCATTGTCGAATAGGCCTACGCGTTACAACCCTCACCCATTGACCAGCCACCTCCTCCAGGCATGCAAGGACGACTGGGAGAAATATACCCAACATGCCTTTGTTCAGGGTATCGCCGACGGAACATTGCCCAAGGAGAGTTTCATCCACTACATGAAGCAGGACTACTTGTTCTTACAGACTTATGCGCGTGCACACGGATTGGGAGCCTTCAAGGCCCGCACTATGGCTGAGTCCAAGGCCTTTGCCGAAATTGTCGTTCATATTGCTGATGAATCCAAGTTGCACGTCGACGTAAGTGCTCTTTTTGAATACGACAATTGCTTGCATGGCGCGTTTGAGGTTGTCTGAGTGACTATTCTGAAATGACATTTTTCTTTTCTCCCGCCTTGTCTTTTACGAGCATAGTACTGTGCAAAGTGGGGAATTACTTACGAGGAGATGGTGAACACACCTGAGAGCATGGCCAACGTCGCCTACACCCGCTACGTCTTGGACATTGGTAAGCTCTCGCATTCTTACTGCAGTGCGTTCCATATAACTTCGAAGAAGAATGAGAAGTTAACACGTAAATCATAAATCACTTCCAAATAGGAATGACGGGAGACCTTTTGGAGTTGGGCTTGGCGATTGCACCCTGTCTGATCGGATACGGCCAGATCGGCGAACGCCTCTACAGCGACCCCAACACGCTCAAGGGTGATGCCAACCCATACTGGGAGTGGATCAAGAACTACAAGGACAGCGACTACCAGTCTGCTGTCACCCGTGGAATTGGTACGTATCTAGAGAGCGTGAACGAAAATGAGAGGAGAATCGCGTTTGATGCTATCATACGCAAGCACGCCTAACAAATTGACCACTCTCTCTCTCTCTCTCTCTCTCTCTTGACTTTAGCCAACTTGGAGCGCCAGTGCAACATCCAACAGCCTTCGGCTCACCGCCTCAAGCAGCTGGAGGAAGTATTCCGAACAGCAACTCGTCTCGAAGCGTCCTTCTGGGACATGGCTCTGCACCAGCTGTAAAACCTTTTCTTCATCATCCCTGTCATCTCACACCCACTCGCTTCACGCTATGCATTGTAACACGTCGTTTTTTATACAGAAATAAACCAAAAATACCATCTATGACTCCCTGCTAGGGTATCGAGTGATATTGTAGTTTGCTTCATCTTCTCACCCCTTCAATTGCTCACTCAGACCCTTAACAAACAGCCTCGAGAACCCGGGAATCTCCTGCTCTGCATTTTCGAACGCCAACCTCAAATCCTCGATCGCGTGGCGCTCACTGTCACGAAGACTCAGTCCATGAAGCTATCAAGGTCAACAATAAGTAAGGAGGAACAGATTAGGACCAGTGACCTTAAAACGCGAGACAAGCCGGCGAATGCAAAAATGTGTTGTACTCTTACGTTGGTAAGGACGGGTCGCACGAAGGTCTGGTAGACTTTGTCGTGTGGTCGTTCTCCCGAGACGGGGCGTTCTTTACGCTGCTGCTCGCTGACAGCCAGCTTTTCAACATCTTGATATTTGCGATGACGAACCGTGTCCGAATCCCCTGGCCTCTTCTATATCGTCATACAAGTCAAAAAAGCAAAGAAGATGTTACTCGCACGCTCCCAATCTCTCGAGAAACAGGCAAGTCGCGAGCTATAATACATGCAGCTCAAGGTTTAGGTACGTACATCGTGATGTCCGTTGCGTCCGTTGGAGTGGCCGTTGCCGTTACTGTGTTTGTTGTTTCCTTCGTTGATTACAGAGTGCTGACTGGACCCCGAGCTTGGTGGTCTTGTCTGCTGGGATATCTGTTGCTGTTGAGCTGCGATACCTCCAGGCACGCGAACCGTTCCGAAATCCCAATCGCCATCCTGAGCATCCTCGTATCTAGTGCTGTGTAAGGTTACAAGAAACAAATCAGTTTGTTAGAGACTGGCATCTTGTTTTGTTCCTGTTGAATGTGCCAGAGCATGTAGGCCTTCTTCTTACTTTCCGCCCTCGTCGTCAGAGGATTCGCTCTCTCGTCCGCCACCTTCTGCCAACCACCTCTCGTGGATCTCCAGAAGTTCGGTCAAGTATGAAGACTTTTTGGCGGAACGGATGAATCTATGCTTTGAAAGCTCCTTTGCCGATGGGCGCTATTCAATGACGAAAAATAAAGTACGAGTATGAGTATGCCTAATCCAGATTCCCTTCAATAGCCATCACTCAACACAAAAAGATTCAAAGGAAAAGAAAACTTACGAGAGCAGGATCCCTTTGCAGACAAGCCGCAACAAAGTCCTTGAAAGCTCTAGTATAATTACCCTCCAAAACCGGAGGGGTATTCTTGGGGATCAAGAAAAGAACCTTCATGGGGTGCATGTCCGAATAAGGAGGTTCGCCTTTTGCTAGCTCGATCGCAGTAATGCCTAGTGACCAGATATCGGCCTTGTTGTCATATCCAGACTGCTTGATCACTTCTGGCGCCATCCAGAACTATTGTTAGAAAAATGGGATAGGTAGGCGGAGGTGTTAGTATAGGTTTCCTTGGTTTGGCTCATTGGCAGACGAATGGTGAAAGTTCCCCGGCTTTTTCTCATCCTTTGCTTACGGGTGTTCCGACGAAGGTATTCTTTTTTGTCATGGTCGCAGTAAGCTATCAAGATCAAGGAGTGAGCAAAGGAGTAGTACACATGGTTTAGTAAGCGGATCATCCCAATGAACTAATGAATTGCTCTTAACCAGCTTATTCAATAGCTTTCATGCACTGTAGCTGTACCTGACCAGAGACTCCGAAATCCGCTAATTTCACATCGCCATCCGCTGTCAGTAATACATTCGCAGCTAGAAAAAGAAAAGGTACAGAAAGGAATGAAGGTCAGAAAGTGAATTCCTTTCTCAAAAAAAAAAAAAAAAAAAAGAATGTCCGCTGGTTGGACTGGATACATCGCGCCTATCGATTGCTCCCTTCGGTGCAAAAGAGCGTGAGGGAAAGTAAATGTATCTTTGTCGCCGACACGGATACAGGTTTTGTGGATGCGCCTCGAACGTACCTTTGATGTCTAGTAGCGGTCCAGGTGACAAATATCGGTGGAGCAAGACAAAAAAACAACCAAAAAAAGGTTTTGAACAGTTAGAGTTTTTGCGTTTGGCAGGGTGTATAAAAGATACATACAACACATACACGCACAACCATGAGTCCCCGACTTGTTCAATGGCTCACTCTCTATTATTCTTCTCTGGACCTTCTTCCGTCTCTTTGCACATACCTCGATGAAGTTTGCCTTCTCCGTGAAGGTATTCTAGACCCTTGAGCAATTCCCGAGCAATGATGGCGATAAAATCCTCTCTGAACGTAGCAGCTTTCATCTAAATATGGTCATTGACGAGGTACATAAGTTTTAGTATCCCCATCTCTCATCCCTAGGTCAGCAGGCAACCCTTTTTTTTTTTGAAGATAACATCCGCAGAAAGAAAAATATTCAAAAAGTGCCTTACGAGGTCTGAACAGGATCCTCCTGAGCAGTACTCCATGATAATCCACAGGTTCGCGCCCTTCAAGAATGACGCAAAGTATCTAATCATAAAAAGCAGGGATAAGGAATATAACCAGGTGAGTGATTCTTGCGGATGACAAGTCATGGTTTAAGAACAAAAAAGGCGCTTGACTAGGGGTGGCGTTCGAAGAATGATGATCCACGCACCTGGTGACATAGGGTGAGTCGAGCTGTGAAAGAATGTTGATCTCCTGTTGAATATCGTCAATTTCGTCCTCGGCGTTCTCCAGATCGATGATCTTGATAGCTACAGGCTTCTTTGTCCTGCGGTCGAACCTATGTTATAACACACAAGCAATGGAGAAAGGACAGGGAGGTAAGTAAGTCGAACAAGAGGAAGTGAGATAGGAGAACCTATCATTATATCGTTCCTATATTCAGCCTAACGATGTGTTGAGAGCGTGAACAAAACTGTATTCATGGTTATGCATTGACACAGGAAAAGGGAGTGGCGGGCGCACAGTCTTTATCGCAACCAAGCAACAATCGAAAAGGATGGAGAGATGTGAGGAAGGAATGGATTGGAAACCACGGAGCGAGAGCGTGGAAAAGGAAGGTTTTGTCAACAAGGCAAAAAACAACAAAAAAAGTCAGGGGTTCAAAATCGGAGTGAGGGCAAGAAAGTACGAGAGAGGCAAGATGACGAGAAACAAGGACGAGGTGACAGGACAGAGGAGAGGATGAAAACAGCTGACCATCCATGCCTCCACACCTCACACACACAAACGCAAACACACAGGCAAGAAAACGAAGAAACGCCCAATGCCTCGTCCATCGGAAACAATGATGACAGCAAGTAGGGGGGACAAAGGCTCTACCCAACCGCAGCCTTCGTTGCCACCCTACTCTCATCTCATCCCATCCCCTTTTCGTTTTTTTTTATCGATTTTGTCTGACGACAACTGGGCTTTCTCTTTTTTCTGTTGTCATTCCTTGTTCACTTACCCTTTGAAAACTTCGCCGAACGATCCCTTGCCTAGAATAACCAAAAAACAAGGATCCAATTGATAGCGTGTAAATAAACCCATGGCCCATGGAAGACAAGAACATACAAGTAAAAAATAGAAACAAGCAGGGGAAAGGTTAGCCATCTTATGCGCAGACAAGAACTGCCCCTCTGTCCTTGGCAACAATAGCACATCCACAATGGTACAAGCTGTAACGATGGAGCAAACGAGAAAAGGGCAAAAAGGCCGCGGTCAGTTTTTTTTACCGATACGCTCAAGTTTGACGTAGTACTCTTCTGGGTCAAGTTGACTGGAAACGCTCTAAAGAAGTAAAAAATGTAATGGAGCAATGAATGAGGACAGGAAAGAGAGATGATCCTGACATGGCGAGATGTCGAGCCGTGGGGGTTTAGTCTCGGCCTAGTCGTGTTAGGTTACCATTATGGATATAGATTAGAACAAGGGGGAAAGAGGTCGGGGTTGAGCAAATAGGTGACGAGTTTTGTATCCGGACGGGTGACGGTGGATTGTTGCGTTGGGTGGTATGTTGCACGAGACTGGGTATGTGCGCGAATATGAATGAAGTGTATGGATGTTGGCGATGTTGCAAGCCCGAGTGGAGGGAACGAAACGAAAAGGTGAAGGGAAGAAGTTGAAGAAGTTGAGTGAAGGAGGTGAGTGAGAAGGGGAAGAAAAAGAGGAGGGAAAATGAAAGAATGGGAGAGGGATGCCCTTTATCCATCCAGAAAAGGGGGTCGAATCGGTCAAAGGGAATAGAGAGAAGGGCGATAAAAATAAAGGGGGTGAAGGGGGACAAAAAAAGCTGCTGCTTCAACACTCTACTTTGCGGCCAACAGACTTTTGTATCATAACCGCGGGCATCTTCGCGTGGCGACACACTGGGCAAGCATTGCAGCCGTGCAAATAAATTGGCAACGGAAATAAAGGAGACCTTACTCGTCCACAATGGTGGGCCATGGTTTATTGGCCAAAGGCGCATGACTACAACCATAGGAGTCGTGACTTGGGGAGCAACAAGACGCGTCGCCCTTCGATCAGCAATCAGCGATCAGTAAGCAGGCGTCTGTTTCGTGGAACGTGTCATGCTCAATGTAAACTCAACTGCCAGTCACCACTTGCATTGAGGATGACACATCCAGGATGACTAGCTGGTTCCCTCCACGTGGCGCTTTTTCTGGCCGAAAACAGCCGCTATTGTTCTCAGAAAAAAAAACTGCTTAGGAAATCGTACCCTGACGCGACTGAAACATACACGCTTCAGATAACAAGCAGGAAAGAAATGAGAAAATGGGTCAAAATCCTCGGTAAGATGCCTTATTGATTCTCGAATCGGTTCTTCAGACGGACAAAACATGGAAAAAAGAAAAGGGTCTTTATTATTCGACTTTGTTTTCTCTTCTTCGTCATTCAACACCTACCACCCTCTTTACCGCCAATTCTTTGGCCTAATCATCACTTTTCTTATTCATTGTACTCTTCTTCCATCACCACCGCTGTTCACCTTTCTCTGTATATCTACCCTATTCCTCCCATATCCACTTCACTCATACACTCCCTCTTTCTTGCCTGCACCACAAAACCCCCATAATGATGAATCCCGGTGATTACACTTTTCTTTTCGTCTTAGGCATAATATTTGCCTTCTTGGACAGCTACGAGTATGTGTCCCCCACACTACTTCCTTCTACTCACCTTCCCTCTCTACGATTCAATTGATGTACCCATCCATTTTAATCCAACACTGCCGCCTCGATATTATCGCAATAGCTTTGGTGCAAACGACGTCAGCAACTCGTTTGGAGCAGCAAGGCTCTCAGCCTTAAACAGGCTGTGCTGATTGCTACTGCCTGCGAGTTTTTGGGCGCCTTCTTGATGGGGTCGGCGACGGCAGATACAATCAAAGGAGGACTGATAGACGTCGATCTGTTTGCAGCTCAGCCTGAGCTTTTTGATGCTGGGCATGGTCTGCTCTCTGGTCGGATCGTCCACCTGGGTTCTGTTTGCCTCGTCGCGCGGATGGCCCGTCTCGACTACCCATGCCATTGTTGGTGCCATCACTGGTATTGGTCTTGCCGGGTTCGGAAGCAGCGCTGTCCAATGGGTCGAGATTGGCAAGATTGACAGTAGTTGGCTCATCTCGCCCCTCTGTGCCGGTCTGGTATGTCGGAAAAACGATCTATTTTTATTCACATCTCGTAACTGCCAATGTCCTTGCTGATGTCCTTCTTGAACGTTTATATCAACAACATGCGGTAATAGATCACAACATTCATTTTCCTGGTCACCAAATTCCTTATCCTTCGCCATGAAGATTCACTCAAGCGGGGTCTTGTTGCCATCCTTTTCTACTTTGTCATCACCATCTTCATCAACGTCTTCTACATCATCTTCAAGGGCTACCCTGGTCTCAGTCTTTCCAAGCTGCCCATCGGTGCCGCTCTTGGTATCTCATTCGGAGTAGCCACTGCTGTCTTCTCTGGTGCTTCTTCTTCCTTCGCCCCTACCTCAGTCACAAGATCGAGGGCAACGAGCCTTTGCGCTGGTACCACGCCTTCTGCACGCCCTTTGTCAAGCCTCGCATCAGACGCGCCTCTGTCCAGGTTGAGTATGCCGTTGACGAAAAGTCTGGCGAGATGGATTCATCCACTTTGCACCCACTTTCACCCGATGACTCCAAAACCAAGAATCTAGAGAAAGCTATAAGATATATGTCCCCTCGCGGCTCTATCAACAGTAGTCTGGTCGCATTGGACGATACACCAGCACCTTTTAGAGTCAAGCAGCTGTTCAACAAAATCAAGGCCAAAGCTATGCGTGGTTTGAATCAGGACATCAACGACAACACTGCGGAGGTTGATCGGATCCACGGCAATTCGACTCGTCATGATGAGAAAACGGAGAAGCTCTTCTGCACCCTTCAGGTTCTGACTTCCTGCTTTGCCTCGTTTGCTCATGGATCAAACGATGTTGCCAATGCTATCGGATCACTGACGACCATCTACTATGTCTGGAGGAAAGGCGCTGTCGATGTTACAGAAAAGGCGCCTATCCCCACCTGGATTCTTGCCTATGGAGGCATTGCCGCCGATATTGGTCTTCTAACCTATGGTACTACACTTCACTGGTTGGAGTATTAAAAGCAATTCCACTAACCTACCCTTCCCTCACCACAGGTTACAAGGTCACGGCAACACTAGGCAGCAAGATCACATTCATCTCTCCTAGTCGTGGCTTTAGTGTCTTATTGGGCACCTTGCTCACGGTCTTGACATGTTCCAAGCTGGGTCTCCCTGTGTCGACCACCCACTGCATCACTGGAGCTACTACCTCTGTCGGTCTGTGCAGTGGTGGTGGTCTCAAATCCATCAACTGGAAGATGTTAGGATCGGTTGCTTCGTCCTGGGTCTTCACTCTACTTAGTCTCCGGACTTCTCTTTGCCGTTATCATCAACTTGCCACATAAGATGTAAATCTGCTTTTGATTTGTTCTCCACACATAACACGGCGAAGAGGGCGTTCCGAAACGACGAATCGATTCGCAACAAGCAATATTAAGTGCAATAAAGCTAATTGTTCAATTTCCTTATTTCGTTTCGCCTGGGTCCCCCTCTTTTTCATAGCATTACTTCATAAGAAGGTTCCCAGTCAGAAAAAAAGGGACGGCGAAATGATTCTGGTCTGACCTGAGAGAGAGCTTGTTCACCTTCGACACATAGGCGGCGGAGGTATAGCTTATTGTAGTAGTTGTAGAAAAAGGCAGAGCTGACCAGCATTGTTGATCGTTTTAAGTTTTCTAGTCAATTGGTCGATTGAACAAATGGTGGCAGCATGATAATGCAGTTATAGTGGACACCTTGCATTCGCAGTTTACTTTTTACCGGGGACCTTATCCTTCTTCCCCTGTTCCATGTATTAGCACAGATAGAACTGTCAGCATGCAGTGAGAAAAATGAAAGAAAGTATGAGTGGAAGCGCTGGCCTACAAACCTTGATTAAGATAAAAATTAGTCGGTCAGTCGGGCACCATCACACTGCGTATGTGTCCCTTCTCAAACTTCTTTGCTTCTTATTTGCTTCTTTGCTTCTTCTTTTCTTTGTCGCTCTCTCCTTCTCACTCTCTAACTCATTCTCTTCCCACCTCCTTCCTTCCCTCTCTCCTCCCATTCCACCGTTCACGATTCGCCATTCCCTCACTTACTTTCCCATCACCCACTTTTCACACTCACGTTCTTCTCTCTGTCACTCATTCCCTCCTCTTTTGCACCCTCCTTCTTCGTTCCTGCTCATTCACTTATACTTTTTCCAAACAAACGTACACCTTCTTGGCGCCACAGCCCTGTAATATTCCCTTCTGTTTTTCTACAGCCGACACTCTTTGGCGTAAGGCCCTTTGTTATTTCATTTCCTTTTTTTTCATCCTTTCTCGTCGCCCTTTAACGCCTTTTGGTTTGTTTGTTTGTGCCTCCTTTTCGCCTTCCTCTGACCTGTCTTAACCCTCCTTTTTTGTACTCAACCTGTTTTGTCTACTTTCCCTCACCCCCTTTCTCCTGTGCATCAGCCAACCTGCTTTATCACACGGTCATTGCCCTTCTCTCTTCGCCCCTGTTCCTGAAAGTTTGACTATCACCTTTGCCGCAACTCGACCTCCTCGTTCGTTTTTTCTTCACCGCTACTCTTCTTTGTCTTCTTTCTATTTCAGTTGCCCACCTCCCTCCCGTCTGCTGTGGTTGACGTCCCTGGTCCATCCACCCCTTCCTTCTTTACTCTCCCCTTCTACCTTCTGCGAGCAGACAAAGAGAGTTCCCTTGAACTGTTCCCCTGCCCATAATGTCCAGCCACAACCGCAACAACGGCAATCCTCACTCGCAAAACAACCGAGGAGGTCGAGCACACAATGGGAACTCGCCATATCCATCCAACAACAACATCAATCGCGGCGGCGGCGGTGGTGGTGGGGGAGGAAGTGAAGCCGGATTGCAAATGCTACCTATCCATCACAGTCCAACCACACCGCGCTACGGAGGAAACGGGCAGCACAACGTAAATGCCGTCTCCCCTCTCGACCGATCTGCCACTCACACCCTCGGCCTCTCCAACAACAACAGCGGCAACCCTCGACCCTTACCGCCCAACCCAGTTGATGAGGCACATATCATGCGACAGCGATCCCAGGGCCAGATATACCCGACTGCAGGAGTCCAGAACGTCTCCTTTGCAGCAACACAAGCTCTGCCTATGCCTATGCAGATGCCCGCTCAACACACACTTCCACACTCCAACGGCAGCTACAACTTTGCAAATCAAGGGTTTGGCTCTCATGCCAACATGACGCCTCCAGCTTCCTATCCCTACTTCGCGCCGCAGAACAATAGTCCTACGCTGCATTACGGTCCTGCGCCAATTCGACAGGCGCGTCGGTACAAGACCACCAAGAAGGTTACATTGACGGAGGGTAACTTGGTCCTTGACTGTCCTGTCCCGACCAAGCTGCTGGATTTGCTACCCAAGAAGGACGAGGACGAGTTCACATCAATGCGGTACACGGCCGTTACTTGTGACCCTAATGACTTTAGTCATCAGAATTACACCCTCCGGCCAAAGATGCTGAACCGTGAAACAGAGCTGTTTATTGTCATGACCATGTACAACGTAAGTGTTTAATATACCTTGTCATATGGAAGGCCTTCCCTTTGGAAATTAGCTGGGGACTATATGGGACATTCTTGAGTGTGTAGCAAATGGTCCTTTTGTCTCTAAACAATCGTTGTTTGGATTGGGGTAATTGTCTGTAGGAAGATGAAGTCCTGTTCTGCAGGACAATGCACGGCGTCATGAAGAATATCTCACATCTGTGTGCACGCGATCGATCCAAGACCTGGGGCTCTGACGGCTGGAAAAAGGTGGTCGTATGCATTGTCGCCGACGGTCGTTACAAGTGCAGTCCCCGTGTGCTCAGCGTGCTGGCCATGATGGGCGTTTACCAGGACGGCATTGCCAAGAACTCTGTCGGTGGCAAGGAAGTCACTGCACATCTGTATGAGTACACCGCCCAGATCTCGATCGACCCAGAGCTCAAGGTCAAGTCTGCCGATCGCAAGATCCCCCCAGTCCAGATCCTGTTCTGTCTCAAGGAGAAAAACAAGAAGAAGCTCAACTCTCATCGATGGTTCTTCAACGCCTTTGGCCCGCTCCTCAACCCTAACGTCTGTGTACTCTTGGATGTCGGCACTCGTCCCGGCAACACATCGATTTATCACCTCTGGAAGGCGTTTGATGTCAACAAACACGTCGCAGGAGCCTGTGGAGAGATCTGTGCGATGACAGGTCGTGGATGTGTCAACCTGGCCAACCCTCTGGTTGCGGCGCAGAACTTTGAGTACAAGATGTCAAACATTCTGGACAAGCCCATGGAGTCTGTGTTTGGATACATCTCGGTCTTGCCAGGAGCATTCTCAGCGTACCGGTACGAGGCTCTGCAGAACGACGCCAAGGGCAACGGACCGCTGGCTTCGTACTTCAAAGGCGAGAACCAGTCGGGCGACATGGATAACATCTTCTCCGCCAACATGTATCTGGCCGAGGATCGTATTCTGTGCTTCGAGTTGGTGGCCAAGCGAGGCGGACAGTGGCTGTTGAAGTATGTGCGATCGGCGACAGGAGAAACGGATGTGCCTGACTCGGTGCCCGAATTCATCTCCCAGCGAAGACGTTGGCTCAATGGATCGTTTTTTGCCGCAATCTATGCGCTGACGCACTCAACCAACATCTGGAGATCAGACCACAACTTTATGCGAAAGCTCTGGTTCCACATCGAGTTCTTCTACAACTTTGTCAGCATCATCTTTTCCTGGTTTGCTCTCGTAATGCAACTTTCTTTTTTTGTTGTTGTTGGTCGAAGTGTGAGAATGCCGTGAAAAGAAAGCATTGCACCAACTAACTAACAACCCGTTTATGAATTACTTGTCGATAGGGCAACATGTACTTGACCTTTTACTTTTTGACACGTTCCTTGGGCGACCCTGCAATCGATCCGTTCGGAAACGGCTGGGGCGACCGAATCTACGAAGTCATGCGCTACGTCTATATCTTCCTTATCTGCACCCAGTTCATTTGCTCTATGGGGTAAGTTTTCAGCTGTCTTAACCAGAGCCCATGGTGAGTAAATATTCTTATGCATAACGATGGCTAACATACGTATCTCTTTACCTTCTATTCTTCTAGTAACCGACCTCAGGGATCCAAGGCGACGTACACAATGTCGATGATTGCATTCGCGTTGATTATGGGGTACATGTTATTTGCCGCGGCCCTGATCACAATCAAGTCTCTGGATGCGGCATTTGGAGGGCTAAAGGCGTCCGAGACGTCGTTTGACGTGTTCAAGACCCTTATCGCCAACGCTGCCTTCAGGAATATTATCCTGTCTTTGCTTTCGACGTACGGACTTTACATTGTTATGTCGGTGCTCTACATGGACCCCTGGCATATGCTCACCAGTTTTGTGCAGTACATGTTCATGATGCCCAGCTATGTCAACATTCTGAACGTCTATGCCTTCTGCAACACCCATGATGTCAGGTAAGTGAGACTCTCGATGCGCTACCTTAATCATGTTTTTTTTTGGGCCAATTCGTGTATCTGACTCCTTATGTCCGGTATATTTTTTATTAGTTGGGGAACAAAAGGAGATAACTCAACACACACGGATCTGGGAGACGCCAAAAAGGACGGACAAGTTGTTGAAGTCGAAGTCCCTGTATCCTCCGCTGATATGTAAGTGTTGCCGCTCACTTTTTTCTCGGCCATGAAGGACACACCTTTATATTACCGACTCTTCTACCAAACACAACATGCTCATCTCCAACCTTTTTTTTTGTTGCTCATAGTAACGAAGCGTACGACGAGGCTGTCTCGGAACTGTCGCACAAGGCTATAGAAGTTCATCAGTCCAGGAGTGCGGCGACAAAGCAGGACGATTACTACCGTGGGTTCCGAACCAGGCTTGTGATGTTCTGGATTGGTTCCAACGGTATCCTTGTCGCCGCGATCTGTTCTTCTGTCATGGAGAAGAAGCTCACCCTGACCGTAAGTTCTTTCTTTTCCACATCAATGCTCTTGAATATTGACAGTTGATTTGTTCTCATACACGATTCTTAACACCTTCACTCCTTGCCTTACTAATACATGTTTTTAGGACGGATCGAATGCCTACCTTGCGGCGATCATGTGGAGTGTGTTCGGATTGTCGCTGTTCCGGTTCATTGGAAGCACGCTCTACCTCTTCTTCAGTTTATTCAGTCACTAAAAAAACACAAGCAGGGGACTCTTTTGTCATCACACACGATACCACTGTACACTTTTCCACACACTCACAACCAAGTAAATAAAAACACATGCCTATGCTTCGCTCAAAGAACTGATGACCAAGATTTGCCCTTGCTTTTTTTTTTTCCTCGCGCAATTGAACCAAGTCCCTCAAAGTTTACCTTCCACTCATTTCTCACATTGCGCATCGCGACATATCATTCCTTTAGCTTCATATTATTTATATTTTTGAGTGAACAAGATGATGGTAGTTTTATTCTTTTTCTTTTTTTTTTTTCTTCAAGAGTGTGTCATTAAGGTCATTAAACTTTCGTGAGCTACTAGGCGTCTGAACAGACAATTTTTTTTTTTTCTTCAAACAAATGGATGGTGATTTGCAAAGGATTTGACAGAATATGATCATTAATTACTGTACAAGGGAAGGAATGGGTATAAGATTGTTAAAATGAACAAAAAGGGAAGATCGTAAACCGCAATAATAGCGTGGAAGGGTGAAGGAGGAGTCGAAATTTCGCAAGACCATTCAATAGAAGAAAGAAAAAAAAAAAAGTAGTCTTGCGGACGAGAAGGTTCTCGTAATGAGAAAAACACTCTTTGAAGAGCAGAAGAAAAAAATAATAATAAAGAACATCGTCTTGTTCAAACAAGGGAGAGAACGAAGAAAAAAGCAATGGGAGATGGAGTTTACATGCGATTGTGTAAGTGACAGGAGATAAAATGGCAAAAGAACAATGATAAATATTAAAAGATTATATCCACTTTTTAGTAAGGAGCGGCAAGACCCTGGTTGACGGCCAAGTTGTTGACCACGGCCTTGAGCCAGGCCTCGATTTGCTCGGGCGACTGGTCAAGAGGACCAGTCTCGAGGATCGAAGGAGCAGCCTGACGCTTCACGATAACAGCGGGGGTAACAGCAGCGACGGTAGTCGTGGGCGAGGCCGTGGCCGTGGCGGGAACGGTAGTCGTATCAGCGGTAGTGGGGGTGACCGTGGGCTGCTCAGGAAGGGGAGTAGCAGTGGTCGAAGGCTCAGTGGCAGTGGTGGTGGTGTTGGTCTCGGGGACAGCAGCGGGACCGCCAAGGGCTGCGGGCAAGACGGCACCTGCGGGCTTGAGGTCGAAGGAGACCTTGACACCAAAGATGGCGTCGGGCTGGGCGTAAGCAACGTTACCGAGATAACCGTTCTCGCCACCGACGACGGCAGTGATCTGGGACTTGATGAGGAAGGGAACGTTGGCAGTCTGGCCGATGACCAACTGAGGGTACTTGGCCATGAAGGGAAGCAAGGTACCCATGAATTCAAGACCGGCGGGTGACTTCATCTGGACGACGGGCGAGAGCTGGCTCGACTTGGGGGGAACAGTCATGCCGACATCCTGGTTGACGATACCGAAGGGCTTGCCGTCCCAGATGGCATCGGCGTACATGCTCTTGATGTAGAGAGGGGCATCGAAGGGGTTGTAGATCATGACCTGGACGGGGGTGCTGCGCACGTCGGTGAGCTGCAACATGTTCCAGATGTTGGCAATGGCAGAAGAGCCAGTGCCAATCAACTTGTCAGTGATACCGGTGATCGAGGCAGACGTCTTAACGGACTGCATGGCCTCATGAAGGGACTCAACAGTTGTCGAGTCGGAACCACCGGCAATGCCGAGGTTGAAGGTCATACCGGCAACGAAACCGCTCAAGAAGGCATCGCGGACGTGCGAGTCAGCAGGGGCGAGGTGGAACTCGGCAGGGAGGGTGTTGGCACCGGGAGCGAGGACCATGTCGTTGACGACGGCCTTACCCATCATCATGCCGGAGTACGTGATATCGAACGAGACCTTGCCGACCTTGACGGTGAGTCCCGAGGGGTTCTGGAGGACGACGTTCTGCTTGATGACCAAGTAATCGGGAGTACCGCCGGCGACCGAGATGTTGGTGATGGCAGCGGGCTGGGCGTTGAGGTTCATGCCGATCATGGTCGACTGGACACTGACAGCGACACCGGGGATGGTGATGGCACCGGCAGCGGTCTCGGCAACAGTGTCAGCGGTACCGACCAAGTAGAACTGGACACCAGGGCCGGTGGTCAAGATCTTGGAGAACTGGTTGAAGACCTCGTGCTGACTGCTGATGACGTTCAAGGGCTGGTTGGTGTAAGCAGTCTTGAGGAGGCCGGGGCTGATGGTCTGGGAGGGACCCATGGGGAGCTTCAAGTTGGCGACGGCGTTACCGAGAGGCAACTGGATGCTCATGTCCTCGGCGACCTGGGTGATGCTCAGGGGGAAGGCGAAGGGGATGTGGTAGTTGGCCTCGATGTTGTCCGACGAGGTCATGACGCTGTAAGGGTCAGAGCCGGTGAAGTCCAAGGTCATGGTCTTGAGGGTGATGCCAGTGATAATATCCTGCTTGCCGAGACTGGGGAGAGTGACGTTCATGGACAAGGACGAGAAAGCAGAGCTCAACCAGGAGACAGGGCCTGAGGCAGGGGTGACAGACTTGCCCTTGACAATCAAGTTGGGCGAACCACCATTAAGGGCGAGGCGGAACATGTTACCGAGGGCCTGGAGACCGGCCTCGGAGGTCTGCTTGGTCAAGGTACCCTCCATGGCGATGGGGGTGGTGCCGGCGGGCTGGAGAGCGAGACCGGCGGCCTTGACGAAACCAATGTCCTGGCCCTCGAACTCGTTGGAGAACTCGACAGTGCCCATATCAATACCGACGTTGGAGGGGTTGATAAGGGAAGCAGTGAGGACAAGGTGGATACCGTCGGGGTCGTTCGAGGGGAGATCGTACTTCTCGATTTTCAAGTCCTTGAGGCCGTTGAAGCCCTTGAGGGTGACCTTCTTGGTCATGTGGATACCGGGGATGGGGGCACCCATGGCAATGACGGTCATGTTGGTGGCAGTGACCTCCCAGTCAAAGGACTCGGCCTGAAGCGAGTAACCCACAAAGGAGCCCATGCTGGGGCCGCTGGTGACGTGGAAGGGAACGTTGGTCAAGGCGAGCTTGGCACCAACGTCGGCCTTGGCGTTGACGGTGGGCATGGCAATCTGACCGATCGAAACGGTGTTGCCGCCGTTGATCCAGGCAACACCAGAGCCCGAAGGGAAGGTGATGTCTGCATCGAAGGGTCCGGTGTTGGCAATGAGACCGTTGATGTTGGTGGTGAAGTCGGTCTCGGCGGGGCTGTTGATCATGACGCTGTCGAAGGTCAAGGTGGCAAGGTCGACAATGGCCTGGGCAATGGGGGTGCCGACGATAGGAAGAAGCTTCAAGATAGTGTCATCGGTGGCGGTGGGGACACCCTTCTGGACGAGCGTGAGCGAAGTGGCATACTCGCCGACGAGGACATCGACGGTCATGGTGACATCGACCTTGAGACCGACCATGGCAGCCTTGACGAAAGTGGGCAAGTTGAAGCCGACAAAGACAGACGAGGGGATCTTGACAGTGGGGTCCTTGGCCATCTTGCCCAAAGCAATCATGGGCTCGGCGTTAAGGTTGTTGACGTTGGCCTGGTCAATCATGAGCGAGAGGAGCGAGTCGATGGACAAGTCCATGGACAGGGGCAAGGGCTGGGAGGCCTGCTGGGTCATACCGGCGACAGCGATGGTGACTTCAGGGATATCAATGGCACCGAGGGCACGGCCGTTGTACTCGACAGTCGACTTGATGGCCTTGATAGTCAAACCGGGGATGAAAGGGTTGTTGACGATGACACTGGCCATGGCGATACCGGTCTTGCCAGTGTCGTCGAGGATGGTCAAGGAAGTTCCCACAAGGAGCTGGGCGGGGTTACCGGGCATGTTCGACGACAACTGGACATCCTTGAGACCAGCAGCCAAGGGAGCAATGCCAGAGGACGAGGCAGAGCCAAAAATGTCGACGACAGAGACCTGGTTGGTCATGTACTGCTGCAAGAGAGCCTGGCCACCAGCGGTGCCGGTGGGGGTGAACAAGGCACCAGCCTGGACGTTGTTGACACCGGGGAGAAGGTCCAAGGTGGGGAAAATGACGGTTCCGACGTTGTCGCCCTGGTAGACCATACCGAAGGTGACGACGGCGCTGTCACCGACACCAGTGTCGATGGTGAGCTGGGAGGGGTTGGTCATGGTCAAGTCGAGTGCAATCTGGAGACCAGCGGTGGTACCGCCGATGACGGTCAACTTGTTGATAACGGTGGGGTCAGTCTTGAGACCCTGGAGACCAGACAAGGCGACGTCAGACTTGAAGGGAATACCGGTGATGCGGACCTCTCCAATGGGGGTCATGGCGACGGTTCCAGCAATACCGCTGACGGTGAAGGGCTGGGTAGTGCCAATGGTCAACTTGTTGACAAAGTCATCAAAGTCAGCATGGGAATCTTCAGCGATGGCGAAGGGGGTAGGAGGCAAGGCAAAGTTGATGGCAGTGCCGTTGGCGTCCTTGGTGGTGACGGCAGCGCCCCACTCAGCAGCATTGAGGGTGGCAATGGACTTGTTGTTGTAGATGACAGTCATGCTGTTCTGGACCTGGGTGACGTTCAAGGTGAAGCCGAAGGGCATCTCGAAACCAGCAACGACGCCGGGAGAGTTAGCCAGGGGTGCATAGGCATCAGTGTTGGTCCAGTTCATGCCCATGGGACCGAGAGCGATGGACTTGATGACGTTCAAAGGAGCAGGGGCCTGGAGGGCGACCTTGAGGACCATGGACTTGAGACCGGCCGAGAGCCAGCCGACTTCGTTGATACCATCGGGCAAAACAGAGACACCGCGAGCGGTGGTCTCGGAAGAGGTACCAGCGATGTAAGCCGAGAAGAGAGAGCTGACAGTGGCAAGACCTTCAGGGGTGGTCTGGGGGACCATAGTACCGGTCAAGTTGAGGATGGACTGGGAGTTGCCCAAGAGGGAGGCACCAGTGGCACGGACCTGACCAAGGGCAGTACCGTTGAAGCCAATGTCGAGGACAATAGTTCCAAGGGTGACACCGATAGGTGAGGGGTTGTTCATGGCAGTGTCGATGACCAGGTTGATACCTTGGCCAGGTGCAGCATCGGAAGGCAAGTCGAACCTGAGAATCTGGACACCAGGGAAACCAGCCATACCTGTTGTTGTTAAAAGAATGCATAGTAAAGTAGACGAATGGGTTCGTTAGTCAGTCATTTCTTGTTTTTTGCGAAATGCAATTTTGACCATGCATTCAATGCAGGTAAGGTCGTAAAGTGTCAAATCGGAGTAGTAACGGGAGGGAGAGATAACATACCCAAGACATCAAGTTCCTTGTCGAGGTTAAGGTTACTGACGGTGCGTCCGAGGGCAACGATGGTGACCGTGGACTTGAGCTTCCAGGTGAACTTCTCGTTGCTCATCTATCATACATTGGGTTGAAGAAGAGGGTTGAAAGGGGTTTGTTGTTAGAGTTGTGATGTTTGGCGAGGATGACATAACGAAGAAAGAAATGCAGGATGCAGGGGCAAGAATAAAATAAGTTGCAGTATGCATTGTGCGCGGAAAATGAGAAGTCGTTGGTAGTGGTAGTGCTTTGGTGCAGGAAAAGGCGCTCAGCGATCGGGTGAATGAGAAGGGCACAATCGAGGGAAATTGGACGTGATCGAGAGGGAATGAATGAAGGGGTGGGGGAGCAAGGGGGTTGGAGGAGTAGAAATGAAAAAGGAGCACTAATGGGTTGGACTGAAAGACCGTTGTGAAGAAAGCAGAGGGTGCGAAGGAGAAGAGCAGAAAGAAGGGGCTTACCATATCAGCAGAGAAGCTTCCGAAGGCAGCCTCATCGGCAATGGTGAAAGTAGCATCAGCAATCAGGTCACCGCGACCGCCGCTGGCCTTGGTATCGGGCAGGTTCATGGAACCGAGCAAGGTCTCGCCGTAGTAGACCTCGATGGGCGCGGGGAACTTAATGTTGGCAGAGAAGGGACCGGTGTTGGAGAGCTCTCCGTTCATGGACATGGTCATGCTGGTGTTCGTGGGGTTGGAGATCTGGATGGATTTGAAGCCCATGTTGGAGTTGTTGATGATGGTCTGGGCCACCTTAGGGAGGATGACAAAGAGAGCGATGGGCACAGCGACGGCGAGGGTGATGACAGTGAGAATGGCGCAGAAGATCCAGTACTTACGCCTCTTGTAGAAGGGGCGGGTAGCTGGCTTGTTCACCTCATCGTACTCTTCGAACTCTTGGTAGTCTTCTTCGCGTTCGTCATAAGGAAGTTGCTCGACCTGGTTTGAGGGAGCAGACATTGTGTGTGTATTATTAATGACGCGTGAGGAGAAGGGAAAGGAGGATGATGTTCAGGGAAAGAGGGGAGAGGGTCGTTTTGAGCAGTTTTTTGTCTATTATTTTTCTAACTTGAGGGAGAGTCGTGAAAACGGGCGGAAGGAGGAAGGTATAGTCGTGGGGCGGAAAGGTCGTTGAGGGAAAGAGAAAGGAGGATGAGTGACCTTGGGGAGGGGATGAAGACAAGCGAAGGGAAGGGGTTGGGACAAGCGACGACGAGGACAAGAAGAAGAGAAAAAACCGAGGAAGGGGCCCGGCGGGATGGGTGCTTAAATAGGTGGAGAAAGAAGAAGGGCAAGGGAGTGAGCCGTGGAGGAGATGGATAGAGAGGGAGAAGGAAGTGGAGGGGGAGGAGCGAAGTGGAGGAGGAGAGGCGGAGTTGTATACTGTATGCAGTATGGAGTATTATTGAATACAGGGCACCAGCTGTTGGCGCCTGAACTCACTAGGGGATGAGGGAGTGGAATATCAAATATCAAGACAAGCAAGGTTAAGGTTCAGCTTATTTGAATGAGTAAGTTGAGTGGATGACCTTTTCTTCCTCGTTAGCCATCCAGCATATGCTAGCTCTGTTTTAATAGAGGACACTTTACTGAATACGCAGTGACACCACTGGACAAGAGCACTCACAAATAAATCGAGAAACGCGCTAATGGCTAACAGGTTGTATCTCCGGACGGATACTCCCTGCACTATTGAATAAAATATCGTTATTATTACACACAAACAAACAAAACAAACACACAAAGAAAACTGTGCCTCAAAGCGACATGTGCGTCTTTCAATAATTGTTATTGTCAGCGGAATAAAACATAATAGAATACAGTAAAAGAAAAAAACAATCGGCCCTGTCGGTCTGCCGTCCGTCTCTCTATCGGTCTCTTCTCTTTCATTCTCTATCGTATCGCTCAAGAAGACATGTGGAATCACTTAATTCTCCCCCAAACTCTATCCCTGTCAGTTGTTATTGCTCCTGATGTATGGACCACCCCCTTCTTTAGCAATCGAGTATTATGGCTGCGTAATAGCAAGCAGCTGAATGAGCGAAGAGTGATTTCTCGTTTGCTATTGGCATGTTGATGTGACAAAAAAACAAGCCTACCTCAAATTCCTTCTAGATCCAGAAAAAAGTAAGTAATCCAGCAAACAACAACAGAACAGAGGCATCCCTAAAACAAAGAAAGGAAAAAATAGAAAAAAGAACAAGAAAACGACAACAACAATAACCACAAATGCCCTTCATCGTAAGCAAGAAAAGGCAAGGGAATATGTATAAAAAAGTTAATATCTGATGTCCAGTAGCAGCAGAGGAAGAAAGGAGGATTGGAAGATCGACCAGTAGTTGTGGAGTTCCTGGTCTCGGTTTCTCATTCCCCTGAATCAGCCCTCATTCCCCTGTTCCGTTGGCTCTCCATAAGGTTTTCTACGCCCTACCTATTTATGTTCCTTAGAATCTCAGACACAAAAGGTGCGAGAACGAGCATGATGTGCACCCTTGGCTAGGGGGAAGGAACCAAGATAAGGCGCCGCCAGTATCGGCCATTTTTTGAACGAAATTGCGTAGACCTTGTACAAAAGAACTATCATTTGTTGTGATCCTCCCTGCTAATGCACATGAGAACGACTGTGAAGAGTTGGCAAAAGACGGAAGGTGAAAAGCGAGAGTACAAATACCCTCCCCCATCCAACATAGAAAAGAGGTCTCCCAAACTTGTTTGTTGCCCGCATTTGTGCGACAAATAAAATATGGCTTGCCCAACCTCCTTGACGACCGTTCGCGTTCTTGGTCTACTTTTCATACCAGTCCCCAGCCTTTATCTCACAGTAGCAGGAGTATCGGCAGCATTTGGACAGCATATGAAAATTGGGCCATATAGGCCTTTATTTGCGAAACTGAGAGAACCCGCCTCACACCCATCGACGTGCTCAAAAGCAGCTGCCCATCTCGCTCTTGTAATAATAGCGCCTGTTATGTTTTTGTGGAACGTGTGTTGGAAGCGAAAGGAAGGGGCCAATGGCACTAGTCCATGGTTGGTCAAGCCGGAGTCGAGGAGTATAACGATAACGACTTGAGGAAGAGGATGCAGGAAGTAACATAGGCAATTGTTTTTGCTCCTGCGATCTGGCATGCCATTCACCACTATCTGGTCAAGGTATGTCTCCTTCTCTGTTAAGGCTTTTTTCGATTCTAGCATGTCAAGCCTCTTCAAGGCTGTTCCAACTACACCCCAAGGTGAACAGAGGAAGTGACTAGAGAAACAAAAAAATAAAGACAAAGGTACAGGTACGTTTGTGGAGAAAGATAAACGGGTCAGACGGTTGGCTCGAGAAATAAGAGGACAGAGGGAGGGTGTGTGCGTTATTTTAAAAAGGCGAGACCTCCAAAGGGTTGAATGGTCGTTGAGGAAAACGAGGGGAAAGGAGAATTGAACCTCCGTCCTCTCTCTCGTCTTACTCGCGTCTCTATTTTTCCTCTCTTGCTGACCATGGGGTTATTTTGACCGCTCGACCTAAAGTGATTAGCCATGACACTCTCAATGCTTACAATAAAAACACAGAGAAACTTTGTTTCGCTTGCAAAATCGCAGTTCTTCGTCTTTTGTTGACATTTGTTTTCATACATTACGAACTGTTTTGGTGCGTTGACCTCTCCACTAGGCTGTTTCTTCGTCCTTCTTTCTTTTTCCATCTTCATTTTGAATCGACGCATAGATAGCATACTCTTCAAAAACACAACCAACATTGTTGTTCATACTTGGCACCCGAAATCATTCATTTTTGTCAAAACACCATCGAGAGTTGTTCTTTTCGCTTGCCAATGGATCGAGTGGTTGGTTGGCTAACATGTCAACTCCACAGTTGAGCATGTGGGTCTGTGTTATTTGCAAGGGAATGATCATAAATTACTCTGAATAATGCTTGAGAGCTGTTGTTGGACAGGAGGTCAAGCCGATCACACTTTTTTTCATCTTCCTCTTCCTCCTTGTCCTTTCTCTGGACTTCGTATTTTTGGCTTTGCTAGCCGTGCCCATTTACCAATCCATGAGTATGTTTTCCTTGCTCTGCTCTCAGCAACACATCGACTCACTATCATCACCAGTACTCATGCCAATGCCAATTGGTTCTCACACTCTTGACCATATCCTCGGGTCCCTGAGATCCAACTCGGCACAAACTCAATAAGAACAAATATATGCAAATGATGTAAAATTCACAAGGCATCCGCCCTTCTATCAAAAGTCATTCATTTGTGGAACAAGCACTGGCCACATGGTTTGAGTTTCTTTAGACCCAGGTTCTGTCGACAAGCAGCAAAGGTGGATAAGTCCAGCATGACGTTACTTGTTGATTTCAAACAGGTTGGATGTTACCTACTCCTTTTTTCTTTGTTTGCTCATCCTCCTTTCGGCTGGCGAGGGCATCAATTTCGATTGTTTTATTTGTTTATTTTTATCTGCGCTAGTACATGATCGCACAGAATGAAATTCTCACCCGAAAGGGCTTGCCTTCATCCTTGCAATGCATTGACCACATGTGGAACCAATGCCGGCCGGTATCATTTAAAACGCGATGTATCTCGAGTAGGCTAGAAAGACTTTCCACCCTCTTTCTTCTCACGAACGGTGATAGGTGCAACAGCCTTGTGCTCGACTTCCTTCTTGGTAGAGAAATACACTAGAAGTTAGCTTGCCTAGAGAGAAGACTTTCTAGTCAAAGAACAGAACGGCAAAGTGGTGTGAGTATCTGTGTGTCTTTTTTTTCGTTCGGTTCATTTTTTTGCATGGCAGCCTTGGTCTTTGCAAATTAGTAAAACGCGATCCCTCTTCCTCCTTGGCATTTGGCACTCTCAAGCTCGTTCTAGAAAAAGAACCACATACCAACAGTGCATGGCAGGGCAGAACCTAGGCTGACATGAGGAGGCGAGGATAACAGAATCCAAGTGAGCGCTGCGTGATTGTTGCATGTTGGGGATAAGAAAATCCAGGCAGGTTTCTGCTGTGTTTGAATCTTGCACTTGCATGATGGGATGGGATCCCTGTGCGCGAGGCTAGGATGTGGGTTAAGCGATGGTAAGAAAATAGCCGCGCCGCGCGCATTGACAATAACCGCCTGTTTAAAGAACCGCCACACAGTACAAGTGTGGTTGTTCGAGGGACAGTGGAGAGTGGAGGAGTAGTGTATGGAGAGGTGGAGGAGGAATGTGGGTTGAGGCAAGAGTTGCCGCATAAAGTGATAGTCAGGCTCATTAGTATAACACAAGAGTACAGTTGTGAGAGAGGAGTGAGTCGGAGACTCTGGGTCCCGGATATTGTAGAGCATCTTTTAGGTTTTTGCATTTGTGCCACCCCACAACCAACTTTGGAGCGAGGAAGAGATAGGCGCCCAATTTCCAGACAGAGAAGAACAGAGATCCACACTAGTAGCAGTGGGATAAACGAGAGAAGGAAAGAACGAAGGGCTCGACTCTTGTTGGTGTTGTTTATCACGCCCCTCCTGCTTCTGTCTACAACAATATGCTCTCAAGAATACAACCTTCCTCTGGCGCAGAAACAAAACTCTTACTGTCGTATTTTCCGTTTTCTTTTCCGTACTGCCTAGGCCTGAACCTTAACGTCAGTGCCCTTTTGGAGCTGGAGTACACAAATCGGACTCACTCGATCATTCGCGCCTCCTGCTGCCTTCCTGCTGTTTGCCCCTTTGCACTTTTGCAGGTTGTGATCCGCAATCATCGACACTGTGGACCCATGGTCAGCTCTAGGTGCCTTCAAAGGTGTGTATGTATGTGTATGGCGACGAAGTGGACGAGGTATGCAGAACATCTGCTATTAGGCCATGTATCCTCTTTCTCATCGTATTACGAAGCACGTTGTCGTATCTCCTGCAACACATGAAAGAGAAGGGTTCCTTATCACACTCAAATGGTCATTTTCTCATCTTGTGCGATTGTCCCTCACAAGCATCT